TGTTGCGTAAATCGGAAAGGAGTGACTGGGAAGATGCAGTAAAGGAGCGGACATAAAGTTTATGAGTATCTGTCTCTCTGAGACGAGATAAATGCCAAAGGTGACGAGGAGGAGGAGCAGAGGGAGTGGGAGATGACGATGTATAGGAAAATGATAGGGAGAGGAGCTTATGGTCAGATCCGAGCGATAAATCGAGATCGATGTCAATGGATGGGGAAGTGAGTGGAAGATCAGTAATAAAGAAATCGATAATACTGCTGACTGGGCGGCTATGTCGCATGGAAAGGAAAGTAGGGGTGCCATAGGAAAGCGTGGAATTAAGGAGAGTGAGGTTGCGGTCTGTGAGCCAACGGTGGAGCATAGTGCCTCGGGTGTTGGATGCATAATCACCAGTGATATCGCCCATGCGAGCATTAAAATCACCGCATAAAATAGTATTGGAGGTAACGGGCATAGAGTTACAGTGGCTGAAAAAATTGTCCAAACCTATGCCAGTTTTTTAAGTTTTTATTCATACCGCAGCTTTTGCCATATGTATCGTCCGAATTTTTTTTTATATGAAAAGTACATTCTCTTCTCTACCTTGTCGCGAAATCTCGAAGATCGCATTGCAATTCATCGCATTGCATTCAGCATTTCAACATGATCGGTCGGTTTGGACAATTTTTTCAATAAATCTGAAAATAAGAAAAAGTGCTTTTTCAGCCGTTTTTCTTCCTTGCTGGTACGAAAAACGCTGGCGAAATAAAAATATCTTAATGGCAACGTCCTCTAAAAAATATACACGAAGCATTCCAGGCAGAATCGTGCAATTCATGAACGCCATTAGCTCCAGGTTGAATTTGGTGCATAATGGGCGGATCTGGGGGACCGCCAGCACACTGCATCTTTTTTTTGAGCACGTTTTTCATAGTACCGCGACTTATTTTTTATTCATAGAAAAAGAGAATTTTTTTCTCTACGCTGTGCCAAAATCCCGAGCATTTTACTCCAATTCATCCTAATGCCATTGCCAATCCCGCATGTGCTCTTCATTAAGAATGGTGCTCAAATGACATGAAAAAAAAGCAGCCGAAAAAGCCTGGGAAATAATGTTGCGGTGATCAAAAACCGTGCTGCCGTGCATTTTACAGCCTTTCGGATCATATTCAAGCTAACGAAAATGCTGGAAGAATAAAATCTGCTTACGCCATGTGGTCAGATTAACCTCATGCTTGTCATAAGCGCACCCTCCGCATTTCACTCATTATAGCAGATCAACGTACTCCTGATAAGCTTAACAACCTCCGGGTGCCTTTTTTTGCATAGTGAGAGCCTTAAGAACGTCATTACTGCTGGCTTGTGGCTATTTCCCGGTAAATGATCTGACATGATGAGTGAAATGCGGAGGATGCGCTTATGACAAGCATGAGGTTAATCTGACCACATGGCGTAAGCAGATTTTATTCTTCCAGCATTTTCGTTAGCTTGAATATGATCCGAAAGGCTGTAAAATGCACGGCAGCACGGTTTTTGATCACCGCAACATTATTTCCCAGGCTTTTTCGGCTGCTTTTTTTTCATGTCATTTGAGCACCATTCTTAATGAAGAGCACATGCGGGATTGGCAATGGCATTAGGATGAATTGGAGTAAAATGCTCGGGATTTTGGCACAGCGTAGAGAAAAAAATTCTCTTTTTCTATGAATAAAAAATAAGTCGCGGTACTATGAAAAACGTGCTCAAAAAAAAGATGCAGTGTGCTGGCGGTCCCCCAGATCCGCCCATTATGCACCAAATTCAACCTGGAGCTAATGGCGTTCATGAATTGCACGATTCTGCCTGGAATGCTTCGTGTATATTTTTTAGAGGACGTTGCCATTAAGATATTTTTATTTCGCCAGCGTTTTTCGTACCAGCAAGGAAGAAAAACGGCTGAAAAAGCACTTTTTCTTATTTTCAGATTTATTGAAAAAATTGTCCAAACCGACCGATCATGTTGAAATGCTGAATGCAATGCGATGAATTGCAATGCGATCTTCGAGATTTCGCGACAAGGTAGAGAAGAGAATGTACTTTTCATATAAAAAAAAATTCGGACGATACATATGGCAAAAGCTGCGGTATGAATAAAAACTTAAAAAACTGGCATAGGTTTGGACAATTTTTTCAGCCACTGTAAGTATATTATGGAATTCATCCGTGCTTAAGGAGGGCGGCAGGTAAAGGCATATAATTTTGATGGGACCAAGGAGAATACCGAGAGCATAGGGTGAGGATAGTGAGACTTGGGAGACAGGATAAGAACAGTGAGGGGAAATGAGTGCAGTGATGCCCTGAGAGCCACGGTAGTGGCCTTCAACAGGGACACCATAGGTGTGGAATTGGAGCCATTCGGTGGGTAATCGGGAAGGGGGGAGCATCCAAGTTTCGGTGATAAAGAGAGCTGTGAAGGAAAGGCAGTGGGAGAGAACATCATGTATATACGTCGTTTGAAGGCCATTGGCATTCCATAGTCCTAGGGTAAAGGACTCACTCATTGATGATGTGTTGAGAAGACACCAGGCATAGGATCATCTTCCGATTGAAATGAGTGGTCGGGAGCATCACGATCCAGGTGTTTGGCAGGGACGGTAGGGATATCCTCGTCAAAGATCCATCCTTCTTCGAGGAACACACGGGCAACAGAGGGCATAACGGCAGGACGCAAAAATTTGAGGCATTGGGTGCATCGTCGGCGGTGGTTTTCGATCGCTACAGCATGGCGTTCGGCCATAGAAACTGTTTCCAGTTTGGGATCTGCCAGGTGCTTGGGGTCAAGTGGATCAAAGTCCGTCAGGACCTTGACACTGGCATTGGTCATCGTTTCGGTCAGTAGGGGGTGGTATTGGGCGTGGATCAATAAGCCGACCACATTGCGGGCAGGGAACGTGATATCAAGGATGCGGGATGTATCGACATCCATTTTGCGGAGACGACGACGGACTTCGGAACGATCCATGCGGCGGGAACGGGGAATATAAAGGTACCCAAATCCATTGGGTCCTGTTTGTTCCTGGAAAGGGCGGACATTAGCTGCACGTTTGCGTGCGATGCAAACAGGGTCATTGGTGCGGTTGGGGCGGTACTTTTTGGTGACGGCCGTCCATTTGGAGGCCATGGAACCTACAGGAGGTATGGGGGCAGCAGTGGCGGTAGTTGCGGTGGTGGCGGGAACGGCGGTGTCCGGACCGGACTTTGGCGGGGTAGTCGTTGCGGCCGCTTCATAGGCGGCAAGACGTTGTTGCAGCTGGGCATTCGTGGCTTTCAGCTGGTCGATTTCCCTCAAGAGGGCATCGACTTGCTCGCTGCGGGTTTGGAGATGTGCGACTGTCTGTTGCAGACCAGTCACAACCTGGATGATATCCATCTGAGTAGGAGCGGCGGGCATCGGAGTAAGATCGGATGTCTTGGAAAACGAATTCGACATTTGCGGCTCTGGAAAAGCAGCTACAAAAGCGCGGTTTGCGGATGTACGTTGGATGGGACGTTGGGATGACGGATGCAACGTATTTGCTAACGGATGGATGATATTGTTAGGTCTTGGATACACTTTTTTTACCGGGAAAACGTTTATCCGTTTCTGAAAGGCTAAAAGTGATGAGAAACCGAAAGAAAGGTGGGGATGTAGCTCAGACGAAAGATTTTGTTTATTTTTTTAGAGAATACAGATGACGAAGACCAATGGGTCGATATGTCTATCCAGTACACAAAGGAAAAGGGAACGAAAAAAACACCTATCGAGGCACAAAGGTGAAAAAAGAGGAAAGTGGAGGGGTCAGAGGAACAAAGGCTACTCGGCAACTAAGATCAACTCAATGGTTCCTTCCGCAGCGTGCACTAGAAAAGTTTGGCAGTGGGAGAGGAAAGCCAAAGAGGGGAAATTAGTGCTGTTCGCGCATGGGCGAGCGAGACTGATCCAGCCAAAGCTGACCAGGGGGGGCATCAGTGGTGTAATTACCATCAGGATTGCACAGGCAGTCGTAGTGCCACAAGAGTCGGCACAGAGCAGACCACCAAGGGGGACAAGGAGCGGAGGGGGACGTGGGAAGCTGGTTCAACGCATAGTCAACGCGGAGTCCAGTAAACCCAGGCGGGGGAAGCGGGAGAAAGAGCCAAAGGGTCAAAGGCACAGCAGGACACAGTTGCAGATGGGCCCGGGTTGTGAGCCCGATGCCACAAGCACAGGGACGCGGTTTGCCGGGAAGCCAACCCATACGCCATCGTCGAAAACGACTACGGTCAGCACGGGAGGCAGGAAGGTACAAAATCGGATCAACCCGAAGAACTGGGTGACAAGCACGGATCAGAACTTGGGAGGTGGATGCTAGGAAGGAATCGAAAGCAGCTTGGCGGTACGATCGAAGCCAAGAGGGAAGACGGGGAGGATCATCATCATCCGCAGGGTAGTCCAAGACCATTTTCCTCTGACGGAGACGAGAGAGCAAGGAAAGACGGACAGAAGAAGAAAGGAGCGACAAGAGGCAGTCATCCGGGAGATAGGAGACGCGAAGGTGGTATTTGAGAACGAGTGTATCGGCGCGGAAAGACATGGAGGGAAGGTTGCAAATATGGAGGAGAACTTTGGTGGAAGAGGTTCGATGGCCACCGACCAGCATGCGAACGCAGCGATCTTGGGCACGATTCAACTCCCGGTAATCGGTTAGGCGAAGAGGGGCAATGGCAAGGCCATATTCCAACTTCGGACGGACAAAGGCAGCATAAATGCGGGCGGAGAAAAGGAGAGGGAAACCATTGCGATTCAAGCCCATTTGGGCGAGTTGAGCCATGCTTGCCAACGCAGCAGAGGAACGAAGTTTGATCAGCGCTGGTACCGAGATACCTTTGCTGTCAAAAGGGACACCCAGGTAAGTGAACTCATCGACTGAAGGAAGAACCTCGTCATAGAGACACAACCGGTTGATGGAATGAGAAAGAACGGAAGGGGCATTGAGCACAGCACACTTGGCTGGACTCCATCTATACCCGAGGGTAAAAGAATGGGTTTGCGCAAGGGCCAGCATGTTGGAGACATCCCTAGCAGAACCAACCAGGGCCACATCATCGGCATAGAGCAGGCAATTGATGGGTGTAGGTGTGGGAACTTGGGAAGCAGTGGAGGGGGACTGGCACGGACCATACGGGAGATCAATAGGTGCTGGCACAGTATCACCGTGGGGTGAACCAGGTGGAGCAGAAGGAGACAAAGAAAGAACGGAAGGGGTTGAAGCTGTAACAGCGGAACGGAGAAGAACAGGAAGAGTGTTGATGTAAATCGAATAAAGGTGAGGACTAAGGACGGAGCCTTGGAGAACACCAGTATCGGGATGGAAGGACGAGGAGGTGTGGTTCTGTAAAAGAACGGAGATGGTGACATCGTCGAACATGTTTGCCAAGAGAGACACAAGAGAAATGGGGGCGGAGGAAACAAGCATGGATTGCCATATGATACGTCGGTCGACAGTATCATAGGCTGCTTTGATATCCAGGAACGCAACAACAGGGTAATGATTGTGGCGATCGCGGTAGGCGCGCATCAAGTCATGCAAGCAGAGGGCTTGATCCAACGCGCTACGTTGATGCCGGAAACCGCCTTGGGCTACATCAAGGACAGGGGAACCACGTTCAACAAAAGGAATGAGACACATCTCAAAAAGTTTGCGGATGATAGAGGTGAGGGAAATTGGGCGGAAATTTTGAGGAAGGGTGGGATCGCCTTTTTTATGGATGGGCACCACTTGGGCATGGCGCCAGAGAGAAGGAGTGTAGGACCATTGAAGGCAGATTTCGAAAAGTAAGGAAAGGAGTGGGGCCAGATGAGAACGAAGAGGCAAGAGCATTTCTGTACGTAGGTGGTCAGCACCAGGTGCTTTACGCACAGGAAGTCGTTGCATGGTGGATGCAATTTCATCGGCAGGGAACGAGATGGGGGGGATGTAGCTCAAATGGTAGAGCGCTCGCTTAGCATGCGAGAGGCACTGGGATCGACGCCCAGCTTCTCCAATTTTTTAATTACAATTGTATTGTTGTTGTCGTATCCTTTTTTGGTATTTCCTAAAACGTTCACTTACGTTTTTGGTAATGAGGCTTTGATCACCTTCAAGCAAACGTTTCCTTTATTGAACAGCTCGGCCGAAAGGCTGAGCATTTGTCAGTTATGCCGGTTCTTCTTTTGCGCCGATTAGATTTGCTATACCAAAGTTTAGCAAATACGGAAGACAGCGCATTGGCTCGTCCGCAGATTGATGTCTGGAGGAACCTTCGAGAAGGTATGAAGGACCAATGGATGAACGAGGCATACCAAAGGTATTGTCTGGAAAACAGAAGAAATATAGACCGAATCTGTTCAGCATTAAAGTGGTCCGCAATACTTCTTGATTGGTTATGTTTCGGAATAATAGAAAACCGTGCAGGAAGTTGACGAGAACCTTCCTGAAGATTATAGACATAAAAATGATCTTGATAGAAAATATAAATATGACCATGTTATGGTAGAAATAAAGAGGAACAATCAACTACAGATTTAAACTGAACTCTAAAGGAGTACTCAAATCTGACACATTCAGAACCAAAATACCCTGCCAAGCCGATTACGAAATTATTAGAGATTAACCAAAAACATATAAATATCCCCTCGATAAAAACGAATAAAGATCATCAATTATCTATCCTCCAATTCTAGTTTATTTCTTCATCTATCGTCCATGGAACCAGTATCCGGAATAGATTCAGCAAACCCCGAAAACGATATTTGGTAGCGGCTGAACAGGTTAAAATTTTCAGCATATAAAGTTACTGTATGTAGTGGTACTGTATATAAACCCTATCTACTGTATATGACAAAGATCAATTCATACAGGTAAAGCTATCTTATCACAGCATGTGGATCCTTCTTAATATATAGTACCTTGTAACCGAGGACTGCTCACTGATACAGTGATGGTAAAAATGGTTCTCAAGATTGTGATTTTTTAACGTTTTTATAGCTGTGCGGATTTTTCATATAAAATCTGTATTTTTTTCCATTTTCATAATCAGTGACCACTTTTTTACTATAGTGCGAATTTTCAGTCATCTCACATCAGTCATCCTCATTTCAATTACTTTATGGAAGCATCTCGAGAATCATTTTTATCTTTTGTGGAGATGTAAATGTCATTACAGGAATGCATATGCAAAACACACAAACATTTTCTAAAAATGGATAAACAACAACACCTTGATATAGTAAGCAAAATAGAAGTCTTAAAAAGTATCCTCATACTGGCATTCTTAAATCCGTCTTTCTTTAATCACTATTTCATAATCATGACCATAACATGCACCAAAAACTGACTGAAGATAAGCTTACAGTAACAGCATCAAAGTGTATCTTTTAAATGGCAAAAGCTTAAAGAAAACTGCGACTGCTTTGCACTTGTCTGTTAGTGTTATTTCAAAGTATGTGAAACAGCTAGTCTCTGATTTATACTAATGGTAATGCTGGGCAGTCATCACTTTTCTCGAAGACCATGGCCGCCTCTGTTCATAGAAAAGTCCTCACAGGGGAACTCAAGACTGCTGTTGAGGTACACAAATATTGCCTCGATCTCAGTATTGATTGCTGCTACTCATTCATTCGTAATCTAATGAAGAGATTAGGCTTCGAATTCCACTTTAAGATAAAGAAGCTTCTTCTTACTATCAGACACAAGAAGGCAAGAATGGAGTAGGCAAAAGCCCATCAAAATTGGACTATTGATGACTGAAAGCAAGTTGTTTAGTCAGATGAGACCAAGATCAACATCTGGAGTTCTGATAGCATCAAGTATTGCTAGTCATATCCTGGTGATCCCTTGAAACCCCATTATCTTGACCTCACTGTCAAGTATGGCAAAGGTGGAATCATAAGGTGAGGTTGCCTCACTTATGAAGAGCTTGGATATAGCTACCAAATTTTTGATAGTACTATAAAAAAGGAGAACTATGTCCATATCTTAGATACTACTTTGTGGCACGCAATCAACCATTTCGGCTTTAATGAAGCTATAATCTTCCAGCAAGACAATGATCTGAAGCATATCAGCAAGTATACCAAGGTGTATCTTGAGTTGCAACAGTATTCTGTTTGCCTTGGCCTGCTCAGTCGTCGTCAGATCTTAACCTGATTGAGCATATCTGGCATCACTTAAAGTGAAATTGTGTGCTTATGATCGCCAGGCTAAAGGTGTCCATGAATTGTAGGATTACATAGAAGTAGAGTGGGAAACTTTTTCTGTAGAGACCTGCCACAAGTACTGTATATTAAGAGTAGACCTGCACGGATTGAAGCTGTAATAAAGGCTAAGGGTGGACGTACAGTATCTATTATTAGTTTGAGTTTAACTAAAGACAAGAATGGTTCTCGAGATACCTCCATGAAGTAATTGGAATAAGGATGAGAAAAACTGACATGAGATGACTGAAAATTCGCACTATAGTAAAAAAGTGGTCGCTGATTATGGGAATGGAAAAAAAAATTGCTAGATTTTATGTGGAAAATCCGTCCAGCCATAAAAACGTCAAAAAATCACAATCTCAAGAACCATTTTTACTACCACTGTATTGTTGTTTCTCTGTCGTGGATAAAGACAATGATCATTATGTGGCAGTGAATCAGGGGAGGCAAGACCTCTGGGAAAAAAGAAAAACAGCTTGTGCTACTCTGTTGTCCATTAAATATATAAAGATTTATGCATACATCAACTAAATCTTACCGAAAAATCAACTGCTTATGACAAAAGATTAAAGTTAAGAGAACATCATCAACTAAGACCTTGGATACACAAATTTAAGTGCAGAGTTCTGAATTTATTGCAAATGGATCATCCCATTCTAAACATATCTTTAATCAGCTACTATTCTCACTCCCCTTAGAGTAACAACAAACTATAGACCGAAAGAGCAGGACTTTGTGATCTCTAAAATCAACATGTGCTACTAGCTCCTTCATTATTAAGGGTTGCATCCTTTAATATAATGTGATGGATAATGATTGGATTATAAAGTGTACTGCACTTTTATTTGTCATGATTTACAGCTAAAATACTACAGATTGATCGAGAAACATCTTTAAACTTGCAGACAGAACTGTCTGTGTCAGAATAGTGCTTGTTAATATATATAAATATCTGATCTCTTTTCAAGAAATTAACCTTAGTTAGGAATTACTGTATGCTTCTTATCCTAGTCTCTTGTTCTTCTTGTCCTGTTCATGTTCCTGTTTTTCTCCTATTCTTATTCTTGTCTTAGGTTATCTTGCTCTTGTTGTGCGAAGGCACTTCAATACTAACATCTTGCCCAGTTGTACTGACCATCCAGTAGTCAGTGCATAAACACCTAGTGTCAATGCAGTGTCCAAAAATAATAAAATTAACTGCATTTCAGACTTTTCTGCACAGTTCGCACATATTTGTTCCATGATGTTATATTGCATTTGTAAATGTGAGCTCTATAATAAAATCATCGTCAAACTCGTTTTGCAAATCATCATTGTAAGCTCCGTCAATTTCCGTTTTTGGGAATTTGATGGTGATGGTATCTTGGCCAGGGGGAGGTTGAGTGAATCGTGTATTCAGCCAAACATGACAGATGGAGCGAGGCTAATGATATGAATGAGAAGAAACATCTTTGATTAACTTCAATTTTATCCACTTACTGCGTTATTCAGATAGGATGTTGTTCGATAAAAGGCCACTTTGAAATCTCCTTGCAGTGGCTTCAGATCCGGCATGCCAATTATGATCTCATTCGCATGTCGATATACTGTACACTAATAAACAGAGCGGTAACGTCAAAATTCGCAGCAACAGTTAGCAGAAGGTTTCATACCTTGGGTTGGCGATGATCGTAAATCTTTGCATCTTTATAAAAGACAGTAAAAGCAACAGTTTGATCTGTCACAAGGAAAAGAACAGGATTAGGGCCTCTTTCATTCCGTTTCAATTGCTGCCAGAGGTAAAGAAGGGACAAGCAATCCGTACTGTTTCTGTAACTTTTGGGGGTGTTGTAGAGTGTGATTTGTGACAGGCGGAGCGGATCTTCTCCCAACCCAGCTGCAGGATCCTTGGACGCCAGCGTCTTTTCAAAATACTGAATATATCGGATCTGACTGGGTATAGTGATTCCCTAATTTATGTTGACTTGATTAGATAAGGAGTTTCAATGCGCATATTCGAATGGTTTCACCTTGCCATCACTTGTCCGTTTGGCACCATAAAAGGCGATAGCTGCATTGGCATTCCTTGCCTCACCAAGGTATAGCAATAAGCATGCGATCATAGTGCCTGTCCGACCTTTGCCCGCCTTACAATGAACCACGATGACATTGGCTCTATCTTGTGCAAACCAAGCAGCTGCTTCTTGACAAAATTGTAGCAGCAATTCAAAGGGAGGTGGTTGATGGTCTGGAAACGGATAAGCTGACACTTGCAAAAATAGTTCCTTGTCAGCTTATTTTATTCTAGGCATATTGATGGATGACGCATCTACTTGCTCAATATTACCAGGTGCCTCGAAGCGTTTGCCATCGTATAATTTCTCGGATCGTCTACAATGACCAAGATAGGCGAGATAGCTCCACGGTGAATGCTACATTTATGCATAAGCTCGAAGCAATGAAAATGCTTACAGGTTGAATACTTTGTAATGACCACCATGGCGATTGTCAAGAAATCTAATTCCATTTTAGTTCTTTCTCTTGCCCTATTCCTACAGTTAATTTACTATGCTCATTACCTTTTTACATCTCGAAAAGCATTACGGTAGAATCCTTCCAAACCATCCGAAGGGAATGACATGGCGATAATCTTATTGGTGATGTCTAGCACTCAGGCATATCAGTAAATAACAGAAGAAGTTTTCGATGCACTTCGTAGCACTCACAACTCAGGTCGAGGTTGATACCTGCCTCCACAAATCGACATCGATTTTCAGAGACTAAAGTTCGTAAGGCATTGAACATGAAGCGAGTAAGGGGCGACACAAAAATGTTCCGGGAATTCAATGAGAAGGACAGAACTCATAATTTCACAAGTCCGCTCACAAGCGGGTTTCATTCCGCCTGGCTCTTGATCACCCCACCACAATCAGTCATGAACAGTGAGCAAAGTCAAGGACTGGCCAGCGACATTGTTAAATCCATAATGACCCCTGGCTACACTGCCAGAGGAGTCATCACGCTCATGTTTTATGCATTTTATGCTCTTTTCGCAACCCTGTTCCTTCTGATCTTCTTGACCGGAGGCAACGGTCATGTTGTGGCCCTATTATTGTTATCTCTATGTCTGTTCTTCATCATCAAATGGTAATTTGCTGCATTGTTTGAAGCCTCAAACTCATGGTATACTAATTAGAGTCTCATATGCCTAGGTATATTGCAGAACTCGAATATATGAAACGACAAACTGAAACCACGACTGCAGCGCGTCAATGCACCAAGAATCGTCGTGGGAAACCCGGTAAAAAAAGGCGAACCAAAAAAGCTCGCAAGTAGATCAATTTGCAAAATAAGGACGATATCAGCACTTAGTTCTCATTCGGTCGTGCCGATTACTCCCATAGAAACATTCTAAAAGAATTTTGATCTCGCCACGAGAACCCTTTGTATGACTAGACCATTAAAAAAAGTCTCCACGCCGAAATTTGCGACAACTCTGATTGCCATCCCTATATTGATCTTTGTTTCCTTCTGTCCCCGTTCGTCTTTCCCAATCTGCAGGCCTGTCATTGTTCGGTGATCCCTGATCCAGCGATATAGTCGGCTAACTTTTTTTGATCATATTATTATCAAAGTGGGAAGTTGATGCGAGCTACTTTTTAATCGCATTCAGTCGAGATTTATCTGTTGCCGGAGTACAGCATTTTGTTTTCATGAATGGATCGGCCAATTCCACAACCGCGTCGATCTCTGTTCGCCGCAGGAACGTATTTCATGAGCAAGCGATGGCTTCGTCGATGCGTTTCTTCTCGATTATGATTTTCTTGCTAATAATTTTAATTATCTATATTTAATCTTGCTTTGCATGACCACGGCTCCAAGTTATTGATGAAAAGAGCTAGATACTATATACCGACATTGGATTATGGACTAGAGCTTCAACCAATCAAGCCATCTACTTGAGAAAGCTCACAGTAGGAATTTCACATGTTGCTTCAGCTGCGTAGCAGATCGTGAGACTGCTTTACAAGTATGAAAATATTTCTCTTTTCCTCTTTCCTCTTTTTTTTTTCTTTCCGTGTCTGTTTTCAGTCTATGCCGCATGGCTAACCGCGATCGGAAAGGGAAAAAATACGCCATGCACCTCCAACATCCGGTATGCAAAAGGGCGACCCAGATAAACCAAAGGCTGTCTGAACATCCGTTATTTTTCAGATACAAACCCAACGGTCTCAGACAATGATTTCCAAAAAACCGTTAATGACCACTTCGAAACCAAGGGCAAGTCAGAGGCAACTCCGCAAAACAAGTAGCTGTACCATTGCATAACCGTGATACTGCGACCGCCAGGGGAGCGTGCGTGGATATTCCAACCGAGGTCACCATGTGGGAACATCAAGACGTACTGGAGAGCATCATAGTGCTGATTCATCTCGCTGATACGTTGAAGTCCATGGCTTCTCGACTGGATGCCAATGTCGCGGCTACTATCAGGCGTAATGGTGCTATCGACCAAAATTACTCCAATTTCGCTTGCGGTGGGTGCGTTGTATAGGCGGGCATCGGGAGTGTTTTCCGCGCATATCAGCAATCGCACGTCTACAGCTCCATCCGACTCACGTAAAACTTGAGCCATCGACAGCAACAGTGGAACAAACGGGTTAATTTACATCAGCAGATCTTGGTGAATTAGCAGTGTTGCATTTTGTAAATAGGGCGCCACAGCGTTTCGGCGTGCCAACTGGGGTGTCAGAGTCGTAAATGTGCAGTTGAGCAAATGCAGGAGTATGGTTGTCCTTGGCGAAGCAGGCCATCGATCCGATGATAGGTGCCTAGAGCATCCTCGTCTTTCGAATAAAAATGTGAGTAGAGCTCTTTTTGAAGAAAAGTGGGTTGCTGATACGACTGGCGTTCTTCTGTAGCATCATTCAATATTTTTTTTTGTCAGTTATACTATATATGTCCTTTCATTCTCTTTCAATTTTCAATGAATCAAATAATACATAAGCAGAGGTGCTTCGATCTATGAATTCATGCATCAGTAAGGTGACTATTGTCTCATCCAAGGAAAATCATATATTTTGGTCTTCAATTTTATCTTGATTTTTTCTCTCTCTTTCTGTTTACCTTGAAAACTCTCGGTATCATTGTTCAAGATCCCATCCGCAATCCATCATCCAGACCATTCTTATCCCGTGTATCTAACTTGGTTAAATTGACCACCATCCTCAAAAAGGTAAGCGTCGAGTGGTCTACCATCGATTTTGCTCCGGCAAAACAGACTTACCTCTCCTTTAGTTACATCCTTCTTCCAGCTTCCGGTTTCCGTTTTCTTTTCGCCTGACAAGTTCTGGATACTACCAGTTGACTTTTTCTCGCCATCCATCCATCCATCCATCCATCCATCTGGCGAAACCGGACGCCGTCAAGGCCATCGTCGGTGGTGGGACTCTCTTTTTCATCGGAAAAACGCTTAAGTGTCCTCTTCATGTTCCTCTCTTATGGATTGCTTCTCATGATATGGTATTTGAGATGTCTTCCCGATTATTGTATTCTGCATTTTGTAGTTCATAGTTTGTATTTTGTATTTTGTATTTTATATTTCATGTATATTCTTTTTTCAGTCTTTTCCTCTTTTTTTTCCCACAGGGTTTTTTAGGAGGTTTTTACTGACGCGACCATTATTTTTTTTTATCATCATATACTATATTTGTTTTTCTTTCTTTTTATTCGGGGACTCTCGATATCTGGATTACAACTCGAAATTACCGTCACTTCTGACTACGTCAATATTTTTTGCCTGCCCAAGCTGACACCACCGACCCATCACTTACTGTCCCTGGAAGCAGTTTTATTTTCCGCATCGGAGAAGACGCTTATCTGTGGTCCGTATTCATCTTTTTTTTCTTCCGGTACACCATTTGGTTCAAAGGCAAGTCCAATTTCTTTTCCTTTGCTATGATGTAATGAACGTATACTAATTCAAAAGATTTTCAATGTCATATAATCCAAGTCATGCCAAACGATCAATGGCTATTGAAAACTCAAATAACAAAGGTAAAATATCTTGACGAAAATTGAATCAATCAAAGAGCTTACTAGCTCATTTTTTTAAATACCCAACATACCCACATATCTTTCTAGATCGATCATAGCTTGGGCGGGATGGAACTGAGGGGGGAACCAGTGCTGCTTTGCGCGTGTTCAGAAACAACTCACGTTGCATGGTATTGCCATAACATTGTCATTAATATACCAAAGTCCGTCAAGAGTTCTCGCCCAGGTTATGCCGTGTATGCGTTAGGCTTTTTGTCTGACGAAAGTCGCTCGATGTAAGAGGGCGGCCTGCGGTGGCAGGCGGCATCCATTGCACAGCGGGTGTACGGCTTGTTAGGCCATGAATGATAACAATGGTATGGTTAAACGAACTTTGTGCTTGACTTATTCAGTCAATATAACGCCGGGTTGAATTATCCTCTTTTAAAACTATGCCTGTGTGCAACGGGTAAATAATAATGGTGTCAATGGTTTTACCAAAACAGACGACTAACTTGGTTTCTACGCTTTGCATTTCAATTTAGTTGCAGATCCCTCATTATCATCGCCTGTAACGGCCTCAAAAAAACGAGTTAAAAAACTCGCACACGCAAATGCAAAAAGAACTGCAAAACAGAAATAGCGAAGATCGGCAAAGGAAACAAGTCAAAACCGAAGCATCTGAAGCGAAAAAACCTATCTGTCTGACATGTGGTCAAGCGGGACATCGCCGATCTTCCAACAAGTTATGTCTTGAAAATTGGCCGAGAAGGATTGTGACAAAGAAACTAAAACGAACGTTTATCATCAAGGCATCTGTCAAGAACACATGCAAAAACAAGTAATTCGTCAATAACGTACGGGATGTCGTGGCTCATGTCCGCGATGTGACATATGTTGGTTCTCTTTTTGCAAATTACGACGTTTTTACGCTGCCTATAAGGCCGAAGACATCTCCTCTTTTTCGTTGTATCAATAATTTTTACAATGTCTCTGCTATAACGATGGTAAAACGGAGAAGATTTCGTTGGAAATAGAAGTATCATCCAATTTCAAAAATGATATTTGAACTTTGGATCCGCAGAACTTCAAGTCCGAAGATTATTTGACCTTAATCAGTGAGATCGCAAAGCAGCATGATGAACTCGCTGGCAATCATATGGTTGCGAATTCCAAGAAGAATCGTTGCAATACTTCTTGATCTGACATCAAAGGCTCTTTCTTTCCCCTAGTGACGGTGTCACATCGAAAACTGATTGCTGAATATACTTATGAAAAAGTAGATGGCGATAACAAATAATCATGGCCTACCTAAGTCGGAAGGACCCAAGCTTTGGTACAAAAATTGTCAATACGGGGTAGCTTTCTCTTGGCCCGGGATTCCATTAACGGTATTTCGCGATGCAGACCCATATCTGTATATACCGTGGATAAACCAAGTTCTGCAGCGTGTGGAGCAAAAAGTTTTTTATTTAAGAAGAATGTCCCAAAAATTCTGCCCTCTGCATACGTATCAAAAAAATTACATGAGGTGAGTAAAACTAATGTTACGTATGATGCGCGTTGTTAATGTAGATTTTTAATGAGTAAAGAAAGCAAGGCATTAACCAAAGTATGCTTCAGATCTCATTGTAGCCGCGCCTTTCCGCTATACGCGACAGACTTCTTTGTAATTACCTTCCAAAATCAAGTTTTCAAATTTAGATGCTTCTCATCAGGTGTTGAAATGCTTTCATTCTGAAGCGACTACCGAGATTAATAAAGATGAATTTAGACCGTTAAAATAGATCGACTCACGAGGAGTAAAACGATTCACATTCATGCTATATATTATTTCCAGACGCCTCACATTGATGTTGAAGTCCAAACTTTTGCAAAGCTGCGGCGTGCATGTGGGATCCGAAAAGAAGCGTTCAATAGCAATTCGCTCGCTAGAGAGGAATATTTTCGGTTATCTAACGTAAGTAAAATGGGGTTTCCAACGCTGCAAAGCTTGAAGACAGACAGATGCATGTTCTGGTAAATTTAAGTAACTTCGTTTTAGTCGCCATTTTATCCTTGTTCATTCATTGCAATATTGCCGCCAGGAACAAGATTGCCACCGACGGAACCGACGTCTAATTTTTATTTAAGAAATCGAAGCGTCCCAAACCGAGAGTACTGTTGACTCCTCTTTTTCTCGAAATACATAATCATCTGCAACGATTTGGGGTGTAGACCTTGGCGTGACGGATCAGACACACCAATCACCGGATTCGCAGACTCAGCCCCAGCAAATATTACGATATTTGTGGTTCCAATAGAGCCACGCAAAAGCGACAAGCATATCTCAGGACGACCCAGCGGTTGAAAAGCCTCACTGACGGGACACATTCTGCGCGGACCGCTAATGTGCTAGCGTTACCAACTCAGCCGGATATCGTTTGCGACAGCACCTTTCGTTATGTGCATGTTATGACAAGGATGAGAGGTATTATATTATACCACCGCCGCATACAATCCTCATGCTGATTTTGCCTACTTCGCAGATGTAACAAGTTGAAGCTGAACTCTTACATGAATAAGCAAAGGAAATGTCGAGATTGCAAAATAGGGTCGAAGAACTTGAGCTATTTCGGATCGTGACTCGTGGAAACGGAAACCGTTTCTTTTTCCCTAACCTCTCTATCCGTTTTCAGTTTTTTTTTTGGAGCCATGGCTTGCAAATTCTACGCTTTGTATCATTAGTAATTCAAAGAAAGTTGGACGGGGCATGTTAGTTATTATGATGTGTTTATTCATAAGTTGAGGTTTATCTCCTTTAATTTACCGTTCAATAGGTCTTTATAGTTGGTTCATGTAGATAGATGGAGTATTTAACGATACAAGTCTGTAATTTACCCCAAGAGAACACGGAATAAAGGTTCAAACCACATGTTTGTCAAGCCAGTACATACTTACAAAAGCAGTCCAGTAAAAGCAGCGTGGGAATGGATTAAAGATCCAAGTTTTAGTGAACCTATGCACAGAATGTTACAAAGAGACGTCTACGCAGTAGTATTTTGTGAGGAACCACGTTCAGCAAAATCTACAGGAAATGGATATTAAATTTGTGCCGTGGCGAATAGACTGCTATCGGCATCTTTAAATTAGACTAGGCAGTAAGTATCCGAGTTTGATGACCATGTCTGCAATGCGAATCACTGGGAGCATATTGCAAGCCATGATCCACGTTAGGTCATCTGACAAGTACTATGGCTTAACACCTATGCAGCAGCATCTTGTACATACTGTACTTGAAACAACTCGTCAGCAAATCAGCGGTAATTGCAAAAGCGATGCCAAAGTCAGTTGTATGATTTGTTGATCGCTCGATCATTCTTATCAGTGTTCTGAGGACAGTACAGTACAGTACCCTTGTTCGACCCTCTAATTTCGATAATCTCTCTTAAAATGGCTAGACGCACAGCGACAAAAGTCCGTGTCTGTTTTGTCAGGGGACCAGGTAGCGATCACTATTTTCGATCGGCTTGTCGTAAAATCTTCACTTGGTTGCTCTTGGAAGAAAATTGTCATGAACCAAGAATTGCTACAGATTTATAAATCAGCCTTGGAGCGGAGAACCAGCATTGTACTGTAGATACGGTAGACGTATTCTTGAGGTACAATTCCTAATGGTAGCCATGAACTGAACCTTGAAAAATCGAGCCTTCTATTCGACGTAGGCCCTTTTCAAGATTTGATTGCGGCGCCAAAGATTCGCATCGTTCGCTTTGGGTTGCATGTTTCATATACAAGGAATATTAGTAACCATAAAGAAAGGCTAAACAATAATTTCAGGCATGATCAATGTCGTGCACGGTCACGGAGGGAATTGAGCTTGAAGAGTCAAAGCTACTCTCAATGCTCTCTTGTAAGCGGTGCATCTTTTTTTGACGTATTGCAAGAAAAGCGAACGAACAGAATTTTTCGATGAAGCTCCCAATTTTACTGTTCAATTTTTGACCGGCCGTGGATATGGTAAGGATCTCTTCGCCAATTCCGATAATTTTCACTGCTCTGTTGTGTACTATTGTTGATTCTTTCTTTGGTTATGAATATATTGTCATTGTCCACGTTGTGTACTATAAGAATTGACGACATTGTGTTTCGAAAGGACTTCTTAGGGGTGGATACGGCAATGATTTGATCTGACGTTTGAGAGAGTAAGGCATTCCAAGTGAAGCTCAAGGAAGCGGATTACTTGTGTCACAGAATTCGGGACCCCGACACCGAGTGACAAGTTCGTATGCATTGCTGAAACAACTTGAATCCTTGAGGTTAGCACTATTGTGCCGTTGGTATGCAGTTAAAGTGTTGTTGGCTCACTTCAGCTAGGAACAAAACAGAATATGAAAACTCAATCAGATTTCCTGGGTTTAGACTCACACTCAGTCCGCAATGGAACGCACAGCATAATCACTCCGTTTCATCATCTCCTTCAAGCAATGCAATTGGCCAAGAAGCTCCTTTTATCGCATTAATGATACCCAGCCATCAATAAAATCGTAGATTAATTGTGACTTGGCGCACATGAACGAAAAGGTACGGCAGACATTCAGCATAAAGGTAGCTATAACTGGAAAGATAATCAAACATATAATGGGCCAGGTATTCGTCACCAACGCAAAAACAAGGACAAGCTGCACGCTACATGATATTAGCCAGGAATTTGAGCTGTTTGATGGTGGTACTGATAATAGCAATAGCAATAGCAATAGCAATAACAATAACAATATACAACTAACTACATCCGTTCTTTTTCTATTTTAGGAATTTTCTTTGATCTGCACATCTATTGCTGCTAACGTATCCCTCAGGAAACAGTGTGCTAAAAACGAAGAATCAACCATCGTATTACTGTAAACGATCCTGCGTGGGTGGTATTGTTGCAGCGCACGCTCATTGATGACAGTGTATTAAAATAAAACGCAGGGCCCTTTGTTAATAACTACTGCATTTGGCATTTAGGAGCTGCGGGCTGAATTTTACTCGGACCGATGGAAGCACAATCAATGGTGAAGTCGACGGAGCGGAGGTGAGGCAACGAACAGCGTGCGAGTAGAATTAATTATGGTCGTTTGATTTCCATGTTTTGGTCATCAGGAGAGAGCGCAAGCGTATTTGTGGCACGGGAGAAATTCATGCTGAGGATTACGTGCACATTTCAGTCACCGGTCGATGAACTTTAACTCTCTTCGAATGGTGCTGAGGGTACGACCTCTGCGGAACGCGCGGAGATTCAGAGAGAACGAGATAAACAAAAAGGTCGCTTTCGGAAAGGTGCAGAAGTAAGGAATTGAAGGAGGTAGTTTGACTATGGTCCAGGAGAACATGCTAATTGGTATCCTGGAAAATGTGGTATAGGTATATGAAGGGGATAAGGCAACAATGTTCCTTGGTGGTATTAGCGCACATAAGGAGCGGTTCGAGCGCCGTATGACGTTAACGGTTCCGTCCAAAGCTGATGAAAAGGAAAAACAAAAATAAACGATTTGGGTGGTTCTCCATTCTGCTCATAAAAGAACAAATGTTTTCTTTCAACTGACCCAAGAAGGAGTGGTTCATACTGAGGAGTCATGATGGTTTATGTCGTATTCTTGCTATGTGAACAAAAGGAGATATACTGATCAAGAAAGGAATATGCGTTTTAACTAAATATCTTTGGCAGTGCATGTTTCTCTAATGACTGTTGACGTATCCATTATCTTATGTACAGCATATCAAACGCTCGTCGGCACCGGGATGATCCCGAACACATGATATTTTACATCTGCTTAGTTCCTGTTGGCTCTGTATTGACTCATCGACAATACTTTCATTGGTCGCTTTTACTGTATCCCAAAACCATGAACAGCGTCATTTAGAATCGGAACATGCAGTCGTGTAGCTTTTGTAGTGAGTTGAATATAAAGCAAGAAACAAGAAGGGAAGTTCAGATGTCTTTTTTACAACAGTGAGGGTAGGAACAGACATTCACCATATTTATCAAGTTTACAAACCTGGACGTGTTTCCCGTATGATAATTCCCGCTCCTTCGCTACCGTTTTCACCCAATCCCTTGCTGTCCCTCCCTCTCCCCTTCCCCCATTTGTAGGGCCTCCTAGATATCATTTCATTGGACTGACCAAAGCAAAGCAACCACGATCAGTTTAAATGAAAAGCGAGGTGTCGGCCAGCATATCAATAATAAAAGTAGGATCGGCATGGTGAAGGATTGTAAAGCATAAAATAGAATGAACGCGAGCTTATTCCTGTACGCATTGAATTAAAGTGCTAAATACACGCAGCGAGGTTGAATACCAGCATTCAAATGCGAGATGAAAATTGACATCAAGGAAAACATTGCTAAAATAAAACCTGATATTCACAGACCACCTTCAGGATGCCGGTTCACGCATAACAATCATGGCCCCCTTTCCACTCATCATCCTTTTACGGAGTGACATAGGGATGGTATAGAATAGTATCAATGCAACCCAGTCGCGGCCTTATTCATTTGTTACTTTATCATCATCTATAAATGTCAATATGTCTTTTTTTTTGTTATCCCTTCTGATTTGTTTCCTACCGCGCCCTATACTGAGATGTTTCGCTCCCCCTTTCCCCTTTTGTGTGCCTTTTGATTTCTACGCTTTTCTGTTTTCTCCTCGAAAGGATCGATGTGGCCTCCTCTAAAAAAAACTTACACTAGATCACATTGCATAAGATTACGCTCGGTTCATCAATTTGTAGAATATAGATTTTCAGGGAGACAGACCTTTCCATTCGTTCGTGAAGCACAGTAGCAATTTTGATACACGAGCTTTTTTTTTTTTACTCATTCACCCATCCAAGGGGAACATGAAAAGCGTGGGGCTACAATACAAGTGCGCACGAACCCTTGCGTTCTTTTTTTTTGTGTTGTAAAATTCGCTTCGTAAGTCTCCATGCAAATCGCTCACCTTGTATATAAATAAACCTTATTTTAATACGACTTTTCTTTGATTTGTCTATCTTGCAATTCCTTTGATACTCTTCTCTGTCTTTTTCGATTATTTTCGCTTGTCCACTATTTGTATCTAACATAACGCTCTTTATTATCTACTATGGAAATTTCCGAAATTGTTCATCAAGATTTTCTTCCTACAGAAGAAAGACCTTTTGAATGTGCATTTGCAGGCTGTAACAAAACATTTGGTAAGTATTCTAGCTTTATATAAGATAGGTGCTCCTTATAGCGAGTAGTGCTTATACGAATTTATTATAGGTAGAAGATCAGACCTTGTTCGTCATTCTCGTATTCACACGAACGAACGTCCCTTTAAATGTCGCGAATTGGGTTGCGGAAAAAGTTTTATTCAGGTACTTTAACAATATTCAATTTGTATAGCAATGATCTGTTCAGTGTACTTATCTATTTATCGTGTGATGTTAGCGATCGGCTCTGACTGTACATATGCGCACACACTCTGGCGAAAGACCACATGTCTGTGAGTATCCCGACTGTAACAAAAGCTTCAGCGATAGTAGCTCCTTGGCTCGCCATCGGTAAGTTAATTCGCATCTTGCTTAAACAGCCACAGCAAAAGTAGTAAACAAAATTCGGTCATCCATAGACGTACACATACTGGAAAACGACCTTATAGATGCCCTTCAGAGGGATGCAGTAAAAGCTTCGTTCGCAAAACGATGCTGACTAAGCACATGAAGTGTGACCATTCGATCAATGGCAAACGACCTCATATTCAATGGCGTCCTTTTCTGGAGGAACGCCGTTTGATGTATATGCGTCAGCAACAACAACACCAACAGCGACACCCTTTGCTAACTCAAACACCTTGTCACTGTGCGGACTGCAACGTATCACATCAACATGGCTGGCAGTACCAGCCACCGACGCCACAATTGTCATCTGGTCGAGCTAGCCCATTTTCTGCGTCTTCCTCCGACGACGAAATGCTTCCTTCACCTGTTTCATCACGCCAGCCTTCCACATCTTCGACGTGGTCCGCAGCCGGTTCCCCTCCTTCGTTCTCTACGCTTTCTTCACTACCTATTTCCTATTCCAGTAAATTCCCCGAAACAGGGTTGCCAAGTTTCGCTAGCTATTTTGGAAAACATATCGAAGCCGTTCCCTCACGACGTGACAGTGGAGTTGCTTTTCTTAACGCTTAAGCAGTCTCGTTCTTTTCTCCTCGTTACCTGCCTCTACCAGAATTGCGCAGCTCCCTTGAAATTTTACTTCTTTCTCCTTCCTTTTCCTAAGAAAAAACGCATGCGACGATTATTATTTACGTTTCGGATTCCTCCCGTATACATTATACCCACTTACTATTGAATTTTTACCTCTTTCTCCTTCCTTTTCCTAAGAAAAAACGCATGCCACGATTATTATTTACGTTTCGGATTCCTCCCGTATACATTATACCCACTTACTCATATACCACAACCTCGTACACACACTACACCCCGTTGTCAAGCAATAGCATTCGATTAATTTTACACGCATATCAGAACCTTTCGTTTTTAATTGACATTGGCTGCTTATTCTACCTATCATTATTTTTTTCCACATCCTTACTCTCAACAATCCCTTCTTATTCTTCTTTCCGCTTCCCTGTATCCCCTTTTTTCATGATTGGCGCTTTGACCGCCTCTGCCACCATTCCCTTTGAACACCCCTTCTCTCCCCTTGATTTGCGAACTTCCTGCCAATTCAGCCCTTCCTTTTCATTCGTCGTCCATAATTGTATTTCTCGAACACCCCCCAAAAAAAAGACAAAAGAAAAAGGAAAAGGAAAAAAAAAGTATTATGTTCTCTGGTCACAAATGCCGAACAGCACAATGGATGAATTTTTTTAAATCACTCATTCCTCTTGCGAATGCAAAAGAGCTATCTACAAGATAGATGTCTTCTTATAATTCTATATATGCATAATGATCCATTATTGACTGTAAACAGACATAAATTATAGAACTAATGATTCATCTCTCGTATTTTATCCTTCCTTTCCTTTAGTTCTTACTAAAAGTCGTTTCAACATACCTTATGTATTTCTGAATACGATCTTAATTCTTCCTTCTTCACCAAACATTACATCCTCAATTGTATCGATGACATTATTACATTAGATTTCAGAGGATACCTGGAATAGCTTACCGCAGACGCAGTTTGCATGGATATCGAGTTCGCATATTGCAGCTGATGTTTGCTTTACATAAATTTCAGTTGCTTAATGTAGCTTTTCCCAGCAGATTTCTCCCCTCACTCTCTATGTTTGAAGTACGTAACTGCTGATCCTCTTGCGTAATCTGAATCCAGAAGATTAAAGTAATGGAGTAAAATGCGCAGGATTTTGGGAGAGACTAGAGAAAAGAATTCTCTTTTTTTGAGTAAAGAAGAAAGTCGCGGCACTATGAAAAACGTCCTCAAAAAAAAAGATGCAGTTTGCTGGCGGTCGCCAGATACGCTCATTATGCACTGAATGCAATATGGAGCTAATGGAGCTCATGAACTTCACGATTCCACTCGAAATATTTCGCGTATATTTATTTCACCGGCCATTATGCTATCCGCAAAAATAGATGGTTTAGATTTATTGAAAAAATGGTCCAAAACGACTGCTCATGTTGAAATGGTGAATGCAATGCGATGAATTGCGATGCGATCACCGGGATTTCACAAAAATAAAGGCAAGAGAATAGGCTTTTTCAAAGAAAAAAAATATTCGGACAGTATACAGCAAAAAGCTGCGGTATCAATGGAAACGGGACAAAAAAACGGCATAAGTTTGGACCATTTTTCACCCACTGTACCGTAAAAAAATGATATGACAACTTGCAGGGTCAAAAAAAGTGTTGTCTGAAGGAACAGATTACGTAATTGTCAAGCATTTACATACATGAATTGCCGGTCGTGTGTAATGGGACAAGAAAAAAAAATGAAGTCTGACTAAAATAAAGTTGAACTGACACAGCTTTGACTGACCCGAATGAACCGACTCCGATAAGGAACTCTACTTGGGGCGAGACCCAGATTCGCACGACTCCAACAAAGAATACTGCTTTGGAATCTGCTTTAATTTCTTTTTCACCTCGCCACATACACTCTTTTTGTTACTTAGCGTATCTGCTCATTACTGGCATGTAAACTAAACATGTTCAAGCATCAGCTTTAGTAAAGCAGATCATTGTGTAGTTTAAGTCTTTTACTGTTAATGGTTTTTCAGACAAATGCTGTCAAGAGCTCTAAAAATAAATAACGACTTCAACTTTTCTCTTGTTTGAAAGATGTTTAGGACACCTTTGGTGATCCGATTTTCTACTTTGGGAAACGCGGGAATGATTAAGGTTCCATTTTCCGAAATCATCTTGACACCTTTACGGATCTGTTCGGTATGAATGCTGTAAAATTTATCATGCAATAGTGTGTTACTGATAAACGAAGCGTCTTTATTGTGCAGCTTTACAGTAAAGTCTGCTAGGATACGGTATATTGCTGAACATTTGTAGCTCTGATGAACTCTGTGGTGAATCAGTGGTCAATTCAAGGTACCAAATCCAATGGACCCCAATTTTTGTGCTTGTGCCAATAATTTCACGCACACTGTAATGCTCGTTGTCATGATACGAACAAGTTCATCAATTTTTTTTCCTCTTTTTACATCAGCGCCAGTATCGGAATAACTACAAGAAAAAACATATAAATATCCTTAAAGGATTTCGTATTCATTCGCTTTTCCTCGTATCCGCCTGATTCTTTCTCCTATCCACTCAATTTTTCTCGTATCCACTCGCTTTAATCCACTCATCATCCGGTTTCGACGCAAGAAACGCCGCCGGAAAAAAGAAACGTCCCATAGTCATCATCTTCAAACTCGTCGTCTGGAAGCCATCTCCCCTAAAATCAGTCACTTCTACAGTGAATTCTTTTATACGGCCCTCTGGCAAGAGGGTACGGCCCCTAGAACCACGACATTTTGTCGGTAAGTTCTATTTTCAGATTCAATCATTTATCTCCCGCAAATTAATTGATACCTTTTAAGTATATTTACCAATGCTAGTTCATAACCGCATCTTTTTCCTTCTAGGCTCCTGTCGTCGCACACACTTTCTAGCTGTATTCTTTTGTTGTCAATATAATAACGAGTCTTCAGGAGGAAAACGGCAGAGAATAGTCTATAGGATTACATAAACACTAGCCATAGAGTCGCTCGTTTGCAAAATCAATTTTATTCACTGATATCTCTCCTAATTGACTTATTGATACGTAATTTACCATTCAGAATTCACAGTTACAAACCGCTGCAATTGCGCTGAAGGATGCATCGGTACAAATTCTGATAGATATGCAAATTCAGTTCTCCAATGGTACGAATTTTGTTGCCAAGATGATTCATATCCACTTCAAGGCCAGCCATTGGATTGTGTATCGTTTCTTGACAACAATAAGCCTGCAGCATTTTTTGGACTCGTTTTCCCACCAGTTGATGTATCGGGGATGATGATTGATCGTGCTTTGACAGCCAAGAGTAACACCAGTTCTCCATAACACCTATTTGCTTCTTATCGAGACTTCGGCTCTGATAACGATCATGCGCATTGACCGCCAAATGACAGCTGTAAAAGGATAATTGTCGATAAAAAGCACCGAGTGAGACTCCATCCAATACACAGCGTGATAAAGTATGACAGAACAGATGAGCAAATTTATCCCTAAGACGGCATATGTCCATCGATGTCGCATATCGGCCAGCCATCATGCGGTAAGGCAGTAACCAGAGCGCCATATTTACGATTTGACGGTACTCCAGACGAAAATCGTGAGTTATACGATGTTCATCGTGTTGTAAAGTAACAGGAAAAGGTATATTTGACGGTGCGGTGGGGCTTTCTCCTGTTCTTTTTCCTTCATCGGTTACAAGGTGCACAAGCGCTTATAGGTCAAATGACATAGAACGGTAAGCTATTTTGTCGAACGGCAAGGATAGAGAGTTGGTACATACCTTTATAATACATTTCATGAAAGCTTGATTCACCGTATTTTTTATGAGACACATGCAGCCATTGGATAACAGACATCAGGTCGATTCTGTCGTGCTGCAATTGCTGTAAAAAGTACTGCCATTCAAATTTGGGACAGGTTTTCAGCAATAAAGGCCTATAAATGTGCAGAGCTTTTGTGGCACAGTCCTAAGTGCCGATAAAATAAATTCATTTTATATACACCATAATTGAGAATCAGGAATCAAAGAAGACATACCAATTTGACGCTTTCCACGATTTTGAAACACTGATGGATCCCCCATGCATAGAGCCCTTGTTCGAAATAAAATTTCATGTAATGGACGCGGTAATTTTCTCCTTTTGGGCAAATCGCATCGAAAAGCTTAAGCAGGATATGAACGCGAAGCCACAAGTCGTGTTCATCGTGGTCCAAGTTTTGGATAATTAAATCGACATCCAAGGTCGCGTAAATGATTTCAGGCGTAATATCGGCAGGCCACAGCCGTCGGAGCTGCTCCATGGACTCAGGAGAAGTAGGAGATGGTGTCCGCAAAAGTGAAACAATAATATCCGCTAATTCGGTGAAGACGACCTTGAGGAAATCATAGCGTTGGTGGTTATCGTAGCTCACGGGACTGCGACGCGTTTCTTCAATAGCATGGTCCAGCCGCTGCCAATAAGCTTGACAATGGGGATCATTTCGTGGACGTAATAATAGATGTTCATCAAGCATCAAGTCATGCCGCAGTCGAATGCTTGCAAATACATGATTGACAGAAAGACCGTCTAAGGTTTGAAGATTGATCGGCGGTAACCAATCTTCTTTTGGCATGGCTAGGGGGGAGTTACCCGGAGAATTTGCCTTGGGTCCACAGAAGGTCTCGCTTGAAGGTTGGCAGGATCGTTCGTGAGCTGAATATTGATTTTCTTGTAAAATTCGCTCTATGTCCATATTCATGGCAGATTTTGTATGGTGTTTACAAAACGAAGCATGAATGTAGCGGCGACAACGACGTTGGCGGTGGCGTTTGGACGTTCCCAAGATAGAGATCATTCGGGATTGATGTCTTCCACGAGATGGCAGGATGGTAGATGAACAAACGGCGCGATGACTGATATCATGTTGTTGCTGAGAACTACCGGCCAAACAAAATCGGTATAGGCAGAAACTACGTCGTCTTTTCCGTTGTCGGATAGCTCGTATGGAGGAAGCGTGAAAGGCAACAACGGTTGTTCTCGTGATAGAATAAGAAGACAAAGACTCGTTGTGGAACGGCCAGGCTCCAGAAGAGTGAGGAATGATATGATTTCCATGGTTATTGTGCCATGGGATCAACAAAATATCAGTGCGACCATTGTTTGAAGTATGAATCGAGACTTCAGCTAACATGGATCGGGAAGCTGTACAAAGGATTTCGGCACCGCCGGTAACGCTTTAGCAAGGAAAAGGATAAGAAGAGTTTTAATTAGTTGTATGATATATGCGGTTTCCAGGCAGGGTTATGAGAAATATTGCGAGTGGGATTTATTGATAACATTATGTAGGCCATTGTTTCGCAAGGGTGCATGGGCCAAGAGAAATGGAGAATCTGCGTCCTTTTTCAACGGTCAATTTTCAAGGAAAATAAAAAAAAAATTCAACCTCCTCAAGAAGCGACGGAGAAAAATAAAATAATATTTTGATAAAGGGCACCATGTCGTATTACAATGGTGTATCATGAAACGAAACTGGACAAACTGTATAAATACATTGTATGGAAGATATTACTGGTCCCCTTCTTTCTCTGACGAAACCAACATAATAAACGCGTTGAAATTCTCATGGTTCGCCCTACTATCCCTACGCGGCTATCCGAGGATTATTCGCTGGCTTGGCTTAACCCCGTTACCCTTGCAATTGCAACCCTGCTTCCAGTGGTCTTAAAGCTCCGTAGTGCAATGAGAGCCATGGTGCAGGCGTCTCAGTCACATATAGAGGGCGTTTGCATGAAAATTGACATGACAGCAAATCATATGATGGCCACTCCGCTTATTCTCAAGCAGCAGACTATCCGCTTCGCTGAAACATCCATGGAAAATACGCGCCGAAATCTCGTACTTGCGGTCGATATCCTTGAATCCAGTGTCGTTTTTCTGGTTGGACTGTACAAATCCACATACCAATGTCTTTTGGAATTCGCTGTAAAAGGCGTGCTTTCTGCGGCTACCCACATCGTGAAACCATTGCAACAAGCGGCCGACGTACTTGCTCATGGTGTGGATAACATCGGAAACCATTTAAGGCAACTTTTGGGCGATTTCTCGGTCCAGGGTACTAACGCGGGCGATATCATTCTATCCAACTGGACGTCTGCCATGGAAAATATTCAGCTGAAGACCAGTAACTGGACAACCACCGACCCCTTGAATCATATCATGGACATCCCCTTTCGGTCTCTCAAAGATGGTATCAACGAAGTATCCCAGAAGTGGGTTCCGCCACCGTACCCTTCCGCTCCAGTACCTCACATGTCCAAGTATTGCGATGCCACTGCCATGATCCGAATACTAGACGACGCTCAGAAACACTTGGATACTTACTTTTATGTCGCGATCGGAATTCTGATGGGATTGCTTCTATTTGGAACTATGCTCAACTTAATGTTGATTCGATCAAGGCATCGCTTTATCAGTCTTGTACGTCGACAGATGATGAATAATGCTATCTATCCATCAGGTCACACGGAGCGCCAATGGCTTGTTTATGACCATGCTTGTCGAAAGCCCTTTGTGAGCAGTTTTCTTTGTTGGAATCGTCCGCAGCCGGAAAGTGCCTGGCCATGGTTCATTGATTTTATGACGCACCCAATTTCCTTATACTGTCTGGCTCTTGGTATATGTGGTGGCCTTGTGATAGCCAGCTTATATTTAGGGGTCAGCCGATTTCTGGAAGGATGGCAACCAACTTTCAGCGACCGATTTCAAGCATGGGTTAATACTACCTCGGAGGAAGTGCGGCATAAACTGGAGAATCAAATGAGCGGTCAAACGGAGCAAATCAATAACTGGATCCAAACGACCGAGTTCACGCTAAATAACCATACGTTTGGCACCATGCGAGATTCGGCCCTTGTGATCAATCAAACATTGACCGAAGTCGTGCAGCACATCTCCGGTTTCCTTGAAAATACCCTCGGTAATACTATTTTGAAGAAGCCTGCAAGAGACGTTTTGGATTGCCTGCTTTTGGTTAAAATTGAAAATCTCCAAAGTGGAATTGAATGGGTGGTTAGTTAACCATGCTAACAAAAAAAAATCCACAGACGCACATTGTTTAATGATATTATTGCAGGTCACTCATGGGTATATCAATTTGCCGCGAGTCGCCTCTGCAGACATGGTCAGCTTGCTTCCCACCACAGAAAATTCTTGGATTACCGGCAGCCTTGCCGACGTCCCGATGACCATTGACTTGGAAACGACTTTGGCCCGTAAATTTTCATCGCACCTGCTTGATTATTGGATTTTGCTTGGCTTATGGTGTGGCAGCTTACTCATGGCCATATTCTGGCTGCTGCGCTTTCGTTTTCTTTACCGACCGGAAAAAGTGTCCAACATTATTCCCAAACAATAAATGGATGAATCAACTTTAACACACAGTTGCCCATACATTTTTGGTTTATTTCAGTTTCTGTTCCCGCAAAAATAGCCATTCCAATTCCAGGACTTCTCGCCATTGATCGCCTTGTTTTCCAAAGCAGCATTGAATGCTTTCTTTGGATAAAAGAATCCATCGACGAACGCCACGTTCATATACTTTTTCCAAACCACAACCGTCTTCAAGTAGTTCCAGCTGAATAATCGAATTCCAGCAAGCTTTGGCGAGTAACAAAAGATGTTGTGCCAGAATAGGATGATACGGTGGGTACAGCAGACAGTATTGAACGAGAATATACATGCCCAATTTCACAGCGTTTTGCCAGTGACTGTCAGCCATTTCATCATAGAATAATCGAGTTGCTGTTGTAAGTGTGGTTAAGCGGAAAGGCACCATGCCACCAAGTGGGTATTGACGAATATTTTGAATACACTCTCGAAGAATATCGTCGTATGTATCGCACACAGCTGGTAATGCCGCTTCCGGTCGTGGATCGTCGAAAGTGACAAGATGTTCAATTCGTTTGCCCGGTGAGGCCGGCTGGAAGATCGAAGCATTATTGGTAGTCCATAGATACGGAGCAAAATACTGAATAAGGTAATGCGTATATGTGGAGACGGTCAGAGGTTGATGGATATTTGGCTTCCCGTCGTGTTTACGATCAAATTGTTGACACATTTGTAATAAATCCCAATCTTCGATATCTTGTAATAAGCGCGGGCCAAGCCCACTGGATGGATCACACAGACTTTGAGCTCGATCCCAGTCCGATTCTTCTTCACCCAGCAATGTATCAATTTGCCCATAAATGGTGGTATCGTCGCATCGTAGACATGAGCATTGGAACATGTACTTTTCTTGAAGTGCCTTTTGACGATATATTCGCGAATGAGCAGCATCAACGTAAGCAATTGTCACTTCCTGTCCCGCTGGAATATCCTCAATTGCTCTGATAATCATCAACGCACCATCGAACATGACGACGGCGTTGGGTCGACAGGAATGATTCAATAAAGAGCCGATAGGATATGTTCCCTCGCCAACGATGGATAACTGGTCATCGTGAATCCCGAAATTATTGCATTTAAATCGACATAGAAAGCGTACCAGCTCGGGGACGGTCATCCCAGTATCGGATATGTACGGTTGACTCAAGGCTTTCTTGGCAATGATAGTGTATTGCTCCAAAAGGTGCTTTGGCTGTCGTTCGTAATGATCCATCAAGCTAGAAAACGCTTCCATGGTGACGTCCACGGTTTCCTCCAGTGGCATATTATTTGGTGTGATACAAGAGTCATCAGTGGAGGTAGCCGTTTTCATGGCCGTTTTTCGTTTTTTATCACGCCATACATTGAGCGTCACACGTTCAAGCATTTCTTGATCCAGATGTTGTTCTGTTTCTTCAGCCAGGGATTTGGAATGGGCCGATGGTTGGCACACAAATTGATGGTAGCTTAGCCAAGCATTTTTAAAGCATCCGACATCGCAAAAGAAGGCGCTTTTGCACCGTGAGCATCGTTGTAGCGGTGAAGTGTTTGATTGAGTAGGTACCGGCACCCGGCAGCAGTAGTTACAAACTTCGGTCGGTTTAAGAATAACGGTTCCCAGGGGCTGGGAGGTGGTGAGTACTGAGCCTCTATTTATGGACTTCTTGGTAATCACACTCCTTCCTTTGATAGGATCAGTATTTTGCACCAGTTCCAGCTGGTAACTGTCGAGATAACGATCTAAGGCAGACACCATGAATTAAAGAAACACGGAGCAACTTCTGTGGAAAGCCTCTCCACCACAGTTGTCTCTTGTCGATGGTATTTTTGGGACTCCGGTCTGCTGTATTTCACCACAGTCATCGAGAATTGTATCAAATAGGCTACACGGACATCGGCCTATGCGAGATCGAAATTTTTATTTTATTTTATCGATCCATCATTGAGTGAAGAAGGGCAACTTGATTGGATTATGTGGCCGCAATAAGATGCTTGCGTGTATATATTAAGCGGTTCAGACATCACTGTTCACCACCAACATGAGGGTCTTCTACAGCAACAGGTCTTCGTCATGGGTCATGATGTACAAGTATACTGTCGTGCAGTTTGTATCGTAGCTATTGTACACCCAAAAGATTACTTACTAGAGCTAAGAGACATTGGGAGTTTGATCGAGAGATAAAAAAAGTGATGACCGTTGTGCAAAAGTCTATCACGTAAAGTTTGAGTTATTAATGCTCATCGCGCGGGTGACCATACTGGTAAATAAAATGCTTGAAACTGTAACTTCAAAGAATGATAGCAGTAATAACCAACGATCTCTTGTCACATCATTTTTAAGCCTTTCGGTGACAAATTCTTACCCTTGAAACCGAGCGATTTCTGTATGAAAAAAAGAGAATCTAAGAGTGAGCGGGTGTTGTGCCGGTCTGAATAACGATATAATAATTCAATAAGAGAAAATGTCAGTTACTGTACGTAGAGAACTGCGGGAAAGAAAAGTGGATCATGGAGACTGATGCAGTACTATGCAAAAGAAAACAGGGAATGAGATTTGCTGCACTTTCTATGAAAGAAAAATACAGTAAAAAACAAGTTCCCTGAAAGCATTGTATATTGCTTTCTAAGGTAAGCGTAAAATCTATCGTGCTTCCGACCTCGCTGTGTTGCCATGACATCGAAAATTGGTCCGCATTTTTGTTCTTTTGTCTTGTTGCATTGTGAGGTAAGTGATGTTGGCTGCTATAGTTTCATATTGACGGGTTCATTCAGCGGTATACCGATCCTGCGGTTATTCATACGGCTTCTTGGCCTGCAAACCCGGGATTGATTTTCCCCTCGCTTTGTCAGGTGGATCAGGCGCATGCGATTGTTGGTCAACTTGGGCAAAACAATGCCCTTGGCATGCGGTTATCGCTTTTGCAACATCAATTTTCGCTGGGATAAAGGGCATAGGACGAAAGCATAATTTGATTGATCAAGGAAGCCGCACCCGGGGGCACCTCTTCGTCATTTATGTCCCTCGGTACATTAAATAGCGTAATATCGGCAATACAACTTCTAGTCGCCACTGATCACGAACCTTTTGATGATTGCAAAAAAGAGAATGCAAAACTCTAGGTGTCCGACTCATTTAGTTTGTTAGATGTTGATTTTTATTCGCCTCCTCACTATCTTCAATACCACCGCATCGTCCAAATCTTCCTTAACCACCGGATAAAGATCACCATCCGTTTCCCTACTATAGTTATTATCCAGAGCAGCATTTGTATGGGTTATGTCTCATCTGCTTTAATGAGATACACCTAATGAGCGATGTCGACAAGGCCTTATGGCATTTTGCTAAATTGCTTGTGGTCATTATTCAAAAACCCGTTCGCAGCAAGTTCTTCGTCATGGAAAATTTTCAAATCCTGCTGATATCTCGATTTCCCTTCCACCCTAAATTATGGAAAACGTATAAAAGGAGAAGACAATAGTACCCATTTGATACGTGTTAAATAAAGTTTATGAATTCTTACGTACCTTGCCTGTATACACTCTGTTCTTGGATATATGATCCACTAGAAGGTTAAGCCATTGTCTCGAGCGTATGATCTAATCGCTACACTAGAACGTTATTATTTTGTTGCTATTTAGTCTGGATAGCAGAGGACAAAAGGGGGGACATTAGGTGCTTTTCGCAAGTCAAGAACAATAAGGAGACGAGCATGGGTATAAAACAATAACAAATCGATCAATGCCATAAGATCGCACACAAGAATGATAATAAGCACGGGAACAAAGCACAACACAAGTCAATCAAGAGGCCGGATACTAGTGGAATGATAAAGTGCAAATCCCAGGTGACATTTGTTAGATAAGTTATAGGTCAAGATTTACAGTAGAGAGGATGAGACGAAAAGAGACAGTTGTAACAGATTGCCAAATTTTGTAAACTTTGGTAGACGATCCAGACTCCGCATTACAGAGTAACTCGTCAAAAAGCGGGTTTGCTCAATGCACATAGAGATTGCACATAATAGGACTGCTAAATCGAATTTTAGTGACATCCTTTAAATTTCATTTTTTTTGGTGACGTAGCTTATGTGCATTTGTGATTTTTGTGCACATGAATGAGACCCGACAGTGACAGTATTGCTTTTGAAATATTTTATTCTCAAAAACAGCTATGATATATGATGTCAGTCGAGAGGTTATAGAGCAATTTTAGTGGGCAATAGTTACAAATTATATGAAAAGAAGCTTATGATCGGTTGGATCATAGAAGCTTTTACATATGTCTTCATGAGCGATGAATAGTGGCGAGGAGCTTGGTTCTGTGTCTTGGTTTTATAGTCACCAAATAAAAATGACTTGACGTGAGTTGAAGGATAATTGGATGAATGGATGAAGGAAGAGAGAATATAGTACAAACAAGATGCTTTGCTGCTCACTATAAGTGGCAATAGCAATGTTGTAAGTGTTGCATGCAATTAAAGCACAGTAAGGAATTATAAACCATAAACCTTGAAGGCGTTGAGGTGCATTGGTGCTGTTCAATGTTGTAAAAAGTCTTTGGACAGCGTCCTTGCCGAGAATACTGCGATAGATCCAATTTATCCTTCAGATGGCGCAGCATATCTGATTTGACCAGCTGCCAACACTGTTCATTGCCTTTAACGCTATGTGCGATCGCCTGGATTCCACAGTTTCATCTGTTCAGGACTAAACACCCGATAGGTTGACTTGCGACTGATGGATGAATGCACTACGTTCAAGGTGACTACCGGGGTATGTACCTTGCTGATAAGTTCTCCTTGAGGTTGCCTGCTTTTTTTTTGTTTAATCTATTACAACAAGATGCAGTACAATAATGTCCCAAGCCCCTTGCCATCCATTAACTTATCGATGACTTTCGTTTTTGAGTGGAAAATTAGCTTTCCAAGTCTATTTTTTTTGTCGCGATGAATGCGATCGAGTGATTGGGTTACTGTAATTTGTGTGTTTGACTAACGTCCTCCAATGCGTTGGCCATTCGCCTGATGTTGTAGGCCTTTCGGGTAATCTCTCGTCAATATGAAGCAAGCAAATCATTAATGTTTCCATTTTCTGTATCGATTGCCGTCTCATCGAAGGGTGGGATGATATTGAGGGCGATCGCACCATTAGGATAGTGTGTCGGCCAGACTGACCACAGTAAACTTTGTTGGAGCATTGACAATCTTCACGAAATTTCGACTCGTGCCTTTGCGGAATTTCGTCTTTGATCATGCTGATCGCAAACGGAGAAACGTTGTACTGAAATTGAGAAATAATGATTTTGGGTTGCTCGTTGATATACGGATGGACACCAAATGTCTCTTTATCAAGCTATTGTTTCACTAAAGTTTCCTATACTACACAAATGTTAGTAATGCAGGTTACGAGCTGTTTCATCCTGAGTATCGTATGTATCCAAGTTCCTTTATAATATATATTTAATCATGAACGACTTTGAAGGTTTAATGTATATAGATGGAAAACATGAGTTGTTGTAATGTATCACAAATAGTATAGGGTAAATGTTGCCGGTCTATCGTAAAGGCCTCTCTGTTTCCACTGCATAAAGCAATTAAAAAAAGATGAAAGGTTTCATAAAAAAAAAGAATAGTGTGACGGGAGTAAGAAATAAAACGGAATTGTTGCCGGTCTACCCGAGGGCCTGACTATTTCCACCGAATAAAGCAAGTTACAAACAAAAGCTACGCACTTATGCTCGACGGCGGGCTTCTGGTCTGGAGTCGAGCTGGCAGCCAGCTGCCACGTAGGCCTCTAATATACGGCGCATGTTGCGGCCAGCATTGACATTACGGTTCCAAAGCTATAGAAAAAAAAGTTTTAATTTGAAACTGTGTGAATGAGGCAGGTTATAATGTTCACTTACAAGTGTTCTCGGTTCGTCTTGCCCTGACTCGCATTAAGGGCATTGCCCAATGGGATACACATTGGTGCGATAACCGTTCGCCGCTTTAAAAATACCACTTCATCAGTAAGAGTAAAAGCCTGATGTGATAAAGTGAAAGTATTCACGAACTTGTCGGCGATCTGGGACACGCGGAGGTATGATGAGGGACTTGTCCCTCGTCATTTAAGCATCAGCGTCGACGTCGGCGATCCCCATGGAATCGTATCCTCATCGTCCTAAAAGAGGAAATACTACATCAATAACAGAAGGGTCTTATTTTGCTTCCAGTACGAACCTATGGTGGCAGCGGGCCACATTTGGATCCCGGAATTCCGTCGTGGTCGAGTCGCAGTTGCTGCAAATCTTGCTGGTTTTGTTCTCGTTCACGCACAATACGAGCGCCTTTTTGGCGAGTTCCTGTCTGACCTGCTGCCAAAATAAAAGTATGAGTATGTTATGTCAGAAGCCCATTAGCAAGAAGAAAAAATACCTTCACAGGAACTGGAGCCAAACTTTTCACCGAAGGCTTTAGATCAGGGTCACCAAAGGCAATGATGACAGGGTGGTGGTCAGGTTCTAGTCCCGGTTGCCTCCGGATTGCCCTCGGCTCTCGTTTTCCTTTTGACTTGTCGGATTTATGGACCCATTGCATCGGCTACCACAGAAGTGTCAACAAAACCAGCTATGACATTTGGATGCATCGACTCACCATATCCATCGTAAGAAAGTTCCCTGTGAGCCTTTCCGTAATGGTTCGCTTTCGGGCTCTTTTCAAAACAGCTCGAAGCTCACAATGCTTGTAATGTGCGTTGAAGTTGAAAAGCTTATAAAAAACATGGTTTCGTTATTTAAGACCATTATTTTGTTTGGTTGTATCCTATCTTTACCTCGTACGCACACGGCTCAATGCGTGTATATACGCCTGGATCGGCACCATATTCTCACCCGTCTGTCGAAGGAGCCCCGAGAACTGACCTCCGAACGACTGAATCAATCTCGAGTCACTGGTATTGATCCAGGTAATGATTTCGTCGGAAATTCTAGCAGGAAAAGTACAACTTACAATATTATCCAGGTATCCGATCGATGGTTAGGGCGGTCGATACCAATGACGACCTCAACACAAGGGAGCTCCGACAGCAGCATACCTTTTCCGTAAACAATGGATATTACAAGTAACTTTACTTTTGCGGACGGATACGTTTCTGTAGGCCTCTATGAACAGTATCACTTGATAGGACATCCTCCGTGTTCCGCTAAGCTGCACAAATGGAGAAGAAGAAGAGAGAAGTGTCGCAGCTTCAGCCTACATACGATGAATTGGCCGCCTCCCCCCCCCCTTCCGTCATGTCGGTGTAGGGTTTCGATAGATCAACCTCTCGAGGAGGAATTGAAACTCCTTTCAATGGGTCTAGGAGTAAAAGCTTGTAAGCTTGGTTATGCTAGGAATTTCAGGACGGTGTTACTTACCACGGCCACGGACAACAAAGCGCATCGAAACCATAACCCCGTCGGATTGAAAGCTAGAGACAAATTGGATCGGTGGTTGTTTTTGATTATTGGCAAGTTCTACCGACTGATAGGTTAGATCAAGTCAACGAAGACACTAATATAGTATACCTTGGTATCTGCGCCGTTTTCTCTGAATGATATCAATATTGAAGAGTTCCTCCCAAAGAGCTTCTCTCGTGGCACCATCTGGAAGACATTGCTTCGAAATTCGTCTACAGTCAGGAAGTCCCTCGTTCCCTCCTGCCAAGTTTGTATGAACATGATCGTTCTTAAACTCGAGATGATAACTCACCAGTAATATCTCTGGGACAGATTTATTGGTATCATGGGCTTCTCGGAGGATCCAATAAAGAACGGTGGTGCGACTGGCATATGACCTATCGAATCAAAGTACAGCATTAGTTTCGTTCATACGAAATAGCTTATTCGTATAATTACCGATTTGATGAGATGCGATGAGAAGTAGACACCATAGCCTTCCACCAAGTGCATTTGCAACACCGTGCAGCCAGGCCGAAAATCGCAAGTATGGCCCAGGCTCGAATGGTGAATCTTCTTCTGTATTGACGTTGTCCTGAGTACCAAACTGCAGACAGTATGCATCAAAGTGCGTTCTAACGTCTCTGTCAGAAACTGCATATTTATGGCGGCATATATTCTCATACCTGCACATGAGCTGAACTTCGGGCGTTGTGACCACTCGGAAGTTGGAGAAGTCGACGGTGTCAAGATGTTGCCGTTAGTGAATCTTCTTCACCATGGAGCTTGCTAAAATTTTCGAAATGTAAATCAGATAAATGATCCATTATACCATGTATTGAAAACATACCAACCTTCTTCGGTCCTGCTGGAAGGTTATGACCGGCATTGCGTAGTCCAAGGAAAAAAGCCGACCATACAATGTTACCCCGTAAGTTTCGGGATAAATGTTCGACAGCATCTTGAAAATACAATCGTGGATATTGCTGGTTCTCTGATTTGACGTGAAAATCGATTCACTTACTATTAGCAGCTGTCTGGCAAAAGGAATAAGCAACATGGATGAATGCAGACGTCAACACAGGGAACTGATACAAATCTGATACATATATGATACAGCATGGTTAGTAAAAGAATACATATATAACAGCGATAAAACAAAATCCATTACTGAGTTTGACTAGAATTAGGATCGATCGTTGCTGGTCTAAAGTGGTTGGCAAACGTCGCATTTAACTGGTGGTACCAGCCCAGATTGGCTACATTGATAGGATAGAGTTATCGTTGAGTAACCGTTCAGGTATTCAATTGTATAGTTCAGTGTACTCACAGAGCGACTTCGTACTCCGTGGACATTGGTCATCACCATCTTCAACGCCCGGGACCAAAAGACTAGATCATGTATCGGAGGACATTCTGCAAATTGACCTTCCACCCGTCGATGGCAATGTCGATTAGCCAGGTTTAATGCATCCTGACGAGCAACGGCAAAGGTTTCGGCCATGGTACGAATTCGATCCTTCAGGTGCCGGAACTCAGGGCGCAGCAGAGTGGCCAAATTGCATTCACGAACGAAGTGGTACATTCTACCCTCGCCCTCTTAAGATAGCCGACGGACATGACGTGCTCTTCTTCGAACAGGTTCATCTGGTGGAGGGGAAGTGGCTACTCGACGCATATTCAGTTATAGGTGTTAAAGTACTTTGAAATATCAATGATTAAAAACGCAATAAGATCAACGGTAGGAAATCAGGAAAGTATTTATAATAAGCAAAAGGTGTTCCATTGTGAACATGGTTTTCGTACCATGGAGCTCTGAAGGAAGTTGTTCCTGGTATGGAGATTTTACTCGTCATACCATTATTGTATCGTTATCCAAGCATCAGAAATATTTCCCTGATTTGAAACAGCGAAATGACATCGAGAACCCAAAAGTAGGGGAAAGTGTCAATGGGACTCTATACTTTTAGAACGGAAAATCGAAGATAGAAACAATGATGATGTTTACATCTGCTCTAGTTTTTATACAATGATAACCTAGTTTGTATGAGATCGTCGGATACGACATAATCCTGATTGGTCCCGCTCCGACTTCCGATGTGGCATCCTCTCTGCGCCCACGCTTCAATTTCTCTTTTCGAGTCTAAAAAAACTCTGTCTTATTTGCATTTTTCATCTCAAAACCACATGCTGAAAGCTGCTCAGAACTATTTCATTATATTTTTTTGGTGACTGCGGTCAAGGTGTCCGAAACTCATTGTTATTTTGAACCCCAAGTCACTACTCTTTTTTGTGGCGACCCGACTCAAGAAGCCAGCAGCTGACCAAAACCATTCCATCCTTTCCTTTTCTTTAGTGAATGCGATCAAGATGTCAAAAACAACACATTGATATCTTGATCCCCAAGTCACTATCCATTTTAGAAAGCTGATTGAAACCAGTCCATTATATTTTGGGTTTTACGGTGACCACAATAAAGAAACCAGAAGCTGGTCAAAACCAATTCATTTTTTTTTTTGATGAATGCTGTCACGATGTCCCGAACCGGTAAGCGGAACTACAAGCATGCGTTATGATTCATGCAGCTACTGCATGTTCCAATGGAGACATTGTTATAAAACTATTTTTGTGACAAAGAATACGGTGAGATCGAAAATTTTCACATTTGTTGACCTATTGATTTTGCCACCGTTCGATGTGTCTCTTGTTTGTATAAATACACGTACAATTTGTCCCTCATCTTCCTTTTTTCTCTCTTTCTCAACCTTTTTATCCTTCTCCTCACAAACACTAAAGAATATTCGCACGAAGACCACACGGTATATCCAGGCTGCAACGTATATCCAGACCAAAGCGCAACTTCTTTTTGGTGTCTCTGGGAACGCTTTGAAAGTGGCGCAGATTAGTAACACTGATTAGGCCACAAACACTGTACAGAGCCGGGTATAAAGGAAAAAAGCCTTTGTGTTTGGTAAGGTCTGTATAATTGCAGGTATAAAGAAGATAACTCACATTAGTTTGCTAGGATTTATTCACTGTCACCAAAAGGAGTAGCGGATTAGATTGTGCCCCCAGAGCTAGCACGAACTCCTCCCCCAAAAAAAACAGCATGCATTTTTAGGTAATATAAAGTTGCCATTATGATGTATCAATACCAAATTTAACTTTTTGTTGATGGCAATGTAGCTGCTGCTAGATAGTAAGGAACTATCAACGAGCCTCTTGAAAGAGCTTGGCCTTGAGTGGTAAGTTCGAAAATTTTTCTAAAGAAATGTTTTATGACGTAAGCAAAGATGTTTAATTTCTTTTTTTTTGGTGCAAACTCTATGTGCATTTAGCAAATTCCCAAAAAAGCAACATTGATAGTGACAGAATACGCTTAAAGTATATTGCGTGAAATAAAATCCACCTCTAGTATTCCTGTTTATGTTTTTTTTATGAGTTCGATGGTTTTAGTCGTAACAAAAAAAGGCGACTTTTTATAGGCACACAACAAAGAGTTTATTGAGATGCCGATTATCATGCTCGTCAGGTACCAAAGTACAAACGAACATCTGATATGGAAATCCGGTCAAATCAAATTAGTTCCGCTTATTCTAGAATGTATGACACAACAACAATAGCATATTTACTAGAAAGAAGTCGTAACGACATATTGCTCTAACCGTCATGATTATAAACACTTATGTTTAAGCTTTTTTAACTTCTTCAGTGAAAAGCGTTACACACACAGACAGACACAGGCAATTCCTGAGGCGTTTCCAACTCCGTGTAGAACGCCTGAAAAAGAAACCAGGGAAAACAGCTCATCCCTTTTACTTCCCTTTTTATTTGCTTTTTTTTTCTTTTTTTTTTCGCTTTTCCCTTTATTCCCTTTGCTTGTTACTACTTTTTCCTTTCTACTTTGCAGTATCAAAAGCAGTGACATTGATGAAGAAATTGATATTTTCCCTTTTCTTTCTTCTCGACTGTTTTTTTGGGAACGCAATCGCATCAGCAACATCTAGATTAACAAAACGACAAGGTACGCCTGACGATTTTGAATGCGTTCATCTCTCCATGGATTGACGCATGCAACACGGCAAGCAATGGTTATTCATGAACCAGCGCCCATCTCCTGAAAAATAGCTTGAACCGTATGGTGATACTTTCGTGACAACTGTTGTAATAATATTATTTTTTTCCCTTCATTTCAATAGCTGTAGCCTCCAATGCATGTGCAGTAAGAGATAATACCTGGGGTATCTGCTCACCTGCAACGGGCGATGTATGGTACAACGGTAGTTACCATGAATTTACTTGGAAATACGAGTACGTATATCCGATCATATTACAGCTTCACGGATAATGCATAACTTATCAACTAATTTTTTTTTCGCAAACAAAAAAAAATCGTTATTGGACAATCTCAGCAATTCAGTATTCACGAATTATGTGAGTAGCATTTTTTTTTACTGTTACTGTCGAAACTATTCATGATATTTATTGATCTACTTTTTTAGGAAACGCTTGTGCTTTACTTACTACACCTCGAAGATGACGAATATAAGCCGATCAAAGTATGGTCCGATTTACAGCGGACTCGAGGTGTTCTTGTACAACAAGTGGACGATTCCTGGTTTCCAGAGCCTCAATTGCCTGATAATTCCCCTAACAAATCGTGGACCATGTATGCGTATATGCTCGGCCCCGATGTTGATCTGCAGGAGGAACTTGCAAAAATACCAAGTAAAGCAAGTTTCTATCCGGTGCCGACCAATTTTACTTTAATTCGTAAGTCTTTTGTTTTCTTTCTTTCTGGTGCTATGTGATATATCTTGGTTTTCTTTTTTTTTATTACTACCGAGATATCAATTGTGTTCTGGTACCCGTCATTGTCTTTTCTTTTGTGAGAGAGAGAATAGTGGGCACATGAATTTGTTGACAGTTTGGCGGGGATTCGGGTATTGACCTAGCGTCACGTCGCACGATCACTGCAAACTGCAAACAAAAAGAAAAAAGAAAGCATGGCGCGAATTGGTGCTTTCCCTTGACGGGGTGGAAAGGGTTGCCTTTTTTTGGATGTGTGAAAATGGCGAGCAATGATAGGTGTATCCCAATCGGACCTAACATGTTTATTTTTACCTTTCATTATGCTTAGAAAACGCGCGTAACACAACCCAACCATCAGCAACACCGTCGACGGTATCCACTCAACAGACGAATAACGACAATTCGGATAACAAAACATCCAATTCAGGCTTACAGACTTGGGTGATTGTCGTGATTGTCATTGCGTGCGTGCTTGTAGTTGGAACAGCTATTGCTATTTTCTGGGCCGTGAGAAAAGTACGGAAAAATAAAGCAGGGGCAAGCAACGGCGGAGGCGGGGACGAAAAGATCGCAATATACCAATCCGCTGCCAAAAATCCCGGATCGAACGACGAGACGTCAAAACAAGCTCATGACGCCGTATCATCAGAACAGCATCGTGATATGGCCCACCATTTGGCGACGTTTAATGATAATCGCGATATCTCCTCGATTCATTCTTCGACACCGATGATCCTCCATGGTTCGGCTTCTATGCGTAGTTCGCCTGTGATGCAATCCCATTCAATATCACAGAGTTTGTATGACCGCGACCCTGAAAAATCCGCAGTGGCGCATCTAATGCAGCATCCAGAAGCACGTCAATCCAGCAGTATTCTCAGCTCAACCGATGCACTCATGATTGCCGACACATTTAGACAGTTTATGCGAAAACCGGAATGGACAGATCATGATGAAGAGGAGGAAGAAGAAAGTGTTGAACTCAAAGGAAAAACTACAAAGACATCAAGTTGATCTTGCCGTCAAGGATCTTGATTCCCAAGAATATTGATGGTTTTTCTGTTGCCGCCCATTGCTGCTGCTGCTGCTGCTGCTGCTGCTGCTATTTGCCCTTGTTCTGTCTATCTATTTCCTCGTTTTTACATGTTAGTGCATCCTATTCTTTTTACCCAAGCTGGACCATAGATTACGCCCTGAAACGAAAAACCGACTGTAATACCGTTATGCCTCCATAATTCCCAAATCCACACTGGTTTCCGATCATCCGTTATTTCGAATTCAAAATGATCATTCATTATTTACATTATCATATCCTCTATTCTGCGAATAAAACGAGCCATCTTACTACTTGCCAGGAGCCAACTCCATGTTCGTATTACGTTTACCGACAGACGGATCACCCATTTGTCTGCTGTCGTGGTGAAACATGGTTCAAGGTCACGGGAGATTAGCTTTTTATACCAAATCGAAACACACACAGAATTACATTGATAAACTGAACATTAATGAGAATTTTCTATGTAGGCATACATGAATAAAATGTTGGAAGAAAAATCCAAAAGACAAAGGAGTTTCATCACGTATTAAGTTGACAAGAAACGAAATCAAAAAGTTGTATACTTTACAAAACAGCCACTTAAAGTGCCCATAACTTAATCGCATGGTCCCTGCTGCCGCTGGCTAACACGTTATTGCGGAATCGGATCGAATTCACTGGTTCGGAATGACCCACAAGGCTGGTATGTTGGAAGGATGTACGGTTATAAATCTATTCACAGTCATCAGAACAAATTCGTTCGCGCATGATCTGGCAATCCATGAGCCTACATACATCAATCTGTGCGGAATTTGAACCGCTGATGATTTTGCCTGCATCAAACTGAAGACTGGTCACTGGTCCTTCATAGGTTAGTGTGTCAAACACGGAACCGGTTCGCAAATCCCAAATCTATGTTCATGTAGGCAATGAGGTATAATTCTTTCAGTGTACAGTTACAGTGGCTTTCTTTGCACTTACTCGAATTGTTTTATCAGCGCTTCCGCTGACAAGATGAACTTCATCAAATTGTAGACAAGTGACAGCAGCTATTCCATGATTTCATTAGCTTTTTTTCCACTTGATAACATGCCATTTTGCTGGCACTTACCGTTATGTCCAGGTAATGTACGGTGCGCTTGACCCGTTCGTACTATATCACAAGACCGTTACACATTGAATCTGTTGGATCGAGAATACATTGCTCGCGTTTTTCGACTTTTTTAAACTTACAATCCCACATTCGAATTTTGCCGTCCACTGTACCGTTAGCCAAAGCAAAATTCCAAAACTGTAACGCTCCGATGTAATCACTACTTCGTTCAAAGTTTGTGTAGCGAAGACTATCCAAGGTCCAATTTTCCAGTGCTGCTAACGTATCCCAACCTGAGGAAAACGAAGTGTTTCCACCCTTACTCGCCCATTGAACATCCAAGGTGAGGATACACTGCTGCGTTTCTATGTCCCATTGTTTCATGGTTCGATCATTGGATCCCGACACCTGAAAATTTTGATTAACCATCAGCAACGGGTACATGAAATCACAAAGCAGAACTTCGGTACACATACAATCGTCTGATGATCGGTATATAACGCAGTAATTTCTCCTGTGTGTCCCTGGAAAACGCCCAATCCACCATCGTTGAATGATGGTACAAGATCTTCCGCGGCCGTGACAGTAGATAGAGTCGGTGAGCTCGGCGCGCTGGAGAAATTGGAAAATGAATCCATGGATGTTGGAGAACGAATAGGAGGAATGGCAGTTAGATCCCAATGGCGGATGGTACCGTCGTCGGAACCTGTGAACAGACGCGCATTGTCCAGTTGAAGACATCGTACCGTGCTTGAATGACCTTCCAGCATTCCTATACACTGATTCAGTTGTAGATCCCATGCACGCACTGTACCATCCAAGGAAGACGATACAAGGATGCCTTTGGGGTGGTTGAAATCCAAGCACAAGATCGCATCTTCGTGTCCGCTCAAAGTCTAATTTTTCCATCCATTTTAGGATCAACGCATGGATCTCCATAGCAGCTGTGTGTTTTCTCGCAGGGACAAGGTCTTACCTTCATCACGGTGCCAAATTCCAGTTCTTCATCCTCGTCCTCGTCTTCTTTCTCTTGTCGTTGTTTGCGTCGCAAGCTTGCATTGTCCTTGTCATCCCATCCCCCTTCAGCCTCCAGCAGTGTTTCGCTGAGATCATCAACTATAAGTCATGTCACACAGCATTAATATCATAGCAAAATTATCACGATACCAGCACATACTTGCAATTTGAAGTTGGCGTTCTTTGGCTTCTAATTTTGCCCATTTGGCTTCCAGCGCTTTTCGTTTATTCATAAGCTCATCCATTTGAAGATTGATTTGACCAATTTCGTTCATGGTAGACGACTATTGGGGGAGAATGCTTCAAGGTTTAAAAGAACGCCTTTGAATATGTCACGAAGCCCACTTACCATTTGCATTTCGATCTTGTCACATTCTCGTTTTTTCCTTTCTCGTTCGGCAATAATTTGAGTTAGCGATTTCGACGACGGTCCTACAGCACGCAAGAACATGACATTGTCAGTAAAGGGGTTGCATACGAGTTAAGCAGCACAAAAAAGTGTTGTTGTATAGTACGCACTCATCAATGGACTTGGAGAGCCACTTTGCGGTTTCTTCCGTCGATGACGAGATCGCTTTGGTGAACCTACTGCGTTTGTTGCTAAGGATGGATAAGCGGCGGCGAATCCTTGGAATAGCGAGAGAGGTGCATTCGATTCGGGTATATCGGCTTTGAGTAAATCGGCACTGGAAGGCCATGCGTATTGACGGCCATGAAGTACGAGATCTGTATTCGTTGAGGAAGTGTTGGGTGAAGAGGAGGGAGAAGAAGAACGCTGACGTTGCTGCTGTTGCATGAGTTGTAATGCTCTAGCCATGGATTCGCTGCGGTAGACCGGATGCGCTGCAAGCGGACTGAACATGACCGTGGTAAGAGATTCGAGTTGAGACAATGGTATCGACAGGTTGGGAAGGTTGGGAGCAATCCAGTCTCGAGCGGAAGAAGCGATACCAGCTGCTTTCCCACGTGCAGTAGAAAGCATGTTAAGGGAAGAACTGGTTAAATCGCCTGCCATGGCATTGAGAGTACTTGCAGAAGAAGAAGAAGAAGAAGAAGAAGTGGAGGCCAGCGTTCCTTGTTCTTGCCTTTTACGATTCAATGGGGTTTTGTTGTCTTCCTTTGGCATGACGGAGAGATGAAAATGAAGGCTAGGAATCAGCAACAAGCGGGGTTCAAGTGGCGGAAGGGACCGTTCAAATAAATAGGAAATAAAAGCCAAGGATCCACTTTTGAGAGCGTGCCGAGAACGAATAACGAACGGGCAAAATCAGGGAAGGCAAAGTGTGGGGCGAAACAAAATGATGAAAATTTCAACAAGCCCCTCTTGCACTCTCAAGTGAAATGAATCTCAGATGATGAATTCGAAAATTCCGAATGTATTAAAACAACCCGTATACCTTCATGCCCGATACCTATGCATTAAAAGACTTCCAATAATGAACCTTAGATAACAGTGCCAAACCATCTACAATTGTGCGACAGATCAACCAGTCGCACCAAATCTGGGCAAACACAAGTAAACATTGCGTATCAGTTTCTGCACCGATATGGCCAGCTCACGAAAATCATCGTGATGATGCCCGATTCAAAAAAAGAACTTCATCCACCATCATATTTCAACAACAAAACAGTATTTGGTTCCCACAGCATAAAAGTGAGTGTAGTGTGAAAATAAAATCACATGATGATAGGATACATAGTTGTTTATCTCGAGTATACAATGTTGATAATGAAGGGTACGGGGAAACTGGTGGGAGCGAATATATGCATGGGAATGATCATGTCCCTCTTTCATGATGGAATGTTTTTGGGCGTGTTTTGCAAATCAATTTGGGAACGTTTGGGTAGCCAGCTTGGCGAAGAACTGTCGTCAAGAACGACTTCTCGAACTTTGGGTTTCTTGCGCTTGATTTTCTTTGCCATGGCAATGATTGGCTCTGGTGACGCGACGGTGGATGAGGATATCGAAAGTGAAGATGAAGCGGGACTTGGTGCTGTTGGACTGCTGCTTGCACGATCTGATCCAGCTACAGAAAGTTGACTAGCCACACTTGAGCTACGTTCGATAGGGGCAGAAGATGGTATGGGCGTAATCACTCTAGCAGCAATCGCTTGATCACGCGCTTGCTCTAACCGTCGGATATCGTCCACTTGTGCCAAATACTGAAGTTTTGATTCCTTTAGTTTCGCCGCTCGATTCTGCAGTTGTTTCGAACGTGCCCCTAGCATGCTCATAGTCGAGTGAAGCGACAGCAGTTTCGTATGGTATAACGACACCTTGTTCATCTGCATGGGAGACAAGAAAAACTATGTCTTGAGATTACAGCATGCTATTAAGCTTTCTAATTTTCATTTACCATTAGACGTAATTCGGTGACTTCCGCTTCAGTCAAGGATGCTGAGCGAGTGTCTGTAATCGTTTTGCCCAATGCCTGCTGCTCTTGCCTATGGAAAAGCAAAAATCTCGCGATCAGTCACCGTGACTTTGTCGAGATAAAAAACATCGAATCAAGAAGTACGCCTACGCTAATTGTGCGAATTGAGCTTCCAGGCCCACGATATGCTGATTCAATTGATCGATAAATCCTTCGGTCAGAAGTGTGGCCGCCATGACTCTCAGTTTGGACGCCTTGAAAGTGTTCGCAGCAGACTTGTCGAGAAATTTATGGCCGCGATTTTCTAAAAATCAGTCAAGAAATTCCCGCCATGTCGAGACCTGCATAATGTTTCATACATTTAAAAAGTAGCCTCTGTTCTTCCTCTATTATTTTTTTCAAAATAACGTGTGAGTGAAAGTAAAAAACCCCTTTTTGCTGTCTATACACAGTTTTTATTTTTTTTATTTTTATCAAATCTGTTTGCACAAAGAATGTTTGGCACAGATCAATTTTTTATAATGCAAAATAGACGTATTTTGATGCTGTGCCAAGATTGGTTGCGCCAACCGACAAGATAAGTGTAATAATTCACGACCAAAGCAATGAACCATCGTTGATGGCAAGGCGAATCATTCACGGAAGTTGTTCCGGACTCCGGCGTATTGATTCTCCATTCATTTCATAACTTTATAGGATTTCTGGATACACGCACATGGTTCAACAAAAAGAAAAGGTACCTCTTGAAAAACAAAGTTGGAACTACCGTATGAGGAAATGAATTGAGTGGACATGAAACAGCCACCGCCGTTGTGTCATTCATGTGCTTGTCATCATAATTGGCCTTCTCATACTGCCAATTAACCGTGATTACAGATATTTGGGAAAAGAAAAAGTTTATTTTGTGTGCTGCTTGTTCCTGAGTCATCCCAGTTGAAAGTATAACTGATCAAAGTCAACAAAAATGGTACTGTATTTTCAAACAATCTTGCTGCCAGATGATACATTTTTTGCACCAAATCCACCAACTCTACAAATGTATGTGTGTTATCATTCTCAATATAAGACTTTACAGGAAAATAAGAGTTATGTTGTGCTCACCTTTGCACTTGTGAGTTGCTGTTGTCTTATTGGTGCATTAGCCGCTTCTCTGTATCAGACCAATGTCAAAAAAGAAAAAGCCAGCGCGAAAAGTGGTTTTACTAAAATTAGTGTAGTACCGTGGACATTAGACCCGAATTTGCTCTCCTACATATGCGTTGCCCACGATGTCTACATCCTTCGGCACAGTGAATGGCAAAGTGCAGAAACCATCGTTGTCATATAGACAATAAACATGAATGCTTGGCAAGCTGCGGAGGAACAATTTGCCTAGATTAGCCGGTAATTTGTACCACGGTAAGACGGCAAAATTGACAAAAAGGGGTCATTCTTGAAAACATTCAATATGTAACATGACACAAAAAGATACATCGGAACTTCTGCTCCTCTGCTTTTAATTTCTCAAGTGCTGTTGTCTGTTTCTGAGGTAAATGTTTTCGTTGTTGTGCATTTTTTATAATCTGGAGAAAACACCCGACTTTCACGGTTACTGTATGCTGTTTAATACTTGGCTGCCAGACATTGGCGGTTATTCAATTCGGCTAAATTTCAGGATATTGAAGGGACCGATTGTTGTCCAGTTTTTCATGTGCAGCCATTTCGGTGGTACAGAAAGCTGATGGCATATTGGCAGCCGAAGTAATGCATAAACCATTTTTAGAATGTTTACTTTCATCCATGATTGGGAAGTAGGATAATATGTCTTCCCATTTTCTGACCAAGAGAAAACGATCCACCGGTAGGAGCTAAAAGATTTTACCCAAAACACGGTAACCAAAAACGACTAATCAGATCCAATGACAGTGACGATCATCTCTGTTTTCGGTCCAAAAGGTCAAAAACCCGGCCAATGATATTTAGAATACCGCAGACGTCTCAGAAATAACAGAAACCGTGGTGCAATCAAGATATAAAAAGAGGCACGGATCTTTTTTCATTTCTATTTTTTTTTCTGCCAAGCCCACATTTTATTTCTATTTCTTCTATTTCAAATGTTCTATCGCCTGGCGACGGTAACCTTGCTGGCGACGCTATTTGCTTCTGCCATAGCTCAGCAACTGTGCAATGGTCATCAAGAATTTTGTAACAAAACATTTGATGAACTCACTTACATTATCACGCATAATTCATATGGGTTCATGCCCAACCCTGCTGCCAACCAGCTCTGTCCTGTCACAACACAGCTGGACGATGGTGTCCGAGGACTCAAACTCTCCGCTGTCAAACCTAGCAATCAAACTTCCAATGCCCCCGAGAATGCTATTCACTTGTGCCACACATCTTGTTCAATTCTCGATGCAGGTCCAGCCGTGGACACCCTGAAAAACATCACCCAGTGGGTGAAAGATAACCCTAATGAGGTAATCACCATCATGTGGAACAATATCGGCGATTACAAAGTACAAGATTTCGAAGCAGCCTATAAAGCAAGCGGCATCCTGGATTATGTCCATGTTCAAGCTTGGGAAAACCTGACCTGGCCCAAGCTGCAGGATATGATACAGTCAGGCAAGCGAGTCGTCAATTTCCTTGATAATAATTCTGACCAAACCAAAGTACCTTGGTAATATAATGTCCTACTTTCGAGAAACTGCCATTTCACTGTATGTCATCGGCTAATCGTTCCCCTTGCAATTAGGTTAATGTCACAGTTTCCATATGTGTTCGAGACCCCCTATGATAACAAGAACGAAAGTTCGTTTTCGTGTGTGATTGATCGACCGCAAGATCCGCCAGATCCCGACAACATGATGTACGTCATGAATCACTTCTTGTATGGTACCTTGAATTTCGGCAACACGCAAATCGAGATACCTCAGAAAGGTTCGGCTGATACCACCAACTCGGATTCCCTGAAGAAGCAAGCTCAGACGTGCACACAAACTTTTGGCCGCCAGCCAAATTATCTCGAGGTCGATTTTTACAATTACGGCGATACTTTATCCATTGCCGCCCAACTGAATAACGTGACTTACGATAACAAGCCGCTTCAATGCGATGCCTATGTGGCTCAATCAGCGCAAAAAGGAAATGGCAAAAAATCTGACGCTTCCCACTTCAATGTTGGTGTCCTTGCTCCGTTCATGATATCACTTTTCCCCCTTTTATTCCTTCTGTAGATTTTTTTCTCTTTACATTGTTAGTACATATCACGTTTTGCATCTACTTAAATAAAAAACAACCTCCATTTTGTACACACTGTCAACCCAACGATAATGGCTGACTTTATCCTATTATATGACTCTTTCTTCCTCGGATCTTGCTTTCGGTGTTTTGCAGTCTTCTTGATAACCGGGTCTTACCGAACTAGACTGTCATAGTGTAAATAACACGATGTCGTTTATTTGTCGTTACGCGGATACGTGCTTCCATTGAAGACAATTGCAGTTGTCAGCACGCATATCTGAAAGCATCGAAGACATCTCTTCGTTTTGATGCAAATGTCCGCTTCCCAAAAAAATCATAAACTGCCTTTTCTGGGACGCGAAACAGGTCGGAATTTATTCCACACATGATAAAACCCACTGTGGGTCCTTTTTTTTTATTCTCTTCTTCACACGAACTTGTTTTTCAATGAGGCCCGTCATTAAGCTCCTCCTCTTTGGGGCGGCATTGTTCAATGGACTTGTTACTGCTCGTCTCTTTAAACCCCAAGACGTCGTGACCCTTCCACGTCCCGGTGCAGCTTCCCTCTCCCCTAATGGCACGTTTGCTGTTTATGCTCAATCGACTTATCACGCCGACCAAGATAAGGTGCGTAGACATTATCTGCACTATCAAATTGGTTTCCTATTGTTGGTCGGTTAATCCAGGCTCTTTTATTGATACTTGTATTTAAAAATGCTAGAGTGTGAAGAATTTGTTCCTGTTGAATTTGCAGACATCCAGTGTCTCGGAGCTGACCCCCCCTTCGTTTGATTCCGCGCAAAATGAACCATTTTTCCTCGATGACTCACATGTGGCCTATGTGCAAAACGGTCAAATCCATGTCATCAATCTCGATACTACTGATAAGCCTTATCAACTGACGGATTTCCCTGTCGATATCGCCAACGTCAAATACAATCTCCAAAGTAAAATGCTGGCTTTTTCGGCAGCTGTGTACGATGACGGAACACTGGAAGGAGCCAAAGAAAGAGAGGATCATCTGCGCGCTACCAAAAAAGATACAGCTTTGGCCTATGACAAGCTAATGGTCAGGTAAAAATATCCTATATCGCCGTCGACCTTGCCGGTTTTGATTTTGCTCTTTTATTTATTTTTCTCTTTTTTTCTACGCCACCTAGACACTGGGATGCTTTCACCCAAGAGAAGCAAAACAACATTTTTACGGTAAATGTGGAAGATAAGGAAGGCCGATATCAATTGGCGAACGAAGTACACAATGTCCTCAAATATACAGGATTGGTAAGGATTGGGGATCCCAGATTGTCAGCACGAAAAAATTTGACGAGCGTTCGAGAATAGCAATCACCTGGTTTTCCATCAGGTGACGCCTCCGACTATGATATTTCCCCCGATGGTAAGAAATAGTCTACAGTCACACAGTGAAATGCCTTCTTAAAACGTCCTTGTAGGTAAACATGTGGCGTTTGTTTCAAAAATCTCCAGCACTCGCAATGCTTGGGAAACCGCACAATATGTCTACATCGCGCCCTCCTCCGCAGACTATTTCCCCAAAGCGATTAATAATCAAATCCCAGCTGCTTCGTCCCATCCTGTCTACTCTTCTTCTGGATTGCTGGCTTATTTGCAAATGTCACAGCCTCAATATGAATCGGATCGTAATCAAATCGTCATCTACAACCCCGCTACATCTACAAAGCAGTTGGTTGCCAAGGATTGGGATCGTAGTCCGTCTCAGATCATGTTCTCTGCTGATGAACAGATTCTTTATGCAGTTGCTCAAGAATTTGGCCGCGATAAAGTGTTTGCCATCAATATCTCGGACGACACCATCACCACGCTAACGGAGGAAGGCGCAGCTTCCATTGTTGGCGTTCTTCCAGACGGCAATCTGCTTCTTAGCATCAGTTCCATGCAGCACCCCAGTCTTTTGCATACGCTCGATCCCAAAACACGTCATTTGAAAATGCATCCTGCTTCCGATAAACTGATGGAACACTTGAGCCACATTGATTTCTTGACCCCGGAAGAATTTGTCTTTGAGGGTTCGCTTGGTGATAAGGTTCACGGATGGCTTATTAAACCTTCCAACTTCGACGAAAATCAGAAATATCCTGTCGCTTTTCTTATCCATGGCGGTCCTCAAAGTGCTTGGGCTGACAGCTGGTAAGACAAGGATCGTGTATTGGGTGGGAAAGAAGATGTCCATGGTTAGTGAAGTAAACTCACTTTTTTCAAAAATATCCAGGTCTACGCGGTGGAATCCTCAAGTATTTGCTGGAGCCGGTTTTGTCGTGGTTGCTATTAATCCCCATGGTTCGACTGGTTATGGTCAAAAGTTCACAGATTCTATCCAACGTAACTGGGGCTCCTATCCTTATTGGGATCTCGAGAAAGGTCTTGACTACGTCCTTTCCACATACAAATTTGTGGATGCTGATCGAGTAGCCGGCTTGGGTGCTTCATACGGTGGTTACATGATTAACTGGATCAACGGACATAGCAACCGTTTCAGGGCGTTGGTCAACCATGATGGCATGTTTTCGACTCTTAACTCATACTACACCACCGGTAAGTCACAGAAAGTGTTTCATATCAATCGACGCCTCACTTCATCAACGTAGATGAGCTTTATTTCCCTGAAAGAGAGGTAAAGTTTCAACTGCAACATTCTCATTTTGCTTTTTATTCATACAAGTGCCTTTAGTTTGGAGGTCCTCCTTACCATCCACTAAACCGTCTCGTCTACGAACGATGGTCACCTTCCAACTTTGTGCAGAAGTGGAGAACACCTACCTTGGTTATTCATGGTTAGTCAATTAATTACTGACATATTCGGACGGATCAAGTGGTTAAATCTATAATAGGTGGCCATGATTACAGATTGGTTGATGGAGAAGCCTTCTCCACCTTCACGGCATTGCAGCGTCAAGGCATTCCTTCTCGATTGCTATATTTCCCTGACGAAAGCCATTGGGTTCTCAAACCCGCCAACTCTTTAAGATGGCACCATGAAGGTTGGTCACACTTCTAATTACTTTTGGGCTTCTATATCATTCTTAAAAATTGTTTTTATAATTTTTCAAGTTATCAATTGGATTACGCGATGGACAACTCCCAATGTAAATGAGGACGTGCGCTATCATCCAACCGAACAGCCAGCTCTTACTATTCAGGATAACCTGTACTGAGATATGATGTCTATCGGTAAACTGCAGTAAATAGTTGCTTGTTTCCCTGCAAATACTCAATCTGCAAAAGCTCCTCAATATGTTTTGCTTCGCACCAAAATTCTTCTATCTATCATTTCTTCAAGCGCCTCTTATGTGCAAGACCGCGAGTAAAAAGCTAGAAAAAAAAGGTAGTGAGATGATCAATGGATCTATTTTACAAAGAAGCTCAATGGATACCGTCAACTGAAAAGAACTTTCAGGTGCATCCAAACTTCTATTTGTCAGTATGACACACACTGCGGATAAAAAGAAAACGGGGACAACTGAGCAGAAAAGACGATCAATCTTATCCAGAAGGTCAGTAAACGAACCTCTTGCTGCCTAAAGCAGACATATCCTTGTGTCAGAATGTTTTGGGAGTTTCTACTCGGGCAAAAATTTAACAAAGACAAAAGAATAGGGTTCATTGGAATCAAAATGCACAAATGGAAGCATTTTTATCGATAACAAAAAAAAGACGGCCCAACCTGTTATCGTGGAGGGGAGCGGAGAAGGAGAACTCAGTTTTCAAGAGGAGACAACACTGACCATGCAATACAAATCAGTTTATGCGAAAATCTAGCACATCGGAAATGAAAAAGTCAAGCTACCGGTACTGTTGCTGTGTTGACGCATGTTTCAACCATTTGCCATAAGTGCAAGGACATCTTTGACATGGTCTTCAAGAATAGTTCTTTTACGGACATGCTCGCATGCGTTCGCATCGGCCTTGGTCATTTCATTACGCTCTCTGTGTTTTATCGCCATTGCAACATGGCGCACTGAGACCTGATACCGTGGCTTCATGGAGTAAAATGTAAATGTTTTATTGTCACAGCAATATTGAATCCACGGTTTCAAGACCACTGACACAAAGGGGCAGGGCAAAGGCAGGAAACTTCCTAACATACAACAAGATAAAAAAAAAAGTGTGTAAAGACTGAAGCATTCGGAATCAGGAGTCAGCCATAGTCTATACTGCATATAGAGTGACTATAGTGCACGTTGGTTGCTCATAGCAGCATGAATGACATGGCGCAGCCCCTGTTTGCATAGCTTTACGCGAAAGAAGTGTGAGGCGCTGAGTTTCGCCAGTTTTGTTGCGAGAATCGAGCCAATGAGGTGCATTCGCGGTCAAAAACAGGGTCACAAATCGAAGGTCCGCAAAAGATATAAAACGAGGGCGTTTTTATCCTTCTCATTTTTTTTTTCTCTTCATAAGCCAATCCGGAGCCGAGGCTGCTAGGCTGGTGGTTTCTGGTGATGATGGATGCCTGATTTTTGTAAAGCATTCGGGGTATGGCGAAAAATCGGTAAAACCATCTTCTAATGATAGGAGTTGGCCACTCTTTGAAGAAGATTGTTTTCCTTCCCGTCGGGTCTTCCGCCTGGGCAACTGACTAGCCATCAGCTTGCTCATTGTGCGGAAGGCGCCGGTTGGTTTGCTTTTTAATCGCAGCAAAGGGAAATGAAAAAAAAGGCAAGCTTTTTGCCTTTATTATTCTTTTTCTCAATTCTTTGTGGGTTGAATAGATAATAAATAAAAAGTGGGCTTAATGTCCTGTAGACGACTACACGCCACTTGATGCTCAAGCTATTTCAAGAGCGATCCGTTAAGCCAAACGACCACCTTAGCCTAGAAAGACACACAACAGGATAGATCTTTTTTATTTTGTTTGTCGTTCATCTGCTCTCTATTCAATAAAAACGATAAACTCTTCTTGTCCAAAAACCGTCCTTTTTATCCATGTGTTCTGCCTGCCGCAGCTCACTCTCGACTAGGCCACTTAGCCCAGTTAACGTCAAAGTGGCATATGGCTGTCACGTTCCAAAGAAGGAGGCCACACTTTAGCGTCGTTATCGTTCGAATCGTAGACCTGCAAAACCCGATGAGCAATGAGGAACTGTGTTGACGAATTCAGGCATAAGTGCTTTATTTTTTATAGTTGTATTTTGCTAAACTATTAAGTGCAGAAAAAAAAAGGGACTAGGGCGGGAGGGAGTGATGTCCTTCTGGAAGCTTTGGCGGCAAGGCATGACGGGTTCCAAGCTTTCCAATATGGCGATGGTGTTTCTCAGCATAAAGGCCCAATGCACACGTCACGTTACAGTTCGTGAATGAGGGGATTCGCTCGATCAGCATCAAGGTTTAACAGAACCAACACGGTGGCAAACGCGGCTGCGGCGTGGTTTACTGCCCTCAAAAATTGTACCTGACTGCGAAACATTATTCCTAAATCGAAGAATTCATCCCGGAAACCAGATTTTTTTTCTCTGTCATGCAATAGACGGCAGATTAACGTTAGCTTGGATTATCTTTTCATGTAATGAGCAATGGGTGACAGATATAAGCGGCTATAGGCTATAGGTGCAGTATGGGTTTTGGATAGGAGGTAAATTCACATCAGAGAAAATAATAAGAAATGAACGCCCGGCGTTGAATGCATTATATAAGTACGATCTAATCGGTAAGGTGATTAGTACCGCATTAGGATATTCAGAAACCACAGAAGAAAAAGATGGAGCCAATTGCAGATCTCACTCGGGAGGGCATTTGCTGCTGACGTACCACATACGCCGTTATATGGCGATTAATCTTGCCAATACGAGTGAAATGAAATATGAGGAATTCCAAAGACCCGCTGTTTGAACGATCGCACCTTTGACGACAAAAAACAGGGATCGAAGTATGAATACTTGTGAACAATTACTTTATAAAGGTTTGGTCTTCAAGGAGCAGGTCAGTCAAGAGTATATTAAACCAAGACGAATCTGCTCTTGCGACTGCTTGGTTTGACTTAACAGAATGCCCATAAAGTAGATTGCAGCAGATCGTTACAGCCGGGCAATCGCAGTTTACACCGAAACGATGGGTAACGTAGTTTCTTTTCCGATCAGAGTTTGTCCGAAGAAAGGGAATACCATGAGCCTTTACTGGAACCGGATAAAAACACAGCAACAGTACCTGATTGCGTTCAAGTCCAGCTTGGGCAAATTGATCTGACTGCCGTACGAACCAAACATGCGCACAGTGTGGTTCAGATGATTCCAGCATCTATATGCATAAAAGTGTATTTCTTTCCTTCCCATTCCTTGTGTGACTAATTAAGTATTACTCGGCAGCCACAAATTTTAAAACGGTGTTGGCCAAAAGCATTCAAAAAACCGACTTTTTCTTTTCAAGGGGCAAAAGTTAAAAACCCAAGTGGAGAAAGTGAGTACATCCTTTCCTCCTGGCCTCTATTTCTATATTTGCCATGTAAATAAAGCTATTCCTCTACTGGGGAAACGATCGTCAAAATTCTAGAGGATCCGGTCTGCCTGGAAGAGATCCGCAGCCTTTTGGGGTGCCATCAATCCGCTTCATGGGTTTCTTTTCGGAAATCTTGGCTAGTGAAGATAACACGGACCCGGATTGTTTCTTGCTGCTTTCTTTCTCGGCCACAGGTTCAGTTCGTCGTGTGCTCACTCCTCCTTCCGGCGGTAAATGGAACGTCTCGATAGCAAATCGCTTTCGTCGAAGTTTAAATGCGAGATCATTGCTGCCGCCAGCTGATAGTACCGACAATTTGGTGCTCGGCGGTAATAGCGAATTAAGCACAGGGACTTTTTGTACGTGGAAGAAGCCATGATAATTTTGCGTATACGAAGCTTCGTTATGTATTGCTGAACCTAATAAACATGAATTGATTGGTTTAAACGCATCGACGAGTGATTCACCCAAATTGATATCAAAGACTCACCTGCAAAGGATTCGATTTCAATGACTGCGTCTGCAATATACTCAATGCGTCGAATAAAGTTCGGATTCTCCTCATACAAATGAGCCGGAATTGTTACTACAGCAGCGCCAAACGAAAATCGTAATAATCCATGAAGCGCATGAAAGAACTTGAAGAGATCCTAAAACCGTTGAAGTTAGCAAAAAACTCGACTAATGTAAACTTTTCGATAATAAGCGCCTTACGTGAGGAGATTTCGATCGCCAACTGGGGGATGCAAGTGAGTGGATGCCGAGACGCAAAATATTACGTTGAGTATTGGCAGGTGCTGGTATCGCGGAACTGTGGTAAAAGGCACAAATCAGTCATCCGTCAGATTCTTTTATCGCGACAACAAAACAGCTACCTAAAGTTATTTTCTATGATGAGTTGTCGAATATCGTTTAGTAGTGTTTTGTAATCATCCGAATCCGGATCGTCAAACGAGTTTGGAGCATCGAGCAACGTAGTATTGGCTTGTTTAAGTAGTTCTTCCGGTATTCGCTTTGTGAGATCAAACAGAGTACAATACGGTACCGCAGCCTCGGCTTTGTCGACTGACGTAGCACTGTTTTTATCAGAAGGCACCGGAGGCGGGGTTGCTACAACATCCCACACAGAAATTCTCATTAGACGCAAGCACGACCATGTCGTTTATAAAAATTATCATACCAAGCTTGGCTTTGACACTTGTTTCAAACTTTTTAAGATGAGAATAGCGCCATGCAATCTTCATTCGGTCTGCATCGGCGTTGGATCGCGCGGTTCGTTGCTTTTCGTCCTCGTCTTCGTCCACATCGGCATCCGTGGTGGCTAACCACATAAGGTTACGGAGCATTTCACCGGAATCTTCATCGCGTGACGCTAAAGCACAGTGATGTTGTGAAGCCAATCCCTGGGCCATAAAGTACTTTAACAGCAACTGCGCATAGGTTGTCGCCTTGTCTTCTTTGATCAACAGTAGCGTGCCAACAGGCAAACCACCACCGAGAATATCGTCGAGCGACGGCACACCAGTCGATATTAACAGTTGACCGTTGTAGGCACTTAGTTTGGAGCCCGGAGGCAATTTCATTTGTTGATCGGCATTACGTTTTTTGAAGCTCATGATCGACGGTAAACTTTGGATAACAAAGCCCAAGGCTCATTCCTGTCATTTTACGAAACGTTTGGGAAGTGACTTGTGCTGTGACGATGGGTTGGGCGTGCGGAGTATTAAAAATCACTGGCTGCTTCACCGAAATTTTAGAAGTGGACGTTTGTTCTTGGTCTTCTCATGAAATGTTCCTAAAAAAGATGTAGTCTATCATAGAAATCTATAAAATATTGATATTCATGGTGTCTATAAAGCTCCCTGTTCCTCCTCCGAAGCTCTCAATCTCCTTTACAGGGTATCGTTTCCGAGGTTATATCTTTTTCTTTTTTTTTATCATTAACTGAAAGTTCTCCAAGTGATACGAGTCCGCCTGCCCAACGTTTGACTTTTAGGTTTTCTTTCAATAAACTGCATCATACAGTGTCAAATATTTTGGCCATATTGGTTTACTTTTTACTCGCTCACATCAACCGAATCCTGCAAAGTTAGGCTTTCAAAAAGGTTCGAGACATGAAAACTTGCTAATTTCCCACGTACAGTCTTGAAGCATCTAGTGTTTATCTTTTTTTTTTCGCATGACTCCGCATGGCAGAGAATAGGACAAAAAATATGCTCCAGCAACTGTTTTGTCTTCTCTTTTCATTTGTCTTTTTGCTTTCTTTTTCTCATCAGCATGACTATTGCTCAACAGCTTCGAGGTGTCTTTGTTCCCATTGTTACATTCTTCAAAGAGAATGAAGAATTGGATTTGGAAACGCTCCAAAAACATATCGGATATCTGGCGAATACAGGCATTAGCGGCATTATTTTTATGGGGTCCATGGGAGAAGCCGTCCATTTAAATGATGAAGAGCGAATTCAAGTGGTGAAGACCGGCGCGGAATACATACAAGCGAACGACCCATCCCTAAAAGTCATCGTGGGAGCAGGAGGCCCGTCTGCTAGACAAACTATCAAGTTAGCCAAAGATGCTGCTGCAGCAGGCGCCCATTTTGTGCTTGTCTTGTCGCCCTCCTATTATCGTGTCTCTATGACTGAAGTGGCCATCCATGATTTCTTTGTCCGTGTTGCAGATGAATCCCCTATTCCCGTCATCATCTACAATTATCCAGGTGTAACACAAGGAATTGACATTGGTGTTGACACGCTGGCAAAGTTGTCAAAACATCGAAATATTGTCGGAATCAAAGCAACCGACGGAAACATTGGAAAAATGGGTACTTTATCCCATTCCATCGATCCAAATGGTAAGTTGATGCGCACTCAATGCAATTTGATGGACACAAAACCATTGATGTATTATTACATGACAGAGTTTGCGTTGCTGGCGGGTTCAGCCGACTTCTTTCTGCCTGCCTTGACCTGTGGGGCGGTAGGTCTTGTTCCAGGATTAGGCAATATCATGCCACGAGCTTGCGTTCAGATCCAAAGCCTTTTTCAAGCCGGAAAGCTTGATGAAGCCTCAAGACTGCAAAGAACCGTCACCTTATGTGACAATGCTTTATGTCGTTGGCATGGTATCCCCGGTGTCAAGGCTTGTATGCAACGCACGCTAGGTTACGGAGGTAAACCCAGAAGTCCGCTCAAGGAACTGGAAGCAGAACTGGCACAAAACATTGTAAAAGCGGTTGGGGTAGGAATGGGCGTTGAAAAAGAACTTGCCACGCAATAAACCCAATGACGCATGTGAAAATCTAACCGAAATACAGTCACTGCATTTTTCATTTTTTGACACACCTGATATTGTAAAAAATGGGCTTCTGCGTATAATATGAGAGGTTGGTTTTCAATCGGCGTCGTATGACCGAGAAGTAGGCTCTTAACCCTATTTAAATCAGATAAAGATCATGATCGTAATATAATATTGGGGTTTTTCGGTGCAATCTTTCTGCACTTGCTTTTTTCTTCCGATTGTATTTTATTGTCAACTATCCATATGCGTACAAATAATCGTTGGACTGTCTCTCGGGATACCCTATTTCTCGGCACTTTGGGCATGGGACTGATCGCTTGGCTCGTCCGGCGTCAGCTAAGTGGTAAAAAAGGCGATTCACACCTTGAGCGAAAGACACATTCCTCGTCAGCCAATCCATCGGAACATGGCCACCTCACACAACCGGCGAAACGTGAGCGCAACTTTGTCAAAGTGATGCAGGAAAAAGTACGTGAGGAAAATGGCCCACATCATCATGGTCTCCGTGCCTTAATTTCTGATCAACATTTCAGGGACGCCGCGTCATTTTTTTCTACGGATCTCAAACAGGAACAGCAGAAGATTATGCCGCTCGACTTGCCAAAGAATGTACCAAGCGGTACGGCGTCAGTGCCATGACCGCCGACATTGAGCTCTACGACTTGAGTTATCTGGATACGGTTCCTGAAGACTGTCTGGTGTTCTTCGTCATGGCCACTTACGGAGAAGGCGAGCCTACAGATAATGCAGTCGATTTTTGGGATCTCATTATGGAAGAAGCTGTCGAATTTTCTACCGGCAAAGAAGAAGCTCCTCTAAAAAATCTGCATTATCTTGTTTTCGGATTAGGCAATAAGACTTATGAGCATTATAATTCGGTGTCTCGTACGGTCGATAGACGGCTAACCGAACTTGGGGCCACCAGGATATCGGAGCGTGGTGAAGGCGATGACGACGGGTCCCTCGAAGACGACTTTTTAGCATGGCAAGAAAAGATGTGGCCAGCCTTCTGTGATGCTTTAGGCGTGGAAGAAGGTGAAACTTCAATGGGTCCTCGACAGCTCGTCTATGCTGTAGAAGAATTGACATCATATGATATGGATTTGGTTTATCTCGGTGAAATCAGCGAACAGTTGCAAAACGGAGCGTAAGTGGGAATCATCTGAAAGAAGGATGGCACACCACCTTCATTGACGGATTTCGACCGGAAAAATTTCACAAGCTAACTTGTGATCTGTTACGATAGAAAATTGATTTACGATGCAAAGCGGCCCTACCTGGCTCCCATTTCTACATATGAACTTTTCCAGCAGACGAACGACCGCCACTGCTTGCATGTGAACATTGACATCTCGGGGACAAATTTGAGCTACCAGACCGGCGATCACGTTGCCATTTGGCCAACGAACAATGATACAGAGGTCCATCGACTTGCTTCTATTCTTGGTCTCATGGACAAGCTCGATACCGTGGTCATGGTGAAAGCAGCTGATTCCGCGTCTTCCAAGCCATACCCTTTCCCAGTACCTTCTACTTATCGTGCTATATTTCGCCATTATCTTGACATATGTGCCTGTCCCTCAAGACAGACCTTGGTGTCGCTTGTGGAATTCGGAACAGATGACCAATGCAAATCTTTTCTTCGGAAACTGGCCACGGATAAAGATGAGTATCGAAAAATGGTCGGTGATCCTGTACGTAACCTAGGTGAAGTTCTCGAATTGGTGGCGGCGACCGCTGACATCGACAGGAAGGATCGATCTGGTTTTTTCGCCTCGATACCTTTTGACGTGATTGTGGAAAATATGTCACGGTTGCAGCCTCGATACTATTCCATTAGCTCATCGTCCAAAGAAAGTCCCCACGTCATTTCTGCCACTGCTGTCACTCTGGAATACACTCCTGACAGCACCGCTGGTCGCGTTGTCTACGGTGTCAATACCAACTATTTGTGGCGTGTTCATTGTACAGCCAATGGTGTGGATGATGGCCGCGTGTATCCTGTGTACGACCTTGACGGTCCACGCCAGACACTGTGGGACGGTAAAGTAGCCAAACTGCCTATTCACGTGCGACGATCCCAATTCAAATTGCCGCGCAACCCCACCTATCCAGTTATCATGATCGGACCTGGGACAGGTGTAGCCCCATTCCGTGGGTTTGTTCGCGAACGTGCCCTTCAGAAAAGGGAAGGCAAAGAGGTTGGCCCTACTTTACTGTTCTATGGATGCCGTCATTCCCAGGAAGATTTTCTATACGCAGATGAGTGGCCCGGTTTATTTAACACGTTAGGCGAGAATTCACATCTTATCACCGCGTTTTCGAGAGATTCGTCGGAAAAGGTTTACGTCCAACATCGATTGCAAGAACATGGGGAAGAGGTATGGGCCTTGTTACAGCAAAATGCGTATATCTACGTTTGCGGTGATGCAAAGAATATGGCTCGCGATGTCAACCAAACATTTGTGCATCTTGCTCAACAATATGGAGAACAGATGGAGCAACAGGCTCACGAGTTTGTAAAAAATCTCAGAACTATCGGCCGATATCAGGAGGATGTCTGGAGCTGAAAAAGAGTGGTCTTCACTTCAACTTGAGCTTCGAGTACCGTGTGCCATCATATATTCCCCTTGTTACAAAAACGTGCTCTAATGTAATCTTTTCGTCCCTCTCTCTAGTTATTTCCAAATGCTATGAATACTTATAATAGAATTTACTGTACAACAAAAATGATTGTAATTTGCGGGTATTTCAAGTGTGTGCCAAGTGCGAATGACGTTCATGATTTGAGTTTCCTTTCCATCTCAAGGAAAGCTTTCATGCCAGGATCCATGTCCTCTTCCACATCTTCTTTAACAGATTTGCGGGATTGTAAAATAGCTGGAATAGGCTCTCCGGCATCTTGAAACCGTTTTCGAAGGGCTTTTTTCTTCTCATGATAATCCTCCATATCCTCTTGATAAAGATCCCATACGCTATTCAAACGCTGGTGTTAGTAAACTCATGCGTTGAATCTCAAAAAAGTCCACAGTATCAGCCCAATCGACTCACCAATGAACACACCCACTACAGATAGAAGTTTAGTAAGAAATTCTTGTATAAAATGATATAGGCATACCCAACCATACCTCATACAGCAATTTTCAGGGCTCTCTGGTTTCTGCGGCAACTCGATAGGCTCTCCTTTCAGAAGAACAATGTTTTTCGATTGGCTGGTCTCTTCTCCAGGAACCGGAGGCGGCAACTTCCTAGAAGGCTCCTCCAAGTCAACCACAGCAGGTAATTGCTCCTGGCGTTGCTCATGCGCATTTCCTGTCTAACGTGTTTGGTTCAGTATGACGTAGGGGTTATATTCTAGCATTCGCAGACAGTCTTACTCCGGGAGATGTTTCAAGAATCAGAGTCCACCAGCCCTTGTAGGGCGAATCACGAGTATGTATCTGCCTTGAACATGGATTATTGACGTTGCCTTTCGTTCGTCCGAGAATACGATGATAAGACCCGATGCGCAGCATGATGTTCCGAACTGTTCAGCATTGAGCGGATAGTCAAGTAAAGCCAAATGAAAAAAAAAAAAAAATGAAAAACCGATGCTTCTCCTTATTCGGCAATCACGTCGAACAAATTCCGCCAAATTTGTCATTGGGCAAAGCTCCCAGGTTTCCAGGAGCGATGGCAACCATTGCAATAACAGTTTTGTCACTGAAAAAGTCTGATGAAAATACAACCGGTAAGCTAAATAGGAGTAATAATGCATTTACAAGAAAAAAAAAAGGCAAGTGCTTCTAATGTTGATAGGTTGAATTAAACGCTGTGATTGGTATTCTGTCGTTGACTGGAAGACGTTTCTGAAAGAAGAGTAGAAGGGGATAAACCGATGGCCGATGCTGTCGGTGTTGATACTTCTGAACCACTCATGCTGCGCTGAATGCCTTTATCGTCCACTTTTCCGAGGAAAAATCCATCTTCGGCAAACGTACTATAGCTATTCCACAATTTGGCCACGTCCGCAGTAACGCGGGTCACCTGGAGACATCCCTGCTTCACGAATTTTGTCCAAGTAAAATCTTCCTCCGTCGAAATCGATCTCACGGATGACATCAATGCGACAATAGCCTACCATTTTTCACTGTAAATACCTCCTCCTTTTTTCCTTCTTCATTCGTTTGAGTCCTTACCTTGAAATAAATATTGGTATCTTCCCAAAATTTTCGACTTGTTTCTTTTCGATTTTGTAGATTCAATAAAAGCGGTGATTGAGAAACAACTTGGGCATTCTCTTTGCATATTAGAGCTTCCAAACTTTTATCCAACGCTTGCGTCATTTCAGCCGCATAATCAATAACTTGTAATAATTCATGTAATCGCTTTTCAAGGGAGGCTGATATCTTTGTAGATAACGCTTCGTCAATCGACTGTCTCAATAACTCCACGACGTGAAATGATCCTGTCACCGCCAACTTGATGTGACTATATAATTGCGAATTATCTTCGGTCGAAGCTGGAGAGGAAAGAGGAGACATTGTAGGGAAATGTGAGAACTCATTCTGGGACCGTCCTTGCGCTACAGATTGGTAGAATGGTGCAGACGCAATGCCTACAGTGCCGGGATTGGATGAAGTGGGTGTAGATGATGTGGATTGCATGTTAACGGAAGGATCAGATATACTGGGAAAATAAGATGGGGTATTAGGTGAAGATGTTTGCTGAAGAGCGGTGGCGGCCGCGGCGGAGGGCAGTGATAAAGAAGATACGATAATGGTCCATGCGTCCTTGAAATCGATCATGGCACCGTGGATATTCAGCAGTAAATGACGGGCAAATTTTCCATCGAGCTCCTTGATAATGGTGGATGAGCGCATTTTGAGCATTTTACACAGTTCCTTCTGCGTCTTTATACAAGTGACGGCGACCTTGCACAAATCCGATAGACTCGGATAAGGATCAGTTTGCTCCAAAACAAGGACAAGTTTCTCGGCCGTGATCTTGGATTCTCGAAGGAGAGGAGCGAATTCAGCCACCAACTGATCGTTCACGATACAACGAAGGGAGCGTTGAACAACCTGCTGAACCGACATTGAAGCGAATATGACGGTCTGACAAGCGTCTAACAGCGACGGATTCAACCATTTCGGACAAGGATTCCGTGTTCGATTCACCTTTTGCTGTAAATATTGTTCTACATCGTGGTCTGCACACGGCTTTGTACGATCCAACAATTGGTGTCGATTCGGAGAGGCACAAAGTTCACTCACGGCATTATCCGAAGCATGGGATGGGAAATGCAATGGCGGAATGTTGGACATGCAAACTGGGGTTTATTGCAAGCAGAATTATGGAAGCTGCAAGCAGTTGCTCCGGGTTCAAAGGAGAGCTTTGCAGAAAGAAAAGCCGACGCCATGCACATCAACTGTGAAAGGCGAGTCACGTGTTTAACTCAGACAGGCCTCTTCCCGAGTACGGACAATTTCTAGTAATTTTTCCCTCTCTCTTTTTTTATTTTATCCTTTATCACCTTTGCCGTACGAAGACCAACAATCTTCAAGATGGATCGTCCGTATGACAGTGCATCACGATATCGTCCGTCTGTATTTGATCGGCTAGGTAGAGTACAAGATCCTATCCATGCTCGAGACAGACAAAGTCGTCCAGAATATCCAGGAGACTATCAACGTCATCCAGTGGATGACGGTATGACAAGACCGGAACCTATTCTTTCTCGACGACGATCTTCCGAATTCAGACGGTTGCCTCCCAGAGGTCCGATCGACATTATACCTGAACGTCATATCAGCAGATACTCATCACCGCCGCCCTTCATTCCTTCGACAGTTTCACACCGTGACGACAGACACAGAATGGCCTTTCCATATCAATCTCGTCACGAAGTATCGCCTAGACGATCAAGTCAAGATAGATTGCGCGAACCCGTACGAAGTGATAGATACCGTCCGACTTATGGAGAACCGAAGTCGCAACGTCGACGCAGCGCGGAAAAGGTAGAACGAGGAGCTTTTGTAACCAGAGGAGGACGAACCGAGAAAAGAGTAAAATGTGCTGAAATCAACGTAGATGGGGCCTTTGGATTCGCAACAAAACGATAGACGTTTGGATGATCGAAAACTGCACAGCAGCTCGTCCTATCGCCCATCTTCCTACCCGCTTGAACCGCAACGTATCCAACCAGCACATCCAGAGAGAGAACGCATTAGTCATAACGACATTCGTTACGGGCATGCTGATCGTGGTGAACGAAATGCATCACAACATGAACGTGGATCTAAACGCCAGTACGATACATATGCGACAACCGATAGCAACCAAGTTTCACAAGAAGACAGTCATCGAAGTGATAAGGGCCATCGAACATTGGAAAGAGCGTCGGCACCCACACATGAGACGTCTGCAAGCACGAAAAGGGAGGCATGCGTAAGTAGCGTGGAAACTGGTGAGCAAACAAAGATTGCGCAAACCGTCGAACGTGCAGGATCACCCCATGTGGTCGATGCCAAGTCAAAAAACAAGAGAGACGAACCACGAAAAAGACATGCAACTGTACGCAAAGCTTCGATGAAAGAAAATGTGATCTCCTTGGATCTTGATGACGATGAAATTATGCGCCCAGATTGGGGTGGTGATTCCGAAGACGAAGCGCAACTGTTGGAGTTGAAAGAGAAAGAACGACCTCCGTCGCCACGTGTACCGTCTGTGAAGGATAAAGAAGAGTCGAAACGATCTCGCTCGGAATCATCATCGCAAGCCGTACCTCAGAACAAAGTACCGCCACCAGCATTTGACGAGCCAGCGTTAAATAAGAAAGACAGCGATGAGTTACCCCATCCTTGGCGACAGGTTTTATCGAGAAAGGGTCAAGTTTACTATCATAATCCAGAGACAGGGAAAAGTGTGTGGGATAGGCCCACGATTAGGTCCTCAGCCACAAAGGATATCGACCCTAGTCGCGCCAACCGATCACGTTACCCCGATCCAGCCTCTCGACAAATGGAAGATCAAGTCCCCGCACCACAGAAAGTTGGAGGTATTCGTGCGGACACAACACGTTGCCGTGGAAGAGACGGCATATTATCACGAGAAACAGTGACGGAAACCACGATGACGTCGGTTCGTCGTGTTGACAGTGCGCCCATTGTTAAGCGTCCTCGCTATGATGACAGAAAGGATATGAATTTCCACGATAGAGACATCGAACGACGAGAACGACGAGAACGACCAGAACGACCAGAACGAACTGTTAGATATGAAGATGTTTATCCTCGACGCCGTCCGTCTGTGCAACGCTTCCCGTCCACCGCGGCGCCAAACGCCCCTTTCTTGTTTGATGATAGACGCCGTCGCAGTATTGATCGAGCGATGCCCTTGAGTGATCGCGGCAGATCGTCTTATTACAGTGATCGGAACGTACCAATACCTCGTCGTGATGAACTTTTTCCTGAACGACCTAGACGTGGGGATATAGGATATATCGACCGTGAATTGCCACGTGGAAACGAACCCAGAATAGACTCTCCAAGAAGGCGAATTTACCGGTAGACCCTATGTCATAAATTCCTCGTTTCCTCTACTTGACTTGATCCGGGACAATTGTTTTTGTGGCTGTGCATCCAGAAGTTTTATACTCTTTACTTTTCCCTGCATTCCGAATTTGTTTGCGATGTCGCAGTTTTAATCAACTCTACATCTTGAAACTCATTTTTACAACGCCAGTGATCCTCTTGCGCACTTTTTGGGTTCGCATATCTCTTCCCGATATTTACGTGGACAATACTTTGTGGACCTAGAAAAAAGGGGGGAAAATAAGGAATGCCAGTAACGAGCAGTAAGGAGGATCTTGCTGTGGCAACAGTTATCGATAGAGATTTCGACGAACACCTTTGAACTGGTTTTTGCCCGGTGCCGAGCTATCGTGCCAGTCAACTCGCAGCGTGGCCGTAAGCGTCTTTATTTTTGATATGCAGTATTGATTGACATTTGCTTTGCTTGGATGATGGTATCATGTCATTTTTAGTCGCGTTCGCGTTATGCAGTAGCATCAGAAATCTTTTATGGCTGTCGTTCCGTCTTTTGGTTGAATCGGGCGATCATTTCAGTCTGTTAAAGCTTCAGGATTCTATACTAACCCTGCCGATGTTATATGTAGATGTGACTAGGGCCTCGAAGTCATTCTTTCTCTTCAACGGCTTGTTGAGGGTTTACCGGCTCTTCAAATCTCATTGTCTCAAAGCTATTTTTCCCATTTTCACGAATAAAAGCATGGACCCTTTTAAGAAACGTGCATTCATATGGTAAGGCTGCAAAGGCATGTTGGCTTTGTTCGTCGATTTGAGTGTTCAGCGACGAAGACAGCTGTATCAGCTCAAAAACTGTGGAGATATAGTAGAGATAACGTTCAAGAGCAACTCAGTAATCCTGCTTGTCTTGTCATGGCCGAACAAGTTCACTGTATTCCCGGACAGACAATTCATCTGGAAAATCTCCGGCATCATAGGAGAGGTCTTCTTCCCTTGCTCCATTTTACCTCTTACGCCAACTTGAGATAAATAAAAATAATCTGGTAGATGCACTGTCGACAAAGAAGGTGGTATTTGCGGTTGTAACATATGTAATAGGTGTGTAGAGCTCGATTGTCAGCAACAGAGCACGCATATATTTGACTCTCAATCTTTGATAATACTTCTTCTTTCGATACCAATAGGTTATGTGCGAGGTAAAAAGTTGTTTCTTGATATCATATGGATGACGGGTGCTTCGATAAATTTTTCACAGTTCGATTGTTTTGAAAGAACAGTGCCTCAGCTGGTGCACACTGAAACGCGAACTTTGAGAGTTATCTGCACCTACGCAAGAGGGGAACATCCTACGAATGCACGCTTAGTGAATGCAAAAAAGACATTATACAGGTACAGCCCGAGCATGATAGCGCAGAGAAAATGCACGCAGACGAGGATGGATGCTCGGTGATTGGATTAAAGTCGTATAATGATGAATAGCTTCAGGTTCTATTTCTCCAAAAACAGTAATATTCTGACAATCAAATTCAGCTGAATCCCGGTTTGTTAAAGCTCCAAATTTTCTGGCGTCGTTTATAGTCATTTTATCTGAAATAGAGTGACTTGAATTGTACTCCGTCACACCGATCGTCAAATTAGGCGACAATAGGGGGGAGAGAAAATGTCGGTGTGGCAACCCTTTCCTATAATTGGTCAAGGCGGGTCTTTTGCGGCCGTGGTTTCCGAAGAATTTTGCCGCTTTGAAAAAAGTTCGGAACAAGTCGGAGTTTTGGCACAAATGCCTCATACTAATTTATGTCATACAAAATACCCCATTTGGTTAATATCGTCTCGTTTCATAATTTAACTGTCACAGATCAACAATAAGGTCCGTTTTATTCCTTCGCATGGATTAGGAAGTGTCATTTCTTTGTATTCAATTCATTTCTATTACCTTGTCTATGTATTGAAGTAAAACCTACTTCTTATATATTCAATTGTCATTTGATCGCTGCTGAAAACGCAACAAAGTACACATTTTTTCTTCTCACTGGCGTCTTTTTAACTTGCCCTCGTTTGAACATCCAATGTTCCATTGTTCTTTCGACGTCCTTATTGCATATCACCTCGATTTCACCAGTTGACTCTCGATCACTCTCTTAAGCTAACACTTTACCCACTTGATTAATTAAATCCCATATCGCCCTACGACACTTGTTTATGGCCATTGAAACTGTCTCGGTTGTCTGTGCCGTTCTGGGCGGATTCATCTTGCTATACGGATTATGCTCCCTCATTATCAAAGAGAAACTATATATTTCAGAAGCTTGTAAGTTTAATTTGGGGATTTCTCTATGGGGAGGACTGATAAACTAAATTTCGCCCGATGAATTAGCGGTCGCAATTGCTTGCGGCATCATTTTTGGACCTCTTTGCGCCAATTTCATTAATATCGATGACTGGGGTGGAAATAAGGAAGATCTCACGCGCGAATTCTCGCGAATCGTGATTGCCATCCAGGTAATTAAATGTTTTCTTCATTCGTCGAACACAATGCATAATATTTGCAGAAACCATCGTTTACTATCGTGTGATCCACCCTACTCATGTCTTTTTCTTTGATTTTAATTCGCAACAGGTCATGGCAGCCGGTGTGGCGCTTCCAAAAGCCTATCTGCGAAAAGAACTCTTGTCATTGACCATGCTTTTGATTCCGGTCATGATTTGGATGTGGTTGATCAGTGGACTTTGCGTATGGGCCATGATCCCAGGGTTAAATTATGTATGTTCGTCTATCACAGTTTGATTTCATCATGTGGGGTACTTAACATGGATGACTAGTTGGAAGCCTTGATGATAGCCTCCTGTTTCACTCCTACTGATCCTGTAAGTAGCGCATTTATATGTCCAGAGTTTCTTGTGTCGCCACGTGCCTAGTCTCATTCGCCTCATTCGTCTTCTTTTTTTTTTCCTTGATTCTACTAGATTTTAGCGAATTCAATAGTCCAGGGCAAATTTGCAGAGAAACGTGTGCCGCCTCATGTTCGTAATATTATTTCCGCGGAAAGGTAAGATGAACTTGCAGATAAAATCTTGAGGCATAGAAACGAATCTCATCTGTATGACTTAGTGGTGCCAACGATGGGTTGGGTTACCCATTCTTATTCCTTGCCATCTATCTCATCCAAATGCCTACGGGAACCGCCATTGGCAAATGGGCTTACGGGATTTGCGCTTTTCAAATCTTGCTTTCAATTGTCATTGGCTTTGTCGTGGGTTACGCTGCGAGAAAACTGCTTAAATACTCGGAAACCCAGTATGTTTTGGTGTTGGATTTTCCGGAAAAGACTTTGTAACTCATGTTCGCATTTCATTAGCAAACTCATAGATAAAGAATCCTTCCTGGTATTCTCGGTGGCGCTAGCAGTAAGTATAGAAGACTCCAGACCACTGCGGGGAACACAGATCTGATGATGATTGCTCTGTAGTTGTTTCTAATGGGCGTGGTCTCCATTATCGGAAGCGATGATTTGCTGGCTTGCTTTATTGCGGGAAATTCGTTCACTTGGGATGACTGGTTCCGTCAAGAGACAGAAGATGCCCATCTTATGAATGTGGTGGATATGCTTCTCAACCTAAGTATTTTCGTCTACATCGGCGCCACTATGCCTTGGTCTGCCTTTGGAAATGCCGATCTTCGACTTAGTGTGTGGCGATTGGTCGTTTTGGCTATCATGGTACTTCTGTTCCGACGATTACCCATCATTGCCGCCCTTTACAAATGGATTCCTGCCATTCAAAACTGGCGCGAGGCTTTATTCACTGGCTGGTTCGGTCCTATCGGTGTGGGGGCCATTTTTTACTACACTGTGGCCATCCAGAACTTCTCACCTACGGGCCCGAATGCCCACGCTCGCGAAGTGGTGGAACCGATCATTTATTTCATGGTACTAGCTTCTGTCATTGTTCACGGAATTACTATTCCTCTATTTCACATGGGAACTTTCGCCGGCCGTACCCTAACTCGTACAAGTGTCACATCGACGAATACGCATGTATTCTCTAAATTTGGTGGAGAGATCTTCAAGAAGAAAACCGTCACTTCCACGGAAGGTCCCGGCTATCGCGAGACCACGCAAACAGTAGAACAGGATCTCGGTGATGCGCCAGTAATGTCGGGGCCATCTCAGCCGCCTCGACAAACGGCTATCACTATTGTTACGCCAGATAATGTTCCTCATCGTTCTGGAGGACCGGGTCAAGAACGATACCAGCATGAAGAATTTGAAGAAGATACTGACCCGGAGGATAGTACTTTATATTTGCCCATGAATCATCCAGTGGAAAAAACGGTGAATTAATCTGCATGTGTTTTTCCTTTGAATGATTATTCCCAACTGGTTTGCATAATTACCCCGCATCATCTTATTTTCTTGGCATGATTACATAAACTATAGAATCATTGTATGACGCTCAAAAGAGCCCCCTTTGAACTCTTTTTAAATAAAAAGAGAAGCCGTGAGATATATTACAGAGAATGTTATAACTGGGTAGAGAAAAAGCTACAAAAGAGCGACGAACTATTTTTCCTATGGATACAGAGTGACGGTAAAAACAACAGCAATAAAAAAAAAGGGTGTTGTGTGTGTTTTTTTTTCTCTGGCTATGTGGTGCTCTGCATTGCCTTTCTTGCTATCTTTGCAATTTTGTCCACTTCAGATTTCGGTACTTTCGATCGTGCCAGGGCCTTCAGTAAATAATGCCAGGTAAGCCTATTGGGGGTCACATCCTGAGCTTGCATATGTTGATAGACCAAGAGAGCCATTTCCGCACTTCGGAAAATCGAACAACCTTGCATCAAAGCGGTGTAAGTGACAACGCTGGGTTTCAGTCCTTCCGAGCACATGTGTTTGAAAATGCCGATGGCTCTACCAATGTTTTCTTTGGCAAAGCATGATATTAAGGTGGTATAAGTGTAAAGATCCGGGTTGTGGTAGGTGGTCATTTGTTGAAAGAGGCGATAGGCATGCGATGAGTTGTTCATTGGTATGGTAGTGACACCGTCGGCGTCCGAAAGACCAATCGCTTCCAATACGTCGGCCGGTACACCGGAGGTCTTGCGAGTTGATCTATCGGCCTTTTTTCCACAAACCTTTAGCAAACTACTGTAGGCACGCAGATTCGGTTCGATTCCATCTCGCTTGATCGCCATGAACACACGGTACGCGATGTTGACCTCGTTATTCAATACTAAGCCTCGTATCACCATCGCCAACGTGATATCGTCCGGTACTCCATTCTTGCGCATCAGTGCAAACGCTGACAAAGCGGCCGGGATCTCGCGACATTTGAATAAAGCGTCAATCAGATGATGTTGTGCTCTCAGAGACGGCGCCGTGTCGGAATTCAACATCTTGTGTAAGCCGAAATTTTCGTAAACCTGATCGACATTTTCCGCTTCGCCAGATGCTATCACGAGATGGTTGACCATGATCTCGTTGACAAGTTCCGCATTCTCGTCGCATAATCGATCGAAAAATGCTCGGCCTTCGTCCAACGCTCGCTTGACCTTGACCCACATCAACGCGGCCCGAAACTGATCGTCCATTTTCCGAACGTCCATGTTTCTCTCCTCGAACCATTGACTTACGAGTTCTTCCGCCAAATCCAACCGTCCGTGTCGAATACTGTTGACCAGGATCGAGGTGGCCATGACTGGATTGGGCAACTGATTGATTCTGTCTTTGGATCGATGGTTCAGTAATTTGACCGCACTGTCGAAATCGCCCGCTCGACCGTACGCGTCCAGTAATGCTGCATAGGTCACGCTGTTCGGCCAGATACCATGTCGTTTCATTTCGTCAAATAAGCGTTTCGCATTGGCGGCGTCGCCTTTTTGTGCCAAGCTTGAAATTAAAGATGTATAAATATGTACATTGTAGTAGCTGCTGTCGTCGTTGGAAGGACCGGCTGCGTTTGCTCTTTTGATCGATTTAAGGAATTTCATGACGCCGTCGGTAGTGGTATCCTGGGATAAAGCGTACACCATCACAGAATAAGCCCTGGTCTCCAAAACTACACCGTCCTTTTGAACCCCTTCCAACATGAGTTGTGCTGCTTCCGCAGTCGCTTCAAGATCGTGCCTGCGACTGGAGGCGAGTGCCAACGATGTGTAGTGCGTGGTGGAGGGTGTCACACCGATCTCTCTCATGTAACGAATGAAATTGATCGCTTCTCGTACTTCACCGTGCCTTGCCATACCGTATAAAATTTGTGAGCAGCACATGGAGCTGATGCTGAGAATACCATCCTTGTGTGCCTTCTTGATTTGGTCCGCCACGACCAACATGTGCTTGAGACCATTTGGACCCGTTTCGTACTTTAGAATATTGAGCAATTGACCGTAATGATTGATGCGCATGAGATGTACCACGTCCAATTGAACCATTGCTTCATAAATTCTCCACGCTTTCTGCGGGTCATATTCACTTCCTGTATACAGTGCTGCCCTGAGCGATCTGAAAATTCGAGCTGGACCGAGCTGCTTCCGGTGATCCGTCAAGTATTTCAGTAATTCTGTCAAGTCACAACGTCCTGCAATTCGACGGGGCTGATAATATTTATCTGGATGAACCTTGTGCTGTTCACCGTTCTTTGGGAGCGATCCATTGGCACCGCTTTCTACTTCCACGAGACTCTGCGCCCTTTGTGAACTGCTGGCGGACATGGCCGATCGCGTTCGAGTTCGGAATCCGCGTTGGTGTTGCAAATTCGATGGTGAGCTAGCGGAAAGTGTCGATGAACGAGTGGTTGCTGGTCCGTCGACACCGACGCAACACCAGAAAAAAGGCAGTTCGTGATCGCTAGAATGGCGTTTGGTAGATGAAGGTTTTGCGGCTTGGCGAGAGAATGAGGAAGTGGTTCGCGAAAAGGTTCGGACATTGGTGCAGGGAGGTTGAGGATGAGGAGATAAGATGATGTGAAAATAACGCAGCCAGCTCCGTTGGTAATGTTGTTGCAAAGCGCAGGCGACAGCGGACTTGCTTCCTCCCACAGGAAGAGCAAGGGCGGAACGCATTTAGGTTTTGTTTGTCGATCGTTCTTGTAGGGATGTATAGGAAAACCAGACACCGCAAATAAGTAACGATAGCAAGCCAATGAAGAGAATGCAGTGCGATTCACGCAAACTATATTGGGTATCTATTTGAATAAACAAAAAATTTACGGGCACCTTGACAGGGACTCCTTTTTTTTTTTTTATCAAAATAGAAATTGGGAAAAAAAAAAAAAAAGATGCACGTCCGTCGCTGCCGCCGGACTCAAAGTATGACGTCAGTCACCAGAGATTGCACATAATGGGGGTTCTGCTAAATGCACATAGAGATTGCACATAATGGGACTGCTAAATTATCACTTAAAATTTCATTTTTTTGGGTGACGTAAGCTTATGTGAATTGTGACTTTTTATGTGCATGTAATGATGATCCGACAGTGTATCACTTTGAATACTTACTGTAAAAGGAGCTATGATATATGATGTTAGTCAAAAGGTTATAGATCAATTTTTGTGAGCAGCACTTACACAAGTTATACGAAAAGAAGTTTATAATCGGTTAGACAATAGTTTTTGCATATGTCTTCATGGCCGAGGTACAGTGGCGGGAGCTTGGCTCTGTGTTTTGGTTTTATAGTCACCAGATAAAAGTGACTGTAAGTTAGCTGGAGTATGGTCGGACGAGCGGACGAAGGAAAAGAGAAAAAAGGTACAAATAGGATGCTTTGCTGCTCACTATAAGTGGCAAGAGCAATGTTGTAAGTGTTTGCAGTTAAAGCACAGTAAGGAATCATAAACCAGAAAGCTTGAAGGCGTTGAGGTGCGTCAGTGCTGTTCAGTGTTGTAAAAAGTATTTTGACAGCCGTCGTTGCCAAGAGTACTAAATAAAAGTCCAATTTATCCTTCAAATGATCCAGGATATCTGATTTGACCAGCTGCCACCCCTGTTCGTTGCCTTCGACGCTATGTGCGATCGCCCGAAATCCACAGTTCCCATCCACTTCAAGTCTGAACATCGAAGAGGTTGACTTGTGACTGATGAATGAATGTACTACGTTCAAAGGACCACCTACCGTTGACCATTTACTTGGCAAAGAAAGTTGAGAAGAAGCGTTTTCTGGCATTACTGCAGAGGCTGTCAGCTAAGGAGAAGAACTGCAATAATCAACGCACATTAGTACATTCTCGTATAGATAAAAGCATTACTTACTCAACAGCTGATGCCTGTAGTTCTTCATATCTTTGCTTTTTCAGCCTTTTTTTCTTCAATTCCAGAATGAATCAATCCTCTTTTCGTGAATGTCGTCCCCTTTTTTTTCTCTCAATTACAATATTAACAATGGAATTCCAGAATTAACCATAACTGTTCATACAGCATACCACCGACACTTAATTTCTTTGGAGAGGGATTAAGCTTCTTCTTCTAACGATTATGCGACTGCGGAACTGGTCTAAGCGGTGGATCTGATTAACGTCTTCAAGTGAATTTACAATTTGTTCTATGTTGTATATCTTTTACGTGACTTTTCTTCTAAACGGTGCCAGGAGGTCGTTTGTACTGTACTGCTTTCAATAACCGCGTCGTGTACACTGGTTTCTGACGATTCTTGCGCAGGGTACATATGCTAACATTGTAGGATGAGTTGCATAGAGAATCGGTCGCCTCGTGAAATTGTGTGCCTGCTTCATGCCTATACACAGTGTTTCCTGTAACCAAGTTGAGGGCTAACAAAGAAACAGTGTGCAATAGTTGCGATACTACAGTTCATGCCTGAAAAGTAGAACACTCTCACAATGCTCATGTCTCTGCAGTCACCACATACAGCAGATCATCTGCAAAAACAATTCAAAAATACATATTATAATATGGTTGAAAATTTGTCAAGTAAGGACAAGTTTATTCTCGAGTCATCAGCATGCATGCATGTCCCAACAAAGATGATGAATGCTGATATATGAAAGCTCGAGTCTGTTTTTCCAGACGACTTGAGTGCGCATAATAATTTATCCTTTGATCTCTGTTTAAATGCTGTGTATTTTTGACAGCATTGAGTTGCCATTTTTGCTTGTAAGGGGTCGTAGTAACTGTCATGTAGCATCGCCTTTTCATCTGTCGTATTCATTCATCCTTTGGAACCGGTTTCCCATATAAGGAAGATCGGGAATTGTAATTCTACTAGGATCACATTTTTCCTTCAAATGTAAAAGGGAAGTTGTTCTCTCCAAGAAACAAGCTCATGACAAGGTTTGATGATAGAAACCAATTGAGGGGCAGTAATTTACTTGTTCATATATAATGTCAGATAACTTGAGTAAGTCATCCCTGGAATGTATGTGGCAACGTGACTGAATACAAGGTTGTGGAATAATTTGCATACTCCACAGCATTGATATTGCTTTTCCAAAATTTGGTTGATGACGCCTGTTATCATGATAAAAAAAATGAAAAAAAGAAGACATCAATTTATGCTTCGAAGTTTTCGTTTTGTCGACTTGCAGCACAGGAGGCATTCTGATCGGATAGCAATGCTATGGTAGGAACGACCTAATCGAGGCTTTGGATTGCTTGGTGTATAACTACTGCCAAACTTTGTTTACATACAAACCATCTCTGTGCATTCCGATGGGTAGCATAACAACACGCTCTTGAGCTTCGTTTGGACAGCTTTTCTTGGCTCTCCGATTCAGGCCCTTTGCATGCAGATATTTAATTTTGCTGATAAAAATAATTAAAAAAAAGCAGATCGTCAGTTTGGGATTGGTTTTCAAAGAAAGTGCACCGGTAGTTGCAAGCATGATTTGTTCATCGCGAACCTAATATGGTAGCCTCACCTTGGCTACACAATTTGCTGGTCCGATATCGTGGACACTGATTACGATAGTTTTTTCACGTTGGCACTTATGAGGACAAATGACAGGGTGAGGCAAGGTGAAGGGCATGATACTCTATCATCATCTGAGGTTAATCTGTCTTTATTCACTCAATAAAGAAGTAGTCGATACAGGTTGTGAGGACAACTCTTCCATGGTATGTATGATGTGGCACTACATACACAGGTCAAAGACAAAGACCTCAATGATTGGCAAAGGTATTTGTTACCGTGATGAATGCAGATACTACAATGTATCCGGTGGAGAACTGGTTCTGTCGGCATAAGACCGACATGGCATGCATCCACAGGCTATGTAGTGAAGTAAATGCCATCCGCATTACCATTGGTGCGTCGGTATATTAATTAATCACTGGAATATGCTGCGCGCTTACTGTAGGCTCGTACGAAGAAGAGCGGATTGGACCTCTGCTCTTTTGTCGAAGCAAGAAGGCAAAATTATTGTTTTAATACAAGCAGAGCCTTCGACCTTCCTTGGAAGTCCTTCCGGGAGCGGCGGCAGTGGAATGATGCGGACGTGGATAGATTGTATGATCTACATTATTTTATCACCGTAAGGGTACCTGGTTTTTGACAGAATATTGAGTGTGTTACAGTACAGTAATTAACATTCAATGTAGGCAGAGATAGACCCTGTTGCTCAAAAGAACAAAGACCGAATATTGCTAGGATATTTGTCAACCATGAGACGGGCTACTCAGTGTTATGGAGATTCAACAAAATTTGACTAAAGAACATCGGCCGGTCGACGTTGTCATGTTGCATTGGGTTACCTTAATGCAGCGTGTTTACCTTGGCAAATGTTTGTCCAATTACACCACGACACTCAACGTCAAAAGCCATTCAAATTATAATCGATTACATAAGGACTTCAAGAATAACAACGTCAGGCGCGGCGGTCAGCCTGGTTGCTGTTATGGCTGAGATTGAGTCGTACGTTAGATAAAAAAAACCAGTGGCATTCACTACATAAATTATTGGGGGGGGGGCCATTAAGATGCGTAGGCGCTTTTTCTAAACTCTGAAATACAATACAAAACTGTTTGGGTTTTATTGCTCTATTGCTTTTCCAGCACTTCACTTGGGTCGTATTTGCAGAAGACCCTAGAAAACGGCTAAAATGGGGGGGGGGGGAATATCTCTAAAGAGCTGCAAAACCGCCGGGCGGGCAACGGATCAGATTCCACTTGGAATCGTAATCGCTCCAAATAGACCATCCGAGTTCTTGATAAAGCTCGGCACGCATTTTCCAAGCCTTCTTTAATTCGTTGCTGTTGTCCGATCCGATACCAGCTTCGGAAATATACTTTTGCACCGTCTTCAAAGCTAGACCTGATCGATGCGTCAATCGATCCAATTTGACCTTGACAAGTGCAATACACAGATCAGAGGCATCTTCGCCCACCCACTGCTGCAATTCTTCCAGACTCGATTCAAGTTCTTGGCCGTCATTGACAAGTGTGACAGCTTGAGCCATGGTTTTGTTCTTCAAAGCGGCAATCACTTGTTGTTTCTTCTTGTCGTTTTCTTTGGTCTTTTCCTTTTGCTCCTCAGACGGATTTTCAGGCTGCTTGCGACCGTAAAACTCGGACAATTCTCGTCGATCAATCTGACCAAGAATCTTGTCCGCCAAACCTGCAATTTCCTTGGCTTGACTCTCGCCAAGTTTGTTTGGTGTGACAAGGCACTCAGCAGCACCACCTGCCGACGTCCAAATGGCATCGATCTTGTATTCGAGGAACTGAATGTCATTTCCGTGTTGAGATTCCAATTGTGATGCGATCGCTTTGTAAGCTGAAGAGTCATTGGCCGCCTTTTTGAGGTAGGTGATCTGCAAGTCTCTCATGGCATTCGCCAGATTCTTTTGCAATTCTACGTCTGTAGGTTTCTTGTCGGTTTTGTCATTGTCCTTCTTCGAATCCATAGGGTTGGGAGGAACTGTATACAGAAGTTTGTACTGGCCACCATCGACTTTGCTGCTCGTAAATGTGAGCGTTCCAACCAATGCATCACCAGGTTTAGCCTCCTTTGGTAAAGCGGAATCACCAGAAGGTGGAGCAATAAAGAATGCCTTGGCGTCTTTGCGTTCCAGGACCACCTTGGATAAGGTCGACTTGTCCGCATGATAGACATCAGAAATTGTGTTGAATGCATTAAAGTTCACCGACTTTACGTCCATATCCAGTTCGCATATCGTGGTCTTCAGCTTTTCCAGAACGCTTTCTTCTTCAGTCATCAGTTGAAGCACGATCTTATAGTCACCCTTCTTCTTCAGCTTGATATCATGAGAGTATACATCGAGATATCCCACCACTTGACAGTTGGCATCGTACACTATAAGAACATCCAACGAGGTCAGCATGGAATCCTTTATACCATTCTGTGCTCCATCTTACCAATGCCGAAGACGCCTGCCAGATAATGATCGTAAAGTTGATTCATCACTTGCGGGAAGGCCGGAGAAACAGTAATGCTGGCATCTACTTTGAATGCATAAGTGAGCACCAGCGAATACAGTAATTTGGTGCTTGGTAAGCTGTTGCGATCGGCAGCCAAAGGCGTCAATGTAGATTCAGTTGGTCGCAAATATCTTCGCACCTTGTCTTGAAGTTTAAAATAAAATAAAGAAAAAAAAAAGTCAAATCGTCAATCATCAATCCAAGGGCGCTGCAGACAGCCGCAAGTTATGATCTCGTCACTTACTGAAGGAAGCACTGATATCCACGTTATCTTCACGACGAATAGGTGCAATGACATCCAAGCGAGTGAGCTGAGGTTGAAGATGCAACGTGCTCTGACCGTCGGCAAGATTGCCAGCAATTTGCACACCGTGGAACTCAATGTTGATATCAACACTGTGCTTGCCAAGTGCCGACCAGAATTGAGCCAAAGCCACCTATATTAAGTGCATGAATTAATTTGTGCACCCCCATCGCACCCTCGTTTTCATATGACGTACTTCAAGATTCAGGCCACCACGGACAGCAAATCGTTTGGTGATCACTTGTTCTTCCGAGTGAGGGTCACTGTAAGAACCAGACCCAAGCATGAATGAATATTTTTGTCTATCCTTTTGACTCTTCTTGGGAATCAACTGCAAGACGTGAAGCATGAAACGAGCTGCACACGTTCCGACGGGCGCTTTAGCGCGTAAAGTTAAAGTTGCATAACAAGCTCCTTCCGGTACTTGAATGAAACGGCGGATGATGTCGCCAGGGTTGAAATCGATGCCTTTATAAAGCAAAGAACCGTTTTCGGGAGTGATAGGTTTGATGACCGAGACCGGAACTTTGAAAAGGGGGCCACGTTCAGGATTCTTTGTATCATAACCAAGCACTTCTCCATAATGGAATTCGCCTTCTTTGAGCGCGGTAGGATCGACCTTGATCTGGAAAGCATTTCCTATACATTAAGAACAAAATCATCGTATAAATAAAGGAAAATAACGAGAATGCCAAGGTTTTCTTGCGACTTACCGCCTGAATGAAGGTAAAGATAATCAGGAGTGGAAATCCAAGAAGTGCTTGCTATCAAAGCGATACGGGCTTCATAGTCGAATTTGGCACGATTGTAGATGGGATTCAAAGGATCTTTTTCGCGCATAAAAGTAGGATTCACCTTGACAGCAAGATACTGCACTTGGCTGGTTTCCTCGGATTCTCGCAAGTAAACACCTCGCTGCGTTCCTCGCTTAACCACAGTCACCTAGAGATACCGGCATATCAATACCATTGTGATCATTGGACTTTCTGAGATCTCATCAAAGTTACCTCGAACAAAACGTCTAGATCTGAACGATCCTGATAGGTTTCAAGGTATTCCCATGCTTTCTCCACTTGAATAAAGCCAACATTTTGCGGGTCATTGACGGATTTGGCAGTCTGAACGACGGCGGTCTTTAGGCGGAAAGGCGTAAATTGGCGTTTCTCGGCCTTGAGCGCGGAAACCATCAATGCTATGCAACCACATGCATTCGGGCTGTGAAGAGCGTCAGCGTTCATCAATCGGAGCGATTGGGGAGCGTGATGTATTTCTTTTACCTGGACATACTGGTGCCATTCTTCAAATCAAGCTTGCTAAGGCCATACATAGGTACGCTTGTAATTGCACTTCCTGGGGCATAGATATCGACGCCATTGTAGCCATCAGAGCAAGGACCCTTGGAAGACCAAGTATAAGGCTGTTCCTCAAAAGATTCAAGGAGCGCATATTCGGCCTGCATTTGCGCGTGCTTCACATAAGCGCCAACGGTAACAAAACTGGCATCCATACCGGCAGGTGCACCAATGGAACTGTAACAAGGGCCATCATTACCGGCACTTGTGACAAAAATACATCCGCATTTTCGAACGGCTTCTTCGGCCAACAGTTTGATGAAATGACCATCCGTAGGTAAACCATTGGGTTCGCCGAATGACATATTGGCCAAATCAACCTTATTAATAGCCAAATGAGCTGCAGCACGAGTAAGGCCGGGACCAGTCTCCATAGAATCCAAGCGCGCATCACCAATGCGAAGCGAGACAATTTGTGCACCGGGGGCCACCTATCACATCCCATCGACAGTATTTTAGTATCCGACGACAATAAACACGATTAAAATGCAAACATCTTTTTTTTTCTTGTGAACCTTACACCATTCAATGCCGGCTCTTCGGGGAAATTGGCAGCAGCAATCCCAGCAACGTGTGTACCGTGGCTACCTGACAATGTCACAATGCTACACGATGGTCTGTGATTAACATTTCTCTCACAGGATCAAGCTTACGCGCTCATCACCCAACTGTACCTCAACAGATTTCCATCTTCATAAATATTCACAGAGAAATTGAGGAGATCCTCTTCCCCAAAAGTGTGATACTGCAATTCTTTACGGTAATCGGTCATTGTTGGCTGATCTGAAGGAGAAAAAAGAAAAAAAGTCCAAATATGAATATTTTCACCGAAAAAGGCAATCTCCTCCTATTAGGGAAGTCCGCGGGGCCAACGAACATTACCTCGAAGATCTCCCGACTCATTCACGTCGATAACCGCTCGCCAATCCTTGCCATCAAAGAACAAAACGCAATCAAGCATAACACCTGGATCATCGTACGATTGCATTTGTTCTTTCAAAAGTTCGATTTGGGCTTCCAGGTCCAATTTCTCCTTGATAAGATTTTTATCGGTGGTTTTGCTGTTCTTCTTTGTAAACTCAGCCAAACGAGCTTGAGCTGTACTGAGGAGATGGGCATGTTTAACCTCGAAAGCATGACGACGGTCCTACATGCATGCGAAACAGTTTTAGTTATCCTGATTTGTCCTGGGTTAATCTCTCCAATTGCATCTACTCACGTCCTTCAAGCGACTCGTTAATCCAGAAGGGAATAACTCATACGCTCGCTTTAAACCGATTCTGTACTCTCCCGAAGGATTTTTCCAGTCTGGCTTGATGATCAATTTGCGACCGCTCAAACCCTGGATAACCTGAACTTTTTCCCCATTGACAGTATCTTCAGATGGCCTGACAACGGTGGTCGTAATAACATCGCCTGTAGACCGCTTAGTATCCAGCGTACAGCAGGAACAAGCTCAGTTACTCCATTTACCTCCACCCGTGCAATCGACCAAGTCAATAACTTTTGGTTTGCCGTCAGAAGTGACCTATTCATCCTAGCTTGAGTCACGGAATGACAGACAGCACCTCGACCCAAGCTTGTCACATTACCTGCATGCCAGCAGCTCCAGGATCGACACCTATGGCTGAGGTTAAAGAATTGCAGACTAATATGCTCAGGATAAGCCAAGTTACCTGTGTCAAGGATTGCGATGACAGTGTCACGGCCGTCATAGGAGGGAAACTTTTTCATGAAAGCAGCGGCTTGCGTATCTTGTTTAGGCATGAGCCCATCCACTGGATACTCATTGATGGGCTTTTTGAAACTGGAGCTCATGTGAAATTTTAAAGTTGGCGCACAAGAAGAGTGAGAAAGAGAAAAAAAAACGCACACGCTACGGAAATGGCTACCGGGAGTCATCTGGGCTCCGCTTGTCGCATCCTTATTCTGGATTTCAACGTCCGATCGCCAAGGTTCAACAGCAGCTGCCCCATTGAAAAGTGGCTGCCTTTGTATACAGCGGTACTCAACTCGCTGTGAAATTTTGAGGACTCTATTGGGCAGGGTATGGTTCACTGACAACTTAAAACATAAAGAAGTTTCCTCCTTCTCTATGACACAACCATAAGATACATGGTATACTTTCTCACATTTACAGGATAGTCCAGAATAGCTTGTTCTTTTAAATTTTCTATTGTTCGAAAAGGACCGAAAAAACCAAGATGGAGGTCATCTCAAAAATAACAAGAATACCGTAATAAACGCCATTTTTAACCATAGAAATTCCCATCAACCGGTAGTGAATTATTGAGCTTATGAATACACCTTTATGAGCAGAACATGAAAAAACCCACGTTTGTTTTTTTCCTCATAGAATCTTATAAATTGGGCCAAATGGTGGCGAAATCAAAGGTATAGGTTTGGAACATCATACGGATCTTTCGTTGTCATTATCTGTTGTTGCCTTTGTAAAGCGGTTAGAACAAGAAACCGGCAAGTCCAATGAATCAAGGTCATCCGTAATTTCGAAACACTCCAATTTAAACAAACAAGGCAGGGTCAACGTGATGGAGAGGAGAATAGATGAAGCTTAAACAAACCGGCGCATGACAGGGCTTCATGTGTCAGACGGGAAACATTTATTTTTTTCTGCAATGTTTTGCATTCTGTTTTCTGGATGTCTGATGCCAACATGATGCCCAGTCGCACAAGTTTTCGATGTCGCGTTGTGGTGACATTTTTTCCAGGCACGGTTCACCAAAACGACCATCAAAGCAAAACAATAACATCACATGAAATGTATGATGCATACAGTAGTAAACTATAACATCTGATGATAGCTCTAAAGGCATGAAGGGCAGGTTGACATATCCTCATGACTTGAGTTCCTGATCAAAATGATTTATTGTCTCAAAAATTAATGAGTTCTCTTATGGATTGGGAGGATGTTGTGGAGGAAGATTTAGACCAAAGAAATTTCCGCCGGAAACTCGTCTGACATCGCGTCTGGGCAGACTTCCTGAAGATGACCCGATGGATTCTAATATGATCAATGCATTAAGAACCCCAGATGAACAGCAAGTAAATAAATCATGTGCTTTTTTTTTTACCTGATCTCTGTCTGCTCTCAGCGATAGGCTGAGGTGAAGAAGCATTAGCCGAACCTTCAGCAGGTGATCCAGTATTGTCCAGCTGCAGTGGAGGGATAGCATTGATATTGATTCCGGTTTTATCCGACATGAGCGACCGCTGTGATGATGTGGACGTGGACCGATTGCCCTAAAAAAAAAAAGTCAAGTTGATTAGAATCCGCAGAAATTAATCAGAATTCTGAATCAACGCATGGCACTTACTCTTACTTGACGGCTAGGGGATGGTGGTACGGATCGGAAGACAAGTGGAATACTAACCATTGGACATTGTTGTAATTAATTACATGATATGTTCTTTTGCGGTTTTCTTTGCATATATTTACCCTTCGTCCGAGGGAATATCATCTGTGGGCATCTTGTGCTGTTTGCGAAATTGAAGCAGTTCACTCTTGTACTTGTTGCACTGTTGTGTTTTGCTCAAGACTAATTCGAGTAGATCGTCAATTAACGTGCTGCAAGTTAGCCGCTTGCATGATCGACACCTACATTCTTTTTCCATTTCGTTGGTTTTGTTTTTAAGAGAAGCGATCTCGGCTAACAATGTCTCTACCAAGCCTGAAGGGGTTTCAGCCACAGCTGCACCATGCTGACCCATCCATTTTTTGGGACTGCAGAAATCCATCGACAACGAATAGTTAGGTGCTTGTGACGGATGAATGATGAGAATAAATACGTACTTTAGAGATGGTGATGTTCCTGAAGACAAGGCCGCCGGTACGGTAGGTGTGTCCTGCATGAGAATGCGCGGAGAAGATGCTTGAGACATGCTTTGCTGACTTCGTAGTGAATCCAGTTGCTTTTGTAACTTGTTCACAATGAATTCTTGTTCTTGCTCGAGAGCATTTTCCATATCAATTTTTTCTTTTTGAAGCTGTTATTTTTTGGAAAGGGGATTTGATTTTAGCCAAGGCATAAGATATTCAAGGTAGTATGGTAATGCAGCTTGGCATTTGTGAGAGTAACTTACCCTATTGAGCTTCTTTTGAAGCATGTTTGTCATGTACTCTTCTTCTTGCTCGACTTGTATTAACAGCTCTCCTTTTTCTTTCTTTAAACCGGTGATACGTTTCAGAAGCTTATTAGAAATGTATTCCTCCTCTTGTTCCGCCAAGGCAGTCTATCCGCAGCCGAGAGAGAGCAAAATTCAAGGGTCAGCGTCATGGTCGATTCAAAAGACTTATTCATGCCTTCTAATGGTGTTTTTGTATTAGTTGAGCGTACCATATCCACTGTCATTTGTCTCAATCTTTGATTGTCATGGCGTAAGATATTAACATGTCCTTGCTCCATTTCCAGGTCAAACTCAAGCTTTTTGATACGAGCTTCTTGTTCAACGCATCGTTCGTGTAATTTCTTTGTTTGTGACTTTAATTGATCCAATTCCAAGATATTCATAAGATCATCCAATTGGAACATTTTTTCTGTTTGACTGTCAATCATTTTTGTCAACATAAATAATAGGAAAAGGAAAAGTGGGTTATATTTATGGGGGATGAAAATGACACCTACCTGGTGCCGGACTGCAAGCGACCTAAAGTTGCTTGAAAGGTATCTGCACGAGACTGCAGCTCCGCTTCCAACGAAGCTTTATCTTTACGTGTCTATAATTGGTATGAATGAATGTCTATTCAGAAAGAAGAACCAATGCTATAATCTTACTTGTTCCAGCTGTTCACGAAGTGAGTTGTTAAACGCTTGCTCGTTTGAATAAAGATCTTGCTAAAGTTCCAAGAAAAAAACGTCAGTATAAAACTATGAATACTCTGTCACTTTTGCGTAACACGCTTCCATTTTGTTGAAATTGACTAGTCCCCTTGTCTTCTCAAAAGGGCTCAAGGGACGAGGGAATAAAAGAAACGGTGAAAATGGTACCTTGTTGGCCATCTTATCAGATGGTGCTGGCGTCATATGAGACTCAGCGGATGGCAGGGAGTCTGACTGAAGGTGAGTTGATGACGAGACTGGTGAGGGATTGTCGGACATGGTTGTGGCAAAGGTAAAAAAAAAAAAAAAAAAAAGTCAACAGTAGTAAATAGGGCGAGCACGAGATATGGGTCACCAGAAGGGAAATAAGAAAAAAAATAATGAGGCGATGACTCTTTCTCGGCAACGCTCAGGTGCAGTCTGGGTTTCATTCTTTGACACCCACACACGCATGCTTTTTTCACTTTGTTATTCCAAAAATCAATGACGCTCTTTGCGAAATTTATGTCGTGTGAAGTTTTTCTGGATTTGACGACTTTTTTTTTTCTTTTCCAATTTGAGACAAATTCTGCAAATTTTTTTCAAATCATGCACAGCTTTTTTTTCGTTTGGCATTCGATGCTTCGAATGCCGGGAAGAGAATGGGACACGCCCTGAATTCTGAATTTTTTTCTTATTTGACGTCAGAGCCACGACATCTTTTTTGCTTGAGATCATTCATGCAAAAGAGCCACTTCATAGCAGTTAAAATTTCCTTCTAAAGTAAGGGCGATCAAATCAAAAGTAGAATGGATCGCAAAAATAAAATAATTGCAAAGTACTGAAGTTGGCTGTGATAACGGACATGTCCATGCGATGGTTTGAACGGACCATCTTCAGTAAGAATCTAGATTCTGGGAAACTATGGTTCAAAAACATATCAAGATGTAAATGTTTCGACATTAGAGTAAATTTCCTTTTTCTGATTGTTGCACTGGAAGTGTCTTTGTATGAACCGAAAAGCAAGGAGAGAGCATGACATTTATGCCAATCAGAGATTTTTCCGCAATCTCAAAACTACTCAGTTAGGAAATCTACTTGCTTTGGATTCCCTTGCAACTGACTGACTTCCCCAAAAAAGATACAGATCACCAATCAACTGTTTTTCCGAGCTTTCAGAATCTGCATTGCCCATTTTTCTGCTTTCACCAACCGAAAAAAAATTTCTGTATTGTATATAAACCTCAGTCTGTTTCCTTTTGCGAGAAAACCAAACCTCAGTTTTTTCTTACTCTTGGTTATTTCGACTTTATTATTTCCATCAAACTCATTCTAAGTCATAATGGACTCAAGTTCACCAAATGTCGTCTCCCTCATGTCACTGAAAGGGAAAGTCGCTGTTGGTATGATTTCGAACAACGGTCATCAGAAACCCTTTAATTTTCTGATTTCTGACTTTTTTTAATGATTTTAGTGACGGGTGGTGCTCGAGGCTTGGGATATGAAATGATGCGTGCATTGGCAGAAAGTGGTGCATCCGTAGCCTGCATCGATTTGTTAGCTGAATCAGGCGCTGAAGCCGTTGCAAAAATCGAATCTGAATGTGGTGTCAAGGCAACAAGTTGGGGTTGCGACGTAACCAATGATGAAGAAGTGGCCATGCTCTTTGATCAGATTGTGCAACAGCATGGTGGTTTGGATATCCTTGTTACCGCGGCAGGAATCAACAACGTCTGTCCTGCCATTGATTACACCGCTGATACGTTCCGTAAAATTTTTGATGTCAACGTCTCTGGCACGTTCTTCTGTATGCAGCAAGCGGCAAAGTAAGTGTTTGTTCGTTCCGAATTGAATTTTTGCAGAATCCTTATTGATACAAATTTCTTTTTGGGTTAGACATATGATACGTTTGGGCACAGGTGGCTCAATCATCACCATTGCGTCAATGTCCGCTCATATCACGAATCGTCCACAATGTCATGCTCCTTACAACGCTACCAAAGCCGCGGTTCTGCAGCTTACCAAATCACTGGCCTGCGAATGGGCCCCTCATCATATCCGAGTCACCGCCATTTCCCCGGGTTATTTCGACACAGCAATGAATCGCGCGGTATTAGCTCAACAAGGCGAAGAAGGCACAAAAATGCGTGACATTTGGGAAGCTAATACTCCTATGGGTCGCATGGGAGTTCCTCATGAACTTAAAGGTGTTGTTACATTCTTGGCCTCCGATGCTGCTTCCTTTGTTACCGGATCCGAAATCCTTGTTGACGGCGGTTATACCGCCTGGTAAAAAAATACCTGTGCGGCTTTCTTCATCGGGTCAAAAAAAGCCTTTTTGACCTCTCGATAATTTGATATTTTTACCACTGCTTTACCTGCAGTCAACCGAACCGAAAAAAGAAAACACATACTTGCATGTTCTCGATATTTACTCTGTAATATAACCCACATTCCTTCGGCAACTTGTATTCCTTGATTATTGTTGTTCTCAAAAGTTTTTTTTATTATTTTTTTTTTTGCTCTGGGAAAAAATGCGATCTGCAACTTTGGTAAATAAAACTTTACACCAATCAAGTTGGTTGCTTAAAATTTCCTTATTTTCTTTCGAGACATGTCCAATATTGAGAAACTAAACATTACACAAACAACAACATACGACAAGCACGAATGATAATATGATATATTCGCTACATGCATTACGTAAAAGCTACAGAATCCAAAATCCCCAATGCATAATTGAAATCCTTAATCATGTAAAGTTACAACATGAAGGTGTCTTTTTTGCGATGGAAATATCCGCGTTGCCATGGATCAAAAATAGTAAAACACTCCAGCTCTCACTGGCCAATTAAAACGCCGACATGAGCCAACACGTACCGAGGCACTGAACGCATCCCGCATCTCTTCAATTTGGACAACAATCATGACCGATGCAAAATTCAAGTTGAACGATGCAAGTGGCCTACACTGAAAAAAATTGCTTGACAGGGGTTACTGTGTATGAATTAACGTTGGACTGAATATTAGACCCTTCTCGAACCATACCATTACTTGTGTGCCCATCCTGGCAAAGATATCCGATCCAAGCTCATTGCCGCTTTCGACGCTTGGCTTCATGTTCCCAAGGAAACCTTGGCCGTCATTACCAAGGTTATTGAAATGCTTCATACAGCAAGTTTGATGTACGTCCCCCAATGATCCTCAAGGACTACTTGTTACACACTTTGCTCATTGCTGTGGTAAATGGCGGTTAGGATAGACGACGTTCAAGACGGTTCGGTATTACGACGAGCTGTTCCCGTAGCCCATCTTATCTACGGCGTACCGCAGACGATAAACTGCGCTAATTATGTCTATTTTTTGGCGCTTCAAGAAATTCTCAAGCTCAACCACCCTGCCATGGTTACCATCTACACCGAAGAATTGATCCATCTGCACGAAGGACAAGGCATTGAATTATTCTGGAGAGATACGCTCACATGTCCAACGGAAGATGAGTACATTGATATGGTGAATAACAGTAAGTTTTATGCAAAGCAAATCTTCTTTATTGGCATGCATCAAGTTGATGTGCGTTTATGCAGAAACGAGCGGTCTTTTGCGGTTGGCGGTTCGATTAATGCAGGCAGCAAGTGCCAGCGACATGTGAGTTCCAGTCATGCCCCAGTATTTGTGAGTGATGGAATTAAAACACTTTGGTTCTTTAGTGATTATACGCATCTTGTTAATCTTATTGGGATTTACTTCCAAGTACGCGATGATTACATGAATCTCCAATCCGATACCGTAAGTAAACCCCCACATGGTTCACACATATAAAAAGAAAGGCGTTATCGATCTACTTTGTAGTACTCTGAGAATAAGGGCTTTTGCGAAGATTTAACCGAAGGCAAATTCTCATTCCCGATTATTCACTCCATTCGATCTGATTTGAGCAACCGGCAATTGCTCAACATTATCAGCCAAAAACCCACCTCTGTCGAGGTAAAGAAGTACGCACTGGATATCCTGAAACGGACAGGTAGCTTCCAATATACTCGCACATTCTTGACAGCAAAAGAAGCAGCGGCACGGGCAGAAATTGAGCGTCTCAAAGGAAACAAGTTGCTGGAAAAAGTGTTGGACGCGTTGACGGTCAAAGAATAAAATTCAATCCTTGTGGGACAATAATGAACCAGCTTTTTTTTTATTCTTTATATTATATATATACATACTATGCATCTTCCTCCTCCGCATCCTGTTCTAGTTCATCTTGTTCTTCGTTAGTCTTCACAGTGCTCTTATCTTTCTTGACAGTATATTTCGTAGTAATGATCGCTTCTTCAGGGATCGTGCCTTCTGCGTTGAGATATTTGTAATCAGGCCCAAAATGCGAATCTACAGACAACAAGAAAGTGTCGAACCTGTCCAGGAGAAAAAGTACACAAATAAGTATAACTTTTTTCCCTCTCACAAACACATGATAACTTACCCTCGTTCTTCCTTTTCCGCGGCGAAAATCTTTGAGTAAATCCATTCTTGTTTGAATGCATCAATTGTATCCTGATCATTACAATATACATCAGAATTGACCCTGCTTAAAAACGTTGGTTCTCCTTCTTACCTTGTATTTATCAAAGTCAATAGCATCACGGAACTTGTTGTCTTTTTTACTGACCGCTCGTCGGTTGTAAGCATCAAATACCGGTCGCTCCAGGAGCAATCCTAGTGCGGGTGCTTTGGGAATATTGATTCTCTCGGAACCGAAGCTTCTTTCAATAAGTGACAGAGGCGTCTTGGTACGCACCACAAGAAGAGCCATGGCTAATAGATATCCTTTGTTAATTCGACGTGTCTCTTTTTTGATTTTTGGCAAGGGAACCACACCAAGCCAGCCATATTAAGGAATACTTACAGATCATCTTGCGAATTTGATGGAGCATGAATGATTGACCGTGCAATTTGACGCTAAGCCATTCCGTGTCATTAATGTAGATAGGATCGCCCACCTAATTAACGGCAGTAAGTAAAAGCCTATCTTACATTCAACGACCGACTTTTTTTCCTATACCCACATTAATACTCATAATGTATCGGTTGGAGCTTCGATCATTGTAACCACGGCCGATAGTGTAATTGTGGAAATTATGGGTTCCCTCAAACATTTTCAACGCTTCTCTGAATTTTGTCAAGTCATTGGTATCGATGCGATAAGCTTCCTTTTTCGCCATCTCTTCGTCGGTGCTGCGGGAAATATAGCGGATCACATCGCTACTGTTACCCATCAGCTTCAAATCCGTTTCGGAGGTTGGCGCTTCTTTCAATTCTTTTGGTGAAGGTGGCATGAACGCATAAGTCGGCAACAGATATTCATAAACGCGAGAATCACATCCAGTCTTTGCGTGGAATGAACGAATCGTAGGAACGTAACCTTAATAGGGGCCAACGCGGTCAGACCGTCTTCCCAATGAGCAGCATGGGCTCTTTAGACTTACCCCACACACGAATTTGTTCCGGCAAAAAGGAATTGATTCGAGGCACCACATCACTTTCATCTTCCGGAATACCCATTTTCAACGATACGACATTACCAGCAGCATGCACACCTTTATCTGTACGAGCGGCTCGCATCCATTGGACCTGAAAAGCACGGTGGTCAGATCATTGTGTCTAACGAATGATTCAGGTAAGCTTATACCTTTTTCGGATCTTCCGAATTTGCCTGCGAAATGACACCGGCTTTGCACATCGCTTCAAACAACACGCTCTCAATGGTTCGAACACCAGGATTACTTTATGCATATCGCATGTGAGTTGACAAAAAAAAATTACTCGTCACAGAGATGAAATTCAGCTTACATTTGCATGCCTTGGAATCCAGTCCCGCTGAACCCGATAAGTAATGCGACTTTTCGCTTCGCCAAACGTGGAGTGCTGACTGCAGGTGCGTCATTTTTCTTGGCTTCCTCTGTGGCTTTCCATGAGTTGTTGTTGCGAAAGTGAGCGCGACGTTCCTTGGTGGTTTTCTTGCGCTTGACGGTCTGTTCTGCAGTGGTTGTTGGCTCTTCATCGATGGCCCGCTTGTTTCCATTCACTGGCGTTTCGTCAGGCACCACCCCCGGTTGCTCGTCGGATTGTTCTCTCGACCAGATGCCACCCATGTTTCCTTATTTCTGTAAAGTGATGGCACACAGTGGGGGGGCAAAGAAGTTGGGGAAAAAAGAAGAAAGGCTAAAACCCCCCAAGGTGAGACATGCCAAAATTGTTGTCCGATTTCTCGGTGGCTTAGCGTTATGCTTCCGGTCGCTTGTGCCGTATTTGTGTAACCGTGACGGGCCATTACTTTTTTTGGCGCCACTCTTGCGGCTTCTTTCTTCTTGGCCGAGTTTGGAAGGTTAATTGAGTCTTCAACGACCAGCTTTACGCCATGGACAAAAAACCTAAGCGCAGTAACATCGCTTACGATACTACCATATGGATATTCAATATCATGTTGGATATCTTTTTTCGTGAAATTCGTCCGCGAGGAGCTCACAAAATTCCCAAGCACGGGCCCGTCATTTTCGTCGCTGCTCCCCATGCGAATCAGGTAATGACCATTTTTTTTCGTGCACATGCTTCAAGGTGACTTCTTCATATATTGCGTGGTCTTTAACTCATGGTGAAAATGTTGGTACCCTTTTTCACGTAGTTTGTGGATCCCATGATTGTCATGCGAGAGTGCAATCGTCGTGTATCTTTTCTTATCGCCGAAAAATCCATGCATCAAAAAACAGTCGGCTTTTTTGCACGCATGGTGCACGCCAGTAAATATCCCTTTTTTTGTTGCTGTTACGGTTGTAAAAAAAAAAAAAAAGATGTAATTGACAGACTATGCTTAGTTCCGGTGGTGCGTCCTCAAGATATCGCAGAAGCCGGTCAGGGTCGTATTCAGCTATTGAATCCAAAGACGGAGCCGCGTAAAATCTCGGGCAACGATACAAAGTTTTTGGCTCAACTTCGTCCCAATGACTTTATTGTTCTCCCTCGGAATGCGGGTAAACTTGAGGTGGTCAAGGTGATCTCCGATACCGAATTGGAGATTAAAGCAGATGTACGGGACGAAAAAGCAATGAATGTGTTGATCAATCCAGAAGGAACGGCATATAAATGTGTGCCACACGTTGAACAAGACTCTGTTTATGAACGAGTGTATGACGAATTGAACAATGGTCAATGCATTACCATCTTTCCCGAAGGAGGCAGTCACGACCGTGCAGAAATGTTGCCTTTTAAAGGTAAGATCTGCTGAGTTTGTACATCACAGGATGATCCACATTATATTCAAACTCTTTTTTTTTGGATTACATAAGCTGGTGTGACTATTATGGCCCTTGGCGCCATGGCCAAATATCCCGGTTTGGATGTCAAGATCGTCCCTTGCGGTAGGTTTTTTTTAATTAGTTCTCGTAAACTCCTGCTTTCTTTTGCACTGATACATTTTGTCATTCAAGGTCTCAATTATTTTCATGCTCATCGATTTCGTTCCCGAGCTGTCATTGAATTTGGCAACCCTATTACAATCAGCCCAGAGCTCGTCGAATTGTTTAAACTTGGTGGCTCGCAAAAGAGAGAAGCATGTCAGCAACTGTTGGACACCGTTTTTTATGCTTTAAAAACGGTCACAGTCAACGCAACGAATGATCAGACGCTCATGGTAAGACAAACCTGACAGCATACTCAACCGCCTGGTGTGAGGCTAACGAGTCATTATGCTGTAGGTGATTCAAGCAGCTCGAAGACTGTATAAAACGGCGAACCAGAACCTACATATTGCGCAAGTGGTCGATCTCAATCGACGTTTTGTAATTGGATACAATCTGTACAAGGATGACCCCACCATTATTGAATTGAAACGCAAAGTGCTCGCTTACAACCAACTGTTGAAATACCACGGATTGCGAGACCATCAAGTACCTGAAATCAATCTCCGGGAGTGGCGTACCTTTTTCCTTTTATTATATCGAGTGATGGTTCTGGTGATTTGGGGCTTGTTGGCATTTCCAGGGTAAGTAAGGAAAAAGTCAAACGAAATGCGCGGGATGGCCACACGCTAAAAGTTCATCATTATGCAGAGGTATTCTCAATTTTCCGATTGTGGTGATTGCCAAAGTGATTAGCACGAAAAAGGCTAAAGGTAAGATTTTGATGGACATGGGATGAAGCAGAACTACCCCCTAGTAAACGCTGTTATTTTTGCTGACAGAGGCGCTGGCGGGTTCATCGGTGAAAATTGCTGGACGAGATGTACTGGCCACGTGGAAATTCATTGTTGGTCTTGTCGTGATACCCTTGCTTTATGGTCTGTACAGCTTATTGGTGTTGGGTTTTGCTTTGAGAACAAACTGGACTTGGACTCAAAAGATCCTGCTCCCCATCGCCACGTGGAATCTGCTGCCCTTTGTCAGCTACGCCAGTTTGCGATTTGGTGAAAATGGCATGGACGTCTACAAGTTTGTATTATTTTTCCATGGATGATCGATCTGCCGATGAATTTGCACACAAGCTTACAGATACAATATAGATCGCTTCGGCCCTTGTATCTTGCGTTAACCGATCCAGACAGTACGACTAATTTGCGTCACACACGAGAAAAATTATCGCAGGACATTACACGCATTATCAATGAATTTGGACCCAAAGTATTCAGCGATTTCGATCCGCAAACAATCGAACAAAGTCGAAAATCGGCGTCCGAACTGGCAGAAGGTAGCAGCACCTTTTCACAGATTGCTAGTCGATTTCTCAACAGTGCGGCATTGGATTGGTTGGATGATCGCAATATTTTCAACTGGAGTAAACAAGAAGACTCCGATACAGATGAAGTGCTCTATTTCCTGGACAAGCATGGATCTATTAGCACGTCTGCAAGCGAAGCGGAAGGTTCAGGCTTGATGCGAAAGGATCGGCGCCGAAATAGTCGCTCTCACTTCAAGAGTGCTTGATCATGAAACCAATTTTCATAACGTACCATCGCATTTCTTTATTTATAACATGTATTCTACACTATTCTAGATGTTTTAAGGTCTGCGCCTTGTCATAGAAAACAATAACAAACTATCATTGGAATCTTTTGTTATATACCTACCTACCTTTATCAAAATGTTTGGGAGTTATGCGCGCTAATTTTCAGTCACAAGGCGGTCACATTAGTTTTTTTTTTTTTTTGTAGGCGCGCAATGTGCGTCGAGTTTTTATTCGTAACCACGTCCTAAGAAGAGGTGGAGGGAATGAGGCGTAGCAGAAATTAATTTCAGAGGGCAGGTAGCTGTGATTCAGCGATTCGTCGTGAGATCAACTTGTGGATGCGGTTGATTACTTCTTCAGGATTGAATACAGTGTGATGGAAGATAAAGGCCCAGTGAGCCGACAAATCCCCTGAGGATGGCTTCAATGATTACAACACTCTTACAGTTGGGAGGATCGCGAGGGAAATCGAGCTGATAGAGTGCCTTAAGGATCTGCGTTTCGTTGACTGGGAGGAGCAGTAGATCGGGCCATACACTCTCCCACACCACTCGTTTAGGGGGGCGCATTGGTATAGGAAGTGAACGGGAGTGTCAGTCGAAATAGTGCAGAGAGGGCACTGGTCCGTGAGGTGAACGGTCGGAAGTAGTCGGTGAAGGGACGTGCGACTAGGTAATTTCGAATGCAGGATTCGGTACCATAAGTTGCGGGTGACTGAGGTTAAAGAAATAGACCAGAAGCGGGCCCATAGCGTCAAGGTGGGGGCGGGGGTCTCATGGGGATGATTGGCAGCCAGAATCTGCCGTCTAAGCGTTCTAGGGCGAGCGAGCATGAGGTCGAGAGGGCCAAAGGACCACCATGGGAACAAGCATTGGGCATCAATTGTCGTCGAGGCGGCAAGGAGTTCGTCTGAGGTGATTGGGGCGGGAGCGCAGGCACTGATCACGAAAGGCCGAAATAGGATCTGCCAAGAGTCCAATAGCTTCACGAGTTGGGCGATGGCGCGTCGACGCCGAGGAAGCTCGTTGCGATGTTTTCGACGAAGGCAGTTATTAGGTGGATCAAAACTTAGCACATCAGACACCAGAATGCATTGCCGAGAGGCTGCAGCAATCACAGACACCACGGGAGCAGTGTGTGGTTGTGGGGGTTTGAGAATGGTATCCAACAGGGGTAGTTGTAAGATGATCTTGGGATCGATGGTAGCCTGAATGAGGTTGTCTTGAAAAAGATCCATGGTAGCGCATAGGTTACCAACAATGGAAATAGGAGTAGTGAAAAACCGGGGACGCAGGCGAGGGTATAACAAACACCAATAAGGGTCTTGGGCATTGCTCCAGTGCTGGAGAAGGTGAAGAATCCAGCTGTGTATGTAGGACCGATGTGGATGGTGCAGATCGAACAGTGGTTGGAGCCAACGTAGTTGCAAGGCTAAAGCTTGGGCCGGTGGGTGTAAGACAGCTAGTCCGCCGTGAGGACGTTGTTGTATAAGAGTGTGATACGAAACTCTAGGAAACATCCCCTTGGTCAAGAAACCATGACTAAGACATCGGAGCCGATCCATGAAGGACTTTGGTACTGGGCACACACGTAGAACATGCCGCAAAGTGGATAGAATCAACACATTTAATGCAGTGGCTCGACCTCGAACCGAAAGTATCCGTTGCGATTGAAGCTGGCAGGCTTTCTCCACTTTTTGAAGGATGGCGGTGAAGAAGTGGTCGCGTTGACGGGGCGTGGATGAGAATGGGTAGCCAAGGTAGATTAGAGGACTGTCGCGTGAACGGTCGTACCACAAATGGATACCGTAGGTGGCGAGAGTCGTACACCAATGTGTCGACGGCTGACCTGAAAGCGAGATGACATGTGTTTTATCAAGGTTGATCTTGGCATTGGAGGCTTGCATATATGTTCGAGGTGGATCATCAGGCGTTCGATGTCGGTGGTGTTATGTAGGAAAATGAAACAGTCATCAGCATAGGCGAGGATTTTAGTTGTGCTTCACGAATCTAGTGAGGGCAATGGTCGATCAATGGCAAAGCCTTGGATGGACTGGTCATGTAATACGCGTTGAACCAGGGGCTCGAGTGCTAGATTGAAGAGAATGGGTGACAGTGGATCGCCTCGGCGCACACCCCGCTGTTGTTGAATAGAAGGTGATAAAGCACCGTTGACGTTGATACGGATGGTCGTGCCAAAAAACAGCTTCTGTATGCAAGTAATAATGGTCTGAGGAAACCCCCAGCGAGCGAGGCCCGGTTTAAGTAGGACGGATGAACTCGTCATAGGGCTTTTTCCATGTCTAATGACAGACCGATGCCATTGGAGGCGAAGCGAGAGGCGTGGTCCATGGCGAGTTTAACGGCCATACCATGGTCGGCAATGAAGCGGCCAGGGACGAAACCGGTTTGGAACGGACTGATGATGTGCTGCCCAAAGGGCACCACTCGGTTGTTCAGGATTCTGGTAAATATCTTTGCGTCCGCGTTGATCAAAGCGATCGGACGCCAGTTGAAGAGTGAGGTTTTGTCCTACATTTGCCGGCTTTGATTGGGTAATTTTTGAAAACCAAATATGATTGGTTGAAACGAAACCAGACAGCTGTTGATTGGCCCGACCTTTGCGCTCGAATTTTTAACATGAAGCGTAAAGCTCTGATGGAAGATCTAAAGAAGAACCATGTTTTGGGAAGATTCGTTACCCATGTACACACGGAGGAGTTTCAGAAGCGAGGCTTACCGCATCTTCATTTGCTTTTGGTGCTACATCCGGAGGATAAGCCGAGAACACTTGATGAATATGATCGTATCGTGTGTGCCGAACTTCCGGACAGAGAGAGGTTTCCTGATCTCTACGACACCGTCAGCAGATGTATGATGCACGATCCGTGTGGAACAACGCATCCGAGGTCTCCCTGCATGGAAAACGGCTCATGTAAAAAGCGTTGCCCGCGCTCCTTTTCAATGAAGCTACTGTCGAAGATCACAGGGGTTACCCATTATACCGTCGTCACAACAATGGTGATTTTGTGGTCAAGAACCATGTCCAGCTGGACAAATAGATGGGTTGTTCCCCACAATCGATACCTCTGTGCAAGATATAACGCTCACATTAACGTCGAAATCTGTACTTCTCTGGAAAGCGTTAAATACCTGTACAAGTACGTTTACAAGGACCACGATCGTGCTGCAGCAGCAATGTATCATGCCGGCAAGGACAGAAAATGTCAGGCTCCTGACCCGTTTGCGCTTTGGATGCAGTTCCGCCAGCATTTGGCAGAAGACTATTTAACCTTTTTGGAGCAATCAAAATCAAGACAATGATCATCAAAATTGAGCCGTCCCAAATCGTGTACGATCGCGCTTTGCTGGACATTGAAGAGCATCTGAACCGCCAATCGAGTTCACTGCTGAATTACGATCGCTTTGTTCTTCCTGATCGCCAAGAAATTGGCATAAGCACATTTCGCCGTCAGCCCAGACTGGTAAGAGAACAATACGATCTCATCGCAGACGCTGCCAATGTTCCCCAAACACACGAGTACCTAAACCGTTATCAACATGCCGTATACCACGCAATTCTCCAGAGTGTCACGCATGGAAGCAACGAATCAGCCCGATTGTTCTTTGTTGATGGTCCTGGTGGCGTCTTTACCCTTATATTGTTGTTTTTATTATTCCTTTATATTTTACTGTATGTATTTTGTCTTATGCTCCTTTGATTTCATCCTTTGCTATGATTTTTCAAGTTATTCTTCACCTTTATGTTTTATGCTTTTTGTCCTTATGTTCCTTTTGATTTTATCCTTATGCTATGTTTCCCCGAGTACGATTTTTTCTGTTATCTATTTTTGTCTCTCCATTTAATATTATACGATGTCTGACTATTTCCGTTCCTAACTTTGTGTACATATTGTTGTTCCTCTGTCGTGGATGAAGAAAATGATCGCTATGTGGCGGTAGGTCAGGGGGGGTCAAGACCTCCGGGAAAAAGGAAAAAGAGACTGTGCTACTCTGCTGTCCATTGAATACGCAAAGATTTATGCGCACATCAACTAAATCTTACCGAAAAATCAACCGCTTATTGACAAAAGATTAGAGTTAAGAGAACACCATGTTTCATCCATGGGAAATCATATATTTTCGTCTTCAATTTTATCGTTTTTCTTTTGATTTTCTCTCTCTCTCTTTGTGTTTACCTGGAAAACTCTCGGTATCATTGTATCAAGATCCCATCCGCACCCATCATCCAGACCATTCGTATCCCGTGTATCTCACTTGGTTAAATCGACTACCAACCTCAAAAAGGTAGGCTTGGAGTGGTCTAACATCGATTTTGCTCCGGCAAAACAGACTTACCTCTCTTTATTTTCCATCTCTTCTTTTACCTGTTTTCTCCGTTTTCTTTTCGCCGGGCAAGTTCTGGACACCACAAGTTGCCTTTCTCTCGCCATTCATCCATCCATCTGGCGAAACCAGATGACGTCAAAGGCCATCGTCGGTAATACACTCTCTTTTTCATCGGAAAACGCTTACGTGTCCTCTTCATGTTCCTCTCCTTTGAATTGCTTCTCATGATATGGTATTCGAGATGTCTTCCCGATTATTGTATTTTGTATTTTATATTTCATGTACATATTCTTTTCTCAGTCTTTTCCTCTTTTTTCGCACAGGGCTTTTTAGGAGGTTTCTATGACGCGACCATTGTTTTTTTATCATCATATACTATATTTGTTTTTCTTTCTTTTTATTCGGGAGACTCGCGATATCGAATCCAACTCGAAATTACCGTCACTTCTGGCCACGTCAATATTTTTTGCCTGCTCAAGCTGACACCAGCGATCCATCGCTTAACTGTCCCTGGAAGCAATCTTATTTTTCCGCATCGAAGAAGAAGCTTACCTGTGGTCCGTATTCATCTTTTTTTCTTCCGGTACACCATTTGGTTCAAAGGTAAGTCCAATTTCTTTTCCTTTGCTATGATGTAATGAACGTATACTAATTCAAAATTTTTCAATGTCATATAACCCAAGTCATGTCAAGCGATCAATGGCTATTGAAAACTCAAATAACAAAGTTAAAATATGACGAAAATTTGAATCAATCAAAAAGCTTACTAACTCATTATTTTAGATACCCAACATACCCACACATCTTTCTAGATCTATCATAGTCTGGGCGGGATGGAACTGAGGAGGGGGGGGGAACCAGTGCTGCTTTGCGCGTGTTCAGAAACAAATCAGGTTGCATGGTATTGCCATAAGGTTGTCATTAATATACCAAAGTCCGTCAAGAGTTCTCGCCCAGGTTATACCGTGTATGCGTTAGGCTTTTTGTCTGACGAAAGTCGCTCAATGTAAGAGGGCGCGGGTGTACGGTTTGTTAAATTATTTATCAACTGAGTTATCTGTTGGAGCAGGTCATATTCTTTGCATGCTATACTAGAAAGTCTAAAGTTGGCTTGCCTATAAATTGAAAGATTTTTCAGTTCCTTTAAAAACGGAAAGGGAGATACTAGAGAGGTAAAGAGTGTTTAATGGTATGTTACAACTTTTGAACACGTGCGTATGCAACGATGAGCCTTCAAATTGAAAGGAAACAGAACAAATTCGTGGACTGGCCAAGGTGAATCAAATTCCGACACCGCGTCTCTATTCAGTCTTTCCGGGAGAACGCCTTTTTTCCCGAAAAACGAGCATGACCAATACGCTAATCCTCGACAACGGTGCTTACACAATAAAAGGCGGATTATCAGGAGATCCATCATCGCCAAAGTAAGCAAACCAGATATCAGACGACAGACAACAAAAAGAGACTTATTCTCTTTCAACAGACTTGTACCCAACGCCATTGTACGTGGTCGAACAGATCGCCGCCATTATGTCGGTGACGAACTTTCTCAATGCACTGATTTCTCTTCTCTCTACTACCGCTTACCGTTTGAACGAGTAAGATCTCCTTTTCTGTAGTCACCCTGAAAGAAATACTTGATAATGGAATATAGGGTTTCTTGATCAATTGGGGCGTCGAAAGAACGATCTGGAATCGATTTTTCAAAACAGAACTTCAGGTATCACCCGCAGCGACGTGATAAAAAAAAACAGAAGGCTGAGTTGTTCACAAGAGATAAAATGAGGATAGGATGGGACAAAGGACAACCGTTTATTGATTACTGAGCCTTGCTTTAATCTGCCGAATATTCAAGAAGCATACGATCAAATGATTTTTGAAGAATACGAATTCAGCAGTTGTTATCGCACCACCGGTATGTATCAGCAAACTTCGCTTGGTGATCACTATGGAAGGCTGACAACAAACGTGACAGCACCACAATTATGTGTTTACAATGATTTGGCGACTTTATTTGGTGATAAGGAAGGATCGGTGCCTGATTGTGCACTTGTCGTTGACTCTGGTTATTCATTTACACACATTGTACCGTTCGTCAAGGAGAAACCGATCGCGAAAGGGATTAAGAGGTGAGCCTGCGAGGAATAAAATAAAATGAAGGGATCAAGGGAAAATAACAAAAAAAAAGACAGGAAGGGGCTTACATCGTTCAAAGAGAAAGGGGAGCGGTGGAAGTTGGGGTAAAATATCATGCTCACCCGTTTGCAGAATTAATGTAGGTGGGAAATTATTGACCAACCAACTAAAGGAAACCGTCTCCTTCCGGTCAGTATTTTCCGAAACTTTTGTGGAGTGTGTATGCGCTATATGGGCTGTATACCAATAACAATGAATGAAATGATTTTAGGTACTACGATATGATGGAAGAAACCTATATCATCAACCAAATGAAGGAAACCTGTTGTTATGTCTCTCAGAACGTCATTCCCGATTTGGACATCTGCAGGTATTGCTTTACTAGAACAACTTTAACCTGTCCAAGAATCATTTGAAACGACAAAAATTTACGTAGGAGACCTTACAATGAAAATACCATTGTGCAGGAGTACGTTTTGCCAGATTTTAGCACCAATACTCGGGGGCATGTCCGTCCAAAGCGAGGCAAACAGTCGACGGTTGCGATGCACTCTTCTTCCGCCGAGCAAATCTTGACGATGAACAACGAACGGTTTATGATACCCGAAATCCTGATGAATCCGTCCGATATTGGTATGCAGCAAGCGGGAATTCCAGAAGCCATTGTACAAAGTGTCAATGCATGCGATCCTTGTAAGTCACGCACGGCGATCCCTTACAGACAATAATTTTTTGCTCATCATGTTTATTTTGTTATATTGCTTACAGCGTTACATGGTTTACTGTATGCCAATATTGTGCTTGTAGGAGGCAACGCATGCTTTCCTGGTTACAAAGAGCGCATGTAAGTTCATCCTTCTCTCCTGTATGATAATGCATGCTAACGTCATAACAAGAGAAAACGAGTTACGCCATCTAGCACCGGCCGAATGCGACATACGCATTGCTGTGCCCGATAAGTAAGTACAAATCATCGAAAACAATGAATCAGACAAGGCTCATCACATTTTGATAGTCCTATCAATTATGCTTGGACAGGAGGGAATCGGTTCGTGTCCCTGAGCAGCAAACCTGATTTGCAAAAGAAGTTTGTGCACAGGAAAGAATACCTGGAATACGGAAGTGAGATCTGTAGACGGAAGTTCGGAACTCTGTGAAAACAATCCGATACAACGCGAGGACCGTTATCAACTGCTGGTGACGGGAAATGTTCATTACGGTATGTCTTTGAAACCATTACAGGGAATAAGGTTAAACTGGACCACCTCAGGTTTCCCGATATGAATCTCCCTGTCAAAAAGGCCGTTCACCCGTGTCCATTGGATAGCATATTTAAGAACAAGAAATCAATTGAGGGTTGAAAGTGACAATGCATTACAAATAAGGAAGAAATGCCTATAAAACATAAGAAAAGAGTAGAATCTGTGCGTCATTTGTGCTGAAAGTAAAAATTCTGCTCAACCGTGCCGTGCCTGACTTTCAAATCACAAAAAAAAAGTTTTTTTCTTATATTGTCATGAATCGCACAAACGTGAAAAAGACATTGGAAAACCTTATGCGTAAAAGTGCCTGTGAAAAAACAACAAATGGTGATGATGTAAGCAGCGAATATGTTGCGGAAACTATGGCACAGTATTTGCAAGAGGCAAAGTCCTTTTCTTTTTCTAAATAAGCGATAATGGCGCTAAAGGTGGGAAATCATGGGTCGTTTATAAAGGATCGGATCTGGGGATTATTGGTAACCGGGTGTTTAGGTGAATACCCGGTTAAACTGTGGTTTGTCGCATGGATCCAGAAGGAAGTCAAGAAAATTTTCGTTATTTTTGGACCACACAATATCCGTGCGGGAACGAAATACCAATAATCATTGGGTGCACAAGTCCATTTAATGTAGAGTGCGCATGTTTGTAGAACATTTTTGAGCAAATGTAGCTTTTATTTCCTATTTTCCCGAAGAAAAATGAACGAGTTTGCATGCCAAAGAATTATGTTCATTCAGTGACAACGGTGCTTCTATTAGTGGTTGAACTGGTCTAGGCTTTGGACCTTCCGTGTCCAGCCCGCCCGCTTGCCAATTTTTATTTTATTTTTTAATTTCAGTTGAAAATACCGCAGCAGAGCCTTTTTGATTTAGTTCAGACACGCGCTTTGGTAGATAATCAGAGTGATGTTCGCAAAAGCTCAGCATCCGATCATTTGTTGGCGAAATAAAATCAGTGGCCATCAACGTTTGCTGATGGCCGAAAATGCGTGACCGCGATCAAAACTAGCGAGAAATAAGGATGTAAGTTGACGAGCCACAACGGCTTGACAAGCGAAATGCCTAGAACCAAAGCAGCGGGATGTGAAAGCATAAGACGCTTTTCCTTTTTTATTGGATTATAATAAAGAAGACGATAGGATGAGTCTATACAATAAAATCAGTTAATGAATTGTCCAGGTTTGAGACGAGCGGTGGGGCTTGGTGATACCGAAGAAATGAATTGTTATGTCTGATGACACGGGTGATACTCGATGATTCAGGAGTGAATTCAAACCAAAAAACTTATTCAACCGACCCAAAAAAGTGGAAAGAGTCTATTTTAGACATGCAATTGTGCAACCTTGCAAGGAAGAAAAAAAAAAAATAAGAGATCATCACTCCACCTCACATTATTTTATTTTAGAGATCTATGGAAGTCCCGCACGTGCTATGACATGATGTTTGTTTCAAGAGGGAAAATCAAAACTTGCAGCACGATTGGAACTTCAAGAGCGGTCAGACCGGGTTGTCATAGAAAAGACAGAACAGACATTCAGAAAAAAGAGAAACAAAGAAGAATCCACTTCATCGGGGTTTGCGACACCATCCGTACAGCATTCGGCCTACTCATTATCATTGCTTAATGAGATGGTGCGCCACAACAGAAATATAGGAAAAATGGACCCGGACTGGGTGAACAAGGAATAGACGGGCCTTGAATTTCACAAATGAAGCTAATGCAATTCACCAGCGCCCTAAAGGGAAACAAAAAAAAAAAAGGTCCCCAAATTCACACCAACGAATAATGCGATGATCCAACTATCATACAAGTAGATAGGCTGTAGACAAATAGTGTTGGATACAGTTCAATCCCACAATGGTAGCAACACTGTGAATGTGCAGAAATAGAATGGTTACCTTGGCAAATCTGAATTGAGCAAAAATAGGAACCTTGATAAACGGTATTAAAACTCCATCGCAATAAGTTTTGTCCTCGTACACTGTCTCGCTAGTCCAATCACAAAGACTCCTTCGAGGTTTTTTTTAAAACTCCCTCGATTTGCATTTCCTTTTTACATCCATCCTATTTCGCTTTTTTTTTTCTTTTTCTTTTTTTCTTCGTTCTTTTTCTTTTCCTGCTGGTGCTCCTTTTCCCTTTTTTCCTTCTTCTTTTTCTCGCAAAAGTATCCGTCCCCAAAAGCAAGAAGAGGTTTTTATCGCGAATCATTCTAAAAAGTCTAATTTGGTGGACATACTTAATAATTTCCTTGTATCTCCGCCACTGTCACAAAATCATCCATTTTGTAGGTTCATCGACTGCACCATTTCATCGTTCCTTTTCCCACCAACAAAACCTTTAGACACTGACAAAAAAAAGGACAGCCCTTTCCAATCTTTTGCTTTTCCTTCCCATAACACCCATGCGTTCTGCCGTTTTTTGTCTCGCAGTGCTCGCTCAGCTCGCCCTTTCGGCGACCGCTGAACCTGAGCCTATCAAAATCCCCTTGTATCGTCGAACTGACAGTGGTATCGCCAAAGCCGGCGGTAAAATGCTCGATAATGGTGTGGTAAGTCTCCATCATCCACAATTTGAAAAAAAAATATTTCCATTTGTATCCGGTCAAGCGCAAAAAAAAGAGGGGGATGGGAGGACACCTGAGAACAGGGAGAATACAAAAGCGTGAAAGGAGGGGCTCGACCAAAAAAAAAAAAAAAAAGAAAAAGGCCAGCTTCCATCTTTTATTCTTTTATACATCAAAGTTATCAATTCAGTATTATTCAATGAACCATTTATTTATTCTTTTCTTTATATAGCTTGCTGGTACTGTTCAGATCGGTAATCCTCCTCAGAATTTCACCATGGCTTTTGACACCAGTAAGTATATGATTTTTATTTTTTAATTGGAAACTAATAAAGAAGAAAACGAATCAAAAGACAACAATGAAAAAAACAAAAAATTTATAAAAATAATCTAACCTTAATATTTTCTTTAGCAACCGGCTATTCTTGGGTCCGCGGCGCTAGAGTATGGCATCCTTCCAACAAATCGCGTCAATTATATTAGTACCTTGGTTTTTTCTTATCTTTTTACTGACATGTCCTTGTTTAATTTTTTTAGTGCAAAACTGAAAACTGCCTTGATCGTTGCACTTACTATGCCAGATGGTCCGACAGTGTCGAATCCACTGGTCGCAAATTCTCTGTTGAATATGGTGATTCGTGTGTTGATACCCATATCTACCTTGATACATTCCGCTTTGCCGGTTTGACCGTCAAGAACATGCCTTTTGGTGGCGCTTACCGCATGAGTGGCTTTGATCACGGTTTCGACGGTTATCTCGGTCTCGGTCGAAGCGTCGACTTTAATATGACCAAGATCCATACCTCCTCCTCTGGTGGTATGTTTATTCAACAGGGCAATGGTAGCTATCTGTACAAGTGAATCTCACGTTTCTTTTTCTTTTGTTCCTTAGGTTTGGCCAAGCGCGATTTCTCATTCCCTGATTCCGGTTTGGTCCAGAACGCTTACGAACAAGGTTCGGGTGTTCAGAGTGCTCAGTTTGGTATGTACACAACCGACAGCAGCAACTTTGTGGAATCCGGTGATGTTACCCAGGACGGTACCAACGGTACTCAAGATCCCAACGCCAACCAACCTGCCAATCCTAATCAGACCGTTGATCCCAACAACCCCGCCCCGCCTGCTGGTCAGAACCCTCAACAACCTAACCAAGACCCTAACAACCCTCAACAACCTAATCAGCAACCCAATCAAAACCAGCAACCGAACCAACCTACCGATCAAAACGGTGGCAACAATCCTCCTGTCGATAACTCCATCGCTCCCGGCGGTTTCGGTTTCACCAAGCGTCACAATGTCGAAGACGAACCTGCAGGCTACCTTGTTATTGGTGGCATCGACAAGAGTGCTATTCAGGGCGATGTGTCCTACATCAAGTTAGCCGACAATGTTGACGGCGGCGCAAAGAATTGGGATGTCTGTATCAAGCATGCCAAGATTGGTCACGATTTACGCTTGGAACAAAAGAAGAACGCTATTGCTTCCATCAGTACCTCCAGCACCTATATCGCTATGCCTGCTGATCAAGCAGATAAGTTCCACGAAAAGTTCGGTGGCAAGTACTACCGATCCACCAAGACTTACAGTGTCAAGTGCTCCGAAATCAAGAATTTGCCACCTTTGAAGCTTACCCTTGAAGACCACATCGTTGAATTGCCTGCCAAGTACTGGACCCGTGAAATTGACGCTGACCGTGATTGCTGTGCTACTCGCATCAGCCGTGGCAGCTCTGACCGCGACTGGGTTCTCGGTACCAGCTTCACCAATGCTTTCTATACTACCTTTGATCCCGAAAATGAAACCATTGGTTTGGCCCTCAAGAAGGGCCAGAAGAACGATGGTCTCAAGATCTACAAGAAGAACTAAATATACATTATCCTTTTCTCTTTTTCCCTTTTTTCTTTTGGTATCTAAGAAACAGAAGAAAGAAAACGTCTCCCAAAAAAAAAAACCAAGAGAAATACATTGGAATATTTATCGACATTTTATCTTTTTTTTTTTCTCTCTCATTTCATATTCAGTTTATACTCTCATGTGCTTCTTATTGTCCCTTGTTTTTCATTTGTGTTTTTACCAATTAAATATTTTGTGTCATTGATCTCCAAACATCCACAGTTGGCTATTTTCTTTTTTCCCCTTCCTTGTTCCTGAATATAGGTCATTGAATAGCTTACTTGATCCAAGCAAAAGCCCCAGAAAGATACGCAGAAAGTAATCGACGAGACAGGGGATCAAATTTTTATTTGTAACATGCCGCACATGATAACCTAACATTGTTTTCTCGGCTTTCCCTATCTGTTAGGTTTTCCTCTTGAAAACTAATACGATGGTAGTTCATCTTTGTTTTGCTCACATGTATCCGCCTTCCATGCCTGAAAAAGTTGAAAGCTATAACTGTATTGCAATTGACCCAGTTTATGAATAGTAGAGCAACGTCCTTCATTTGTATCGGCAAACGCTCGAAGCTTCATCTCGGTGTTGATTATGAATAGCTGAGTGTTGATGACGTTTGTTCTGGGAATTGAGATTACGGCGGTGTTCCAAAAGTTTTCGACTGGGTGTTTCCCGGTGTGCTGAGGAAATAGGGCAATCTCATCGTCGTGTCCACCGTCTTGTTAATATAATGTCATCGAGCGAAGTAAAAATGGAAACCAATCCACGTGGTATTCCTCGGTCCCCCTTTGTGGTAAGCTGAAGTGACAAAGAGTATTAAGTGAGTAGTTATTGAACGAAAAAATGCTTTGGCATCTTTGTTACTGGCAGGAACGCGTGGAAGATTACGTTTCTGAAGATGAACCTGTCGAGATCGTTTTGAAAAAATTCCAGGAAGCCATTAGGTAAGAAATACTCTCTCTGCCGATGCAATCAGAGAACCGTGGACTATGGCTGATGGTTGCTTCATAGTAAATACAAGTTTATGGAGATCAACTTGTTGCAACGTCGAAAGGTGTTGGAGGAAAAGATACCCGAAATCGAAAAGACTATTGCCATGGTAGAATATCTGACGGAAAAACAGGCATCGGACGAGCCCGTGTACAGTGATTTCGAATTGAACGATACACTTTACGCCCAAGCCAAACTCGAAGCTTCAGGCACCGTATATTTATGGCTCGGCGTAAGTTTCTCACTCGACCTGTTGAAAAGATTGATTGGCAGCTTTGGAAAAAGAAAGTGATACTGATCATGATGGATAGGCCAATGTGATGTTGGAGTACAGCTTTGCCGAGGCGACTGATTTATTAACCTCCAAACTCACCACAGCAAAGTCATCCTTGAAAGACACAGTGGAAGATCTTTTATTCTTACGAGATCAGATCACCACTATGGAAGTCAGTATCCTTTTTTCAATACTAACCATCGTTGACGTGATATACCAGTTGCATCATTTATATTCTGTTATAATGTTATTCCTTGACCTCGTCTTCCTTCCTTTCTTTTTACAGATATCGCCCGCGTATATAATTGGGATGTCAAGCAAAGACGACTTGCAAGGGCACAGGCTTCCGCTTCGAAATAAAATAAACAAGTGCATATATGGCTATTCTCATTTTGATGCTCGAGATCCCACTTTCGTAACGAGAAATAATCAAAAAAAGTTGTAAATTGGCACACCGGAGTTTTGATCCATGAAAACCCGTGCAGTAAGCTTGAAATTCAATTCAATCTTCTTTTTCAGTGTGCCTGCCACTGTTTCATTTTCTATCAAACCTTCCATTGCCACATGTTAGCCAAATCAATAGCCATCCTGGGCACGTTGTTCCTTGCTCATGCTGCTTATTCAACTTATGAACGTGAGCTGACTTGTTTTTCGTTTGGTCGTAAAAAATGCACAGTACATGCTGACGAAGAATGGTTAGATCTCGCGTACTTGAAGGCCGTCGACCGGTCATCTTCCGACATTCCCATCGAAGTAGGTTTCTGAAAACAATTACCTATTGGTATTTATCACATAACCTTGTATCTTTTGTCGCAGATTGTAGTGGAGTGTTTATTGGCTGCTTTCGTGGCACTGGTGGGCGTCATTCTCAACGCAGACAACTTCAAAAACGTGCTTATGGAAGTCGAAATTGCCAAATTGTATGTTTTTCAAGAGAAATGATGTATGCGTTTTTATGTACTATATTACAGGGATTAACTTTATTCGTTTGCAACTTGTTGTTTTTGATAGAACTATTGACAAAATCGACACCCGGCCATCCTTTACCACCTTCAACCACCGCAAAATCGTATCCACCCATACGCAGCTCGACAGAAGATTATAGCTACTTTTGAACTCTCTCTCTCCTTCAAATGTCGCTAATAAAATGGGGAGGATAGTTTGACGGAGCCATTCACTCACACACAATAACCTTTTGTTTTTTGTTCATCCATCTTCTTGTCGCCTGATAAGTTATCGTTAGGAACTCGAACTGGCATTCCGATGATGACCGTTTGTGGCGCAATGGAACGATAGCAGAGAACCTGACGACGGGGAAAGCGTTTCCACATCTTCGTTGAAAAAGTCGTCCAAATCTTTGAGAGCATTCATGAGATCTTCACCGTACGCTTGGCCTTCCATCATACTCTTGTTGGCCGCTTCCGTACGGTGACCAGCATAACCGCGCGCCTCCTCCCCTTCGCTGCCAGCAGGTTCGCCTGTAAGCATCGTGAAATCTTCAATGGAGAACTGAATATCGTGTTCAATCACCGTTTCGTTGGTGACAGACGAGCATTCAAATACGACCGCATGGACATTGTGCCGTGTCACACGCGCTGCTACAGTGGCATTGGCAAAGCCATGCAGTGGATCGTAGATCTCATCCATCACGTCTTCCTCTGACGTCGTCGAACTGGAGCCTGCTTCCGCAAGCAGACCGGTACTGAGTATACTGAGCGCTTTGTCGGCAAGGTCGCTCTGCATCAGTTGTAGTAAAGGTTGCAAAATCGAGATGGGGACGGCAATGGTGGATAGGGACGTGTTTCGCGTGATAATAGGGATAAGACTGGTGGCAAGCATAAGACCTTTTTCTCGGTAGTGAGGTTGTTGGTTATTCAGTAGTAGCAGGGTATAAATGAAAGCTTGCTGCCCATATGTGCTGAGAAATACGTCGCGAATCGCTTCCAGTAGTTGTTTCAGGTAATCCTCTTGGAACTTCTTCTTTTGTTTGGGATAAGTGGCAAGGATGCGCTGGACATTGGTAAGTCCGTAGCGTTCAAACAATTGCGCCAGTTGGTTGGCCAACTGAATCGCTTCGGAATCCAGTTCATTGTCGGCGTCAAGACCGTGTAATAAGCGAGGAATCGACCCAAGCAATAAATACATCATCCGCGTCTCGGAAGGATCCATCAGCGGTGGGTTGTCGATGAGCATGATCGTCATCAGGATATCAAACGTCTTCTTTTCTGCTGAAGCGAATTGAAGCCCTTTGACAAGCAAGGGCTGCAGACCATCGAACTCACTTTGCCAGTTTTTGGGGAAGCTGTCGGCTAATGCATTGGTGAACCCGTATTTCTTGATCACCACTTCCAGTAACAGTAACGCTTCTGTATGCTCCGATTCATGCGACGTGTACAAGCATGCCACCGCCGCCCAAAACAGTTGCGGGAAATGTTCCATCTGCGAAGCCTCCATCGCTGTCGCCACCTCGGTCAACGTCAAGATAATCTCCAGAGCAAAACCCCGGATTTCATCCGATTTATCCGCAATGGTATTCGACAAGCGTGCCAACATGTCTGCAAGCATGTGTTGGTTGAACACCGGCATCAAAGCTCGGAAACACTGGAAGGAGCGGCACGCAATGTGACGGACTGAGCAACAGGTAGCCCATTTTAGTGCGGTTTCACCCCATTTTTGCCTCAGATCAGGATCTTCATGAGAGAAAACAGCCACCACCTTTTGTAACAAGTTCTTCAATTCCTCGGTGCTTTGCAAACGTCGGTTTTTCGGCGTAATGTTCTCGTAAGCCCATAATCGTTTGCCTTCTTTTGCAGTCAGCCACTGAATCACTTCCGTGGCCTTGCTGGACGCTTCCGAATCCATGGATTGTCGAACGACGATAGAATGAATCAGGTTGATCAGAAAACATCGTGATTGATCGCATACAATGCTTGTCAAGTGATCCAATTGGACAAAAATACTGTGCAACAGCAGTGGGAGATGAGGCGCTAGATCCGCACCGGCTTCAATGGCCAAATCCACCAGAAATACCATGGCTAATTGACCGCGAGAGAAAACGGGGCGCTTTGGATACGCAGGTAACACTTTTTCGGTATCGGCCACAAATAAAAGAGGGAAAGCATTGGCATGACGGTTACTGGTTTCCTGCAGTTGAGGCACCATGGATCGAGGCGTGATTTCCGCGATAATTTCTTCCACAACGCGGTTGAAAGCCGATGTACGACCAAGACAGACAAACACCCGCTTGGCGTGAATGAGGAACCAAGGATTGCGTTTCTCCATTCCCATATCCAGAAGATACATGATAATGGCGCGTACATTACGTCCGTGATCCACCAGTTGACTCCACAACGCCGCAATTTCCTTCACATAGATGTCACCAAATTTAATGGTGATGTAAAACAAGTTGGAAAGCACCATGAAAGCCGAAGCGCTCAGTTCGGTATCTTGGGGTCCGATGGGAAAATCGATTTTTCGCAACCACGGCAGCATATACACAAGGACCTCGCGTTGACTATTGGGACTGATGTGCTCAAACCGTTGCGTGATCTCGGATAACATGGAATACGTCTGCTCACAATGATCCACCGCGAGTCTCGCCGACAACAACGTTTGAGTATGTTTGTAAATGGCCGGCAAACTGCTCATAATGCCAATTTCGTATTCTTTGGCGCATGAATCAGCAAACACGCGTTCTTCCACCACACGTAGTAGATGAATGGCGGACTTGCGAATCGATTTTTTCGTATCGCCAGCTTTGAATAACGCCAAGCTCATGATTTGATGAATGTGGCAAGGATAGTCCTCGACTTGAATCACGATATCCGCCAACGCTTGGAAATATCCTTGGGTGAATTCGAGTTTGGGGTTGCCCGCATAACATTGCTCAATGACATCGTCTAGTAGTAAAGGTTGGTCCTGATTGTAGATCAAGATGGCTTCCAATGCACGTCTGGAGGAAAAAAAAAAACAAGGGAATTTTTAAGACAACACATGCAGGGGGTTCAAGCGGAAATACCGAAAGAAAAATTATGTAAAACGTACCTTGCGATTTGAATATATCTCGGTTCATGGCTTTCGAAAACGGCATCAATCCATCGCAATACATTAAGCATATCGAACTGAATCACGGCTTGACGGGCCTTCTTTTGTCCCAAGAACGCGTAAAGGGGTCCACGCTAACATAACATTACGAGTTGAGCTTCGGATAGACGATCAAAAAACAATACAAGAAAATAGAACTTACACAAAGTGTGGCCATGGCACTCAAAGCGGCAGCTTCCAGCGCTTTTCGTTCTTCTTCCATCAACTGAGAGATACTTGCCCGTTCACGCGAGTCTTTGCATTCTTCCAAGACATCTCTCATCATGGCCGCTTCACGCGCACGCGTGGCATTCGAGTAAACACCGTAACCACACCATTCTTCGAATTTCTTGTACAGGCTTAAACGGGTTTCAAAGGACATGATCCCCGACGGTTCTTCCAGACGCATGATGTTTTCGTACAGTTTTTCCACCAGACCACACAGATAAATTCGCAGTTTATGGTATTCCCACTCATTTTGGACTTCAGCATCGGCTAGAAACGATTTGGTTTCCTTGACATAACTCATGACGATATTCATCACATTCTTATCCTCCAGGTATCGACGATCAGAAAGACAGTTGGCTGTCAAGTCAAGCACATGGAGCAAAGACAGTCGTAAACGATCATGCTTTTTGCTGCGCTTATTCTGATACGGTTTTTGGTTGTTTCGATGCTTTCCGTCGTCCAGAATAGTCCGTACATAAGGTTCTAGGTCGGTCATCAGGATTTTGTACGTTTCCTTGTTCACATTGCCCAGGCCTTGAATCGCTCCCTCGCGAATGGCGCGATGCTCGCAGGTCAAAAACTGCAAGATCATGCGGAACAGATCTTTGGGGGTGGCAATTTTTTCCACCACAGCCGATCCTTTGCGTCCACTGTTGGCCCACGTCGCGGTAGGCGATCGATCGCCTGAAAGTGTCGCGGTGGCGCAAGCGAAGATAAGATAGACTTTCCATTGTTCAATGGTTTCTGGACTCGCCGCCTTTTGGTTGGAGCTACTGCTCTTTGCCATGCTCAAGGTTCCGGCTGTCCCGGCTTTCAGGGTTTCAATGGTGGCCATAATAGACGGTTGAATCTGCAGCAACCGTATGCAGATGTTCTGGCGACACAAAGCGACCGTGGCGGGAAAATACTCAAAACATCGTTTGATGATGGAAGGTAAGCATGTATTCCAGATAGCGTTGTCGGTGGCATGATGACTTTCCACGATTTGAGTGAGGATGTGAGTTCCGCCTCGACGTTGCAGCTGTTGAAGACGGGTCCTTGTTTCGGTAGAGATGCGCGTGCCAAGCAATTTATTGCCATCTTTCTCGGTGGTGACCAATTCTTGGCCCACCGCTGTAAGCAGATCGTGCATTCGGGTATATGATTTATTCTTCTTCAGTGTGGCGTGAACTTGGGATAAAACACGGCCAAATCGGGTATTGGGATCTTCTTGTCTTGTCAGTTGTTCCAGGTGCTCGTGCAACTGAGATGCGAGTTTAATAATCTCGATCGCGGATTTTCGTGCAATGGAAGATTGATGGCACAGGAACAACAGACCATTCGCTTCGGTTTCTTCGACCATACTGAACAGTTGCAAAAGATCCGACCCCACACTGTCTCCTTTACTACTATCCTTGTCGACGTCTCTCAACGAGCTAAAATCGATTTGCTTCACCCAAATGGCCAGTAAATCGATGTACAGTTTTAAACTTCCCCAAGAACCAGCCGACGAGATCCCGGTGAGCGGTCCGGCAGCAAGGGAAGCCATGATATCACCAAATTTATCTTCGATGCGATAGACAAAACGAGAGTAACCGGTGACCACTGTCTGGCTGTCGATCTGTTGGGCAATACGTACTAACGCCTGGGAAGCCGAGTGAATGATTTCAGGGTCCACATGAACAGTATACCGCGACAGCATCTCCACCAGACGAGGCAGCGCTACACCTGCAGGCATGAGTCTCGGCATGGAATCGAGGATCGCTTTCAACAAATCAAAGTAAGCTTGTTTATCCTTGGAATACGACACCGCAAACGTAGAGTATTGGTGGTGGACTTGGGGTCCACTGTCGGACGTTCCTGAGATGCCCACAGTGTTTGCAAAGATAGGGACGGTGTAGTTGGTTGTGGCGCCCGTGCCCACATTCATTGCTAGATTTCCCGTGGTTCTTTGGATCACGTTTTTCTCGTCCAACACCAGTAAACGACCAAAAGACTGGTCAAGACTGAGCAGGGTTTTACTGATGATTTCCTCGATTTGTTCCATCATTTCGGCTTTCACCGCACGGATCGGCGCAGAGAAAGTATCGGCACTGCAAGAGATGGAGATACCCGAGTACGCCATGTCGGGATCGCTTGGAAATGGCGGCTGCTGTATTCCCTTTTCCAGATCGGCTAGCATTAAACGAAAAGCACGTAAAGCGATAATCATACGTTCCGGATTAATCATTTCCCATTGTACCGTACTGGCGGGAGTGTCGGTGTTGAGTAAATAGTAGATAATTTTCTTCATGGCCACATCTACGTCTCGCATGAGCGCAAAATAGCTGATTAGGATAAAATGTTCCAAAGGCGTTTCGCTTGGGTATATTGCTCGACGGAATGGCGGAAAGATCGTTTTGATAATATTATCCAGACGTTTGAATGTTGCCGACGTGCTCTCCGTACAACGAAACAGATACGTCCATGTCAGCCGTGATAAACATCCTAACGCCAGCTGGCGGGTATATTTATCCTGGTTGGCGAAATTTCGGTAACGTAAAAAGTGTGAATAGAAAGTACACCCATAGGACAGCAAAAAAAAAAAAAAAAGGTCTTTACCTTGCTAAATTTCTGATAACAGCTGTCGACGATGCTTAACCAATTATTTAGAAAGAAATCTTTGCGGCTCACGCAAATCAACGTCGTGACGAGAGGATAGCCGGCCTAATAACCAGCAAGAATTCAATGCACGTGTTCTGCGGAACGGTGATTTCACACTTAGAGACTTTACCAGTGTGTGGCGTGGCTTCAAGATCATTTTCAGGGCACGCGGATACACCAAATCGACGGCTTTGGCCCAGGCAGGAAAATTAACTTCAGCAACCGCGACCTAGCAAAAAGGCCGTCAACACCCCCATTATGAGCCTGAACCGTCTCTATCCTTGGGTTGGATTGGTCACACATACCCCTGCAATTGGTAGCATCAATTGTACAAAAAGGGTAGCATACGCATATTTGACTTTGGCTCCATGGGCATTTTTGAAAAAACTGGCGCAACTCGATAGGAAATCCGCCGTTTCTTCCAGTGCATCTAAAGGATAAATCTAATCATACGCGTCAATAAAGAAAAAAAAACTAAACGTTCCACCCATCTCTGCTGCATGCCGAAATCCGCCTACCTTAATTTTGAGATATCGCATGCCTCGAATCAGCATTTCCATATGACTCTGACGTTCTTTCATGATGGTCTGGTTGTTGTATTTTTCCAATTCCGCAATGAATCGATCGCTCACGGACGCAAACCGAATATTCGATAATTCGCCTATCAATTCCGCAAATAAATCCATACTGGCTGTTCTATTCTTGGATCGTCGGATAGCCTCTCTAATACAAAGAAAATCAGTGAGTCCACCCATGGTCAATTCGCCTTGTAGCCAACACCAACACTTACGGATCCGCCTTTTTTAACTGATTAAATACGATCTCTTCCAAATTCTCGCCCAAATCATCCGACAAGGCATTTGTTTTGAACCGTTTGACAATTTCGATCAAGGCGCGGCAAAGAATATATACAGACGCAAGCTATGATGAAATTGCATAATTAGTTTTTTTCATGCTTACTACCGAGACATTTTCTTTTTTTTTTTTTTTTATCTCCAATACTTACCGATTGCCGCTCTTTCAAAATCGATTGCACTTCTCTTGTCCGAGATAATGGTGTAGATTCACTGTTGTCGTAATTAGTCTTGTGCTTTTTACCATTGAAGTTTATTAATTTACCTGACTCGTTTTATGAGTGCTGAATCCAATGGTTCAATCTTTGATTTCCGCCATCGCATGACTGAATCGATGACTTGCTTTTGTTGGCAAGTGGCAAGGCACGCGAGCGATTGGAGTAGCTTGTCAAATGCAATATCTGTTCCTACACCTAGGAACCTTTCGAGCTCTACATCGGCATCCTTTCCGAGAATTGGTGAGAACTAGAAAAATTCCGTCAAGGAACAAAAAAAAGTAACATACTATGCTCATGTTCAGGATTTGTAGCATCTTTTTGTTCGCCATGTGTTCGAATTGCTCAAATACGGAAGTCAGTGCATAATCGCAACTAGCGATCAGTAGTGGTGATGCGCTGACGGCTGTATCGGTTGTGTCAGCGGATCCTTGACGACCGTTGGTGGACCCAGTAGCGGATGCCAGTTCATGTTTATCCAGGAACGGATTTCGACGATCGATTCGGGGTTGTCCGAGACGTTTTCGCTCAGAGTCCGTTATTAAATTGGGAAGGGATGGTGGTGGTGGTGGTGGTGGTACGAACGATCGACCGGCGGTGGTGCTATTGGTGTGGGTGTAGCCTTGCGAAGAAGCCGATGTCTGAGAAGATGAGCGTAAATGCACTGTATCTTGACTTCTAGAGTCAGCACTGCCACTGTAAAAGTGCATATATTATATCTTTGGTATATGGAAGGGTTGATGCACGCAAGGACGACAAGCAAAAGGATATAAAAGGATACAACTTTTGGCGAGACTTTGCAAGGTCGAAAAGGCAGCAAAGCATTTCCATGCGGAGAATGAAATTCAACTGACTTCTCCCATTTGGAGTTCAGAAAAATTGCCTGCAAATGCGTGTCACACAACACAACAGCGAGCGAGCAACCCGTTCTCCACCACTATGTCCAATCCTGCCAATGTCATTCGATTCCTGCACACCATTGAAAATTTAAAGGTAAAAATGTCGGTTAAAATGAGTTTCTTTAAAGAGCCACAATCGTTGTAACATTTATTGCGGGCAGAGAACCAAACGCACAGGATGGCTCGATAACGGGATTCAGAATGCTGAATCGATCGCGGACCACATGCATCGCATGGGTATCATGGCCATGCTAATCGACGATCCTTCGCTCAATCGTGAAAAGTAAAGGATCTAATTCGGGGTTGAAAAATTCTTTCGTCTTATACCTTCGTCATAGATGCATCAAGATGGCTATCGTGCACGATCTAGCAGAAGCTGTTGTGGTAAGTGGTCCCATGAGACGCGAATTCAGTCTCCGCTCTGGTTCTTATATATCCTTGGGACATAGGGTGATATCACACCTCATGCGGGAGTATCAAAGGAGGACAAGTTTAACTTGGAAAAGGTAGATCTATTTTGGTAGTGGTTTGAAGTTTACCTTGATGTTGAGATCAGTGCATATACCTTAGAATGCCATGGTATCTTTCCAATCCATGTTGGGCGATACTGCCATGGCACGTGAAATCGCGGATCTATGGCAGGAATACGAAGATGCCCAAACTGCGGAAGCTTTACTGGTCAAAGATTTGGATAAATTCGAAATGATCGTTCAAGCTTTGGAATACGAGAAATGTAAGTTATAGGTTTTGGACCTCCGATAGTCACAAGTAGACTAAACAAATGCTTTTGCAATCCGCAGCCGATCATAAAAAATTGCAAGGCTTTTTCGATTCCACCAAAGGCAAATTCAGACACCCTGCGGTGAAGGCTTGGGCTGAAGCTCTTTACGCTGAAAGAGAACAGCTGTAAAACGGCATGTCTATATTTTTTCTAATACATCAGTTTTTCATCTTCGCATTTACAAAATGGGAAACACTCGAAATTTGAAACCAGTACGGGAGCGTGTGGTCTTTAACTTGTAAGCGGACAGGTCTGAATGTTTTTGGATTTTGTATAGATAGTCCGTGTTACTGCAGGCTCAACCGGATATGAAATTATGCTAAGGGTTGATAGGCGTATTTTGCCACTTGGATGTTGCGTAGAATATAAAGAACAGGGTGAAAATCTTTGGGTTGCTAAATATGTTCTTCGGAGAATTAAATGATTTGGTTTGGGACAATAATTAGTCACTGGTTCTCACTCATTGATTTGAATGTTACTCGTTTGGGTTCTTACGGCTGCCTCATGAATTACTTGGAATATCTCGTCTTTTTTTTGCCCTTTTCTTTTGACATTGCCAAAAGATTCGAAGAAAATGTATTTCCCGACGATTATTATTACAAACTGACGCGCCCTTTATTATTTGTCCTCCATGCGTTCAACTGAAATTTGCTCAGCTACAAACGTCCAGTTGAGCCTCTTTGCTTCGTCTATTATTTGTGCCAACAATATCCGGGAGCTCGCAATCTAGCTAACATAGCTATGAAAAATGCCCACAATATTCCTCTCGCTTGAGAGATTTACTTAAGCTGATGTCGAGGAAGCGTGACTCAAAAGTTCAATGCTTGTTTTTTCCTGCGGGTTGTCCGACGAACCAAAAATTATGTCGATGCAACAAAACGATATTTGGCGGTTGTGTGAAGAGAAGTAATGGGATGCATCAGTATTCGACTTCTTTGAAAATTAATATGGCACATCCTATACAAAACCAGCCGACTGATGCGGTATCTACCTTGGCAACAGTTCGTCCGCTGAGTGGCATGAACGTTATTTGCACTGAATTGTCTTTTTGCCCCTTCTTCCGGTAACACCGAATTTCCCTAAATGTATGTGAAAAAAGAGAAGTGAACGACCTATTGCTGTTAATAGCAAACAGGTTACACCCAACCTTATCCGTAGGGACCTGCATATGTGCCACCTATCTTGACAGTTACTTTCTTTCGCCACCTTCAGCAATCGCTTTCTCCCTTTGTCTATGTAGTTGTATTACGTTGGCTTCCTTCCATCGTTCATTTTAACAGGTTTCGTTGTGTGTCTGCCTTTACCTCTCAAGCCAAACTTCCAACTAGTGCTGCGCCGTCGAAAAGCTGTCCACGATCCGTCTCTCACTAAACGTCTTTCTGTCCATCCATCCATTGCACAAACACGTATATCACATAGGGAAATTGCTAGAGCTTTGTATAGGGTGCCTGAGCACGCTAAGTTAACCGGATAAGCTTCCTCTTTCTATTCTGACCAATGAAAACTACAGCATCGCGTTCAACCAAGGAGATCGGAAAGATGGTGACTCTATTAGCATTGATTAAATGCGCTACTCTTATCTGGAAATTTTATTAAGTACTCGCTTTCTATATTTTTAAGGATTATGATCATTCTTTTTGTCTTGTAGATTTCCACTAGGAACGCATCGGCGATATAGATCGCTCATGCAGCAATAAAAGTACCAATATTAATTGACAGCGTGATTCAGGAAATTAAGCATTAGGCGCGCAACTCGCCACCCATCCCCTCTATCTGGCGAAATGCAACAGGGTATCTAGCAGAATATCGATATTTTAACTAGTTATATGAGATACTACTTTATAGGGTAAAAGGTGGACACAAGTGAACTTGGGGTGGACGCAAGCGGACTTGAGATGGGCGCAAGCGGACTTGAGGAGGACGCGAGTGGACTCAAAGTCATTATAAGCACAATTGACTCTCTACCCCAACTTTTATATTCGCTTTCGGTAGTTAGCGTTTTTGTTTTGTAGTTACCCACATAATGATGCTCGGTTATTCTGCCTGGTCAAGGCAACAGCTCCCTATTATACGTTCAAGTAGTCAATAACCCACTTTGGCGAATTTCGCGAATCCGTTTTTCATGGAGTTTGGCCCCATACGATTTAGAGCTCACAACCATCCGCATGATTCAAATATGGAAACAAATACCGATATGTGAGCACTCCTTCAAATTAGTGACAATGCTTCTTTTCCAAGAAGCCTTTGAATATTTTTGGTCAGGGTCAGCCATTATGGGTACGCTACAAGTGCCTTGGTCTAAGGATATCTCACAACCGTAAGCTCTTGATGTCGCGGAAAGTCATAACGCAAAGGAAATCCTATGACTTTTTCTGGGACCGATCTGGGTAAGACCGCATTTGAAAGACACATCTGAGGTTAGCTGACCACATTCCAAAAAAAAAAAAAAAAGGAAAAAGATAGCCATTACTTTTTCTAAATTATGCAACATTGTTGGTTTTCTGGACATGCGTTCCCAAACTAGTGACAAAACTGTGAATCACTGGTGTAATCTTTGGGAAAAGAAAAAAAAAGAAACTGAAGAAACCTACACATATAATGAATTCTAAATCAGAAGAGAAAAAAAAGCAAGATAAAGAGCTAAGAAAAAGAAAGAAAGAAAAGAGAAGGGGAAGAATGACAATGCTCTAATGATACATGAAAACCGTGTTTAGTTATCCATGAAGAAATAGTTGCCACTCAATTTTTGTTCTTGATCCAACTGGGAATCCATCTTGTTGATTCTCGGTCTGAAGTTGGTAGGATCGCGACGGAAAGTAATCTCAAGGGATGCCAAGAATTTGTTCATGCCAGAGAGGAGTGACTGAGGAGAGTTGGCGGTAGCGTGAACGGAGGGAGTACCCTCATAGACGACGACACGGTCCGCAAGGTAAGTGGCCATGATGAAATCGTGCTCGACAATGAATGCAGTACGCTTGAAATGAACAATGAAGCGCTTGATAACCTTGGCGGCAATGATACGCTGCTCGGAATCCAAGTAAGCAGAAGGTTCATCGATAAGGTAGATGTCGGCAGGTTGACCCAAAGCCAGCACAATAGCCACACGTTGCAATTCACCACCAGACAAATGAGTGACTTGCTGATCAATGATGTTCTCAATCTGGAGAGGCTTGATAACGTCAGTGTTGAATTGAGGATTCAAGAACGCGGCCTTGATCTTCTTGATGAAAAGCATGCGAACGGTGCCAGGGAACTTGGGCGAGATCTTCTGAGGCTTGTAAGAGACGTTCAATTCGGGAACGGACTTTTCACCGTCAGGCTTCAAGAGACCGGCCAACAAACGAATAAAGGTGGTCTTGCCAGTACCGTTCTGACCCAACATGACAACAATTTCGGAATCCGTGAATTCACCAGCCTTGACATCAAGTTTGAAGTCACCTAAATGCAAAAAATTATCAGCAAAATCTATTTCCAGAGACTTTATAAACAAATCATTTTAGATTCTTACCCAATGTCTTGGTCATATCAGGATACGAATAGTTGCGAGTAATATCGCCACCAGCATCTTCCGTGGTTTGTTCAGCGATCTTGAAGGTCAAAGATTCTTCACGGAAACGCAAGTTCTCGGTACGAATGTTACCGTCCAAGAAGATATTGATACCTACACACTCATGGTTGAGCCATCTTTGCCAAACGATTGAAGGTCACTTTATTACGAGTACTTACCATCACGTACGGAAGCAGGAAGCGTCACCACACCATAAGCTGAAGGCATACCGTACAAAATACACACATAATCAGAAAGATAATCCAACACGGACAAATCGTGCTCGACGACAATGATGTAACTACAAAAGCTTTTTGATGAGATAACGAGCGATAACAAACCGAATAAAACTCAGAATCACTTACGTCTCGGGAGAGATCAAGGAACGAATCACACGAGCAGCGTTCAAACGCTGCTTGACATCCAAGTACGAGGAAGGCTCGTCAAACATATACCTGTGATATTTCGTAACTGTAAGCAATAATGTCACATGAATTCATCATTCGTTAAACTTACACATTAGCCTTTTGGACACAAACAACACCAATGGCGAAACGCTGCAATTCACCACCAGAAAGTTGTCCAACTTCACGTTGCAACACGTCCTGGAGGTCTACAGAAAAAAAAATCCAACACCGTCCGTCAGCCATTGCTCTAATATCTTCACATGCGTTTCTTCGTACCCAAAGCATCGATGATTTCACTCATGTTGTTGCGTTCGAGCTTATCTTCGAGAAGTGCGCCCACCTTGCCGTTAACGACCTTGGGGATATGATCCACATACTGCGGCTTGATGATGGCCTAAAGGGAAATATAATTAAATCATCTTGATTCCAAGGAAACACTGATGGGATCTCTTGATAGATAGTACCTTCAAGTTGTCTTCCAAAATCTTTGTAAAGTAATTCTGCAATTCGGAACCGCGGAAGTACTTGAGAATGTCCTGCCAATCAGGAGGGTTTTCGAAACGACCCAAGTTGGGCTTCATCTTGCCGGACAAGATCTTCAAGGCTGTCGATTTACCAATACCGTTGGTGCCGACCAAACCAAGCACTTGGCCAGGACGGGGAACGGGAAGACGATGAAGTTTGAAGGAATTGGCAGAATAACGATGGGTGACTTCGGATTCCAAGTTGGTAGGCAAATTGATAATATGAATGGCGCCAAAAGGACACTTCTTGGCACAGATACCACAACCGATACAAAGCTCTTCGGAGATGAAGGCAATCTTGGCCGTGGGCTCTACTTCGATACAGAATTTACCTAGAATCACAAGTTCATATATGTCAGCAAAAAGCCTGTTGTTCACCATAACCCCATCCTATCGCGCTATCAAATAAATCGAGAGAGGAAGCCTACCGATTCTGTTGACCGGACAAGAACGTTTACTAGAGAAAATCAACGTACATCAGCTTCAACTGTCACGGAGAATCAAAAAAAAAACTTACCATTCTTGTCTACATTTCTTGGGTTTGCACTTGTCGGCATTCACAATGGCAATACGAGTAAGCGCGTCACTCATGGTCTATAAAAAGAAGCAAATGGCTAAATGGAGAAGGGGGGGTAGGATCTCACGAAGAGCAATGAAGTAATGGAGAAACGCGAGGAGGTCAGACGTCTTTTTTGCATGCGAAATTTTTTTTTTTCCTTGATTCGATTGATGTCACAATGTGACTTGGTTTTTTTTGTAGACAGGGAACCAAATGTCGGATCACACACAATTTCGCCCCGAGAAAATAGTGAGACAAGGCTGTATCTATTATTTTATTCAAAAGCTCGTAATTGGCAGCTACTCACTCACATGGACTGCTTATGTGGAAAAACAAAAATCGTAGGATGATCTATATAAACGTATTTCTTTTTTTATCCGAGATCCCAATTGTGTGTCACGAATCTTACGATAGAAATTCATTGCGAAAATGCAATCGATCAACAAAGTAGTATCTTACAGTGGAACCGAGAGGCGTGCAAAGGGTGCATGATCATTCTATTTCGGAAATGCTTTTTAAAACAGCGTTATGGTGAGGAATTCCAACTCCAGGACTACCTGAGAAGAGGCGGCATATCATACCAAGGCATACGAGCAAATGTTCCTTTGCGGATTTATTATTTTTCTTTTTTCTGCAGTGCCAAAACACGATCTAAGAGTTAGAAAATGAATTCCGATTGGGTCTTCCTACAACGAGAATCGCGCATTATAGATGGCCTCTGGCACGTAACCGGCCGTGATCTGACATACAATTGAGCAACACTGATTTTTTTCTGGCGTTTGTATGCAACTGCACTTACCTGTCGACCACCAAACCATCGACCATTCAATGCATGCGTTGCCTTCATTGCTGCATCGGTGGAATCGAATTTGATATACACCTCGCCCTAAAAGTATCGGTCAGATTTTCCACAAGTATTTTACACACGTTCACATGTTAGCAGGCTTACCAAGGATTCTGTGTTGACATGAATGTGGATTACTTCGCCGTATTGCATACATTCATCTTTGACGTCGGTTTCCAAATCACGTTCCCAATCTGGCTCCGTCTCCCTAATAATGCAAAAAAGTCCAGGTTGATTATATGATATCGTTTCGCGGTTAGCCAAGGTTGACTTACTCTGCAGGATTAAACATGTTGTTTAGCATAATGGTGCGTGTGGCGCTCTGTGGAATATTCGGTTTTGCTCTACGCGAATTTAGTAACGAACCAAGAAGAAGAATCGGTTTTTTGAAAAAAAAAAAAAAAAAAAAAAAACTTACTTTGGCACCACCGCAGGTTCAACGGCAGTTTCCATCATCAGATCCGTCTGGCGAGCCGCCAATTTCTTCATCAATTCGGTACGTGATAAGGAGTTCAACGCAACCCCGGCCGTTTCTATTTACATCATACTCATTAATTTCATCGACCGCGATAAAGAAAAAGATCGCCTTAAATAGTTTTACCATCGTCATCTAGATTGTAGCTCATCATTGCAGTTTGTTTCTCGGTTACCAGTCCTACTTTCAACTTTTTTTTGTCGTGGTTAGTTTCAGCAAAAGAAGTGGAATGTGGTATCATTTGGATACAAACGTTTCTTCCGGCGAGTTCGAAACCATTCATCTTCTCGAGTGCCTGCTTTGCATCGTTAGAATTTTTGAATCTAAGAAAAAGCGTAACCATTAGCATCTGTTTTCATCTGCATTTGTGTTATCAACAGTATCAAGTAACTTACTGAACAAAAGCAAAACCTTTCGATCGTCCGGTTTCAGGGTCTACAGCCAGTCATTGTATTTTAGAAAGCAAGTTCAAAGCTTTTCTTTTTGGCATGATAATTACCCATATGCAAATTAACGAATTCCAGCGGTCCGAAAGGTTCAAAAATCTGACGAATATCATCTTCAGTAAGACTGAAATGGATCGATCCAACGTACAAACGCTGGTATAAAAGCTCTTGCTCTTGTTGCGCCAATTTCCTAGAATTTTCGTTAAATAGGGTCAGCCTCATATCGTGGTGCAACATGATCCAGGATTGACTTACAAGTTCCTCTCTGCCTGCATGGCCAGGCGATTCTTTTCAGCTTCAGATAATTGCACAAGGACTGGAATACCTAAAAGTTTTTGCCCAGACATTGCCAAAGCGTTCTGAACCGAGGCTTCATCATAAAACTCGACATACCCCACTCTATCATTAAAAAAAACCACAGTCAATATTTCCGTCGAGCTCCCATCAACCAAGCTGACCAATACATTACCCTTTTGATCGTCGTGAATTACGGTCAGCGATAATACGTGCATCGCGTACTCGACCAGCTTGAACAAAAAAGTCTTCAAATTCTTGAGGCTTTAAGCGTTGTGCCAATTGTGTTACGAATACAGTTCGTCTATCTCTTTCTTCTTCGGGAATAGGAGGTGAGGGAGAACGACGTCTACGTCTTCGCCTGAGAGAAAAAGAAAACCGTTCAGTCATCACAAAATGATTTTTTGCTTAAACTTTCATAACAAAAAGTATACATACTGGTTTTTATCAAAGCTTCGACTGCGGCGTCGAGCCGGGCTGCGACTGCGTCTTCTACGATCTCGTGAATGGTGGCGATGTCGGCTATCTCTATCAATGGATCGAGAACGAGAGCGGCGACGATAATCACGAGAATGGCTACGATGTCTACTGCTGTATCTGGAGTGAGAACGATGCGATCTCGATCGTGAGCGGTGAGAAGGCGAACGAGAGGAATGTCTAATCAAACCACCAAGAAAACCGTTAGCCTAATGTCGGTGAAAAAAGAAGCTCCTTATTAATAGAGCTGCTGACCTTCTTCTTTCGTCTCGATGGCTGTCATCTCTTTCTCGACGATGACTTGAAGATTCTCTTTCTGCGGAGGGTTCCTGACCGTGCTATTTCATCGCTGATGAGCCAGCCTGCGACTTTAACATGACAACTTTTAACTAATTACCTGTTTCTCCTGATAAGGAGCTTCCAGCATAGCTTCTACGTCCATGTCCATTTTGAGTAGTGTTGATTTCTTGAGTATTATTTTGGCACAAAGAGAAAACACCGGTGATTGGAACCCAAATCTCTACTTTTTCACCGCATCTGTATATTCGTACTGTAAAAATTTGCGGTCTATTTCTGTAGCGGGGATTCCGATGTCAACAAGCATTCCTGATCACGTGAGGTTTGTTCCAAGCAAGGTCTGGGAGGTCATCATGATACTTCACAGTGGCGTAGCTGAAGCCCATTTCTGGCCAAAAAACGCAAGAATGGGTATGACAAAAGTGTACACCTGCTGTCATTATTTTAGATTTGCAGGCAAGAGTGCAGTATAAACGGAAATTCTGCTTCCATATTATTGTGATGCGTGGCCGTTTCTGCAATCTTACAATAAACTTGATTGGTGGTATAAATCATAGAATATAACTATTCTTTGAACCCTAGCTTATATTTTAAATTCATGATACACATAGTTTTCCTATCAACTGCAAATATAGGCCTACATTGTACAAAGGACTGTAATAAAGGTTCACTTATTCGGGAGAAATCATTCCATTATTTCGATAATCATAAGTACCGTCGTCTACAGTACAGTATATCATTAAATATCTGCGATCGCTACTACCTTTATTTTCGTATGAAAAGAACATTGGCCTGCCAATTAGAATCTTATTTCAAAAATTAATCATATCGATGCCATGAACCATTTGCTTCATCATCGATTGAGAGCTCCGTTGATTTTTGTAAAGCCCTACGTGCAACATTACATGCAAAGCGCGCTGTCGACGGTTGGAGAAAGTACAGCAACGAACGCAAAAGCTGAGAATGCCCGATTAGCTACGATGCCTGTGGTTTAAAAATGGTGGCTTTTTTTTTTGTTTATATCATGTATAGCTAATCTATGCAATACGGTTTCATGGGTCAAAATCCTTCGATATAGAGTAAAGCGTTTCATGTGTGTTGAGGTTTCTGTATATAAATGGCCAAATATCTGATAACATCAAAGTCATATGTATGATACTCCTACCTGCTCCATGGCTCATCTAAGCGACTGTAATGAAGGTGCTTATATATGTTATTCCGTTACGGAACTTTTTGGTCACGCACATACTGTACTGATAATCGATACTCAACCATGCCAGTTATCTTGTGGTTGTGGGTATTGCTGTAGTGCACATGCGGCAGGAAATAGCATTACATTATTCATCTGTACATTAGAAATCGTGCATGAACCTCCATCAATAAGCAGTGATATCGAAATTCTCGACCAATGCAATGCCACCTTTTTGTCACTATCAATAGAAAGAATGACCCTTCTTTTGAGCCTTTATCTGGCCGACTAAAAAAATTTGAATTTTGAGGTTTGACGACTTATCCTCGCCAGCAAATAAATATCAGAGATAGGCAACATCTCTTTTCTTTTGACTCGTATTCCTGCGTCAACTATTCAGGTGCTTTGTTTGACTTGGTGCACCATGTGCGTGAAACGTTACTGTCTCGAAAGCGACCACACTGTAACACATCTTTCAATTTTTCAAGTACGTGGAATATGGATGATTTTGGGTAATCATGTCGTGTGAAATGGGCAAGTTAACTTTTGAAAGGCAATATTATTTACAATCTGTATTTGGGAGCTGGCACAGCAACTCCGTTTTTCGTGAAGTTTGAAGTATAAAGTTTGCTTACAAGGTCTCTGTTGGTGTAAGGGATGAAAGAAATCAACAAAGAAACAACAAATATTGGATTCTCAGGCCAGCTTTGGGTCTGCTCGGGTATCACACCGGTGAGGTGAATCCGGGTTTCCACTGTGACGCGTGTAACCTAAATCACACACATATGCCAGTCAGATTGAAAGGACGGTGGGAATTCCCCTGCCCAGGTTCATAGATACGAGTGACAACAAGGCCATCTCATTGGACGATGACCAATTGAGGTTGCTTTGTAACCTTTGAAACATGGCGTTTGGCATCATATTTTAATAACAACCAGATCCCAAAATTTTTTACCAGCCATAAACGGCGAAATAGATTCTGCCATCCAATTTCAAAGATTGACAAACACACACACACACAAGTTTTTTTTAATTCTTCTTTTTGAAACGCCAATCAAATGTCACAAATATAAATACCTGCTTTCCACACTTTAAATTCTGACACGTTGCTTTCTTTCACTTGTTCATCGCATCATCATGTCTCTCGCCAAGCAAAACTTCTCCACCTCTTCCGAAGAAGGGATCAATCAACAAATCAACACGGAGCTTCAAGCTTCTCAAGTGTACCTGTCCATGGCAGCATGGGCACAGCATACCTCTGTCGTTTTACCAGGTAAAAAAATCGATACTTATCTTACAAAATGGCAGTTCAACGGACATGAATTGGGGTAGTAAACTCATGTAACTCTATTTAGGCTTGGAAAAGTACTTTCGTGAAGCAGCAAATGAGGTAAGCAACGCGCTTTCAAAAATGCTTGGTTTGATCTGTCGATTTCTTACTGGTGAATGTTAGGAACGAGAACATGCTCAACATTTGATTGGTAATTTTGGAGTAAACAATATCCAAGGTGTACATCATGGCTCAAGCGATGGCTAGATTATTTGAATATGCGAGGCGGAAAGGTCGTGTTGAGAGCGCTTCAAGCCCCAGAGGTATGTCTATAACTACGCTGACAACCCCCAAAACGCGAAAAACATTGACCCTGCTTTCTAGACTGATTGGAAGTCAGCAAAGAATGCAGTTGAATCAGCTCTTCAGCTCGAAAAAGGTAACCAGCCCGCCAGTCCGCCAGCCAGGCCCACAATAAAGGTGATGATCATGTAGCTAACGACTATCTTTAGATGTCAACAAATCACTGTTGAATCTGCATAAAATCGCCGACACCAATGGCGATCCTCAGATGTGCGACTTTATTGAAGGCAGATACCTTGAAGAGCAAGTCAAGGCCATTAAGACTTTGGCTGATATGGTTACTCAACTTAACCGCGTGGGAGAAGGTAAGCTTGAATACATTCCGAATAACTAGGCTCGCATGGCGATAAAGTGAATGATTCTAAACTTGGTTCTTTTTTCTTTTCCCTTCTCTCTTTCTCTCAGGTCTTGGCGTCTACTTGTGGGATCAGCAGTTGTATCGTGAAGGCACTGGCGCAGGCAGCAGAGTCATTGGTGCTGGTCGCGATTAGAGTTCAAAAGAAACAAAAAGAAAGATTACGACTGACTTGAACAAAAATAAAAAGAGGTCCATCTCACATTTTCCTTTCCGTCAACTATTCTTTTTTTTTTGCTTTTTACGCACCTGTTTCATCCGACAATGAACCCTTCATTTGGAGGAAGTTTCCTTGCTTTAGAATTTGGATGGAGCAACATCTTCAACTGTTCTCCCGCGTGTGGCAGCAAATGAGGAAATTCCTTTGAGCACAAAAAAAAACCGCTTTGTCCTATTAAGGTATCGTCCTCTGTCGACAAAATTAGATCATGCTGCAAGTTTGTTTTGGCAAAAGCGTCTGAAACCAGTCAGTGTCAAACGTCACTGTTTCGCTCCGTTTTTCTGAACTGTGAGACGTGGAAAAAAAAAAAAAAGATAATCTTCAATCTATAGTTACTTTCAGAATTCACCATGGGCGGAACATCGGAGAACATTCAAGAAGCTCAGAGGTAAAAGAATGAGCCGATGAGGGATGTCAACAACGATAACTTATTGATATCTGTTCACTTGCAGTGAAAAATATTCTCAAGCCTACAAGACCTTTCGCAAATATCCCGGCAATTCAAGCAAAGGTGATCAAGCCAAGTATCACAAACGTATTTACGGCATCGAACATCCAGGTGTAACAGGCGTCATTTATGCAACCGACCGCGCCAAACAGCTGGGCTTTACTGCCGACGACCCAGAGTGGGGTGAGTCTTGTTGGAATTCTTTTTCTCGACGTGTCATACAGTTTATTCATGCAATGTGAATTTCTAGCAAACTTTGGTCAGGGAGCTCCAGAAGGTAAGTAATATTAATGCAGGGTGAGTACATGGAAAAATGGCAAGATGAAGTGAAAAAAATTATTTATCAGTCGGGTCTATTGAGGGCTGCATGGAAAAGCCAACTAAAATCGACATTCCGGTCGACGCCCGTGAATATGCTCCAACCGATGGTGTCAAAAGTTTACGATCAGCAGTAGCCAATTTATACAACGAAGTATATCGCAAAAACAAATCTATGAAGTACACCGAAGAAAACGTACGTCGATTGATATGAGAAAAACCTACTAAATTTTTTACTGACTCGTATATTGGCTTTTAGGTGTGTATTGTTCCTGGTGGCCGTGCCGGGTTGACAAGATTGGCTTCAACCATTGGCGATGTTAATGTCGGTTACTTTTTACCCGAGGTCAGTACAGAACAGCAAACTCTTTTCATCAAGTGGATATAAGTTGACTAGATGCCTGGTTTATATAGTATCCGCCCTATGAAGAAATGCTTACTTTGTTTAAACGATTTGTTCCCATCTCGGCCACCTTGGATGAGGATTGCGATTATCATATCGATCCAGACAGAATACGAAAAGAAGTGGCGGGAAGAGGTCTTGGAGTCATACTGAGCTCTAATCCACGCAATCCAACAGGTCAAGTAACCGAAAAGGAACAACTAAAGGAGTTGGTAAATATTGCCAGAGAAAAGCATACAACCCTGATTCTGGACGAGTTTTACTCTGCATACATCTATTCCCATGATCCTTCGGAAAATGGTCGCACAATCAGCGTTGCAGAATACATTGACGGTAAAAATGTGGTTTCGAAATTTTCTGACCAAATCATGTGGCTCACCTGATCTTGATATAGACGTGAACGAGGACCCTGTCATTATTCTTGATGGTTTGACAAAGAATTACAGAGTGAGTGAAAAATATGGATGTTCTCCGCAATGGCATCATCTTGTTTACACAGTATCGCATAGCTTCCAGGATGGCGCGTTTGCTGGATCGTTGGGCCCAAAACCGTGATATCCTCTATGGAGTCTTGTGGATCCTTTTTGGATGGTAAGTGCACTGGTGCCAAAAATTGTTAGAAGAGGGGTCCCGCTGAGCTATTTTGTTATCGTAGGTGGAACCAATCATCCTTTGCAAGTAGCGGCAATCCCTTTCTTGGAACCAAGCGTTTATAAAAATGAAGCGAAATATTTGCAGGCACATTTCCGAAGCAAACGCAATTACACTCTGAAAAGATTGGAAAACATGGGCCTTCCCATTAAAGTGCCACCTGTGGCAACTTTTTATGTATGGGTTGATCTCAGCCATCTCCCGGAACCATTAAATATTGGCCTACAGTTCTTTGAAGAATGTTTAAAGGAAAAAGTGTAAGTGATAACATTATCTCAACGGCGGTGTGGACTAATAATGGATGATGACTTTAGAATTGTTGTTCCTGGTATCTTCTTTGATATCAACGTAAGCTTACATTTTGCAGCAGTATGATTTAGGACGGTAAAAATTGATTTGATTCCATAGCCGGCTCAGCGTCGCGAGTTGTTTGAATCCCCATGTCACCACTTTATTCGATTTAGTTTCGGTCCTCCTATGGACGAATTGAAACGAGGCTTGGATAATATGGAGAAAGGTAAGCTCAAAACCGTATCTACCATGCACACTCTTCGTCTGATCAGCATGCCATCATAGTCATCAAAAAGTTCTCCAAATCGTGATACGGTATGATATGAGATAACGCAAAAACGATCCCAATAAAATATTCAAATTTACGCACGCGGTATTGACAAACCTTCTAAGAAATGCGTAAACGCTGCATATTGGGAATTTATGATTTTTTTTCGGGGGAGTTGTCGTATAGCGTCGCCTAGGACACTTGGGGTTTCCTAAAATGGGCATTTTTGGGAACTTCCGACAAAATCTTTGGACTTGATGCATGAATCTCTTGTTCACGTGATCCCGCGGTTCGGAGGAACGGATACGGCCTACAGCAATCCATCCGTTGGCTGAACCTCCTCTTCATATACGTGGTTGACAATGCCGGCAAACACAGGTAGATATCGAATGATACACGTATATTGGATCGTAGAAAAAGGATGGATGCATACCTGACGATAAACGGATGGATTCATGGATGGATGCGTTCCTTGATATTTTCGATATCTGCAACAAATACGACGGATAATGCTAGGAATCACCAACAAAAAAGATCGCCTCGGTTACATTGCGTGCAGAGCAGTTCATTTATTCGCCGTTCATCAAAGCTGTGCATTCGTCTTTTTTTTTGCGATCGTGATATACACTATGTTACCGACATTGGACGATTATTTGGGGTGCTGATATTATTGCTATTTCTTTGTAGCATCAAATGCCAAGGCTCTCGCCGCCAAGAAGGCTGCCCTCAAGGGTGTTAACGGCAAGAGCGTCCGTAAGATTCGCACTTCCACCCACTTCCACCGCCCCAAGACCTTGAAGTTGGCACGCAAGCCCAAATACACCCGCAAGTCCATTCCCCATGTCCCTCGCATGGACCAGTACCGTATTATTCGTCAGCCTTTGAACACCGAAACCGCCATGAAGAAGATCGAGGAACAGAACACCTTGACTTTTGTCGTCGATGTCAAGGCTAACAAGTCTCAAATCAAGGATGCTGTCAAGCGTCTTTATAATGTGGAGGCTGCCAAGGTCAACACCCTCATCCGTCCCGACGGTTACAAGAAGGCTTACGTCCGTTTGACCGCTGACGTCGATGCTCTCGATGTTGCGAACAAGGTAAATTTTAATAAACTAATGTGGGCCATCTAATTTTATGGGCGCTAACTCATTGTGTATAGATCGGTTTCATCTAAAAAGTGTCTACTCTTACTTTCCCATTACCTTTTGTAGTGTCTTGATGCATAAATTGTTTAACATTGGTACAAATAAACGGCATATTCGAGCATAGTATTAATCGGTGTTAGTAAACAGTTGGTGGAATTATTCATGCAGTATCTGGCGTCTCTGATATAGAAAACAGTTTGTCATTGCACGAACCCAAATGAGTTATCTTAATCCATAGGAATTCATCAGAATGATGCCCGCACCGAATGAACTCCGAATTTTCCCAAATTTTTGGATTACGCGGGGGCACAATCATCTATAACCTGAACATGATCGGTTACACTTATTTTGTGCGGTCGCGCTCATTGTCGTTATGGCGACAATGTCGACGATTCCAAGTTTCTGCCGCAGCTGGAAGTAAAGGAGGAGGTGGCCCAAAGGAGGAAAAGGTGCGCGCCATTCCTTTCAGGCACCACGTCAAAGCAGCAGAAAAGGTAATGTTGATCCAATGCAATGACGTGAATTGTGATTTGGCTTGGATCTTGTTAATCGCGGTTACAAAAAAAGACGTTTGAACAATACCACGGTCATGGTTTCTTTTCTGTACGAGTATCAAGCGCAGGACCGCCAGAAGAGATATTTCTGCCTTTTTGGGTAGCTTCGGCCACTGTTCACACAGAAGTTGTGCAGGCACAAATAGTAAGTGAACGCAGTGCTGATGGTTACTTTTGCCTACCTATTCTAAACTGCATGTGTATAGGGGAGAAACGTCATGAGAACACGGATGAATCCATCAACAAGGAGAAAAGAGACTGTATGGGAAACAGATTGGGCTTGGGTACCAGCGGGGCAACAGTTTACGCGCGATTATATTCCGCTGGGCCATCCTGGTTTGCAAATCTATGCATCTCATAAGTATCGTCGTGGATTTGTCAACGGTATGTGTACGGGCCAAGCTTTGGAAGATACGACCAAGTTTTCCTACGAGTTACTGGATCGCCCATCGTATCGAGAGCTGGATCGAGCCTATCAAACGATCAATCGTAAAGTGGATCCTTTTACCATTTTTCCTACAACGGCGCTGCGTCTGGCCACATCTTACATTAAATCGCAAGAAGAAACATACGTCGACGAATATTTAAAAAAGACATATGCTGCAGATCAGACGCGATTTCTGAAGCTAAACGTCACACTTGAAAATGTCAAACTATCGCCTGTCTATTACCCCGCTTACATATACACTGTTCATTACCTTGGACGAAACCTGCGGACGTTTATTAACGGCAATGATTTGACCGTGGGTGGACTGAAAGTTTACAATTGGGAAAGAGTAGCTGCTGTTTCAGCCCTTGGTATGGCAGGCGTCATGACGGCCACCGGTGGCGTGGGATGGGGCGGTATGAGCGGTTCTCTGTGGGTAAGTCAGGTTCACGTTTCGATGTCAGAAAAAAAAAACATACATGCGCTGATAACGTGGAACAATAGCTCGGTATTGTTTTGCCTACGGTGGTAACATCTCTATTCACAATGTATTATCCGTTACTCTCACTGCGCGTAAGGGACTGGATGCGGCAACGGGAAATCGCACGTCAGGCCCACGATCCGCATATGTGGGATACAGATTGGACAGCTGCCTATGATGCCTTTGAAGACGAAAAGCGGTATCGAACTTGGCGTGCTGAATCTGAATACTCACGCTCAAGTCAAAGTGCAGCTGGGACCCAGGATCCCAAAGGATATTATCGTGCCTTGGGGATCGATCGGCAGGCAACTACCGCGGACATTCAAGCTGCTTTCCGAGGGTATTAAATTATTTTACAGTGCATGCATCATCCTCTTCAAAATATTGACTGGACTGTTACAGGTTAGCAATGAAGCATCATCCAGATCGGTACGCTGATGCCGGCGAAAAAGCAAAGGCCACCGAACGATTTCAGCTGATATCAGCTGCTTACAGCGTTTTACGTGACCGTAAGTGTGGATTCGGTACCAACTTTAGAAAAAAATACCACTACTAAATCTTTCTATAGCCAAGAAACGAAAACGGTATGATCAGACAGGTCAAAGCTGATGTTAGATTTAAAAATGAGGACACGCCAAAATATATTTTTGTTGAAAATCATGTACATAGCGCAACAGTGATGTCTGTTGAAGAATTTACAAATGAAAGGATAAAAAAAGAATAAAAAGAAAAAGGACTAGATGATTATAAAGAAAGAAATGGGGGTAGTTGAATACGATACATGAGTCATTGTTTTCTCAATAAAAAAAAAAAAAAAAAAAACTCATGGGTATGTTGAATACGAGGGATATCAAATCGGTGCATCATCCCTTAAAAAAACGTGTCTTTCGGTTGATGCAAGACCTGCTTAACGGTCAACGGAGCCTGCCACATTGCTGATGGTAGCATTATCGAGGTCAAAAACACGCCATAAAGCGTCGCCGTCTTGGAAATCGTTGTGAACAATATTGATCAGGTACCAGGTGTCCGCGACTTGCTTCAACAGTCGGCTTGTGGGGCTCTCTGGTTCGTAGATTCTGGACCATTCATGCCACAAGGCAAAAGCTTCTTCCTTCCAGGCCATGAAGGCGACAGCTTCCACAATCGTAGGCTGGATCACTTCTTTACCCGGGAAAATACCCCATGTAACCGCATTAGGACCTTCGCTTTGGGTGTTCATCTTCAAATCACCCTGTTGGTTCACGGCATAGTAGGTGATATTTGCATCAGAGCTAATCTTTTGCGTGAGTTTGTCCAGAGCTTCAGGTGACACAAAGAATTCGAGGTAGGCCTTTTGAAACACGAAACCGTTTTTGGGACCCCAACCATGAACCTTATCCGAGCTTCTGACACCGTTGACAGCAGGTTGCGAGTTGATGGTCAAGTAACCCAGAGAATTAACAGCAGCTAAGCGGTCGCGGATACCCTGCGATTCGGTATCCAATTCTTGCGAACACCAGGGAAGGGCACCCACTTGACCAAGACAGTAGCCAGAAAAGATGGAACTCAACTCAGCAATCGTCGCGGGATAGTTCCACATTTTCAGACACTCGGCCTTGGAATGCTTGAGAGACACACCATAACCGTCCAATTCACCAAAAGCTATATGAATTCAGTTTTTTTTTGCTTGTAAGAAACACTCGCTCATGTTTTTCCGTTTCACTACTTACCAGGCGAGCGAGAGTCACCCCATCGACCATTGGGGAATTCATCCCATTGTTCAGTACGCTTGATATAACTCATAGTTCGGTTCTTCCAGAAAATAGGACGCACATTTTCCTTGGCGCGTTTGGCATGCAAAGACTATATACAAAGAAAAAAAGGAAAACGAACCATGTCGGTGAACAAAAAGACATATGAACCACTGAAAATTACTGTTACGTACTGGTTTCCAAGGCAAAGGGCGGACGTTTTGTTGAGGAGCGACATCACCAAGGCGTTCAAGGATAAGGCGAGTCGATCTCTCCAAATTAAACGTGTAAAAGTGGACACCGTTGATACCGGCCGCTCTCATTTTTTGAATAAAGTCGATGGTGAGGTTGATACCGTACTCTTTGATAGCGGCATCATCATCCTTGATAGGTTCAAGGTCATCCCAAATCTTTTGGGGCACAAAGTTGTTGTTGAAGGAGATCACACGCTTGAGACCGTTGTAGTTTTGAATGGGGAATACACCAGGAAGGATGGGGCAGGTGATGCCAATGGTACGGCAGCGCTCCACAAACTCAAGGAACATGTCAAAGTCGTAGAACAACTGAGTGACCACAAAGTCAGCACCAGCATCAATTTTAGCCTTCAAATGTCGAAGATCATCTTCCTTGTCGGGGTTATCAATGTGTCCCTCAGGATGACCTGCAAACGAATAAAAAAAAAATGACAATGAATTATAAACCCTCCAATGTTCGTAAAGAACGGAGACTACACGTACCAGCGACAGCAATACCGAAATAATCGCCATACTTTTTGCGAATATACTTAACCAGGTCGATGGCATTGTTGAAACCACCATCACAGGATTCCCAAGTTTCCTGTCCGTGGGGAGGATCGCCACGCAAAGCAAGGATATTCTGGCATCCACAAGCTTTGGCAGTCTGTGCAGTGATTTCAAATGGATATTAACTTACAGTTGTCCCAAGATACAACGCAGAATTTGTTGACTTACCTCCAAAGCGATATCCACTTGTTCTGCAGGCATGTTTGTGCATGTCAAATGCATCATTGTTTCCACGCCATACACAGCTTGAGTGGTAGCCACAATTTCCGTGGTCAGTTCAGAGGTAGTGCCTCCGGCGCCCCATGTAACGTCAATGAATTCAGGACCATAGCGTTGCATACGTTCGATACGGTCATAGAGGTTTTGCACGCCCTAATAATTTGGAAGGTCAATCAAAACAGGGAAGAAGTATCGATGGAAGCAAGAGAGGGCACCATACCTGTGCAGTCTTTGGAGGGAAATACTCAAAAGACCAGTAGAAGCGACCTTCTTGTTCTGCTTTAAGGATCTTGTCAATGATTTTCATTGTGGACAAAGGAAAGAAACAGAATATTCAACTGGGAAGATCACTGATTTAATATATAAGGCAATTACGGATCTTAGATCGTTTCGGGGAAACGTTGAAAAACGAGATGCATCTAGAGAGATTGCAGTATATGACAGTCACGATCCACCGTACACCATAGGACACGTTCGCAGATCCGTTGGCGATTGGTATCCTGCTTCATCCTTTCAAGTCAAATTGCTCAATGCATTCGTAAAACTTTTTGTTTCCATTTTTTCTCTACGTTCGACATTGCATGATTACATTATAGAAGCATAACGAGAACCAGATAAGATAACGAAATGCCGCACGTCTTAAAATGGGATGTCGAAACCCCATTCGTAATTTTTCAAGATCACTAAATGATCCAATCACAATCAAGTATACCGTCGATACAAATGATACTTTCAACTCCGATAAGATCATGCTTGCATGTGAACAGCCAATAAGGGCGATCCAGCGTAACCATGAGAATTAGAAAAAGTTTGACGGCATGGTTCGCAGAAGTACAATAATCACGTAGAGGTTGTAAATCTTTTACAAGAACGTCTCATACAGTTAACACGTTGCAAGAAATAGACAGAACTGGATCTATCGGAATAAAACTCTTTCATATCTGACGTTCACTGTGACAGATGGCACATATAAAATACGTAAAGTCACATCATCTACTGACGTGCTTGAATCCACAATGTTTTAATAGATCCTCCCGAAGTCCGAAAAATGGTCCTTTTAACATAAAGACTTATAGAGATGCTTACCATATTAAGTACGCCAGTCGATTTTGGCACTGTGTATGACATCTCAAAATACCTCCGGTCCCATGTTCCAACAAGTTGGTGGCAGGAACAATGACGGGCAATATAATGCAATAGAGATGACACAGTGTCAAGGTAGAGGAACTATGGACATGCTGATGACTGGCCGTCAAACCAGCCCTTATTGGCACTCCAATTGGATTTCACAGCCATCTTTCGACGTTTGTAAACCCATTGTGGATTCTTGACATGTCTTGATATGCAATAAACTGGGTCCTACTTTTAGCAATCAGGCTCCTGTATCTTATGCTGATTATCAAGCTTTCGATCTGTACAAGCAAAAGACTTGACAGCGGCTCTCTCTGCATTATCAAAGAAGTAGAATATTAAATCAAGACCACTTTTCGTGTATACTACTTTAGTGAAAAAGAAGGAACCTGAAATCTGACCCAAGTGCTGGCCAATTTTACGAGGCTTAATGAGGTAGAAGCGAAGCGTTATATATATGTCGAATTTCACCAGTTAGCAAAATATCAATGTCTCAGACTTTGCCGAGGTTACAGCCTATCATAATCCCCTTGGGAGCCGCCAGTAGACAACAAGAAGCCCGAGGTCTCTTCAAGACCAATTCCCAAAAGATTCGCAGAAAGTCTGACTGACTTTATAGGAGGGCATAAATGATAAATGACATAAAGCTTACTTCCAATGTAACAGGGAAAGGCAATGGCTTGGAATCGAGACCGGAATATTGTAACGCAGCTGGAACAAAATCTTTGTAAACCCTCACTTAATTAAAGGTACCGTTTCGCAGAGCTAATGTCCAATTCAAGAGAATGAGCAGCGAGCAGCAGTTTCACGAGTTTGTTAAAAAATATATTACAAACCGCAATTACTGACTGAAAACTTATGTGTGTATTATATTGATTCACAAAAGGTGTCCAATATATGATCCAAAATCGGGGATTAGAAATTTTCGGAAAGTCAACAAAACTTACAGGAACATGTCGGATCTCGACAGTCAATTGATGATCCGCCCGACATTTTTGATTCTATGCCAGGGCAAACCGATCGAGCAACTGCTACTTTTAAGCGTTCTACTTATCCCCAGGTTTGAATTCTTTGACAGAAGCATAAACACATCAAGTGCTGTATCGCATGGATCAAGTCGGTAACCTTGTGAAAAAAAAAAGGATCGCGTAATAGCTTAATTTCATGTGATTCAGAGTGTGAAACTTGTTCCTTGCATGTGGGCAATCACCGCGCCCGAACCACCTTGTAAAAATAGTGCTTATCAGTGCATGCTATGAAGAGCTATCGCATTAGCTCATCACTAAATCAACCTACTATAACAGACCAACAACATATTTGAAAGATCGGGAAAGCTCAATTTTCTCAATGTTCTTTGCATCCCATTTGAGGAAAATGCCTCATTGACTGATGACGTTAAACTTCGATGTTTGAAATCCTAATTTCTCCATCTGACTCATTATTTTTTATTTTTATTCGTGACAATCGTCTCATTTTTCTGCGCATTTTCGCTGGTGATATGGACATCAGTATAGAATAGTATGGCCGAATCAAACCGACATCATTTGAACGGCATTCCAAACGATCATCAACAGGATCAGACGACCTCAACTGCCACCCACGACTCGGCATCCGAACCATCGTCTAGTCGAAATGCCGACGATGCCAAGAAGAAAAGAACAGGTCCCAAGCGGCGAAAGGTGACGCACGGTACTTCTTGGTCCTTTATTTTTCATGCGGTCATGTTTTGGAACTAATATTCCTTAGCCTGTGTGTATTGTCGACGCTCGCACATGACCTGCGACGAAGGTAAATCTAACATTCTGAAAAGAATCACACGAGGGTGTCTTGCAAACCACTAAACCTTGTGTATTACTGGCCATAACTTCAGGGCGACCATGCCAGCGATGTATCAAACGAAGTATTGGCCACCTGTGCCATGACGAACCCAAAAACCCCAACGGATCCGCCAAGCAAACAGCAAAATCAAAACAAGCACCGACCAGCGATAGTACGAACAATTACATGCTAAATAACCTATCGCTTGTGCAAGGTGCGTTACACCGTTCCATCTACATGCTTGTCCATTGCCTAATTTTATCATTTGCCAGATTTGGGCGTAGGTAACAAATTCGGTGGTCTTCCTTTACAGTTCTTTGGTCAAATGGGTACCGGACAACTCACCTTTGCAAGCGAGCACATGGGCAACGAAATCTCGGTTATCAGGTACAAGTGGCCCACGCACAGCCAGCCTTGATCGAGCTAATAACCTTTGATAATGTAGCAACTTTCTAGACTCCGTGGGTGGCAATGTCCCGGGCTTCTACAACCAACATGGGCAAGGCCTTCTTTCGTCTTCGGTGAACACGACCGAGAAATTTTTCTTGACTGCGGCCGATCCATCGGATGGTCGCTTGGAAGATCGTTTGACAGAAGTGATCAATGCAAAGTATGAAGCCGGATTTCTGAAACCGTACAACTATGTCAATGGGTATGCGCGATTGCAGAAATACATGGATAACAAGTAAGCCATCGTCTTGATCACTGACAAAAAAAAAAAAAAAAAAAAAAAAAAAAATCGGACAGACGGAATTAACCGGATGAGCACTTTGTTAGTATGTCAGCCTCAAGTCGGCAGCGTATCTTGAACGTTATGGGCACCTTCCGTCCCGCTTTCCGCTCCGTCGCTCAATCGTTGACCGATATTGATTTGATCCTTGTCGAAGAAGCGTTTGAACGATTGCTGCTGGTAAAACCATGAATATCATTCATCAGACTACTTGTCGAGACTAACCGAGCCATCAACAGGATTACGACCGTGTATTTAGTTCCATGGGAATTCCAGCTTGTCTTTGGCGTCGAACGGGTGAAATTTATAAAGGAAACAAGGAATTCGCATCCTTGGTGAACGTACCAATCGAGCAACTGCGTGAAGGACGTCTTTGTATCTATGAATTAATGGCCGAAGAGTCAGCTGTCAACTACTGGGAGGTAATGTCTAACAAGCGAGTGTTTTTATCTGGGAAGCAGTAGCATGATGGTGCCATGGTTGTACTCATGGCATTTCTCAATCCTAGAAATACGGCAATATTGCATTTGATCCCGGTCAAAAAGCGGTACTCACGTCTTGTCTGCTAAAAAATCCGGAACCTACTAATACCAGCGTTATCTCTTGCTGCTTCTCTTTCACCATTCGTCGCGACAAGTACAATATACCAACAGTCATCGTTGGCAATTTCCTCCCAGTTCAATTACAATAACATTTTCAAACCCCACATCTGAATTTTCTTTTTCTCTGTAAAATACATACAATATCAATTCAACATTATTAAATACATCTAGGATGTTACTCGTGCTGTAGAGCTCAGTCTGTCTATCAAAATAGTAAAGCTACAACTTTTCGAGTAAATACATCGACGATCGAGCTGGAATGGGAAATAATGGCCAATAAAAAAAAAATTCAAAAAGCCTAGAATACGGTTCTGCAAAGAGGACAACTAGCTGAATTGGATGATCGGAACCACTGTAAAAAAAAGTAAAATCATGTGAATGATCGCGCAAAACATTGAAAATATGACTTGAACTCGTCACGAACGAACCTTATAAAGACAGCTTGCGTGGAATTTGTGCTTGCAGGTACGACATTGTTTGCTGGGAATCGATCGATCCTGAGCACTAATAATGGAATAACAAATGGTACAATCTTCGACACCAGCAAAATGAAGGTTGGCGTTTCGCTTGAATATTGTTAGGGCATCCACGATATTTCCGTTCTAATAAGAAAAAAAAAGGTTTTAACGTCAATGATCCCAATCCACCTGCATTAGGGTTTCTTTTTTTATATGTACCTGTGATCCAATAATGGACGTGATGGCTAGGATCCATCCTCGCCATTGTTTGTCATTCACTCCCACTTTCTGCACGCCCTCAACATCAATTTGTCGCAAAGGATAATTGGCCGGTAATTTGATAACAATTTGCATATCTTGTTCATCCACGCGATACGTCGCTGACACTTCGTTGGCTGCTTTCATTGCCTTGACGGAAAATTCATTGTCATCGTTATCTTCCAGTTGAGTCTTGATATCAGGACGGATTAAAAGATCCAGTTCATTGGCAATCAAACGGGAACTGAAATGTTTTTCCGTATAACTATGTAATAGTATGTACATGGTAAGCTGCCAATTCACATCTCTCGGAAGTACCAAAAAAGCAGGAACATACCTTTGCACTGCGATGGTCAGCTGACGATTTTTGCAATCCACCCACCATAATCTAGTTTGTAGATTATATGAGAAACCCAATGTTATTCATGACTCGCTTCTTTTTGTTTTCGTACCTGACCAGCGATGGAATATGCACGAGCGCTCGATAGTACAAATGTGAAGCAAGCAAAACATAGCTCAACTCAGAAGTGGCATCAAACCCTATCCATTGGGCTCAAATATTAGCACCATTATCATCATTCAACTGTTTACGATGCCCTACCTTCAATATCGTAAGTAGTGATATCCCATGGATGCAAGTCAAAAGGCACAGCCTCTTGTCCAGCACCGACGCCCAAAATGCGGAAGAGATTTCGAAGCAATGGATCGACTACATTGGATTCCTTCAACTGTTCTGTGTATTCTTGTTTCAACTTGAAGGTCTATGCAAAAAGATCGATGTCAATTCGTGAGGTCCCAATGTGCATAAAAAAAAGGAAGAGCAATTTTCACATACAATATCTTTGAAATGGTCAAACATCAGCTGCCAAGATAACATATAACCCAGGACCGTGTGTAATTCCTAACGGTGCAATTGAGCGTTAGAACAAAAAAATTACCATAGCATCATTTGCAAAAACTATTGAGTGACATACCTCGTCACCAAATTCGGAAGTATGCCATTTGGATAGATTAGGCGCTTGTTGCAATCCATGGAGGATATGCTTTTCAATTTCTGCACTGACCTCTTGTTCTGTCAAGGCATTATTAATTGGCTGCATTTCTTCTTCTCAGGATATCAGAGAATATCTTACCGTTCGTGGCATTAAATTCCAAATTCACCGACAGTTCCTGAGCTGTATGTTGTACATGACCACGCAAAAGCGAATAAGCTCGCTGCTGGATTACTACGTTCGATGCATTCAGTAACGCAGAGAACTGAGTTACCCAAAATCAGGAAAAAAAATTAATAAAAGACGCCACATGAATGCTCAAGATGTGCTTTTGTATATGTACTTACATCAGGCATAAATCCTACGTGGGATAACAAAACTTTCTCTGGTATGTGTTCGTGAACATCGGCCAACAGTTCCTGATATGCTTGTCTGGGTCTGGAAATGGGCTCTTTTGCCGCTGTTGCATCCGGGTTCTCGTTAATATCCCTTCACAGTGTACAGCCACTTAATATCAACATACCACGCTCATTGGCAAGCAGCTTCAACAGGGCGTTGCCCATGGAAGATGCATGCTCTTTTACACAGCAAGACAACTCGTCCGTGCCGTCCACTGCGAGATCTTGAAGCTTCTGATACAGTAAAACTGCGTAATAAATCACTGGTAATTCCTCCGGCGTAGAAGCATCCGAAAACTAGACGATGAAAGTTTTAGCAAGAAAGTCAAGAAATATACAACCCATTTCAATTCATCCATACCGCTGCCCACTCGTAACATCGTTGGAGGAAAAAATCCCATTGTCCGCCAGAGACATCTTGGATGGTTTCTGCAATGTTCATACACAGTTGCGCTAATTGAACAGACACCCGGATACGTTGTAGTGTGGAAAGATTGTCTTCAGCGGAAGAAGGTTCAAACCATTTACGAATCGATAGCACCAAGTGCATTAATCGCTGAGGGGGAATCGATATACCGCCAAATTTGAGAGAGGTTGCGTTCAACAGGACCATATAACTCCAAGCTACATTACGTTAGTTGCCTACTCCAGAACCATGAACTAATTCGGGCTTTCGTTACCTTTGCTGTTCGTCTCTTCTTCAAGCGCTTCCATCGTTGTTACACTGGATAATTTACTCGTCAGATCACTTTGAAGATTTCTGAAACTCTGTGTATCTCCGATATGATCTTTGATGGCCATGATGATGGCGAACTTCGCAAGCAAATGCACTAAAAATCAAGATTGGTTACCTACCCGTGGATTCGCCATGCAGAAAATAGGAAGAATTACCTTGAAGAGTTTCATTCTTTACTAAATCAAGCCATAAATTGAGCGAGGCGGGATCCCATTGACAGTGCTTCAATAATGCGGTCAAAGTCTGTTCCAAGAGTTGAGCAGCAGCTGCTTGTTGCGGACTAGTCGTGTCTTCCACATCATTCGTCATTTTAGGTATCGATTTAACAAGATCGGCTGTCCATAATAGTAACCGCTCTTCCGAAGGAATGTTTTCGTTCGCCTGTAAATGATGATACAGTAGAGACATCCATTCGTTGGAACACGACAGCGAGACGGCTGATTCCACCCACTGTCCGTAAATGGTTTCGGCATGTTGAACAAATGTTTCCATGATAACGTAACTTTCGGTGGCTTGATGGTTCCAGATACGGCAAAGCCCACGCATCTCAAGACCATATCGACATTCAATGCTCGTTGTCATGAGCTGCTGCAGCATCCAATCTTGGTCATCATTTGCAAAGAAGAATTCATGTACGCCGACATCGAGAATATATTCCGTAACGAATAGGATGTGACGAGCATAAGCGCTCAAGCCATAGAGATCATAGCTTATCGACGGCAGTTCGTCACTATCCACAAGTTGTGATTGAACCAGAGCGGCATAACGATCGGTCACCGAGAGACCAAGATATTCTGAAGAATACAGCTCGAAAACGGACGACAGGTCCTTCCATTTCTGAGAATCTCCAAAGAAAACATCGAGCGCTTCTTGTCGTGCGGTTGAATCGTGTGAACAAAGATCGGTGATGTATCTTTTCACTCGTTGGACCGAATCATAAGGACTATCAACAACTGTTAATCGCAGATTCCGTATTCACTTCGGTCCTCAACTTTTTACCTTGAGGAGCAGCGAATGTCACTGATGGAAGAATGAACACGTTGCAATACAGCTCGGCGCAAATCCACTGTCACTTGAGCCTCTTGGCCCTCCAATGTCTGCAACATTTCCTTCCATAAGCTGGATGCTAATTGAACAATGTTTGCCAGGTGCTGGTTCTGCTCATTATCGGAGCTGGCACTCAGAACGTGTTCCATAAACATGGCATCGAAAATATGTTGCGGCAGATTTCGGAAAGGTCCTTGCAAGAGCGATAACAAGTGGTCGCGATTCAATATATGCTTCAAAACGCCCAAGACAGCTTCTGTCATATAGAAGAGTTGCGAAATGTTGTCGGTCTGCTTTGTCTGTTCATTGTATGCATAGTACAAGCTGGTAAATTTCTCCATAACCATCTCCAATTCTTTGTATAAAGAATCGGCTGTTGCCTTGGATAAAATATCGAACGCTACGAAATTGATCATTTAGCCATGGCGCGCGCGCATTACAACCCACTGAACACCTTACATAGATGCAATAATAAGCTGAGCTCAGTCACCCGTTCCACACAGAAGCGTAAAGCACTCGATTCAGAGAAAGTCGACCACGTCGACTGATGGATGGAATATCGGTGAACCAAGATATCCAAGTCAGAGCATTGGTAACTAGAATCCAAATTTAAGGATGCGCACTATGTACAAAAAAAGGGTTTAGCTGACTGAAAACAATGCAAATCATGTGCCAAAGAATACTAACCTGTTCCAACAAAGCAATCAATGCATTCGCTTGTTGAAGTTTGTCATCCAACGAAGCAGTCTCGTCGGCCATGGTAACCAGTTTTGCCATCACCGTATTCCACAGATCCTTTGATTGAGAAGTACCCGGAATTTTTATCAATACTGCAGTATAGACAGCGAACAAGGGCGAAATCGATTCACGGGGCCCGTCGGCCAAAAGCGCCAGTAGCAACTTGCAAAGATGAACGATTTTCTAAAACATATGAAGACTTGGTAAGTAACAGTATAACCCAACGGACCTAAAGCGCTTACATCATCATCGCTCGACGAATGGAACAGGAAGCGTGCATGTCGACTCAATAGATGGTATGCCAGCTGAAGCAAAGAAGGCGATTTGTCTAATATGTGACAATATTGCAAGGCTTAGTATGTGGTGAATGTGGAAAACTATTAGATAATGCATACCTTTATGTACCAGACTCGATTCCAACGAAGTGGTCAATAATCGCCGCACAATGCCACCGATCTGACTTTGACAGGCCTCCGTGGTATCCGTTGAAGTGGACTTCAAGTCAGCGCATAATGCATCGAGGAAGTGCACTACTTTGAGACTAAATTCGCCCATATCCATTTCACCCGTAGGAGCTTTGCAATCGATCACCGTCTGGCAGAAAACGAGATCCAGATTCGACCAGAAACCGCTCATATAATCTACAATGCAATTATTAGCAAGTGGCGTTTTTGTACCTTGTCACACAGAAAAAAGATCAATTTACCTTTCATGCTGGGAATTGCTGCCACCACCGCTAAATGTTTGGCAATTACGGTGGTGGTGTTGACATTGAGCTTTTCCTCGACTCTACTTCGAGATCCGACAAAGAAAATCTGAACCGCCTCCCAAAATATGTCCATGAGATCGGTCACGGTGTTTTGGGCCACTTGATCATCTGTCTTTTTACTTTTTTTCATGGTCCTTGTTAGGCATACGGTTGCTTTGCCATTGCTGCTGTATCCTTACCTTTGGTTCACTGCAAAATACACAATACATTCCATATACGCGTTGAAGAATAGATGAGCATTTGATTTGTCAAAAGTATCCGTATGGAGCCCTTTCCAAAAGTTGCTAAAGAGATCTTTGTAAAACGATGGCGCATCTTTCAACTATTACAGAATAAAAAGGTGAGGACGGTCTACTTGGATATAGATTTCACTCTTTTCACTCTTTGACAAACCTCGTTAGGTAAATTGGCACACAATGCCAATAAACTTGGATAAGAAATGTTGACGGAACCATTCAATGCCATTCGGAGAAATGCATACAACTTGGGCAGAATCGGTTTCTTCTTGCTAGCCACTAGCCAAGATTCGGGAAAGGCTGATCCAAAAGAGAAAAAAAAAGTCAATAATAATGAGCATGTCTTCTCCAAAGTAGACAACCCTTACTCTTTGTTAACAACAGCACGGCGTCCCACATATCCGCGTGAGTGGATGCTTCCTTCTCGGTGAACACAGCGGTAAAGAAACCAGGGCAGATCTTTTCAAGACGAGGCAATAGTACGTCTGTATGGAAGGCTTAGTATCCAAAGGTGCACCCATCACACTGTGAGTACCCACCTTCCCACTGTAACAAAAGCACCTTGATGAGATGATAAACCGATCGACGAATGAGCGGATTGTCATGTGATACATATTTCCAAAACTCGCTGTTGTCGAAAAATCCGTCGTAATCTCCAATGCATTTTTGTCGTTCCTCCAATGCTAAAGTCTCTGCACACAAGTGATGGCAAAGCAAAGGATTAGTGTCGACACTTGCAAATTTTGCTCAGGCAGCAGTTAGGGTTTACCGATGAGGTGAGCTAAGCTGTAAAAGCTAGCGGAGACGACTCGAGCAAATTTGGCTTCCATATCATCCTTTGAAACATAACGAGCGTCACTCAACGTTTCTGGCGTCTTTTGCAAAATCATATCGTTCAATACGTCGAGGATCTCTTTTTGGCAGAATGCAATGGCTCCAGCACGCTTGTCTTCAGCAAATACAGACTAAAACAGAATCGAACCACTTCCGATGAACACAATGGCCCTGACCCTCATAAAATTAAAAAAGACACGATTTTTACCTCGAACGCTTTTTTGGCCGCGCGAGCCACGTCCTTGCTTGGATCGAAAATGCAGATCAGCCAAGTGGCAATAAATCCTTTCAAGAAGGGAGCCAGCTTCTTTTTTGCATGAACAGTGATCAGCATATGAACATTATTGGTTGCCAAGCGTACTCGTCGATCCACATCGATGGCCAGTTTAACATACATCGAGACCTAAGATTTCCCTGTAAGTCTCTATTGATTCTGCGCAACTCGTATTTCTCAAAAAAGAAAAGCAAAATGACGAACCCAAGTCGGTAGAATCGCTGAGATAGTTTTTGGATTGCCATTCAAGTAGGCTTCAAATTCCTCTAGCGCTTTCAATTTAGTGACCGAGTCGCGCTTGGACGTTTTCTTGATAATGACAATCAGTTCAGGATCCAGTTGTGACGAAGGGTTGGTATCGTTCAATCCATCGGAAGAAGTCGGTGTTCCCGGTCGTGAAGTGTGCAAGGCAAGAGCAGGCGATGCACCGGCGAACTGAGCAAACGCGCCCAAATTCTGGAATGTCAAAGGTGTCGCAGCACTAGCAGCTAAATCGGCCGCTCGACTAGAAAGAGCATAATTTTTTTTATCTTATCAGCATCAAACACGGGTTGTAGTTTGCTATGCACAACTTTACCTGCTACTCGCAGGCTTGAGATTGCCTTTCACTCTTGGCTGCTTTCCTGGTTTCACCATATTGAACCTCCAAGAACCAAGACAAAAAAAAAAAAAAAAAAAAGGACGGAACGGGCTTTCTCGATATTTCAGAAAAAGTCACATGACTCACAGGCGTCCTTGGAGCTCCCAAATTGAGCGATTTTTTCAGTGAATGCATGAATAGAGAATTACCATGGTATCTGAAAAAGAAAAGATCAATGGAAAGCATGCAGCATGTTGTAAAAGTAATTGAAGCTTTTTTTTTTTCATAAAATTAAACTAAATAAAAGTCGAACCTAGTAAATACCAGGGATAATTCTATACTTGACTATACTACAATATTTGTCCCAGTCGGCGCCATACTTTTCTCGACACTTGTGATCGTCACGTCTTTCGCGATGCAACAACAAAAAGCCGAAATAAATGGGATAAAAGTAAGGGATGATGGACCCAAATCCGCACGGCAAGCACCAAGACAGTGCCATCAACCAATCACCGAGATAATTGATGTGTCGAGACATACCCCACCAGCCTGAGGTGAGAAGTTTGGTGCCCTTCTTGGTGTTGATGTATTTCAAGTCTATGTAATCGCATATATAGTGAGATTTTTTTTCACGGCTGGAAATAGCGATCCGTTTTCAAAAAAGGGTTTGACTTACGTTTCACATTGGGACCTTCTGGATTGGCACGGAACTCGTTCTTTTGCGAATTGGCGCCTCTAAAGATGTAATACCCGAGGAGATTTAAACCGAAAATCAATCCAAATTCTACCCAGCTAATGTCGCGCGGGAAATCAAGCAAGTAGCGTGCTTGCAACGTGTAGGTCATTGGCACCCAAGTGTAGAGACCGAAAGCAAGCATAAAACCAAAGCCATCTATTTCATTTGACGAGGAATAAAAAAAAAACGATTAGAAGGCGAGTAGGATATTCCCCCGCATGATACGTACCGGTCGTGATGTCCATCGTTGTCAATACGCACTCTTCGTTCCAAAGTGCATCAATGACATACCATGCTTCAAAGAACTGGACCAGAAGCATCGTATTGGTAATGCGGCCAAGGTCCAAATACTGCTTGGCAGCAAAGCATGTGTTAATGACCAACCAACCAATCAGGCCAGGACGCAGTTCCGTGAAGAATTTGATGTCAAATTCGCCAATGCGTGGATTCAATTCTCTACCGATCATAAACTACAGCTTGATGTTAGCCAAATACTTTCTCACTTGTTGGAAAATTGACTCACATCGTAAATAGCATTGCCTGTATTGCCGCCAGTGGCAAGCAATTTGCCTGGTTCAAAACTGGCCATGTAGACATAAATGGAGATCATGTAGCTAAACAGGATGGAAGCCACGGTCAAGCCAATCCAATGATCATACACAAATGTCAATGGCTCCAAACCCGTGTTTTTGAGAAAGTAGAGAGCCAAGAAAAACGTGCTGTGGAGAGCGGTAAATCCTATAAAGACGCGATATCAGTATACCCAGTCATTGGTTTGTAGCTTTTGAGAAAAAAAATATTATACCGTTGATCTTGTATTTAAGACGGTTGCCGTCGCGCATGACGGTTCCGGGCACGGTATCGCCAGGCAGAACAAAGTAAAAGAAGGCTTGGAGAAGCACGAAGCCGAAATAGGCAAAAATGGCGACTGGATCGTACAATGATTTGAGATACTCGGCCGACAGCAATCGTTCAAAGTAGTGTTGATAACCCATAAATAAGTAGCGAGAAGGATAGCCCGTGGGGTCACAGCAGACCGAGAAGAAAAGCACGAGAAGTGGTAGTACGGCGACCATACCGAGTGCTCCTAATGGTCCTCCAAATTCATAAGTGGTTGTTTTCGGATTCAAAGCATCAGAACTGGCCGATGCTGCCGATGATGTTGCTGGCGTTTCTTTGGATTTCTTCACTTTTGGTGGCATGATGCAAACGTGATGATGAGTGATGAAGCGCCTCAACCTCTTTTTTTTTATTTTTCCCGCGCGCTTGAAACTTTATAAAATGCAGAAAAAAAAACCGGGACGGGGTTTCAAACATTAAGGTCTGCCATTGCCTCCGACGCATGTCGCGTTGAATTCACCGATTTCTATTTGACACAAGTGAATCAAAATGATTGGTTCTGCTATTCAAATCTATCTCTGGCAATTCCATCGTTGGCTTTGCGCTCTTCGGAATACGCGCCATGATTTGCTAATGCTTTTTTCAACAAAAAAAGAAATGCAATTGAACACTCTCAATAGATCAATGGCGACCTGAACTACTGGAGTAGATTTTTCATCAAGGATAACCACGCGCTTTATAGTCTTAGTACGCTTGATTTAGATTTCCAATGGTGCAAAACAAATGGCCACCTGGTATAGCCAAAGAACAGGTCGTTCAGTTAGCAGAAAAACTCGACTTGTTTTCTCTTTGCTATGAGAGGGTATGCGACCCTTTATTGTATAACTCAGTCTTATTGCTGCAGAAAACAGAGAGAAATAGGCTGGCAAAGGTACCGACCATAAAGCCGGCTGACGCCAAAGAGAATATATTGAAGACGCGCCGAATCATCACCGATGCATTCATGAAGTACAGTATTTTTTGATGAGAGCTTATGGCAGAAATACGTCTGATCTTCTAATATTCCTCAAACTCCTTCAAAAGCTCAGCTCGTGTACACTCCTGTTCATAAGTCACCGTAGGAATTTCAAAATTTCTTAAATTTTCAAAAAAAAAAAAAAGAAAATGCAATGATATGTTTCGATGGACAGCGTCCATAATAATAAAAGGCCATCCGAACAACTCCAAAATTTATAGATGAGATACTCGATAATCTGTGAATAAATAAAGGTATAACAAAGAGTATTTAATACGACGTTTGACCGCCTTCTTTCTCTATTACGGCAAGCGGCACCTATTGGGCACCTAATCACTACGGGGTTGCAGGCACCCTTCCTTTCTATCTGGTCCCGTCCTGCTGAAGATGTCTTTTTGCTGGTGGCCGTCACGAAGTTTCTTTCTTTTTTTTTCCGTTGTCCGCGTTGCTTGTCTGTCCCTAGATATAATTTTACTGACGACTCTTGTTTTCTTTATATCTTCTTCTCTCCTTAATCTGATCATTTTCCAACTCGCGAATTAATTATCTTTTACTTGTCTATGTTTGATTTACTCTCATCATTTGATGTTTATGCTTTTTTGTGTCTTTTTTTTTTGTATTGTCATTTTCTCTTATTTGGTCTGTATCATAATTTGCGATTTTCTTTTGTAATTTTCAAATTCCTACGGTGAGTTTTGAAATAAACAGTATGTAGAATTGCTAGAATTATGGGGCTCCAGTTTGGTGCGTTCTACATTGAAATATGGACCAAATATCGGCAGCCTGGTTGTATCCTTTTCGGGTTCTGACTTCAGGCGCGACAAAGTGGGGAGTGCCGCAAACGCTGTAGAGAAAAAAAGAAATGAGTACTCCATCTACTGAGCGTGAACATTTTTGGACATATATCAGTTTGGACGTCTGACCTGCCTTCAACAAACAAGAGGAAAAATATATTATGGACAAAGCCCAAGATTCGGCTTCTCAAGGCATTTACTTACATTATTATTGATCCTGCTGAGGCATTACAGAAGCTCCTTGACTAGGTTCTTCAGCATCTGAACCTCAGAAGTAGCATAGGCCCAACGATAGCTGTCTCTGTGCCCTCTGCCCAATTTGCCACTGCTTCAACGAATACCGCCGCATTTTACAACACAAATGACAAATTTCGGTCCGCACACGGCTTAAATTTCCGGCAAAAAGTAAAGCTTTCGAGCCGGACACCTCCGGACTTTTTAGTCCATATATGTAATAAAAAGTGAAAATCCAAAAAAGGTTGTGTAGTGTAATGGTTATCACAGTGGACTTTGAATCCACTAATCCGAGTTCGATCCTCGGCACGACCTCTTTTTTAAATTCGCAGTCACACTTTTCAAAATTGGCCAATTGATTGGTGCTTTTCTTTGCCTTCCGTGTTGATCTTGGAGGCAACGAAAGCTGCCTTCCTTTTTTTTTTTTGTTTTTTAAGTACTGCCAATGGCTATTCATATGTCCAAATGTGTTGAGGTTACTGATAAAAGCGAAAGAAATAAAAAAAAGCAAAGAAAACCGATAACTTGGTCCATTTGTCAACGCAGTAACCCCATGATACCTATACAATTTTCACATTATGTGCATTTTGAGGAACGCGGTACTCACAGAGCGACCCACGAAAAGCATCCTGTTTTGGGAGGCTCTGTACATCGATCTGCTAAGATTTCTATGTCGTTTATTATGTCAACTAACTCTTTCAGAGTCCACAACTGGCTTAACAATTTTGTGAACAGCAAGAACTCAAACCATGATGTACTCGTTTCAATATGATTTTACCACTATCGCGCCCCATACGTAGCCAGGTAAGCTAAGAAGACATATCGGATGCTTCCAGCTCCAATGGCTCACCGGCACTGATACTTGCTGGTTGATATCAACGTATACCGGTACCTTGCTAGACATTAATCTACAATGCTATAAAGTGCCTAGTGGTGCGCTCTATGCTTGCTGCTATCTGCTAGCCAACTCCATCGGACACGTCTCTCTTGGTCACGTCTGTCCTCCACCTTAAGAGTCTCGCCTTAATTTATATACCTGCTTTTGCTGCATCATTCTCTTTATTGGTGATACCAATGGTTTTGACACACCTAGGTCCGGTACAAATAAAATTTTCTTTAATAATACAGTTTTGCAGCATTGTATCCGAAGCGAGCGTCCCACCAAGAGTACATTCATTTAACCGCTGAAGTAAAACTATGATTTAAAAGATATCAAGGCTTTCAGATATACCATCACGCTTTCTTTTAAAGGACACAGATGTCTCATTGGGAAGTTTTATAATGATTAGTCTAGTGATTACGCCGTAGCAGTAGCGACAATATCTTGAGATAACCCATGTCTCGCAAACGTAAATATTTCGCAGCTAATCGGTCCAGCTACACGTATAACTGACTTGCATTAATATCCACTGCGGAGTAAAAGTATTAGCTTGATTTTTTTTTTTTTTTTGGAAAAGTCTATACCACTTGATCTTTATCCAAGAGATGGCTCGCTTCTCTGAAAAGACTAGGCTACGGCATAATCGGAGGCTGAATTTCATGGAAGACGGCATCGTTTGTTTCACAGCAATGGCGAGCGATCCTCAATTTCCCTTATCTTTATTCCCTACCTTCCTCAGTGTTTTCTCAGACGTAATTGAACCATCATGGGGAAACCGGATCCAGCATCCACGTATCCGGTGACGGATCCCTCTTCTGCCGACAGTGTCAACAAACGACGAACGTCTTTGGATCAAAATGTCGACCAACAAATCGCCGCCATTCTCGTGGTGGGCTTCCACCATGCTTACGGTCCTATTGTTGAGTTTTGCGTCCCGCCTTTACCCAGTCAACATCAGAATACGGCAATGGCAGCGGCAGCGGAGGCGGATACAACGAAACGTCAAGGGACTTTGGAGAAATTAGAATTACCTGAAGAATGGAGTATTCTGCCGTTTCTGGCCCTCCCAGGTACTTTTCGCGCAAAGAAAAAACAAAATGAATCCATTTTCCATACACTGACAACCGTTAGCTTTTCTCTTTAGACGGAGCGCATCAGAAGGACGAGGACTTTGCTTACTTTCATTTACCGCCTGTACCGGGATGGTCGGTGGCAGAGACGACTTTATTCGGCATATCATGCAATCGTCAAATTGCCACCAAGGTTGTTATTGTTTCTTCTATTTTATTTGGCAAAACGCAGATCCCAATTCTCATCACGCCATTACCCCGCATGCAGGATTTACTAGTTAAAACACCGGATATCACTCGTTCTATTGTGCAAAAAGCCGTTGTTGTGCTTGCTCGTCAGGTATGGACTCGCACTATTTTTATTTGACGACCTACATCGTTTATCCGCTTATCAAATGAATTCACACTGTGCATGATTAGCCAGTTTTCGGTCCACTACGGCAAAAGCTGGCTGTGATTACGGCGGCATGGTTCAATCAAAAAGACTTTACTCAAATCGGCATCCTCTATGTAAGTAACAATAACCATGGCGATCCATAGCGAAAAAAAAGAGAGCTTAAACAATAACTCCAAATTTAACAGAACTTGTATAATAACCTCAATACTAAATTTTGCGGTCCAATTGATGACCCCACGTTGTATATGGGTATGTAAACTTTAGTAAAGGGACAATAACCTTGTAATAACGCTTTCGGTTAGGTACTTCCTTGAGAGAATTACTGTTCAAATTCAAGTCAAAAACTTTGATATTATTAAAGCTTCTGTTGCTGGAAAGGAAGGTAGGTTAACAACAATAAAGTGACAAGAAAGATCGTGGGCTAACCAAGAGTCCTAGATTCTGTTTTATGGATATCCTGTTGAGCGATTATGTACATTCCAGTATTCACTGATCTCGTTGATCCCAGGTATCATCCGGTGGCAACCACCTTATGTCTAATCCATGGTACTAATGGTCAATGTAGGCTTAATGAGATCTTTACGTGATTCGGGTGCGCCCCATCTCGAAAGTTCGATCGCGTCCTTAAAAAAGACCGAGGCCAGGGAACTGACGAGTGGAAGAAAAGACAGCTTATTGCGATACATGGGATTACCGCTTCGTTTGTTTGAAAAGGTACAAACCATTCTTTTAGTATCCCCTTTTGATCACGCGAAAAAAAAAAAAAAAAAATTTAACCTGGTTAGCCTCTTAGGGATCATTTTTTCAACCGTACCTGCCTTTGCAACAAATTGATATGCTGAGCTCCAAGGAAACCAAGTCTTACTTGGTAGGCACAACAAACCAGATATTCTTTCATCACAAGAGCGACGTGGATTTCGATGTTCTTGTCAATGTGAGTCTCCACTCTGTCATTTTAATGCAACTATTCAAATTACTCATAACACTGGGAATAGGTGGAAAATGGCACCATTGAATACTATAATCAACGTCTTTCATCCATTGTCAGTCCTACCATGGCAGATCGTCGTTGGACGGAAAAAATCCTTCGAGTACTGAATGACACCTGGGATCAAAATGGTAAAAAATTGAGGTGTTACGAAAAAAAAAAAAAGATCTATGCCAATACAGAACATTGTAGATCCAAGTCGACCAATGCAAAATACATACCTTGGATCGGATGATTATTTGCGAGCTTGCTTCGAGGAATATGTATTGTCCCTTTTATCGAGCATGAAACACGCGCAAGATTCGAATCTGTTGCCCACCTCGGAGCAACATGATACCATATCAGAGGACTTTATGCGAGGAGAAGACAAAGGTAAATGTACAGAAGGGTAAAGAATGGTCAGAAACAAACTGAATCATTGGATAGAGCGCAACTACCTGAATGATTATGGTATCATCTGGTTAATGGCATGGCGAGAAACGCAAAACTTTAAACTGTGGGATCGCTACACGGATCACGAAATTTACGAAATTGTCGAACCTGGGTAAGGCGTACTGAACGTGTTTAAAGCGAGGCTCAGGGGCTCACTTTTTTTTTTCTTTCTCAGACATCCTGGCATGGGCAACCTGTCATTGATGGATATTCAGAACACAATATCAAAGTAAGTGTATAGTTGGGTAATCACTCGGCGCTCAGAAAAACTAACAGGATATGTCATGATATCCAGTCGGTTGCAGGATTTCCAGTTGCGCCAGAACCTGGCCCCACTGCGTCACACATTAAGTAAAGCTATGTCTGGAGGAGTGAAAGCCGTGTCCACGGGACGGTCACGATTAATGCGAGGTGTGGATGCTTTATTCAACGAATTCGAACGAAACGTGCATGACGAGCCGCATTCGTCACGATCATCTGATTCTCCTCAGTCGGAAGCAGGTATTTAAAAAGCAAGTTTTGATTAGAAAGCATGATGAGAAGCCTCAACAAAGAACGTGGATAGGTCCTTCAAAGTCCAAGGCAGCGTATGCGACGGATGCTCGGGCAGAACAATCTTTTGGGTCTCCCACGGCTGAAACAACGACACAGCAGGCTGGTCGCTTGTTTTCCAACTTTTCTTCATTTTTGAGCCGAAAGGGAAAAGAAATATCACAAGCTATGGAAGTAAGTCGACAATGGAAATAGCGTACTTTGATATTGGTTACAGTGGGTTCTTGATATTTATTTTTATTTATTGACGATGGTTTATACAAGGAAGCATCCATCTCGTCCTCGCCGAAAGACGCCCCATCAGTCAAAAGAGAAGGCAGCAGAAAAAAGGAACCATCGCACGTATCAGACAACATGACAGAGGATGATAACGGTTCTGCTTTCGTAGATGTGGGCGCCATGTATTCTTTTCCACCATCCGGTCCATTTGCGACGCCAGCAACCACAGGGAAGAAAAGGGACGCGAATGAGGATGTGAATGCAAAAGCTCCCGCTGATACTCAAGAGCATGAGGAACAGCATATAAAAGAGAATCAAGTGATAGATATCTAAACTCATAACATGACCCGTTACCAATATTAATTTAAGCACTTTTTGATGGTATTCTATCTGCATTGTCAAACTGAAATATAATGTCTACTTTCTCCATCGTATCAAAGCAGTGAAAGCCTGACTCAGTCTTTAAGCTTTGCAATGAGGTTCTCTAGCGACAAACCGTGTAGGCAAGAGCTACATGTCTAAAAGGAAAAGGGAGGACAATGCAGTAAATTTCAGAGATAAAAAATTTGAATGCTGTGAGACAGGAGCCTCTTTGTTACGAAAATTAGATGATAATTGGGGGGGGGGTTGTATGTGTGGTTTGTGTGTGGAAGGATGATAGTAAGCGGAGATGGATGAATCATATATTTAGCAAACGGAAGTGGAGGTTTCGGACTTGGTATCTTCCTTCCAAGACAACTTGGATCTCGAATAGATAGCGACGTACACCAAAAGCAGTAAAACTAAACCAAGAAAAAGAATATCAATTAATAACAAATATTCGCAATTGTCGTTCTCGTATGGGCAGGATTGTACCTGGTACTTCAGTCAAGGGACCAATGGTAGCAGCCAAGGCTTCTTCGGAGGCAATACCGTAGGTGCCAATGGCCACGGCAATGGCCAACTCAAAATTGTTGCTTGCAGCTGTGAAGGCCTGGGTGACAACAAAGGCATATTTCACGCCAAACGCTTTGAGAGCGAAAAAGGTAATGAAAAACATCAGGTTGAAATACACTACCAGGGGCACCGCCACGCGGGCAACGGAGCCAATGTGTTCGATAATATTGTGGCCTTGGTTGGCAAACATGACAAGAATTGTATAAAGCAATCCGAGCAAAGCCAGTGATCCGACACGGGCCAGAAACACATGTTCATACCAATGCTTGCCTTTCCATGCACAAAGCGAAAATCGCGTAATCACACCTGCCAACAAAGGAATGCCAAGGTAGATCAGAACTGATTGGGCCACCGGCCAAATCTCCACATGCATGGAATCATCCGAATAACCAAACCAGCTTGGAACAATGGTGATAAACAAGATGGCATAAGGCGAAAACAAGGCGATCTGCAAAATGGCATTGATGGCCACCAAAATCGCACAATAATCGGCATCGCCACCGGCCAAGTCATTCCAGATCATGACCATAGCAATGCATCTAAACACATCCGCACAAACAAAACAAGCAAACAAAAAGATGGAATGGTTAGCACAATCGTCTTCTTCTCCTGTTTCCATGACCAAAAAGATATTTCATCTCCGAAGCAATTTTCGTGTTACCTTGCTAATCCAACCATCACCACCCCGTTACGAAATCCGGGTAAATCTGGCAAAGTGCCCCAGGCGAGGGCAGTCATGATAATGGGACCGACGATCCAATTCAAACCGATAGAGATCAAGATCTGATACCACACGGCTTTATCGGAAAGGATCTTGGGTAATCGTTCATACTGAACTTTACACAACACAGGATACATCATCACCAGCAGACCAACGGCGATTGGCACAGATACCGAGCCAAACTGAACGGTTTCAAAAGATTGCTGCACACCAGGAACAAAATAACCAATCACCACACCAACCACCATGGCTATCAGAATCCAAAGAACGAGAAATCGATCGAGAATCCCCAACTGACGTATCAAGGCTTAAAAAAAGATAAATATATATAAAAAGGCTCATGATCAATAAAAGGAATGCAGATGCGAGACCATGGAAAACTTACAGGAAGCGGTTTGGACCTCTGGAGCTCTGTCAAGCTGAGTGTAAGGTACGCAGTAAGAGTGTTTGCAATCATTGGTAATGTAACAAGGCTGCCTAATTGAAGGCTCTCTTGTGGGGGTCATAATTCAATAATGTTCAACGGTAAAGAGAAGGACCAAAACTCCCCGTTCTCAAGCCCTTGAAGACATAAATTTTTTTTTTGGCTTTTTACAAATAGGGTAATCGCCCTATTTGTGAATCACTTCAAATCGCAAACATCTGCCACCAGCGCATGAATAAGCGAATCCACGGAAAAGCCACCCACAACGTCAGCAACAAAATTGAAACACCGACAACCGACAGAGAAAAAAAAAATTTCGACATTGCCCTTTCTTTTTGCAGGAAACACTTAAAAAAAATATTTAATTGTAACCATGTCTGGACGTCAAGGTAAAGTGGTCTAGCAGAGTAGCTACAAAAAAAAACAAGTAGTTAACCAACCTTTGTACACTACAGGTGGTAAACTTAAGCCTTTGAAGCAAGCCAAGAAGAAGAACAACGAACTCGACGAGGTATGGATGCTTGTGAATTTTGGAGTTGTATAACCACCGGTCTCATTTATTCGAATGAACGTCACAGGAGGATCTTGCTTTCAAGAAGAAGCAGCAGGAAGAAGCCAAGAAGTTGAAGGAATTGCAAGCCAAGGCTGGCGGCAAAGGACCTCTCCGTAAGTTGACCGCACATGGAAAAAAAAAAGTCACCACAGCCAAATCATATGATAAACTAATCGGTTTTCATTTCCTTTCCAATCTAGTTTCCGGTGGAATTAAGAAGAGTGGCAAGAAATAAAGCATCCAACTCATCCCGCATAGTTTTTGAACATTAATGAAAAGCTAGATCAACCTTTTTCTTTTATTCTTGCACGTAGCGTAGAATTCCCGCATATTTTGCATTTTGCATAAGCCGAAAATATCGATCCTATAATATTTCGGATACATATGGAAAAAGGTTGAACTGGTTTGGATCTGTCTGGTGGCAAAAAGTCGGTGTTGGGGGACAACAGATTGCAGATGGAGATCGAAATATGGTTAGTCTTAGTGGTTGGCTGGCTGCAAGTAGGGGAAGAGATAGAGAGAAAAGTATGATGTCAAAAACCAGTTGTTGCAATAAAGACAACTTAGTTCAATTGAGAAATTTGCTGTTGCTTGTCAAGACGATGCGGCGGCCTAGCTTGTTTTTCTTCTTATTGACGTTGTCCAGATTTAGGCAAGTGCAAAAATAGAAAAACAAAAAGACTTTGGCCATATCGCATCAAGCACGCAGCGGGTTGCATATGCCGATCCAGTTCACAGGGAATACGGAGACGCCACTTTGAGCCTTGCTGGGTCTTTATGATTTTAACTGGTATTAGGCAAAAATCGCATGCATCGTAAGAAAGGCGTATTACTATCGTTAGCCGAACAGGGTGCGCGAAGAAAAAAGAAGGCGAACAGAGAGAAAAAGGAAAAGAAGAGCTGTGTCCGAGCCAAATTCGGGGGGAACAAAGAAAATGTCGGTTGGTTTGCAGGCATGTGCATTGTCACCTACTCCAAATAGTGTGAAAATGCTGTGTCTACTGTGGCTGTGGAATAATGAAAACAGGTTTGTGCAGGATCTCCTTATTCTTTTTGAAAAAGAATCAGAGAAAAAACAAGGTTCAAGGGGACGTACGAAGAGAGGGGCGGATGAGAGACAGGCAACTCATCTCAACAGACTATAAATATATGCAAGCGGCGGCCTGGATCTTGACGACTTGGCTTTACCCACTTCATATATTCATTATGCTCACTACCCAAATTCAATCGCCTTCTGTTGCTGCTTTCAAACTGTATGGCCAGCTTAACGTGCAACCAAAAGAGGAACAATTGACACCCAATGAAAAGGAAAAGGTACAGTAGACGCATTGATGTTTATTAATTTAAAGATCTAACTCGGATCCCGGTGAAAAAAAGATTCTGTTGGAGCCCTTCGAGTACCTGTGCTCTAATCCAGGAAAAGATATCCGGGCCAAAATGATCGAAGCTTTTGATGCTTGGCTCCAGGTCCCCAAAGATAAACTGGTTGCTATCACGCGCGTCATTGAAATGCTTCACAGCGCCAGTTTATTGTAAGACTCACTGTGGCCCTTCTGTTTTTGTTCATGTCTGATCCTTTTGTTATATATAATAGAATTGACGATGTAGAAGACGACTCAGTGCTTCGTCGAGGTGTGCCTGCAGCACACCACCTTTACGGTGTACCACAAACCATCAACTGTGCAAATTATGTCTACTTTCTTGCCCTGGCGGAAATTACCAAATTGAACGATCCACAAATGGTGGTCATTTACACCGAAGAGCTTCTCAATCTGCACCGCGGTCAAGGTAGGTGCAGCCATTCACTTGATAAGTCACAGAGATGGGATCCATAACTTTTTATTGCTGGCACCTTTAGGCATGGAATTGTTCTGGCGTGACACGTTGACGTGTCCTACCGAAGAGGAGTTTATTGAAATGGTTGACAACAGTGAGTTTTCTCTTCTGTTTTTGCTAGGTTGGATGGCGTTACCTAACTTGCTCAATACTGATGTAAATTAGAAACGGGAGGTTTACTGCGTCTGGCGGTGAAATTGATGCAAGCTGCCAGCGGGTCCAAAGTGTAAGTAGTTCAACCCCACGTTTGTGCCATGTTTCTCCCCTTGGCAACCTCACTCAGTTACGACAAAGGGACTGAGCAATCCATCTTGTATAGAGATTACACTGGCGTAGTAAGCAAAATCGGCATCCATTTCCAAGTTCGCGATGATTATATGAATTTGCAGTCAAAGCAGGTAAGCCATCGTTGTTTTTTTCCCTTGTTTGCAGGTGGTGTATGCACAGCACTGCCGAGTGTCTCCTACAGCGAGCTTAAATCTCACAGTCTCAAATGCATGGCGATTGGTCGAGAGTGGAACAAGAACAAGAGGAGTCTGGTCTGGAATGATTTCATTAACGTGGAGCATTTTCGGGTCATAATAGTACGCGGATAACAAAGGATTTTGCGAAGACTTGACCGAAGGCAAATTCTCGTTTCCTATTATCCATTCCATTCGAAGTGATCCATCAAACCGCCAGTTACTGAATATTTTGAAGCAAAGAAGCAACTCGTTGGAACTCAAGCAATTTGCGTTACAGTTGCTGGAAAAAACACAAACATTTGCCTATTGCAAGACGTTTCTTGCCAAGCTGGAACGGGAAGCCCGTCAAGAAATTCAAGATCTCGGGGGCAACCCCATGCTGGAGAAAATCTTGGATCTATTAAGCGTACCAGAGACCCAAGACGATGAATGATACCATTGATGCTTCACATTTTGAGCCCTTGTTCTGCTTCAATAATAAAAAGAAATAAAGTAGTACGTTTTTTTTTTTATATTGGCCCACTTTCCATCAAAGTATGACAAATTTTACACTTCTTGAAAGAAAAAGGACAAATTGAATAACACAGACATACGAAAAAAAATTTAAGGTTCTCTGTCGGTCCGTTCATTTCTGACATGACAGGGGAATAGGGCCAAAAAAAAAGTGAGCAGATGACAAATCGGTCAACTATATAAGCCAGGCCATCTCCAGCTAAAAAGATAAGATAAACTACATCATTGTACAAACATTGCCACATCAATTTACATACCAGTCATCAATTTCTCATCTATCATTCCATCGGTTTTCCTCGTTTCAATAATGCATTCTACTACATCATCAAGTACCAAGACGAATGCTGCCTGTTCTTTCTGCGGTGTCATGGGTCATATTGCCTGGAACTGTCCAAAACGACACAAGCCTCGATAATCCTGTTTCTTACTGATCCATTAAAATATTTACCTTGTACTTTTTACTCTTTTTTTTGTAATATTTACATTTTTAGCTATCTAACAAGCCGTACACCCGCTGTGCAATGGATGCCACCTGCTACTGGATGCCGCACTCCTGCCTTGAGCGACATTCGTCAGACAAAAAGCCTAACGCAATACGGCATAACCTGGGCGAGACTCTTGATGGAACTTTGGTATATTAATGTCAATACTCTGGCATACCATGAAACACTTTTAATGAACAAAGCAGCACTTATTGACCCCCTCCGTTCTGTCCCGCCCAAGGTTATGATAGATCTACAAAGATGTGTGGGAATGTTGGGTATTTAAAAAAAATGAGTTAGTAAGCTCTTTGGTTGATTCAAATTTCGTTGAGATATTTTACCTTTGATGTTTGATGCAGCAGATACCGAGGGCTTCCCGACCGAAATAAAGAAAGGATACAAATATAAAAAAAAGTAAATACAATAGGTGCGTCTGTAAAAACCCCCTAAAAACCCTGTGGGAAAAAAAGGAGGAAAAGACTGCAAGAAGACTATTCACTAAAATACAAAATACATACTACAACCACAAAATAAAATGGTCGGGAAGAAATATCGAAGGCGATACCACGGGCAGCAATCCATATGAGAGGAACCTGGGGAGGACGCGTCAGCGTTTCCCGATGAGAAAGAGAGCCACACGACCGAAGATGTCCTTTGACGACAAAAACCGGATTGGCCACAATCTGGTGCCCGAACAAAGTAGAAAGGTTTTGGAGGGATGGATGGCTTGAATGGCTTGCCAGGCAAAAGAAAACCGGAGAGAAAACCAAAAGCTAAAGACAGAATAGAGAAAAAGGACAGGTAAATTTTTTCTTGTCGAAAAACGGATAGTCGTATCACACAAAAGGTACCTTTTTTCATAATAATCGAATCGACCGGATCAGATACACGCCATAGTCTGGATGATGGATGATGGATGCAATGATAGTGAGGGATTTCCAGGCAAACAGAAGAGATGCAAAACTAAAGAAGAAGAAAAAATTCGGACAAAAATATGTGATTTTCCATGGATGAAACAATAGTCACCTCACTGATGCATGAATGATGAGCTACACAGATCGAAGCATATCTGCTCCATGTATCATTCGATTACTGAAGAGAATGAAAGGGCATATACAGTATAACTGAAAAAAACCAAATTAAATGATGCTACAAAACACCAGATCGTTGTATCGTCAATCACCTTTCTTCAAAAAAGAGCTCCGCTCACATTTTATGTGAACGGCGACGATGCTCTGTTTGACCACAACTGGTGCAAACGGCATCTTGCTGCTGATTGTTTCGCCTATTATCGTGAAAGTGGGCAGCGAGGCATGGTTGAAAGATGAAAAAAAGGTTTAACAGGTCTTGATAACTTAGTGTAGATCATGTGATTTACAAAATCGCTAATTTTTTTTCAAGATTTTTAGCTATCTAATCGTTCATTATCAAATGCAACGGATCGGTCGAATAATCATGTAAAATTTGCCACTGAAAAAAAGAAGGCTTGATAGTAATTGCTCATGTTCTTTTCCTGTACGTGTCATTGTCAGACAATGCATGTGCATTTTTTGCGATTCCCATACTTGTTTTTTTTTACATGTGTTCTTGCCAGCTCATCTCAAAGGAAATCACGCCAAAATTAAATGTCAGACCTTTTTTTTTCTCCACATTCTGTTTTTTTAGAAATAGGTTTAATGAATTGAAAGGCATGGGAAATTGGGATTTTCTTTTTTCTATTACTGCCTTGACGGGTATATCGTCCAACCGATGCCATGTTCTTCTTTTATACAAGTGATCTTTGATAAAGATGGAGTCTAGCTGCAGTATCATGGCATAGGCACTGGGGCTGCATCGTCGATTTTATTGTTTTTTTCTTTACGCGTTTTATATTTATCTGTTGTGATTTGATCATGGCTGGGTAATGCAAGGGAAAACTGTCATGTGATGTTGGGTGTGGCAGATGATGTAACTGTTGAATAAAGTAGATACAAAACAAGCCAACGGCTCGAAACAACATACGATACGATTTTTACAAAGCGACACGATCTAGTACAGTGGATGTTTTCTCGAGTTCAAGCGCGGTCGATTGAAGACATGGACGGTGGTTTTGATCTTGCAGTCGTCTCCGCATTTTGTGTTCCAGCGCGGTTTCGATCGATAGACGATGATCGGAACTGTGAATCACGTCTTGTGGATAACTGAAACTTAACAGCTTGTAATCCTTACTCAAGGGACTGTGATTATTATGAAGCCACACGCCAATGACCTGAAGCGGCTGGCCTCCCAGACAATTGGTCCGTGGTTCCCATTCATCCAGCTCCACGTTGGGATCATCTTGATCTACATGCGATACATAGATGACAGGATATTCCAGCATCCATCCCGTCAGCGCGACCATGTAGGGCGGCACAAAGGGCATAAAAAAATATGTTTCATCAGATGACAAAAAGGGCAGCAGCTTGATTCCCAGCCACTCTTGCAAATGCGGTGGTTGGTCGCGCTACATAGTCATTTTTTTTTTCAGTCCATCATTTTTCACCGTTGTTAGTCATAGCTTATTGTGAGGATTACCTGTGCCGGTTGGTTTCCTTGGATATCGATAAAGTAAGGGGGACATTTTGAATTGGAGTCGAGGTGTTCCTGAAGGCGCTGCTTATGGCACAAAAATGTATATCGATCCTTGAACTGGAGCATAACGAGACCTTTGCATTCGGGGTGCTATATGGCAAACAAGAAATTTGATTTCAACGGAACGGGTTGGTACCGTAAAACACCCAGTTTTGGTAACGTACGTTTCGTAGCCCATGGAGAAATTGCTTGGCCACATCAGGCTTCCAATGCGCCACATCCAGCAAATGACTAGCTCTGCCATGGGCGTTAATCTTGTCCGCACGCACCGTTTACAATGAGCAAGGGCACGAACCTTAGGCCTACAGCGATGCAAAAGATGGCTAAAAGCAGACATTACGATAAAAGTTAAATGATCTGAACCGAACGCGCAGAGACAAACCAATACCATTCTTGAGAGTATCAACAATCGCTCGTGACAAGTGTAATCGTTTCAAACACAGTTTGACCGAAGCATCGATATGGTGCGCCAAGTCCATCGTATCTTTATGAAGAGAGTTGAAAGGGGATTCTCAAAATCAAGGTGACAGGCGCCCGACTGGGACAGTATAAGGCTTTTTTTACATAAAAAACGGAGACTGAAAACCACGACAGAAAAAAAAAGGGCAGATCAAAAGTCCAAGGAGGGATCTGCCTCGGTTTACGTGCGATTAAGGCTTGAAATAGCTTAATCGACCAAGGCCTTGGAAACGGGAAGATCAGAGAAAAGTTCATTTTTAGCTAAAAAAAAGAGACAGTAAGCGAATCGATTGCCTCTTGGTGTTGTTGTGAGAGCAGAAAACTGCAAGGGCATTGTCGTACGCAAAATAGCCCATTAGCGGCCACCATCACTTTTTGGACCGTTGATCCGTATTCACAAGAAAGAATTAGGGCTAGGTCATCATCCTAGCAGCAGGTAGCTGCATACTCTTTCTTACTCTTTGGCAAATTTCTTTCTCAAATACAGCCTTCAATTCAATAGGATAACGAAGTTTTGAATAAGCTTTGATTTCGGGGCCTATTTCGTGATCCTGCAACTGTAACCATTGGAAACAAGGGATAGTTTTTGTTTGATAATTCAAGACATATTTCTTGTCGCCGAAAATTCTAAATGAAATCAGTCAATAAAATGATTATATAAAAATCAGAGGTTCCTCAGACCATGCCATGGTTGTCAGAAATCGGTCAGGTGGCAACACATCATTCAAATTTGGGAGGTCATGTGCCTCGGTCTCTCTCTTTTTTTTTTTTTTTGGATGGGGTCAAAAATGGATTCATAGATCCGCTTTCACACAATAACGTGCAATGGCATTTTCTTTCATTGTCAATATGAATAAAGCAAAGTTTGCAGGAACTAGCTGGACCACGCTGATCCACCTGTAAATCAAATGATTCGAAAATTTATCCAATGAAGTTGAAAAAGAAAAAAAAATAGACTAATAAAGAATCACGTGTCAAAGCTTGGTGTTGTTTTGCATATGATTCAGACGCTCGTCAGCTTTGGTTCGCCATCCATCCTCTTTGTATGGGTACCATGTCACGGTTAACCATTGAAGCCAAAAAAAGGGGATTGGATGGAGCCGACGAAGAAGACGACGATGATCTCAGTTTGAGTAACAGTCATCAGTCAAGCATCACCACCAACATCACTTCCCCACCAACATCGCCACCTCCACCTCACTTGATTGTGTACCCGGCCCACGACAATAGTCCCTTTTTGCAAAAGCAGCGAGAAGCGCAATCTCACAGTAACACTCGGTCGACTCGATCGGCGAGAAAGCCGTCTGTGCAGGGGGAAGCACCGCCTTCAAAGCGATCGTTACTGTTGGGCCACGGCCGTTCGTTGTTTTTCGCACTGGGGCGGTTTCTCTTGCGAAATAATAATCTGGTACTTGTTATCAATCTTGTGCATCAGTTATGGAGTGCTCGTCGGTTCATTGTGAAACCGGCTCTTGCCATGGGCTCATTTCTTGGGCCAACATCGAGGAAACAAAGGATAGCGTCGTCTCAGCAAGTCGATCGGTTGGCTCACGAAGCAATACGGGCCATGGGAGTCATGCATTTGGCCTTTGCAGCACTCACTGGAGCGGCCTTGAAACAACACCGGTTGGCTATGCAGCGATCCACATTGTTCGTTTTAGCCATTGCATCGATCGGGCAAGCGTGGATGATCATAGCTCCTTCCTGGCGAAGAGGTCTAAAATATACCTTGAGAGCATTACGCCAATTTGGAATCCTAGACATCGTAATCTCTGCTATCAGTCTTCTCGCTCTCTTGAGGACAGTAAGACGCACCGGACGACTTTTATAACCATGTTATCTATTCCCCTAGTATTTTATAATCATCATCGAATTACAATACCTCGATTCATGCAAATACCGCCACGAGCCCGCTTGTCGTTTTCTCTCTTTGTCTCTCTCTCTTTCATTTACCCTATGTTATCGTAAATACAAATCCCAGATATCCTGAAGAACGCCCGTAAGGCTTGTCGAGTGAATTTATTTTCTATTATTGGATAATAATTTTGTAACCATTGTACAATATATCGATATCCTGTGAATATTCAATCATAGATACATTTTACGATGGACCCCAACGTCTTTGGTATTGCTTGTAATGGACTCTTGTGTTTCCATGTGAACTAAGTAATATGAACGCTTACCAACTTGCAAAATGTCTATCAATTCTAAGCGCTGATTTTCAGTGTCGTGGACCCTTACAGATGTCATGTCGAATGACTAAGCAGCTTAACCCCAAAAAAGTAATAGTCATAGTTGTCCTGGTGAATCTCTACAGTATGTCGCGATTTCATGCCAGCACTTTCAAGTATGCAATTGCTCTGTCAATTGGTATAAAGCAAAGACCAGATTTGTTATATAGAGCACAGTTATCTTTGTTAGTTGATCTCATGGCTACATTGAAAATGACTGGTTTTTTTTCATTTCTCTTTCGCTTTATGATGATTTCATTTTAGCCGGACTTTTTTTTTTCTTTTCCTTTTTTTTTCTTTGGGCGAGAATCGCTGCTGACAGCCGATAATTTTCTTTTTTTGTTTCATGGGTTACTCTGGTAAAGAAGGACAAGTGGGGGAAAAGAGTCGACAGGCTACTAAACACCCAGGGTAGTGTTGAAAACGCTCTGTGAGCGACTTGACACCTATGAACCTCTGCATATTCAGTCGCCTCCTTCAAACCCGCGCCGAGCATGCGTGGCGATCATCGTTCGATGGCGGAGAAGAGATGTCAATCTTCCGACGGATGCATTAGCTACGACAGTCGACGAATTCCTGGCCCAACCTTGGGTCAAGGACGACAAGGATGGCGAAGCCGAAGTGTTATTTATGCAACGAGCTACTCGTGTGACAGATCGGTACAGTGTTTTTTCTTGGTGAACATGAAGCATAAATTGCTGAGGACTTGGAGCTGACGTGTTGCTCGTGGGTCAGATGGTCGGGCCATGTTGCTTTTCCTGGGGGGAAAAACGAAGCCGGAGAGACGGACAGCGACACGGCAGCTCGTGAAGTGCACGAGGAAATTGGCTTGAATTTGAAATCAGAGGCGTTTATCAAACTGGGGCACTTGGACGATCGAGAGATTATCTCCACTTACAGCGCGGAGCTCATGATGGTGCTGGTGCCGGTGGGTAAGGGTGAATTGCCATTTTTGGGACAGCCGACCGTTGATAATAACAATCGTACGAATTTTTTTTTTACAACCCAGTGTATCTGCAAGTGACTCCGGACACGCCACCCATGACATTGCAACCGGACGAAGTGGCCTCGATCCAATGCAAGTAGACGCGCTCTCAAGATAAATCGGACAAGGCGTGGTTGGCTAACATTGACATTCTTTCTGTAGGGGTCCCTTTCCGATTTTTCCATTCCACCGAGCCTTATCAATATCAACCGATCCAGGAATCGTTGGCCCCACGAAAATTGGGCGGTGTGACAAAATCTGTGGCACATCAGTTGCTAGGCACCATCTCATTTCCAGCCGTGGACCTTCCGACCGATGACCCAGAAAAGAAGTATCGCTTATGGGGTCTGACTTTGGGCATGACTCGTGATTTGATCGAATTGACTGTACCAAGAAGCAGTGACGACAATGACCAAGGGAGGCCTGCCTGGCAAAGGAAACAATCTTCACTTCTCCCATTTATAATACTAGCCCGAGGACGGCCTCTTTATTCACGCCCAGATATCAGGTTTTTCGTCTGGCTGTTATCGAAAATCACCACTTTTTGCAGACATAACCATCCACCCGTAGCAGTAACGCAACAAAGGTAAAATGATATATGAATCAAAAATCGCCCGATCCCGCAGCACGATTGGGAAAAAAACGAAAAGGCGACTCCTCCCGTGATAATCCGTGTGCCTTACACTCTATACTCATGCCAAACTCTTTTTTTCCTTTTTTTACCCATTCATAGACACCATCATCGACATACCGAGAAAGTGTATTATGGATCGATTCGTAAAGCGGTGGTCATTGCCATGTTGTGGCGTGTGGGAGTTGTGGTGGCAATGGTGCCTTTCCTGCTGCGCCGATTATCTCCATTGTTCAAGCGCATTTTGAAAATTTTAGATGAATAAAGAAAGTTTTCGTATCATTATTATTAGTGGTAAGTAGTAAATAGTACAATAGGGACTATGATTACAGTTAGAATTAGGGTTACAACTTGGACAGGATAGCGTCAAAGTATGCAAGGTTAAAAAAAATAAGAAAAAAAAAAGAATAGGTAAAAGACCAACACTGGATAAAGAAAAAGATGATTGCTATGCAAATAGTACAAGTCCAGATAATTTTCACATCTGGGGAACTCCGTGGAAAGAGGTGTAGTAAAAAAAAAAAAAAAGAAAAGGACGTTGTTTAGGGTTTTTCGCCGTAGGGAAGTCGGAAGGACATGGGAGAGTGAGGTGTAACGGGCGAGGTGGGTTCGGAATTGGTCGCGGAGGAAGTGCCAGATGTGAGCGAGGCAGGGGATAACACGAGAGAGTCATTATCACTGTCGGTTCGTCGCAATCGAAGAGGAACAAAGTCAAGATTAAGCGGCGCTTCGGACATTTCGTCGGTTTGTTTATCCGGATTGTATTCTTTGCTGAGTAACGCTTCCTCATCATCTTGCAATGACACAAACGACGGTTTGGAAGGTTCGATGCTGTAGAAGAACGCGGGAATCCCAATCTTGTTGACACCAAAGTAGGCCAGACGAGTCTTGGCCTCCATACGCACGCGAGGCAAGTATTGCCGGGCCACGAAGAAGGTCAAAAACGCATAAATGGAACCGCCCACGAGATCAATGAGATAATGGTGAGTCAAGTACATGGTGGACCACCACAACCACATGGTGTAAGCAATCCCCAATGGCCACAATTTTGGACATAAATACACCAAAAACAGCATCTCAATTGTGGCCGAACCCGAGTGCAACGATGGAAAAGCGCCAAACACAAGTGGCGAAGTCCCAAACGTCGAACCATACAAATTCAATCCCAAAATCTTATCAATCCGGGCCAATCCACCGGCTTCGCCAGGAATCGAGTAATCCGCCGGAGCCGAGCCGTAGCTCATTTCGTACCCTAAACAAAAAATTTACCAGATGACGATGAGCACATTGTGCGTGAATGCAGTTGGGGTATTTTGTCTAAAAAAGGAAACTGAAACTTACATGGCGAAGCATTGGGGAACAGTAATTGGGTCAAGACACCGGCAATGTTCATAAAGCCAAACGCCTGACCGAAAGTGGCCACGCAGCCGGGAGGACCAAACACAAACAGACACAATGCCAGGATAAAGGGGAAAGAAAAGTGAATGACACCATAGGGTAACCATGCCAGCACGTCGAGAATCGGGTGCGTGTGTTGGGAAATGATTTCGGACAAACTTGCGCCGTACAGAATACGTTCGAGGGTCGGTAAGATATTCACGAAAATGTGATGCGGTCGATAATCCAGAGGAATAAACTGGCAAGCGTAAAAGGTGATCAGCCACGTAAAGATGGGTAGCGCCGGGACCGTGAAGCGTCGAATGTAGGGTATAAAGAAGGAGGAAATTAATAAACCTGCCACGGCCAGACGCAGAACAATAGGTCGTTGAATAATGACGAAATCCATGATCAGCAGCGTTGCCAAAAATCCGTGCCGTAAATTCGTCATGCACAAGGACTGCCGTATGGATTGCATCGATCCCATCATCGTATCGAGTATTTTTTGGGGTGGGGGTTTTCCTTCTTTTGTTTGTTTGAAAGGCGAAAAGGAAAAAACAAGTCCGGAAAAAAAATATAAAAACAGCGTTTTTTTTATATAAAGCGAAAAGGCTTTTTTTTTTTTTTCTCGGCCCAAGTTTACGCGGTCTAATAGTTTTCCCAAAAAAAAAGTTTATATCTTTTGAATCGCCGGATGAATAAAAAAGATTCCGCTCACGTGGAGGGCAATTGAACACGACATCATTCTTATTTCAGTCTTGTCCCATTATTTCTTGCAGAAAAAAGAAAATCGAGTCAATCTAAACTCATTATCTCCAGTTTACTTTGTAAAAGAGCAAGTTTCTTTTTGTATACCATACTATATACCGTAACCTACTCTATTGTTGCCAGGACAAGGTGAACAGCTTGGTCATTGTTTTTGTTTCAAAACCCCGCATTTCGCCGAATATCCGATTCGTTTGAAATCACAGAAAAGGTGTGACAAATCAAAAAAGAAGAAATATTTTGATTGCTTGCACCACTTTTTTTTGTATTTTTGCTCAAACTTTTTTCTACAGAAAACAAAAGCACTTTGCTGACATCATTGACATGTATCACATTGCTATTCCATGCAAAAATATGGAATTGAGAGAGAGACAACACACATTGACTATGGTTTCTTGTCATGGTTGCATAGAGAAACAAAAAAAACCAGCCATCAGAAACAAATTAAATTTTTTTTATGAAAAAAGGATAAAAAAATAAACTTCATCCGGCGCTACATCCCGCAGCTTCTTTTTTTTTGGGAATGGGTTTGTCAGCCATTCCGAATTCATCAATTTTTTTTTTTTTTTTCGCGGGGCGCCGTGTGCCTGTAGAAATTTTTGGTCTGATTTGCCTAATGCGCTACGACAGCGACGATGGCGCACGGGACTGGGCCGTCTTCCGAGTCAAGTTGCCATGTATCTTTGGTCTGATAAGCTGAACCCCATTGATTGACACCTGGCTGAGCAAACACCCACTCAAGCACTTCACCGTCAACGGGTTCCACCACCAGCCAATACAATTGCCGTTTCCTGAGCACCACCACATCTGTAGGATGCCATTCCAGAACGTTGAATGGCTCTTCATCATCTTCAATGTCAGCCACCGCGGTGGTGGTCGCTACACAATTTAAGGAATCTGGGATATTTTGCCAAAGGGTATCGTGAGTAGACGAGCAAATCGACAGCTGGGCCTTGGTACCCCGCACCGCCAGTTGCACATTGTCCAGATGAACATGATTGTAGTGGAAAAGACGATCCCACCAACTTTCGCCCATGGCAGACACATCGGGTTTTGGTGAGAAAGCGACTGCGGCGGCTTGGTTCGGTAGCACCGACCGTGCTGTGAGGTTATCATTGGATGGAAATCCGGTTTGAAGCACCACCGATGATGACTTATCGGTCGTCATGATGGATGTCGTACGCTGACAGCGGGTCCACGAAGAAAACTGTCCAGGGACAATCCAGTACACACCCACAGCGAGGAATGTCAAAGATAGAACGAATCGACGGACCCACACCCATCGACGATTGCGACAGCTGCATCGGGAGGCTGGCGCAGTGTGAGGGATCAAAGGAAGTTCTTGTTGTAGCTTGGGATCCATGATCAAAAGCTGAATACGATAATCAAGACAAAAATTTGGATGAGTGGACTTGTGTGTGTGAGAAAAATAAAAACGATAAGAGAAACAGAGGAAAGCCAAAAAAAAAGAAAGAAAAGCCTTCAGGCTGTGTATGTTTATGCGTTTCAAAAAAACAAAAAAAGAAAACAAGTGCAAAAAGCTCACAGAAATGTACGATGACCAAATTAGGGGTGGAAAGCATCGAGTCATCTGATGAAAAAGCATTATTTGATTGGTTCTTTGATAGTGCTCTTTCACTACAACATGTAAGAAATGCAACGGATGTCATGCACTTGAAATTCCATGCAAACAAGGCAATCAACGTCATAGGCATGATCTCTCTCGTTTTTTATGTCAATTTTTCTTTTTTTGTACCGTCATCTATAGGGTTTTTGACAGAATATACGCATCTTTGGGTTCGACGTCTCTATAGTAATCCTTTTCTTCTCCCGTCACCTCAAAACCGTGCTTCTTGTAAAAAGCCAGTCCGTCCTCATTCTTCACATGAACATGTAAATAAACAGACTTGGCTTGGATCGTTTTGGCCTCCTCTAAAATATGGTCCAGCAGTAATTTACCTAGAATAAAATATCCATTTCATCGGGTGTGAATACCTTTGATTCTTTTTCTCTCTGCAACGGTTCACTCAATGCTTACCCAAGCCTGCGTTGCGATACGGTTTCAAAACGCCCAATGTCATCATGTACACTTTGGTTTGTTCTCCTTCCACTTCCTTGCGACAGCATACAGCTCCCACGCATACATCATTATAGTACGCTATATACCATCAATAAACGGGGAGAAAAAACGGTCAGACTTTCCATAAGCTATGAAATGAAAAAAAAGCACACACGCACAAAAAAATAGAAAGGACGTACCAAGTTTCGCTAATTCACCTGCATTCAATGCATTGGTGAAGAATGAGTCGTCATAATCTACCGGGAACAAGATTTTGTGCAAGACACGCAGTTGACCGAGATTGTTGGCGGTAACTTCACCCAAAGCCATGCGCTGCGAAACGTTTGATTTGCTGACCATATTTTGTTGAATGAGTCTTTCCTTTCCGTCGCGATTCCGTTCCAATTCAAGCCTGCAGCTTCCTTTTATCCTTGTAGTAAAACCAACAGCTTTGGACAGTGCAGCTGTTGCCGAAACACTATTTTTTCCAAAGGCCACTGGGCCACCAACCATTGACAGTCACAGCACGTTACGATAAATGCCAACTCATGAGATCGGCTCTTGAAAATGCGGTGTTGCCTTTGGAAAAGAATGCCATTACCATATTTTCATTTGCAAAGCAATGTCTTTCCCGGTGACAGAGTCGTCCAAGGTTGGACTCTGCCTGTATGCCTCGTGTTTGCCGTGCATGGGGTCGCGGAGGAGAATTCATTCATGAAGAACATCGAAGCTCGCTTATACTTTCCAAGTATAAATAATCGATGGCATTGCAAGCTACTTATCATCAAAATCTGTCAGGTCGAGATAGTGCTGTATATAAAACTTTGTACATCAATTAGCAAATGATCATAAGAGGATACCAGTTGAGGGACCTTTCTTGGTTTGACAGATTATATCGACCAATTCCCCCCAACTGGTCGGCCAATTAACGGCAACTCGTTCCTGTTCCGACATCCGCCTTGAGAATAAGACACTTCTTTTGACCCATACGATCAAATCTGTCAACAGATCTGCAGCACTTGCTTTCTTCTGGCTGGCAATACAGCATAAATGCCTATTTTCTCTCAGATTGCAAAGTTCATCACATTTGAACGTCATTTATCAAGGACTCGAGATACGTCGTCTTTCGCACTGATAATGTAAGAAAAAGAAAGCTTGATCCAATCTTATTTGATTAGTAGACCGCGCGCGCCGAGCTTTATAGGAAGGTTTTAAGCAGAGATCGATCTAACGAGAGTGCAATGTTGAAAACTGTAATCCTCCCGTAGCTTATTATATTAATGCCACTAAATCCAGGAATTTGACGAAGGGTGACTGATAAGTCCCAGGGCTCGATTATACTAATGATTGCAGGTTCAAGCCATTTGGTTTAACGTTGGATCAGTGGGTAGGATATGGCTTTTTCATTTTCGATCCTCGCTCCGTAACAGCTAAAATACTCCTGATGGTCCAGACCCCACCGTCCACCGATAAAACCATATCCCAGTTACGAATCAAAGCTCCCCTTTTTTTTCTTCCTCCAGATTGCTTAATGGTACATCCTTTACGTGTCAGCACGTGTTGGTTCGGGTTGATGAAAAAAAAAAAAAATGGTGACAATGATTTCTATTTTTTCCTTTTTTTCTTTTTAGGTGCATTTATCGACAAATCATGTACATATAAAACAATTACAATGATACTTCCTTTCCGACCAAAAGTGCATAAGCCTCCTTGTACTTTTCCAGAGTGTTGTTCACGACCTCATCGGGAAGTTTGATGCTGGACTTCTTATCAAAACCAATGGATTCAAGGTAGTTACGTAAGAACTGCTTGTCAAAGCTTTCCTGAGTCTGTCCAGGTTGATACTTGCTAGCGGGCCAGAAACGGGAAGAATCTGTAAAACCAGGTATCAAGGGGTCAGGAGGTCGGGCCAAAAAGTAAAAGACAATCCATTTGAAAAATGTCAAAACTAATCAAGGCCGAAAAAAGCAATAGGAGCCACAATGACCAAAAACAAAAAAATACATACCAGGTGTCAGGACTTCATCTACCAAGACGAGATTGCCTTGATTGTCTAAACCAAATTCAAATTTGGTATCCGCAATGATAATTCCTCGCTGGGCGGCATACTCGCTGGCTTTGGTATATAAAGCAATCGCCGATTGCGTGATTTTATCCGCCAAGGCCTTGTCCCCGAGAATCTCCACCATCTTGGATGGATGAATGTTCTCATCTAATCATAAAAAGAAACCCAGTATAAACACCAGCAGAAAAAACAAACAGATCAATGCAAAAACGGAAAAAAAGATCAGAAAAAAAATCCGTTACCGTGATCGCCAATTTCAGCTTTGGTGCTGGGAGTGAATAAGACTTCGGGCAATTTTTGGCTTTCGACTAAACCCTTGGGTAATTCGATATCGCAAATGGTGCCTTTCTTTTTGTACTCGGCCCAACCAGAACCAGTAATATAGCCACGCACAATGGCTTCAATCGGAAGTACACGCATCTTCTTGACCAAAATCGATCGTCCCTCCAATTGGTTTTTGTATTTCTGCACCTTCTCCGGCATTTTTTCGAAATCGGCCGTAATCAAATGGTTCGGCAACACATCCTTCAACAAATCGAACCAGAAAAGCGAAACCTGGGTCAAGATCTTGCCTTTACCGGGAATAGCCTTTTTTTAAAGAAGATAGCAACGAAGTCAGCGAGTTGAGTTTGAGCAGCGGATAAAGACGAAAAAAGACGGCCTACATTGTCCATGATGACGTCGAAAGCACTGATACGGTCGGTTGCAACAAATAAAAGCGAGTTATCGTCGACTTCGTATAAATCGCGCACTTTGCCACGCGCCACCAGTTTCAAGTCAGGACAATCGCTAAAAAAAAAAGAATAAGAATCGACCCCATCCGGCACGTTAGCATGGTGGCTGAATTTGGTAGGTTATTGGACTATTATCCATCTACCTGTTCAAAAGAGCCATGATATGCTTGTGTATAAAGAAAGGCAAAGCGCACAAACACAAGTAGAGACAGATAGAGAAAAGAAAGAAAGTAAGGAAAGAAGAGAAACCAAGAAAATACAAACCCAGTGCAATAAGCGAAAAGATCCCCAAAAAGGCCCGCCCGGAAAACCGGTCCTGTGGATCATGACACATTGCGGGGTGGCAACCGAATCGATGACTAAAAAAGTGGCTTGGATCGTTCTTCATCATGCATTTTTCAAACCCCGAGCCCATCCATCTTGAACCATATCAGACACATCCTGTGCTTTTGCCTAAAAGAACGCTCACTATAACACCTTCAAATGCCAAAAAAGAAATAAATCACATTAACAAAAAGTCATGCAAACCACTTCAAGACAAACTGAAGACAGAAGAACCCCCATGCCTCAAATAATGAGGTATCGGATCCAAGTTCAGTGGCGTGTTAACCTCTGCGAGCCGCCTTGTAAAATAATGGGTTCCCATACAGCAGCAGTTAGGGAAGCCAGCTGTATGCTTTTTTTTACACGAGTTCGATGTAAAATTAGGGAACCTTCATGGAATGTTACTAAATGAAATCCATGAAACCCCTGGATCACGACCCATCCATTGGTTGAACAATAGAAACGGAACAATGGAACGTGTTCTCCCAATTGCGCTGTATTTCCTCAAAGAGATGCCATGTAAGAAGCTCTTGGCATTGAACTCATATTTTATGGTATTTAGTAAAAGAAGCAAGTTATTGGGGGGGTGGGTGGGTGGGTTCAGCTAAGCTAATGTCCTGTGTCTTGTCTGAAGAGCGAACTACAAGCTACCTAAATGACGCCTATTCAAACAGCATGTTCCAACCTTGACCATTGAGTGATTTCGCACTAAAAAAAAAAAAAAAAAAAAAAAAAAAAAAACTATAACAGAGACATTTACACCGACATTTACACCATACGTCTTGGAATCTTTTAATTGAGCGTAGTCTTATAATTCTGCGTTTTTTTCTTTTGTAGCGAATTACTGGCCCGCAACAAAGGAGATTGGTTCATTTCTGCTCAGGGATAAGGCTCGATATTAGTATAGTTCCATGGAATACGCATCTTTTCGACCTTCCAGGTATGTATCCTTCGTTGGAGTTCAGCAGAATTATCATTATCAAACGTGTTTTCTAAAGGCCCCCCTAGCCGTACTGAAAAGGATTCTGGAAGGGACGATCTGTGAACAGCCACTCATTCCGGAGGATACCTCGAGACATGTCGCTAATAATCAAGGGGTCCTTGGAAACCTTTGTCAGTGGAGAATGGATTATTAGGATGCCTAAAATATGCTACTAATAATGACCTGTTACTGTTATTTACGTCGGCATGCACATTCGGACACGCACACGCGTTTGACTATGTCCAGTTTGGGGTTTCTTCAACGGGTCCACATCCGCAGCAGGCAATGTGCTTCCTTGTCCATTCATTGTAACGTCAAGCTTAAAATTTTTACCATGTATCTCAGTTAATAAATGACAGATGCAGGCTCAGATCAATGCTGCTTGTCTCGATCGATCGTTTTGCCTCCATCCAAATCATGAGGAGAAAGAAACATAAATTTCCTGGATCCATTTACTTTGCCACTTTATTGCAACCCACCAATTGCCCTAGGCTCAAGTACAATCGAGTAAAAAAAGCTTACCTGTGCTGTTAAGGAAAGACAGTGTGGACCATTGCTCATCGTTGGATGGTTGGAGTCATGTGTCGTGCTTCAAAAGTTCCTTTTCGCTTTGATCTATTTTTGCCCAACAACGTACTGTGTATTGTGAAAAACCATAAAAAAAAGAGCAGCTGACAACGAAAAAAGTTGCCAGACATTTGGTTCGAGATTTCGAGTCCCTAGGCAAAACTCTCAAGTCACTTGTTTGCATGGCATTCAAGAATCATGATAACAGAAACAGTAGTGCTTTTCTTTTTCGGTTATCTCATTACTCTATGAAGAGACCACGGGCAACCGTGGGGCATAGCAAAAAATAAAAAATAAAAAATAAAAAATAAAAAAATAGATATCGGAAACAGTCATATGCTAGAGACCATAGATAGAGACGAAGAAAAGGTGGGTGATTTACGATGTACGATGTACGATTTTTTCTTTTTTTTGTGTATGTGCTGCTTTCACGCGGTTGATATGATCTGTCATTTCTTGTTTGCCTTCCCTTTTTTCAATCTCCGTTGAATTGGTAAGCAAGCAACTTGTGCCAACCAGTTCATAAGAGGTTTGACTAAGAGATTAGATGATTGGATCCCCTTCAACTAACACAGAAATAAAGTGCAAGGAGGTCATGATACTAGGAAAAAAAAGTCGAGAGGAAGATCATTGGAGGAGTAAGAATATCAAAAAATAGAGAGTGTCTGTGCTCTTGATCCAAAAACAGCTTCACCTCGAGTCGATTCAAGTCCGAACAAAAGAAAATGTAACATTGCATTGTCCCACGGATGCTATTTTTTGATCGTGAGGGATTGTCGCGCACTCCTCGATTCGGAAAATGTGCACCTGGATCCAAACAATTATTTAAGCCGTTTTTTTTCTTTTTTATCCCTTGTTTGTATCTTTAATCGTCAATCTTTTTCTTTTTATACATTATTCCTTTTTTTGGAATCCATCCTATTTTTTTCTTTTCCCTCTTTTTCTTTTCCTTTATAGTTGATTTTATACGCTTTTGAAAGAGTCCTTTTTTTTTCTGGGGTTCTTTTGTTCATCTATCTGTTTATTATTTCCTCTGATCTACGTTAATCAACTGTTGTAATGAAATTCACTACGCCTTCCATTGTTGCGTCGGTATCATTACTGGCGTCCATGGTCAATGCCTTTGGGCAAGTGGCCCAGGTCGTCGATGCGACCAATTTTTGCGTCTTTTTACCACCCACCGATTCGGCGGACCGCAATATTGCCGACACGGAATGGAATGCTCAGGCGTTTTGTATGGGCAACACGCCCAAGGCCACCAATGCCGGTAAAATACCTGCTGGATTCATTCAGTCGGCTCACTTTGTTGCCACGGATAAATATGTTCAAGTGACGGGTCAAATCGATCCTACCAAAGCGAATCTGGATGTCAATGATGACGGAGGTCAATACGATATCAAAGCACCCGATGGCTCCTCCTGTGCTGGCTGGAAGTACTATGTCAATCTGATCGAACCCACCGGTCGTACCTACTGCATGCGATGCTGTGTAAGTTATCTCCCATCCAAGTGAAGAAGAAGAAAAAAAAAACCATGACCTTGCTCACCTTATATTTCTTTCATAGAACGATGACCGAACTTGCAATCGTGGTATCTCCGAAAAGGGATGTGCTCACATCATTCCTGGTGATTACAGTGGGCCATTGGATAATGGTGGTGCGGCGATTCCTCCACCTGCGCCTTCACCTTCGGCTACCAAGAGTGCCACGAAAGCGGCAGGTACGCCGGTGGCCCCCACCACACCACCAGCGACGGCGGTTCCTTCCACCAAGGCTTCCTCTTCCTCATCATCGTCTGCTTCTTCTTCTCCACTTGTTCCTGTTCCATCGGGCGATAACGTGGTTCCACCCAACTCTTCCTCATCGACTAGCAACACGAAGAATGACACCATGCCTGGCACGGGAGCACCCAAGGGCGATCCAGCCGTAGATCAACCTGTCAGCGCTCAATCGTTCGACAACGCTGCAGACGCTCGTTATCCTGCCGTCATCTTTTCATTGGCCATCGCTATGCTGTCGGTGACTTTCACCCTCCAGTAAATGATATCGCCCTAGGCGACTCCTTACATAACGGTGAGAACGCTGTGGTATCCCATTAGCAAGTTTTTGCATATTTTTTTTTTGTCTCCTCTAAAAACCTCCATTTCCGCCCCCTGAGCGATATCATTCAAAGCAGATTCAAACGATTGTTTTTATTTTGTCTCTATAGTATCATGTGAATTTACCACAAATCTTAATTGTATTTTATAACAAATCTTTGTTATGTCCTTTACTTTTTAAAAAAAAATCACCAAGTCCTTACAATTCATGGTGGATACAACGCGCCTTTCTCACCTTCTTCACACACATCCAGTATGTATCTCTCGATTTTAATCGGTGAGCACCCTAATTTTTTTTTATCCTCTTCCCTTGCAGCTGATTGCAGTGTGATTACTCTGTTCCAAGGTTTAAAGTTTAGCATGATACATGAGGCAACACAAAAATTAGGTTACACACTTTTTCAGCCAACGCCAACGAAACGGAAGAAAATGAGAAACATGATGTTTTAATGTACCCTTATTGCAAAGAGAGGTCGCGCGCGCTATCTTGAAAAAATAGGATGGGTTATGGATCCTGACAAAGTGAATGAATTCGCTGGAGGCAAATTACTGCTATAATTTCTAAAAGAATGGGCCGGTTGCGCAAAAATGAAATATAATATTTCCCATCCTCTGTAGAGGATGATCACTGGATGGGCCAATGTACGATAAAAAGGTGTCATCGAGTGCCGTGTCATCTTTTCGTTCCAAAAGGCCAAGCCTCATCCATCACGTTTACTCCCACGTCATCTAGGAGATCGTGTCGTGTCTTGGCATGGGCTACCTTTAAGAGCTAAAAGAAACCATCTTGACGGTCTTGAAAGAAACCCAATTTGTCAACGGTTAAAGAATAATTTTCTTGGCGATACAATTTCTACAACGCTGCCCTATACAGATGAACAGAGCCGCGGTATCGACGACTGCTACCTAATGGACAACATACAGACCAAGTCTTTTCTTAAATCAATGTTGTTTGTGCTTATCTTTTGCAAGTCAAAAGATGCGCATTTCTAATCGGCTTTGTACGTAGGGTGATTGACTAAATATCCACACCCAAACTGCCGTCGTCATCCAATGCAAGGTCAGCCTGCTCTTGCTGGGAAGCTCTTGCTGGGGTGTTTTTTTTATGCATGGTATAACATACTCAGCTTTCACCTCACTTTTCACGATAATTTTGTAAGCAGATCCCTTCATTTTCGTATACCAGTTACAGCTATAAACGGTTTGTTGCAATGTCATGGTCCATGTCAAAATACATTTCCAAGCGGCGAAGATGTAAAGCGGATATACAGTTGTACCGTGATTCGCATTAACGGATGGTCTCGTCAACAAATTAGATTTCTGAGATAAGCATTCTCGTACAACGTGACATATCGACTCATCGTTTGTTCTTGATTAAGCAATTTTCGGAAAAAGAATTAAGGACGGTATTTATCCGTATTGGGTGATACTGATGGCGATATTATCCATAAACGGCTCTTTGACATTTTTCGGTAGCAATCGCTTGAAGGAAGAAGAAGCGAGACATCGGTCATCAATACATACAAACAGACTGTGTTACTCTTGTCAATATACCGCGGGAGACCATTGTATTCTGTTACTCCGATGCAAAACCAAGCTAAAAAAGAGTTGGTGATACGTGGGTCCTATCACGATCCATTATACAATACGTACGAGACAAGAAATTCGTTGACTGTACGAATTCATCTTGATTAAGCATGAGCCTTGGTTGGCCCATCCATGATACTTTGTCTGGGTGCTATTCCACACGCCGTTATTTTAGAAAGGGAGACACACACTGTTGATGAAGGATGAGAGAATGGCTCGAAATTTGATTTCAATACGGATGGTGCCACAGTTAATAAGCGGGTCAATGTTGTAGGGTGTGCAAAGATGAAATTGGGCAATCAATTTCAAGCAAATACACTAGAATGATCTCTCCTTTCTAAAATAAACCAGAATAAAAAAAAGTTCAAGAGAACATAAGTTTTTGGCAATAAAGACCATGCATCATCTAGAAATGGCCCAATTTGACCAACGAGGAACGTAAGTGGGGTTTTATTGGTCCCGAAAAAAAAACAAATGTCGCTTCATCGAGTGAGCTACAATACAATATCATCCTGATTTACAAAAATCCGAGGAGCAACGTGCTTACAAGGATGGCGACAGTGTTACTCTGAAGGGTGCGAACAGCAGCCCCGGATTGGATGGGGATATTGTAATGCGTGTTGAATGCAGTGACGGCTCCAATTTTTTCCATGGGCGGCTCCTTTTGGGGGGCTGGATCGTCCCACCGAGGAATCACGGCCTGAGCCAATACGGGTTTGGCGAGAAGATCATGGGGTTCGTGATCGTCGACACATTCCGCTGCCGTCCGGAAATGGAACCCGTTCTCTTGCAACAAATCAATGATATAAGGCACCCGAGACACTGACGAATTGAAAATATCTACAACATTTGATCCATTTTTAGTCTTTCAAGACACCACAAGAGCGAACATAGCAACGAAAAATAAATAAGCACTGACCATGTTGGAGACTGATAAATCCTTCATCATCATGGGGGTTGGGACTGGGGGACTTGCCCGAGATAATGTCGTAAAAGACTTCTTCAATGAGTTCCGGGGCGTCTGGTTCTCTGTGAATCTTGTAATCGGTGGGATCCACGTTCCACAGGAGCATTTTATAGCCCAGAGCGCGCATGATGGCCTTGACGCGTGCATCGGCTTCCCCGTAAGGTGGACGCATGTACCGAGGTCGGCTGCCGGTGGCGGCTTCAATGGCCTTTTCAGTGGCTTTCATTTCGTAGACGATTTCCTCGTTGGTCAAACTCATGAGATGAGGGTGCGAGTAGGTGTGCGAGGCAATTTGATGGCCTGCAAGGAAAGCGCGTTTGACAAGATGGGGAAATTTCTCGACTTGGGCTCCGAGAACACAAAAGGTGGCCTTGACCTGATACTCATCGAGAACATCCAACAAGGAAGCGGTCAGAGCACTGGGACCGTCATCAAACGTCAATGCCCAATGACGGTCGCGAGGACACCCATAGACATCCGACGCGGAGGCCACGGCTGCACAGTTTTCGAAACATTTTTCATTATCTGTGCCGTCACACTTTGCATCTGGGCATACACCGGATCCCACAGGTCTGATAGGCGCGTTGGGTATGTCGTCGAGGTTCACCCCCAAGAGCCAAGCCGGATCTCTTGGTGTAGCCGAATGATCGTGATGGGTTCCTTGGACGTTTGTCCATTGAAAGCAAAACGTGGCAAGCAAAGCCCACCGAATAAGCAGGCTTCTTGGCGGCCGCTTACCGACACAAGCGTTGTAGACTGGCATGATGGATGGTAAAGACAATAAAATTGTCAGTCAATTCTCTTTTTCCGTTTGTAAAAAAAAAGCGCAATTATCATGTATATTTGCATCTTTGACATAACAAACATTGAAATAAACTATGTTTGGCTGAAAAAATATTGCCCAGTGGTGGCTCGGTTCTTTTTTCCAAAAAATAAATAAATGAAAGACGATCATGACACAATTTGACATATGGTTATGAGGACAACAACTGGACAAGCATTGGTGTCCATTGGTTCCAACCAGGGAAATGACGTTTACATAGCAAAAAGAATTGAAGATTCCATGATTAAGAGTATTATTAGCGGTTTTTCTCTAGTTAACACAATAGATAAAAAAAATGAAGAATAAAAAACAACAACAACAACAACAACAAATACCATTATAACAAAAAAATAAGAATCGATATTAAGAAGCTCCCTCATCACGCTTTTCCATTCGTATTTGCTTTCGTCAAACGTTGATTCGCTTGTCGATAAACATCCGTAGACGTGCTGTGTCTGCAAAAAAAAAGTAAAGCATCATGCATGAATATTACGCGACATCCCCATTGTTTTTTTTTTTTTTTTTTTTTTTTTTTTGCAGAAATTCCTAGGTTACCCTTCATAGTGTTCCATGGCAATGTGTTGATCTTCGTCTTCATCATCGGATCGAACATCCTTGGCGGTATCGGTGACCATTTTGTACAGGACCTTGAAAATCATGGCGGTCCAGAACAGGATCAAAAAGTAGAGACCGAGCATCAAACCAAGAATAATATACTTTACAAACCACGGGAAAAAGTGGCCGCTCAAGGGAGCCAGTTTAAATTCCGGCACGTACAATTCAGGCTCGGTATAGGTGGACCAGATAATGCGGCCGTACAAGTACACGCGAGTGTACATCCAAGAGATCAGCATACATACAAAGGTGGTATTGCAAATATAGCCCGGAATCATGTAATTGAGTGATTTCGCAAGCTAAATGGTGTATCACCAATGTGAGCATCTGTTAAATGACCGATTTCCCCTCTTTCATTGGTGGAGTGTTTCATCATCAACTTACTGCCAAGAAAGCGTCGGGAAGATCCATGCACACAAATACGGCATTGCCCACACGAGTAAAGTTACATCCGTAACTCAAACTGATCAGCAAAAGGGTATTAATGTGATGCATAACCAATTCTCGGTAATCTTTGCGAGGAGCCTCGATTTGCAAAACGAAAATCTGTTGAAGCCAAAACGCAAACTGAAGCAGATAATAGTATTTAAACTCCTGAGTGTAATCCAGCACAGGATAATCCCGCCAAAAATACGTCGTGTCGAACCACCAAGGCGAATGGTACATTACATACTACAAAAACCCCGAAAAAAAATTCCAGCCAGTGGTCAATGCATGTGTCGGTCATGTGGGCCATGTCTCTTGTGCTTACAATACCGTAGCTAAAGCTGATGGTGTAATAAATAAAGGACCATGACTGTTCAGCGAATCGTTGATGCTTTTTGCGGGCGACATGGGTTCGTACGGCAAGCGGAATAAGGATATAAGTCATGGCAAGGGCACGCAAGACGGTGAATACGCAGATATAAAACAGTAAAAAGGGAATGTCCCAAAGGCTTTTCTCGAATCGTCCGTCTGGCCGTTCATTACTGATGAAGATGAGCTTATCAAAGTAAGGAAAACGGAATAGGTAACCGATGAGCACCGGTGCTATGATACGAAGCGGAAACCCTATAAATGTATATAGACACGCCAACCATTTCGTTGCATAAGTATTTTTCTTTTTTGTTCTCAACAAGGTACGGGTGTCGTTTTGACAGTTTTTTGTTGTTGTTCTTTTTCTTTACCAATTTGATGCTGAGCAAGGTAATGTGTGAATTGTTTGAGTTTCGATGATCGAGCTTTACCGCTTTTCAACGGTGCCTTTGCTTTCATGGTTACTGAGGGGATTAGAAGAAAAAAAAAAGGAAAAAAGAACCAAACACAAATAAAAAAGAAGGAAAGCTTGCTCTTCTTCTTAATCGGAGTCTCTGTGTTGCTTGTAAAAAATCGGTCGAAAAAAAACAAAATAATTAAAAAAAATTCCCCCCAAGTTTCGACGAAATATTTTTTTAAAAGGCCGATCATTTCCATTTTCTTTCATTTGGGTCTGCAGGGAAGAAAAAAAATAAGACCAAGATTTTGTACAAGAATTAGAGTTCAAGGGATTATTTCAGAATGAAAGATCTTTTCTAATCATGAATAAGATGCATCAAACTGCCATGCAGGGTTTGGAAGCGTTTTGATACAATCGGTGCGTGGTTCCGAAAGGTTGGCATAAGTATGAAACGGCCGAGCGGACCGATCCCGGGCAGTGAGATGATCCATGCCGAACAATTCATGAAGAGTACTCGGGACCGAGCTGTGTTCAAAGATGTCAGTCTGGGGAATCAGTAACCCCTTGGGAATCCATGGTGAAATTAAAATCGCAGGCACCCTTATTCCAAGTCGCGTAAAGTCGAATGAAGGGTCTGTGATACCATCAGGATTCGCCACATCTGTCGGAGGCGCAACATGATCGAAAAACCCGCCATGTTCATCCTGAGCCAAAAAAGAAAAAAGGGGGAGGAGAAAAAATTGTGAGTCCATTCCCAATGCAAAAAATCTCATTTCTGAATCCAATCCACCGACCTTACCCAGACTAGCAGAAAGAGTAGATTGTTCCATTGAGGACTGGCACGCAACGCTTCGTAGACTTGTTTGTAAAACAATTCACCTCTTCGAATATCGTAAAACGATCCTGCATGAGGATGTTGATCGTTACGCAAACGTTGATCGACTCCAAATAGGGCAGGCTCAATGTACGTGTAAGAAGGCAGAACGCCTTTCTCCGCATCTATATAAAACTGATCCATGGTCGTCCCGGGACGGCGCAAGGGCGATCGAAAGTATCGATACAAGATCGTCGAAGGTATGGGTGAAGCCGAATAAATTCCATAACTCACATTGATGGCGTGAAGTTTTTCAAATGTCGTGGTGAGCGGGTATCCCAAAGGAGGAATATCGTTATTTACTACACCCCCCGCCGTCGCCGCATGCAAAAAATTACGGTTCGGAAATGTTGACCCTTATCAAGAATCCCCCATTTTGAGTGGATTGAAAAAATGTTGAAACCGCGCTCTCTGAATCAACTCACCTGGAACAGAAGAAAACCACCGCTGCAGTGTATAAAAGTAAAATAAAATAAAATGTTACATATGGATTATAAGGGTTATCGATGTCGTACGTTGATTGGTGGTGTTATTGGAAAAAAACAGAAAAGGGAAAGCTTACGTCGGAGATGGCATATTCTTGGACTAAGGTATATAGAACGGGCAAGGTGGATTGGTTCAGGCCTTGCATGATTTCGGCGGCTTTGTCTTTGCCTCGGTAACGAACGTAATTGGCTACAAATCCTTTCATGTTGGGCGAAGCGTCCGGGGCAGGTGAAGTGCCAAAAGGAATATTGTAAATCTGTTGGTTCACATCGGGAATAAAGTTTTCAGGTTCTTGTGTACTACAACAACCAAAAAAACCAGGGTCAGTTCATTTTCGCTTGTCCAAGCAGCGACGCAAAGTGTTTGAAAAAAGGGGATTTACTGAAACAGCCCGTCATGGGTTACACATATTTGCTCATCATCCGAAGTGTCGATGGGATTGCACATCGACGCGTCGGAACCATCGACGTCGGGACGAATGTCTTTGAGTTGACCAAGAAAATGATCAAAACTGTGATTCTCCATCATCAAAACAACCAGCGTTTCGATTGGATTTGATCGGCTCACGGGCCAAAGCAACAATGTTATTAAATAAAAGAGGAGGGAATTACGCATGCTGTTTTAAGGCTTTATTCAAAGATACCATCCTACAGCTTCCGATGATTATATATATAATAATGTGGGTGTCATAAATTTTTCAAGTCTATAAAGGAGTTGCAATCATATGCAATACTATTTTATGGTTTTTCTCATGTTGCAACCTTGATAAGATTTCTTTGATCTTCGACGCGATACCAACGGGTTGCATTTGTCAGCAATCGCGGTTTGAAATCCAGGCATGTCAGTGGCTTGCTCATCCATTGCACCATCTACCTTCCATATTCGGTAATTGAAAGAAAAAAATTCAAAAAAATCCCCTGTTGTTGCTTCATTGTCCCTTTGGTCTTTCAATTTTTTTTTTTCCTACTTGTCTTTGTTCTCGTCTTCTTTAGTTTTGCGTGTGTGTGATGGGGCTTTTATCTTTGGGAACACCTTTGCCTTGGAGTGAGGCCAAGAAGTATGCAGACCATGTCCGCACCCACGGCATTGAACAGTTTCTCGCCATTTATCGCAAACAAAAAGCTCAGCAAAAGCAATGCCTGCTTTGGGGTGACGAGGTAAATGTCTGCCCGTGGACCAAGTCATCAAACTTCACAGCACAAAGTCTTACAAACTAGCCAATAGGTCGAGTATGTAGTGGTCGAGTGTGACGAAGAGCAAAAACGATGCAAATTATCCTTGACTGTGTTTGATATCCTTGCCCAACTGCAACAACCCGAAGTGGCTGTACTGAATGGCGAAAGCACGTAAGCATCCAATCCACAGGTACATGAACGCTTGAAATTTACATGTGGATAAAAAAACAAAGTGAAACGCTGGAAGCTCTATGGAGACCCGAATATGGTCGATTCATGTTGGAGGCTACTCCGGGATCACCGTATGGATCCACCTTCCGAGATCTCGGCAAAGTCGAAAGCAACATGAAATTACGTCGTCGTTTGGCCAAAGAAAAAATGCCTTCCAACATGCTGCCAATGACTCTCGTCAATTACCCTCGTCTGGGCTGTCCCGGTGAATTGGAACCCGATCATGAACCCCGAGGCGAAGCGTGTCAGAGTTTATTTGTACCTGATGAGATTATTAATCCCCACGCCAGATTCCCGTTAGTAGTTTCTCATTTTGGACCCCTCTCTTGAGATAGGCAAGTCGGTATGGATAAGCTGATGCATGTTTTTTTTTTTTTTGTGTAGTACATTGACTGCCAATATTCGTCGTCGACGTGGAGCCAAAGTGGAGATCAACATGCCTATTTTCCACGATAAAAACACCCCGAAACCGTTCATTGATCCTACCATTCCATGGGATCGCGATTGGTTTGTTCACGATAAGGAAGCCAAGCAAGGTGCAGCCAAACCGGACCACATCTATATGGATGCCATGGCTTTTGGTATGGGCTGTTGTTGTCTCCAGATCACGTTCCAAGCATGCAACATTGATGAAGCAAGACGATTGTATGATCAGTTGGCTCCCGTGGCCCCCATTATGGTAAAACAACAAAACCGCGCTTCATTGCAACCTTGACTAACCATATCAAACAATGTGTGTGTTTCGCAGTTGGCTTTAACGGCCGCCGCTCCTATTTTCCGTGGTTATTTGGCTGATGTGGATAGTCGTTGGAATGTGATTGCTGCCGCTGTCGATGATCGTACACCAGAAGAAAGAGGACTCGAGGTAGGTTTTTGTTTTTGTATGTTTCATGATATAAGTGGCCTTTTTTTCTGACTCTTTTTGTTTATAGCCATTGAAGAACAATCGTTTTGTCATTAACAAATCTCGCTATGATTCCATCGATTGCTACATTTCCAAGGATGCCACGTTCAAAAACAAGTACAACGATCTTGATCTTGTGTATGATAAGGATATTTACGAAAAACTGCGAACCAACGACATTGATGATTTATTGGCCAAACACATTTCCCATCTGTTCATTCGCGATCCATTGGTCATCTTTAAAGAATTCTTGGATTTGGACGACGAAAATTCCGCCGATCACTTTGAGGTATCATCCTTTTATATAAAATGGCGCTTGATGATCTCTAATGCGAACCCGTTTTTTTTTTTATAGAATTTGCAATCGACGAATTGGCAAACCGTCCGATTCAAGCCCCCGCCACCGAATTCCGACATTGGATGGCGTGTGGAATTCCGAAGCATGGAAGTGCAGTTGACCGATTTCGAAAATGCCGCCTTTGCCGTGTTCATTGTTCTACTGACACGCGTGATTCTGAGTTTCGGACTCAACTTTTACATGCCGATTTCCAAGGTAAAAGTAGCTCCGGATCTTGGGAGCCACCGAGCTTCGGGATGCCAAGAAGTTAACGAAATGTCACTTTTTGTTTAGGTGGATGCCAATATGCAGACGGCCCATCATCGTGGGGCGGCAGTAAATGAACAATTCTATTTCCGAAAGAATGTATTCCCTTGTAAGTGTGACCTGCTGGAAAAGAAAAAAGAAGTTGACCAAAAAGTATTCATTTTTGTGTGTGCATGGCAGCCAATACAGATGAGGAGAATGATGATTATGAATTAATGACCATGAACGAAATTATCAATGGCAAGGTATGAAAAGAAAAAAAAAATAAGACTCCATTTGTGATGGCGTGATGTTGAAGCTGATGAATTGTTTATTTTACGAATTTTCCTAGGAACACGGCTTCCCTGGTTTGGTGCCTTTGATTCACAGCTACTTGAACAGTACCAATATTGATATTGAAACACGATGCAAGATCTCGTCTTATCTTTCTTTGATCAGCAAGCGAGCGAGTGGCGAGTTGATGACTGGTGCATCTTATCTTCGTCACTTTGTGATGAATCATCCTGATTATCAAAACGATTCCGTGGTCTCGCCTTCCATTAATTATGATCTGATCAAACACGTGGATCAAATTGCGAAAGGTCAAGTGAAAGCCCCCGAACTTTTAGGTGATTTCTCTGCCTAAATACGGTGTTACTGTTTTTATTCATTCCCTTATTACCCTTTTTTTCTTCTTCTTGTTTATTATTGTTGTTGTCTGGCTATTTGGGGCGCCATTGAACGAAACTTTTTTGCTTGCCGAAATGGAGAATCGTCTGTGCACCTTGTTATTTTATTTCTTTTACTACTTTCATTATGATTTTTTGTCAGTTAGACTGTTTTAGAGATGCCAGCGTAAATAAAAAAAAAGACACTGTCTAGTTGTATTCAGCGTCACACCTGTTGCAAAAAGATCAAAGCTTCCTTAATCCTTTGACGCTTCTTTGGTTCAAACAGAGGACCTGATCTGTATGCAGATATGCATGCACCGCCATGACCATGCAGTACGAAATTGGTCAGCATGCAAATGAGCGCAAATCGATTACAGCCAAGGATCAGACGTACGAGATAAAAATTCACCCACACTCTTTTTGGCGAGTCGTTTTACATCATGAATATGCGCAATCTTCAACGATACTGGGCCGCGCAAAATGACGCCAATATACAGTATATGCATGAGCTAAATTCTGGAATGGCAAAGTGACGAAATGAGCCTACTCGTCGCTTCAATTAAGGCAGATACCGTCATCAACTACCTTGTAAATACTTGGCGTGAACAAGTTCTATCCAGATAATAGAAGCATCATCACTAGTGCAACCCTGTTATTTTTTAAGAGATAAAAATTAGCGCAGCGGATATGGTATGGCACTGCGAATGGTCCAACGAAAGAGTCATCAGCGTTTGACCATCTATTTCAATATATGCATCTATATCAACGGAATAATTTCGATAGAGGCAATAACCTTTTATTGTACGTCGGCAAAGATTGACGTGGGGCAATAACAGGACAAGAGCTAAAATGCTTAGAAATTCTTTGCCTGAGATAACAAGGGCTGTCTAGCCTCCTAAGCAGCAGATCTTAGCCATACCTGAAGGGCAAGGGTCACCAAACGGGCCACAATATGGTGAACAACGTCCAGCGCTATCATGATCCTGAGCATAGCAGTAATACGGACGATTTTGTGGACAAGTTTGCAGACGAGGTTCGCAGGTAGGAGACCAATAGTTTTGTGCTTGGACCAGTGACATCGTTGCGAAACCAAGAACGAGGAAGGACACAGGAGTGGAAGCGTACTTTACCATTTTTGCTGATGCTTGGGTGTGTGGATGCGAATTACTATCTGCTTTGCTTATATACTGTTTGTTGCTTGCAAACACCATATGCCGTTGAGTAACCGATATCATGGTTCCGCTCTTTCGCATACATGCACATTTTTGGCAAAGTATAACAATCGGGTGGTTGGAGCCTCTTCATCAATCAGCTGAAATACGAGTTTCAAACATGAGCTGTTTTCCGGCTAAGACTATAAGATCATTGATAACTAAGTACTAACAGATAGAATCATGACGTCTAATTGAGAATTGCACGCCGTCAATCTGCGTTTCCATATCAAAATTTTTGTTTAAATCATGACTATCCAACTATACTGGCTATCCACGTGACAAGTTTATTTGGATGACATTCAGATCAATCCTTTCAAGTCATGTTGGAGCTTTCAAACTCACTTGTTGGACCTGCAAGGGTGAAATCAGAAAATACACATGAACCCCGCTTTACAGTGGATCGGTTCGGCATAAGCGATGGCAACAGCTCTGTCTATCATATCCCGAATTTTGGGATCATATCCAATTTAAGAATAGGCTCTGTGAAAAGAGCATGCATTACATGCCCTCTCATTCATGCTGCTAAGCCTTCTGTCGCCGCATTTTTGTTGACAGTTCCTGCTTCCGTTCCCTTTCCCGTGCTAGCCTCCGCAGCCGTTTTTGTGCCGGTGTCTGTTCCCGCTGGTGCTCCTTTTGCCCATTCGTTTATGGGGGGGGTTTACCAGCGGCAACGACATCTCTTCGAAGAAACAGAAAAATGTTTAATTGACGACCCCGTGGACGTCGATCATCCAAACGTCCAGAATGCGCCTTTTTGCTCTTCCTTTTTGCAAAGAAGACTGCGTTATTTCACCCAGGCTTTCATTGCCATCATTATGCATTGCAATACGAGTTGAAATATATATGTACAGAGCATAGCTGACGTGCTGTGTTACAGAGTTCATGTTGTTCGCTTCGGTAATCGGGCCGACAATTGTAAATTATGCTACGCTGAAAAGCACACCAGAAATTCTTTGCTTTTCTTTTAAGCTGTACAGAGAAAAGTTCTCTGATAGTGAAAATTTGTTTCTGGTTCTGTTGCCTAAGCAAGCGCGCTTGATCAACGATTTCTCAGTTTGAAACGGAGACGAGTTCGGGAGGGTGGTGGTTGATGCATAGATGCACACATTGCATTATATACAGGAGTACAGCGTGACCATGGAGCAGTAAATTTGATATACCCAGTAGTTTTATGTCAAAGTTTGCAAGCCGCGTCGAGTATAAAGAGAAAACCCAATATTTATTTCGTTATCGTATGCGTTCCTGAGTTTACTGGTTGTTTCATGGTGTGACATAGGTGATAGGGCCATAAAATGGGGTCAGAATATGTTTGAAAGCATAGTTCAGAGGCACCTTGATTGGCCCAAGTAATTGTAAGAGAGCCAAAACGAATTACGCTGATAAATAAACTATGATGAATCTCTTTTTTGATGAGCCAAGGTGAACGTGCCTTTGGAAAGAGTCGTCATACAAGGCTGAGCTTGTAAGAGACGTAGTACCGACAGTATGACCTGACATGTAGATCTTGCCATCGTGAATGACAAGGCATGAGCTGCATGCTCTTTCTCACAGGCCTTATTCAACGTGCAGCATTTTTGGCAGGCAGTTCAACGCGTATGCCGTCCTTTGAAATTTGGCTGGATGACTTCTATGTCTTTTGAGATCCCACTGTTTTTTTTTCTCTTTACTGTTATTGTTTACTGCGCTTACTATGCCTCATTACAACACTTCCAGCAGTGCTACCACTAGCAAAGATCGCTTTGCTGTTATCCTCCAAATGAAAATGTTGCTTAAGCATTACGAGTACGTGTTAAACCATCTTTTGTTGCTTGCGTACATTTCCACTAAGCAGTAATGGAGTGGAGAGGACGAAGATCTCCGTATCGATATCGTGAAAGCTGCACCCAAGTTTTTTAATGCCGCTCAAACCTCGATTGTCAAATTGAAGCGCAAGGTCAAGATCACACCTCGTGACCAAAAGGACATTGCTGAACTCGAAAACTTGATGCCACAAGTCCAAGCCAACTTAGACGCTGCTAATGTTGCCGCTGCCTCTCCTTCTGTACCCGCTTGTATTCCCGTCTCACCTGTGGCCTCCTCACATGTGGCCATGTCTTCCGTGGACTCATCCTCCGAGGACTTGTCTTCCGTGGACTCATCCTCCGAGGACTTGTCTTCCGAGGATTTGTCTTCCGTGGATTTCTCTTTGTGGTGTTTGGAGTCTATGAAGCAAGGGATTAGTAGTGACAAAATAAAAACAATAATAAATCCTATGAGACTCTTTTTCTCGAGGGTGTGGTACGTAAAAGGTAGGAAAAAGAATAATTCTAGTGAACGGAAATTGATACAAGGCGTGTCTTTTATACTAGATGGGTATTTTTACAATAGATGTGGTATGATCCGCGACAGAATAAAGTGTGTTTTCCATGTTGCTTAGTCAATAATCGATTTTCCATACTGCTTAGTTAACCATCGATAATGATTATTTTTCCATGTAAAGATGAATAGAAAGAATAGATGACGGATAAACCAATAATATGTAAGCGTCCATCCCCCCGACGTCCATCACAGATGCCTTACAGTACCACTCGCTAGGTAATTTTACTGGGTCTTTCTTCACAAATCAGGCTAAACAGTCATATCTAACTCGTTTTCACCCCCCTGTAGCCAAAGGCACCCAAAAGATGATCGGCGTCCACAATAGCTGCTGCTGGACCAATCGTAAGCGTTTTGCATCATTAATACGTGCCATGTGCTGATTCAGGATGATATCTTTCTGTAGAGCACCACACGGGAGCTTCAGAAGGAGACACAGCATCTGATGCAATTGCCGTTGCGACGCAACGGAGAAACCGCCAACGAAAGAACGCAAAAATGCTATCCGAAGAACGAAAAGGTAAGAACTCCACAAGCTGGTTTGAATTTATTATCAGGTTGCTGATTTTGTTTGATTCCATATATTGTAGGTCCAACAACCGATCGAAGAAAAGCCGATAGGACGACGAAAAGTGTCCTATCAGCTGTACCCATTACACCGCCTCTTTCCTGCCGGCGAAGCGAGCCAGGGTGCATCCGCCATCCCTCCGTTTCTTCCAATTTTGCTGATGGGACCCTAAGTGAAAAGGCCAAAAAAAAAAGAAGGTGAGATGAAAAGAAAAGGAAAAAAAAATTGGTAGGACGTACGCTAGGCTCAGTAGCTGCCGCGATCCGTGTTACGAGACTGATACGGACGCGGGTTCCCCTGTATGAACTTACTGAGCCTGCTCTCCCGGCCCAACATACAAGCACGATCCAATATGATGCACATGTTGCTTCAGACAAGATGCGATTGACGTCCGCCTTGATGTGTACTTCCGGCAAGTCCATTCAAGCACCAGTACAAAACCTTTACATCAGATTGTCTTACTAGGAAGAGACATTTAACACATAGAGCTTCTCGGCTTCGGCCGAATGTCCACCATCCGCCGGCGAGTGTAGAACGTGTCAAACATGTCACAGGGAAGCTAATCAGCGTCCGCAACAGCATCGGATTGTGCGCCATACAGGGTTTGAGGGGAAAGGGCAGTGAAAGTGGGATCGTGCAGGTGAGTTCTCCGGCGTGTATACCGTAAGTGAGAGTTAGTTGTAGCAGGGATCACATGCGGCAGTGAAAGGTTTGGCGTGCGTCCTACAATCTCACGGCCTCAGGGTCCCATCAGCAGCATTTGTATATAATAGCACCCTAACATCAATACTTTGTATATTTTCTCAATATGTATTTCGATTATTGTTTTCATGATGCCTAAAAGGCTCTACTTGTCGATATGTACCAAAAAAACTTATACACCAAATCCATACTCTATCACTTCATCTTTGTACTCCCAAAACGTTGTAATAAACCATGGTTTTGCCGGCTTCCATGTTTGCTTACATTATACAGTACAAATTTCAGTAGGCAAAGATGAGCACCTGGTGATTTGTTAGTTCATCCTTCAGTTTTAGGTAAAGAACGCTGATGACTTCATGCAACCAACCAGACACTGTTCCATTAAAAAGCTGGAAATGGCTCCTACGGACGCTCGTTCCGCTCAGCTTACCAAAAAAAGGAGATGCACGAATTCAAAACTTATTCTTCCAAGATGAACGCGATTGTGATATGTTTTGAATCCGGTAAAGGAACGTTCAGTCTCATGAACATAAATTAAGGTTTTTATTTCTTTTCGGTGAATGCAGTGTGGAATGAAAGAAAAAAAGAATGCAAGGTAACCAACCAGATAGTAGAGGCTTTCATGATCCGGCAGTGTAAAAATAATATTGTTCCCAGAAAGATCGATAATCATTCAAAGCCGCTGGAAATGGTATAAACAATCATCAGCCCCATCTCTTTGGAAAACACCACGGCCTAAAAATAACTTACATGTAATGATGGAAATGACAGGTCGATGCTCCGTCGTACTACAAAAGGTGTCCAGCAGCGGTCTAACAAACAAACCATTTAACACGCGGGAAAAGCTCATGTCATCCGAGGATGATGAAAAACTTACTTTGTGAAATAGAGATAAAAAGGTCCTCTCAGCAGATAGTAAAGGAGTAAATAATCTCTACGACGCGATTCGTCTTTTTCCAATGAAGTCATGGGCTGCATGTGACGTGCGGTGCGCGCGAGTAAATCCATGCCCAGCGACAAGAGCCACGGTTTCCAGCCCATGGTATCGGACGTCTGCAGACACTCCTCTTCCTCATCCTCTGCATTCTTCTCTCGCTGAAGTGGGGATCTGTGGCGCCGTCGTAGGCGGATATAAATAAGGGTGACTATAAAAGAGGGTACATCGATTACTTGGCATTGGACGATGATAGGGTTCGGGGAAAAAATGCTTTACCAAATACCAATGGTCGGATGATCCAGACGATTTCGGCCAAGTGGGCCCATCCTTTGCGTGGGAGTGGTGTCTTGGTGGCGTCTTTGGCGGTCAAGAGTAAAGAAGGATTGGCCGTGGAGGGCGTGCCGATGCGTGGATCCAAGGTCGCTAATTCAAATTTATCGGTGGTGGAAGCAGTAAAGGTCGATGGATCCACATTGCGCACCAAGTGAGTCGGATGCAATATCATGCGTCGATGTGTACCATAGAATAGTCCCAGCCGTAACAAGACTCTATCTGAGCCATTCATTTTTCCACTCTCTTTCTTTTACCTTTTTTCTTTTCGCTTGTGCAAAACACTTACTTGACAGCCTCAATGCCGACAATCCATCGCCATTTGGTCAATTTAGGCCACCAGCGACTGGCCATCATTTCCAACAAGACCTCTGTGTAAGATATCAGACTGAGGCCTACCGCCGCGAATCGTTTCAGCCCGCGGCCCTGATAATGACGCTGAATAAACGCATTGAAAGCAAACCGAGGTCCGTCTTCATTCTCGGCTTCCAATTTTTCCTTCAGTCCCGCCTTGGTCGCCGCCCGTACGAGCAATTGCGTGTGATACAAAGACACCAGGTTCAGAGCCGCAATAACTGTGAAGAATAGAGATACAAGACGGTGGATCAGTACCACTTTGAATAAACCGATCCCCTTATTTTGGATAAATACTCACTGGTTTGCGAACAGAACTCACTGTCTTCAAATCGACCTGAACAGCAGAAAATGGGGGGGGGGGTTGGTGGATAGCTGTTTAGAGATTTGGCTTTTCCCCACGATCCACTTTCTTTCTTTCCCTACCTGGCAACAGCATCGATATGGCACGAATCAAATCTTCCACCGTTTCAATCTTGGATGCATATCGAATATCATAACGGCGCTTGCCCGTCAGTAAAGTAGTGGGAAGCATCCAATGCTCTATTGATCAACAAAAGAAAGGAAAACAAAAGCCCTCAAAAAATTTGAAAGATGAGGAGAAATTAAAAAGATAAAACCATTTTTGATTCATGTGGATGAATGAATGATGCCGGAGCGCCAAAAACAGAACATCTTTTTAGTCAGCATATGGCTCCGCCAACTCTAACCCAACGCCATTCTGTAGCTCTTCGGAATATCTTTTTTTTTTTTACTGTGTCGACCGTCATCGACAGACTTGACTCAAAGCATGTGTGGATTTTATGTAATGCATAAATTAACTAAGCGAAGTGTCCATGTCGCCGCTCATTGGGCTGTCATGGAGACTGGCACTCTTGCCGACATTTTGAGCTTGTCAACATGGAGACGGGACTCAATGACAGCTTTCGTGAGCGGACATTTGACCTCAAAGCAGACCATGAGTAAGAATGTACAACCATTCAACAGCATGTGAAAGCAGTTGAAAAACCCTGGCCCTTTTTTTTTAACTCTCTTATAATCCTTGGATATTGTGGATAACTGGTGCTTACTGTTAACCCAATTCTCATGGGTTGTTTGTCCCTCAAAAGAAACCGAGCAGAAAATGACTTATGATCAACGTCATGCAAACAATTTTTTTTTATTCCCTTTGCCCAGTTGCCAAAAGCAGCAATTGTGACACCGTGTGTAAAAAATTTCGTGTTTGCGTGATTTCACCTGGCCACGAAGCAGCAAAAACATGCATTTACGTGTGTGGTGATATAGGACGCTAAATACACAAGAAAAAAGCATGGTATCATAGGTGGTTTTTTTTATTGTCTGATATTCTATTTTCAGACGATGGCGGGAAGAAAAAGTGCAAGGGAGACAAGAATGGGACCAGCCAATAGTAGCCTAGTCTTGATGAAACAATAGAAAGCCATCAAATTCAGATCTCCGAGCCCTTGCATTTTTTTTTATCGCCCATTGCCTTTTTATTGGGATTTCTAGGCTTGGTTGGACTCGTTTTTTTCTGGTTCTTTCTTTTTTTATATCATGGACCAGCGAAGAGCTCAAGACGATCGGCTTCTTGCTGTAGCTGCTACGGCGGATTCGGTTAAAAACGCGCCTCGAAGTGCTTCGATGGACGTCGACATATCCAATTTGGCCCAAAAGATTGGTAAGCTCGTAGAACCCAACCAAAAGAGTATTTCCTTTTTTTTGTTAATCTGCCATATCAGCCCAATGTAAGGTCGGGTGGAACGCTACAAAGGATACAATCATCATCATCACCAAGGCACGCGATAACAAGCTTGTACGATACACGCGTCAATTAACGGAATGGCTCATCCTCACACCGCGTTACGGCAAAAAACATCCTTTTACAGTGTAAATAATGCATAATCAAAACCGGTCAGCCATTTCTCGGTCACTCATGTTATGATTCTTTTTTTATTGCAGTTATGTCGATGCGCATCTGCAAGATTCCAAATTATTCAATTACCGTCAATGCGTGAAAGAACATCCTATCATGGAAGAAAAACTCAAGTTTTGGACTCCCAAGTTATGTTTCCAAAATCCCAGGCTTTTCCATTTAATTATCACGGTACAGGTTTTTTCAATCACTCCTAAAAATGACAGAAACACTTATAAAATAGTGGTGTAGATGGGAGGCGATGGTACGGTGTTGTTCACGTCGCGAATGTTTCAAAACGAACTTCCACCGATTATTCCATTTCACCTTGGTTCATTGGGTTTCCTGACCCCTTTTCCCTTTGAAACATACAAGCAGAAACTCGATGAATTATTCAATCAAACGTCATTCCGCAGTACCACCCGAATGCGATTGTCATGTACCGTGTATCGTCATCGCAAGAATCCCGCCTGTCGCGAAAAGTCAGCCGAGGAAAAAGAACAAGAGTTGGAGAAAGATGTGACGGAAGGTGAAGAAACTGTCAACCAGGATACCAAGACTTGTACATCCAAATCGCCCGAAAAACGCTGGGAATTGAGGGAAACAGCATGGGTAAGAAAGCAGCTGAAAAAGAATGAAATCGAAAAGACGCGCGATCTACCGGATATGCCAGTGTCGTGTTACAACACCACACCCTATCAAACATTCCATGTCTTGAATGAACTGGTCGTAGACCGTGGACCCAATCCTTCCATGTCGATGCTTGAATTGTTTGGTGATGAACGTCATTTAACTACCGTTCAAGCCGACGGACTGTGCATTGCCACCGCCACAGGATCCACAGCGTATTCGGTAAGCGAGTTTTCGTATAATGGCCTTGTTGTTCCATCCACCAATCCCCCCCTGTTTTCCGTTTGAGTAGCTTTCAGCCAATGGGTCATTGACGCATCCCGATATTCGTTGCACGCTGGTCACGCCGCTGTGTCCTCACACCCTGAATTTCCGCCCCATGCTTTTACCGGAAAGCATGACGGTGCGCATTGCCGTCCCTTTCACTTCAAGAACTACCGCTTACTGCAGTTTTGACGGCCGCAATCGAGTGGAACTCAAACGTAAGTAGGCCGACGACAGGCTTTTGAGATAGTCTTCATACTTATTTTTTTCTTTTCCCTGGGGCAGAGGGGGATCATATCAAGATCACGCCATCGAAATATCCATTGACCACTATCTGTACCGAGGACACTACGAATGATTGGTTTGCAGCGCTCCAGGAATGTTTGCAATGGAACGTGCGCCAACGACAAGGAACATACATGATTTTCGAGTCGCCAGAAAGAAAGCAGAAACAAGGTTCACAACACGGTCAAGCGGAGCAAGCGGGAGGACCCAACGAACAAGAAGAACAGCAAAGCAAATTCGCGTGTATTCGACGAAGCAGTTCCAAGCGCATCAATTCTTCAAATGCGATTGTAGGCGAAGAAATCACCGAAGATGAGGAAGAAGAAGACGGTAGAATTGAACTGGTTCCCTGGAAAGAAACGGAAATGAATGAGATGCAAACCGAAGCTGAAACACAGCAATAATAAAAATAAATTAGCACGTCACAAAAGGACGCGATTTTTTTCTCCTCAAATTCGCCAAAAGTGTTCATGGAGCGCGTCGCGCTCGTGTAATTGTACTGCTTGCGCCATCAATCATGCTTTCATTTAAAGAGTTTCTCGACACTACCGTGTTGCATGAAAAACGGCCTGTAAGTCATCACATCTAATGACCAGCCTGCAATGCTTAAACAAATTCAACTTCCGTGCAGGTCACCTACCGATTAGTAGCAAGAAAGCTCGGCGTACACGTTAACACCGCTAAACAGTAAGCCATCAAAATGGGCAAATGCTTCTCATTCGAGCGGACAATTGATATCCTTGCAATAAAAAGAGCTCTTTATGAGTATGCTCACTCGGAGTCACAAGTGCATGCCGTGTACTGCCTGACAGGCACCGTGACCAGTGACACTGACAGTTACTTTGTTGTACGCTTGGTCAAAGACACAGAATTGGAAGGTAAAACCTCGTCCTAGTTTCCACTTTTGAATTTCCACTCATGATTTACTATGACAGAGGCCAAGTCAAGCTTCAAACAATTGACGGGAATCCACGTTTACAGCGTACTGCCTTATGAAGCCAATGTAATGGGACAGTGCAGAGGTGGACGAAGAGCCAAACAATGGGAACCTTAACCACCTGATTTATAGGATATGTCGGTATTAGCGATTGCTAACAAGGATATACCTCATTTGACTCTGCAAGATCGTCAAAAGTAAGCCTGTGAATACCATCTCTCTCAAGTGAAATGGCTTTGTCTGACCACTTTTCTTTGTCCGTGACAGATGTGGCGTGTTGATCCACACCACGGTCAGTCAACAAGCAGGAGCACCCAACAAACCGTCTGTAACCGTTCCGAAACCTACTCTTCCTTCCTCGACATCATCATCTGCGTCCAAATCCGCATCATCTGCCGCTGCTAAATCCGCAGCAACATCCAAAGTGGCACCCAAATCCGCAGCAACAAAAGAGCAACCAAAATCGAAACCTGGGTCATCATTGTCCGAGGTAATTGAGGGATTAAGGTGGCTCATGGAGATTGTTATCGATGGCTAACATACTCTCTCCATCAGGCATTAGGTAAACGAAAATCAGCCTTTTCCACCAATAAAGTACCGCCCACATCCAAAAAATTGGCCATTCGAAAACCCGTGCCACCGAAATCCCAGCCGTCAACATCAGAACAAGGTACCCGGTCCACAGTTCGACGATGATGAATAGAACTGAATCTAACAAAACTATCTCTCCTCTCTTCTGTCTTTTTCAGAAATACACAGCAAAGAAGAATCGGAGCATGATACATCGGATGAGGAACTGGATCGTCGTTTAGCTCAAGCCACGTCCATACCGGCCGAAGATATATTTTCGGATGAAGATGAAGAAATGCATGATGCGTCTCGGGAAAGAAAAGACGCCCAAGCCGCCGCCGAGGACGAAAGCATGGACGAAGCAGCAGACAACCCATCCGCACCCGCATCCGAACCTCAAACGCCTGAAAAAGCAGATCAAGGTAACGGGTTAAAAAAGGTTGGGGTTTTTTAAAGTTGCAGATGGAGTAACGCGGGTTTTTTCCTTTTAATAGAGGTATCGGTGGAACCTTTGGAACCTTTGGAACCTACCCCTCCAGGAAAGATTCGACGTAAAGTATTGAAAAAGAAGAGTTATCAGAATGAACGCGGTTTCCTCGGTATGTATACCACCACGTTATGTGGAGCAAATGATACATGGTCAGCGTCAGTGCTAACAAGTTTTTGACTTGCCGTTCACAAACAGTTACCGAAGATGTATGGGAATGGGAAACAGTGGATGAAGAAGAAGCGCCCAAGAAACCGGCGCCGACAAAACCAGCATCCGCAAAACCGACTCCTTCCAGTGGTAAACTCAAACCGTCATCAACCACCAAGAAATCGGCAAAGAAAACAGGCGAGCAAAAGAGTTTACTCAGCTTCTGGGGTAAAAAGTAGAGGCAAAAAGTAGAAATCATTTTTTTTTATACACACACTTCCATTAATATTCATTTGCAACGTCCATGCATGACACGATTTCAAAAAGCGGCGCTCTTCTTTCCATGTGACACAATTTTCACCTCTACCCTTTTTTTTTCTGTCTTGACATCTTTTTTTCCAAAAAAAAAAAAGATCCGGACCAACCTTTTTTGGCCATCTCTTTTTCTTATAAATATAAATGAGTGACAAAGAACAGCAGGCCAAGGCGTCGAGTAGCGCTGATACTATGCAAACGTGCGAGAATCCGACGGTCACGTCACAACCCATTGACGAAGTGCTGGCCCTGATTGTGTCTGTGAACGACACGACGCAATGGTTACTGATCGCTCACAAACTCAACAAGTTATCCGAAGCGCAACTACGTTCTTACACTTCCGACAACCTCGATCCTTTGACGATTCTCGATCCAGCTGTTCACAGTCTCGGCTACTTGTACTTTATGTAAGCCAGCATATCGCGGGGGTCCATTCGCGTCCCTTCCCATGGCTCATTCCCAATTTACTTTTTAGTACTGCGCGATGTCTGATTGCCGACGCGGACAATGCCGGCCAGCTTTTACAGATGCTCTGTCACTTTATTGATGTTGTCGATATCCAGCAGCTCCGTCTCGCTCCGGCAAGAGGTAACAGTTTATTTGGCGGTTATTCCTTTGCTGTTGGCGCGAAACTTATGCATCATGTCCATAGTTGCCATGGTCGCCACCGCTTTAGAACATTTGGCTACTTCACTTGAAAAGGTAAAAGTAACACTCTGGGACTCCTTCTGGTTCAACTGTTCAATCATGTGTATGTTTTCCTTAGCCCATGGTGCCGGTGCTTCCTTTAATGACCGCGATTGAAAAAATGGCGTCTTCACCTCACGTACTTACTTCACTTCATGCACCTCTCGCCAAGGTAAAGCGACGAACCACCTTCCATTATCTCTAAAAGTGCCTCACCTTGTTCCATCGCTAGTGCTGCTTGTTAGCCAAGGCTTACAAGTATCCTCTTCGTATATTAGATCAAGACATCGAGACCGTGGATCCTGTGGTAGGTTGGAAAGGAAACAAGTCGCAATGATGACTGGTGCAACAATGTCATTGACGAAACAAATACATCTTGAAAAAAAAAGACATACGCTACATCAATTGTAAGCTTCCTGGAGTACCATTATTACGGGGCGATGATTTACATTGGCAACAAGAATTTCGACCGAGCATTGGATTTCTTAATCTTGGTAAATCTGACTGTGGCCGCCGCTCTGAAAATTTTTGTAGATTGGACTCATTGGCCATTTCGCTTTTTAGGTGATTTCGGCGCCTACACAAAACGCTGTAAGCGCAATCCAGCTTGAAGCGTTCAAAAAATATAGCCTTGTCTCTCTTATTCACGACGGACAGGTACAACCCGGGACTTGCTGTCATGCCAATTCATCTAACCCACGCGATTTCTAGTGGCGGACCTTGCCTAAATACACCTCTGTCATGGTGACCAAATCGGCCAAAATTCGGTGCCTTCCGTATTACGAGATTAGCAAAGCGTTTGACAATACCGATATACGGCAATTTGAAACCTTGTTTGACAAGCATCGAGCCGTGTTTGAATCAGTAAGTGGGCCTTTTATGCTTTGGACTGACACGGCCGTCGTGAGCTGATGAGGTTGTATGCTACAAAAAAAAAGGATAATCATATCGGACTGATGAAGCAATGTCATGAGGCATTATATCGAAAGCGCATCAAAGAATTGACCAATGTCTACATGACGGTCGGTATCCCCGATATTGCCAAAAAATTAGATACCATGGAACCCGTCAGTGATGAAAAAGTCGAACGTATTCTTGTCGACATGGTAAGGGATCGCCTAATTTGTACCTTGTCAAAAATACTTAAAAAAGAGGGGAAATGGTAGATCACCAAGGACCAATTATCGGCCAGCATCGCATACAGCAGTTATCCCGATGGCAGCAGTATAAAAATGGTTAGTTTCCATGATTCAGATAAAGTGGCGGCGCCATTACTGGCGCGTCAGCTGGAACAGCGCATCTCAAATGCAGCCAAAGTGGGCGATCGCGTGTCCAAAATGGATATGGCCGAAGGCCTTGAAAAGGAATTCCAGGCAAAGGTAAGCGCACCGCAAATCGAAATTAGAAATGTTATTATTATAAACATCTTCTTTTCTAACTGAATATGATACATTCCATAGTACATGGTATTAAGTTCCAATAGCGGCCAATTAGCATCGATGCCCTACGATGAAGATATTGACCTGCCACTGGATGAGGATGGGAAAAACATGGCTTAAAAAAAAAGAAAAAAGATAACGTAAAAGAAAGATATGTTCGCATTCCGTTTTCCGTGCTTGCTCCAACCGAAGACATATCACTTTTGTGGTGGTGATTTTCCGGTTCTTGCTACGTTTTCTGCTCGACTTCATCGACCGCTAGTTGTCCGGAAGTTACACCTAGTCCTTGTTGATTAGCATCACTGCGACAAAAAAAAAAAAAAAAGGTCAGGGAATAGAGTAATAAAGTCTTACTTTCTGTAAGTGATGGGGCTTCGGCCATTTTTTTCTTGCTCTTCTTTTTCTTCTTTTGAGGCCGAATCACGGATACCGGCACGGTGGATTTATGCACCAAAAAGGTAGAGATGGAGCCCATGAGAAGGCTGAATGAAGAGACGGAATAAGAGTGCGGTTCAGATTGCTGGTGCGGTGATCCTACTTACCCTTTGACAGTGCCACGACCGCGACTTCCACAGACCACCATGGTCAAGGGTAACTCTTGAATCTAGCCAATTCAACAAGATTTGATCGTGTTAATCTCGGTGGACGCTGAATTCAAGGAGTGAGCGACTTACAAGCGTGGCCAAGACATCTTTGACCCGTCCGGAGATGGCATGCGTGACCAATTTGACGTCGAACAGCAACATTTGACCCAGCGTCTTTTTGGCTTCTTCCGTTACCGCTTCAGATGCCTTTTTGAGCTATAACCACAAAGACGACACCACACCACCGATTAGGGTTCAAGTGAAATAGGAAAAAAAAAAGTCAATTTCTTTACCTCTTTGGCCAGGGACCAGCCTGCGGCCTTGACGACCTCGGGATTATCTTCACGGTTGACTGCGGTCACTACATGGATCTCGTCTCCGTCCCGCAAAATGGTTCCCATGAGCCATTCCATAGCATAGAAACTCTCTTCACTAAAATCGCACGCCACCATGTATGATCTACGTCGTCGGGTCGGCCGAACCGCTAGATCCAATTCTCCTTCCGCCCCGGACCCATAAATGTACGTAGTAACGATGCGATCGGGCTTGGTCACAATGACAGGTTGGTCTTGGAAAACGAGCAGTGACCGTCGTGTGGAGATGCTTTTGGATCGTAGTGATTTGGATCGTGGTCGGGGCGCCGATTGTTCGTCGTAGGCGATGTGTCGATTGGCTTCGGTGGTTCGGTACAATTGTTCGTCCATGGCTTCTTCGTCTTCATCTTCTTCGTTTTCTTCTTTATGGGTGCGAGCGAATAGATCATCGAGATCTTTTTCCTCTATGGGTGTACGCTCATCTTCGGAATCCGCGAAACTCGGGAGTTTGTTGGGTTCGGTTTTCTGTTCAATGATCGCGGTTTGCACTTGAGCATCTTTATCTCTAATTTCATTGATATCCGCTAGCTCTTGCACGAGCTCAGGATGATCGATTGGTTCTTCGGTGGTTAAAGGATGGTCTAAACTCGCCGGGTCATTATTTAGAGTAATGATAGGTCGAGATTGCGATATCGTGGACATGCTCAAGGTCATGGAAAGAATTCACCGATACGGTAAAAAAGCGAATTAAAGGGACTAAAAAATCAATGGGTATTGAAGAACACTAGGTCTCGGAGACGCAGGAACGAGGGGGATAAACGAGGAGAAAGGGAAAAACAACTGTGATCAGTAACAAAATGGAAAGAGAAAAAGGACTAAAAGGAATGGCATCGAAACCCGCTTCGTCAAAGTTACGGTTTTTTTTTTTCCTTGTTGGACTTTTCGCTTCAAGCCAGCCAGCCAATTTCGCACTCCGTCTTTAGCGCCAAAAAATTTAATGTCACCTCATACGAAACGACACCACGGGAAAACTCTGAAAAGTCAGCTCATTCTCCCTTTGCCGTCCTGTAACTCTCGGGACGACGTAAAACGGTTTCTAATTCATGCCTGAATCAATCCACACACACAAAGCGGTTCTTTTTTTTTTTTTTTTTAGGAATATACTGGTAACGTCGAACAAGTATTTATTCACTTAAAAATATTATGGAGACGTTTGTTCTGCATAGCCGCCGACGTCTCGGTTTCAGTAGTTGCATGGAAAAAGGTCTCGACAGCACTGAAACACTCAGCGCCCCAGTTTACATAATTTTAAAATAACTTTTTGGTATGCCTGTTTTCGCATTCAATGATGCCTTGTGTGTGTTCACAAGCTTGTCATGATAAAGTATATTGGCAGCGTAGAGTGCCGTTCCTTTTTGGTGATGTTGCGGAATATCAACGATTTAATAAAATAGACAGAGATATCCAACGTCAAAATATCTTGTAGAGTTTCTATTAACAAGGTCATTTCTAAACGGCTTCTATATCTTTTTCACTTTTTTCTTTAATTAGAAAAAAAAAGGGAACCTGTATGAGCGATAGTATATGCAAATGCAAAAGAGGAGGAAAAAAAAAGAAAAAGAAGGCAAGAATGTAGGATTACATGGTTTGAAGTCGGGCCTTGAGTTCCTTGACCATGTCGGCGCGTTGGAGGGTAACACCACCACCTTGAGCTTCATTCTTGGATCGCATGTCCTTGAGACGGATTTCACCCTTGTCGAGTTCATCACGACCGATAATGACGGCAAAGGGAATGTGTTCCTTTTCACAGGCCGCCCATTGCTTATCTAATTTGGGCTTGTTCTTGAATAAGAAGGAAGCCTTGATGTCGGCTTCCCACAATTCCTTGGCGATCTGCATACGTTCCTTCAACAGGCCATCACCGACGGCAATGACGTACACTTCGGTTTCGTTGCTCTTGATATCTTCGGCCTTTTGCTTGGCCATGAGAATCGAAAACACACGTTCGACACCAATGGAAACACCGACGCAAGGGATCTTGAGATTGGGTTCACCCTTCTTGTTGCGACCGGAAAACATGCCGACCAAATTGTCATAACGACCACCTGCGGCAATAGAACCCACTCCGACGGTGGACTCATCGAGCTCATCGGTGCCCTCCTTGGTCTTGGGCTTGGTGCCTTCAGCAAGCTTGGGAGGAGCCGACTTTTCCGTCACGGCTTCGTAAATGATGCCCGTGTAGTAATCGAGACCACGAGCCAAGCTCAGATCAAACGACATGAGGTCCATGATACCAAACACTTCCAAGAAATCAAACAAAAGAGCCATATCAGCCAAACCCTCCGAAGCACTCTTGTTGCCGGTCAAAATCGCGTCTTTGAACAACTTTTCCAACAAATCACGACCGCCCTTCAACTTGACGTATTCACCAATCTTGTCCGCGACTTCAGGTGCCAAACCCTTTTCTTCTGTCATTTCCTTCTTGACATCTTCCCAAGGAAGCTAACGTTGTGAATCACTCGTCAGCCTCGTCATCAAAAAACAATAGCAAGAAAGAAAAGAGTTGGGTTTTACCTTGTCTAATTTATCAACGGCAGAGGAGATGGGGCGAATGTTATCTTCAGGCACACCGCACACTTCGAAGATACCGTCCAAAATCTTTCGGTGATTGATCTTGACCGTGAATTTGCCAAGGTCCAAAGCGGTCAAGGCTTCACACAGAACACGCAAAATTTCGGCATCGGGAATCATAGGATCGTAAACACCAGCAATATCGAAATCCTGTAAAACCAATTCGGGTGAGCCTTTATCAATCCATAGAGGGAGGATCCCGGATTTTTGCATGTACACTTACGCACTGATAGAATTCTCTCATGCGACCTTTGGTCATGGCCGGTTGATCACGACGATACACCTTGGCAATGTGGTAACGCTTAAAGTTTTGATACTCCTTGCCATTCATGGCCAAGAATCGGGCAAAGGGTACCTGTGGACAAAGAAAAAGTTATCTGTAAGTCAAGCGGGAGCGAGAAAAACGTCTACGTCCCAGTTTTTAATCATACCGTCAAATCATAACGAAGCGAACATTCTTCACCACCTTGATCTTTCAAGTCATAGATCAATTTGCTGTCTTCACCATATTTGCCAGACAAAATTTCCTGTCAAAAACAAGCGTTGCGTTACTCAATGTTTGCTAGCACATTTCACAGAACACCTTGCGTACCTTGAGTTCGAAGACGGGGGTATCGATGGTCACAGCACCGTGCTTCTTGAACACTTTGGTGATGGTGGAAAAGACCTTTTCACGAATGGCCATATCCTTGTCATTGTAATCTTTGGTACCCTACTCAAGCCAAAGCCATCAGACAGCTGTATAGAAAAAAGTGTGCTCTATAGAAGGTACCTTGGGTGTTTTGAGGACAAATGAAGTCTTGCCAGCTTTGCCTTTGGATTTCGTTTCTCCGGCGGTGCCTTCCAAGACGGCCAATTCCTGCTTCAAGCCTTTGAGGACGGCGACTTCAGCGTCAATTGCCGTCTTTTCAGCTCCTTCGGCCTTCAATTGGCGTACTTTGGAACCTTGCTCTTCAATCTTTTGCGTCAATTCCACCTTACGATCAGCCATCGTGAATAAACTTATTTAAAGAAGCTCGAAATCGGCTGCCAAAGAAAATTTTGAGAGTTGAGTCACTGAGCTCATCCCGATATGGAAATTCCGCGTGCAACGTCATCAAAGTCACAATTTTTTTTGGCGTGCCTGATCGGACCGATTTCTTTGTCTCGATGATTATTCGTGCATAGATAAACACGCAATTGAAATCCGTATTGCTTTACCCCTTACAACCTCGAATCTGGCTATTTTACGAAGAATGTCAAAGAATGACCGTCAAAATCTTCATGGAAAATAGCCGAGCGAACGACGAATTTATCGGTGGCAATCCACGCAGATGGTCTGGGGCGGCATACCCACGGTCAGAAGACTGCGTTGACCCTTTTCAAGAAATATGGTCGCAACGAAAGAAGTTCCAGAAGTAAATCTGAGGATTTCATTGAGCAAGTAAATGAAGAGCCCTTGTCACGTTTTTTGGCCACAGAAGGAACCTTTTATTTTAATGGAGGAATATGCAACTATCCAACAGAGTGCCGCTTTGAAATCCAGGACAACGGTTTTTATACGAGGTTCGATTGAAAATATTGATATCGTTTACCAACGAAGACTGGCATCTATATCCACAAATGCGATACGCTGTTTCCACTCTTTTGCTGGAGCAATAATTATGAACCCTCATCAAATACTTGTCGTCAAGACTGTAGAGGTGTACGGCCGGTCGCCAGAAACGGATGCACATCACGAACAGCATTGGCGCACTACTCTTCCCAACGTAGCAAAAGACCGTTACAAAAGGTTGACAGTTGCAGTGAATAACTATGACAACAGCCGAAAGCTGACGATTGGTGCTGCTGGCCACATCAAGCATATTCCTCGGAACCAATCTGTAAACGTTCAAGTTGGTCCAAGCACATTTCGAAAAGGACGCTGGCGAACGAATGTATCTGATGTGCTCTGTCAATTGCGGCAACTACGATCAAAGCTCCATAGGCTTTCAACGTACACATTGTGTCGAGCAAGCTCAGTTTCGACGGCCCACTTCATCCACCAACGGCTATCAATCTGGACGCTTGCGAAGTACTAAAGAACCAGAGCCACGGAATCAGGTGCCAAGCTGCGCGCGAGACTTTTTCAAAAACATAGTTCGTCATAGCTCGTCAAGTCATCTTTTACGGCACACAAGCAACATTCAAAAAACATGTCGTCGTGAACATTTGTAACAAGGTGGAGAAACAAAGTCATTACCGTCGGCATCTCCCGACAATTGTCGAAAGTTTTGGTGAAGCAGAAGACCTCTCTATCATCGACAATATCGACTAGAAAATCCATTGCAAGAATTGGCGAACCTTCTGGGGGAAATGCTAATTCCGTCGTTGCAGAAGCTGGATTGGCCAGCACAATATCCGGACCTCAATCCTATCGAGAATTTATGGCGAAAGATGAAGGCTCGTGTGGGCGCCAAGTTCAAGATTGGGATGGCTTTGGCGCAGTTTCGGTCGGTAATTTTAGAAGCGTGGAACAGCTTGGAACCAGAAGACTGGAACAAGCTGATCGAGTCCATGCCGGACAGAATGCAAGCGGTTATCGCCTCTTCGCAAGATTCGCTATCGGCTTCTCCATATAATAAACTTCCTCACTTGACGCACGAAATTCTTTTCGCCTATGTTTCGCCTATGTCCCATTTCCTATACGAATGCCCCATCAAATGGCAAGTCTGGTCTGGTGGTTTTATTTCATTGTCCTCAGATCTGAACTATGTAAACATATCACACCTTGTTGGCACCATCTCAATATGATGAGCGAACAAAAAAAAAAAACGCCGGGCCAATTTTATCCACTCTCGTCTGTAGGTGCAACAGGACCAGGACAGAGATGATGAGATGCTACCGCCGGGAACTTGGGTCATGCGTGTTTTGCACAAGAAGAAGCACAAACTCTCACCAAATTTCAAAACTGAACCTTTCATGGTTATTGCTGGTTTCTCAGACGGTACTTACCAGCTCTGCGACCACAACGGAAGGCTACTAAAGGAAATTCAACGCACAGGTCAAGCAAACTCATAGTAGGGTTGATGCTTACTAGAATTTCCATCGGTTGGCGGTTGGATAATGTGATGAGAATCACATTTTACATTCAATTTTATGTGGCTCATTACAAGCCTGTTGGTTTCTAAATCTCTACCCTTATTAAAATGTTTGAATTTTAGTTCGCAGTCACTTTATTGTCCGCTAAGTTGGCGTTGTTGATTGGATAATAAATGTTTTTAAGGCTGCTGATTGGCTAAAACAAAATAGATCACATGATTCACGTTTTGTAAAAACCGGTCACTTGGAGTTGCTCATGATCTGCACTTCCTTTTATGCATGAGCGGACCGTGTTATTATATGATTTGTTTAGTTAAACCACGCTGTATTGTTTATTATCTAGGTCCAATTCCTTTCTTTATTCCATTTCCTCAAGCTCAATCGCTAAAATCTTTGAAAAATTAGCAATTTGTAAATCACATGACTTCCACACTAAGCTATCGGCCTTTTTTTTGTGCCTTCTCTCTTCAGAACCTCTTCTTCAACTACACTAAGCTATCAGAACCTCTTAATATCTTTTTGCAATACACCAAGTCATTAGAATCTCAATTCTTTTGACTGGTGCCTTTTTTTTTGTTCATCTTTGAACCATGCCTCGCTGCCCATCTTGCAACGGCAACGATCACCAGCGTTCTACCAATCGTCGTTGCCCAAATTTCTCTCCACGAAACACTACTATAAATAATGGGCGAAATAATGAGCAGCAAAATGCGGTTTGCACCAGTTGTGGTCAAACAGGACATCGTCGTCGCTCAAACCGCCATTGTCCCCTTCATAATCAAGACGGAAATACAGAAAATTTCAATTCTAGGCCCAATGTGGCTCGCGATCCCAATGTCTCGATGCCAAATCTTCATGATGTAGGAGCCATGAATGTCATCTGCAGCCACTGTCAGGCACGAACGTGGAGTGGAGAAAAAATTGCTGGAAGTACTATCAATGATTCTAAGTTTCAGCTCTGTTGTGGAAATGGTCAATTTGTACTTTCTCCTCTCAAACCCACCCCTCCTTTGATTGCCTCGCTTTTGACAGGGACTGGGGCGCAAGCAAAGATTTCCGGCTAAAGATCAGAGCTTATTGTAGTGCTCTCAGTTTTACTTCTCTTGGTGTAAATTTAGACGAAAGTGTAATGAATGGCAGACGGGGCGCTTACTGCTTCCGTATTCATGGAAGTGTTTACCACTTGATGGGATCACTACTTCCTGCTAATGGCCAACGACCTGCATTTGCACAAATATACGTCCATGATACTGACAACGAAAATATCAAATCGACATGCAATTGCAAGCCATCTCGCGCGAGACACCTTGGAAGTACTTCAGCAATTAATGCATGAAACCAATCCTTTCGTCCATCTTTTCAAGACAATGGCCCAATACATACAGGATAATGGTGGTGCTTCCAACATCAGAATGATTATTCGAGCTGACGATGCCCCAGATCCACGACGCTATAATGCACCAAATGCTTCTGAAATTGGTGTCATTATCGGTGACAACGCAGAGTCCTCTGGAAGGGATATTGTGATCTGTACGCGTAGTGACCAACTGACATCAATCAGTGAGATGCATCGCCTATATGACCCACTCCATTACGTGCTGATGTTTCCTGAAGGCGACCCTGGGTGGAACATTGAAACTCGATCGACCAGAAACGAGAAAGTCACCGTGATGAACTACTACAGTTTCAGATTGATGTATCGAAATGATGGACACCACTTGCACCTCTTTGGCCGACTCTTTCAGCAGTATATCGTAGATATATATGCCAAGATGGAACAAAACCGCCTCAATTACCTTCGCCTCAACCAGTCCGACTGCGTGCTGATGTGTATTCAGGCGTACAAGATGCTCTCCAACTTGACGACAACAATATAAATATGAAATTCCATCGGTCAGCCTGTCATCCTTCCGTCGTCATTCATTGGCAGCCCTCGAAACATGCAATAGCTATACCAAGATGCAATGAGTATCGTCAGATGTTTCGGAAAGCCTGACCTCTTCATTACATTCACGTGTAATCCAAAATGGCCAGAAATTCGGAATGAGCTTCTTGCTTCACAGACAGTATCTGATCGGCCAGATTTGACAGCACGAGTTTTCAACCTCAAGCTCAGAGCTCTTTTGAAGGATCTAACAAAAAACCATACACTTGGAAAAGTAATTGGCTACGTTTATACCGTCGAGTTCCAAAAAAGAGGATTGCCTCATGCGCATATTCTACTCATTTTAAAAGAAGTTGATAAACCTGTGACTCCAGAGCACTACGATTCTATCGTATCGGCGGAGATACCTGATCCACAGCAGTTCAAATGAAAATTTTCACCAAAAATATAGTATACCCTGAAGTCTACCAATAAATATCCCCAATTGTGATCTTGAAGATCACGGGCTCCACCTATCTCTACATAATTAAAATCTTTGGGAAATTAACGATTTTGTATCTACACTAAGTTATCAGGACCTGTTAAACCTTTTTTTTTATCTTTCAACCATGCCTCGCTGCCCACTTTCACGATAATAGGCGAAACAATTAGCAGCAAGATGCCGTTTGCGCCAGTTGTGGTTAAACAGAGTATCGTCGTCTTTCGAATAAAAATGTGAGTAAGCTCTTTTTGAAGAAAAGTGGTTGATGATACGACTGGCGTTCTTCTGTAGCATCATTCAATTTGTTTTTATTTGTCAGTTATACTGTATATGTCCTTTCATTCTCTTTCATTTTCAATGAATCGAATAATACACAAGCAGACGTGCTTCGATCTATGAATTCATGCATCAGTGGGGTGACTATTGTTTCATCCATGGAGAATCATATATTTTTGTCTTCTTTCTTCTTTTGATTTTCTCTCTCTCTTTCTGTTTGCTTGATAAACCCTCACTATCATTGTAGCAAGATCCCATCCGCATCCATCATCCAGACCATTCTTATCCCGTGTATTTAAATCGACTACCATCCTCAAAAAGGTAAGTGTCGAGTGGTCTACCATCGATTTTGCTCCGGCAAAACAGACTTACCTCTCCTTTACTTCCATCCTTCTTCCAGCTTCCGGTTTCCATTTTCTTTTCGCATGACAAGTTCTGGATACTACAAGTTGACTTTCTCTCGCCATCCATCTGGCGAAACCGGATGACATCAAAGGCCATCGTTGGTGGTGTGGCTCTTTTTTTAATCAGAAAAACGCTTACGTGTCCTCTTCATGTTCCTCTCCTTTGGATTGCTTCTCATCATATGGTATTCGAGATGTCTTCCCGATTATTTATTTTGTAGTTTATAGTTTGTATTTTGTATTTTATATTTCATGTACATATTCTTTTCGCAGTCTTTTCCTCTTTTTTTCCCACAGGGTTTTTTATGAGGTTTTTACTGACGCGATCATTGTTTTTTTATCATCATGTACTTTATTTGTTTCTTTCTTTTTATTCGGGGGACTCTCTATATCTGGAATCCAACTCGAAGTTACCGTCACTTCTGGCCACGTCAATATTTTTTGCCTGCTCAAGCTGACACCACCGATCCATCGCTTAACTGTCCCTGGAAGCAATTTTATTTTCCGCATCGAAGAAGAAGCTTACCTGGCGGTCCGTATTCACCGTTTTTTTTTTCCGGTACACCATTTGGTTCAAAGGCAAGTCCAATTTCTTTTCCTTTGCTATGATATAATGAACGTATACTAATTCAAAATTTTTTCAATGTCATATAATCCAAGTCATGTCAAGCGATCAATGGCTATCGAAAACTTCAAATAACAAAGGTAAAATATCTTGACGAAAATTTGAATCAATCAAAGAGCTTACTAACTCATTTTTTTTAAATACCCAACATACCCACACATCTTTCTAGATCTATCATAGCCTGGGCGGGATGGAACTGAGGGGGGGAACCAGTGCTGCCCTGCGCGTGTTCAGAAACAAATCACGTTGCAACGTATGCCATAAGGTTGTCATTAATATACCGAAGTTCCGTCAAGAGTTCTCGCCCAGGTTATGCCGTGTATGCGTTAGGCTTTTTGTCTGACGAAAGTCGCTCAATGTAAGAGGGCGACCTCCGGTGGCAGGCGGCATCCATTGCACAGCGGGTGTACGGCTTGTTAGTTCATGCAAATAGTCAAGCAGTGTGTTCTCCTACTTGCAAATAAATCAGGTTTTTGAATCTCAATACCAATTTTCAACAATCTACCGTAAAACCCAAAATGCAACCAAAAACCTCTTCAAAACATCATTATGATAGCACAACCCACCCCAAAAACATTTTTTACAACGACTTTCACCCTAATTGCCCCTTACAAAGAAAAATACACCACTATTTGATTCTTTTAGGGAAACACTTCATTACAGCGTATGAACAGCGCAGGAACGGGCATAAAGATAGTCATGAAAGTGCCTCGGGAAGGACCACGATCGCAAGTGCTTGTGCATGTTCATGTCCTCGTTCTTGCTGACCTTGGAACTTTTTTGTAGCCGTTATTATCATTTCGTAACAGAGTTTATCTTTAGGCTACCTGTGATTCATCCACTGAAAGGTAATCTTCGCGATAAGCGAGCATTGGCAAAATATATAGTAACCAGGAACTTTTGCATTTTGCTATTAACAATATTGCAGGTATTAGGTAAATGGATTGCCTCTTACGAGCTGTACGAAACTAATTATTTTTATTCGAAAATAGCGTATGAAGATTGTATAAGCGCTTGGAAACTACGCTGTACAGTAGATGAACTTGCTCCAGGTTGCCTCAGGCTCATAAATGCTACCAGCGATAACTCGTAACCACTGTATTTGAAACAGCATGAAAATGGTTGCCTTGTTAGAGGAGAACACGCTCGTCGACATTGTCAAAAAGCCAAGATTCCTTCTTCAAAAGCTTATGGACGGCCTTTACATCTACACAACTCGAAACAAAAAGCGATGATGAAAAAGAATTTCATTGTTCCGGATCTACTCATACGAAGCTCAGTTCTTAGTTCAGGATGTTACAGACGTCAAGGCCTCGTTGTCAGAGCAAAGTGTCTGATTGGTCTGTTGCTCAAACATTAACCTTGCTCTCCGTTATTCATCAATCGATTGGGGAAAGATTTGTCAGAAAAGGCTCAATCTGAATATTTTTCAAGATGTCCTGCATGTGTTCAGTCATATCACATTTCTTTCGAGATCCTCGTAACCCGTTGCGGATGTACAGTCGGGGCAGCAAACATGTCGTTTCGTCGTTATGACATCAAAAACGCGCCACTATCTCTGGCATCATCGCCTAATTACAACTTGTTCCACGACGAAAAGTATGATTGTGCACAACATCTGTTGGCGTAGATTCCAACCGAATCTGAGGTATCGAGAAGACCGCAAGCTATAGAGAGGCAAAATGTTAAAAGAGATACGTTCTACTCTCGTAACAGTGCTTAATTGCTTGAGGAATGTGTTTCAGTAAAGACGACATAAAGAGGAAGAACAGTATATCGGTCGCGATAACGGAAGAAGTTGCTGATGGCATATAAGCACTTATAAACTTGGGAAATTGATGACATGAATCTGCATTTCGTAGGTTATGACGTAGCTGAGCTTGGCTTTTGTGGTGCGGCGGCTCCAATGCCCGCCCTACTGAGATTTTTTCTGTCCAGTTTCTTTGCTTGGCTTTCTTTTTTTAGAGCTTTTTTTTTTCTTTTACTTTTCCCGCTTCTTCTTCTTTTTTGCTCTTGTTGACTTTGTTTCTCTAATGTAAGCCTTTAATTGCAAACACCGTGTTTCTGCTTTTATAACCCACTCACATATACTACTTTTTCTTTATGGTTTTCTTATCGCTCATGGTAGGTCCGAACCTTACGATCCCTATATTCCCAACAACCAGCGCGGTGCCGCTCAAGGTGCCGGAGGCCAAAACAAAACACAGCGTGTCCAGCAACAGGTCGATGAAGTCGTCAATATCATGCAGGAAAACATCGACAAGGTCATGCAGCGTGGTGAACGACTCGACGATCTGAGAGGCAAAACAGGTACACACTTTTTTGATCACCTCAGCAAAGAAACAGGGTCCTGGGAAACAAAACGAGAGAATATCCCAAAGGATGAACGGAGCCGCCGGCGGAAGTGACGAGAAAAAAAAGAGAGAGAGGGGAAAAAAAGGAAATAGGTGACACATGATTCCCCAAAAGAAATCGGACGTCTGACTGTATCGGTTTTCATTTTTTTGTTAGAGGACCTGCAATCGACTGCAGGCCATTTCCGTCGTGGTGCGAACCAAGTTCGAAAGAGAATGTGGTGGAAGGATTTGAAGTGGAAGATTATCATTGCTGTCACTATCATTGTGATCCTGGCCATTATTATCGGTAAGTGAGAATTTACATCCCACTCCCGGAGAACGAAGACTGACCCCATTGGCACTTTAGGCTCCATTGTAGGAACACAGGTATTTTAGCTTCATTAATTTTTTTTTTTCATTAGAACCCAAGGGAGGAAGAGATCGTTTATTAACAAATATTTTTATACTAGACCCACAAGGATAACAACCAGTAAACTGCTCATCGTTGGGCTATCGATCTCGAAAAAAGACGCTATCCAAACCAAGCCAAAAAAAAAAAGTTTATTACAATCACACCAAGCCTTTGCCATGCTGCAAAAAGCTGCTTTTTTTTTTCTCCTTTCTCGACAGAGTTTTTTTGTTTTTTATTTACATAGTATAAACATTTTTATTCATAAATCTACTCGTAAACTATTTCGTTATACTTCAATGCAATACGACGTTATCTTCACGAACGCAGAAACGCTCTTCAGGGTATCATGGTAGGCAGTGATTGATCTCTGCACAAAAGAATACTGCATCTCCTTTTTTTCTCTCGACCCTCTTTTTTTTTTTTTTTTTTTATCTTCTGATCATGGCCGCACTGATCGGATCAAATCATATTCCGTGGCATGCTCAGTGTTATCGGTGGCTGTCACATGCATGCTAAATATAACAGCCGATCCATTCAATCAGAATGAAAAAGGTCAATCCAGGGTCAAATCAATGTTGGATTGGATCAGAAGAAAATAATGAGGGCTAATAATAATAAAAAAAGAGGATAAACGATAGAATGCAATGTTAACAATGATTGATTTCTCTGGCTTCCCAGGGAATTCGGGGGGAGGAGGGACAAGTGTTTTTTTTTTTTCACAAGTCTCCATCTTCAGACATTTGTCGTTCGAGAGTTTCATGCCGCAAATTATATGCTTCGGTGATAACCTAAATTTTCCGAGGAAGCGAGTCAGCAAATTAGCCTCATTCAATTTTTTTCACACACGCAGCACATTAGTCTGTTTTTACCATGCGCATGTTCAAGTTGGGAAGTCGAAGCAACACCGTCCGGATTTCTGATTGTTCAAGATCTTCCAAATTCTCCTTGGCGTTGCGCAATATAGCTATGTCACCCACAGTGGTTTAATTTTTTTCTCGTTCGATCAAAAAGATCGGCCTTATCTGTCTTACATAAGCACACAAACGGATGGAAATTTAAGGGATCCATCATGGCGAAATAAGAATCTGTAAGAATCCAATGAACGTCAGTAATGTGCCAAGGATAGGATGAGTAAGGTAAACTTACCCCATAATCGAAGTAAATCATCAAATCGCATTTCCTTGGCAAGTAAATTTTGTAACCATGATGTGACCCATTCATTTAAATCGACTTCTTCATCTTCGAAATAACTGCAACTGTAATAAAAACCAAAAAAAAAAGAAATCCATCAGTAAAGCGATCAGCAATCAATCGTCGTATGTGTAAGAAATGCTTACAGTTCAGGCAATACATATCGAAACAGGGTCATAAAGTTTGCGACTCGTTCTTTTATGGTATTGGTGGTATAAAATTCCTCTATGAAAGTAGGTTTTTGTTTTAAAGTTTATGAGATAAAGAAACAGGGTTTCTTTTTTTGGGGGGTTTTCTGATGACTTACCGATGGCTTGCATCATGCGTTCAAAGCAGAAGAAGGCGTCGCATTCTTTATCGAGAACATAGATGAAAGGTGCACACAAAGAAATCAAGGCAGGGTTATATTCCACATCACGGTTGGTGTTGAGATAGGCAAGAATGACGTTCTCAAATGCCGCAGCATAAACTTTTCCTTCCAATTGCCGGACTCGACGTTGATATCGGGTCACTTCACTTCGGATTCGTTTGGCCACTTCGGGATCGACTTTATCAATTTGTTCGTATTCTTCACTTCGTGCTTTGGATCGACTGAGTTCTTTGGCTGGGAGGTGCACAAACACACACACACACACAAGAACGCAAATCAATAAATGGCCCCCCGGTTTCAATGCCTTAAAAAAATTGGACGTAGCCAAGACTTACAACGATCAGCTTCTTGAACGCCTAGTAAGTACTTCCAAACTTCCTGTAATCAGAAAATAAAAATGCAGGATAAGCAAAAAAATGTAGGGGAAAATAACCGGAGGAAGAATTATCATCGTCTTGCTGCCACAACAAAAAGAAGAGATAAAAAAGACGGCTTACCCCACGGAGCTGATCGGGTATACCGTGACGAGCCAATATTCGCAAACGATCGAGGTCGACGTAGACTTCGGATTGAAGGATCTCGTTAAAGTCATTTAGATTGGAGAGTAGTTCGTCTTGATCCGACATAGTTCGTGATATTTCGTCCTTTTGTGACTGAGCTCTGCCGAGGGCTGTAGAATGACTTGAGAGTTGGATCATGGAAACAACAAAACAAGTAGACAGTTGGACTGAAAACTAAGATGGAATAAAAAAGGGAATGCGAACGACAGAGGAGAAAGGTCAGTTAAAGCCAAACCCATTTGACCAAAAAAAAAATACAACCGATAGTTTTCGGGTGTCGAAAATATTCCCGGTTCACCTCCTCGATCGGGGGTGGTGGTTTGTTTTTCTTTTTTTTTTTTCCAATCGAAATTCTTTCAAGGAAACATACATTAGTTTTCTTTCTATGAAGACCTTCATTTTTCGTTAACAGTTACGGATGGGAAATGATGTATCATTACGTATTACGCAATGTACATGTTTGTTATTGCATGTTTCCATGTCATTGGTTGCTTGATCATCATTGCGCACTAGTATTGCCCAACCTGGGAAACTATTTCATAAATTACCCCGCACCCCAACTTTAGTGAGATAACGGCCGATCGATTTGATGATCACGAATAGATTGGCAAAACCCTATCATCAGATGATGTCACTTGGATAAGCCTTGACACTGTAGTCTTGGTCTATCTTTTTATTTATTTAAATGACCGCATCAATGCATCGTCTCACAGTTGGGTACCACGTACTCATGTAATCCCAATAACGTGAGCGACCTAGAGTCCAGCAATCCACCACTTAGGTCAACTCAACCCTTGGTGGCCGCTATCATACCTATGTCCTGCATAAAAGAAAAAGATTATCGTAATTACAGTACAACAGCAACAGTACCTTTTTTCTATATCAAAGGCGACGTCAATGTTACTACAGGGAGAATTAAACGTTGATACTTTCCTACTGTACGTAGTGTATGGAATTTCATATGTGATGAAAGGTCAAAAAAAGAAAAAAAAAGATCACAACCCTCAACACTCACTAGGGTACATGAACAACGTCAGTGCTGACTTCGTTAACAGTATCAAATGACGAGTAATGGCTGCGCTGCGTTTTTAAAATCAAGGACGAGTGTAGATGCCGCCTGCCGGAGACGGCTCCTACACGAATCCATGGAATGATTCCAGTTTATTTTGATCGCTTTACATACCATCATGTACAGTTCCCCATATGTTGACTCTATTGGTTCATTTTCTTGGCTCGCATTTCTTGCAAAATCGCCTGTGGATCGATTGTTTGTTAGTAACTGGACATATACTACGCTTCCTATTCTTTTTGTTGCTGCGAAACTATACTGTACCTTCACACGCAGTTTACATTCCTTCTTTGTTCGGCCTTGAACCAAGGATGCGATGTGATCCCATCGATCGCCTTCCCCGGTCCAGTTCGGTGGGTACGTTTGCAATGCATGCTCCAACGCTTGCTGCTCTTCATTATTCCACGGTCGTGGTACGACAGGAATTACAGCAGGCTTAGGCTCCGGAATCGTCGGTGACGGTTGCGGCTTACTACCGCTGGGAGTATTCACCGGTGTCAATGGTTTCTCCACTGGTTTGGGAGGTGATTTCTTTGCTGCATTTGCAGGTACGCTGGTAGTCAAAGGCTTGGCAGTTTGCGCCGCTACAACGTTGACGGGCGTCTTGGTAACGGTTGGCTTTGTCTCAGGTTTGGCTACTTGAGGTTTAACCAGTTTAACTTGCATCTTGGGACCTGCCGTAGTAGGTGCTGCGGTCGGGACAGGTTGAGCTTTGTTGAGAGGAGTGCTCTTTTTCTTTGGTTCCGCGACCTCCACCGGCCTGGCTGCCTTGGCGGGTTTGGCGGGTTTGGCGGTTGATGCAGGTTCATTATAATCGTAATTGATCGTGGGCTCTTCGACCAAATGCTTATCATCATTGTGCTTTTTCAAGTGCTGCAGTTGATCCTTTTCGTGATCCGCCAATCCCGAAGTACCTTGTAGCGAGAACATGGTATTAGTTATTATTGCCTTTTCTTCTGTGTTTGGACTCGTCAAAAATAAATTACCTTTCTTCAATTCGCCCACTTTTTGAATTAGTTCCTCTTCGGTTCGTACAGCTACACCTGCATGATCCGCCACATAATCCGCCACCACTTGCCATCTATTAACGGTGCCTACAGGATACTTTTTCGTGGCCTTGATAAGTGCTGACAGTTCCGTCGCTTCCCAGGTACGACCCGCATCCTTGCTTCGTCCTGTTTCGCTCTCAGCATTTGCCTTTGATTTGTTCTCCAAGTCTGGGGGTGTGATCTCGGCTATTTATTCGTTTGTCAGCACACTTGATATCCCAAACCCAAGCTCAAGCTACCAACCTTTGATTTCAAAATGGCTAAAGTTGCTGCTCTTTTGTAGACGCCGTTGAACGAGTTGATTCGCTTTATCAGTGATTTTTTCACGAGTTTCGGCAATCCCGGCCGTTTCTAGTTCTTTTCTCCACGCTTCAATGGCATCCAGATCCATGGTTTCGAAAATTAATTCGAGATCGGCCATCTGAGCCTCTTCCACAACGTCACTTGTCGGTTGTAAACGTTCCTAATGACAATTCAGTCAACATCCGGCCGGAAAAAGGGACTGGTCGTCGATTACCTTGATCAAGGCTTTGATGGCTTTTCGTTCCTTTCGGACGAGCTTTTTGGTTCTTTCTTTTTGCTTTTTCAATTCAGTCGCTTCTTGGCGTTTCAATTCCTCCTGTTTTTCCTGGTCCAGCTTGAATTGTTCGTCGTCCTTTTTTTTTCTCGAGTTAGCATCGCACGCAATGAATGGGCTTGTCCAAATTTACATCTACCTTTTTCTTTTGTTCTTCGGCCGCCTTGGCCGCTTCTTCCCTTTCCTTTTTCTTTTGCTCCTTGGCCTTTTTCTTTTCCTCCTTGAATATTTTCAGTCGTGGATCGGCCGCTTGCGCTTTCTCTGAATAACAACACAGTTTTATTTCAGGCACGTCAACCAAATTCATGAGGACGACTTACCAACAATGATACGTAAACGGGCAGTATCCTCTTTCTTCCGTTTGGCTTGTTCCGCACGATTCTTTTTGGCAATTTGTCGCTTGTCGTCGCGCGTTTCACCTTCATCCTCATCCTTGTTAAGATACTCAAAGCTTCGCCATGAGTCGAAATTGAACCAAAAATCGTAAAAACGAACCACCTCATCCTCGGTGGTGTTCATGTCTCCCAGTCTAGGCACATCTTTTGCCTTTGAAAAACTAGAAAATTCGGAGTAATAGTCGGTTGAGTACCCTGTTTGATGGTGGTTCCTTTTTTTCTTACCGAGATTCAAAATCAAAAATAGGCTGAAAGGTGGTGAAGAAATCATCTCCTTTGGCCATCTTAGGTGGCTGTGGATCGGTCAGGCCAAAGTCGATGGAATCATACAAAGGACGCTTGGCGGGATCGGACAGGATACCGTACGCTTTTGAGATACACTTGAAGAAGGAATCATCGTGAATACCTCCCTCGGTATGCGCTTTCTTATCAGGATGGTGTCTCAATACTTTGCGCTTGTGAGCCAGTTTAATTTGTTCAGGCGTGGCTCGATAACGCAGTGCTCCCAAACCAAGAATGGCATACAAATCATGTCTCTGCAAACCCAATTTGTCAGTTATTCCCTGTTTTCCATATTTTGATGCATTGCCATGGTTTATAACTCTGTTTGTTGAGCGTACCTTCCAGTCTTTGGGATCGAGACTGATGAGTTTGCGAGTCTCGCGTGGCTCTTCCTCAAAATCGATGGCGGCATCCACTTGTTGTTGTTCCTGTTGGATCTGGGCTGCCTTTTTCTCGGCTTCCAACCGCTCGTCTTCTGAAAAGCTCCGTTTGTGCAAAAGACGACGTGCATGAGCCAAAAAGTACTGATTCACAGGTTCAACGTGACGCGACACGGGTTCTTTTTATATCGGACAAACGACATGTCAGTTGGGAAAACGGAGCAGGAACACGATTTTTTTCTTTTTCTTACCAGAAATAGTGTGGTGCACACGACACGGTGTATTATCGGGCCACGACGCAGGTGGCGTTCCGAGCAAAATGGCACAAGATGATTCCATTGGCAATGAACAAGAAAGAAAAAGCTTATTTCAAGCGACAATACGGTAGAAAGGAACAAAAAAAAAGTTTTTTTTTTCTTTATTTCTTGGAAAAGCTAAAATGATGATGCTGAGTTTGGGTTTTTTTTCATGCTAAGGATACCTAGGCCAACTGAAATCGGTCGTTTTCCGTCGGACAAAAGATCGTATCTTCCGAATTGAAGACTAATGACGTCGGTTTTTGACTCGAAGTCATGAACAAAAATCGCCTACTCTGGAATGGTTAATGATAAACAAAGCAAACTGCAATGATATAACTTTTTTACCATAATTGTTTTGAAAACCACGAGTGGGCCAAAGTGGACGGGTGAAAACAATCGACATCACTATCAATCAAAAAAAAAAAAAAAGCCAAAAGGTTGATACAAGGTATTTCCGAGGAGGAATAGAGCAGATTTGGTCCTACCTTATTGCTTGAATGGGAAACGTGCTAATGTCCGCGGGTAATGGCTGGTAAATCACCGCAAATGTATCGTTTTCCGTTCGCGTATCCTTGTAATAAGCAGCCACGCCTTGCAATGCTGCATTATATGCCGGAACCAAATTCTTCATAATCGTCCGGTTCGTCTCCGAGTGAGCGCATCCACATTCATAGTTGTGAAGCACAAAACTACTCCGCTCAAATGGCTGGCAATACTGCGGATAGGCTTGCGTAGCAATAAAGATCTCCTCCACATGTAAAATCCCGACTACACGAAAGACATGGTACCATCAAGGATAAACGAACAGTCAAACCTCTTGGGAATCTTAGTTTTACTTACCAATTTGAACAAGGACATTGGGAATATTGAGACGAATCCGTTCCACAGCGGCAAGCACATTGACTGCGTAACTCTGGGGTAGCGAAGAAGGTACCACGCAGGCGTGACATACATCGTTGGATCCAATAAACAAAGTGAGAAGTTTCCAATCGGATTTCTTTATCCTGTTATCGTCGTAAGCCTCGTCTAATCTTTTTAATAAATAATCCAGTTCGTGATCCAGATTCAAGCTTCGTGCTCCGGATTGCGCCGCATTCAAAATATCTACGGATTCTTTGTACTGGCCTGGCGGACAAAACTGATCCCCTGGTATCCGAAAAAAGAGAAAAGGTCAGAACTGGTCGTGGCTTTCCCAGCCCCTAATTGTCACTTTCCGACTTACCAAAACAGACAGTAAACAATTGATCGCCTACCGAGGCGCCATATAAATCCGCCGAATAGTAGTTGATGATGTTCGGTAACGTCACTTCTCCTGGATCCTATCATGGGAAATAGTGTCAATGACTGGTCCTCATGCATTGACAAGTCAATACATACTCCGCCCATCGCAAACGATACACCACGATTCTCTTTAATCGTGTCGATATTGATGAATCGATTGTCCTGAATTCCTTTGGCACCAAAAGCCGCCATGACACTGGATAGATTTACTTGAGCTCCTTGTCATGTTTTCTCGCTATAGGGAAACTCACCTGTCGCCCAAACCTGCGACTACTTTGATATCGTCCGGACGCAGATCCCATACGGTAGTGGCTGGTTTGGTACGTGGAAGCAAAGGAGGGCAGGATAGACGAAGCGGGACGTTGAATGTAGTATTGGTACCGTTATTTCCGGAGTTAGTATTGTTGAGTTGTTGTTGAGCCAGGGCAGTGGCCGTCAGTAAAGAAGGCAGGAGAAGCAGAGTATATAAAAACGCGAATGCCGGTAAAGAGATGGCAGCAATAATACAGATAGGGATCATGTCAAGACACTTTGTGGGATCGCTTGGAGGATGAAGCACAGAGGATGAAGTACTTGAAGTGTGGGTGGTAACTGGATCGGTGGTGGATGTTTCGTTGGGCGAGGCTTGAGGTGTGGAAAGCGATGAAAGAAATATACTTCCTTTGACATAAAACATGACAACAGCAATAATAATAATAATAATGATCGGAAACCAACGCCTCACGTCAAATCACCCATTTACTTTTTCTAATTTCTTTTTTACCATGTCGGGTTCTGCCAGTTTTTAATGAGAAGAAGAACAAAAAAGAACTCTGTACACATATCAAAAGGGGCAAGATTGGGAAAGTCATCAACGGTCAACAAAAAGGAGCAATTTTTTAAGCAGATCCATTTGTCACGCGCGTTTTTTTTTTTTTTTTTTTTTGGCTATCTGATCGTTATTTCCTTGAAAGGCGATAGATTTGCACGCCGGTAGCTTCAGCCAAGGATGGAACAAGGATGGCGTCGTCATCATCATCATCATCAGTATCTGTTTTGGTGGGAGGACGCAATTGGGTTATATGGAAGTGCACGGAACATAAATCCCAGAATCTCGTTTCCTCTGCAGCGTTGAATCCTCGACGTTTGTAACCAATAAAAATTCGTGTGTGAGGTGTACTGAGATCGACAAAACTCTTGACAAGATCTTCAAAGAATTCGGCTTCATACAAGACATCCGAGGCCAGCACGATGTCTGCTTTGCCACACGCTTTGGCTTGCTCCGTGTTACCCCACAATAATGGTTTCACCGACACATTCTCTTTCAATGTGTGATGAAGACTGACATTCTTTTGGATCAAAGGGAGCGCTTCGTCGAGTTCTGTAATCGTTACTTGACACGGTACATAACGTTGTTGTGTCCTGCAGAAACTCGCCATTGCCAAGCCCAACAGTCCCGTACTACCGAGGCATTCATTTTTTTTAATCATCATTCGAGCGCGGGACCTTTGTCGTATTCTATCGCAAGCTTACCCTGCACTCAGATCAACGACATGCTGGTTGACTAGCTTATAAGCTTGATGTGAAACGAGCCGCTCGACGAGTTGTAGCATGACAAGCGCCGAGTCCCAAATCTTGCCGGGAATTCCTGCATCCCACGACTCTTCAATGACCACGTTATTCGCCCTTATCGCCGTGTTCGTTGGGCCTGCTGTGTTGTCTGTGTCTTGTAGAAAGAGACGATATCCTTGATGGACCATGGCTGTAAATTCCGGCCACTGTTCCGTAGGCCGTTGGGTAAGGGTCGTGGTATCCAGGGTCAGGGATGGATCGAGTTGAATAGGTCCGAGGACCAGGGGCAGAATCGTGATATCGGTGATGTGGGATGCAAACTTTTTCCAACGTGCGGCTCGTACGCACAAGTATCGTGGTCCACCCACCAAGGAAGAGGATGAGGTGGACCCCTTTTTAGCTTGGATCATGTATTCAAAGGCACCTTTTCCGCTTCCGTGAAATCCAGCCACGGTTCCTTCCTGGGCGGCCTCGATACGATCATTTTCCCACAGACTGGCGGGACGTACCGTGATACACCATTGATTATCTTGCTGCAGGGGCGCCAAGCTTTCGTAAGCCGGCTCCAACAGTTGGCAATCCAATTCCACCTCGCCATCGGGAACCATGTCGGCCCGTCGGAACAAGCCCAGCTCATTGACCAGGATCAGATCCACGCGGTACCAAGCGCCGGGAACCACATTGGCGATCAATGGATAACGTAGATTAAGTCGATACACAGCAAAATGAGCTTCGAGCTTGGCCCGGAATTCCTCGTCGGATATTCCTGCCATGGAAACAAGAATAGGGGGAAGAATGAAATAAAAAAAAAAAGAAGCCTTCTGAATTTTTTTTTTATTTCTTTATTTTTTTAGGCCTTGCTGCTGACACAGATGAGAATGCCAGCTAGAATCAGTCCCATGCCTAACCAGGTGTCTGCATTTTCATGGTGAGATTGGTTATTTTAACAAAGAAGCTGAGTATTATTACCTTTGCCGTGCAACTTTTCGCCGAGCATCAGACCCGTCAGTAAAGAGAATACAAATGTGAGCGAGTTGGTGATGGGGACGGCCAAAGACATTTCTATTGTTGTCATCAGTGGGAGATGTTCGTGGCAAGAAGTGCAGAATATCCACTCACCTGATTTTCCCAGGGTATAATAGTAAACGACGGATCCACTTAGATTGAGTGTCAATGGAACCACATACTATTTGACGTAGACTCTGGTTGAGCGTTCTGCGTGGAATGAGGTTTCATTGCGTTCCTTTTTTTTTTTTTTTTTTTTACCTGCCAACGCGTTAAAAGATACTTGAGCTCAGCGGTCCATCGTTTTATACCACCTTGCGGATAGCGTTGGCTCACGGCTTCCAATCCTTCACTGCCCTTTTTGATGAATGGATTGGTTGAACCCCAGCATATCGCCACTGTCAAGACATCGTTATTCAAACTACGGTAGTCGAATACGTATACGTTCCCATACCTAACAAAAACCCCACCACTTGTTCTACGAGATATCACGGTTAAAAATGAATGCATGGATCACAGAAGCCAGAGTCACCTACGAAGAATCATGTGTCGAAAAAAAAGGGCCGAGTCGAGAAAAAAAGGAACGATGAGAATCGGATGTGAGATTTTCCACTCGTCGCTTTTTTTTTGCTCCTTGGGCGCAATTTCCATTTTTTTTTTTTCTCTGCTGCTCTTATCAGATCTTTCCAGATTTTCGCGTACCATGGATGATGCTCCGCTTCTCGGCCATCCCGAGACAAGACCCACCAGGGATGCCAAGTTTTATCTTCAATGGCTGTTGCGGTTCTGCATTTTCGGTGTAACGGGATCGTCCAGTGTGGCCGTCACCCGAGCCATTTTACATCATCTCTTTAACCTACAAGGTGAGAAGGAAACCAAAAAAAAAAAAAATTGCCGCTGCATAGTCTTTTTGTCTCCTTGCGGTTATGTAATAATACTATGTTGCTACCATTTAGCCGGTTCTTGGTCGTATCTGTGCGTGTTTTTCGTAGCTGAACTATTCGTCTACTCGATTATGCTGTTTCTCATTGGCACCATTCTTGGTCAATGGCGATTCTTTAGCATGGTACTTTTCAAAATGTGGGGCTGGGCTTTATCTGTCAAGACTCGCGAAAAATGCCGTCAACGACTGCAAGAGGAATAAAGAGAAAAAAAAGGCAGGCAATGCTGCTGCTGCTGCTGGATTGAACTATCATCCCAAAGTTGACTTTAAACCCAATCACACACTCTCGGCTGTTTATCAAGAATCAGTCCTCATCGAACAGCGACGAGTCGAAAAAGGAATGGGGGAAAAAAAACGAAGAATGATGAATCATGCAGCGCGTGTAGTTCAAATAAATCAAAAGAGCTTTTTTATCTGAAACGCGGGAAACTCTGGAAAACCTTGAACAAGTAACAAGAAGAAGATAAAACAACGGTCAACAACTTTTCTTTTGTTGTACAATTCACACATAGCCAAAGAATGCTCATGATCATATGCACTGTAACCATATGCACAGTGAATCATAACAGATGAACCTTCTTTCCAGTAAAAGATGGCGAAAATACAAAGTACCATTGGTATATAGAACTATCTACATTTATGGTGACCTTTACGTTATGGTTATCAAAGCGCCGAAGCAACTTTTTTTTAAGGTTCACACAAAAAAAGAAAAAAAAAGCGCTTTACTAAAAGTGGCAATCGCTTGTAACGGTCTGTTCGCTTTGATCTGTACACGGGGTCATGTCGCATATCATGTGTGGTACAGCTCAGATACCGTAAAAGTGGGGTATACTGTACATACGGTTCATGATAAAGAAGCAAGGGGTTGTCGATATACGAATTGCACATCGGACGAATTGGGGAGACAGGCGAGTTCCAAAGTAGCAATTTCATCACCTTCCAATGTGATGGGGTAAAAACATTGGTTCCGACTGGGCACCACCAACACCGGTAATCGACCATGCCGAATATGTGAATCAAAAATTTCAATGCCCGCATCGACAGACGCCTTGGATGCGTCATGGTACTGCGTTAGCAACAGTTGATTTTTGTAGTCAAATCCTGTCCACACATCGATGGCTTCCGAACTGGGCTTACTGGCATGTCGAAAGACCCAAATTCGATCGAGCTTGGCTACCTGCGCTGCTTCCTCGGGTGTATCCTTTGGTTGACACCGTTGCTTGGGATCGTTTAATAATTCGACGAGTTTCTTTTGCTGCTGAATATCCAAAACATCGCCCACGGGATCAGGCGATGCAATGGTATGTATGACACGGTGGGATGGTGATGACGGAGAGGCACCTTTAGACATACTTTTGGTGGTCGTCCCAGGCGACGACAATGACGATGGCGACAGTGTTGAGCGAGAGGATGATCGGGTAAACAGAAAAGAAAAGGGCCATCGTTTCTTTTTACTGTGTTTTGGTGATGTCTGTGTAGCATGAATGTCTTGTTTCGAATAGCTCGTATCAGAAGAGATGGATTCTTCATCCACCAAGGTAGAGTTGTCAGAGGCCGGGGTGTGATTGGGGGAGACTTGAATGGAGGAGGCGGTGTTGTTGGTGGAGGTGGAGGTGGTGTGAACGGCTACTGGAGGGATGATGAGTGGCGAACTCCAGGAAGCTTGGGGTGGCGGTCCCCAAGGAATCCATGGACCTGAACTGGATTCCGACAAGGACGGAATAAGCTTGTAAGGACGACTGTTTCGTTTGGCATTTTCGGCAGCCAAGATTTCCATTTCATCCAACGTATCGCTGTCCTCCTCCTCTTCTTCTTCTTCATCATCATGAGGGTCTACCTAATAATTTTTTTTTGGGAAAGGAAAAAAAAAAGTTTTTTTTTGGACATCTGTTTGAGTCTCCGTTACCCAACATGAAAGTGTCGCAAAAAATCTCTTAGGTTTTTTATTACCTGCGTTTGGACCATCTCATTGTAGGGGTGGTTGTCGTGGTCGTGGTCGTCTTGGTCGGCATCATCATATTCTGTTTCCGCTCGCGTAAAGGGCCGATGTCGATCTTCCATCGAATAAGCCCGTCTTCTTCTACTTCGCCGTGGGTAGACTGGACCTCGCATGTAGGAAATTCCATCGTCATAGATCCCAGCTTGTCTTGCCATCAAAGCCTGATAGTACGCTTCTTCTTGTTGTCGCATCAAGTACCACTGATAACGAAGGTAACTGTCATAGTCACGGTTGCTAAGACCATAGGTATACGACATGGCAACAGTCTGTCTATTTTGTCTATATTGGACAAGGAACCAGTGGCGGTGAGAGAAGGAGAAGAAGGAACAAAAAGGCCAAGAAAAAAAAAAAAAAGAAAAAAAAAGCAGCAAAGATGAAAAAGGGAATTTGGGGTTTATTTATGGATGGACGAAAATGTTTTGACTGGCCATAAAAAAGTGCAGCCGTAAGTAAGGTGTTACAGTGGACCCAAAGGATTCAAAGGCATCCGCCCATTTGACTTTTTTTTTTTCGGGTTCAAAGAAGGGGAGAGAATTGAAGGAAAAAAAACCCAACTTTATTGGCGGTTGCCTTTTTTGGACAATTCACCCAAAACGTCGACTGCCATACAATCTCTTATTTTCCCCTTTCTTCCGGTCCAACAACCTTTTTGTTTTTTATCCTAATTCTTTATGAATCCATATACACAGACATCGCCGCAACAACCGACATCGTCTTCCTCAACACCACTTTCATTCGTACGTTCACCTAGTACGTTTCTCTCCCGGTGCTCACACGCGCCTCAAGCTGTCCATGTCTGCTCTTGACATCTCACCTTTCCTAGATACTCACCACGGTGACCCGCAGGAAACTTCCTCAGCCGCGCTACGCCGTACCAAAAAGAGTCGCGCTTGTAAGCCTTTTTGACAAAACGGAATCGTCCTTTTTTTTTTTCTCTGCCTACTGACGAGTCCTTTCTCTTTCTTTCTTTTTCGATTCACGATGCGTCATTTCTTAGGCGATCTGTGTCGGCGGAAGAAAATTAGGTACTTGTTTTTATCATTGCACGACAGAGAAGAACGGTGGCTCATTATTTAAAAAGATGTGATTATGATCAGATGCTGCCTCAACGACCTTGTACGTCATGTCACAGTTACGGCAAGTTTTGTACATTTGACGAGGTAAAGAGAACTCTGAAGCCATGCTTGGCCCTGTGGAAAGGCTTACCAGTGAATAAATATTCTCTCAAGGCGGCCAAAAAGCGCGGGCCTCCCAAAGGGTATGTGGAAGGGTTAGAGTCGCGCCTACGTCGAATGGAGAAACTGCTTGTCAATATTGCCAGTTCTGGCAATTTTTCTTCCGATGCGTTACGAGATATGCTTGGACAAGCGGATGATCACTCACACACTGCGTCCCCCTCGCCCTCTTTCGAAGACAGCGACCATGAACCATCCTCCACCCCTTCCGCCTCCGCCTCACCTCCTCCTCAGTCCCGCGTCACTCAGCGTAAACGATCTAGAGCTTCTTCAACCTCTACAGAACCTTCAACGGAACGGAAGCCGGCTTCCGTAGAACAAAATAGTCATGGCCATCCTCAGGAAGAAAGTGATTACTCTTACATGGGCAGCTCCTCGGGCGTGTATATGCTGAATAAAATGTTCCCTGACGACGATCCTGACAATAAAAAATGCAAGCGAAATCGACCTTTGCAAGGCAACGAAGACGATATCATGATTGCGCGATTTGATCACACCGGTGACTTTTGGCTCGGCACCAACAAAAAGGACAAGGCACCCTGGGAATTACCGCATCAAGAGGTGGTCGATCGATTGGTGGAAATGTAAGCACTTCAAGTCATGATCGGCTGGATGACATTGACGCTGTTTCTGTTAGTTATTTTACACAAGTGAATGTGTTTCTACCGATCATTGATGAATCTTACTTTATGGATCAGTATCGTCATCATTATCAGACCCTGTCACAACCTCTTCTATTCACTGTTTGCCGCGCCGCGAGTCGGTTGCTGAGCGACGACGATCCCGTAGCGCAAAAACATGGAGTACGCCACGATGTCTTATTTCGCAACTTGTCAGATCAACTGCAAAACAAGTACGAACTCGATTTCTTGAAACCGTCCCTGGACACCATTCAAGTCTTGCTTCTAGGAGCCTCCTGTGCGAGAACCTGGGGCTCCGAAAGTCAAAATTGGTTAGGCACCAGTATCGCTGTAAAAATGGTAGGACCCTCGCGCGCATATTCTTCGATTCAGAGGCCAGGTTGTCTTGACGATGATGGGGTTTTTTAGGCTCAGGATTTAGGATTGCATCGATCCAATACACAACTGAATATGAGAAATCAAGAATCTGGCCGGCGATTATGGTGGTCGGCATATGTTATTGACCGATGGGTGTCTGCCGCTTTGGGAAGGTGGGTACATGGAGAATGGATGACATGTGACATCAAGGAAATTGAAGCTCTTGATGTAGACCCTTGATGATTTCTGATGCGGATTGCGACGTGGAATATCCTGCGACGGGTGAGGATCCGACGTTTAGCGTATTCATTCCCCTGGTAAAATTATCGGCCATTCTTGGCGACGTGCTACGCAAACTGTATTCGCCTCGAGCTCGTGCGATGTACGATAAACGAATCAAACTTGAAGCTGTGGCCGATTCCGTGGTGCAAAGGCTCAAAGACTGGAAAGCATCGTTGCCCAGTCATCTCGTATTGACCGAGGACGAACTGCATCGACTCCAAACCTCGGTCGTGTCTCCGTCATTGCGGCATAAAATGAATCACGGTGGTAAGTGCCTGCTGTTACTTGAACCCTTGGTAATTTTTTTTCTCACACAAAATGGTCATGCACAGCGGGTCAACTGACGGTTGCGGGGAATATCGTTCATTTAATGTGCCAATGTCCTTACGTGGCCAAAGCAGACAAGGATTTGGCGGTAGATCGCGTCCCCATGGAATGTATCGGACTGCTGAAATTGAATGTCAGCATTCTGGCTGCCATGGATGTAGAATCTCTCTTCAGTTTCGGATGGTCGCTTAGCAGTAAGTAGAAAAAAAAATTGGGAGTGGTGGTACCGAGGTTTTTCCACCTCCCAGCTGACGCGCGACATCTTAGGCTATTGTTTGCTGCAAACGCAAATGATGATCCTGTGGAACCATAAAAATGTCGAACCCAAAGTGGGCGAGGAAGCACGACAACAATCGCAAGAGCTCAAAACTGTTTTCACGCGACTGGAGAAATATATACCAGACGTAAGAGAGAACTCAAATGATCAGTGGGAAAGGGAAGTCGACCTAATTGTCCTTGCAGCGATCCATTGTTCCATTTTTAGAAGGTTTAACAAAGTATCTGAACGATGAAGATCTCAGCAAACCCACGGCAGACGATGCATCGTCTGTTCAGCCGACGGACGCGAACCATTCACAAACGTTCTTCCAGTTGCCTGTGGAACAACAACGGTCCTTTTGGGGTGCGTTTACTGGTATGGATTGGCAAGGTAAGAGCTTTTCCTTATTAACACGCGCGCAAGAATGAGAGACTGATGGGCGTTGTTTGTTTCAACGACAGAAATGAACATGATATTAGCTCAAGCTGGGTATCAATTTTAAGAAAGAAAGCGCATCTCATGGGCTTTCGGGAAATAGACGACCCTGTTAAACCCCCCGGGAATCACTTCCGTTGCATATCCTCATTCAGCGGATTCCCGGGGGAATCAGGTTTAGGTTGTATCGTTTTTCCGGTGTCTTTTTTTTTGGTTTTCTTTTTTCATCTTTTTTTTTATTTATTTCAACATCATTGTCATTATACTTGCATCATTAAAAAAGCCATGTTTGATTTCACCAATGACTCTCATCGACGGTTTAACCCTCTAACTCAGTCGTGGGTGCTTTGTTCGCCGCACCGGACCAAGCGACCTTGGCAAGGCCAGCAGGAAGGTCCGCAACTCGACAATCGACCTCAGTATGATCCTGCCTGTTATCTGTGTCCCGGTAACAAGCGAGCCAATGACGAGTACAATCCCAAGTATACATCCACCCATCGCTTTCCCAACGATTTTGCCGCCGTGCAACGGGATCAGCCCGATTTGGAAGCCACCAATGACGATCTCTTCAAAGTGGAAGGCATTCGTGGCGAATGTCACGTTCTGTGCTTTTCGCCGCGACATGACTTGACCATGGCGGAAATGACAGTGGAAGAAATAGGCAGTGTCATCACATTGTGGACTCAGAGTTACCAGGATATGGGCACCAAGCCTTATATTACCCATGTCCAGATCTTTGAGAACAAGGGAGCCGCCATGGGATGCTCCAATCCACATCCTCACGGCCAAATGTGGTGCACGGACCGTATTCCCGATGAACCGCGGCTAGAGTTGGACTCGTTGCAGGCATATCAACAAAAACATCTGTCATGCTTACTGTGTGACTATGTGGAACGTGAACTCAAGGATGGGCAACGGGTGGTGATTCAAAACGATACATTTGTGTGTGTGGTGCCATTTTGGGCAGTGTGGCCTTTTGAAGTGCTGGTGCTGCCAAAGACCCACGTGGCCAATTTACCGGGATTGACGGACAAGCAACAGACCGATTTAGCCGATATGCTGCGTCGTGTCGCTTGTCGCTATGACAATTTATTCGAGTGCAGTTTCCCATACTCGATGGGTATTCATCAGGCGCCTGTGCGTGGCCAGTACGATTTTGCCCATTTGCATCTTCACTTTTATCCTCCGTTACTGAGAAGTGCCACGGTTCGAAAATTCCTGGTCGGGTAAGTTTTCTGAATCGAGTTGAAACGGCAATATAAAAAATAGTCCATGGACTGACTCTCTTGATGATTTCGGATGGTTTTAGATTTGAGATGCTCGGTGAACCTCAGCGAGATTTGACGCCGGAACAAGCAGCGGATAGGTTAAGAGGATTATCGGACGTTCATTACAAACAACGCTTGTAGAAAAAATGAACCCAAAAATGGGAAATCATGGATTTGTTTGTTCCTGCATTCATTGGCATGATTTGTTTTTTACGTGAATCGTTACTCTTGACACTATTGTCTTGCTTCTTGTCTCACATTTTGAAAGCGAATGTATCGCCGTTGAATCATGATCATATTCTTGTACTCTGGGCATTATTTGTCTACTTTTGCTCTCTTTTTTGTTGTTGTTGTTGTTGTTGTTGCTCTGCCTCTTTTCATTTTCTGCAACCATGTCTTTTGACAATCCTACAGAGCCTTCCTTTCCGGCTCCGCCTTCAACAACCTCGTTCAGTTCCCTCTTTCACAATCTCATCGATGAAGGATTTACTTTGGACTCTTCTTCATCTTCTAGTTCAAAATCATCACTGACCAACTTGCCCAAGGCTTCTTCATCCACTACACTGCCCAACACCAGTACCACGCGGCCGACTCCTCATGCTCACCATACCCTGCGTCAATCCTCTTCCACACCAAGGCTTCCCAATGCACTAGCGTCTTGTTCCTCCTCCACGGCAAATGACACCACTTCCACATTTTCCTTGAATCATGCCACAGAGACACAGCCTCACATGCATACGTCCATACCGCTCGGTATTGGTGAACTTCGCTATCACACACATCAGCAGGATCTGAGCCGGCTCACCAAACAATCGGCATCGTTTGCCAATATTCGAGACGCCGCACTGAACCACAGTCTTTCTCAACTGTTTGATCCGTCGGTGGCCTCCTTCTCTTTGCGAAGCGGCGGATCGGAAGCCACCTTGTCGCGGTGGGAAGCGTGGTTTGAGCCGGATTACAGTTTTGGTTCGTTTGAGAAAGGTCACACGGGCTATCGAGGCCATCATCGAAAGCAACGACGGAAGAGACAACACATGCTCGCTGCATATTCTTCGTCTTCCTCGATCGTTCACGGGATACCGGGCCAATCGCAAGATGCAACGAGTTCCTTCTCATCACTGCCACCGCCGCCCACCCTGCCCGAGTTGAACGAAGAAATCTTTTACAATACGGCTCTTTCCGTCGATCGATATCGTGAATTGGCGGAATTGATGCAAAACCAGAAAGATGCGTCGGCGGGGGATCGAGCGGTGGATCCCATGGATTCAGAATCTACCTTGGCCACATCGTCCTGGCGCAGTCGCGTGAAAGCGAAACTCGACCGTTTACGCCGCGAAGCCAATCGTGACGCCTCCATTTGCAGCAGTGAAACATCCAACAGCATCTATGTGGGATCCACGTCTCACCTGGAAAAGCAAGTCGACGGGACCCATCCTCATTCAAAGAAACCGTGGGTCGCTCGATCTTCGTTTCTTTTATTCGTGCTGGGATTCATGTTTCCCCCTTGCTGGATCCTTGGCGCATTGTATATCGGTCCTTCACAACGGTCACTCTCTCCTTCGGGACGTCAAGCCGATCTCATGTGGCGGCGTCGTTCTCGCATTGTTCTTGCCATCTTTTTGCTTCTAACCTCCCTTGTCCTGATTCTACTCATGGCATTTAAACCAGAAGCCATCGGATGGCGACAGATCGATCGTGACCGTCAAGCACACATTATTTCCTTTGACGACATGGCATCAGATGCTATACCAAACCATCCAACTGCACCAAGCCCGCCAACTGATGAAACATCGCCTCACAAATAAAATAAATCTTGACGAAAACAACGAAAAAAAAATCATTGATGTACGGCTTGTTAGTGTATTCATACGATAGACGAAATCTCAAAAAGAAAGAAAAAGCATTTGTCATTCTGTAAAATATATTACTGATTCTCCTTTCTTTTTTTTCACTACTTCACAAATGGAATTCATTTGATCTTCCACGTAAACGGAGATGCAATGATATGTTTCGACGGAACAGTGTCCATGACGAAAAGGTCCTCAAAACAACTACAAAAAATCATAGACGAGATATTCAACAACTTCATAAAAATAAATAATACGACAATTGACCGGCCTTATCTTTCAATCAGGGCGCTGAATCTAATCTGACATACTGGAAACTACTGTTTGGGGAAAAAAACTTCCTCCCCAGTCTAGAATCAAATTTGTATGTATCTTCTTTTTTTTGGAATACATTGAAATACATACCTCTACGTCTATAGCCATAATTGTGCTTCTGCTCGTTTCGATGATTGGTCATCCATTAGAATCAACACGGCCAGTGTGCCAGCTTAACGCCACTTGAGATTCACCAGGTCGAGGGACGAATCGAAATTTGTATTTTTGACGAAGAGCTTCCAAAACCTCTGCTGTGATCTCTGGACCTAAAAAAGATAAAAAATTATTCATATTACAAAAAGCAACCATTACTGTATAAATTCTTACCAGCTTGATCTAATAAACGTTCAACATGCTCAATTCCCTGTTGTTCTTCAGGTAAGAGCTCAGAGGTAGGATTCATTATGAAAAAAAAGAATCAAAAAAATTAGATGAACGAAAAAGGGCAAGGAGGACAAAAAGGAAAGAAAGGGGAAAAAGCGCATCCTTTTATACCATGACTGAAAAAAAATTCTATTACACCGTCCTGGCCAAATAATGACTCATCCTCAACCGCTGTCCATCTTTTACAACAGTACTCTTATCTCCGGGACACCCTCATCTACATCCTTTACTACATGAGTGAATTGGGATGGAATTTTGTTTGAAGGTTAAGACCGTGATGCATGAATCTTTAATTCAAACTCAGAAACATCTGTGCTTCTGCATTTGAAATGACCAAAACTCTTCTCTATTTCCAATGCCGAGGCGCTGGATGTCTCTGGCTTCCTATCATATCACCCAAGGAAAGGGATTTTTGCTAAATGCATATTTAAAGCTTTTGCACATAATGGACTGCTTTGATTTGAGTAATGAAGGTTATGTACTATGCACACATCTCATAGGCATGCATTCAAGACATCATCGCGTGGATATTCAGGCGTAAAGAATTGACAACAATTCTTAACAAACTTGTGTCTAGCTTCCTTCCTATACTACAAAAGGAGGGCTCCATGCTGACATTCCAGACACAAGTCAGGTATATATGCAACGGTGCAAATGGTGCAACCTATGTCTGCTTATATAGCTTATGATGACATGTTATTGAATTGGTCGATTATAAGAATTCGTTTATCCTGTAGATATTGCCGTTGATACTCTGAATGACAAGAGGAGACTTTTGGTGGACAGAGAGACGGTTAATTGTGAATGTGGATTGCTGGCATGATTGCTTTATGTCCAAGGTCGGTTCCTGAGTGAAGATGGTCATGAGGTTCATCTTCAGTGATTAGGATTTGAACTATAGTACGCACGTTCTGAGGATATCGATCCAGTATGACATTTATCCTGGACACGTACATCATGCGATGAAAGAGGAAAGAGTGTATTGAAATACGTTATTTTATTTTACCGAACACGACAGAATGGATTTGCTCAATCGCATCCTCTTTGCAGTTTAAGAGGGTGGCGTGGCATGGTCATTAATTTTGAAATACTCGTTGAAGAACTGAAGGGAGCATGCGTACTCGAGGAAGGAAAAAAACCTTTATCATTCAACGGACTGCACACTGAAAATATCATGCCAGCAAGAGCAAGGGCACTGTGACGTAAATTTTGATCCTTACCGATTCCATGTCATGGTCCGTATCGATCATCGATACACCTGCGATTAGCTGCCTGTAGGTTCTGGACGAGGCCGACAGCCCGAGGACATTGATGCTATCGGTTACTGAGTCGGAACCAACGGTTGATGTATCCCGCCTCCAACAGGAAGGCCAGTGACTTGATAGACCCGCCAATCGATACTCGGGATGGCTTTTATAAAGTTTTTGAAACGGGATCCTCCATCTGAGGACACATCGACTGGCTGGAGACTACGCGGATGGTCATCCGGTTGGAACGATAATGGGGCCTCCATTAGGGCCTCCAGAAGTCAGTAATGGTGCGCTTCGAGCGCATCCCAGGCACGATTGTCGTAATGGAGAGGCCTCTGTTCCTTTTCAGCTCTGGGCTGAATGATTTCTTGGTGAATAGATGTTAGGTTCATTGTCGAAAAAAAAGAGGCGTAAAAACGTAAGAAAAGTAGTGAAACATATAGAAAGACGAAAAGTAATGAAAAAAAAAGCTAGCTGTTCCTGGGTATTTATCATCTTTTTTTCTTTCTATGATTTTCTTCTGCGGGGAGACCTTGTTGTTGTTACATATATTTTTTTGCGCCACATTCACTTATATTTCATTATGAGAAAACGTTTGGGTACTGTAATCCCATTTAGGTATTCACCCGACTTTTACTGTGTTAATGACATTGCCAAAATCTTTGTTGCTTAGAGCATCAACATGAGCGCGTTTACTGAACTCCTGATCTCATTCTGCTATCTCGGGCTGCTATTAGCAAAATGATGGTCCAATTCAATAACATAACGACAAAGAACAGACATATGCAAGGACATTATGTGTCTGCTTCCTTTTCTGTTCTGTTCTTCCCCTGAAATTTCAGAGATACCAGATCCGACTCATTTGTAGTTGCACATAGTGTGCAGGCAGAAAATGCCCAGTATGATAAACTAGGAACCATCAGATAGCTGTGAGCTATTATACAGTTGTCAATTGCTTACACTGAATAGTCGGATGGGACGTTGAATCGTATCCGCAATCAAAGTTGGCAGATCCGAATCCGAAATTATTTACAAAGTCATCCAGTTCAAAAAGCAAGATGAGATTGCAGCAGAACGCAAACGAGTAGAACGGCCACTGAAACTTATTGAAAGGAACAAGCGTGCCATACTTCGGTATACCAAAACAAATACTCTTCTATACATGTTTTTAAGACGAACCTGGGAGGAGTATTTGAACGATACGTTCGTAAGACAGTTCCTACCATGCGCTCAAGGTTCGTTCAGAAAAAAAGAAGGAAACAGCAAACAATTCTGATGTTCGCTTATGTATAGGGTACGACTATCCCCGATGGTCCCCCTTATTGAATGAATTGGGACGACCCTATGCCAGCAAATTGGTCACAAGTAAGTCTATCCTCCACGAGTATTGTATGGACTCTAAATAATGCGCGTTTTTAGATGCGATCATGCATTTCAAGGCTAACTGGGAAAAATTCATGCAGCGACTCTGGATGGCCTATTTCCTGCGATACAGTGAGCAACAGGGCGTCACCCTCCCGCAAACTGCTGCAAAGCTTGTTTAGCGCTAAGTAGAAAAGGGAAATGATAATGTATGAAAAATCTCACTGTTTCTTTCTTAAGGAAAAAAAGCGTTGCATGCCGTTCAAAAACACAAGCCATTCACTCAAGAGCACTGGAACAGTTTACCAGGAAACCGGCATGACATTCATTTTTTCTACGAGTACGATAACAGTAATCCGAATACTACTTTTGAGCTATAAAATCTAACTTCTTATTTTTAGCGAAAATTTAGAAAAATACGTGGAAGAGTTTGGGGAGCTCACCCCTCAGGTCATTGAGACACAGGCAGGCACCACCCTAACGTCTAACCTGATCCGATACTCTGGCTGGCTACTCCGCAAAAATGAACTTTTCGAGGGACGGTCATGGACCATTATTCCTATGACTTCCCACCAAATCAGTATGGACTATTCTGCGTAACAGTACGCTTGCTCGTACTGATATGAGCTTTTTTTTATAGTCTACATCCCCTTGAGCGACAGAGGCTTTTTCCCTTCTCGAGTACACATTCTCCCACGGATATGTCTACCTGAAATGCGGTATCGAAACAGGCGGTGTGATGGCAGCCTTCAAATTCTGCACACAGTTCGAAAGGTACTCTTTTATCAGACAAAACATCGACATAGTTCAAAATTCATAGATTGTCAAATTTAATGCCGTTCCCATCCTCAAAGCGGGATTTCCAGCTCCGAACCAGGAATCCGGATTTAATAGACCGATCCAGTGGTATCTACCACTTGGGGAAAGAGCCAAGCGGTCTGAACCAGGACGCCTGAATCATCGGAATCGGAATACTACAAGAGACGTGGCAAGAGTGCCTGGATATTTGTACGGAGGTACAGGACATAAGCATCCAGGCATTAACAGCTCTTGGACATGACCCCTCCTGCTCCGGAAGGCATAGGCTGCGCCGCCACGGTTGACTCGAGTTCAGAACACAGGTCCTTCCCCGCAAGAAGCAGTCGATCCGCGACCGTCCCCTCGCGTTGGCAATAGTGGCTGGGAATTCGTCTATAATAGGGTCGATAGACATAAACCCACCTACGGTCGCAGTGAAGCAATTCCCTGGGAGAGAAATCACCAACAGGGTAGAGAGTTAGGGCTGTTGGCCTCCATCAGCAATACCAACTCGATGCGAACGGGTTACTACTGATGGATAAAAAGGCAGTAGGAGTGCAGGCCTTTTTGGTGTGTTCACTTTTTTGTAAGCATTGGCACACTGTATTATAAAATTGACGATTTTGTGTGGTATTCGTCCAGTTCTCAATTTTTGTGTTTTCTTCGCGTTGCCCGGATTTTTCTATGTGTCGCATCATATCAGATCCATATATGAGTTGTGTGAACTTCGTTTCTATTTGCTGTGGTGCAGCTAAAGAAAAAAGCTTAAAAGGCAGAGATGTGGAATACCAAAAAAGAATAGAAACTCGACTTCCAACACTAAATGGTAATTGTATTTGTCGTATAAATGAGTCTTCAGACATAACCGATTAAAGCAGTAGTTCCTTATATAGAAACCATCCTCATCTTGTACAACTATCTCATTATAAGCCCGATAGCTATGTACTTTATCGTGGTCTAGATATTGAAACTCTCTTTTCTCAAATCTACGCACAGTCTCACAGACCTAACCTCCCCTTAAAGAGTATCAATACAACAGTATTTATTCTAATGAGGATCGAAACACCATATATAGTCTAAAGTAATCAGTGACCCATCACACAGTATACTGTATTTTCAAATGATTTTCTTTTACGGCATGCATCGAACCGAACAAAGCCCAGACGTTTTGACATTCAAGTCGCTCACTGTTCGGCTGTAACAACGGAACATCACCTTGGCTCCCTTTTTAAATTGTGGCGGCCTTTATCGATACGCTTAAAGTCCATTTCGACACTCGTCAAGTATGCAAAGATCTGCTGCAAGGTCTCGGAGACGGGCTTTTATCTCTCGCTTGGTATGATATACAATGTGACAACTGCTTGGTGGGAACTGGGATCCGATGTCGTCTTAGTCGATTCAGAACGGTGACCGCCGCTCTTATCCTAAATACACTTAAAATTGCTGACTTAATGCAGATTGTAGGAATAATGCTTCAAAACCAACAGTCGATTTTTCTCCTTGCTTCAACTGAATTCAAATCTTCACCATGTTGATGCAATAACACATCTTTTTTATCATAAACCGTAATTTTTTAATAAAGCGCTTTTCTTTTACTCGCGTTAAACAGAATGTGTCAGTTTATTGAGTTTTTTTTTTTTTTAAAAAAAAAAATATGATTGATATGGATGCATAAAAAAACGAAATGGATGCAAGAGGGATACAAAGACGAGAGGGGTAATAAAAACGAGTGATGCATTGGTGACAACAAGAAACCAAAAAAAAAAGAACGAGGGAAATAATAAAAACATGTAAAGAAAGAGGAGGAGGAGGAGGGTGGGTTTTTACTGTAAAAAGTGAGTAGGACTCGGACTGATACTCATGGCCATCATACCGGCCGATACATCGTCATCCTCGTCTTCCTCGTCTTCTTCATCACTGCTGTCATCGTCGTCGTCATCATCGGCAATCCATTCGAAATAAATATTGTCGATAAACGATTGGCTGCCTTCCAGTTTGTAAGGGTCAAAGGGAAAAAAGGTTTGCACCGTTTGCAGAATATTCTTGGCCGTGATATTGTTGCCCGTGGTTGCATTCACGCCGGATATCAAGAGTTCCTTGTTCTTTTCGAGTATAGGGTACACATACATGAAATGATTCTGGTGCGCAATCTTGGCAAATTGTCGCACCACCGCAGGCGAACACACCTTCAAGGGATTGAATCGACTGCCAATCAAGCGAGGCATGTTGTGAAGACCACGACACCAGTTGCGCGATAATCCACCCGCCGCAGATAACATCATCATGGACGATGGCTCTTCTTCTCCTTCTTCTTCGTTGATCGCTTCCACATCATCTTGGATCACCAGTTCTCGCCATCGGAAACAGAAAATGTACATAATGGCTTGCATCACCGCGTAAAAAACATCGTGTTTGGAAGCATCCAAATGATGCACGGTCTGTTCATACGTGTCGACGTATGTTTCACACCATCCGCAAAGCACAAACACGATTCTTTGAATGGTACTCGGTTCCAGGAACTTGGCTCGCGCCACATACGACGACATGTACGCTGCCGCCGCAATGCGCGTGATTCCCGGTCGCAGACTGTCCGTGATATGCAACAACAGATGTTCCAAGAAATGATCGCTGTAAGCATTGGCATCCAACGAGCAAAAGTAGAAGATGAGGAACTGGGTGTAACGCGACTTGAGTGTTTTCAAAATCACCCGGTCGAAAATGTCGATCAACGTCTGATAGATTTCGTTGCGTACGTCCGACGGTCCATTGATGGCCACCTTGGCAAAGTAGCGGAAAGTAAGAAGCATCATGGCGTCCAGTTTGCGGACCATGGATTGCACTTTTTGGATTTGCTCTTCCTTCTTTTCATCGCGTTCATCATCCTCGCTGTCGTCTTCAATATCCGAACTGACACTGGAATCGTCATCCTCGTCGTCTTCGTCCGATTCATCATCACTTGCATCCGATTCATAATCCTTGTCAAAATCCATATGATATATATCAAATTCCACCTCATCGTCCATTTCGTCCAACTCGATTTGAATGTGAGCCTGTCAACCAAAAAACAAAAAATCAGCCTCACTGAGCAACAGCACAGGAATTCGATAAACTTACATCCACTTGGACCATGTGGTCGATGACCAGACCCAGCAATTGGCGTCTCAACATGGGGACATATTCAGCAATTTCGAGAATGTTCTTGACGTACGCAGCATGATCGGCGGAACTGAATCGTTTGTGAGGTACGAGACGTACAATACTGACAAACAGTGAACTGGCCGCAGTAGGAATCAATTGCAGGATGCATCGAAGTGCTTCATGATTGCGTTCATACACTGTTGATCGACTGACAACGGCATAGTTTGGAAGTCTCATGCCTACAACAATGCCGGTTTAGCTATGGGTCACTTATATCCGAGCGTTTTTCCATCAACTTACGATACTTCATGCCGGTTACAAGCATATTCAAGACGGGGACGACATAGAATGCATGGGCCGAAACGAGATTCTCCAGAAAATCAATGTAGACATCGACAAAGTTTCGTGGCCGAACAGCCCAATCAATGTGCAACGTCGCTTCGACCAGTGTTGCACACGATTTGTCCAGTTGAGATACACATTGCGAAAGGACGGAAATCCAAATGTACAATTTGGCAGTGGAAGGCGCAGCATCCTGATTCGGGTCCATCGACAACAGTCCAATCAATTCATTGTATCTCGAGAGATTGCCCTAATATGCATTCATTAGCACAAAACCCAAACGTTTTTACAGCAATGAAAAAAGAATCGTGGGGGGACAGGAAATAAAAAATAAAAAAAAACGGAGCAACACCAAAAGATTGCTATTGTTTTTCCGTCAATTCCTTGAACCATGGGCTATCTCCGTACCCCTTGAAAAACCAAAGGGGGAACAAAAGAAGAAAGATACCCTTGGGTTCCATCATCCGCACGAGACTTTTCCATCATCAAACCATGACCAAAAAGAAAAAGAATGCAGAGACCTGACGGTTCAACAGCTAAAATCCTTGTAAGAATATAGCCTCTTCCTGTCGATCTGCATGATATATAACCTTTCCTTGTGAATTTTTCCTTGTCGGCTTTTTTTTTTGAAGAACCCCGTCAAAATTTTTTCATGGCGCAGCACAAAAACCCGAACACTCCATGATTAAAGAAGCGGGGAAAAAGAAATTGTGCATACTGTCCGTTGGCTGCGACCTTGGAGACCAGCGAGATTACACTGATCATTTTTTGCCGTACTTGGTTTCTCTGTTTTTGATCATAGAGGAAGAGAAAAAAAAAAAGTACCCAGTGCTGAGCTTTTTTCATAAAGTTAACCTCGAATGTCCCATGCTGAACCTAGCTCTTTTCAAAGCTGTGTGGTTTTTTTTGCCCTCGAGCATGAAACGTTTGTCCCTTTCTCTTTCTTTACCGCACTGAACAGACAAGCAAGGTCCATCCAGATACAAGCAAAAGAAAAAAGATACGGACCAACGAAAAAACAGAAAGAGACTCCATAATATTGCATCTTATTTGGAATAAAAAAGGTGAAAGTAGTTTACCTGGTCCTTTTCTCGTAAAGCGCCTTGGACAAAACTCTTCATGATCATCTTCATGTTGTTCATTTTCTCCTTGTTGGTTGAATCGTCCGAATCCATAACGGAGAGGGTAGCCTGCTTTGACGCCATGATGGACGACTGGAGTAATACGGAAGGATCAGCCATGGTAGTTGTATCGGCTGCAGCTGGAAGAGATCGGACGGGCATAAAGGAAACTCGAGCTTAACAATTCAGAATGAACAAAAGAGAATAATGGTATATATCCGATAATGTCAACCGAACAAAAACGCTTCCTGTCCAACCGTGAAAAAAGAAAAAAAAAAAAAAAAAGACCTTATTCAAAATTTCATTGATCCAACCAATTCAGTGGCTTTGTCGTTCCGCCAGCCGCAGTCACGTCACAAGATCATTGGTTAAACCATCCTCGTTCTTCTTTGCCAGAATGCCCGATTGCATCAAAAGTTAAGCGAAAGCCATTATCCCAGACCAACACCCTCTCATGCAATGTCCAAAAGAAACGCTTATAGATGGCTATGGATGTCAAATTTATGAAAAAATCAGTCTATTACCATGACAATCAAGTAAGAAAACAGGGTAATTTTCTATCACTCTGCTGGGCGGGCGTTGATTTCTCTGATAAGATCCAGGCCGATACTTGTCTGACAAATTGGCATGAAAAGAAATGTGTCCAGATTTAGAAACCGTCAGCAATTTTTTGCAGACAACTAAGAGCGCCAATTCACAGTTCAATCAAACGATCAAATGGTTGATTGAGGTGCTTATGAAGTTCCCTTTCTCACCTGCGGCGCCTCACTATAGAAACGACGGAACAAATTAACTTTCTAGTCCGCGTCGCGGTCAAAGCTAGTAATATACTGACATTATACTGTATACTCGTTAGTTTTTACAAACAACCATAAACGAACCCGCTTAATCGATTTGTTCAAGCCACTGAGAAGCAATTGCATACTTGAGAATAAACAACAGCTTGAAGGGATTTAGAGTCGGAGTTTGAAAAAGGTGCCAGAAAAGTAATGATGCACTTTTCGCCCTACGCTTTTCTTAAGACAGGCGAGTCCATTTACTCAGTGATACAGCTACTGCTATTTCGAATCTGTTTCATTATTATGCATCGTTTTGGTATAAAAGTATCCAAAGTTGCAGAGTTTATCGCAAGAGATAACAGTTTCTTCTATTGAAATGAAGGAAGCACCAAGCGAACAGACCCCCCAATCTCCTTTTCCTTTTTCTTTTATCTTTGCCTCTGGCAGTTCGTTAATATTTTGAACATTAATTTTTGCGGCGTGTTCATACAGCATTGGGAAAAAACTCGGTGCTATGTTGAGTGAATAAAATCATCGCTCGATTTTGGGATCATCCCAGGAAGCACAAACAGTGATGCTTAATCGAATTGATCAGCATACGTGTATAAAATAATCATTCAGGAATTTAAAAAAGCAATTCAAGAATAAGAAAGTGACTATTGCTTTGCTACGACTCATTTGAATCAAATGTATCAATGGCAGCATTTTAACCGGTCACAAAAGGCCCAACCTGTTATCGTGCAGGGAAGCGGAGAAGGAGGACCCAAATTTTAATAGGAGATGACACCAGATCAGTCAATTCATGCGAAAATATGGCACATCGCAAATGTAGAAGTCAAGCTACAGATACTGTTACTGCGCTGACGCACGCTTTGATCGTCCGCATATATACAAGCACAGACATCTTTTAACGTAGCTGAGAATATTCTTTTTGCGGACATGCTCACGTGCGCTCGCATCGGCCTTGGCCATTGCGCTCTCTCTGTTCGGTCGCCATTGCGACATGGCGCACTGAAACTGACGCCCTTGGTTTCGTGGAGTAAAATGTGAACATTTTATTGTCACAGCAATATAGAATACATGGTTTCAAAAACAAAACTGATACCAAGGGACAGGGCAAGGTAGGGAAGTTCCTAGCATACAACAAGATCAAAAAGTAGCGCGTAAAAGTCTGAAGCATGTCGCATCAGCGTTCAACCATAGGCTATACTGCACGTTGTAGAGTGACTGTAGAATACATTGGTTGCTGATGGCAGCATGAGTGACATGGCGCAGTTCCTCTTTGCATCGCTTACGCGAAAGAAGTGTGAGGCGCTGAAGTTCGCCAGTTTTGTTGCGAGAATCGAGCCAATGAGGTGCATTTGCGGTCATAACACAGCGTCACAAATCGAAGGTCCGCAAAAGATATAAAAAGAGGGCGTCTTTTCTGATCTCTTTTTTTTCTTTTGTGCGCCAGTTCGGAATCAGGGGCTGCTAGGCTGGTGGTCACTGGTAATGATGAACGCTCCGGTTTTTGGTAAAGCATTCGGGGTATGGCGAAAAATCCGAAAACCATCTTCTAATGATAGGATTGGCCATCCTTTGAAGAGATTGTTTTCGTTCCCGTCGGCTCTTCCCTTTGGGCGCCTGACTAGCCATCAGCGCGCTCACTGTGGAAGGGATGTCGGTGGGTTTGCTTTTTAATCGCAACAAAGGTAAATGAAAAATAAAAAAGACTTTTGCCTTTATTATTCTTTTTCTCAACCCTTTGTGGGTTGAATAATAAAATAAAAAAGTGGGCTTAATGTCCTGTGGACGACCACACGCCACTTAATATAAAAAGAAAAATAAAATGAAAAACACTTAGCTTTCCTTTATATTAAGGTCATTTTCATTTGATGCTCAAGCGATTTCAAGAGCGGTCTGTTAAGCCAAACGACCACCTTACCCTAGAAAGACACACAACAGGAGAGACCTTTTTTTATTTTGTTTATCGTTCATCTGTTCTCTACTCAATAAAAACGATAAACTCGTCGAAAAACCGTCCTTTTTATTTCATGATTTCTGCCTGCCGCAGCTCACTCTCGACCAGGCCACTTGGCTCAGTTAACGTCAAAGTGGCCTACTGGTTATTCGTCCGAATCGTAGACCAGCAAACGCGATGAGCAATGAGGAACTGGGTTGGCGGCATTAGCTTAACAGGACTCCTCGCCGATTGCCCCGGAACTCAACGTGTGGTGATTGTCCTCATCGTGTTGGCGTTTTTAGCGCATGACGCTTGTGTTGTAAGGATGAAATATCAGGTTTCAGAAGGCTAGGCAGCAAAATGAAGGTGGGACTATCAGCTGCTAAATAGGGTATCGCTTTCAAGTAGTGTCTGGAACGGCGCTCAAAAGAATCGACTGATGCAGGTCTCCCAAAGATGGTCATTCTCGTGAGACACGCGTTTGATCAACAACAGCTATTAAGTCAAAAAAGCAGAAAGAGAAATTCAAAGGAAAAGCTAGAAGCAACCAAAAAATAACCTGAATCGGTTCATTACAGTGACCGAGTTAAAAAAAAAAAAGATCAAAAGCTTTTTCGACCAAGTCGGGCATGAACTGATCCTTAAAGTGGCACACAATTGTGGGCAATAACGATACTTATTTTTCATGTTTATGCAGGAGAATTTTAGGTGGTCCATCTTATAAATCGCGATTATTACGCTTGATTTTATTTACTGGCTATGGAAACCTGTGGGCATATTACCTGAAATTATTTTTAATGGGCATCACTGCATTTTTATACGTTTCACATGCCATTAGTCAGGTTATTCAGTATTGGTCAGAAACGATTGGATCAACTACCATGGTTTCAAAACACAATAGGGCAAAAATAGACAGATGATTCAATAATTTTATTTGCAATATCTGTTTCGAGAATTAGTACAACGATTTATGCTTTTTGATGCACTTCATTTTTTGTCGCCGATGATGCAGTCACAGCAAAGGGCAGAAAACTAAGCCCAAAAAGGGCAGTTCATTGGCTTGGCTCTTCAGCCTCGTCTCTTCTTTTTCTTGTCATTGCCGGCTAATCATGGGATTTCGGCATGCAAATGATCCTGAAGATATCACTAACCAATATGCCGCCGCCAACGAAGAAGCGGTTCCATTAACCATCTCCGTCAACCGACGAGATGAAAAACGAGATTGGTTGGACGAAGTGTCGCCCGAACTGGAACCGTACCTGAACACCCCGCCTACCCAAGGATTAACCGACGAACAAGTCGCTGAACGCTTGGCCCGCTTTGGAAGAAACGAACTACCCGATATCAAGCGAAATAAGCTGTTGCATTTTTTATCCTTTTGTACGTTACCGTTGTGCTTCAAGTACCACTGAAAAAAGCAGTAATCAGTGACAGGGTTCACGTACAATTTTATTTAACCTTTTTTTTTTTTGGCTAGTCAACGGAGCCATTGCGTATTTGATGGAAATCTCCATTATTTTGACAGCCATTACTCAAGATTGGATCGATTTTGGGATTATCTTGGGGATGCTGATTATCAACGCTGTTATTGGATACGTAGAGGAAGCGAGAGCCGATTCGGCTGTGGCGGCCCTGAAAGGCTCGCTCGCGTTGAAAACCCGATGTTGGCGTTCCAACCAATTGCAACAAGTCCCTGCCGCTGACCTAGTAGTGGGAGACATTCTGGTCCTCCGATTAGGTGATATTGTGCCTGCGGATGCGCGATTGCTGGGCTTAGCCCCGACCGGTGAACCCACCGAAACGGAGTTACAAGTGGACCAAAGTGCATTGACCGGCGAATCGTTACCGGTGAAAAAACGAGCTGGCGATATTGTCTACTCTTCCTGCATAGTGAAGCAAGGCCATCAATTGGCGATTGTTATACGTACGGGGCCTCATTCATTTATCGGTCGAGCCGCCAGTTTAATGACCGTCACTACCAACGCCGGCAATTTTCAGAAAGTCATCAACTACATTGGCAACTTCCTGATTATCGCCTCGGTGGCTCTCGTCGCCATTATTTTTATCTTTGATCTGGTAGAGCAAAAGTTGCAAACAGGCACGGTAACCACGGAACATGTCATGGAAGCTTTGAATGAAATGGTTGTCTTGACCATTGCTGCGTAAGTTTATATTCACCGCGGGACTACATCGTAAAAGAGCTAATTTTCTATCCTGTTTTCCACGGTTATTATGCCACAGTATTCCTGTAGGGTTACCTACCGTCATGTCTGTTACGATGGCTATTGGTGCGAAGCAGTTGGCAAAGCGACAAGTGGTTGTTAAACGATTGACGGCCGTGGAAGAATTGGCATCGGTGTCCATTTTGTGCAGCGATAAGACGGGCACCTTGACTCTGAACGAACTCACGTTTGATGAACCTCATGTTGTTCCTCCGTTTACAAAGAAGGAGATCCTGATGTATGCCTTTTTGGCATCGGAAATTGGGACCAGCGATCCCATTGAATCGGCTATTCGGTCAGCCGCCGAAAGGGCCCTTCCCGGAATTTCGGCCGATCAACAGGTGGAAGGCTATAGTGTCAAGGATTTCGTCCCATTCAATCCTGTGGATAAAATGTCTCAGGCGACGGTGCATGAATCGTCTACAGGCAACGTATTCCGTGTTGCAAAAGGGGCGCCTCAAGTGATTCTTCAGCTTGTGGGCGGCCGTTCAGATATGGAAGAATTGGTCGAATCTCAAGCTGCACGCGGGTTGCGATCGCTTGGGGTTGCGCGGACGAGACCTGGGACGTTGGATGAATGGGAACTGTTGGGCATGCTTTCGATGATTGATCCTCCACGGTACGATTCCGCCGCGACGATTAGTGAATGCAGTAAATATGGCATCACGGTAAAAATGATGACGGGTGACCAAGAATCCATTGCCAAGGAAGTGGCAGGCCGTCTAGGCATGGGACAGAGGATTTTGAATGCACAGTACCTTGTGGACACTGAAAGATCGGAAGCGGAGGTCACAGAACAATGTATGATGGCGGACGGATTTGCATGCATGATTCCAGGTAAGATTTTTTGCTGAGGAAAAAGACAATCGATCTGACCCAATATCAATGACACAGAGCACAAGTACAAGGTGGTGGAATTGCTTCAAAATCGAGGATTTTATGTGGCAATGACAGGAGACGGTGTGAACGATGCTGCTGCACTGAAAAAGGTAAGGGAGATTCATTTCCGATTCAATTCACAGAGTTGGAGCGAGGGTTTGCGTGACACTGGACATTTTACTCAATGCACCTTTTGCCTTAGGCGAACGTTGGTATTGCCGTTCACGGAAGCACGGATGCTGCCCGAGCTGCTTCAGACATTGTACTTATGGCGCCCGGATTATCAGCGATTATTGATGGCATCAAGACGTCGCGTGTCATATTTCAGCGATTACATTCGTACGCTTTGTACCGTATCACATCGACCATTCACTTTCTTCTATTCTTCTTTATTGTGACCTTGGCGGAAGAGTGGAAGATGCCACCTGTTTTCCTAATTTTGATCTCGGTGTTGAACGACGCAGCAACCTTGATCATGGCGGTGGACAATGTCGCCATTTCTCCACGACCTGACCTGTGGCGCTTACGTCTCTTGATCTGCTTATCGTGCATTTTGGCCCTTCTGTTGGCAGGATTTTCGTTTGCCCATTTTTACGTTTTCAGAGACGTACTGCATGCCACGCCGGAGGAACTCAATACCATCATGTATCTCCACATTTCATCCGGTAAATTTGAAAAGACTCGTTTGAAGTTTGGAACCTATTTTAATCCAAAATAGCTCCTCATTTTGTTATTTTCTCCACTCGCATCGATACCTTTTTCTGGCGCAAAATGCCGTCGTGGCCTTTTACTGCGGTGGTGCTTGGTACTCAGGTAGTGGCTCTCATTCTTTCGGTTTACGGCATATTTGGACAAGTCCCGAATGTCGCTCCCATTGGCTGGCCTCGAGCGTTGATCATTCTGGCCATCTCTTTGGGCACGTTTGTGGTTGTCGATATCTTGAAAGTCATTACCATCCAGCTGTGGAATCGTTGGACGTTGGCCCCTTCGCGTTCTTCCACCAGCGTACCAACGAAAAAGTCTTCAAAGAGTCGCGCTCAGATCTTTATGCAAAATCAAGAATACAGATCGCGTACTGGATATGACCGAGCGGAACGAAGAGATTCCATCAGCTCGGTGCAATCGTATTAAAAAAATTGTGTGTTCCAAATCCCCTTGTACTATTTATTTACCCAATATATGCATATCCTCTTTCCCCCATTCAACCATTTCATTCTTCTACAACAAATGATAAGAAAAGTTAAAGTAATCGTGGTTCAGTGGAGCATGCGATGGTGTCCACTCTTGTTTTATAAACAGTCATTCTTCAATGTGGATCAGAACGAGTTGCCAAAGAACGAGAAAAAAAAAAGAAGCCTCCTACAGGATGGTTCTGCAAGCGTTTATCATTCCAGTGGGGGTTGGGCGGAGGGGGAGGGGGTTGTGGGGATCGACAAGTTGATATGGATTGCCACCGATTGATTTTATATTATAAGGTTGATTGGTCAATCCAAACCACTGTATGAACATACATTCTGGAACCACAGTTACAGTAATCATGTCATTTTACGTCAGAACCTGGGATGGGGTAGGGAGTACGGAATGAAAATGTAGTTGCACTGCAGCCTTCAAAAAAGTTACCACGTGTCAGTTCATTCACCGTTGCACATTTTTGGGATTTTAGCTTTCAAAACTCGAGGACTAGTGGAGGTGGGTCGGTGGACGGATGGGACGTGGGGTCATCAGCAGCTGCTCACGGAGAGATGTACATCCATTATTTTGATAGAACAGCCTTTGATATTAATCTCTGTAATATAAATTTATGATACTCATTATTCCTGTGTTCAGTTAAGGATAGAGTGATGGGAAAAATTCATAGAAAACGGTATAAAAAAGCCATGTGGTGCAAAAATAAATTATTGTCATTCCGAATATTGACCATACTCTGTGTCCTTTTTTTTTTCTGTTTTCAAAAAAAAAAGAGTAACAAGCTTTTCTTATTAGTATCCTCTTATTCCCTCTTCTTTTGTTTTTTGATCCTTTTCCACTCCTCTCCTTTTATACCTCACCGCGAATTTTTTTGTGTTTGGTTCCCCTCGATACCTTTTTTTTTTATTGCAGGAAAAAAACGGATTGACCAATAGGAAGCGTCAAAGCTGAAATTTGGAGTCTGTTCAATCTCGGTCGTCGATTATTGTTGTTTTTTTTCAATTTGCGACTTTTTTGGGTAGGTATATGCATTAATGACATGGTCTCAAGCTTAAAAAAGAAACATACATAGTTGAACGTTTATTTTTTGTTTTGTTCCTTGCTCTTCTTTTGGCCGTCTCGTCTACCTACCTTTTTTTTTTGTAAACCTCTTTTGCCCCCGCCTCCACTCTTTTTTCTTTAATTCGGTTTTCCCCTGTTGGCGCCATTGATCGGAGCCTTAATCGTCCTGTTTGCCACCCACCGCTTTTTTCCTTTATCTCCTCCTCGTCCTCTTGGTCATTGCAATGTCGCCTCTTGCCATTGCCGTCATTGAAGCCACTGCCCTTGTGTGTGAAAGAAACGAACGGGATACGACCATCCAACGCAAATCGGAAAAATTGCTGCCTGTAAGCCCAGTGAGCTTTTTTTTTTTATTTTTGGGGAAGGCGAGGGGAGATCTCCAAGGTGCGATCAAATGACGCCATCATTTTTTTCTAGATACTGAATATTGTGCTGGAAACCGAGACACAAGTGATTTCGCTGGTTCGATACATTCCTGATCTCGTTGAATTTGATCAATTGGTATGATATTTTCTTTTTTTTTCTTTATTATTTTCTTTCTTTTTTGTTTTCTTCACGTGGCACGAATGGGCAGGGTGAAATGTGTTTCTCGAGGCCACGATGAAATGACAGGACAAAAACGGATGCGAGACATACTCGGGCACTCAAATTGGGTCATGCTTCATATGCTGATTTTTTTTTCTTGGTTATTTTTGGGAATTTTTTTCTTCAGATAAAAACACATTATCATAACGTCAAGATCCCCTTTCCCAACTTGATAGCGAGAGATCTGACCAGCAGTAGTAAACGACACACGCTACGGTATTTCCTAACCACCCTAACCCACACACGTCAGAAAACCAATGCGCAAAAAATCGAAATGTATTTACGCCGCTGCGCACGGGATACCACCGTCCAAAAGAGCACCCTGTTTCGTGACTTTCTGTTACCGCAACGTGAAGATGATTATGTGATCCATAAACAAACCGTCGATTCCGTACCCGACTCGCAGCTCGTAACAATAACAGACACAGCACCTGATGATGATGGTGATCCGGTTTCAAAACAGTTTGGATCCATCGATAATGAACCCGTCGCTGTGCAACCTAATAACCCTGGTCACCCTGATCAACCGAATCAAACCGAATCGAGTGACCGTGAACCCTCGGTGACCGTGGACACAGACGTAGACGTAGACGTAGACGTGAACCCAAACGAGAGTGATACCCAAGCCAAGGCAAACCCTTATCCATTAGCAGATCAACCACCTGAATCGACTGGGCTTGCACCACCACAGCAACCACCTCATGTTCCATTAGATAACCTAGAGATGCTCAAGGTGCTCGGCAAAGGGTGTATGGGCAAAGTAAGAACATCCAGAGTTCCCGAAGTAAACTGTCATCGTGTAGCTCTAATGTGAAATTTTCTATAGGTGTTTCTGGTCCAGTCGCGTCACACACGTCAACTTTATGCGCTAAAGAGTATTCCAAAACAACTTGTCGTGGAGCAACGTGAAATTACGCATACACTCGCTGAGCGGGAGATTTTGGAAACCTTGTCTTTGGTGAACCATCCTTTCCTTGCCAAGCTGCATACCTCGTTTCAGGACAGCCATCGGTTGTATTTATTGACGGATTACCACTGTGGTGGCGATTTAGCCACCCAAATGAGTTCATGTGCCACCTTTGCCAAGGAATTGACCCTCTTTTATGCGGCAGAAATCATTGAAGGCATCGGTGAACTGCATCGCCACGGGATCCTATATCGCGATCTGAAGCCGGAAAACATCCTGTTGACCATGGAAGGTCATGTTGTATTGACCGATTTTGGGTTGAGCAAATGGCTGGACAATGACGACCGAGCCACACACACGTTTTGCGGTACAGCCGAATACCTGGCTCCAGAAGTGTTGCTGGGCGAACCTTACAGTTTCGGCATTGATCACTGGGCCTACGGTACCATTCTGTACGAAATGTTGGCGGGGATTACGCCGTTCTGGGCCGACAATCATTCGGACATGTACCGTCGAGTGCTGGAAGAACCACTGGAATTCCCGCCGGACGTCGATTACGATACAGCCGAGTTTATTGCGGGTCTGCTGGATCGTGACCCACAAACGCGATTGGGAGCGCACGGCGTCGACGAGATCAAATCACACTACTATTTCGCTCACATTGACTGGGACGATGTGTATCACCGTCGTCTTGTGCCGCCTTATGTTCCGCCGCTGGCCTCGGAAATGGACTTCGCCAACTTTGATATCTCGTTCCTGGAAATGGAGCCTGCATTGACTCCCATGTCTTCCCAAGTCGACTTGACCTCCGACATCCAGCAAGTCTTTGAAAACTACTCCTTTACCGATGTACGTTACCTTGAGAACGAATGGCCCCATTCTTCGACCAACGACTTCACAGGAGCCGAACACGAGTTGAACCACGAGCCGAACAACGACTATCGAGAAACAGATACCAACGCTGAACCCGTCGTCGTATCTCCAGTTCCACCGAAACGAGGCAGTATCAGTATGTTGTCTGACGGGAGCGACGAAGATCGGGGTGCAAAGGATCCTACCGACACTGCACTAAGCGATGAACATCACGAAGGCAAACGGTCAGCGAAACGACGCAATACACAGCGTGAAATTCGACCGAATCTTTTACCTGAACCGAGTCCTGTGGATCCGGATCCGCTACCAGACCTGTCCATAGCGTCGTCGGTTGACGCTTCTTTGGACGAACTAGGCTTCTCGCTGACCTCAGAATTGGATTTACGCTTTTCGTTTGATCTTCCCGACCACTCTTCTTCCACCTACCAATGTACGAGTCCGATGGACGTTCACAAAAAAAATAGAAAACGTCGCTTATTCTCTCCTTTCCACAAGTTCCTGAACCCCATTCTATCCACCTAGTCCCGCCTCTATTGGTCCCACTTCCCCCCATTTTGATCCATTCCATAATTACGCATTATACTAAGCATCATGCCAACTGATATACCTTCATATTCTTACTTTTTTATTGTCAAAACGGGAAATCCCCAAAACATATAAATATTTGTTTCTTCACACAAAGTTAGTCCGATTTTCTGAGGGCGGCAGCTTCTCTCTCGCGTTTGCGCAAAGCGCGTCGGCGGATATCGGTCTGGATGGCTGATACAATGATACAAAATGGTATAAGTATACTTGGACCAATGAAGCTCTAGTTTAAAAGTACGTACCAAAGTTTTGATTCACCCAGAAACCGTTGGTGCCAATGGTATTAATAGCCCAGTTCATTAATCCGTGGATATGATACGGTGTGGACGTAAAGGGGATATTGGCACCGCAGCGTAAGCCGATCTTGGATAGAGCACTGGAAACGTAAGGCTTGACCAAGGGAATGGCCAACGTAGGTCGGCGGACCTTGCTCATGGCGGAAACGACAAAGTAAGTGTTTAAGTGTTCCACGACAATGCCATCCTTGGCCAATTCCTTGCCAATGGCCTGGGACCACGTCGATAAGAAAGCCTTGCCGGCCGAATACACGGACAAGTAAGGTGTAGGCACCAAACCAGCAAAGGAGCCCAAGTTCAAGATCAAACCAGAACGTCTGTTCAACACACACACAGCAGTGAGTGCCCTCTTCTTCCCCTCGCGCTGGCAATGATTGGTATTTTTTTGTTTTTACTTACTTTTCACGCATATGTGGCAAAACCAGACGTGTCATTTTCAAAGCGCCCTTGATATTCACTTCAACAATATCATTAATCAACTTTTCATCTTCCTCGGCAAAAGGAGTAGGAATTTCATGGTTGGTGCCGACGTTATTGACTAAGAAAAAGCGAGGAAAATGAGACAAACAACAACAACGACCACGACAAGAGTTAAAAATGAAAATACGTACCGAGAACGCCAACATTTAAACCGTTGATAACTTGACCCAAACGTTGGAAATCGGCATCGTTGCCTACCGTGAAATCCAAAGCAAATGTCTTGACCTCGACGTGATGCTCATCAACTACAAATGCAACATCGTCAATGACATTCTTTCGTTTTTGGCACCAGATGGGTTTGGGGGACAAACGAGGACTTACTCAACTGTTGAGCAACTGCGTCGAGTTTACTTTGAGTACGCGACACCAATAACACGTTCAACTTGTGCTTAGCTAGTTGAGCTGCGAATTCTTTGCCAATACCGTCGGTTGCGCCCGTTATCACTGATATTACTGTGAGTACGCTTCCGTTTTTGACGTATACCAGCTTTGCATTCCTTACCTGCCCAGGCACCTTGACCTGCGCCAAATTTCTTGAGCTGATTCACAAGTTCGTGTTAGTTGACCCGATTCTGGATGACAAAAGTTTATTTTCACTTACGGAAATGCCTTTGAGGACGTAGAGTTCAAGCAGCGTTTTGAGCAGCGTCAAGACTCGGTAGCCAATAAAAGCGAGACCCACAGCAGCCAAAGCTGTGGTCACCCAGCAATTCGAACTAAACATGATGAGAGTTTGAAAGAGTGGAAGAAACAAAGAGCACTTTGCTTACCAAATTTTTTTTTGTTTGCTTGATTTTTTACAGCCCAACTTTTGGGTTCAATAATTTTTGGTGTGTGATTGCGTTTTTTTTTATTTTATTTTATTGAAAAGACTATTGTACAAAATGTTCACAATGCTCGCTCCTTCTAATGGGTTTCTTTTTCTTTTTATATTTAAGCCGATTCACTGGCAGCCCCACTGGCACGCCATTCACCCAAAATAAGGTTAATGATTTCATCCATGCCCACACCGTTCTTCACCTGAGCAAATACAGTAGGACCGTTTCCTCTGTAATTTTCATCATCATATGAGTTTCATCGCGTACACATTGCGTTTTTTGCTTCTTTTCCCCCTTCTTACCTCATCTTTCTGGCGTCACGATCCATGACATCCAAATCGGCACCCACAATATGAGCAAGATCTGTCTTGTTGATGATCAACAAATCGCTCTGAGTGATACCGGGACCTAACATACAAGTTTAAGTAACACAAACGCACAGAATGGTTCTAGAGGCACGCACCTCCTTTTCGGGGCACTTTATCACCACCGGCCACATCGATGACGTAAATAATGAAATCGGCTATATTGATTTTGTGTAATTTTTTTTTCAAGATGAAAATAGCATCCAACAAAGTTGGTGTTAGTGGAACGTTCGGTGCCATGCGATTACAGTCACTTACCCAACTCGCGGCTAAATTATCGAAAACAAGCAACAAAAAAAGAATTTGATCCTTGAGTAACACAGACACACATGGAAAACTGTCAAAAAACTCTAGGCTTTTTACCTGTAATTGGCGGCCAGATTATCACCTCCGGATTCAATCAACAACAACTGTGTATTGAATTTGCCGTGCAAGATTTCCAATGCGTTTAAATTGGCAGACACATCCTCACTGAATTCACATGCAGAAACAAAAAAAATGAGCATTGGCCATTCAGTTGATGCAAGCCGACTTTGACCGGACTTTGAAAGAAAACTTACCGAATAGCCTGCAAAACGATGCATAGCAAGGTTCAAAAATATCCAAATAACACAGCACATGTCAGTGATCCTTCTTGTTGATGCTGGCTATACCATCAAGTTTTTGAATGCACTTACAGCGTGAGGGCAACCACCGGTTTCAATGGCCGCGATACGTTCTTCGGGCAAGGCCTTGTTACGGACCAAGAATTCGGTATCTTCCTTGGTAAAGATATCGTTGGTCACGGCTGCCACCGAGTATTTGTCACGAAGACGTTGACACAAAGCCAACATCAAAGCCGTCTTGCCGGAACCTACAGGACTAAGAAAAATGATTGAGTCTCCCCTAGTTTTGACACTTCATTGTTTCGTCCTCATCAGAACAGAAAAAGATAGTTTACCCTCCAATGCCTACGGTAAAGGCACGCTCGGACCAATCACGGTTGACATAGGCCGCCTTTTCACGTTCTTCATAAAGACCGGGATGATCCAACTGTTCGTGGGTGTGACCATGTTCACGCAAGTCGTGACCGCCGTGAGAATGCATATGGCCATCACCATGATCGTGGGCGGTAGGAGCAGCAGGAGTATTAGATAAATGATCTTCGAAACGGCAGCAGTTGTTGGAGCACATGGTTTGTAGCGAGGAAAGAAGAAAAAAAGTAAAGGGAAAAAGAAGGGGAGAATGAAAGGATAGAAAAAGGCAAAAGTTCTCGGGAAGAAAAAAGTAGGCAAGGGGAAGTTCGGATGCAACTCTAATGGCAATGCGGAAATCGAATAGGGCAGAGTGACATTGAATTGTCCATGTGACCCTTACCTTGTTCCGCTCCGACCATGCCAAAAGTTCCGCCGAACGAATAGAATCGTGGTCTTACACTGACCATCCTCCAACATCTGGTTTTTTTTTCCATCATTTTCTGAATTCATCCATCGTACACATACACACATATATATATATATATATAATAACGATGGACTGATCATCTTGTTTTACAAATTCATTCTTGCTTTTGACTTTTTGATACAAGTCTTTGCTTTCCTCAATTCTCCGTTGATGTCGTTACTTGTCACCGCGGTGTCGCGTTGTTTGGAAAGGTCCGAATGGTCCTTCATTGCCTATCAAAAAAAAAAAATGTGGATGCAGATCCCGATTGTTACACCAATTGCCAGAAAATTCCCGCGATCATTACCGTACAGCGCTCTCCGGCACCATGAACACTGGCTCTCTTTGTTCATCTTTTAAATCTGAGAGCACTAGAGACAGAGCATGCGAAGCGGGGCGGGCGAGAAAAAAAAAGGCTAAAGGCTGTGAAAAAGCAGGCAGGTTGAGATTGAATAATAAAGTTTTTCTCGAGGAACATTTGGGGCAACCCCTAGGACTGTTTCTTTTGTCAATCAACTGTTGAGGGGGTGCAATTAGTCAAAGTACAACAGTAACAGTGGCAAAACACAAATGATGCCCCTTTAATTAAAGATGGAATGAACTTGAGCGTCACCCGGGTAGTGACATTGAATGGAATGGATATGAATGCTGCATACCGTATGCCGCGCTGGAAACTAGGGGTCTCAAGAGGCAAAAAAAAGGGCTCCAAGGAGAGACGACTCTCTAATTTTTCCATTGGTTCAAGACTTGTTCAAGATTGCTTCATATAGACAGCGAGTATAGGAGGCATCCCGAATAAACCGGTTTTCCTTCTCCAGGAGCCGTTGTTTGAGTCACAACACAAAAACGGTCATAGCATGGTATGTACTACAGCCTCATTGATCTGCCTCGCAAGAGGAATATGTACTACAGTTCCATGGATCTGCCTCGCAAGAGGAAAAAAAAAAAGCCTTCTGATTTCGCTTCAAGAAGTGGGCCCTCAGGGGCCATGTCATTTGAGACGTGTCAAAATGACCAAGTCACTTCTTTCTTGTTCTCTTAAAACATAAAGAGTGGTACTTGTTCAAGTAATCATATAACGTGGCCATGAACGAGATTAAAAATGAAAAAGTGAAGCAAAATAAAGAAGAGTGAGGCCAACTGCGAATTGGCGCTTTCTTTGTTCGCCGATAAAACACCCTTTTCGATGATTGTATTCGTAACACGCGCCCGTGGATGTTTCTTTTTAAGGCAGTGGCAAGATTTCCCTTGTCAGCTAAGCCCATGGACCAACGATTATTTTTTTTTGCCCCAGTTGAATGCAATGCAAAAATGGCGATACGTCTTTGTGTTGGTCAGCTTGCAGTTTTCCGCAAGGGAGCTAGTATCCTATTTTTTTTTTTTTTGTATATGCTGTGCAACCACCCTTCAGCGGCCGTTCTAGGGTGATGAAAGGTTGCTCAAGATGAAAAATCCTAAAATAACTTGCTCTCTTCTGTTACGAATTCTTCCATACGAAATGACATCAATGATATCATGGCAACCTTGTTCAATGACTTGTTTTGTGACATTGTCCCAAATGGTCGGTTGGACAAACAATGATGGTATTGCACTTGAATGGCGAGACTGTGGCGATGAGGGCTTGGAGAAATGAGTTGCTAATAATATTGTGATAGACCCTTGAATTCCGCTTCCTTCTATACTAGGAAGATTAGGGAGGATAGTAGTGTTGTCGTGAGGGATTGTTTTTCGATAGATGCATTATCAATTGTCTCAGGTACCGACGAAAAAGGCCCAATGGCTGATGGCCTTTTTATTTAAAGTGTTTTACATGTCTATCTTTTGTGTAGATCAGTGAAAAAGGCATCAAGTCGTATTTTTGCTTTTATTGTAAATGGGGAGATCGCAACCGTTGGACAAAGCGCGTCATCTCCCTACATTTGGGCACGACGGTGAAATGGACACGTGTCATGGACGTTCAACGTATGATATTGTTCGTTCTGTTTCGATGTGAACCGTCCAAGGCCATCCACCGTTGATAAAAGCGATAGACAACGGTGCCAAGCCTGTCGTCCAGGCCGGACTGCATCAGTTTCACATGCAAAATCAACAAAAGTATGGATGAAAGTGTGTGAATTCACAAGGACAAGTGGACTTATCGTTTCAATTCTAGCAAGAGACTTGAACGTCTCCGAAAGCATAAGCGGGGGCCATGTCGGTGCTTATTAGATAGAAGGTCGTACCTTCTGGAAAAAAAGGGCTTACAAAAGGAGAGAAAAAATAGCCAATCGTAAATTGATAGGCTTGCGGGGGATGGAAACTTTTTCATCTCAATGAAATAATAAATTTTTATTCGCTATGTTTGGTGTCTCAAAGAGCCGGATATTCCAAGATCTCCAAAAAAAAAAAGTTACAACAACAACGTTGACGTGACTTTGTTGAGGATCGCGATAAGTGGTGGCTCCGGTTGGTGCGAGTGTGATTATAAAGGAAATAAAATCACCTCTTTTTGATTTTCCGAATTGTCGGAATCACAAAGGTGGGAAGCTTGGGTGTATAATTTTAAGATTGCTTTTTTTTTCTCTTCAGCTTCGTCGATTGGGATTTTCCTTTGTCTCCTCTCCTACTTGTTTACGACTCCTCCTCTTATTGATCTTCTTCTTCTTCTTCCTTCTATCTCTTCTTTCTCAGTTTCGCTTCTTTTTCTCTTTTTCTCTTTTTTTTTTCCTTCTCTTTCTACTCAATCATCAAACCATGCGTCTTGTTCCCCGTGAACTTGACAAGCTCCTTCTTCATCAAGGTAAGCCCGTCCATCCCACCTCTTCGTTCCATGACAACTAGACACTCCACCCCTCGTTACACACACGCATCGAGTGGCCGTTGCCTTGGAACCCCCCTCACCCAACAAAGAAAAATTAATATCCGTCCTCTTTCCCCTCTCCCCTTGTTCATTCAAATTGTTCTTGTTCTTGCCTAATAAACTGAACTGTTTCTTTTTTTTTCTTTCTCTTTTTTTTCGCAGTTGGCTTTCTTGCGCAAAAACGTCTGGCACGCGGCATCAAGCTCAACCATGTGGAAGCGACAGCATTGCTTTCGTCTCAATTGCTAGAGTTTATGCGAGACGGAATTTACTCTGTAGCTCAACTCATGGATATCGGCAAGCAAATGTTGGGACGACGTCACGTTATTCCGGATGTCCTGGATACCGTATTCGAGATTCAAGTGGAAGGCACGTTTCCCGACGGCACATTTCTCGTCACCGTACATGATCCTATCTGCACAGACAACGGCAACCTGGAAATGGCGCTCTATGGAAGTTTTCTTCCGATTCCCAGCCAGTCTCACTTTGAACTCCCTAAACCTCGTACACGCGAAGATGCGCCCGGCGCCATCATTGCACTACCTGGAAAGATCGAATTAAATCCTGGTCGAAAACGACTGTCATTGACCGTCACCAACTATGGCGATCGTTCTATTCAGGTAAAACAAAAAACACGCTGGCTCGCCCTTTTTTACTATCATCATCATGATTATTCAATGTGGAAAAATTGACCCTCCGCCCCTCCGCTACTTTTTTTTGGGTTTTAGGTCGGTTCTCATTATCATTTCATCGAAGCCAATGCAAGTCTTAGTTTCAATCGTGCGCTCGCGTACGGTATGCGGTTGGATATCCCGGCAGGGTCGGCAATACGTTTCGAACCGGGCGATTTCAAGACGGTGACGTTGGTGGAAATTGGAGGAAATAAGATCATTAGTGGTGGTAACAATCTCGCTCCGGGTCCGGTGGATTTGATCAAATTGCCTGGCATTATCGAAAACCTTGTCAATCGCGGATTCATGCATGACGCCAACACGCCCCTGTTGCCCAATGCGCCACCTTACGCTTTGGATCGCGATTACTACGTCGAACATTTCGGTCCGACCACAGGCGACCTCATCCGTCTCGGTGACACCAACCTGTGGGCCGCCATCGAAAAGGATTACACTGTATATGGTGATGAATGTAAATTTGGCGGTGGCAAGGTTTTACGTGAAGGCATGGGCCAAGCCACGGGTAAATGTGACCATGAAGTATTGGATCTTGTCATCACCAATGCGGTGATTATCGATTACACGGGTGTTTACAAGGCTGATATTGGTATCAAGAATGGTATGATTGTGGGGATCGGTAAAGCCGGTAACCCGGATGTCATGGAAGGCGTTACTCCTGGCATGATTGTCGGAGCAGGTACCGAAGCGTTGGCAGGTGAAGGCAAAATATTTACCGCCGGTGCCATTGATTCCCACGTTCACTACATCTGTCCACAAATGTGCTTTGAGGTAAGAAAAAAAGATTCATTTCAATGGGTTCGGAAAAAATGAGAAATTGACGTGATGGTGATTAGGCTCTGGCTGGTGGCATTACCACTTTGATTGGTGGTGGTACTGGTCCCAATACGGGATCGAATGCCACGACGTGTACCCCTGGTTTTTATCACATGGAAACGATGCTGAAAGCCACCGACGATATCCCTCTGAACTTTGGTTTTACCGGTAAAGGATGTGCGGCTGGAAAGGAAGAATTGGTTGAACAGATCCGTGCCGGTTGCTTGGGTCTGAAAATTCACGAAGATTGGGGCGCCACACCGGTCGCCATTGATACCTGCTTAGACGTGTGTGAAGAATATGATGTGCAGGTAAAGCAGAAAAAGGGAATAGAGAAGCAAGGGAACATTCCCTGGTCGATGCAGCAGGTATACTTACGCGTCAATGTTTCTTTTTTTGTTTTGTTCCTCCGATATGTCAGGCCACAATTCATACCGACACACTCAATGAGGCCGGTTTTGTTGAATCCACCTTGGCCGCGTTCAAGGGACGTACCATTCACACCTACCACAGTGAAGGCGCAGGTGGTGGTCACGCACCTGACAGTAAGTGATCAATGCAGACTGAGACTTGGTATGAAGATGGCACGAAAATTAATTTTCAATCTACCGATTCTGTGTGCGATAGTTATCAGTGTATGTGGTGAAGCGAATGTATTGCCATCGTCGACGAACCCAACGCGACCGTTTACGGCGAATACATTGGATGAACATATTGACATGTTGATGGTGTGCCATCACTTGTCCAAGAATATTCCCGAAGACGTGGCATTTGCTGAAAGTCGTATTCGAGCGGAGACCATTGCCGCCGAAGATGTGTTACATGATATCGGTGCGATTAGTATGATCAGTTCGGATTGTCAAGCCATGGGAAGAGTGGGAGAAGTCGTCTTACGTACGTGGAAGACGGCCCATAAAATGAAACAGCAGCGCGGCAAATTACCCGAAGACGAAGGCCATCTTGATGACAATTATCGTATCCGTCGATACGTTGCAAAGTATACCATTAACGTGTAAGTTTGGAAAAAAGAAAAAAAAAAAACCTTGCGGAAATTGGAAAGCTTGGCATCTGTTATTTGGGGTGTTCAATACGATGCACGTTATCGTCACGTCGTACTTACCTACATTACACTTGCAGAGCATTAGCCCATGGTGTTGGCCATTTGGTGGGTTCGATTGAAGTGGGTAAATTGGCCGATCTGGTTTGTTGGTCACCGGCATTCTTTGGTACCAAACCCGAATTAATTATGAAAGGTGGCATTATCGTATGGGGACAAATGGGTAAGCAGCAGCAGCAACACCGAACCGGTCATGTCCGCAACTGCTGACCTTTTTTTTTTTCAATGTGTAGGTGATGCAAACGGATCGATTTCTACGACACAGCCTATCATTTCGCGACCCATGTACGGAGCATACGCATCGAGTTTGTCCAAGAGTTGCGTGCTTTTCGTGTCGCAATTATCCATTGATTCTGGTACCATTGACAAGTACAAACTTCGCAAACGCATTGAACCTGTCAAGAACTGTCGCAGTGTCACCAAGCACGACATGAAGCTTAATAACACGATGCCAAAGATTCGTGTGGATCCTGAGACCTATGCGGTGACGGCCGATGGCGAAATCTGTGATTGTGCGCCTGCTCACGAATTACCCATGACTCAGACAGTATACCTCTTCTAGTTCTTTTCGGACGACACTCTCTTTTTCATCACCATTCTTTTTTTTTAATTTGTTGCCTTTTTTTTATATTTTTATTTTTTCCTTTTTTTTGCATCTGCATGACATTTCAACCTGCTTCTTTCTGTCTTTCTTTTCTGTCGCGGTTTTCTCAAAACATGCGTTGGTTGTACCGTAATAATACTAATAGCAATCAATAAAACTTACTAGCAATAGCTTCTTTTTTTTAGGCAAAGCTTAAAAGGGTAAGTGAGCATGTCAAATGATGCGTGAAACGTTCGAGCCGCGGGAAGAAACGATAAAAGGCAAAGTGATTTTTTTCCCTTGAGCTGTTTTTGTTACGATTATCACTTTCCAAAAGAGGGACAATTTGTCTTTTTATGTCAAAGATTTGGGCCCTGGGAGAAGGCGATTGAATTTCCGCTCATTATCTCGGTCGCTTATCTGGTTTGCATTTCATTATGGTTTCCGATTGGTCCAATCACACATCGCCGACTTCCGGGCGGGCCTGAAGCCATATCATTTTCCATTACTTTTGTTCCTCTATGGATGAAGACGCATTCATGCCCTTCGTTCATTCGCTCCTCTTGTCTCCTTTGACCCTTGAATTTCCGCATTTCTCCACTTTGTGTTTCCCAAAAATTAAAAAACCCATAGATCAAAACCTTCGCTTCTTCAAAAAGCCAGCAATGGCACGGCTCTTCATTACTATAAAAGTCAATCGGTTTGATGTTTTTTTTGATCCCACGTCTCTGTCTGCCAGATACTATCAAATCCTTCATCTCTTTTTTTTTTTTATCGGACCTTTATTCTTACTTGAAAAGTCGCTGAATAATACTGTGATCTACTTTACGGTCAGCAATGATTGTGATCCTCAAAGTTGTCGATGAAAAATAGCTCATCCAGTACGGTGCCCTGGCAAAATTTTTTGTAATCCGCATAAATTTGTTGACTTCCCTAATATCTTTTTTCATCTTGCAGTTCATTTTTCTCGGGAAATGAAGAAATAATAATAAAATAAATTGCAAGGAAACAAAAATCATGACTTGGCCCTTTATTGGCGGGGAGTGAGGTGGATCTTCTCATATTACTTTGGCCTTGCAGAATACCTGCGTAATTCTGATGGGGACTTGAAATTCGCTGAAACTGACGACTTTATTCATCAAAAAAAGAGGCCATCCTCATTAGGATGACTTCTATTTTCAATAAAATGTATAATACGAGTTGAAAGACAGTTTAACGAGCCATGCATTACGTCTGTACCAAAGTTATGTGCACCTGGAGTATCCGATCAGCCGATATATGAACACTTGAGAATAAGGATCTCTCTCTAACATTATCGGAGACCTACTTCATGCAGCTTTTTCGTGCGATGAGACCCCACTCTCTTATGAATGGATAAATATGACGTGAAACGATGAGAAAAGACACATGGCATCTTTTTCCTGCTTCATTATTGGACAATAAAGGTTTTAGCTACAGTACGTGGGTTCGCCTCTTTTATCATGTCTATAAAAGACGACGCATCTTCCACCCATTTCTCTTTTTTGTGAAAGGTAATGTATTTGTGCTCAAGTGCCTTCCTTTCTTTTTGAATGCTATGCCAAATCACTCACTTGCTGTATGTGTTTCTGTAGTTTAAAAATTGTCTGAACAAAGCCCATGCCTTGGCGGTGTGCGGTGGCGGGCCCCACAGTGTGGTGACAACAGTTTTTTTGTAAGTGAAAGCAAGGAAGAGTAAGTGTGGCTTGTCCTAATGCATCCATCTTTCTTTTTTGTATGTCTTTGTCCTTTGGTTTTCTCTCTTATTTGATTACTTAAAATAACATTATCTTGATTCTTTTAAAAATTTTGGATTGTATATTTCATGTACATATTCTTTTCGCAGTCTTTTCCTCTTTTTTTCCCACAGGGTTTTTTAGGAGGTTTTTACTGACAGGGACCATTGTTTTTTTTATCATCATTATTTGTTTTTTTTTTCTTTTTATTCGGGGGACTCTTGATATCTGGAATCCAACTCGAAATTACCGTCACTTCTGGCCACGTCAATATTTTTTGCCTGCTCAAGCTGACACCGCCGATCCATCGCTTAACCGTCCCTGGACGCAACTTTATTGTCCGCATCCAAGAAGAATCTTACCTGGCGGTCCGTATTACGAAAATTTGAATCAATCAAAGAGCTTACTAACTCATTTTTTTTAAATAGCCAACATACGCACACATCTTTCTAGATCTATCATAGCCTGGGCGGGATGGAACTGAGGGGGGCAATCAGTGCTGCTTTGCGCGTGTTCAGAAACAACTCTCGTTGCAAGGTATTGCCATAAGGTTGTCATTAATATACCAAAGTCCAAGAGTTCTCGCCCAGGTTATGCCGTGTATGCGTTAGGCTTTTTGTCTGACGAAAGTCGCTCAATGTAAGAGGGCGGCCTCCGGTGGCAGGCGGCATCCATTGCACAGCGGGTGTACGGCTTGCTAGCGATAATGATCCTACAGTGGAAAAAAAAATCATTATCGATCATTATCTAAGCAGTATGAAAACCGATCATTGACTAAGCAACATGGACAACACACTTTATTCTGTTATGGATCATATCACATCTAAAAATATCCATCTAGTATAAAAGACACACCTTGTACTTATTCCATTCAATGTGTCGTCAAGGGGAAAAAATTAAAAACGAGATTTGATTGGCTGCAAGTGACGTATAAGAAGTGACGTCACTTTTGGGTCGGCGGGCCGATGAGCCCTTCTTTTGTGTGGCTTGAACAATTAGGAGGGCACTGCCCCCGCCCCATTTTTTGCTGAGGACAGGTTGCACTTTACGCTGAGAACAGCATGATAACGGAATGGTGCTTGGTTCCTACCTATGCCCCAGCAAATATCATGCACCAACCACTTGCGCTCGATGGCTCCCTCTCTTGTCTCGGCATCTATCCACCCAACCGACAGTGACCCGATTGGTCACCAGAACTTTGATACACCCCTCCTCTAATAATAATCTTACATTGATGGTTCAACCAAAATACCCCTGCTTCTTCCGTCCTTTCCCCGGATTCCGAACATCATTCCATCATGCTCGATATGTCTCGTCCATGTCGGCTCACCGTGCCTCCAACGACTCTGCCGTTCCCTACTCGATCCTCGAGAAACTCGATTCAACATTTGATATCGACGAAATACTTCATCCTCGCACGTCCGTCGTGCCCTCCTCACCTGCCCCGTTGAACCTCCCATCGTTGCCCTCAGCCGATACCCATGCTCTACACCATTCGTTACAAGAGCATGATGTACATAAAAGTCTAGAAACGTTGATCGCTTGCAAACTGGCGTCATCGGTCAAGGTCCCGATCCAGGATGAACACGCAGTGTACGAACGAATAGCACAATTACCGACGCATGACATTTCTCTACTGTTGGCACCTTGGATTGCGTATGCTGCACAACAGCCGCTGACCGATCGCAACGGTAAGCTGATATGGAAAGTGTTGTCAAGTGCTACAGCGTTTTGGGATACCCGTCAGCGCCAACAGTTGTTCACCGACCCGACACTGACGAACGAACGATGGAAGTTGCTTCTGTTTAATAAATTGGCAGTCGATTACGCGGAATGCCAGCATCTCGATGTTCTGTTATCCGCTATCCCTCCCTCCGATGCAGACATGGCCCCGTTGCCATTTTACAACAGTGCGGCAGCGATGTGTTTACGGCAAGGACGCCACGATCACGTTCAGGAGATCATGCGTTTGATACGCGAACAGAAAATTCATCCTGATGCTGCCACATTCAATATCGCTATTCGAGCCACGTTGGCGAAAAAGGAATCATCGTCCGTTTCCGAAGCGTACGAGATTTACGACGACATGATCCGGCAACACATCACACCGACGGCCGCAACGTACAATACGTTGATCAAGTACGCGTGTCGATGGAAGCAATGGGACGAGTTAACGCTGTGGATGGATCGATTGGGAGCGATGTCGAAATTCAATGCTGTCACGCTACGTATTTTGTTGAAATCGATCGCCTCGGGTCTGTCAGCGCCGCCTTTGCTGTCTGCTTTTGAACGAGTGGCAGCGGCAGTGCCTGTGCATGAAACGGTGCCTTTTCTTGAGTCGAGCATCCGTGCTTTGCTACGCGGAAAACGGAGTTCCAGCGCTTTATCGTTTTTGATGCCTTTATTTCGAAACAATGCGTCGTTATCCATCTATGCTTACAACCTTGCGCTTCGTGCGCTGACACAACAAGGTGATTTGGATGGGGCTTACCATTTGCTGCAACGCATGGTGGCCGGAAAAGCGAATGTGCCATTCCCCAACGTAGCGAGTTTTACCGTTCTGATTCATGCGTACATTCGCCGGTCGTCTGATCACGACGTGGATCTGACCAAGATTTATGACCTGTACCATCAAATGCGGTCCTTGAATATTCCATGTAACCTGCATCTGCGGTCAGTGCTCCTGTTTGGATTAGTGCAATCCGAATTCGCGGATATCCGTCGAACCACTCAACTGTTTAAAGCACTTGTGGCCGATTCCCCCCATCCCGCACCGACGGACGCGCGTCATCCTTCCAAATTACCCCAGATGGAAACACAAACGGTGATGTATAATATGATGATGGATGCGTATTTCCTTCGTTACCATCGCATGCGATCACACGATTCTATACCTCAGGAACCGTATCTACTGTTACAGCAAGCTGTCAAGGAAGGACTGCCGCTTCTCCCATCAACTTTGAACATTTGGGTTCGTGGGTTGTGTCTGTTCAAGGATCTGAATGCGGCCGAGAAAATGGTGAATTGGTTCGCTTCAAAGGACATTCGCATGAACGAACGCACACTGTGGTATTTGGTGAAGACGGCTCAACAGATGGGCCAACGTGGTCGAGCGCGCGAATGGATTCGCCAATTTGAAAAATCGGGCAAAGTCATCCAAGGAGAAGGGCTTTTGTCTCTTAAAGACCATTTGTACGGTCGTCGTGTATCATAAAATGTAGAAAAAAATCAACAGACGAAAAATAGACTTGTACTTTTTTTATGTATTTTTTTTTCAGTAATTAGGGTTTTTTTTTCGAGAGGGACGAGTTGATTTAATTATAAAATGTTTTCATTGATGGCATATTTTTTCTTGTTCTTGTTGGTTGACAGTTTCCGCTGGTGACATTTTGACTGGTTTAAGATGATGTGGTTTTTATTCCTCTTTGCGACGAAAAAGAATGAGCTATGATATGTAAGCAATCAAAGGGTAGTTTGCGTATCTGATAGAAGCGTAAGCAGCTGGTATAAACCCACATACGAAAAGAGCCAACGAAATAACTGTTTATATAGGCCTATAGGCACCGAGGAAAAGCCGAGGGCTGCATGTGACGGGGGAATCAGCGCGCTTGCAGGGCATAATCTGGAAATTTTTGTACGTATCCATTTCTCTATTATACTCTTTATCTACCACACCATGCCTCCCAAATCTACGAAATGTAAATATAACTAGCATAGAATTCATCTCTTTTTCCAACCTACTAATCGAGTATTCTTCTTGCTTGATCAGCGACAAAGAAACGAAAGTTGTCGAGTTCGGCCACGCAGGCGACATTACACGCTTACACTATACGTTCACAGCCATCGCTATCCTCGCCTCAATCGACTCCCACCAGCGCCCATTCTCCCTCCACGCCACCACAAACTGAAAATGTCTCTCCCATGATGATCGATTCGGAAGAGAAGTCTTCCATGGTCAATATAGCCTCCGTTCTGGGCTCTTTTCGTCGCAATACCAATATTCGCAGTATTCGTGTTCACAACAGCCGAGGTACACTATAAAATGAGGACAATAGAAACGATTCCTGTCGGCCCACTCATGAATCTTTGTTTCCTGCATAGACGAGGAATGGAACGCAGTATATGACTCGTTTTTCAAGACATCATGGGGATCTCTTCAAACACTCGTTATTGCCATTCTCCACAATGAGCCCGAACATACCAGTTTTCAAATTGCTTCTGAAGTAAGCTTCGACTTCTTTCGTGGACAGCAATAATGATAAATGGCATTAAAACGCGTTTCTTTTAGATGTGTGCCGACAATTGCCGTTTAGGTCATGCCGAACAACTGTATCAACATCTCATCGATCAACTCTCGCAGCACATGCAATCGCTGGCCACACCGTTACAAAGGTTTTCATTTTTATTCTTAAACTGTTTCATCATAAAATGAAAGTTCTTACCTTCTCTCTCTCTTACTTGTACAGTGCTGCTTCGAAGCGGGACCGGTTTTTGGAGACATTGAATGATATTTGGTTAAACATGTGTGCGCAGCTGGTAAGCTTTCTTGTAGTGATCCCAGGCGACCAACATAGTGATTGAATTGCATGATGTGGATAGAATTGCATTCGTAATGTCTTCATGGAACTTGACCGTCGCTACGTTATTTGGTCGACGAATTATCGTTCTTTAGTGTAAGCCAAAAGATCCCAACAAAGAGCCATGATCGACCACCGTCTCATTTTATGATGTTTAGACAAGCCGGAAAAGATTTATTCAACCAGCACGTACTGAGTCAGGAGTATCTACGTTCCTACACCATCGAACAGCTGCTGTATCTCATTAAAAGAGACAGGTATAGAATAATAGATATCTGTGGAAAAAATGGGGACACAAATGACTGACCATGATCCGACAGAGACGGAGAGACCGTGGATCGGATCTTGATCCATTCTCTAGTGTCGATGCTCAACGACCTTGCCTTGTATAACAAAGAATTCCAACCTCGATTGCTCAGAGATACTGCGATGTATTACGGTGAAGAAAGCGACCGACTGATTCATTCACTCTCTATACCCGAGTATCTCGCTCACGTTGATCGTCGTCGTACCCAAGAATCCATTGATCGTATACGCGACTATCTGAAACCTGACACCAAAGCCAAACTCCTCGAAGCCGTGACGGATCAACTGATCTTTGCAAAGATCGATCTGATCATTAGTAAAGGTGAGTAACGTATCCCCAGTTATTCTTGTTATCCGTGCTCATTTTTTTTTTGTGAAGGCTTCTATCAAATGATGGACGACGATGCAAAGGATCCTTTACGTATACTGTATACCATTCTTGCTTCCAGTGCAACCATCACTACACTTCGCACAGCCTTTGCAGAGTATATCAAGGTAGTAAAAAACAAGTCGAATTGAACTTGAAAGTTTGGGATATTAATACGTATTGTGGTTAGCGACGGGGAACCGAGATGGTCAGTGATCCGTCCCGGGATGCGGCGATGGTCCCTTCGCTTTTGAAATACAAGGCGAAATTGGACGATATTGTCAACAAAAGCTTTAACAATGATGTATCCTTTATCAACACGATGAAGGAAAGTTTTGAAACCTTTATTAATATGCGACGCAATAAACCAGCCGAAATGGTAGCCAAGTTTATTGACAGCAAGCTACGAAAGGTAAAACGGAGATGTGATCGAACCAATGTAGAGATCGGTTGTAATGAATAATTCCGGTTTGACAGAAGGCAAGCGACGAAAATTTGGAGCGCATATTAGATCGAGTGCTGGTGATATTTCGATATTTGCAAGGTAAGGTTGCTCTTTAAACTAACGGGTTGCGCGGGTAGTGGAGGTACTCACCGCCATCGTCTAGGCAAAGATACCTTTGAAGCATTCTATAAGCGATTCCTGGCCAAACGATTACTACTGAATCGAATGGTATCCAACGATATTGAAAAGAGCATGCTATCCCGACTAAAAACAGGTAAAAGGATCCAAAGGAATTACATGCGGCTGATGGCTGATCGTATCTCGCTGTGCCTCATTTGCAGAGTGTGGACCAGACTTTACAAAGAATTTGGAGGCCATGTTCAAAGATATCGAAATTTCCGCCGATCTCAATGCGGCATTCAAGGTAGATACAAAGAGCGATATTCGACGGACTGTGTGGTTTTCTTACCTAATGCTACTATTTTTGGATTGATCCACTTAGGAATCGCAGGAGTACAGTCAGTGGGGCAATGTGCAACTGTACGTGAACGTGTTGGCGCAAGGTATCTGGCCTAGTTATTCGGCGTCGGAGATCATTCTTCCTCCTGATGTAAGTCTAAAAAATCAAGCCAGTGTCTATTCTATTCTTGGAAACTCATTTATACATTTCTGTCGCGATTGACATGCAGATGCGTGCCCAGCAAGAGGCGTATATCCAATTCTATGGCAAAAAATACACGGGCCGGCGGCTGACGTGGCAAAATTCACTGGGTTCTTGTTCTGTCAAAGCGCATTTCTCTGCAGGATTCAAGGAGTTGATGCTGAGCCTTTTCCAGACTGTCATCCTACTGCTGTTCAATGATACCTCCCGACCTTTCTTAACCTATAACGATATATTTGATGCCACCAATCTCGGTATGTACTGGACTATTACGCCCAAATTCATTGATTCAATTTCACCTCCTCAACTTTTCTTTTTTCTTTGTTCGTTGCAGATCACAAGGAACTTCGTCGCGTGTTACAATCATTGTCTTGCGGACAACATCAAATCTTGAAGAAGGAGCCGTCTGGCACCACAGTGGAACCGTCGGATCAATTTGCGTTTAATGAACAATTCCAAGCCCCCCAACATCGATTGAAATTCAATACCATTCAACAAGAACAAACGGTGGAAGAACAAAAGGATACACAGTCCAAAGTACTGGTGAATCGACAACATCAGGTAAAGCTTATTTCAAATGATCAAGGAGGGGGAGTTTCAAAAGAATATAACGACAAGGGGATCGTCTAACCCGTGACAACTTTTGGCTACAGTTGGAAGCCGCTATTGTACGTATCATGAAAGCCAACAAACGACTCAGTCACGCCGCCCTCGTGAACGAACTGTTTGAACAGTTGAAATTTCCTGTGGATGTAAGCTGAAATTTTTAAAAAAAAGAATGGAGATTGGGGAAATTCATGACGTTACTGCGTTTCTTTTTTTAGGCGGCCGATATCAAGAAACGCATTGAGTCCTTAATTGACAGGTAAAACAGTAATCGCGCTCGGGATCGGAATGCATAGACCATCCACTCATCCATTTTTCTTTTTTTTTCAACATTAGGGATTATCTCGTACGTGACGAAAAGGACAATTCAATGTACAACTATCAGAGTTAACCAAGTGCATTTGAGGCTCAAATAAAAATGAATCACTGTATTGTAAAATATCATTCATTGCTACCATACACAGTGAATCCGAAAATGGTTGGTTTGTATGATGGCGGAGCAAGATGTTGAGAAATAAAAGGGCGTTTTTGGGTTTTCTGAAAGGGAGCGTGGTTTAGGAGATGAGAAAAAAAAAAGCGACACAAACACATAGACACACACACACACGCACACACATACACAGAGATAGAGAGAGAGAGAGAGAGAGAGAGAGAGAGAAGTGAGGAGAGGGTTAAGCAAGGGGGAAATCGAGTAAAAAATTGATCTGCTATTATTGAAAAAAAAAAAAGACAAGGCGACGTATGGTTGAAGTTCTCCTCATTCCTTTTAGGTATTTATTCAACCAGCCCAAGGCGCAGTAGATACATGTAATGAAAAAAAAAGAAAGAGGGACAAGGAGCCAGTTTTGTGCGCCCAATGAGCTCTTGTCGAATGAGATAAAGATGATATCGATTTGGAAAAGATCTCCTTATACTTGACTTGTTTCCTTCTTTTCTTCTTTCTATCCAAAAGATTCTTTTTTCATTCGTCTTCATTCTTCTCCTTGAGGAAAAAAAAAACGATTCGTTCCCTTTTGTTGTATCGATTCCCTTTTTTTCATCTTTTATACATCTCCCACTTCTGCATTTCTTATTCCTCTCTTTTCTTTTCCTTTTTCTTATAATTTTTTTTTATTCACCCTCTTCCATCATTGTATAATTCTTCATTTTTACTTTATCATCATATCCAAAAATCCAAAACACACCATCTTGTCTGCCATTTTATATTATTGATTCTCATGACTACAACCATTGTTACCACGACAACATCCTTGATTGAAAACGTAACTCGATAAAGATAACAGTGACACTTTGCCAGTCTGAAAAACTCATAAATAATGTGTAGGGGCTGAATGGCCAACATGCAATGCTTGTTGAATCGCTTTTAAGTGACGACAGCCACAGTGAGACAACGGTCATACAAGAAGATACGGGTTCATGCGACATTGATGTATATCACGGATCATGGAATCACCACTCTGGACTGCAGAAAGAAAAGAAAAAGAGAGACTCGTTTCGCGTACGGTTCAAGGGATTAATACAAATGTCTTTTAATCGGTGTCACCGACGCACCGCCGCCGCAGCCACGGGTGATATCCACATCACAAAAAGTAGGACCATGTCCGATCTATGCCTGCCTAATGTGGCTCATCCGACTAATTGGGCAGTATCCGACATTTCATCCGCATCAACGTGTGTGACCGATGAAACGTTGGCTGAGACGGGACGGTTCGCGTGTGAAGAAAAACAGAGTGGGGTCAAAGAATGGCATGATGCAGGTCTGCCAGCGCCTCAGCCCACTACTCACCGGATACCGCCCATAAGGAAAAGCATTCTGAAAACGGATCGACTGCCGTCTACTCCCATGGTTCATGTACCTCATAAAAAACGATCGGCGGCTAGTTTATTTAATTTGCAAAGAAAGCGATCTTCCGTGGTTCGATTCAGCAAGACCCTGAATATTCATGACACATATACCCAGCAAGAATACGATCGTGCTTCCGACCCTGCCGCGGCATGTACCCAGCTCACGGCGGTTTTGGCCCAGATGATCAAGGAAGAACTCAATCAGTACAAGTTGCATGAAATGGAAGTCCACTATGCAAGCCGAGGTCACACTCACTTTTTCGAGTGAAATCACCCATCCAAAAAAAACGTCATTCGTCGTAATAGCTTTACAAAGCCGTTGTTTCATGGTTTTATTGATGTATAAAAAAAATGAAAAAAAGTAGCACTACTTTCCTATATAATGAAAAAAAAAAATCAAGTTCTTTTTGATATGGATACAAAAAATTACAGCGGCATATAAAAATGAGAAAATACTTTTGAAAGTGGCGGAGAGCCGCCAGAACAAAACAGAATAATACAAAGGGTTTACATAGACAAAATAAATGGCAATAAATACATAAAAAGCCAAAAAGCGGGAAAATCCCCAAAAGAAAATTCAAACCAGGCATACAACAGGGAGAAAAAAAAGAGGTAGTAATTTTCTAGGGAGAAAAAAAAGGGAAAGGAGAAGGGGGGAACAGTGGTGGTAAGATATAGAAAAAAGTTACAAGAATGATACAGTGGAATAAAAAAAATGACAGATCTTCCAAAATGAAGGGGGTGGGGTTAAATTACAACAGTGGGGAAAAAAAAGGGAAAGGAAATTGTTATGATACATGTATGTAATATGATATGTAATGGAGAAAAGAGGATTTTGTCTTGAAAGAGGCACAAGAAGAAAAACAAAGGATTCATACACAAGAAGGAAAGGGCAGAGATGGATAGAAAAAAATGGGACAAGGGAATACACAAGGGTTTATGTACACGTTGACTTGACTTTGGCATGTCGACGAATAGCCCGCTCGATCATGACTAGACAATTTAGAATTTTAGTAAAAAAGCGAAGAATCACAGTGGATTGAAATGTGAGTATATACTTACGTCGACAACGTCTTTGATCCATGTCGGATTCCGGGCAATCTTGAATCAATAGTCCGTGGTTGGTCCGTGCATGCAGGTCGATGTCGTGCAGCGAGGCCAAAAATTCGACGGATCGCCATAAACCAAGAGCAGCTGCATAATGCAATGCGGTCCAACCGTCATTGTCTTGATGGTTGACATCAATATTGGCTTGAGTCACGAGATATTTGGCCACTTCTTCTTGACCGTGCATCAACGCCAAATGAAGAAGCGATCGATTTTGCGTCCCGGTCAAGCCCATCGTGGTCGATGCATTGGAGATCAACTGCGATATTTCCACCAGATCACCGCGAACACATGCATCGATCAGGACAATTTGGGGATCGAAACGGACCTGACGGACCGTCTTGACTTTGATACGCATGGTTGGAAAGCATGCCGGTCGCAGTGGAACAGGCGAAGGTGGTGTGGTCGGTGGAGTGAAGCGGGGCTCGGCCAACTGGTGCCAGGTGGTCCCATACAAGGGTTCGTCATCCGAGTGCGGTGAAGGTGGGGGCGGGGTCCAACAAAGATCGTCGGCTCGGTTTCCGTGTTTTCCAGTGGGGTCATCGATGGAAGAGAACGACGAGAACGAGGAGGAGGAAGAGGTCGAGGATGAAAACGACATGGACGAAAGCGTGGCACGTACGGGAGTCGGGGGAGGACTGACAAGGTACGGGAACGATTCGCCTTCTTCACGTGTGATGGAAGGCCGTTTTTTGAGGGTATGCGTTTGCATGGCGGTGAAGTATTCCTCCGACAACCGCATGTCGGTGGCAGTCATGGGGGTCGGGTCAGGATAAGGCATGGTCAGGGCATGCTCCGCGACTTTATTGACGGCTTTTTTCAACAGCAACGAAGGTCGTTTCAACAAACGTTTGGGTTCTTCGACGGCATGATCGTTGTCACTGCGAGGGGAAGTGGTGGCGGTGTCCAACAACGTGATGTCGGTGTTACTGCTGTTGTCAAGGGAACCGCGGTTGGGGTTGATTTTTTCTGGCATTTTTTTTTCGACCTTGGTGTTGGTTCTCTGATCTTTGATTAAGTGCAAAGGTGCGGTGTTGTTGTCGTTGACAAGTTTTAGCACCGTAGGTCTGTGCTTTTCGGTGGTCTTGGGGGCGGTAGTGGGAGCGGTAGGTGGAAGTGGTTTGAGATGGCGTTGGAGGAGTGTTAAACATTCGGGATTGGTACCACACTGTTGGGGTCCGAATTGTCGGGAGTTGCGTATGGAAGCGTCTGCTCCACAAGCGAGAAGAAGTCGTACAAGTCGCGGCATACCCCAGAAGCAAGCAAGATGAAGACTGGTGTTGCGATAACCCCAAACGTGGTTCACAAACGTTTTCAATTCGGGGGGTGTGGCGTGTTGGCGGATAAAAGAAAGGATCAAACAAGCCATGGTTTCACGTCGCTGGAAAAGGGCAAGTTGTACGGCATTGAGATCTGTTACTGATTTGCCGAACTTGCGTACAGCGTCTGTGCGGACGGCTGAATCGAACTGAATGACCCGGTATTTGTGCGAAGCCGGATATTGCGATGGATCATTGGGGATTCTCGACGACAGCAACACTTGCAGGACGTGGGTTGGACGGTCATGACAAAGTCGCGAAAATTCATTTTTAGCGTCTGTAGTCACCATGGTTTGAATTGATCGCCACAAACGAGAAGGCGAACAACAGCTGGCAGACGTACACGCTTTGCTGGGCTGATGAAGAACAGCAGCCATCGATCAATCAATCAATAAGGAAAAAAAAAAAAACGGGAAAAATAAATGAAGAACACAGAGATCGTAGAACCGAGAATTTTTTTTTGAGGGTCTTTTTTTAAATGAAATGAAAAATAATATCTGCCGTTTAGATGAAAAGAAAAAGCAAAAAGTGCAAGAAAGAAAAGTGGAAAAAAAGGTAAAAAGAGAAAACAAAACAGTGGAAAGGAAAAAATGAAAAAAAAAGATAAGCGTACGAAGAAAACACAACACACGCACCACACACACACATACACAGAAAAAAAAGGTTTTTTTTTTTTTTTACCCTTTGTTGCAAACATGGATAAAAAGGTAAGCCAGACTATAGAAAAAAGGAACACAAACAGGACATGTGGCCGTTTCCATTCTCTAGTGAGCCTATCACTTTAGATCCGTTTTAGAATAGGTCTTTCCGGTGTTCCGTGCTGGAACAAAAATTACTCTTTTTTTCCCTTTTGTACTACACTTGATTTCTCGCTTTGGTCATCTTGTGCTTGACGCACATACATTATGTGTTTCTGTCAACTGCGTTAATTCGTACTCGGTCGTCGCGATGGCCACCCCCGTACTTTTTTTGGCGTCTTTTTCTCCCTTTTTTACTTGGTAACTATGTTCACCTAGCAACCAAAGAACAAGGTACAGATTCATAAAGAAAGAAATGTAGACAAAAAAATAGTCTATCGTCTCGTATCCTGGATTGTCCCAAACCTTCTTTTTTTTTTTGATGCCAAACAAAACTCTAAAACAATCTAGTCCCTCACTCATGGGAACTGAGTCCAATGACGAAACTCTCTTTTTTTTTTTGTCTTTGCTCTTTAATATTTTGTTATTTATTTTGGGTTGGTTATAGCTTTGGGTTTTCCGCGCTGTCCCCCTTCCTTTTCCTCTTTTTTACATTGGTCCCCATGATCTCTCTGTCTCTTTTATTTATTTTATTTGTCAAAGCAGACTTGAATAAATCGGAGAAAGAAACAATGGAAATATCGCCCAGAAAAAAAAAAAAAAAAAGATTGCCAGGGGCACATTTCAGACTTTTCATCAGGATTGGCTTCGGATAAACTTTAATCACCCATTTGGAAGTCAATGGCTTTCCCCGCGCCCCTTATTTTTTCTTCAATTTTTTTTTTTTCATTGATTCCTTGCTATTGTTTGGGTCTCGTGCGTGGCAAGTCCAATCCTTATCCTTCCCCTTCATTTCTGGGTTTTTATTATTTGATTGATTTTTATACTTTTTTTTTGTTCTCTGGTTGAGTCCCGTTTATTTTAATGCGTGCATTGTCAACTGAGACATTTGCACGACCGAGTCTCGATGCTGAACATTCATCTCGAAAAGTATTTGAATTACAACGTGAACGAACCGAAGTAAAATTTGAAGTGAGTTTTTCCATTCACCTTTCTCCCCTCATCATCAACCCACGGACAATCTGTATTTCGATGGATCGATGGACCGCATCATGTCTCTCTGTGTCTCTCTGTCTCTCTCTCCACAACCCTTGGAAATCTTTCCCCATTCCCGTTTCCATAACGTCTCATGATGTCCCATTGACTCTTATTATCGAATAGATTTGGTCACGATCGCGTAATTCGGTACTGCTTGTTCTCACGGCCATCTTTGAAGCACTCGTCGTCATTGCTTTGGAAGCTGTCATTTTCGAGAAGTTCAAACCGTACGGATTTCCTTATTCTTTTCTTTTTTTTTTTTGTTTTGGGAACACTGGTGGTGCCTAATTTTATTGGGTTTCCCATATTTGTGAAAACCGAAAAAGTTATTTTATTTTGGTTACTCATCCCATCATTTTTTGTTTTACGGATAATGTAGGTTTTCAAAGAAAGAGTTGGGAACGGGGATCCCCGTGTACTTGATCATCTTTATTTTGTCACAAGTGTTTCAGGTCGCGTTGGCATGGGATGCAGTAAGTGAAGGAAAAAAAAATGACGCCGTTGGCGCGTTTTCCCGACATGATGCAGTAATTACCCTGCTCACTCCTTGCTTTTTGTTTTAGGTCCGTGCGCAGAATACGATTCAGGTGATCGCACTGCTTCTCTTCAACCTTTGTTGCTTTGGCTACGCTGTCTTTCAATTTAAACAAATTTTCAAAGCGCTTGATGCTTACACGGAGATCTCCGCTCAAGTCCTGCGACAGCTTATTGAACACTTGTTGATCGTAAATGCAGTCATCACAGGGGTTTGTCAGTTGATCTATTTTTATCTGGGAGCAAGATTATATCAAGAATTCGGGTAAGTCACACACAGACACACACACACAGATATCTTGGTTTCCTTTCTCTTCTACAGCCGACGGAAAAAGAAGAAAAAAGAATGGATAGTGTAAACCATGGACCAATGGGAGAGAGGATGAACAACGAAGATGACGAGGGGGACAAAGACGAGGAGAGAAGGGGATATGAAGAGTCACTGTTTTTATTTGGATTGCTGATAATGTTGCATTTTGGATCACATTTTTAGTTGGCGGATTTACAAAAAGATTGGTGCCGACCCAGAAATTCGAAGTATGATTAGACAACAGAGAACGATTTCTTTCATATGTGTTTGTGGTACTAAAAGCCTTTTTTTGTTATTGTGTATCAGACATGTATCGATGGTATCAAATCTTGTTGACAATCCTGAAACTCGACATTTTCTTTTTCCTTGGTTACTCCATTCAATATTTGGTGCTGGTGCTCAAAAACAATGACAGCGAATTCCCATTGACCATCACCGCTCTCCCTTTGACGTGTCTGTTTCTGATCCTCACTGTGTACGCTGTAAGTTGTTCCCAACTCATGAAATGATGACTGTGATGCGGGGGTTTGCGCCTTTCTCATCAAGGTCAAAAAATATGTTCCAAGTAGAGAAAAAAAAGGTTCTGAACTTATTTTTTTTTTTTCAAGGTGCGACGCGAATCGACACCGCTTGTATTGTTGGTATTTTTGGGTCTCGCAGCGGGCTGTGCATATTTCATCTTCAAGATTTGCCGCATGTACCAACCCGATCAGGAGTACAAATACGTCTACGTGAATGAATTTCTCACATTTTTCGGTAAGTCCTTATCCATGACCATGTAATCCGATGCATCGTTGCCAATATTGATCTCGCCCTTTTTTTTTTTTCTTGCTTTGGGGTTCTATTCTAGCGAGCGTATCCCTTTTGCTGGTGGTATTGACCATTATCAACGTCGCCATTTGTTGGCGGAATTTCCACAAAGGGTTAAAACCTCACTGTAAGTTTTTTTTTTCTTACCTGTCAATCCCGAGCCATTCTCTCGAACTCAGATTATTTATTCTTGGTTGTTGTTTAGTATTACGCGATCATCGCACTTCTTCCCTGACCCATAATCCCGGTGAACGAACGTTATCCTTGGATTAGACGTTTTCTTTTTGCATTCCCGCCGAGTAAGACCAAGTAGCCGAACAAGAACCATCTCATCTTTTCTTTTTTTTTCTGATTTTTGCCACTACATGTCTATCCCTCTTCTTCTTCGTCTTGCCTAATTTTTCATCTTTGACGCGTTTCTTCTCCTTAGCTCTTCAACTTCTTTCTGTTTATCTATCTATCTATTCCCCTGTCTTTGTATGCATTTCATTATTTTTTTTACCCCATGGCTTCCTTTTGCGTGTCGTTTGCGAACTGGTTTCATGCGACAACATTTCTTTTTTTCTTTATAACATCAGTTTTTCTTTTTGTTTTCTTGTTATTATCATTTCTGTATTAAAGCTATTCTCTACATGTGCTTATTATCTTTCTCTCTCGCTCTCTCACCAATGGAACTCTCCTATCCTGTTTGTTCCTTTGTCGATATTACTAATGTGTAATATTATGTATTGAAACACGTAAGAGCGGGTTTATGAGAATGGTATACCTAAAAGAAAATGGGTCGCAGATCATGCTATGCCCATACGTTTCTCCAACCCTTTTTCCTCGCATTGGATTTCTTGACCCAATCTCTCCACTTTGGTAAACACGTATCGTAATGCTGATCATGATCGATACTTTCATCTGTTGTGCCTTCAGGACATTCACATCGACAACCTAATCCACTTTCTTTTGAAGGGCAGTGACGGTACTTGTCGTGCTGGTATCCAAAATCTTCAAAGTAATGGATTTCATCCGTGGACAAGAACAATCCAGCCGCTAACGAGTGAACTACAGCAAAACGTTATCAGCCACTGTTCCTCTCTCCTTCCACTGAGCTCGTATGCGCTTTTTTTCTTCTTCTTATGGGGTATTTCTTACCTGGTGCATCTCCCCAACGTTCATAAAAGAAATTACCGGTCTGATCGAGATAGTTGAAAAAATCGCGATAACTCGGGCTTCGCCAGAGATTCAGAGACGCGATTTCAAAGTTGGACCAAAAGTGGCAAAGGTTGTAATCACCATTGTCGTCTTCAAAGTAAGGGAAAAGACTGCTTTTTTTCTCGGAAAGATCCAGACGACGCGATCGAGCGTATTCTTTGACCGTTTTCCAAAGCGTCGGGATCGTTTCTCGCAGTTCCAAAAGCGTAACGACAAAACCGTACTGCTTGTTGTATTTCTGCATATACAAGAATGGATCATACGTGATATCGCAATAAAATCGCACACCAGGTTCCACACGCCAGTACCAGTCATAACTGTAATAGAACAAAGAACAACAGTGAGTCTCTTCAGAATATCGTTCGTCATTTGGTTCCTCCATTGGGAGACATTCAGTTTTGACATTTACTTTTCCAGCAACGGATGGTTGAAGAAGAAGCCAGATTGATAGCGACACATGTGATGGTAGCTTTCAAGGCCTCCGTAAAACACATTTTCGGCGTCCATGCGTTCTCGACATTCCTGTGCATAAGTCTGATTCACCCAACTGGGGTAACTCCAGTGTTCCACGGAGACCAAGCCAAAGCTCATGGACGCATTGGGAGCGGCTTGATGCATTGCATCTTTGAATTCCGTGGTAAATTCTTGTTCATTCAAAAAGACATAGGGATAATCAAAGTTGTTGTTGAACTTGTCCTGAAAGTTTTCAAGCGTTTCTGCAATGGCCACCTGTTCGCTGTTATTCGAGGAAGCAAGGGTTTTTTTTTTTTTGGGTCAGAACCGAGTCGGGAAGGCAAGGTGAGTAATCACAGTTAGCGTTTTACCTGTTTCGAACGAGAATGACAATGGCGGCTTTGGCTTTCTGATGGGGAGGTTGTTTCTTGAGAACACGATCGGGTAGACACACCGCTTCATCGTAGTCGTTGTAATAAGCTGTAGGCTGCATGGTTTTTTCTACTCGAGGATGACTCGCCACATTGTATAGAAATATAAATACAGAAATAAACCCGAGAAGTAGTAAAGGTTTCCGTGAGAACGGAGAGAACGGCCGCATGATGAAAAGAGCAAAGAGATGAACACACAATGTCACATTTTTTTTCTGGGTGTGGTCCCAGTGGGGGTTGAACTGAATCAAAAACGAAGTCACATGAAGGACGTGACAGAAAAGGCAATTTTTTCTCTCTCTCATGCCAAGCTTTGAGGAAATCAAGCCCAGCCTTCAGGTACTCAGCCTTTTCGGGAATGTCGTACTCAAAAACGTACGTTTTTCTCCAACGGATTCTTGTTTTTTCCGATTTTTCTCAATATCGAAAGAAGTGAAACTACCTTATGACAGGCGACGTGAGGGGTGGTATGGTCTGAACAAGCCTTGAGAATGCCTAATTTACATCGTCACTACGGAAGAAAAAGGCCCCAAAGCCATGTCAAGAAAGGGAAATTGGTCTTATTTTGGTGTATATTTGGGTCAAAGTTAATGGTATTATCTTGGCACGCGAAGAAGTTGGTCGTTGTCTTTTTTATCAGCGGATTCACCCAGGTTGACGTGTAAAAAGACAGTAAGCCTGACTTGTCTCTTGCATCCCGCAAGGGCAATGGTTCGCGTATTTCGACTTGTATTATTCGCGGCTGCTGCGTCCTCATATTAAAGAAGCCGCAAAAGTGAAGCGGCATTCTGCCGGCTCTTTCGTCTCTGGATCTTTAACAGCAGGAGCACACTGGAAGAGAAAGGAAAAAATTGGAAAAGACGATTAAGTCCTGGTGCCCTGATCTCGCATCGTTATTTCTCGCTGGGGACGTATTAGACTCGTTGATCTTGACCATGATGAGCCGTCCTTCAAGTTCCGTTTTGCTTCGACAGTCCTTTTTTGATACACCACCATCAGGTTTATCATTTCCCGCAGAGAAAGCTTGTATCATTTGTTTTTTACATGGTACAAGACTGATTCAGCCTCTCATAGTGATACTGAAGTCTAGAAAACTCCTCCAATCGCTGCATGCGGATTGTTGCTATTGTTGGCCACGTTGTACAAGTATCGCTCTCTCAGATAACGCTCGAAGTGTTATTCGTGATTTGTAGCCCCATAGAAGTGAACAAGTGCATCCTCACTCGAGCATAGACTAGATAAACATAGTAGTGGATTCGACGGTCCGAATTTTATAATGAGTAAACTTGTGGCCAATATCTTAACTAAAAAAAATCTCGGATTTATTGAAGAGAGAAATGCATAGATCGAGAATTTTGCTTGTTGTATTTGCAGGGTACAAATTGGGTATGATGGCTTACTCTATGAATTCAATATTGGGCTTTGATATATGAATGGGCATTTTTCGTTCACATGACCTCGATTTGGTTTTAGTGGATTCCACCGCGTTGATTCTCCGACGGTTCGAAATGACTTTGGGCTCACGCAGTTCCTGTGTGGTTCCGTAAATTCGTACTAGCTTCCATGGCCAACATCAATGATGATCAACTCGCTCACTTGTTGAGCTTAGGGTTTGACTTGGAACTCTGTAAACAAGCCTTGTCCTTACATAACAATGTCCAAGACGCCATCAACTGGTACATTTATGCATCCACTTTTTATGCAGCAGACTTGATTAACCTTTGCCCATGCTGAAAAGGATCTTGGCCGACCTTGATACCCGACCAACCGCTTGCACGATTCCGCCTTTGCAGCAGGAACAAGTAAGTTACCACTTGTATGCCAAATATTGTCAGTACACGGTGCTGAGTTGTGGTGACTAGAGTATCAGTGTCGGTGCCAGCGAGGATCAGGATAGGATCGATCAGCGCAAATTATCTGCCAATCTCGCACGTCAAGCCAGGCGTGATAAAATGGAGGACAAACTCGCTCGGCAACGGACCCTCGTGGAAATCAAGCAGGACCGTGAATATCAGCGATTAAAACAGGGACAACTTCCGATCAATGCTCCATACACCACCCGCACGGAATCCTCGTCGACATCAACGCCATCGGAAACAGAGCAACAACGCATTCAGAGAGAGCTAAAACATCAAAAACGACTAGATCGTGAAGTATGGCAGAAAAAGAAAACCGAGAGTGCCGTAGGATTACAGCTAAACAATGCATTTCAGGCTAGGAAAAAGACGTTGGAAGCGATTCGACAAGATCATCAGATCATGAAACCTCGCAATACGACCGATAATAGTACAGAAAATTTACCTACCTCTTCACGTCCAAGCTTGCCCAATCCCGAGTCAACGCAGCCAAGAAAGGCCACCATTCAAGTAAACAATGCCATAATGTTATATCTAATTTGTTGGCAGAGATTTGACGCCAACAATCTATAGTTCAAATTGACCGATGGGAGTTCGTTTCGCCAAGGATTTGCACCCGATACAGTCCTCAGTGATTTATACGAGCTTGTCGGAGAAAAAGAAGCATCAACCGATCATCCGCTCCAACCATCCGAGCAAATTCATTTCATCTCTGTAAATGGCAACTCTATGATTTACCGATACCATCCAGCTTTCTCACTCCATTTGTCTCTGCTTCTTTCGTTCTCTGTAATGATAGGCCTTTCCGCGTCGAACGTTTGGACCTGATGAGCGAACCATGACGATTGAGGAAGCGGGTTGGATTCCCAATATATCCCTCAACGTGTGTCGCCTGTCCACTGAAAGTTCTTGCAATGTACGTACCAACATTTGGTGACCATCTCCTATCCGATTCTAACCTTCTGTTATAGAATCCATCCTTGCCATGCTCCGGAACCTCGTCTTCAGGGGACCAACCGGAGCCCACCACAATCTCTCCAACGTCGCGTTCAACCACACCACGGCAAAGAGGTCGTCGTACGCAGCAACGTAGCTGGAATTGGGGAAGCGCTGGCCATCGATTGGTGGAAAACGAGAACGAGAACGAGAACGAGAACGAGAATGATGATACTACGGAGGATGAGGAGATGTCGGATCGAGGTATGCCAATAGTTCTCAGAGCCAAATGGCCATCATGTTGAAACTGGGGTTTTATGTTAGCGATTGACGAAGCAGAACATCGACGACATGTATTATCCGCTGTTCAGCAGCGTACATCGCAAGTGGCACCTCCTATTGACCAGCCGACACAACGATCAAAGCCGCGAAATATTCGCTCGCTAAAGCATATGTGCTCCAACTTGATTGCAGGTAAATCCTACTTTTTATTTGGTCATTTTTGAATACGTGATGCTCTTCCATCATCTTACATCGTTTGGCAGGACTCTTGATACAGTCCAATGCAGAAGCAAGTACTCGGTTAAGACGACTGCCCTTGCTGTCGTCCGACCATGCAGACAGTCTTGTAAAGGAGCTCATACAGGCGAGACAGTTAGATCGCCTGTCGCTTCGTCGTCTGGCCAATGCATGGTAGGATTGATTTTCATCATAGGTAATTTTTTTTGGGGGAGCCTGTTTTAAAAACTGATATCATGTTATTAGTTATCTCCAGGAACTTGTTCTGGATGCTTACATTTACGCGACGGATTCGCTTTTGGAGGAAATTGGCCATTCTCATTCAACGGAATCCTTGGTGAAATTGAGTTCGAAAGGCTGCGACCTGATTACCGATGGCGGGATTCGATATTTGGAAGGTATGACAAAAATTGAAGAATAGGCGCGAATGCACGTGGATGACCGTTTCAACGGGATAGGTCTAAAACATCTCGAATATCTTGATGCAAGCAACTGCAAAGTAACGGATAGGAGTCGAAGAACTCTCAGCAGTAAGTTATCGAGAGGGGAAAGCAGCAAGCGGAGAAAAAACAAAGTCTGCAGGGACACCGCACTCATTCATGCGTTGACGCATTTGCTGATCTCACCAATGCTCATTAACACTCACCATTTTTTCCATACTGGCATGATCAGCTTTAGCCCATCTCCAGTATTTAAATTTATCGAGAACAAAAATCTCGGATAAAGGATTGCAAGAATTGATCCACCATGCGCGTTTTAAAGAGTCACTTCAAGTCCTGTTGTTAGATGGTTGCAGTGGCATCACTTCGGATTCCACTTTTGCTCTGCTGACGGGTGAGTATTCATGTTGCTGCTTATTTTTTGTTTTGATTCGGAACAACTCAACGGTTGTTGTTTTTTATCTATAATTTTAGTGTTGCCAAACTTGATGCAAGTATCGCTTGCATCCACAGGAATTCAGCCGCAGGCTTTGCAGTCGTTGCCAAACTTACCGGTATTACCGGCATTGGAATACTTGGATGTGAGTCAGACCCAACTGGGAGATGACGATTTGATTCACACAGTTGCTGGGTTCAGAGCATTGCGAGTGCTCAAGTTGAATGGATGCGATGGGATGACGCCGCGTGGACTTGCGTTTCTGGCCCGAGGTAATAAATGAAAAGCAAAAGAACTAATTAAGAACCAGGGAAAATTGACTCTGTGGGTTTGGTTGCGTAGAACTACGGCATTTGGAATGGATCCAATTTCCCAACCGTGAACATGAACTGGATGGTGTATTTGCTCGATTTACAGGTTAGTTGACCGAAAATCTTTTTTATCCCCTTTTCTTTTCCTTAATGTGGGTTTTTTTCGACAAACTGACGATGAGAAAGATGCAATAGATCTCCCTTTGCGCCATTTGGATTTAACCAATTTTCCTAACGTGACGGATGCAAGTATCAAATGGATTTCGCAGATGAAGCATCTGCAATATCTGAGCTTGTCGGGCACCAAAGTCACTGATGAAGGTGTAGCGGATTTACAAGGTGCACGATGTTTTTCTTTTTTTTCTTTTCATGAACAGATCGTCGCTAGCCCAGTTGGTGTAACATTATTTGGTTATTTTAGGGTTGGTGGAGCTGGAAAAACTATTCTTGGATCGCACCACTGTGTCAGACACTGGGCTTTTCAAGCTCGTAGGTTGTACAAATGGAAAGCACGAATGGACGGAAGCGGATGGTGTAATTTTTTTGAGTTGCTAACCCATGCTTTTTGTGTCTCTTTATAGACCTGGTGAAATTGGACACGTTATCGTTAAGTCGAACGCAGATCAGTAATGCAGGATTGCAGTGGATGGGGGATCTGGAGCACACAGACTTTAGCCGCCATTTGAGAACACTTAATCTGTCGCAGTGCAGTCTCATCACTGATAGGGGAATCCGAGGTCTTTCAGGTACGAAAAACATCACGAAAATAAAACCCCATGGGCGGGGATTTAAACTCTAAATTATGCGTGCTGCTTCAATCACCGTTTAGGAATGGTGAATCTCATCAGTCTGAACCTGGATCATACAAATGTCAGCAAGCAATGTCTTCGTTATTTGCAAGGTATGATACACTTTGACGATAAAAACTAAAGTGAGATGATTTTCAATACTCACATTTTTTTTTTCCATTCCCACCGAATGAAACCAGACTTGGACCAGTTGAGGCCCGTGCGATTACTGGGGATCCACCGAGAAGTACCTGACGAAGATGACGATGAAATAATGGAATGATGTGCAACCCAAAGTGATTATAATAATAAAGAAAAAAAACCGGTGTACCTGTAACCTAACCTATCTTGGACGGATGTTGTGTGTATGTGTGTGTGTATATGTGTGCGTGTGTGTTATGGAACCCAACCCCTTCACTTTTATTTTATTTTATTTTGTGCTCCTTTTTAGGCGTTCTTTTGGTATCGGGTTGAGTGAATTTTTCTCTCGCTTGCTTTTCCTTTTCCCTCTTTCCCCTTCCAACCATTTTCATCCATTTTGGCATTCCTTCTTTTTTCGGATTTTATCCTTTCATATATACATCAATTCATTTTTTTTTCTTCCCTCCCCCCACCTTCCCCTCCCGGCCCCCGACCTTTATCTTTCTTTCCTCCTCCAAACACTGAAAGGGTCATGACGGATTCCTCTTTCTTCAAGATGTTTGGCTCTGTTCGACTAGTCCAAGAGGTCTCCAGATCCTCCTCCTCCTCTCATTCAACCACCTCACCATCATCGTCTTCCTTCAGTCATTGTCCTTCAGATTCGTCTTTGTCGCCGTCGTGTTCTTTACCACAGGATACACAGCCCACCCCATTCGCTCCGACCGAAACGCCGTTATTTTCGTCTCATGCCTCATCCGCCGACATGCTTCCCCATGTTTCCGTACCATCGCAGTTTTCGACTCCTTCGCGTTATTGGATTCAGTCCCAACCATTACGAAGTGCCGCGGCATCTTCGTTTCTCACCAGTACGAAACGGAAACTTTCGCGTAAAAACTCCACCTACGCTCATCGTCGTCACCGTTCATCGTTTTCTTCTTCTTCGCCCATCACGCCGTACAAACCTCCCGCCTTGCATGCCGCTCCTTCTCCAGCAAAATCGGCGTGGCGAACACCGTTGGTCGATGAAAAATCAGATATCGCGCAAGAGGAAACCATGAACGACGATAACGGTTCACAGGCCGCCAAATCCAACAAGATCAAATCACAAAAGTTGCTGTGTCTGTGGCCATTGCCAATTATGACGCGGTATTTTATTGCAATTTCTTTGTTCTTATCCACGCTCAGCACGTTTGGTTTTTTACGATTCACGTGCTCCTCACCTTCCTACGTGATTTACCGACACGATATCGCCAATCTGCTGTTATCGCCCTTTATCTTTTCCGGATCCTTGCACGCTCTACTTTTGTTTGGTTGGAACGTCTTGATCCTTGGACTTTTTGAAGAATCCTTGGCCCATATGCTGGGAGGTACTCGTCGATTTGTTCAGGTCCTCTTTTGCATGTTCTTGGCCGTGGCCGGTCTACGTCAAGCCATCGGTTATCTCTTTTCCAAATCCACCGGCTGGGCCGTACCAAGTTTGTTTTTCAGCAACGCCCTGCACGAATGTAATCAAGGTAAAAACATAATGTTCCGTCTTTTTTTGATTTCTGTCTGTTAATCACAATGAATTCTTTTGCTCGGCATGTAGGAATTGCTCCGTTTCTGTTTTCTTTGTTGGTGGTCCAGTCGTTGAGCATCGATGACAAGTATATCTTGATGTATGGCAATGACGATACGAACCACAAAGTGACGGTGCGCAAGGTGACGCTTCAGTTATTCATGTGCATGGTCAATTACGCAGGCAAGAACATTTTATGGTGGTCTTTGACGGGATTACTTGTGGGATACATGGCCATGTTGGCGATCCAGGCTAGTTTGGCCAGAGATAAAAAGCATCAGCACGATATCAACGATGTGAGTGAGTTTATCAAAGTGGAACATTATCGACGTACCCCATTGTGGCGATTGCTGTGGACGGCTGTCAAGCAAGGCACGGCCCTAGTTCTGGTCACTTTACCTCTGTTATTCATCTGCAACCAATATTACACGCGAGAAGTACTCGTGGATCCCGCCGTGCTGAACCAAATCACACACGATCGATACCTGTTTTCTTTTGTCATCATGACCGCGCCTCGGCGTGGCAATCCTGCCTTTCTATCACGGACATTGGAATCGTATTTAACCAACTGGCCCGTGAATCCCGAACCCGGTTCATTGTACGATCGTATGCAGATGCTCGTGTATACCCACTTCACCAATCATACCCAGTACGACGTGGCAAGACACAACTATGCCGATGACAGTCGAGGTCGGCATTATCTGAAATGGATCCGCGAAGACGGCAACTTGTTGAACCAGCGAGCGCATGTCAGCAAAGCACTGAGTTTGGCGGCCGATCAGTATCAAAGCACGTATATTGCGCTTGTCGAAGATGACTTCCCCGTGTGCGGCAGCCGAGAATGGCGTCACATTGAGAGTGTGATCTATGCCGCGAATCAGCAAGTGCCCGGTCACTGTGGCGTGTTTGTCGGTACCGGTGGCAGTGGTCTCTTTATGAAACCCAAGATTGCGAAATTGGCGTCGGGCTTGCTTTTAAAGTACAACGATATGCCTCCGGATATCATTTTGCAGAAATGTTTAATGGGCGATCTACCGGAATGCGGCGAGTGCAGTCAAACGCTCGTCACAAGTAAGACGCTGCTCATGTATCACATTGGATTCAACACCTCGACGAGCCAAGATCGATCCTATAAAAAGGACGAATTTCAATGTGGATGGCGCCACCCCTTTGTAAGTATAAAAACATGTCCACGCAGAGAACCACAAACTAATATTGATGTATGATAGAACGGCGATCCACAAGTGATTACTCTTTAAAAAGGAAAATCCTGCGTACTTAATTCCATTCTTTTTTTATGTTTATCCCATGTGTTTTTACTATCTAGTATTGTGCGCTGTTTCCTTTATTTATTTGTTTTGTTTCTTTTTCCTCCACCTTAATACTGTATATAAACTTTTTTTTTATCGGGCTACCTTTTTTTTTTCTTATCATAGAAGCATGTCATCACTTTTTAATCCAGATAAACTGAACTGAGTTTTCTTACATCCATATATATGCAAGCCCAATTGGTAGAAAAAAGGAGCTACCCAGTGTCAATGCTTGTATCGGCTCGAACAGTATGAACCTTTTAAATATCTTTCAGAGTCTTTGCCCAAGCGGATAAGCCAGACTATCGAAATGAATATTCTTGTATGACATGTAATTGGAGAAGATAGCGGAAACTGGACGCTGCACTTGTGGGATCAAAAATGCCAATTTATTTCGCAATCAAACTGCTAAAATCAGGGTCTGTCATCCAGCAGATCTTCACGGGCTTTTGACATCCCAATATTGAAAAAGCGAGAGCTGATAAGTGAATTCAGCCTTTAACCTACAGGATAATCGTCATGTACCGCCGACTGTGTTTTCTCTAATAAGTGCTGTGTTGCTAACCGTTGAATCGCATCCACGCTATGCATGAGAAGACCCTATTGTTTCCATTCAAAATCAAAAGCTTTAAAACAACGACAACTGTCTCGCCAGTAATTGCCAGCAGGACCGTAAAATGGAAGTAGCTCGTCCGCTTTTTTACTGAATGCCGTTGGTGTTTGAATCTACAACCTCTTATCTATGAGGTATTAACTCCTTACTCTCAATGCAGAGCGCCCACACCCGAATCGCGTCACCTGTAAAAGAGGTCAACGCTAATGCCAACTTGAGTTTCTACATCAACAGGTATACCATAACCATGCAAAAATAGGAGCTCCAGTGTCCTCAGACAGTTGAAGGGTGTCATATTGTACTCACGTGTGACCTGATCCAGCAGTAAAAATGGCCCAAGTGCGACATTATCATGTTCAAGATTAATCTGGTCTTCGTTTTCTTGGTTGTCCTCCGACGTTAGTAGCAAACAGATGTCGATATCACTCTTTTCAACTAGGCGTATGATACCATCTGCCTTGTAAAATGTACTTGACATCGTTGGATGTTCGTCAATCCTTTGATACAGCTGTGATTCTCCTGGAGCGAATCTCACGGCTTCCTTCTTCTGTCGCTGAATATAGCGCGAGCACGCCGCCATAATGAGCCACAAAACTGACTGATTCCAAGCGCACGCAGACTCTGTGGGATCGACCACGACAGAGTACACATTGTTGGCACTAAAGTAGCCAAATCAGCAAAGGCGACGTAAGAGTAGTCGAGAATGCTACTGACATGTCTGTAAGAATCTCCTTCACAAACAAAACCTTGTTCCTGAAAGCAGTGGGGTCGTGGTCCTTTTGCCGATCTCCGCAATGGCGACTTCAAAATCGCCCAGTGTAGTCTAATATATAGTTTTCAGTCAAAGCACTTGGCAAACATGAATGGTTACGTACTGCGGCTAGAAGAATGGCGATATCATGTTAATTCCGTACAGCAGTTCTTCCTTCATACTTTCTGGCGCACCATGATACGGATCAGCGGATTCCTCCTCGATCGAACTTAAAAAAAAGCACACATGAATTTCCTGCGTTGAAGGACTTTGACGGCAAAAAACTCCTCAACGGTGATTACTACTTTCTTATCAAGTGATTTTTTTATGGACAAGCCAAATTTTTATTTGATATCTGATATTTTTATGACGCGATGTCTGAGACGAACAATCAGCATTATCAGTTATGTTTTATGTAATGTGGTGGAACCAATGTCTCGCATATCTGTTCCTTTCCGTCCTCGAGCCAACCCAAATCATAGCAGAGCCCATCATCGCGAGGTATGGACTAAAAAGTAAATTCGGTACCGCGATGTTTCACGTTAAAGGACCCTCGGAAGACTCGAGGATCAGGAAACGGCTTTTTTATAGCGAACCCACGACTACTCTTCGAGAAGGCAAGCTTTTTTGCAGGCATCATCTTTTTAGGAGATGCCAATGTCAATCGTTCTTTGACGGTGTCAGATTACTTGGGTCTCCACCAATGAAACCGATAAGGAATTCCTAGTCAATCATTCGTTTCTTGGGCTTTGTTCCTCCCAACCCACACAAATCGGCTTGGGACGTCATTCATGTCAACTGAGGCACTGAAACACACAAGTAGCCTGTCAAAAACTTACCATGCAGGTTGACTGGCAAATATGGCAAGGCGGACCAGACCTAATTCTCTAGAAAGTGGTTGCTGGGCATGGCGGCATGTTTCACTGATATTAATCTTGTTAACTGTTCCATGCGGGAAGGTGAGCGGTAGATAACCTTTGAAGCTAGGTCGGCGCTCCTTTTGTCAGCAAGGTCAGTATCATTGAACTTTAGGCACGCCTTCCACTCATGGTCGCGGATAAGTGATCGCAGTGCTGGAACCAAGAACCTGGTTATGGGATTGGTCTCCGACATCTTATCATTAGAGTGGCTTTGTATGAGAGGAACTTAATGAGCTGGTAGATAGACATGATCAGCTGTTTGTCGATCAGGCTTCCCATTTGGCTTGCCAAGATGAGAGTAGAGGCGACAGCTTCATAGATATCCGTTTTTCTTGCTGTCAACTTTCTTTTGCGATTTTGTTTATTTATTTTGGCATTAAGGAATCTGACATTGGGAAATTCTCGAATCATTCTCTTTGCAGACCTTGACGGATCCATATCTGAAGATTTTACCAACGCATTGGTCGACGGCTTCTGCTGCCCTTTGATATGTCTGTACCGTTCTTAGTTGTCAGTTGACATCATTCTTAGACAGCTGCGGTTGATTATTCAAGCCTATCAATTGTTTGTTTGTATGCAGGCGCATGTCTTTTTTTCTCTTTTGCATGAATAAATGCAGTTAGTCTGTGGAGATATTATATCGTTTCTCTTCATTGTGCTTATCATTGCAGTATGTGGACGACCGTCTGGTTATTATTAAATAGCTCTACACGCCCTTTTTTAGTGTTGGCCGAGTAGATTCAACTGGCGCTCTGAAGTTATCGTATTTTCGCATATCTCCAAAAAGTTTCAAAGTTTGTAGAAAGCGCGCATTTGGAAAGGGGAAATGAGTATCACCGGCAAACAATGGCTTATCATTGGTTCCAACAATGTACCACGATCTACTTCGTAGGGAGCGCAAAGATCACTTAACAAGGAGATTCATTGTAGTTTCTCTGATTTACACAATTGTGGATTGACAACGAAAATATTCAAGGCAGAATAGACACTTCCCAATGAGAGCGATCATGATATTCAAGTTTCCTCTGTTGATGCATGGAACGACAGGGAATAAGTCATGTTTTGGAAAAGGCCGGTTACGAATAGAGTACCTTGTACATTTAATTGTTTATATTAGACGAGGGCTACCCCTCGAGAAGCAGGCTGATGTCTATTATAAATCATGTTGTCAGTCGCATGCATTGAAACTGATCTCAGATTTGATCTTGATCGTCAATGAGCGGAGGAGAATACGGCACCAAAAAAATAAAAGATTAGAGTTTTTTGAGTGGCAAAAGACCCCACTATCTATCATACTTATTTTTTTTTGACACAAAAGATCGGTGAATTCTCGCGGATGACTAAGGCCATTTTAGGTTGCCCATGTTTTGAGCATGATGGTATTCTTGAAAAAAAAAAAAAAATTGAGCATAATATACGGACTTTGAACGAAAAAGATAGGTCATTTGATGTGCAGGCTCGTTTCCTTTTTTTCTGGACCATCCTGCTTCCATGACAAGAATCACTATTATGAGACTTGTCATTTCCTTTTGAAACCATACAGAAAAAAAAAAGTGACATGGGCCACATTGTTCAAAAAGGTAGAGGTCAAATAAAACGAACATGAACAATAGCGATCAGAGTAAATAACCACAAAATAAATAAATAAAAAAACCAACTTCATCGGCGCCAAAAAATTAGCTCCCACGAAGGCTTTTTTCTTTTTTGGAATTGGGGTATTGGCTTTTGCGTTATGGTTGCGCAAATCAAAGTGTACTGATGTCATTGTCAGTTTCCGGATGGTTTGCATATGTAAAGTCGTAGTGAAAATCGAATTGTATCAATGTGGCCATGATATCATGCATTACGACAAATCTTTGTTAGTGTTGTTAGGGTGGTGTATATGGTGACTGTAGCAAGTTGGTGTTATGGATGAGTTGCCGTGATAAACGGTTGGAACTGGGTGGAAGAATACGACAATGGGGTTTTTTTTAAAGTAACGGGACCTGAAAAAATTGAATTGCAGCAAAACATGAAATAGCGTGCCAGAAAAAAATCAGGCCATTTTTATTTTATTTTCCCTGAATACTGCCCAACCCTTTGGATGTTCTCCTCTCTCTCTGGTTATACCAAATTGGCAAGCGCCAAAAAAAGACAAGTTTACTTTTTACGACCCAGAACCCATTAAGCCAGTTGTTTCTCTTTTAAATTTTTTTTCTTGCTTAATTCTTTTTCCATTCTTTTTTTTTTTTTTTTGTGCGAGTAAACTAGGGAGCAAAATACAAACAAAACAGCCAACAAAAAAAAAATTACAACAGAAATTTCACACATCAATTAAAACCATTAAATAAGAAATGGAGTCGTTTGCACCGTTTCTATCGGACATGACGCCTTCCCATCCTATCAACGATGACGATGCCGCTTATTTCACATTGTCGCAATTCGATTTCGAATTACAACAACAAGCACAAGCCGTTTTGCAGCAAGGCATTTGGCAGGATTTCGATCGTTACTTGCCAATGGACGATGCTCCTCTGTACGCTCCACCTCCTCCATCTTCGCACCTTTCTTCCACTCACAACAGCCTTTTATTCGGTCAACCCATGACTCACCCATCCCAACCGCCGCCATCAGCACCCACCACGGCCGGAGTCATGTTCACTCAGCTTGATAATAACCCCTTGATGGGAAATTTGACCAAAGAATCCATGCCATCATCGATTCCTTCCACGACCATGCCCACTCCCATTGTTCCTTCGCAACGGACAGAGGATGAAAAATTGCACATCAACACTGTCATGACATCGGTGCCGGCTGCTCAGGATACGTTATACACGCCATCCATTGATCCCCACCCCGCTGTGTCACCTCCCAGCACCGTGGTGTCTTCCAATGCCGGCTTGGACAAGTCACTGGAGACAGATTTTTCATCGCACTATCCAGTGTCTTCCACGACCTATCTTTCGCCACCCGAAGCACCGGCCACACAGCAATCGTCGCCCCTGTCAGCCCCGTCATCTCAAATGCCATGGAATATGGAGTCGTCACCGGAAAATCTGAGTAGGTTTCAATTATAAGCATTGAAACATTCAAAAAATTGAAACAAATTAAAAAATAACCCTCTTTTTTTTCTGTTTCTCATAGATAAGGATAAAATTGCTATTGAACGACTCAAGCCCGCGACCACCGCCGCCAATGGAGGTACAATGTCGAGCAATGGAAATCGTGACGGAACAACGCCTGGGCCCGGTCGTGCTCAAAAGAAAACGGCTCACAATGCCATCGAAAGACGTTACCGAAATAACATCAACGACCGAATTGCTGAGCTTAAAAATGCGGTACCCGCCCTTTTGCATGCCAAAGTCAAAGATGCACGCACGGGTAAACGCTCGTACCGCGATGATGACGACGACGATGCTGAGGATGGCGAAGAGTACTTGGACGGTGTAGCCGTAGCGACCAAATTAAACAAGGCTACTATCCTGAGAAAAGCCACCGAGTACATTCTTCATCTGAAAAAAGTGGGCGATGACATGGGCCGCGAAAATGCCATTCTTCAACATCTCTTATCGCAGCTGCCGGGCGGTCAAGATGTGTTGGCCCGTTATCAGATGCATCGAATGCAACGAGAACAAGAAATACATCGTCAACGAATTCTGGAACGTCAATTACAGAAACATCAGCAACAGCAACGCAAAGCTGCCGGTCGAAAACGATCCCGGTACCAGGCGGAACCTCACGGAGAAGAGTATGAATCCTCGTCTTCGTCCGGTTCGGTCGGCCCTGTTACCCCTCCAGCCATGGCCAATCGTGTATTCATGGCCCTTTTCATGTGCCTTACGTTTTTCTCGTCGTCTCCCCTAACCTCTGGTTCCAATTCCACCGAGCAATTCCAAAACCATCAACATACTTCGCGAACCTCCAGCAGTACCACGGACCCCATCACTTCCGCTTCGGCCACCCGCCATACTGCGGATGCCAACCCTTCCATCCTGGGGTTCTTGTTTCCCTTTGAAGACAAATGGTAAGTGTCCTTTATCTAGCACTGTTATCTCCCCCACCTCTCTGTGTAGAATTGGATACTGATGTATGATCCATCTTGTGTTGATCACGATTTTAGGGCAACGCTGCATACAGCTGTATTTATGGTCTGTCTTTTGCAATTATTTTTCCCATATGTAAAATCGTGGTTCGGTGTGTCTTCGTCTTCATCGTCGCTTAAAATGAAACGGGTGCCCAGAGTCAAAAAGGTCACACAAAACCGTCGTCGTCCCGTGACCGGCAAAACGGGAGCCGCGGCCTCGTTCTTGTCTTCCAACCATGCCATCACACCGGGCGATCAGAAATATATGCAGTTGTACGATATCCTCATCAATTCACTTGCACGTGACAACGATGCACCCAACCCGCACACATCGGGCACCGTCTGGCCTTTGTGTAAAGAAACGGCACGAATGATTTCGCGTCATGTTTTCGGTTACGATATCCTTTATGAAGACAATGTAGCGAATACCACGCAAGAGGAATGGGGAAGAGTGTGCAAATGGATAAAACTGAGCGAAATCCAGTGTCTGGGAGGCAATGCCGACTTGCCACGATGGACGCTGCTATATACCTGTATCCGTGCTGTCAATCTAGCCGAATCCTTGGACGAAGAAGAACACCAACACAGCGGTCAGGCCCGTGCACGAGCCTATGCGAATGCGGCCATGCACATGGCGGCGTTTTTCCCTTTGCAATCCTTGGCTACCAAATTGGCCCGGTATTTCTGGCGACTGACGGTATGGGAAGCCGATTTGGATGAAGACGACACCAATGAAGAAAGCGCAGCGTGGATGCAGTCCTTGCTGTGGTATCCCATGGAGGAGGAGGATCAATTGCACGACGACCCTGTCGATAATATTCTCGATTCAGCAGCTTGGAAGGAAATGATTGGCGTCGTGAGACTCAAGACCGATCGACCGCTTCTTCGTGAACGGGCTGGTGGTGCCACTTTGTCCTATACTTCGCCTGTGATGGTGCCGTTGGCCCTTCTGTCATCCTTGCATCTATTTGAAAGTCTTCATGATCGTTACATTGGTTTAATCGATTGGATGGTGAACACCTCGTCGGCGGACGTGTTGGACGTCAGCGACTCCATGTTTGATCCTGTTTTGGACGTCAGTGTCCATGTCAAGGATTTGCATCTGGTGCGCTGGTTCGCCATGGTTGGTGCGACGGTCCAAGCCTTGTGGAGACACGATACACCAACGGCTGAAACTTGTCTGACCTCGTTGGCTGAAAGGATTCCCGCAGCCGTTTTTTCCACGCATGAGGAAGTCACCGATAACGCCATGTACCAATCGCGACTCAATCAACAGGACGATATGATGAAACGAAGCATGGTTCATATGCTGAAAGGCGCCATTTTGCTTCTTAAAGAGGACTTGTCAAAAGATCAGCGACATCAAGGCATTCGCGAACTCGAAAAGGCGGAAGAACTTCGAAATCAAGCCAAGCGATTCATGACTCGTGGCAAGGAAACCGGCGTGGCCCGAACGAGAAACAAGTCCCGCAAGGTCTTTGCCGGTGCATCGTCGCAAAAATCATCGGCGGACGCATCCGTGGAAGAACTTGGTTCGCTGTCCAATCATCATTTGGAGCACGCCGTGATGGCGTTTGCCGAATTTGCTGTGGCCATGATTGGTTTGGAAGCCTGGATTTTGGCGCTGCAGTTCCGTGATGCCGAGGAATCTCAATCGGAAGCCAGGGAAAAGGTGTGCAGTGCGACATTGAATCTGCGACGTATGATTCGCCGTCGTTCATTGGACGGATTACGAACGAAACAAATGATGATTGATCGTTTGAGTCGCCTGGGGCGATTCGTGGCACAACAACCCGATGAAGTGGATTCTGCATGTGAATGTATTGACTCAGATATGGATGACGCTTCCGTCTGGGAACAGCACGATGAAGACGATCACACCGTTGACGACGAGCATGATGAAGCCGAGATTCTTACCCGACGATCAGCCAAAGCAAGAGATATCCTGCGTGGTCTAGCTTAACCGGCGTGCTTAACAGTGATATTTTCTTTTCTCTTCAGTCCTCTTTTATACACTATTTTTTCAAGTATTCCATAGTTCGTTTGTCATAATATCGGTATTTTTTTCTTCTTCACATCATTATTTCGCTCTTTTTTGTTTGCTTTTGTGTCTTGTTTTCATGCATTGATCATATATTTCTCTCTCTCTCTCTTTATTTTTATTTTTATTTTTCTTACCATTATCTTTCACTGCATTATTGTCTAACCTTCTGCCGAACAAACAAAAAGAAAACCAAAGAATACATGTCATATCCATTGCCGTGCCATTTGATTCATGATGCACTCTTCTGTCTCTGGCAGCTCTTTGTAAGACTTCAGATAATTTCGTTATGTTTTAAGCTTTGCTTAAACGAAGCAGGCCAAGAATCTTGGTTCGCAAGAATTGATAGACCGGATCTGGACCGCGCATGAGTCGGGAATCAACAAGGTACAAATCGGCCAAATGACGGAATCGACATATTTCCATCATGAACCGTACTTCTTCACCATGGTCAAAGGAAGGGTCGCCATAGACAGGATCCATGGATGGATCGGCATTCACCGAGAAAATTAAAGAGGGAAGACTCTCTTCGGTGGCGTCGGATGTGTGTGTGAGATAAGCTGAACTGGCCATCGACGATGTGGATGGTTCCAAGACGGGCGATCTTATTTGAAAGGTCCGAGATTCTCTTCGAATGCACACCAAACGGAAGCTTTCATCGCAGTGCACCGTCACACCGAGAAGTCTCAAAGTATGTAAGAGATCGACAAAGACGTCTCCCGGTGGGCGGCAAGTCAGCGAAGCCGGGTCCACGGTACCGTCATGAATGGAAATCGAATCTGGGGCGGTGCTCATACGATTCATCTTGTCTGTAATGAAGGCAATTGGGTCAGTAGCAGGACGACCGGAATCGGAGGATACAGGACGTTTGGATTCGGTGGATCCGGGAGGATGGGGCTCGGTGGATACAGGACGTGTGGATGCAGTGGATACGAGAAGGTTGGACTCTGTGGATACGAGATGATTGGATTCGGTGGATGCCACAGGATGAATCATGATCATGGACGAGGACACTTCTTTCTTTTCTATTGATACATAACGGAAAATCACAACTTAGTCATCCAACAGTGGGTTCCGTACATTTAGCATAGAGATATCATACCTTCACAAGTGAACGATTTTGGTGGTCCATCTGGATGGTCACAGTTGGCAAAGGAGCGGTCCACGGGCGTCATGGGAATGGTAAAATCCACCGGACTATCGGAACCTTGGGATGAAAAAGTTTGCTCCAAGGACACTGGCGATTTGCGCTTCATCAAGCGAAATGATTTGGACGTGCGCCACGTTCCACGGTTCTCTTGTTTGCGTTCCATCAAAGGTTGAGGGGAACAAATGCCGCGGATGCCGGTCAAAAACTTGGTTTTCAATGTGCCAGCCTTTTTCTGACGCCGTGCTGAATCCTTGTTATTTGGGTGCGTCTGGTCATTGTAGTCTGCGTCGTTTTCTGAATGATAAGATGCACGATTTGCAGATCGCTTGTGGTGCAGCATGTTGTAAAGCCTTGATTTACGGACAGATGTTGATGGTGGCGGAGATGTGGCGCTGATGTGAACAGCAGACGGTGGCGGCTTTTGGTTTCCTGTGTCTGTGGGATCAAAAGTGGAACCGCTCTTTTCGCTCTTTTCTTGGACGGTATCCAGGCCACCCAAAGTCGCCTCCATGGTAGGCTGGTTGTTTGCCTTTTCTATTTCGTGGGACAAAGTAGGCAAAGGTTCTTGCACGGCCGACGGATTGGGTTCATGAGGGACTTTAAGCGATTGAATCGTCGCTTCGGCTTCTTCTTCCAATTGTTGTGGTGATTTTTTAAACAAGTACCAGTAATCCTCAAGCCAGGGATGAACAAGAATGGATTCAAGAGAGGATCGATGCTGAGGCATGGGAGCGAGCATATCCCGAAGCAGCTCTTGCAGCTGTGGGCTGACCCAGTCAGGAAAAGTCAATGAAGTGGATAGAATATAGCGATAGAGGAGGTTGATGTTTTCACTGTTGGGATTACTGGGATCATCGTCAAAAGGCAGGAAACCGCATACCATGGCATACAGTATAACACCACAGGACCACACATCGACGGGGAAACCAGAATACAAAGAACCGTCATTGACTACCAATTCCGGCGCGGCATAACATGGAGACCCACATGAGGTGATTAATAGATCGTCATTATGAGACAGCTGATTTGCAAACCCGAAATCGGAAACAATGATATTTAGGTCTTTATCAAGAAGGAGATTTTCCTAAATTACTGATCCCATATTAGCGCATGGTTTGCCAAATTATTTTCAAGGCAATCATCCACTGGGTTTGATTTGCTTTCAGTGGATGATTGCCTTGAAACATACCAATTTCAAATCACGGTGAACAATCTTTTTCTCATGCATGTAGTGCACACTGCTAATCAATTGAGCAAAGAGTCGCTTGGCCTCATTTTCACCTAGTCGTCGTCGCTTGTACAGATATTCAAACAACTCGCCACCTAGAACATAACATCAACTTTTGTTAATGACATTTACACGGACCATGTTGCGTACGGACGGAAGGGAAGCAACCGTTACCTTCAGCATATTGCATAATGATGCCAATAGACGATTCTGTTTCAATAACTTCCAAGAGTTTGATGATATGAGGATGACGGAGGATCTGATATCACCCAAGAACAAGGTGTCATTTTTCTTGTCGTGCCGCTTTATCACTGCCCAATCCAAACCGGCTCCTCCCCCCCAACCCCAATATTCTACTTACGTTTAGTACGCTAATCTCTCTATCGATTTTATCTCGCCGAGATGCTGTCTCCACATCCCGCTTTTTGACCACCTTGACAGCTACCTAGAATAAAAACCATGCAGGTGTTTAATGTCGGTGGATCGAGAAAAAAATAATATCAACACGCTTCCATTTCGGGAAATGCGGGTATTGAATATCCACATCAAGCAGAGAATAAAAACAAGGAAGAAATACCTGTTGACCAGTTTCGCGGTGAACGGCTAGCCTGACTTTCCCGAATTCACCCATACCTAAAGTCTCCAGCAAGTCATAAGGACCCAAGTGCTTGCGATGGTGCGAATGACGATCAGGTTTATCGGGGATCCCATGATCCACCTTGTCCGTCGGGGATGGGGTGGGCGGTAAAGCATTCGATAACGAGGATAACGACATTGACGGTGATAGTAATGGAGTAACTTAGAAGTTCTATTTTACGATAGGAGTAAGTGACAAGCCCAAGGTGAGGGAAGGAAAAAGAAGAGAAAGTAAAGAAAAAAAGGGAAAAGGGGGAATTATACAACGGAGAAACGAAGCAAGATTTATGTTACAATTGATCACCACTACGGTCAATACAATGTATACATACATGTTTTTTTTTCTCATTCCGGCACAATCCCGTTAATACCTTCAATGACACAAAGTGCGCCACACTATAGCGCTAAACAAAAATTGTCATTTTTCTTTTTTTTTTTTTTGATTGAAAGCATGATAGCCACTCACCAAAGCCTTGTCGGTCACCGTAAAGCCCAATCCAACTACGTGTTTCCTTTGTCAAGAGCATTGCTTTCTTTTGAGTTCATTTATATTTTTTACAAGTGGTTACGTAGATGTAACGTTGCAAAGTACGATGCCGTACGCTCAACTCCAAATATTAAGTGCAATATGTTCTCGTTTATGATATCCGTAATGATGTAAAACTTTTTGTATAGTCATCATTCATAATGGCCGGTAAAATTGACAGTGCTTCTATTTTATGACTGCTTTGGAAGTTGTACGTGACATTTTGTTTCTTTATTATTAACGGGCCTCAAGGGTTTCTTTTCTTATTAAGCTGGTATGCGGCTCTAGATGATCTGGGGCTTGTGTCAGAGGTTTCTATGCTTTCACCAACCCATTGTCTTTCTTAGACTGATATGCAAAATGGTGGTTCATTGATCACTGTGCCGAACGTCCTATAGCCCCTAAAGGCCTCCAGAATACACCAAAAAATCCATCTCCATTGACCAACGCTGTGGAGTAGCCCAAGTAGGGACGGAATAGGGAGGTCATAGAAGCTTGCGCTGTCGATCAGAGTTTTGTCTGTGTGCGCTGCGGTACAGCGACGATTTAATTCTTTACGAATCACTACGCAAACGGCCGGGCATGTATCATACAGTAGAGCGTTGTTCATTCTATAGTACGTATTTTGGAAACCAAGTAATCAATCATTTTTCGTTTATTTTTGGGTTGGGTGGGTGTTTCTGGGAGTTTTTAAATGGAGAACGTCATGATAAATGCTGTGAGAAAGAGTAAAAGAGGGGAGAGCGTCACGATGGACGCTGTGGCGGCGGCCTTCTTCCTTCTTTCTGTGGAAGGTCGACGAGTCTCGTGAAAGACGCCTGCATCGTTCTTGTTAGGTTCAATCATGGCGCAGCTGTGGAGATCTTTCCGTCGCGGGGCCACTTCAACTGCGTTGCCTTCAAAGTCGCATTGGCCTTTGGCTTGAGCATACGAATGGTACAACCAGCTCAGCTTTTCTCTCGGCGAACAAAACGAAAAGGCGCCGTACTTTCCTTTTTCCGCATCCCCGCTAATCTCACTGCACGACACCATACCGCACATTACATCGATCTGTTCTCCCAAAACGGTCGTGTTCGCGGGCGCCGCACCAGATGCGCCTCTATTTGACACAAGGTCGGCCGCCAAACAACTCAAATTTTCATGCATACACGTACACGCGCCATCCGACGGCGTCGGCGGTAGCTGGCTGGCGGCTTTCCAGATGTTGTTTGTTGATGGACAGGGCGACGCGCTGCGTTGCACATCAAAGGAATCCATGTTAACGCCTTTGGGATCCACTTTGGCCAATTGCTTTTGAAGGTTGGTGTAGTCCGGTAACAGTTCCACGGAATTATTGCCATACGCTGCTTTGATCAAACCGTAATTGTTATTTTCCTGCGTCCACTCATACGCTACGCCACCGGACCACACATCGGTCATCTCTGGCCCATAGATCGCCTGCACTTCGCTAAAGGGACGCGGCGTCACCAAATTGCATCCATACTCGGACATGAACACCGGTTTGCTAAAGTTGGCAAATTCGTTGGTTCGATCCTTGAATCCCGATTTGGCAAACGAAGATTCACCACACCATTCATACAAATTGACGCCAAAGAAATCGGCCTAAAAACAAAAAAAGCACGTTAACAAAGCTGTAAATGGCAATTTTCGGACGATTCTTCAAGTTTTCAGAGGGGGGCCTGGGATAGTTTACCTGAGATCCTTCGTCACCACAGTTAAAGTAATCGCGAATGGGAAGACGAATATGTTCATCGTCGTTGCTAGCGTAGCCCACGGGAATGTAGCGTTTTTTGGTCGCTTTGATATAGCTTTTGATGTCACGCAGGGCGGCTTTTACATAAGCGGACGCCTGTGTATTGGTGCGATCGTTGGTCACCTCGTTGCCTGCAATGAAGCCCAATACGTTGTCATATTGCGAGAACGTGTCGACGGTGGCCTTGTAGGCATTGTAAAGACTAACATCGTATTCGGGTTCCTCTCGATTGACTGAAAACTTGGGAGTAGCAATATCCAGCAACAGATACATGCCAGCATCACTAAGGGCCTTCATGCAGGTATCATGATTTTTTCTCGGATCCACCTAACCATAGCATGGGGAAAACAGAGGCGTGTCAATAGAACATGATATGGAGTCCTGCAAAAACAGAACTTTTATACAAATACACATTTTTTACCTCGTAAACACGGACAACGTTCAAACCGAGTTTGGCCATCAATTGAGCATCACGAGTGCAAAGGAGTGGATCGGCTAAAGGGTCGTCGATTTTACTGTTTTGGCCTCTAGGTTGATATGCAACACTGTCATGATTGAAAACATCACGATTCGTTAATCATTTCTTTTGTGTTTCCTTTTCCCCTGGAGGTTGTTGTTGTTGTTTATCGTACCCTTTGATGAAAAACTGCTCTTTCGTAACGGAATCGAAAAACTTGTGGCCTTTAATCACGATAGGATTAAGCCCGTACACTTGGCTGATTGTGTATACAAATACACAGGTCAGCAACGCCACCGATCGCATCTCAGTGAAATATATAAAAAGAAAGATTAAAAGACAATGGCCCAGAGATAACAAGAGAATTCAATCGGTCCCTTTTCTTTCGTCTATGTTGGCTGTATTTAGGGATTTCTTCGTTTAATCCTTTTTTCCCGTTTTTCTCGTTGTTTTTTCTCTTTTCGCCTTTGAGACGTTGGATCTTCCGCATGTCAATGGCGTTTTTGTTTCTTTTTATGTTGGATATTGTTGTGAGGAATGTTCAATGGTTCCTTTTTAAGGTACGGACAAATAGGTGAAGTATCCTTTCTATTGGCCCCAAAACCCCTGGCCCGATGTTCCAGTCCTGGATGTCCATATTTTGGCTGTGTCCCATGGATCTCAATCATACCATTTGAACCTACGATGCTAGACCAGCCGATGCGGGATGCAAGCAAACATAAAAAATAAAGAATGTCTATTTTGGGTTACTTCCGTGCAATGACGCGACGGTGGCTAATTAAGGTAGATCAGGCGGGTGCTTCTAGTCCATTTGCGGTAGTGAGGGGTAGATTCTGCTATCTATTTGATCAAATACAGAAAACCAGCGTTCTGTTTTTGTGGGGGATAGAAAAAGTGCATGTCAGAGAAGAAAAGTAAACATGACACTTGATGGTTCTAGCCAATCATCGTTGATAATCGTTGTCTTTTGCACAACATGAATCCTGTTATCTCTTGACTCTCCTTGGCCACCTCTGCCTGATAATCGGTTTCAAACTCAGTGTGCCCAACTCTTTTCACCAGCCGCCTATAAAAATCGACTCCATTTCTGTTTCTTATCTTGTTTTTGCATTATCTCAATCCACCCATCGATCGCAAACCATTCGTTTTCTGTTCTTCATGGTTGTCTATCACAATATTCAAAACACTCATCGCCCCACAAACTCGTCCCTGACCCTTGTGATCAAAGTGGGCACGTCGTCTATTTGTGACGAAACCACGCATTATCCTCTGCTGGGCAATCTGTCACGGATTGTGGAAACGATCTTGCAACTTAAACGACTGGGCCATCGAGTCGTTCTGGTTACTAGTGCTGCCGTCGGTACAGGACTAAGACGATTGAACATGACAGAAAAACCCAAAAAGTTGGCATCAGTCCAGGTAAAGCATGTGCGCATCGTTCACCTTTTTTTTTTTTGTTTTTTATCATTATCCCGAAAAAAAAAAATGCAGTGACAACTAAACTTTTCTGTTGATCTCTCGTCAGGCCATTGCTGCGGTCGGTCAAGGAAGATTGATGAGCATGTATGACGATTTATTTGGTCAATTCAACCAACCAGTGGCGCAGATTCTACTCACCCGCAATGATTTGGCCAACGTAAGTGGCGATGAGTTTTTTTTAATGTGCCGGTCACAAGATGTTGCCAACGCCTCATGTGAATCACCTCTTTCTTTTTTCCTTGTAGCGGTCGCAATATCTGAATGCTGTCAATTGTCTGGAAGAACTCTTTAACATGGGCGTGGTGCCGATTGTGAATGAAAATGATACAATTTCCGTCTCGGTGAGTGGCGTGGACCAATATGCATGATACACTTGATTTCATTGGGAAAGCTTATTTTTTAACGTGGTCTTCGGTTTTCGCAGGAGATCAAATTTGGTGATAATGATACGTTGTCGGCGATTACGGCGGGGATGGTGAAAGCCGATTATCTGTTCCTGATGACGGACGTGGATTGTTTGTATACGGATAATCCACGGACAAACCCCAAGGCTCGTCCCGTGTTGCAATGCGACGACATTGCTCGTTTGCGAAAAGAAGTGACGGTGACCTCGCCGGGGTCGGCCTTGGGCACCGGTGGCATGATTACCAAACTGGTGGCGGCCGATTTGGCGACAGCAGCAGGAGTGACAACGATTATTGCACGCGGATCCACTCCCGAGAATATCATGGCGGTCATTGCCCCGGATAACACGCACAAGGTACCTCTTCACACGCGATTCTTGGCCAAACCGCAACCACTTATGGACCGACAATGGTGGATCCTTCACGGTCTTCACACGGCCGGCACCGTGTACATTGAACCGAATGTGGGCGAAGCTTTAGCGGAACAGGGTCGACAGCATCACGACAATGCCGCTTCACTGTATGCGCATGCAGTGAGCAAGGTGGAAGGCAGCTTTGTGGAACATCAAGCGGTCCGTTTGGTGGTGTGTCAAGAAGACGAGAAAGATGGTGTGGAAAATCTTCAAACGATTGCCAAGGGGATCGTCAATTATTCAAGTGCGGAAATCATACGAATGCTGCGCGCCAAAGAAAGTAACATTATCCCGTCGCTGGGTTACAAGGATGCCGATTGTATTATTCATCGCGATAACATGGCTATTTCCATTTAACCATTCTTATTTCCCCTCCCCCTGCCCCTCCTACCCTTGTTTCTCCCCTGTTTTTTTCTACATTCTTATTCACATACTGATTCATTGGGCTCTTTTTTATATTTTTTTCTATATAGCGTATATGGGTATTAGAAGAAATTGTTTCAATTGCGGTTGACATGGAAGAGAAACAATCTGTCATCCATGATGTTTCTATTATGTTAGTTTGTTGCTATTATATCTAGTTCTATTCTTTTTATTCTTTATATTACTCTTATTCCTTTCCGCTTAAACTGGACAAAAAAACCATGTGCAACAAGCTGTATACAGGCTCATCCAGCGATGGGATCATGCAGCTACGAGTTTCCCTTTTGCTTCATCCACATGATCTTTGGTGATCCATGTTGGAGAAAACCATTCCACACATTTGCTTTTTTTTGGGCTTGGATCGATGCTTTTCTGGGTTGCATCCGATGAGCTTCACAAGCATATCCCATTTCTTTATATTTTTACTTTTTGGAGACAAAAATGGATGGCCAGGAATCAATGGGGCGGGCGACAGGTGATTTAAGGCAAGTGGATCGAGATGATCATTGCAGCGTACTGTATTTGTCTGAAGAGCATTTGGTGGGTTTTTTTTTTTTTTTTTTTTTTATTTTGGTTGATGCTGCAACCGATCTGTTCATATTGTAAATACACCAAGGGTGGAGGCTGCAGGAAATTTTTTTTTCATGCACCCTCCAAGAATCGTTATGCTTCTTTAGGCAAATGATGAATTGATTTTCACCCCAATGCATTTGGAAAGGAAAATTGGCATAAAAAAAAGGTGCTTTCATATTCTTCATGCGTGATTCATGCCGTTGTATTGAACGGTTCAAAAGATGTGCATATGTAGCATTATATCCGTCATCAAAACCATTCATGGGAAGAGTGATGTTCCATAGAAATTATGGAATCAATGTGATCCAGTGTGTATCATCTGTCTTTCCAGATACGGCCCCATCCAAATCAGGGAGTTCAGGAGTTGACGTGGTACAAAAACATTCAATCCACTTTACGTATGACAGACACAACGCGAAATATACCATCAGAGCGGCAAAAAAAGAAAGAGAAAGAAAAAGATCTTTTCTTTACGGATGTTCTTTGATATTCTGTGCAGGATCAGGTGAATCGGTTATTCACAAGTCCGTATGGCGATTTTGGATAGTGATCTTCCTCAAGCGATCATGACTTGGTTCAATCACACCTCAAATAAAAATAAGACAGTCGATCTCTTTGCTGGGTTATCGTGTGATAAGGATGTTCGCAGTTGGTTTTACGATTGATTCATGTTTCATGGAAGGTTATTCCTTTTTTTTTCCTTCGTTGTTTTCGAAATCATTTACTTGGCATCCAAATGCATCGTACGTCATATATCAAGCGGCTGGACCAAAAAAAAAAGTTCCGTACCGTGAACATCATGTAAGGATAGTAAGATGAGCATAATGATCGACTATTCATTCACAAAACAGAAAGACACCTCATTGTCACCGGATGATTTCTTGGCAGAAAATAGAAGCGAGTATCATATATTTTATGGGGAAAAAGAAGGATCAATAACAAAAAGGAAATCAAAAGTAATATAGAAGAAATGAGATTACAGAATCTCGATTCATTGTATGGTTAGAAAAAAGAGAGAGAAAACTATATTACGAGGTTTAACACAAAACGGGGGAGAAAAAAAGAGTCAAGTCAGTATCTGTAAGTTAATGTTCTTGCATGTTGGGCTTTTCTAATCCGGCCTCCTCTTCGGTCAGTCGTTGGAAAGCACCAACCATGTTATAGACCTCAACCGTACTAAAAGAAACAAGAGAATAACATGAGTCAATAATTCACCAAGTAAAAGAAAAAAGACACATGTAACTTACTGGAGAACCTTGCGCCAGCTGTTGTCAACGCGAAGTCGCTTCTCATTCTCCCTTTCACGAGCGGCGAGTTTCGCACGACGGGACGGGGCAGGGAATACCTTGGCAGTGAATTCAAAGTTCCAGATACGGAAGATGTATACTTTGACGACATCGAGAAGCATGAAAAAGACGAGCGAAACACCGAGAACCGAGAAACCCCAGCCATAACCACATGGAGCAACGCCTTCGTGTTCACCAAAGACACCATACACTGAAAAGAAGAGAGCAATGATCTGGGTACCAATGATACACACGGTGAAGATCCAATGTGGCATGTTTTCCCACCAATAACCAGGTACACGCGTGGAAAAGATGACAAAGTGAGGCGCTACAAAAGAGATCCGAGATGCATGAGATATTGAGAATAATCCAATAAAACTCATTATTTGGATAAAGAAAAAAAAAATGAGGCCCTACCTGAAGAAATGTGCAAGTACATGATGGAGTGAAGTTCGTTATCCGTCACCTTGAACACATCTCTGGCCACGTAAAAGTGACCAAACGAGAGTGCGGCCAACAGAATAGCGAGAATAAACGACAAGAACAACAATTGTCCAATACGCCACTTGTCAGGACGATCAGAAATTTCGGTGTTGTCAACGGAAATGACCAAGGTGGCCGCATCGTTCTGTGACAATGAAATACAGCATTAGAATTAAAAAAAAACATATTACTACGAATGCAAGTCGACTTTACCAAGACGCAAATCATGATGAGCAAGACAGCCGGCATACGCCAGTTTTCAACCATGGTAACGATAAACATGAACAGCAAGAAATGGATGGTGGAGGTGATACGGTAGAGAGCATAGGATCGCAAACGTTGGAAAATGGCACGTGATGTCTTGATACCATCGGTGATGGTGGACAGACCAGGAGCCAGCAAGACAATGTCGGCGGCGGAACGGGCAGCATCGGTACAACCTTCGACGGCAATACCGACATCGGCCTTCTTGAGAGCAGGAGCGTCATTAACACCGTCACCGGTCATACCGACCAATAAGCCTTTCTTTTGCAGCAATTCGACGACGCGGTACTTGTGTTCAGGAATGACCTGGGCAAAACCATCAGCACGTTGACAATGTTCGGTGACCTCATCTTCGGATTTATTGGGATCGACGAGATGATTGGCATCCAGGATGACGCGGCCCATGCCGAGACGCGCAGCGACTTCTTTGGCAATAATGAGCTGGTCACCGGTAATCATTTTGACATCGACACCCAAGGCATTACAGTCACGAATGGTGGCGGCGGAATCGGGACGAGGAGGATCCAGGAGTGAGATCATACCGACGAGTTCAAACTTGTCCAGGTCACCGGGGACAGTCTTGGCCACACCGAGAGCACGAAGACCACGACGAGCGAGTGAGTTGACGGCGTGAACGGCGGCATCGTTGCCACCGACGAGGCGAGTAATCACTTGAGGAGCACCCTTGGCCACTTGGAAGGACTGATTGGTATTGGTGTCGAGGATGGTTGCTTTGGTCATTTTGGTGACAGGATCAAACGGCTGGAATGCAGTGACCTTGAAGCCGGGTATATCACGCTGATGAGGTTGTCGGTTCTTGAGGATATCGAGGGATCCTTCGGCGGCTCGACGAACTGCGGCTTCAATGGGATCATTGGCTCCGGATTCAGCGGCAAGGTAAGAGTACAGGAGAATATCGTCGGCGGTGTAGTTGCCAGCCAACCAAGGTTCATCAAAGGTGAGTTCGTTCAAGGTCAGGGTACCGGTTTTGTCGGAACACAGCACAGACACCGAAGCGAGTTCTTCCACGGCCGTGAGACGTTTGACAATGACCTTTTTCGCCGCCAGTTGTTTGGCACCAATAGCCATGGTGACGGACATGACCGTAGGCAGACCGACGGGAATAGCCGCCACTGTAAGCACCAGGCAGTTGACCAGCACCGTTTTCCAGTTTTCCTTCAGTTTGACCAGCTGATAGATGAGCACGATAAGGACCAGAGCAATGGTGGACCAGATGAGCACATTGCCAATTTTGGCAATGATCCGTTGGAAATGGCCTTGTTCGGTAGTAATGGCAATGAGGTTGGCCGCGCGACCGATAAAAGTATTGGCGCCGGTTTTCGTGACGACGGCCAATTGCTGACCTTGTTTGACGACACTGCTGGAATACACTGTGGAACCCTTCTTTTTCGAGACAGGCAAGGATTCACCCGTGAGAGCGGATTGATCAATGAGGAGATCACCTGCATTTTCTTCACCACTGGCACCTAGGCCAAGGAGTCGAGCATCGGCAGGAATGATATCACCAATACGAAGAATGATGACGTCTCCCGGTACCAGGTCCTTCACATCGGTTTCTGAGAGTCGACCATCACGAAAACAGCGGGTCTTGAGAGCCAAGGTTTGTCGCAAAGCGTCCAAGGCCGACTCGGCTTTGGCTTCCTCAATATAGCCGATGAGAGCGTTGATCAACAGCAGGGCTAGAATGATACCAAAATCGATCCAGTCACCGACAACGGCGGCAATAATGCAAGCGATTTCGATTAAATAGGAGATGGGGCCGGTAAAATAACGAAGAAATTTGAGGATGGGATTGGTTTTACGTTCTGGTAACTCATTCAATCCAAATTTCGCTTGTCGTTCTTCGACTTCCAGTGCCGTCAGGCCCTGTTGTGGATCGGTGTGAAGTAACGCTTCTAATTCTGGCGATATCTCATCTTCATGTTCTACATGTGCCTGTTCTTCAAACTGGGCACCCGCCTTTTTCTCGTCGTCTCCTTTTTCTGACATGTCAAAAAAGGAATCACTTCACAAACTGTACACTTGAGGATAAAGAAAAGAAAGACAAGAAGAAGAAGAAGGAAAAAACAAACGGAGCGTCGTGGTAAATAGATATTGGAATCCTATCAACCGCCAGTGTTGAAATAAACAAGAAAGAAAAAGAAAAAAGAAATAATAGACACAAAGACAAAAAAACAAATGGGGATAAAAAGAAAACAAAGGAAAAAACAAAGAAAAAACGAACAAGTCAAGAAGAAGAAGAAGAGAGAGAAAGAAAAAAGAAGTGTGAAGTTCGGGATATCGTGTTCATTTCTACAAGTATTATTTTTTTTTTTTTATCATTTTCTCATCAGTGGAGACTTTTTTTTTCTGGTCTGATCCCCCCAAAAAAAACATCCCTTTATTTTTTGTTCGCGGATGATTTATCTGTCTAATTTCTATAGTGAAGAAAAAAAAAGCAAACTTAAAGGGGGAGAATAAGTATTTCATGCTGTGTGACTCAATGGCCCTGGCACTTTGTCTAAACTGCCCTCTTCAAATTGTCACGCTGCACAAATAAACCGTATGCAAAGTAAAGCACAACCTGCTTCGTACGGAGAACTGCATGACCTCAAGGTTTGCGAAAAAAAAAGAAAAAGATGGTGTCTCTGTTTTCTAAATTTCCTATATCACCCACTACTCAATAACATTATTAAAAAATTCCCAAGCACAGGAAAATAAATTATGAAAAGGCGGTTTTCAAAGGAGCTTTTTTATTATTATTGTTGTTGTTGTCGTTGTTTGTATTTCTTGTTGACCTTGGAAAAGAACTCTTCTAGCCAGAGATTCTTTGATCTGCTTCAAGGATCGTCCTTCCTTTCCTGCCACTACGCTTCAATAAGCATTTTATGATCTACCTAGTGGTTTTAAAGTTGCTCGGTTGGAAGATTCAGGCTTCAACTATGTTTCGATCCATTAGGAAAGTATCATGGTGACTGGTGCTAGGGTCGTGATCTAGCAACCCAGGATCGTTTTACGCAATGCCATCGATTAGAATAAAGCCGATAAGTCACGTTTTACAACGCCGGTCTTTTGACAGGAATACAAAATCTTTCTCCAATCACTCACGTGGGAAAGTAAAAAAGGGTGTCTCTTTTTTATTTTTTTCTCGCTTTGTACCTTGTCCTTTCCAAGCAGTCATGGTACCTATTTTCTGTCCTTGTCGGTATTTTTCACAAAATGGGTCACTCGGTCGGACGGCCATGAGCTAGTGATATCAACACAGAATGCTTTGTGTTTCGAAACCGCGTCAACATCGAAGGGTGTGCAAATGTGCGCGCACATGGTCAACCTAAAAAGAAAATCCACATCATCCTCCCTCCTCATCATTTTTCGTGGAAAAAACAAAAAAAAACAAAACAGAATTCAAGGAAAGGGTGACCCTTTTTTGCATTCCATGAAGTAAACAATGAAGGCTCTTCAATGTCGCATGGCGTAGATTGTCGATCGACATACTGCATTATTTCTGTTTTATCTTGATGATTGGAAAAATAAAAAAAGCCGCTTGATTGGAGTGGCGTAGAACAAGAAACTACAAACGGATCCTGCATCGTTTTGTATCACCTTGTAATTGATCCTTCTCACTGAAGAAAGGCAAAATACCCCAAATAGTTACAAGAGTTCCAAACATAAGTTATCATATTTTGTAACTTGGCAAGAACATCTTGACACACTCAAGCATTCCATCTCCCCAAAACCGACAACAATGTTAAGAATTCAAACATGATGATTGCCTGATCTGATCCCGCAGATCACGGCAGGATTTATTCTCCGACAAAAAACTCTATTTAGAGAGTACAAAATGGACGCTTTTTTTTGTATCACGAAGGGTGGATGACACCCTTGTTTTTTTCTCAAACATCCTTTTTTTTCACCATTGCATCAACCGGTTGAAATAAAGGCACCTCTTTTTTTTCCGATGCAATTGCCGATGGACCCGGGGATTGCAATGACCTCATGCAAAAAAAAAAGAAAGAATATCAATTTTTAATTGAATGAGGATTTTTATTCTGTTGGAATTGGAACTCTATGGTTTCCTTTTTCAGGTGAAATGATTATTTCCAAATCAAGTGGAGGTACGGATAAATTATTAACCTGTAACGTGGGGCCACATAGGATGGATCAAAACGCGTGGAAAGGGAATCATATCAATGTATGAACATCAGTGACCCAAGGTAAAAAGAAAAAAAAAACTTGGACCAATAGATGAAAACGAATACCATACAGAGAAGGTGAGTCCGTAAAAATGAATATTTTCTCGTCGATTTTTTTTTCATACGAAAATGCACCACCTCCTTACCATGCAACCCCATTCACCCGCTCACCTAGACTTTTGGAAACGGTGGAAAGAAAATAAATAGGTACAGAAACCCCATATATAGAATTTAACTGAGACCGATCTTTTGTACGTCATGGATAAAAAAAAAGGATGAAGCAGTTTGAATTTGTTACATTTTGTGAGTGCGTGTGTGAGTGTGAGTGTGCGCATGCGTGTGCGCGAGTGTGTGTAGGATGTGCGCTGCGCTTGCTTTGAATTAAAATGCTGTGTATGTGCTTATGTGGGTATGCGGGCGTGTGTACGTGAATGTGTGCGAGTTTCTGTGTATGTGTGTATGTGTGTGTGTGTGTGTGTGGGAGAGGGTCGAAATGGATCATGTCTCATGATAAGTGGAACAAAGAGTTGCAAAGGGAACCGATCAAAGACCCAATTTTTTTTACATGCTTTTTTTTATGTACCGTGAATCGTAGGACGAGTCTGCGCTGCTAGATTGTACTTGGATCCTGGTGACGAGAATGAAATTTCCCGGTAAGACGAATCCGATAATGTGATTGCTTCCAGAGGGATTTTGTCACTTTTCACAGTCGGTGGAAGAGGTTTCGTGGTGTGTGAATAAAAGTCCTGTCTAGTGGATTTGGACAGGTAATCTTTGGGTGGAGGCGCAGGACGAAACATGGATCCTATCAGCGGTGGTTTCTGAAGTGGTGTTGCCACAGTTTCGGTGGATCCCCCCGATCCAGAGTTTTTCAGACGATGATGATAATGGCCCCCGCCATTATCCACGCTTCCTCGTCGATGGCTGAAACGCGGGACAGGCAGATTTCGTTCCTTGGCTTGGCGAATACGGCGGTCTTTTTCATAATCGCTCCATTTCTTCATGACGATACGACTGCTGTCAAATTCACCTTCTTTATCACCGTGGCCAGTCTCCTTTTCGCCGCCTTCTACTTTGCGCGTATCACCCCATGAAAAATCATCAAAATGCCAGTAGGCATACGTCGGCAACACAAAGTTCCAAATCGGCAAACTGAAGAGGTACACGATCATCCATCCCACATAAATGACCTTGCGACTGGTCATCACGATCAAAACCGCAGGTAAGCCTAAAATCAAGGCCAGTAGAATCAATGGGATCACCGCCGGTTGGCCGAGGAACGCCATCACAATCAGGTACAATGTAAATGAAATGGCCGCCGGTAAAGCCAACGTCCCCACCAACTCCATAAACACCACAAACTGCATCGAAAAACAAAATGTGCCGCACAGATCATGCACGAATAACAATTCCATTAAATTATGAATCGTCGAATTGATCCATCGTCGTCGCTGAGATAGCAGTACTTTGAATGTATCAGGCACCACCGTCTTGCATCTACATAAAAAAAATATATATCCCGCGTGAGAAATTAAATACATCAAATCAGTAAACCCCTCCATTGTCAGCTGAATAAGCTTTTCATGCCATTCCCCTTTTAGGCATTTTGTATTTCGCCAATACAAGAAATGGAAATAAGAAAAAAGTGGGCCGAATTAGGTAAACTTACACTGCCTGTGGTACAAACAGCATTTTTCGATTGGGAAAAGTGCGTAACATGAGGGTCGACAGGTAACGGTCTTCTCCGAGCAATAGCAAGTTCTTCTTGTGTAACGTGTCCACAACGTTTTCAGAGTAATGCTCCACAATATCCGGATTGGCCAGAATCGGCACCCAAAACCCATTGGGGCCTTTGGGTGCCTTGATCCGATACATGCAAAAGCATCCTGGTAAGCAGGTGACACCCCCAAATATAGACTCAAACGCCTTGCTTTGATGATGAGAAATATAATACTCGAACACTAGAAAAAAAAGGCATCATCGCGTACAACCAACATCACCAAAAGGGGTCAATCAAACGTACATCTGTATTGCCATCGTTCCTTCTTCTCCTTCCATGATTTTCTGCTTCATCCCCATCGCCCCATATATTTTTTCTTTTGTTTTTGCCCTTTTTGGCTGATTTTTTTTTGACTCTGCTTTACTTTTGCTCCGCCCCCAACTCATTCTCATTGTCTCTTCTTTTTTTTTTGCTACACGTTTCACCAGTCCCCCCCCCCCAAAAAATAAAACCGTCGCTCAAAACCCACCCTCAGAAAGCTCACCCGGCCACTGAAAAAAAAAAGCAATGGCTTACCTTGGATCATGGCCACCCAGCTGTCGGTCTTGTTGGCGATTTTGGTTTCACCACACAATCCCGAGATTTCCGGATCGCGCACAGCGCATGATATTAAGCGAGATAAGGCATCCGTGTATAATTTGGTATCTGCATCTACCATCAAGACAATTTCATAGCGATCTGGAGGTATACCAGCTACCCGCCAAATCCCGTTGAAAAACTGATAATCGAGGGTTGTCATCCGTTCGTCAAACATCACTCGCTGCATGAATTGCATAAGAATAATTTGCGAGTCACGTTTGCCGCGGTTGCCTGGTTTACTTTCGTTGGCTTCCTCCGGAGTTCCGCACTTGACAATGGTCACCATAGGCACACGTTGCTGTGAACCGGGCTCCACCGTGGCATCGTCGTATTTGTAGAATCCGCTGTACACTTTGGCCATGTTGTTGCGTTTGGCGCCATCGGCAATTGCAATATACGACGATGGTTCCACTTGGTCGGCGGGGATAATAAAATCCTGCATCATGGACACGCAAATATCCGGCGTCGAACGACCATTGCCATGCCCCGTAATAATTCCATCGCATACCACGAGAATCAGCTTGTGCGTGTTGGGATAGTCACTGGTAGCGATGGAATCCAAGGTTGTCCGTACGCCTTCTTCGCCTTCAGAGTAACAAGTGACAAGACAGATGGTGTGCACAAGAGGAAAATTGAAGGGCATATAGGTGGTGGCTGGTTGTCGAAGTACGTGAGGCGACATGGGGAAAGGACAGTGTGGATCCTGATGGGATTCACCGCTGTAGTTGTCGGAAGAAGAAGCGACCGACATGCATCGCGACGATGGGATTCCGCCGCTGGGTCGTGGGGTGGAAGGAGAAAGCGATTTGTTAAATGACATGGACCGTTCCGTGAAAGGCGAAGTCACCGCCCTGGTACTCCCATTGCCGGATACACTTGAATAAAACCAACCAGAGTAATGTGAGCTTTATTATTATTATTCAAACCCTTTTCTCTTTCTTCCTTCTCTCCCCTTAATGCCACCGTTATTTTTCTTACCTGGCGTTGGATTTCCATGTTGGCAGTGGTAATTTCTCTGCATCAAATCGCATGGATCCAGGCATCGGTTGTGTGTATCGCGAAGTTTGAGGAAAGAAGCTTTTGCGCTTTATCGGCGGAGGCGAATTGATGGCGGTGGGGCCCATGGTGTGAATGTTTTTGGACCAGTGTTCGATTTCCGCTTCGCGTTTCATTCGCGCCGCGTACGATTGACCTTCTCTGAAATTGCCCAATTGCCACGAAAGGAACCAACCAAAGATGACGGCGAGTAGAAACTTAGTAATAATTACCCCAAGAATGACTACCAGTGAAAGATAGAGCACGATATCGGAAGCCATACATCCCAGACTGACGGTATCCAGGGACCCGACCTTGATTGTCGAAGCCAGACATTCCGCTTCTTCCACCCACTGAGCACTTTTATTCCTGTAACTCGCAATGGCGTGCGTCATATCTTGACCTCCAAACATCGTCATGTTCCGCATAATCGAATCGACCAATCCACCGGCTCTTACACGAAAGAAATTCCCAGGCAGTGATGCCAATAATCGTAAATTCAATACATCTCTAAAAATGAGCAGTTAAGACCATCCCCTTTTTTTTTCAAGGCCTTTGGAAAATTAAACCTACCCATTGTATACCATTAAATGATCGGTTTTGGTGATATTATCCCAGTCATAGTAAACGCGTGCCGCTTTATCAAAACCTCCCGTTGATTTCGGGACGCCACGCAAGGTGAAATCGGTATAAAGAGAACGAGCGGTGGGCGTCAAGTGGCAACCGGTGGTATTGGTCAAAGTGGCTGGATCGGGTGGCATGGTTTGATTCGGATTGAAGAGACGGCAAGGAAAATACACGGGAGGAGCGTCGGGAGTAGGTGAAAATACATTCGTGCAGTGAGGCACGGGGTCTTGAAAGAGAAACGAGGCATCCATGCCCCCAGCCTCGACAGAGGAGTAAAGCACGTTGCTCGAAGCATTAAACAAGCCGGGCACGGCAGGATGCCCGGACCAAGCGGCAAGCATGTAAGCCCAGCCGTGAATGATCAAGTAACCGTGGCCGACTTGTCCACCTTGGACGCTGAAAGGTGGAGCGGGACAAACTGCTTGAGTAAAGCCAAATGTCAAAAACCCGACAAATCCCATGATAAATAAGATCATTGACACCAGCCCGATTTTTTCTCGCCAAGCCAACTGGGCCGGTCCTTCAGGTATCCCTATCAAAACGAATCCGCGTTAATATTATTCCATGATCGATTTCCCAATTGCAATATCAACTGTGCCATTTTTGGTCAATTTTGTTTTGTATCGTTTCTTTTACCCACCCATCAGAGTCAGTACAGGATTAGGAAAACAACAGGTGAGTAAACGGCAATAGGTCAACCAAGGATTTGGCAGACAGGTCGGTGAGGTATTGTTGTCAGAGATGGCGGCAGGTGGTTCCATGCCATCGTCATCGGTTAATCGGTCTTCTCTGCCGAGAATACTTTTGCCTCGTCGTAGTAAGGTTTGACGAGTGGTTGGTCGACGGCGAATGGAATTGGAAGCCAACGGGTGACCCGGTTGATTGCCTGTAGTACTGGGAGCGATGTTCTCGGTCGCTCGTTGTCGGTAATGATACTGCCGATGGTTGGCGCCGATTCGTTCACGTTCAGGTCGAACCAATGATTTTTGTCGTCTAGGCCGATCGCCACCGGCGTGTTCTGCTGTTGTGGGTTCATCCGTTGGTCTGGTCGGCACTCGACTATTTGGCGTCTGCAGTAACACTTGACGTCGTTGACCAAGCGGCAAGTGATTCGATTGACCTGCATGCATCGGCCTTTATTGTTAACTGGATTGATAGAAGTTATATCTGTAAATTCGTGCGATGTCTGCAGTGTTTGGTGTCCGTTTGTTTTTATGTCAAGGGATCAAGGTGGTTGGAGACACAACGAGTCCAACTTCTAATACAGAAACAATACGAGTGATAAAATGGTAAGAAAGAAAAGGGAAAAAAAAATTCAAAGGATCACTAGTAATAAGATGGAGTGTACAAAAGTAACTGATCAGATCGTAAAAAGACGGAAAAAGAGAAAAAGGAAACGAGCAAGAAGTTAAGGGAAAAAGAAATTATTTGCAAATGTTAATAAGACCAGGAGTGCACCATCCACTAATTACACCGCAAGTGAAAAAAAAAAAGAATAAGTAAAGTTAAGGGAGAGAGCAACAAGCCAAAAAAGCCAAAAAAGACCTTTTTTGCTGGGTATATAAAAAGAAGAGCCCTCAAATCGTAAAGAAGCCCATTGGCCATCTCACCCAACATGATCACACCTTCATCGATGGAGTCAATAACACAGGAAACAAGATAAAAAAGGAACTCTTCCACTCATTCATGCAGATTCATGTCATTGGACGACGCTCAGAATAGCAAAAGAATCGGTTCCATTAATAAGGACCCTTTAACGGACAGCATGTTCTTTCCTCACCTCTGCTCCTTGTTTGTCTTTTTTTTTTTTTTTTTTTTTTTTGCAAACTATTCCAAACATCCTCACCCAATCCACATTTATCACCGCATATCTGTATTATACTGTAGTCGTGCCCTTAGTCTTTTCTTCTTTTATTCTTTCTTCTCGGGAAACATCACAAATGGATCGTTTATCATCACTAATCTATCACATCGATACAAGCATCGTCAATGGAACTGCATCTTCCATACGTGAGAGAAGCAAGCATTGGATCTTTTTCAGATCTTTTTTACATTTTTTTTTTTTTTGATACGGGATGGTGCCATATGGGTGTGCCTGAAGTGCTCCCGTTTTTGTGACTATCCTAACTTGATCTTTCATCACTCTGTTTGCGTACGGGAACAAGACATCGCCATTGAGGGATGTTTAAGGGGCGTCATCGTTTCATCAGTATTCACCATCGCTTTTTCCTTTTTTTCTGGCCCTTGTTACCATTACAGCCGATTCTATGATGGAACTCCTGGACAAGAAAGTATGCCAAGGAAGATATAAAACCCCGTTTCCAAGTCAATGCGTCGTCGAACTGCGTTAATTCATCCGACCGGCATATGCACGCTGCTGCAGTTGGCCAAGTAACGCTGCACTTTGTTCTGACAAGTCACTATGGAGAGTCTCCAATGCTTGCTGAATGAGTGTCACTTTTTTCCAAACATACTCCATATCGTTATCGCCTTCGTCCATCACAACCGAATTCAGCACTGGCATGGTCCTTATATAAAAGAGGACGTTGACAAGACGATACAATGTGTACCCCGTCATGACGGAAAGAAGCACATAACATCCCAGCATGAACCGTGGCGAGAAACGCTCGTGGATGGCGGAATCAGTGGCATTCGATGTTGGAATCGTTGAAGCCGACAATTCATCGTGGGACGATGGGTGAGCGGCTTGTTGGTTCTCCATCGTTGAAATTAGGCTGGATAAAAAAAACCAAAAGAAGGTCGGTCGAATCGAAATCCTGATTGGATCATGCGCATCATTAATTCACAAACCAACGCCAGAAGCGGAAATTTGATATTATTAATGGCACCCATTGGCATCTCGACAGAAAAAGTTAAAAAAAGGATCACACACTATGCTGGCATTAACCCTCATGATCATGGGTTGCTATTCCAAAGATCCAAAGCCAATGCAATCCAAGTGTATGACCGATTTGGCCGCAAAAAAAAAAAAAAATGCCAATTTTTAAACACGCAGGATCATTGACATAAGAATAATTTCTATATTGATTCACGGGCTGTGATTGAATGGATGAGACGTGAGTGATCGTGATGGACAAAGTAGTAGTAGCCAAAGAATATGTGAGAGAAAAATGTGGAAAATTGAAAAAATCTCCATGCAATGCAAATGGTGACTCACACCGACTACCAGCTTAAATCCTTCTTTTTGCCAACCTCTTGCGGCAAGATGCCGGTGGGTATCCGTGGTGGAGGTGTGTAAACCGTGCTAGGATCGCGTGGCTCAACAGTTGGAGGCGCGGCATCATCCCGTTGAATTTGTGAGAAATGCTGTACCACCGTCGCAACCGGTTTCAAATCCCCTCCCGCTTCAGCCAGTTGTCGACGCTAAAAAATGAATGATGAAAAAGAGTCAGTCAATCTAGGCCATACCTGATCTTGCCCTTTTTTCCATGATACATTACCACTTTGGATTCTTTGCCAATTCCCATTTGCGGTAACCCTCGGTTCAACCCTTCTAATAAGACACACGCTTTACAAACTTCGTTGGACGACATGTATCCGCATCGTTCACACGTCTTTTGTTCAGGCATCTTGACATTGGATTTGATCTGGAACGCTTCCCCGGAATGGATAATGTCTGCTCCCCCCAAAAAATAGATGAGATCCATTGACCTCAAACTGTCATTTACTTTTGCTATGTCCTTACCAATGATTGCACTGGATCGAATGGATTCCAGGTCCTTTAAGAAAGTTCGTGCGTGACCACGGTACGCATTGGGCGAATAGATGCATTCGGTCGAAAAATAATCGAGCTTCTTAAAGTACGCATACATCACAATTTCTTTTTCATAGGTATACTTGAACGGCTTCGATCGCTTGATCATGCTTTCACCTTGAGTGACGATTTCAGTACAACGTCCCAGACGTGCAATATCACCACGGAAAACTAACAAATGAAAACCCACATCAATATCTCCTGGATGGACGTACAGAAGTTATAGACGGCTTACTGTTCATCAAGATGGTTTCTGCAATATCATCGGCATTGTGACCCGTCACAATATGATCCACACCAAGCATGACGGCGCCTCGATCCAAGGCTTGACGTCGAAACACACCACAGTAAGTACAATTGTTCTTTCGTCCGACTTCAGCTACAATTTCATCCATGGACCAGCCGTATAAATCTCGGTACGAAACAATCTTCAACGGGAGTCCGTATTGCTGCTGGTTGCGTTTGACCGTTTCCAAGGAATCGTCACGGTATCCGGTAATCCCCTCGTCCACAGATAGCAAGAACAAGTTCAAGCCGTAATCGTACCTTTCATTCAGTGTCTTCATCACATGCGCCAATACCGTCGAGTCTAAACAAGTCCGCAACGTTGTCAAAATTCCATTAATCTCGTCGTACCATGGATCTATTGACGAGGCCAACTTACCTTTACCACCACTGGCTCCAATGGCCACTCTATCACCTCGTTGAAACAACTTGGCATCGGTAATGGTGTGATGAATCTCGGTTTCAAACACATAGTAAAAGCAATTTTGACAGATTTGCTGCGATGTCTTGGGTCTTCTTAGAACCGCCCGTTGATGGCCACATAAAACACACAACTTGACCATGTTTGATCGAGTGACTAAAAAAAAAGTGATTTTTTTTTTCGCTTATGGCTGAATCAGGGTTTTTCCATTTGACGGGTCTGAAATGGCGGTGTGACTTGCAAATGGTTTGACTTTGATGTTCGAGAGGCGCCATTTTCCACATATATTTTTTGCATTGTGTGTGTGCGTGTGTGTTCTGCTGAGAAATAAACGTGTCAGTCAGGGCTTTTTTCTTTTACGTCAAGTCACGTAAAAAGAAAACAGAAAGTGCCATGGATCTCCATAGCCTGTTGAATCAAGGGTCATCCACTTTGTCCCTTGATGACTTGACCCAATTATTGAATGAAAATGATGAAAAAGAAAAGTTGAATAGAATTAGTCAAGCAACCTTTGATTACAATCAATCGGAAGTGCAATCGTATTCGTTCTTTGACCTCTTCATCAGAGTTCTGACCTCCGTCCAGCATGCCGATGACGACGAATACAGTGCTCAGTACGCCAAATCCGTCATTACCGCCGCATTGCGCCAATGTATTAACGATCTGCTCCAAAAGTTTGGTCTCACCTGGGCCGTTCGCTTTTCCGCCAAGCTCAGTTTGTCGACCTGGAAAATACTAAAGACGCAACCTGAAACCACGATTCTCGTCTATCTCTACGGTTTGGTCCTAGCCGTGGGCAAACAGCCAGATATATCCAAAGAGGCATGGATCGACTCCTTGGCCTACTTTATTCACGCCAGCCATCCCGCCGTTGTCTTGCACATTTGGTTGACATGTTGCGCCGCTGATGAGCAAACACCCGATGCTTATGTCGCCAAACACAAGATGGTGACTGTTCTTGAACAGACCCTGGAGCAGCAAAAGTTGGACGGTGAAAAAAATGGGTTGAATGTGGCTGTTCAGCGGGTGATAACACTGTTGAAGGAGGAAAATGTAGGCTACCTTATCGACCACATTGATAACCAAGTTGGCAATGCCCTGATTCGACCCTCTTTCACTGCCGATGAATTCGCTGTCGCCTGGATGGAACTCGACAACATGGTCAACGAAGCACCCTCCGACTTTCCCTATTTGCTGCGTAAAATGAAGCCGGACTCCCCTACGCCACCCAAAGGTAAGCGATGAGATACCGGCACATTCTATAATTCCAATCACAGACTCATACTTTTTTTTTTGGCTCTGTTACAGTTAATCCCCTAACGAAAGGTTTAAAAGGGACGCCCCCCGACGACTATTACGAGCGAAGCGAGCGTCTAAAGATAGGCATGGATTCCTGGATGAATCAAGTCAACTGCTTAACGCCAAGTGAGTTTCAGCGACTTTTAAACGCCCTCATTCGTCAGTACCCGACAAGAAAGAAGACCATGGTGGATTGGACTTTGGTCACATGGGCGGTGTATGATCCATTCCATTGTCATGCCGACCTAATACTCGATGCCGTGATTGGAAGGTTGAATGGTGCGAAATACGACAAACTCAGTGCTCCTTTTTACGCCTTTGAACAGTTGTTTAATCTGGATGATGAAAAAATCGACGGAGACCATGAGGCCGCATATAAAATCCAGACCGGAGCGCAGGTCCATCTACCTCGCTTTTGCATACGATCTGACAATGCACTAGAAAATGGGTGTCTTTTTATACTGCGGAAACTGACCATGCAGCCAAGTCTAGCCACGAATCAATGGAAAAACGATTGCTTAAAAGTGGCCCCTCCAGAAGTCACACAACAACATATTGAATGGCTGCTCAACGAACTCATTCACTCATCACAGCCAGATCAGACCAATCCACTCAAATCCGCCCTGTTACGCGTACTGCAACATCCTCGCGTGATCGCTTACTCGTCCTACATTATACCACTCTTACTGCGCACGGTTGACCAGGAACTGCTTGCGTGGTTACTCACCACCACCGAAGCTTCGGCTATTTTCATCGATTACTTTAGTCAAGGCGCCCAGTTATCCAGTAAAATCCTGATTTCCGACTTGCTAGAGACAAAGTCCAAGAGATACATGGATGCCTTGTTGGCCTTTTTAAGGCGCCATCTGACTGACACTTCGCTCAACTCGAATCGGTCCAGGGTTTGGTTTACCCATCATTTTCTTGAATCCATCTTGGCACTGGCAGCCTCGGATCCCACCGGTCACACTGTCGCTTCACAACTGTTTCGTCAATTTCTGCGTACCGCCGACGAATATCATTGGTACTTTGCCACGGCGCTGCATCCGAAAAATGAAGACATGCTCGACTTTCGCTCCTTGAACATCCTGCGATTTCACACCGTTTTCCCTATTCGTCACATTGGATTAGCATCGGTATTGCAACAAATGGTCAATCTGCCCAACACGCAGTCGCAGGAAATATTAATCGATCGATGGTTCAATCTCTGGGTCAGCCCATCTGTCGAGACAGGAGAATCACGGTTTACAGTCCCTGAAAGCTGGATTATTCAATGCATCGGTCTTTACGATCAAGCCCCGGCCTTGATGAAGCGGATGATGGAACGGTTACTGGATATCGGTCTTCGATCCCAGATGACCTCGGGTGCCGACGACAAACACACCTTTACCCAGTCAATGATGGATCTTGTGCTGTTATCCGATACACCCAAGCCCCAGATTATTTTTGATCTCTTTCAAATCCATTGTGAAAAGTTGGGATGCGCTTCCACCGAGGAACCGGAAACGATCCGTTGCATTGGATATGCCTTTATGGAATTGGCCAACGAAATCGACTTGGAACAACGTCAATCCGATCCACCAGCTCCTCCACCGTCATCCCTTGCACCTCATCATGTACCAACGACCCTTCCTTCTCCTCTCAAACCATTATGGCGACGCAAGATACGAAAACGTGAATTGAGAAAAATGAAACAAAAGGCGAGCAAGGAGGCTGCCACGGCCGCGGCGGCCGCGGCGGCGGTGTTGATCCATGCCCAACCGGGACCGACAGAAGTTAGACTGAAAGGGTTAAAGGTGCTTGTTACTCGCGTGTTGGATTTTCTCGTGGGACTGTTTGATGGGTCGGATCAACATAGTGTGTGCATAGTTGCACGACAACGATTGCAGCAATCCATGGCGAGCTGGCTTCTAATTTATGAACCACTGCGTCAGCTGAATAGCGAAACATGTTCCGAAGATATACGACAAGATGTTCAAACCGTCATTGATGCATGCATCGACCTGCTTGGAGCAACCAATCCTGCCATGGTACAAAAGATTCGTCGCATTCTATACCGTCCATAATTTCCCCTGTAAACGATGTGCATTTGTTTTTATATATAAACTGTAATAAAGTACTGAATTCCCTTTTCATGTGAATATGTGTAAAAAAGACAAAAAAAAAGACCTAAAAAGAAGAAGGTAAATAAAAACAGGTTTTATCATGCATGGATTCAGTGACAGATCAATTTTTTTTTTAAAAAAAGTCACTATTCTCGTGGAGCCTGTAATTGCGAATCATGCCGTCGTTTGGTTTGCCCGGTCTTTACCTATCCGCGTCCTCTTTTTTCTTTTTTATCAAACACAATGACCGATAGTTCTCTGGAACCACCACCATCGCGGAGTGGCTCGACCACGCCCAAGAAAATGCGCATGACCATGGCATGCGAACGTTGCAGGTATCCACGGCTAATGATGAAGATGCACGACAATGCTCGGGGTTTTTCACCATGGTTCCATTATGACTCAACTGTTTAAGTATAGATTAAAGAAAGGTATGCCCTGACAAGGCGAGGCTCGGACTAGGTTCCCGGGAACGAAAAACTCGCCCAATATTGACATTGCATACCCAATGGTAGTGAAGTGCGATTTTGCTCATCCCACATGTTCGCGCTGCCGAAAGACCAAAGGTAAATGAAAAATCGGAGCTTGCCCCTTGTTTTTCCTTCGTGTGATCCTCATTCAATGACCGCTCGCTTTTCTCTTTCGTCCCCAGCGACATGCTCTTACAACGGATCATCGACCCAGGTCGACCTTTTCAACTTTGTCCATTTGAACAACACCGTCGATATGCTGCAAGAACGGATACAATCCGTTGAAGCGGATATGAATGACATGTTGAATCGGCCACACCAGATCACCGATAGGGATCGCCTAGCATCCAACGAATCTATCACCGAATCAATGTCTGCCATCACCGTTGCACCTCGCCAGTATACAAAAATCAACGGTTCATGGATTGGCCAACGGCGAGCTCCATGGACTTTATCGTTATCATCCAATGGATTACGCATCGATACCGACATTCTTTCACTGCAAGACGTACGCAACCTTTTGTTGTCTGGATTGTCAAACCGAAACCTTGGTTGTGCAACCGATCAACACGCATCTCAGTGGTCTGAAACCGACCCAGAATCATGTCTCGAAACGGCTGATAGCACCACCGTGGCCCGCAAAATGCCTCTGTGGAAAACCAAGTTAAAAACATTTCCCTTGTACAGTTCCTGGGAACCTTTTTCTCTGAACCATGAGGATCCCTCTCCACCGTCCTGCACGTCTTGTCCATTACTTCAATATCTACCCAGCGAAAAACTGGAACATCTCATGGCTATCTACTGCGAATGTTTTCTTTGCCTACCCTACGTTCACCAGAAAGGCTCAATGGCCGATCGTTACGCACAAGGCTCGCTCGATCCTCTGCTCCTGAACTCCATTTTTGCATGGGCCGCACGTCATGCCGCCATTTATCATGACTTATTTCCTGGGAAAGATCCCAATCAAGTAGGCGAACCGTTTTTCAGAAAAGCGAAACAGCTGCTCAAAGATAAATTTCTGTCGGCCCACATCGATACCGTTCACAGTCTCATTGTCATGTACAGCTATGCCGTTGGTGTCCCATTAAGCTACAATCCTCAAGCCGAGTCGGAAGCGTACCTGTATCTTGGCCTGGCCAATCGTATGGTACTGGATCTCAAGATGCATCAGGAACCGAATGGTGCTGATCCAAGAGAAAACGAACTGTGTCGACGGTTGTTTTGGACACTTTATTTTCTTGAAACCTTGTGTTCAATTCATTCCGACAAGCCATTTTCGCTTCCCTTGATGGAGTTCATTACCACCGAAGATCCGTCCTTAACAGATCAAGAGACCGGCGAAGTCCAATGGCGAACGGAATTCATGATTTACCGGTATAAAATTACGCGCATCTATCGCGATATCATCCTGAAAACCGCCGAAGAAAACCCTTTGCTCGCCAACATTTCAAAACTTGACCAAGAGCTCAAGGAGTGGTATCAAGCGTTGCCACCGTACTTTCAATTCACCCCGGGAGATTTGAAAACGCGCCAGTGGAGAAGCTCATCGTTTCGCGAACAGGCGTGCATCAAGCTGAATTCAGAGTACAATTTCCAACTGTGCCAATTGTATGGGCTGTTCTTCTCTCGCGTGCAGGATGATACTCAGCATCAGGCTGAGCAGCCCTTGTCGGTAATCGAGCTGTTATCCAAAGAAGTCTGTATCCAAGCGGCTGATACCATTGTGGAGTTGCTGCAATGCTGGCAACAGCTTGAACAGCGGTGGTGTCATTTATCATTGGAAACCCTCATGATGGCAAGCATGATTTATCAGGCGTTGCTGTGTCCTTCCAGTTCCAGCAATGTCGACTGGGCAAGGCACCAGCTGAAACTTATTGCTGACATTCTGTCCTGTTCACCCATCAAACATCACAAGTACGTGTTTGTCCTCGTCGATCGAATCCACGGTTTATTGAATGCAGAAAAATGCGAACCACTGGATTTCTCCGTTCCCATCTCCATGTCCTATCCTTTTAGCGCATCCCAAAATAACCCTTCCACAGACGAATCACCATCCACGCTGAACCTTGATCCCTCCTTTCACTTTTCCGAATCGCAGGAACTGATCCCTTCAATGTTTGATGCGTCTTATCCTGCCGACGATGAAATCAATTGTCAACATTCAGTATACTCTTGCCCAGCATTCACCGACACGTCAATGCCTGGCGCCCACCATAACACTTCATCCTTGGATGTCAAACCTTTGATACCATTGAACGGATCCGCCCCGTACCAGTACCAGTACCATCCTTCATCGATGCTATCTCCATGTTCCCCCATACCCTATGCCGCGAATCCAGCCATTGAAATAGCTTCTTCATTGCCCATGCCGCCTTTTTGGATGCGATCTTCGCCTGACATGCTTTATAACTCTACGGGTTTCCCAAGATTAGAGAATTTTTATCCACCTGTCCATGCCATCCAGGTGCCAAAATCGACTTTTTCTTTTTCCCAAACCCCCAATTGACCAGCAACCATCACCAACTTACGTTGGACCTATCGGTTTGACAATAACCAATTCAAATGATTCCTGATAAAATCAAATGATGCATGTAACCATTATTTTATTCGTCCTCAATGTCGCCATTGGCTGTATTCTATTCTATGTACCTTTTTTCTTATCGATTGGCTTTGTCAGACAGTTACTCACAACTTATTGGATGATACTTAGCAGACTGGGTACTTGTATTATTAACCGAAATAATAAAAACATCGCTGCCCATTCCAAAACTACTCCATGCCAACGCTTCGTTTACCAGTATGTATATTGCGTGTGTTTTGCTACCCATGCCTCTAGGACCACAGAATGTTTCTACAACCTATAGAGAGCGAAAAACACAGATAGCTCGTAAGATTACCAATGTTTCCGGTATTGGTACGTCTAAAAAAAATTCGTTTTCATTCATAATATTTACATATAGAGCGATAGAGAAGGAGCATATGGATTAGGGAAAAGGTTGAAGAATAGGGGCGATGAAAACTAGCCTACAGAGAACGTAGTTTCATGAGGCATAATAGACGATGAGGATGAGGATGATGAAGATGTGTCTAGAACGTCGGACGATGCTGCGGAAGGAAACATGGATGGCATAGAAAGGTTGCTTAGATAGTGTTGTGAATGGGATACGTCGGAATTAGCACGCGGATGATGATGGGTACGTGTGTGCTTCCTCAACGATCGAGAATGGAAATACGCTTTGCTGCAATTTCCAAAAGGGCAGATGTAAGGTCGGATGTTGGAATGTATTTTGATATGCGTGTTCAAGGAATCAGGACGAGAAAATCGTTTGGCACAACCTGTGATGTTAGAAAAAAAAAGGATGATTTTACAATAAGTCTCGTTCTTTTTATTCTTCCAAGCGATCGGCCCATTTTTATCTTACCGCTAAAGGTGCATACAAACGGCCGTTCCCCTGTGTGGGTGCGCATATGGTTCTGCATTTTATGTCGCTTCATAAACGGCTTATCATGCCGAGGACAGTCTTTCCATTCGCAATAGTAGACAGGCTTTGGTTTTTCCATTATCAGAGATGTGATTTCAATCGAATGCGGTTTATGCAAATTTTTACCTTGCCACTTCCGATGTGGGTTTCACGGATGTGACGGATAAGGTCATCAACGGCAGGAAATTCGGCACGACAATCCTTCCATTGGCATTCATGGGGCACGACTTGGCCGGTGGAGACGGTCGGATCATTCAGACCATGTTCAACTAAAAGTGTAATACATTAATGGGACCCATGCCCGCTGTTTTTGGGCATATTGTACTCAATGGGGTACCTGAGCGATGAATGTGGGCCGCCCGTTTCTCGGCTTCCAGTTGCACCACTCGCTCGATAAGCTGCTGTCTCGATAAGTGTCTGTATCGCTTGACGGCTTCCGTCTTGGTTTTTCTTGGTCTGGCTGACAGCAAACTACCGTAGAGGGGCATGGTCGCCTTTTCAATGTCACACTGGTCTGCATCGTTTGTGCGCTTCCACGTATCACCGGCGACCGAATCTGTCGAAGCGGACTGATCGGATTGATAACCAGATATCACCTGTTGCTCTTGAGCACATTCACTCGAAATAAACCGAATATCTCCCTCAAACAGATCATTATCCATCTGTAAAAGCAATGTCAACCCACTAGAACAGGAACAAGCAAGAAGGAGAGATTGACGCGATAAAGTAGATGACTTACCAACGTCAGATGGCTTGGTAGACTGCTGCTGCGTCCAGGCATGGCGGGGCTGGAAATGATGGAGGAATCCGTTGAATGGGAATAGGCATACGGTGCTTTTAAAGGGTTCGGGGGGACGACATTGCCTAGTTGCTCATCCAAGGGTGCCATCATGGTCTCTGACTGATTGTAAGCGGGCGGGCCATCACAGGTGGCGTTGATACGGTGGGTTGAACTGATCATCATCCTGTCGGGCATAGTGGCAGCGTCCGCCGAGGGGAAGAGATCCGGCGTCTGTAATCCCATGGGTGAAGAGCATACGGAAGCCTCGGATAACGACAGACCATCCGCATAACCATACAACGTTTCGGAGGGCATGACCATGACCATACCGCTCGATCGCTGCGGAAGGTCATGCTCCCAGCAGTGGGAGATGGGCGTCACAGCCGCGTCGACTTGCCCAGGATACAGCCCTGACATGGGAAACTCGTGGGCTGATACAAAAAACAATGAAATTCTCGTTTCATGAATACGACGGTCCGATGGACATGATTCATTTTCCAAATACCTGACGGCAAAGACATGAATGGCTCCTGCAGCGATACCACCAGTGGATGAACCAACGGTGCGGTATAGACCACGCATGATCCATCGGCTGGGACCTCCGATAAAAAGGCTTCTCCGTGTTGCATCATCTTTTTTTGTTGTTTCAAAGTACTACGCAGCAAATGCAGTCATATCTCGGATTAGATAAGCGGAAATCCAGTGGGTAGAAATTAGCTCTACCGTACCTGATGGGTTTTTGGAGGATCTTGCCAACGAAGAAAGAAAGTGGTTGACTGATGGGGGCAAGATAAAGAAAGGAAAGCCAGATTCCTCCCAATTTTGCTCATCCATATATATTTTCAATGAATGACAGTCCCGAGTGAACACATTTTTTGTAGCATGGCATCCATTTAGGTTGTCGGCGTTGAAAGCAAGGAAGCTTAGATACGTGTGTCATGGAACGATGTTTATAGATTGCCTGTGTCACGCACGGTTCAGTCAATCCTAGAGTCACTTATTCCACCAAAGTTCACCCCACTTTTTTCATAGGTGACAAACATGATACGATTACGCAGTACAATCCTTTCTACAAGGGACATGTGAAAAATTAAGATGATGGCAAGTCCGTTGGCAAACGGACCCTTTCAACGTCATCCAACTTCTTTTTCACGTGTCAGTACCGACTTTTCATGCATTCTATAACACGTCGATCCATCAAAGTCCATCGTTCATCACGAGCTAAAGTGAAGACGGTCAAAACAACGCGATTCTTTATTTCCGGAGTTTATAAACCACGGCTCGTGCGTTACCAACGTATGTCATTTTATTTTTCCACAACGTGGGCCCCACTCACATGGGTTGACTTTATCGGGCAAACCCGATCTTTGAGCCCTATATTTTTCATTACAGAAAAGAATTACTCGCAAAAAAAAAGACAACCTGTCGACAAGGAAAAATCACTCCATCAAATGGTATCACTGGCCATTGACTATTGAACACAAATGGTTATCCATATAACGACTTGCGGCACGACATCCTCCTTACGCGACAAAGAGATTGACTTATGTTTTTAATTTTAGTGATTTATTGGATAGTGACAAAGAAAAATGTATCTTTTTTATTTTTCTCTACGCATTTAAAGAGCAGAGGCACCAGTAATGATATCGACTGTTGGGAAGAAGAAAAAAGGTACGTTAGTCAAATCATGTTCTGGTTTTTTTCCCCGTCCCTTTGTTTCCCCTCACACTCTCATGCCAGATTCTTTTATCCCTTTTCTTTTTCATCTATATTTACACAACCAAGGTAGAAGATAAACTTACTCAATTCGTTGGTAATGACAGCCTGGCGACCACGGTTGTAGGTCATGGTAAGCTTGGTGATCATTTCACCGGCGTTCTTGGCAGCGTTCTCCATGGCAGCACGCTTAGCACACATTTCGGCGGCGTGACCTTCAGTCAAACCCCAGTAAACAGCGTTGGCGAAGCTGAATTCTTGGAGGTTTGCAAGGACATCGTCTTCAATTTCGTAGACGGCGAAATTGGGCGAGTTCTTGAGCGCTTCCTGGGAGTAAGCGGGAATGGTGTCGGCTTCATAGGAAATGGCCGAGATGAAACGGTTATAGACAATCTCAGCAGTATCGTATTCGATATCTTGGCTCTTGATCACATCGACGATAGAGCATGCTTCAGCAAAGGTAGGCAAGTCTTTGCCAATTTGGTTGAAAGACACGACCAAGTTCTTGCGAATGGCACGGCTCAACTGGGCCTTGGGCTTGTCACCCAAAACAGCGACGGGCGATTCAGGGGCCTTGGCGACAAGACGACGAGTGGCCTTGGAAACACTGCTGTGAATACCACCGCAAAGACCACGGTCACCGGAAGCAGTAACGTACAAGGTCTTGGAGCCTTCAGCAGCCTTGGTCTCGGCATTGGTGAAGAGAGCTAAATAAAATAAAAAAAAAGACGCTCCCGTTAGTATTCCAAATCACTTTGGTTATGGATTTTCCCCTCGGTCTTCACTGTATTTGCGCCATCATCCATGATCTAGTTTTTTTTTTCCTTCTTTTCCGACGTGATTTTTCCAGCCCAGGGACTCTTTTATTTACCATTGGAAGCTTGACCGAAAGCGCGAGCAGCTTGCATGCCTCTTTGGGCCTTGTTGACCTTGGTAGAAGCAATCATCTTCATGGAGTTGGTGATTTTCTCAATGTTTTGGACAGACTTCAAGCGCTGCTGAACTAGAAAATACAAAAAAGAAAGACGTGGTCAGCCCAGTGACAAAGCAAACCCAAATGACCATTTGGGTTGCGGTCAGTGATCAGGAACGAATGAATTTACTTTCTTTCAAAGTAGCCATGTTACGGGCCTGGACACCATTGCTATAACAACCAAAACAGAAAATCTCAAGTTAGTCAACGTTCTTGAAGGATATATAATAAAGGTTGGGGACGTCTTGAATCGCGTCTCGAGAATTTTGGGTTCCATCGACGTCGAGTTGACAAATCTCTTCTTTTTTTTTTGCTCGTCGGCATGTCAAGGTTGAAACGATGGAGGGATAGTTTCTCGGTAGACACGAACTGCGGGAGGATAAACAGGAAACACGTTTGGTGGCAATTACCTCAATTGAGCAGCGGCAGGGCGAGCGGCAACGCGGGAAGCAGTAAACAACATTGTCAGAGGCTAAAGAGGAGAAGAAAATCTAGCAAAATTAAATTATATTTTGCTGTAAAAAATTTAGACGGGGGGTGTGGTTGGCCCGCTCCCAGCTTTGTCTCCCGGTCAGCGCTTACCCTGGGGACCGGTGGCTGCGAAAAAAAAAATAGTGTCGTCATCAGCGGAGCCTGCGTCAACGAAGTGCAGCGGAGCTTGGATATCGTCCGATGGCACCTCTATTATACTCGGGAAGCCGGACTGCAGTATCATACCAGAATGCGTGATCCCTCAATTTTTCACATGATGGATAATTATGTTCTGTCAATACGGTGAGTGCGCTCCAGTTTGATCCAGACTATTACCCTTTAGATGAAAGTTTAATAGCAGATGAAGAATTTTTTGGTGCCAAAACATCATCGGAGTACTATTCTATCCAATCACGGATGCGACAGTGACCCACTTTGGGACATGGCACGACGAAAAGCAACAGTTTATATCAATCCCGTATGTTAAACACACAGCAAAGTCTCGCGAGGGACTGCCCGACTCGCCCGAAATCATTCGCTCCTAGTTGTATACCTTTGATGTCCTTGTGAATCAGAATCAGAAAGAACTCGCTTACACATGATCGCTGTACCCTCCAACGAACCCTTGGACACGAAACCTCATGCGAATTTATAATTACGCGCGATAACAAGTTGTTTTATTGAAGTGTTGAACTTTTTGACATTTACATTTAGAAGAGAACTAGGCTCATGGATAAAGGAACCGCTCGGTATGGGCAAGTAGCCCGTTTCCATAGTCGCCGACTTTGGTTACACCAAGAAACCACGGTCATGCTGATCGATAGGAACATTTATAAAAGGATGCAAGCTGCTCCTTACGCATTTTTATTGATGAATGAGGGTTGTATAGCTTCGTCTCGGGCAAGACATTGATGCAGCACACTAATCCCTAGTCATTTGTATCGTTACTGCCATTCGTGAAAAAACAGTTTATATCCTGGTTCTCCGTATAAACCAGGTATTCTGTTCAGAGGAAAAAGAAATACCATTGTGAAATCAGTGACATTCGGCGCCGCCGTTCGCTTGTCCGCCTGGCTGATGTCATCGACCGGAGTTCAATTCAGGGTGAACTTTCTTTTTAAGCTTTTTTTCCGTGTCCGTTCATGCGGGTTTTGGTGCTTGTAAATAATGTCGAATACCTCTTCGTCTGAAGAACCTACAGTGGTCAATGCACTAAAGGTTATTCGCTGAATCCCGACAAATACATGCATGCCTTTAACTGACTGATTCTTTTGTATGGTTAGACTGTAAAATTGGAGGATTTCAAAGACGTGCCAAAGATCCCATGTGCACGTAACGCCTTTTTATATGGCATGGGTAAGTCAACGGTGGAAATGTGGAAGGCAAAGGGGAATCGATTCGTCTAGGCCTCCTAGACAAAATGAGACGAGATGAATACTTATTGAGCCAATGACTGTAAATATTACAGGTGCCGGTGTAAGCGTGGGCGCAGTACGATTTTTGGCGAAACGTAAGTTGGAGGTCATTTGTTTTCGTTGTCGTTTTCATCGACGCTTATACGAAAAATGCATGTGTTTTAGGATCGATTCCTACGGCTGCAAATTGGGCAGTGGCTGCTTTCTGTGGTGTGGCAGCGGTTTCGTTTGAAATGTGTCAAATGGAAAGAAAGCAGAAACTGGAAAAATTGCGGATGATTATCAAAGCAACGGATTCCAACGGTCAATCCCGTGCGGGCGATCGTCCCTTGATTGTGGATCAATCAGGCAAACGTGGCGCTTTTCATGTGATGGTGGAAACTCCTCCTTCGTCAGACAAAAAGGACGAATGAAGAAAAATAATCAAATTCATCCTATCACTGCTTTTCATGCCATACCATCCCGACGTTTCCCGTTCTGTTGATCTCATTTTCTTTTTATCTCTCTCTTTTATTTCTGTATAGATACGTTAGTTATGGATAATGGACAAACTGGGATTTACAGCGCATCGTGCTGCTGTGGATAGTAAAAATGCACGAAAAGGAAAAAAAAACAGGCAAAGAAAAAAAAAATAAAAGAAAAAGGAAAAAAGAGAAAATGGTAGACGGAAAGAAGGTTTTTTCTTTGTTGGCAAACAAACACTGAAAAGGGGAGAACAACAAAAGAGAACAAAAAAAGTGATGGCATGCTATCGTGAGATAAAAAAGAAAAACTCTTTACTGCATCAAAGCCTTCATCGCGACATGCCATTGAACTGTGTTATGCTGTGCCCCTTTTTCTGTGTGTTGTGTCCTTTACTGCTGTCCTTGAAAATCTTGGTGCTTGGATTCCGGTTCGGTGTCGTTGCCACTGTCGGTGTCGGCCACCTTTTTCGATCGCAAAAGAGCGAGATCGGCTTGCAGTTTCTGGCGGGTGGAATCGGTATATTGTTGAATTTGGGCTTGGATGGTTTGAAGCACGGGCATCACTTGTTCCTGCACATTTTGCGCCACATTCTTGGCTTTATGGTAGGATGATATGTCTTCACGAGCATATTCCTGGCGTGCTAGTTCCAGCTGTTGGTTGGCCACATCCAGCAGCGACTGTAAATGTAATTTGAACCGTTCCGGTACTTCGGTGGATTGTGTCTTGACTGTGTCCACCAGTTGGCCCATCTGTTGTGTAAGTTGGTGCAGTCGTTCCGTGGTGATGGCATGCATGTATTGGACGCGTTCTTTTACGGCAGGCGGTAGCCGGTCTTGGGCGGCTTGACTGTAGATGACGATGGAATGGCGTAGCATTTCTTGGAAGAGCTGAAGGTTGGCCGTCGCGCTTTGCACAATGGATGATGTTTCAGCTAATCGTTTGAGATCATCACGGGTTCGAGGTAAATCCGCAATGGTACGGGTCAGCTGTTGGCGAAGGCGTGAAGAAGCTTGACCAAACATGATGTAAGCCCGCAACAGCGGATCTTCTTCTTTGGTGACAGGCCCCTTTTCTTGACCGGCGTCGGAAGGCAATGGTTCAAGGTAACGGTCCATGACGGCTTCCAAGTTGTCAATGAGCACCGTCAATCGTTGATTGGCTTCTCGTGCCACCGTCTGAGCCGGGCGACTGACATTATTAAGAGTAAGCCTGCCTTTGACTCCTTCGATCAATTGATACGAAGGTTGTTTCACGGCCTCGACAATCTCCGCTGTGGGCTGAGTGATCAATGGCACTTTGGATTGGATTAGATCCAACGATCGGCACCCAAGCTGATCGGCTTTGTCAAGGTGGGACACGACGTAGTTTTCATAGTATGCTTGAAAAGATTTCGGCTGATATGACGAGTACTTTTCCAAGGTGGTCCAGGTTGATGCGGTAATTCTTCCCATCAACGTCCTCTGGTAATAAGCCACACCGTCTTGCACAATCGGGTACGAAGACACTCTTGCCACAAATCGGCTCTTTTCCGGCAACGGCTTGGCGGCGGCATGACCATTGGTCTCTGCATGCTTGATATGCCCGTTTTGCCCTACAAGGTACAAAGAAAAACAAAAAAGGTCAATCCCGCATTTTCTTTAAGTATGTTGGCAAGGAAAATGGCTAATGAAAGGGAATCTATTCCAAGAACAGAAAGATATTCAACAGGAGAAAATAAATAAATAGAAAAAAGAACGAGTGTCGCTCGGAAATAGAGTTTACGAGCCAACGGCGCACGATGTTCAAATGAATGTTTTATAAAACGTAAGATAGAAAGGGAGATGGGAATAAAAAGAAGGCAACTACAGTATTGGCATGACAACAGTATAAAATTTTTTGATGACGAGGTTTTTACTATACCTGTTTCTTGTGTAGGTTGAGGATACTGTCTTGCCATGTTGAAAAGATTAAAGGTAAAGATAACGAGGAAAAAAAAAAAGAAGGAAAGAAAAAAAAGGAAACAAACGATGAATATTATTGTTATTATTATTATTATTTTCGTTTGTTTCCGGTTTATTCAGGCGTGAGAGTGAGATCGTGTAGCCCAAAAAGACGCAACCCGCTTGAAACAGTCATCATGATTTTTTTTTCGCTCTTGTTACTTTTTTGACAAACATGTGAAAGAAAATAAGCAAGAGATGATATGATGAATGTGAGGTGGCTCAACTTTTTTTTTGATACATGTTTCTATTTGCCTTCATCCTTTTTTTTAACCTTATCGGAAAAGGCTGACTGCCTCGCGTGTTCATTTGCAAGTAAAAAGAAACAAAAATTGGCCATATTAAACTTATCTTTTTCCATCTTGACTCCCATTCTTTGATTTTCACATGCACTTCACCGACGGAATGGTCAATGCTCGACGGAGTTTCAACAACCAAAGCTTTGTGTAATCTTCCATACTACACAGATCCCAGCACCTGGCCACAAAAATCACCTTTTCACAAAACCTATCAACATTGAAGATTTTTATCCAACATGACTCCTTTTTGACAACATCATCTCTGGACTTTGTAAATGGATGCAACGTAATAGGCAACTGGGCGCTAAAGTGGGCTTCTTTTGTTTTTGGGATTTGTCTATCATACCAGGATATCACTGCGGATCATTGAATAGTCGCCGTTTTATTCTATCATAGCAGCGAAGCAACGTTTGGCTTTGCCTTTGATTCTTGCACCAGGATTCTCAAACACCACTTTTTTCATGAGGCTGGTTTGTATGAATATATATATTGCAAAAAAAAAAAAAAACAGCCATATCAACAGCTTATAGACTGCATAAATCGTCCAAGCCCCTTTGGAGACGGTGCCCGCACTGTCATTTGAATGATGGTATCATGGTCTAGAGCCATGTGAATGAGAACGGGGCGCGAGCTGCCATCTAGGGTATCGACGGCAATAAATTCTTGCCCGATAATTTGGACAATATGTAAAGACCATGCTTGCTTTACAGCGTCGGCCAAGGCGTGAATCGATCGCGTGCCCCAGTCCATTGTTTTATGTTTCTCACTCCCGTATTCGAGCCACAGTTTTCCAAACGTGTCCGTGTTCAAATTATGAAATGACGGTTGAGGCTGATCTTCTCCCAAGTCAAAAGCAATCAGACTCGATAACATGGACTCGCTGGCATCCTGCGTCCATATTTCACCTAACATACGTTTACATATCAGCCCATCATTAGCGTCAATAATGGCATTATCGTGGACGGGAACCTACGTCGTTGTTGAGGACTAGTGTGTGTGGAAAGAGGAGAATGACGCTACAAGATTACGGTAAGACATAAGCTTGATCCTCCCGCGCGCACCTCCACTACCTCCCCCCCCCCCTTTTTTTTTCTTGTGGTAACAATACCTTCCCGTTTTTGGATTCGGCGGTCCTGAAATAGTTGGTACTATTAGACTTTTTCTTTTTTTCTATTTTTTCGAGCAACGCGCTCAACGCTTACTCTTTTAAGCTCCGGTCCCTTATTGGCTCGTGCCGATGGGTAGAAAGAGGGTTACTGGTTTCTTTATCACCACTGCCAATAAATGATTGTGCTCGCGTAATATCGTGCAAATGTCGTCGCGGAGACGGTGCTACGTTACATGAGGAATGGGTCAAATGTCGACCGGATTGCCTCCTTGTTCGATGATTTTGCTTTACCAGATTCGGTTAGGAAGCGACCGTGATGGGGGCGATTGGCATTGGCTGATAACTAATCGCCCTTGTGAGACGGAGGTGGATGGGATGCTTATTTTTGGCATTCAAAACAAACCTACCACATTCGTTGTTGGAATGGTTACACTATCGGTCCCTTGCACCGCCAATCGAAACGCTCGGTCATCTATCATGTTGAGCAAATGCACCGCAATCTATGAAACGCGAATAAGAGGGTGCATGCAGGCAGCGTCTTTCTTTTTTTATCCTGAGTGACCTACTTGCTGTTTTTCCGCGATAGGCGAAATGCGGAAATTTTGTAATATGCTTTCCAGCCCTGGGATCACTGTTTGGCTTCGCTTCATAAAGTGCTCCAACGCTTGCAGTCCATGAATTTGCAAGTAGTCATCTTATTGAAGCAAAAGTAGAGAAAGGCTGAGTTCTAGCCTATCATGCTTTCTTTCTTTGGCGCGTGTCCTACCATCCAATAACGTAATCCATTTTTGCAATTGCTTCATAATATCTGTCTCAGAAATCGTCTTTGACAAATAAGCATATTCACTAAGCATCTATTGACAGACGTTCAAGTCATGAGATACGGTGCAAATGATTTTCATGGCCTTGTGATTTTACCCAAAAACAGAACTGAATCAATGGTGCTGATAAATAGGGGCTTTGACATTGTTTGAGTATATTGAAGCACATCTCTGTGGCCATGTCACGCAGTTCCGTTTCGTGGATTTCGTCGTCCAGCACTGTAAGAAACGCATCATGAAAAAATCGTTGACTTTAGATCCACAAAGTTAAAGAATAACAAGGTCACTTACAGTTCTTTAGATATTGACACTGGGCTTGGACATAATTTGTCTCGAGAGATCGTCGGGTTTGGGCTAAAATGAAAAGGACCATTTCCATACACCAAGCGTCGGAAAGCTTTTCACGGGTGCAATGGTTTATGAACCAACGAGCCACATGAGCTTGCGTATCGGGTGTTTCATGGCTGTTACGGATCGCGTTTTTAATGTGATCACCTATTTGCTTCAATACCGATCCACTCATGATTCTATCCAAATTTTGCAGTGCCTTCAAAAGGAGAGCGGGGGGACAGTTACCATGCCAGCCAATGCATAAAGATGAGTTTAGCCGGTTTGCTTACCATGGTGACAATCGTATCATCGTTCATGGCAATTTCAAGCATATTGCCAATTACGGCGCCATCTGTCCATTCATCGGGCCAAAGACTGACGTCTATCGATCCCAGGGTCTTCAGACCCAGGTATTTAAGGTTGTGATTGCCAGCATGTAAAAATTGATTCAGAATGTCCAATGGATGCGATTCGCGAGAAACAAGTGAATGAAGCACCAACGGATCGATTTCCGACAACAGTTGCACGCATTCCAGGATAATGGCTATGCTTTGATTTCAGCCTCACTGGCTCCCAGCCGATGCACCTTGTACTTACCATAGGCAGCATCCACTTTGTGGGCCATCAGCTCTAGACATTGCACGGTCACCTTGTAGATATCTTGAGGTGAACTGATCAGGCAACGGGATATTAATCACCTACCGGCCAACTCATAAATGCAGACTTACCCAATATTGCTGACTTGGAAATTGGCCATCATTCGTAGGCATGCTATTTGTGCCCACGGTGCCAGAACACCGTGATAGATATAGGAACGTGGAAAGCGTCCGTCCAAGAGCTGTTGAAATATCTGTAGCACGGTTGGAAAAAGATCCTTGTAACGTTCTGCAGAGGTCTAATGGAAACTTAATGGTGGCGGCCCATGGTTTTGTTTCAGGTACCGAAAGATCACTTACAGTGGTAAGAATAGATTTCCACACATTAAGTGCGGCAAAGACAACGCTCGGATCCTTGTCTGACAGCGCTTCTCGCAGATGAGGTTCTATGCGGTTCATCAAACGGGGGGATTGTCGAGAAAGAGAAAACAGCGCTACCACAGCCTTTTTACGAACCACTTCTCTAACATCATGGATTGGAATAGGTACTTTTTTTTTTGGTTTCTGTTCCTGTTTCCTCCTTTGCCTTACTTTTCAAATCCCATTGTCCGTATGACGGGTTCAAGCAGGGCATCCTGCATTTCGGGATGCTCAACGTAACAAATCATGGTGAGCGCCGCACACACATCCAAATAACTGGTACTCTTTAGATCCTACAATAGTGAAGATGTAAGTCAACGAGACAGACAATGCAAGTGGTAGTTCTTTACGTACTCTTTGCAGGGTATTGATGAGCATAATGGCAAGTTCGTTATTTTTTTCAAGAAACAGAGCACAAGACAAATAACCTAAAGTAGCGATCGTGCATTAGCGACACGCATGATTCATGGATCGGCCTCCCATAGATCCCACCTACGCGACGCTGCAGCGCGGTTTCTCCGCTTTGAGTCGTCATAATGGCATAAATTACTCCGAAGTCGACATTGTAACCGAGCATAAAAGCATGAATCAATCGTATCAAATAATCCTTCATCCTTGTCTGGCATTTTATAGGCAGAGACAGGTCAATTATTCACCATTTCCTTTTTTTTCTTTGAGTTGCTTACTTACAGGAGGGACATCGGGGTGGCCCATTTTATGTGACAAGGTTTGGAGCTCAGCACTCACATGAGAATGTTCTTCCTTTGTTCATTGGGTTTCATAAGCTTTTTGGGGTTGAATGCACACAACATTTGAAAGTAAAAACTCAAATTACCGCTTTACTTTTGGACTCGGTGACTTTTTGAATAAACAAGAATAGTTCTTTGCTCGAACCCGAGGCAAGAAATTCAGAACTCAACAGTGATTGAAGCTTCGCCATGAGGAAAAGAAAAAGAGGGCAAAAAAAGGAACTCAACCGCCGATTGGCGCACAGTTTCAATGAGAAATTCTGAGTCCCAAATCCGAGAGCATAATAGACAATCTGTACGGATTTTTTCCCTAATTTTGCGTAATGTTCACGAACTAAAAAGAAGGCAATCAGTAAATAGCGCTTCTTGAATCCAATTTTTACTAAACTTACTTTTGACAGACAAAGCACGGTTTTTTTTGAGGCAGGTGTGGGTTCAATAAAAACGTCAAATCAGTTCATCAGGCATGAGAGCAAACATTGATGTGATCTTACCGTAAACAGCAGTCGTCTTTACTACGATGCAAACTGAAATATTTCGGGCCGCCCCTCGCCGGACGCGATGCTGGCGGCAATTTGATGAATGTTCTTACTGGCGACGACGTCGCGGTTCCACACCGCCTTGCAATGTACCTCGCTGCAGGCCAAGATGGAGTGCAGTTCCTTATTTTCGTCATCATGAATGGGCTTCAACGTTCTCTCCTGGCATTTGTGGGCACACCTTTGAACGGGAAAGAGTTGGGTGGATGGCTCATTAGTTGATTAAGGCAAATTCTTTTGAGGTATATGCCTCATCTAGGGCCACAACAACAAGCAGGCCTCGTTTCTCGGCTTTCTTCAGCACTGATCGGCACATGCTCGAGATTCCGGGCAAGCCACCTTTGAAGGCTCCCCAGCTGCCACTAACAAATGCGATCAAGGGTATCTTTTGGGACTGTTCAAAATCGGCGGCTTTCCACTTTCCCGGCTTCCTAAAACTGGGAGAAGGACGAGTGTGAGTATTCAATTGCTTCTAGTGATCTCAATGGCCTATACTTACCTTTCCTTTTCTTCCCTTTGCGCTTCTTCCCCTTCTGCTCCTTCCTGTACTTCTTGCGCTTTCTTGCTTTTCGCTTGTCGTATTTGCGGCCGCCGTTGACAAAAATGTTCACCATTTCAGCTTGCATCTGCTGTCGTCCTTTGTAATTCAAAAATCGCAGCTCGTTGAATTGGGTATCGTACAATTCCAAAAGTTGATGCAATACGCCGTCGATAGAGAATAAACCCAGATGATATACTTGCAAGCTCGATGTCTTGAGCGATAAAAGTTGCTGCTCCAGGGATTCGATAGATGCTGCGGAATCGGAGGTTGAGTGGTCGGCCTTCCTCATGTTCTCCATTTTCTTGTTCGTCTTGTTGATGCCGGATTTTTCATGATATTCGGCTTTTGTTAAAGATCGCACTGATGAGATTGAATGCCGTGACCGTTACTGGCGACAAACACTTGTCTATGACCTGGATCCAGACCCCACAACTTAAAACGATCCTGCAAGTCTTCTTCGTCCAAATCGTCAATGTCTAGATCGGGTAGCCGTTCGTGAGTTGATACTGCCTTTGCAAAAAATGAAAGATGCTGCATGGCCGTCTGTGGCAAGATGGTTGGTAAATGCTCTATGGGTATCTGTTGGTCTATAACGTATTTTCGCCAAATCGAAAACTCGTGCAAAATCATGTTTGTTGTGATGATGGTTTGGTGCAATTTTCATCAAAAACTCTCGGTTGTCAGATCGTCGCAAAATTGCCTGCAGCGTGGTGGTGTCTATCATCACGTGTGATCGAATGAAACTCAAACGTGGAACAAGAGGGAATGAGCGGATGGTATTGAGAATTGTCTCCACAGGCGGATAAAAATTGTTCGTCGCGATCAGTGTGCGTGTATGAGAAATGAACACTTGAATCTCTGCAATTGTTGCCTCCGAAAGATCGCGTAATCGCGGCGATTCGTTCTTGTTAACCGAGTTGCAAATGGCTAAAGCGAGCTTCCTTCGTCGTGATTTGCGGGTGCGCTGAAGTTCTTCGCAAGTATTGAAAATGGTGGTATAACCAACGAAGCGTGGCTTCTGACTGTGGTTCACAAGCAGCATAGAATTTTGATCGTTGTACAGTTCGATGACTGATAGCGCAAAACGAAGGAACTTGAAAAACGGGCCAGGGTTGCGCGTGAGGTTTTCTTCTGTGACCAAGAGGGAGAGAGGGAGATCTGTGCTTTCGAGAATTATGATGTCTAAGTCGGCGGTGTGGTCCACACCTTCAGGCCAATCGGTAGGATTTGGGGTGGTGCAACTGTATATGTATGCGGCATAACGCCATGCTTGGCGCTCATCGAGATCCTATCTCATTGAAATAAATGGTGGATCAACATTTCACCGATTTCCCAACTTACCGGGTAACAGCATTCGGATTTTGACGAAAAAATAACGTTTTGCCCTGTTCGCAAAAGGCTCAACAATGTTGTTGATAAAAATTGTCGCTGACTGTTGTAAGCAAGTACGTTTGCGTATATGATGCTTTGATTTGCAGAACGTGGAGAAATTTTCATGCAAGGAATGGTTGTCGAGAGTTCTTCAAAAATGCGGGGCATTTGGGCAATGGGTAAGTTGGTGTTAGTCACTGGCTTTCCGAGGACGAGCTGTTGGCATGCATAAAAAAATTGTTGCGAGAAAAAAATGATCGGTAACTCGTTGGATTGTCCAACAGGTACAAAAGGAAAAAATTCGCGAATAGCATGGATTTTACGGCCACTTCTCGCACAACGTCAACTATCCGTTCAAGTTCGGAAGTGAATCGTGCTGCCGAATCTGGCGGCAAATTCAGTGCTTTTGCAAGGCCGATCTTGACCACACATCGCCTGTGTTGTCCTCGAAGCTTCTGGGAAAGATGCCCTTCGAGTAAGATTTCATGGAATGGACAACTTGGTTTTCGACTGGAGGCGTGAGGATTGCCCTCAGGGTCGTAAATCCCTTCGTCAGTGCATTTCTTGCACGGGTCCGTTTTTCGCCCTTGTGCTTCCAGTTTGCGTCTTTCTTTTCGGCGTCTTCCCTGGTACGTTTCTTGCTTTCTTTTGTAGGACATGAGAATGAATGGCATAGTACATAGATCAAATTTGATATCCACTTACTGTTGTAGGGGCACTCCCGACTTCGTGCATCTTTTGGCCTTGAGCTCCACATCGTTTGCAAACTACCGATGATCTGTGAATCGTGTCGCTTTATCTCTGAGCGTTTTATTATGTACCTCTTTGCAAGGGCAAGGGAAGCGTTCTTCCTGGAGGGGTCAAAGGCAAGGTGTCACGCTTATGCATCGACTTGTAATTGTTGGCCTGCAAAAAGTCCCGAATCGTCTGGGAAGCAACAGGCGTAGTAGAGAAGAGTTGTCTGCTGGCGTCCACAGCTTTAATCGTCGAAGGATCAGACACCCCAAGTTGGTATGGCTCTGTATATTGAATCTTTTGGGAACAAGAGTCGAAAGCCATGTTGACAGGGTAGCTGTTAAAACTGATTTTGTCGATTTCACAGTCACGGTTCGTCATGCTAGAAAGGATGATCCGAGTGCCCGAGCGTCCAAGCTCAGTTGAATCACCGCATCACTGTGCGATGACAGTATGTGTTGCTGAACATCCTATTAAGCATCAATTTACATAACAATTACCCAATAGAGCATTCAATGCGTTGTAATTCATCAGATAATGGTTTGTACACCCATCGCAAAGCGAAAAAGGAGATCCACATCAACATCCGGAGGCGTGAGATAATAGCGGACAGTATTCACCATCACGATTGAAGCCGCATTTATACCCTGCTGGAATGGTGAGGATAAAAGGAAATGGCAAACGAAAATGGAAATGAGAAAATCATTCATCAGCCCAGAATCATTCGGATCAGGGCCCTTTTGTACCTGGATTGACGGTGGCACAGGCACTTTAATATTTTTTATTTTTTTTATTCACGCGCGCCGTACCCGAAGTCTTTCTTCCTCTGGACTTCTTTATGTTTTCTTCTCCTCCTTTCCTTTCCTTTCATTTAGTATTGCATCATGTCATCCATTCGACTGCGAAGTCACGCTTCCATCTCCAGCAAAGCCAGTAGTATCGCCACGGGCAGTGGCAGTGACGAGATCGCTGTTGATCAACAGTCCTTGTCGTATTATCCATATCATCCAGACGCTTATGACCAGTATTTGGATGATTTTTCCATTATTGATGATTTATACGATGCATTGGATCATGAATCCGTCGTTGGCGATCACTATGGTGAGTTGGAAACGAGAAATTATTTTCCTTGCATTGATTTATTCATTGTGTGATTGCTCACGTATCGTGTTCTTTTCTATTTGACTTAGCTGAACAGCAAGTGGTAGATGCTACAAGAAATGTGGTGAACAAACATCAGGCGATTCATCAATTGTATCTTCATGAGATGCAATATGTCAAAGAGTTATCAGTATTGCAACAAATATTTATGGACCGATGGCCTGATTTTTGGACCCAGCATCACAAAACTGCAAAAATACCCTGCCCGGACATGGCGCGGTTGTTTGACCACCTCCACGCGCTTATCGACGCCCACACCGGGTTTGTCTCACAATTACAGGGCAGGCAAGTGAACGGAGGAGAAGTGACGGGAAAAAGAAGGAAACGGAACCACACGGTTCAACAGAAACGGCAAAAATTTCTCATGTAAAATTTTTAGGCTTGAGATTTGGGGCCCCACCCAACTGGTGTCAGACTTATTTTCCAATCTTGTAAATACATTGTCACAGTGATCATCATGCACATCGTGTACTTAACCAGGATTGGTTGCTTTAGTTGGACCAAACGACGGGGTATGCGATCTTGCTGGAAAACTATTCCGACATCATTCTAAATCTTGATAAGTTGTACCACCAATCCACGTTTACCAAGTTTCTCCAGGTAAAGCCATCTGTGCGCTGTTGTGCCATGTTGATCTTCTTTGATTCTCAATTTCTTTTTTGGAATGGTCCCATTTTTCATCGATGGCTCTGTATTCTTTTGGTTTCGTTATCGTGCTTTTGTTTCCTTTCTTGCTTTCTTTCTTCAATGGTTTTAGGGATCCACTATTACGAGTCTGTTGGAAAACCGAGATCTACTTGCCTATGTTTTCAATCCAATCAAACATCTGACCATCTATTCTCCGACTTTGCTTCAAATCATTCGCTACACAGAACCCTGTCATCCCGATTACCGTGCCCTATCACGAGTGGCCCGTAAATATTCTATTCGGAACGACGAATGGCAGCCAATGCAAGTCCGCTCTTTACATGTTGCCTAATGTTTTTTTCTGTTTATATACTTAATCGTTTCTATACTAGGATCGACGATCGGTATGCCCACTTGCGCGTCTTGGAAGCGTACCATTCGGCCATTCATCAATGTCCTGTCACGGTCACTCCCGACCGTCGCTTGCTGCTATCGGCTCAATTCATTAAGGTCGATCCGGCCGATCTCTCCAATACGACCCACACACGTACCTTCTTATTGTACAACGATGCACTCCTTTTTACCCGTCGCCATAAAACCAAAACGAGGCAATTGCAATACAAAGGCACCATCGAACTCACGGGTGCCCAAGTGCGGCCGTTATCTCCGGATCTCATTCCTCGCATGCTCGAAACAAGACGTTCTTCCAGTTTACCTTCATTTTTTGGAAAAAAAGTGCCTGTGACTCATCAACCTTCCTTTCCAACCAACGCCGCTTATGGCTTTGAGATCTTAGCCGTCGATGAAATGCAGGATCTTCTCAGTGCGCTGGCCGCTCCGGGCATGCATTATCGCTCGCCGGATGCCGTGGCTATACCGAACAAACGTTACATTATTCGTACCTACACGCTGGCCGAGCAGACATTGTGGATCAGTGTCTTAACAAGAGTCATTCAAGGAGTGACGCAAAAACAATATGCCCCATAATACTATGCTCATTTTCGCATACATGTAAATATTTATCAACTTTTTATTTTATTTTATTTTATTTGTTATGGCGGATATGGTAAAAAAAAAAGACGAAAAGGTAAAAAGTCATTGGACCAAGGAAAGTGTCAAGGAGAGAACGCTTTTTTTTTAGTGTTGAGACCATTGAATAGACTTGAGATCAATACCCTCTTGAACCTGAAAAAGAAGGAAAACAAAATGATTAATATCGCACACTTCTTTTCCGCGAGATAAAGATCCAAATGCTCACCATTTCCCAAAGAGGGGACATTTCTCGCAATTTGTGAACATGTTGCTTGACTTTGTTGATGACAAAGTCAATTTCTTCTTCAGTAGTGAATCGACCGATACCGAATCGAATGGAACTGTGAGCCTGCTCATCATCCGCACCAAGGGCACGAAGCACATAGGAAGGCTCCAAAGACGCCGATGTACAAGCGGAACCAGAGGACAGGGCAATGTCTTTAAGTGCCATCAGCAGAGATTCGCCTTCCACATAGGCAAATGACAAATTCACACAGCCAGGATATGACTTTACGGGATCACCATTGCGTGTAACTTCATCCACATCCGCAGTAATGCCATCGATCAATCGCTTGGACAACATGGAAATTCGTTTGTGGTCATACTACATGAGTAAGGAAAAAAAAGAATCTGTAAGCAAACTGTTTGTCTCCACACATAAATACACCCGAACGCTCTTGTATTCGAAAATCCTCAGAACCCCTGCACAGTGTATCACGGCAATGACCCTGCACCGGTGTATCATGTAAAATGATACGAACGCAGCCCATCGCTCCATTCACCATGGTTTTAACGTGCCAAAACCCACGATTCATCACCGGATTCTCCCCACATTCATTCGCAAAGAAAAAACACATACCTCCATTTCCTCCAGGGCGACGCGGCAAGCTTCACCCATGCCAACAACGAGAGGGGTAGGCACGGTACCACTGCGAAGACCACGTTCTTGACCACCACCGCTTTGAACAGCTTCCAAACGCACTCTCGGCCGTCTTCGTACGTAGATGGCACCGATGCCTTTGGGACCGTAAAGCTTATGACCGGAAATACTCATCAAGTCGACATTCATGGCATTAACATCCAAGGGGATTTTACCGGCGGCTTGAGCAGCATCGGTATGGAAGAACACCTTCTTTGACCGACATAATTTGCCAATCTCGGCCACAGGTTGCACCACACCAATTTCGTTGTTCACGGTCATGATGGAAACAATGGCGGTATCGGGACGGATAGCATCTTCGAGGGTCTTCAAATCAACAATACCATTGGTTTGCACAGGAAGGTAAGTCACTTCAAAGCCTTCCTCTTGCAACATGCGGCAAGAATCAAGCACACATTTATGTTCCTATTCACATATGTCAGTTACCATTTGCCACCTTTTTTTTTGCTGAATAATGAGACAAGTCACGCAAAAATTTCGAGACTTACGATCTGAGTGGTAATAATGTGCTTCTTCTTGTTCTTGTAAAATCGAGCCACGCCCTTGATACTAAGATTATTGGATTCCGTCGCACCAGATGTGAAGATGATTTCCTTGGGATCAGCACCAATCAATTTGGCGACATACTATTTTTTTTTGAAAAAAAAAGAAAAAAATTAGTGGTGAATCAAAAAAATGATGGACCGAATCTCCCCGCATTCAGGGAAAAATAAGATTCATAATGTCCATCAGTGCAGTAAAAACAAGAACCACTAATACATACCTCACGAGCTTTATCGACGGCTTTTTCACTTTCCCAGCCATAAGGATGAGTGCGAGAGTGAGGGTTACCGTATAATTCGGTTTGATAGGGAAGCATAGCATCCAGCACACGGGGATCCATGGGACTGGTCGCTTGCATGTCGAGATAAATGGGCCGACCAGCGACAGCTACAGGTTGCGATTCGAAACCGAGCGAATCTGTTTTCCCGTTTGCAAGTTAGAAATCTCTCATATTTGTAAGCTCACATTCCAAGCTGAAAAATTTACCAGAAGAAGGGGAAACAGCGTCCTTCACCGCAGCAGCGTATTGTGCACCGGTATTCTTGGAGAAAGCACGGGTGATCTGAGGAAGAGATCGCTTGGAAGCAAACGCACCGGATCGTACGAGTTGGCGCTGAAAAAGTGCTGCTCTGCCAATCATGGTTTTTTGTGTGTCAAAGCAAATGAAAGAAAAGCAGTGGAGAAAAAAAATATTAAGAACGATGCTCCGAGCCCAAATTTAGAGCGGTCTCTCTCTCGCTGTGGCTGTTGTACACGTGACTTAATTTTGGGCTTGGTTCAACCGCCGCTCGGTCCCCCCGAGGGCTGCTTCCAAACCATTCGTTCGATCTTTCTACCAAACCAATGAAAACCATCCAAACCATCTGATTAAGCTCTCATTAGGCCAACGGGGATTTGCAAAAGGCAATGACGAAAAGGTGGGCCAAAAGAAACAAAAATTTAATACCACAAAAGTCGCTCTATGATTGGTTGTCTCTTTTTTTTGGTGTTACCAACTGGCCGCTTATTTGTGCTTGCTGCCAAAAATGACACTATTCGAAGGGAATCCCGACGTATCGCTTTAAATTGGAAAAGATTTGTCCCTTAACTCCCCGTGATTCTTGAACATTTTTCGGGACGTCATGCCGCATCCCCGCAGTCGACGGTTCCTTTTTTGTTGAGGGAAAAGTAGTTCGGGGAGATTCAACCGTACCTGTGTCTGCCGGTCCAGGCAAAAATGAGTTTTTCCTACTTGTTGTCGAATCCCATGGATAGATACATCTTTTCTGCAAACGCTTCATCATTTAATTGCGTTTCTTTGACGGCATCCAGAGCTTGGGCCAATACCGTTGCCAGCAAATGTCGACACTAAAAAAAGCAATAAATTTTAATCGACCATGCAATCGTAATCCGCCCATATTCAGAGAAAGTTTACCGTTAAGATGGCTTGTTTACAGACTACAAACTGGAAAAAATCGTGGCAGGAACAATAATGAGGCTGTATCAAGCACATGTAGGTGGCAGTGGTGGTAGACTTGGAAGATAATACGTCGCCTACTTCATAGAGCATCCGTTGGGTGGGACATATCACCTTGGCCACTGCGCAATCGTTACATTCTGTCTTGGACACTTTCTGGAGCCATTTTTTTCTAGCTTACCTGCTTGATTATCGACTAGGTGCAAGGCCTCTATCAACACATTGCCCACCAGACCGTGCAATGTTAACAGCTGATCGTTGGTGACTTTTTTTGACGAAAAATGGGTTACTGAGTTAAAGACACAAAAGACAAAGATACTTCTTTGTGGGGATTTACCTTTTTTCTGTGCTGCTATTTCTTTTAAGATTTCATTCAATAGCGAAACAGCAGCGGTGTGGCTCATTTGGTGCACCGTCAGAGAGCAAAGTAGTTATTTCTGTCGCATTAAAGAAGCACAAATCTTGCAACAGTCACGCGCTTACCACCTTTCATTTACCCGCTTGGCTCACCGCCAACATACATACGCATCAACTTGCTTGAAATATACTCATTAAACAAATATTTGCTTTACTTGATAAAACTGCCCATGATAAATCCATATCGCGATAAATTTCTTCCCAGGGAGGACGAGGAGCGTTGCAGCCAATTATTCAATAAAGCTTTCTTAAAATCTGCATATGTACTTTTTCATATTAAACAAACTAGTGACGGTAAGTAACATGATTGGGAGAATGATACTTCAATTAGCGTCATCGGTTTTGGTGTGGGTTCATTTTTTTTTTATCATGAGCAGTTGCCCAAGCCACCACTAGAGTGTGGAGGAGTTTCTGTTCGGGACCCGCCGAGCTTTATGCAACTTGAACTTGCATACATTTCAACCAACTCATGGGCAACAGTCAAAGTCAAGCTCACAGTGCCAATGCGGCCAACCATCTACTATCCAAATGGTCGCCCCAAGAACAAGAAGCTATGAAAAAGGTTTACGAACAGTTAAAGAGCAATGACACACCAAAAGACTCTCAACGGTCTCTTCCACAATTCTTTAGTCGTGAGCTGGCCACCTCTCTTGAGACCTATTGCTCATCCGTGATCAAAGAAGGCTCTATGCCAGCATATCTGAAAACAGCAGATGCTCTGATATCAGGAGCCAGCCAAGACCATGCCACATCTGCTTATCGCGTCTTTACCAAAACCGTCCAACGTACCCAGTGGTCTCTTGAACAATTTGTCCAACAAGTGGCGGCATCCGCGGTGCCGCTGTGGTTCCAAACCAGTGGACTCTCTTGTGACGGAAAATTATTGGACGAACGGGACGAACGAGCGTTGCATCAATTAACCGAGTATTTACTTTACCGAGATCATAAAGACCGGATGAGAGATCAAAAAGCGAAGCAAGACGATTTGTTCTGGTTGGAAGATCACGCACAGCAACAGCAGCAGCAACACACAAGGAAAGCGTCAGTGGATCCTTGGTTGGATCAAACCACCAAGGCGCCGTCCGAGATCACGGAAGCCCAGTTTCGACAATGGTTCACTCGCACATCAGCGTTTTCCCTCTTATTTCAACTTGTCTGCAGATATATCCTCTGTGATGCCAAACATCACGATCCCCGTCAACTACACCAGAACCGTGTCGCCCATTTAGCCTCTCCGGCGGTAGCTCAGCCCAACGATGCCGTGTTTGATGGCCGTTTTTCACGATTATTATCGTCTTACGATTATTTCATGCTGACGCAATATTTGCCTCGGAATGCACTGTCGTGGACCGAAGCCGAACGGACCGAACGCTCGACAAAGGACGATGTGAAGCATGAACTCGTATTTTCTTCTCGCGTGCATGGACTCAGCTGGCAAGCGTTGGTGGAACAACTGATGGGCCGAGGCGCTACCTTGATCATCGTCAAGACAAAGGACGGTTTTGTTTTGGGCGGCTATGGCGACGAACCTTGGAAACCCGTCACCGATTGGTATGGCAATCCACGCAATTTCTTGTTTCGGCTTGGTCATCGCGACACAGGGTCATCCAGTGTACCTTACAACGATGATGGCTACCTTTCCACGGGCGCCTGGCAAGGAACGAACCATAATACTCATTTTCAGTACTTATGCTGGGGCAAGAAGAGCCTTCCCAATGGTAATATTTTAGTCATAGGAACCCGTGTGTCGAGGCAGCTTTCACTGACGTATCACATTTGTTAGGTCTTGGTATGGGAGGACAGTTTGAATACCCTGGGTTTTGGCTTGACGCCGATCTTCATTTGGGGCGCTCTTGTGCTGGACCGACATGCACCACCTACAACAGCCCGCAATTATCACATGATCAAATGTTCGAAATTGATGAAATAGAAGGTGAGACAGCAATGTAAAAAAAAATTTCTGCAAAAAGCCTCAAATGGAGATGAACAATGAACTAAAAAAAAGAGGGCGCGATTTTTTTGGTTTTCGCTTCCGATGGCTGATCCGTAGTGTGGTTGGTTAATCCCGTGCGTATCGATCCCGATGATCCGACAGCGTTTGGCCAAGGCTTCAGCCGTGCGGAGAACATGGAGTTCCTGGAAATGGCCGGTAAAAAGATGTATTCGAAGGATTTGCAGAAGCCGCCCAATGCCACGCAAGACGATCAGGACGATTGATCTCCCAACCGACTGGCGGCGAAACCTGTGGAAGGAAGAGATTTGGAAAACACTTCCTTCTAAAATCGCATATTCAAAAATAAACGTTTCTAAAAATGGATCGGCGTCAAAAAATTGATCAGGCCATTCGATTCCACTGATTCTTTTTATATAGTGGTTTTCCTTTTTCTCTCCACCCTTTTTTTTATTATCATACTTTTGTTTCCCCCTTCATTTTCTCTATAACATGGCAGACACGACAGGCCATCTCTATGTCTACGGCGACTCGTATTCTGGTATGTAGTCGCCACCGCTTGATATGTGGGCGTCTTTGTTAACCAGAACATTGAAGATATACGAGACGGAAACCAAAAATCCAACGGTCCTCTGTGGAGCGAACGATTAGCAGACCGTTGGGGTCTGCAATTAAAGAGTTTGGCAGAACAAGGCGCACGCGCATGTCCTTCGTCCGCCACATCCGTCGTCAGTTCATCGTTTTCCAGTTTAGCCGATCAAGTCCAGCAGCGAACAACATCCAGTGCCAGCCAAGATGTTCATGCCATCTTCATTGGTGTAACGGATGTCGTCAATACCAAAGGTAATTTGCATTACCAGTACGATTCTACTTGAGTCAAGCTCTCTCTAACTTGCGTATGATTCGTAAAAAAAAACCCAGAAAAACTGGAGGCGGAAGCTTTGCGCGATTGTGTGAAACAGCAAATTGTAAGCTGCGACATTTTTGCTGCGTGTGGTTGACGTGTTTATCTGACAAGGGATTTTTTAGTTCAATATACAGCAAACGGATGCAAACGCTCGCATCTTATTATTCGGGTTGCCGCCACTCGAATTTTCGCCGTACTATGCAAAGGAACCTAGCAAAATCAAGGGGCGAATCATGGAGTACAATGCAGCACTCGAAGATATGGTGAATGATTGGGATTCCGTTAATGGCGCCACAGCTTCACTGTCGTACGTGGATCTAAGTACCTTGTTTGGCGCTGTGCTGGGGGATCCATCCGAGTATCGGCTCTTGGACGTTGAAAATGCTTATTGGGACAAATGTCAAGGCCGCTGCAACGATCCTGTCAATAACTATTTATGGTGGGATGCCATTCACATTACTGGAGGTAAGCCTTTTTTTTCTGCCATCCATCACAGTAGGGTGCAGTGCACTTATTATGAGGACTAGGGGGCCACAAGGCGATAGCCGACGCTGTGCTAGCCAGCAATCCATTCCATATGGCCATCGGACCGGACAAGGAGTACCCTGTGGATGCAAGTGATAACACAGATTTACCAGTGACTGAGCGAGAGTTTTTCTTCCCATTCACTTCGTGGCTCATTTTAGCTGGTCTAATGGTCATGATTTTATTGGCGACCCGACCCGCCCGCATTGCCAATGTGCTGAAGCGGGTTTTCAAGAAAACCCCGTCTGGCTACGTGCGAGCTCACAGCCACGAATCGTTACCCGTTTAAAACCTCGAATTGTCATTTTTTTTATTTTACTAGTTTTCTCTCATTCCCTCCAAGCGAATCTACATAATTAAAAATCTTTGGGAAATTCGCGATTTTGTAAATCACATGATCTACACTAAGTTAACAGGACCTGTTAAACCTTTTTTTTTTATCTTTCAACCATGCCTCGCTGCCCACTTTCACGATAATAGGCGAAACAATTAGCAGCAAGATGCCGTTTGCGCCAGTTGTGGTTAAACAGAGTATCGTGGTCTTCGAATAAAAATGTCAGTAGAGCTCTGTGAGAAGAAAAGTGGTTGATGATACGACTGGCGTTCTTCTGTAGCATCATTCAATTTGTTTTTTTTTTTGTCAGTTATACTGTATATGTCCTTTCATTCTCTTTCAATTTTCAATGAATCGAATAATACATAAGCAGGCGTGCTTCGATCTATGAATTCATGCATCAGTGGGATGACTATTGTTTCATCCATGGAAAACCATATATTTTGGTCTTCTCTCTCTTTCTGTTTACCTGGAAACTCTAGGTATCATTGTATCAAGATCCCATCCGCATCCATCCACCAGGCCATTCTTATCCCGTGTATCTAACTTGGTTAAATTGACCACCATCCTCAAAAAGGTAAGCGTCGAGTGGTCTACCATCGATTTTGCTCCGGCAAAACAGACTTACCTCTCCTTTACTTCCATCCTTCTTCCAGCTTCCAGTTTCCATTTTCTTTTCGCATGACAAGTTCTGGATACTACAAGTTGACTTTCTCTCGCCATCCATCTGGCGAAACCGGATGACGTCAAAGGCCATCGTTGGTGGTGTGGCTCTTTTTTTAATCAGAAAAACGCTTACGTGTCCTCTTCATGTTCCTCTCCTTTGGATTGCTTCTCATCATATGGTATTCGAGATGTCTTCCCGATTATTGTATTTTGTAGTTCTTATTTTGTATTTTATATTTTATATTTTATGTACATATTCTTTTCGCAGCCTTTTCCTCTTTTTTTCCCACAGGGTTTTTTAGGAGGTTTTTTACTGACGCGACCATTGTTTTTTTTATCATCATGTACTTTATTTGTTTCTTTCTTTTTATTCGGGGGACTGTCGATATCTGGAATCCAACTCGAAGTTACCGTCACTTCTGGCCACGTCAATATTTTTTGCCTGCTCAAGCTGACACCACCGATCCATCGCTTAACTGTCCCTGGAAGCAATTTTATTTTCTGCATTGAAGAAGAAGCTTACCTGGCGGTCCGTATTCACCGTTTTTTTTTTCCGGTACACCATTTGGTTCAAAGGCAAGTCCAATTTTCTCTCCTTTGCTATGATGTATAATGAACGTATACTAATTCAAAATTTTTTCAATGTCATATAAAAGTCATGTCAAGCGATCAATGGCTATTGCAAACTCAAATAACAAAGGTAAAATATCTTGACGAAAATTTGAATCAATCAAAGAGCTTACTAACTCATTTTTTTAAATACCCAACATTCCCACACATCATTCTAGATCTATCATAACCTTGGGCGGGACGGGACTGAGGGGGTCAATCAGTGCTGCCCTGCGCGTGTTCAGAAACAAATCATGACGTAAGGGATGCCATAAGGTTGTCATTAATATACCAAAGTCCGTCAAGAGTTCTCGCCCAGGTTATGCCGTGTATGCGCTAGGCTTTTTGTCTGACGAAAGTCGCTCAATGTAAGACGGCGGCCTCCGGTGGCAGGCGGCATCCATTGCACAGCGGGTGTACGGCTTGTTAGTCGTAGACAAAATTCATATCATCTCTTTATTTGCACATTCCATACCATTCAATAAAAATATATCTTTTTGCTTACTACTGAATACACCCTCAAATACGTATCCTTTACTAAGTTTCTTGAAATTGTCGAAACTATGTGTTACACTGATCAGCAATATGACAATATCGGCTGCGCAAAAGATTTTTAAAAGTCGCACGCAGACCTTTTTACCAACTAAATGGCTGCAAGTCCGACCGAGCAATTGAAGAAGGAAATACAGTGCCGGATTGATTGTCATAACCTCTTGCTGATGAACATCCACACAGTTGCCACTGTACTGTACGATGTGGTTATTGCAATACTTCGCGCAAGCAAGTCTAATATGCAGCAGTGATATACATGCATTGTTTAGATTAATTATAATAGTTGTTCTGACATTGTTTTAGTTCATTATCAACAGAATCACAAAGAGCCCAAGTCCCAGAATAATTACGTGAAATCAAGGTGGCTTTTCTTTTGAGTAAGTGTCTGGCGAATCTGATTTATTTATTTTTTCCATTGCCGGCAAAATTCTGGGACATCAGTTACTGCTAGGAAACGAACATTAAAGCCAGCAATAGCAGCGTCACGATTTCTCCTGGGAACTTGAGAATACATGGAGATTTGGGAATAAATTAGAAAACTACGGCATTTCCCTATGATATCTTCTGCCACTTCATGACACGGATCACCCAATGAATAGTCCTTGAGGAATATGTCCAATAATGGCTGCGGTCAGAAGCGATCGTAATTTGTTGCAGTGTACACATGTGTTTGTACGTTGAAGTTATTATTTGGCAAATTTGTACCATAGAGCCATGGCTAAAATTATGGTAAATAGGAGAACACTGATGAGAGACATCCAGCAGTTCAATCGGCCAAACCACTGGTGCATGTCGGATGATGCTTGAGCTGTGCAGTGAATCCAAGCGCCTATCCACCATAACGGGAAAAGGATGAAACCAAAAAGAAAGAGGAAAACAGGATGGATGCCTATGAATTGGTGTTTTCGCTTAACTGTGGATTCCGGGTACACCGCGACAATGTGAACGCCGTATTTATCGACGTGTATCCGATGCTTCCCTAGACGGCCATCATTGTCGTACCACATGGCGGAAAATCGATGTACCTTTTCTTCAGTTACATCGTTAGTGGCAGACTGAAGGGAGGAGGAATGGGACGACAACGTGGAAATGGTAGGATAGCGGATAATGGATCCGATCGGTCGTTTGGGACCGTTCCAAACGCGGTGACATGGTAACGATGGATTAGGAAGATCGATGTTTCGGGAAGACGGTGAGTCGGTGGGCTGAATGGGAGACGGCGCTAAAAAGTGATCCATATCATCGGGTGATCCCTTACTACAGTATCTTGAGAACCGGAAATTTGATGACGATCGAACGGGTAAGGGGTATTGTCCGAACAAACTGCTCAATGGCCTCCGACGTCTGCGGCTGTATCTTTGGCTGGTCCCATCTTCAGTCGACCAACGCTTAACATCATATTGCCACAACCGTAAACAGGGTGGATAGGTTTGCCGCTTTGGCCGAACGCAGGTATACATCGCCGCTGCTTTTCGACGAGCGAGCCACAGTGATAAGGGCCACGTAGACCAGCGCCACGTCATTCGTTGCGTATATGTAGATTTGGAAATTGTATCCGTGTCAAGGTCTTTTTTAACGTAACTGTAGAATGTGTTGGTCGGTAAAACGAGATGTGTGTTGTCTAAAGGCGTTGGTATTGTTAGAAAGCACGGGCTCCAATCTTTGTAAACTGACACCGTGTTGGGAAGGGTAGTGGGGATCGCTTGCATCCCTGCCAAAATGTATCAATAAAAAACAAGAGGAAAAAAAAATAACTGATGAAGTCTAGGGAGACAAAGAGAAATGAAAAAATATTATTAGTATGAGCGTTTTGACGTAAATTGGCTGCTTTTCAATTCGCCAATTGCCGTGGAAATAAGGCCATCACTATGCTGACCAGTCCCATCCACGTTTGCAAATGAGTTGTAATACAAACAGAACAATCCAGATCTACTGCTGTCCCTTACTGCCCTGTAACCTAAGCAGTCTGTGGTCCATGCTCGTGTACGATATATGATGTAATGTATCCACCTTTCAATCTGAAACACTGAGAACGATAAAAGTGATTGGCAACCATTTCCAACAAGAATAAAGATGTAAATTTCGGTCCTTTCTATAATAACAATCGAAACACAGCCGTTGTTGTTGACAAATCTACTGTAATGGCAGCATAGTGCAAGTACTATTACCGTGGTGGTAAGCGAGAAAGGAGACATCACATTCGGTAAAGGCGTTCATGCTTTCACGAGATGGAAAGGATGATAGTCCAGCACTGTCATGTGGCGTAATCCAAGCTTGCACAGGTCTATAAATTAAAAATATTCTTGGCCGAACGAGAAACTTAAAAAAAAAGTTACTCCTGAGTCGAGCACAGTAACAAGCGTCTTCGTTCCTGTGGTTCTGCTTTCTTCCTGCCTCATAATTTGCCCATTCAGTATAAGCGTAAACCCGAAACGGGCTGTTATAACCCTCATTCATCGTAGCTTTTGGGTGATATAGCCTCTCAGGTTTGGCTAGCTGTTCACGATTGGTAGGTTTGATCACCAAGCCGTGACAATGATTTATGCTGTGTTCTCCGTCATCGTCACTAAGGCTGAGAAATTCGCCTTGATGTGCATCATCCTTCATCACGAGAAAAACAGGGAGAATGTTTCTATGACATCAAAGTGACGAGTCCATATTTTTTTTTCGACGACTTGAAAAAGGTCAAAATGGTAGTATTCTTTTTTCATCAGCCCCTGAACAATTGTGTTGATAATTTCGGTTGCTGGGTTACAATAACAAGCCGTACACCCGCTGTGCAATGGATGCCGCCTGCCACCGGAGGCCGCCGTCTTACATTGAGCGACTTTCGTCAGACAAAAAGCCTAACGCATACACGGCATAACCTGGGCGAGAACTCTTGACGGAACTTCGGTATATTAATGACAACCTTATGGCATACGTTGCAACGTGATTTGTTTCTGAACACGCGCAGGGCAGCACTGATTGACCCCCTCAGTTCCATCCCGCCCAGGCTATGATAGATCTAGAAAGATGTGTGGGTATGTTGGGTATTTAAAAAAATGAGTTAGTAAGCTCTTTGATTGATTCAAATTTTCGTCAAGATATTTTACCTTTGTTATTTGAGTTTGCAATAGCCATTGGTCGCTTGACATGACTTGGATTATATGACATTGAAAAAATTTGAATTAGTATACGTTCATTACATCATAGCAAAGAAAAAGAAATTGGACTTGCCTTTGAACCAAATGGTAAACCGGACAAAAAAAACAGATAAATACGGACCAGAGGCAAGCTTCTTCGATGCGGACAATAAAGTTGCGTCCAGGGACGGTTAAGCGATGGATCGGTGGTGTCAGCTTGAGCAGGCAAAAAATATTGACGTGGCCAGAAGTGACGGTAACTTCGAGTTGGATTCCAGATATCGAGATTCCCCCGAATAAAAAGAAAGAAACAAATAAAGTACATGATGATAAAAAAAACAATGGTCGCGTCAGTAAAAAACCTCCTAAAAAACCCTGTGGGAAAAAAAGAGGAAAAGGCTGCGAAAAGAATATGTACATGAAATATAAAATACAAAATACAAACTATAAACTACAAAATAAATAATCGGGAAGACATCCCGAATACCATATGATGAGAAGCAATCCAAAGGAGAGGAACATGAAGAGGACACGTAAGCGTTTTTCTGATTAAAAAGAGAGCCACACCACCAACGATGGCCTTTGACGTCATCCGGTTTTGCCAGATGGATGGATGGATGATGAGAGAAAGTCAACTTGTAGTATCCAGAACTTGTCAGGCGAAAAGAAAACGGAAACCGGAAGCTGGAAGAAGGATGGAAGTAAAGGAGAGGTAAGTCTGTTTTGCCGGAGCAAAATCGATGGTAGACCACTCGACGCTTACCTTTTTGAGGATGGTGGTCGATTTAACCAAGTTAGATACACGGGATAAGAATGGTCTGGATGATGGATGCGGATGGGATCTATACAATGATAGTGAGGGTTTATCAAGCAAACAGAAAGAGAGAGAGAGGAATTTTATCTGCACAGCACCAAATTCCCTATATCATTATCTACACTGTTTGGATGCTCTGATATAGTAACTGAAAAGCTTGACAAATAAGAGTAAGCGCTTCGCATTTCGTTGTTGCGATAGAGACTTGCAACCGATCGTATCACCACGTGGAAATTAAAGTGGCACCTCGGTTACAACAGCGCAGAAAAAAAGAGCGCTCAGATCAGCCCTGAATTCATGCGGAAAAATTCGGCACACATACAAGAGCCTTGCTTCTTAAAAACCGCTTCACGTCGGTATTCGCTACATCCATATTTTTACCTGCATTTGAATTCGCTCGTTTAATAATCTGCTGGATTACTTAAGCCTGGTTTCGCGTCCTGCGGCTCAATTAAAAGCGTTGGCTATTGAAATCTCAGCACCTTGGGATCCTGGGATCACGACATTGATTGCAATCAAATTTCGCTCATTGTCAGCTACAATGGCGCATCCATAATTTTCCACGGCCGGTACCTACTGTATACATTGCCGCCTCCCCTCTCAGTTGAAATACTTTCTTTTACGAATCCGTCGCCCTTACGCATCACGGATACCATGATTTCCCAATCTGCAGTTGTGATTCAGACATTTCTTACAATACGAAGGTGCTGATGCATTCTCCATTGCACGCCTCCACCTTCACTGTCATCGTGTTGACTAAAGTGAGGTTGATTGTCGAATTACCGGTCAAAACGACAGTGGAATTTGATTTCGTAACTAGACATTAGCGAGCGAAAGGCCTTCCAATATTTTCTGAGTGGTTCCCTTTCATTGTCCTATTTTATTTATTATACGCCGTGAATATTTACTCCCATACGATCCGACGAGTTTTTATTCTGGCAAACTTTTCCTGAAATTGTTCATTTTATAGGCATGCCGTTTCTTCGACTATATTGTCGGCTTTCCACAGCTTCTTCAAAGCCGTCCATCATCATTAAATAAACGCAAACAAGTAAAGACAGCGACGAAATAAATCATTTTATTGGGTTTTTTTTTCATTTACTTTATACAAGATTATGTCACCAATGACTTCAGATGAAGGCTTGGGTTTATCTAAAGCCATGGTGATAAAAAAATGATCAAAATTGTGGGCCTGTCTTGTCGATGCCGTGGAAACCCCCAAGCCGTTGCCCCAATCCCTACCCCCACAGCTCGCAGCCCTTCACCCGCCTGGTGACTGCACCGGAACTAGTGGATGAGATGTCCCGTACCTAAAAAAAAGACTAAACTAAAGGGAAGAAGAAAATAAGAAAAAGGGGAAGAAAGAGCGAGATTTCCGATCAAAGGAAAAGGGCTTCCTTTTTATGTTCTGCCAGCAAAATGACTGGGAAATTATGCAAATGTGACGGGTAAAATGTGACGTTATGTCGGGGTTAGAATGAAGAGTTCGAGGTAACCATATTGGAATTTCCTGAATATCATATTTTGTGAATTTGGGGATGTTGCGTGGGACTGCTCATCTTATTTCCTCGTTACATAAAAGGCTTTCCCGATACTTACCGGCTGGCTATATGTTGGAAAGCCAATGGCAAAACTTCGATTGCCATAAGAATAAGGAAAAAACGGGTCAAGGTAAAAAGAAAGAGAAAAATGATATCAATGGTTCTTATAGATTCCCCATAATTGACTTGGGGACGCTCATTCACGCGACCTTACTTTTGACAACAATAATTTGCGCAATGACATTGCCGGGGATTCACCAAACTTGACATTTACCCTCTTTGCACCAGCGGTTCCGTTTACCTCGATTACTTTGGGCTTGCAACTTTCCGTGTCTTTTTGCATCGAGATGGCGACGAGTTAGGGATACCGTTATTATTATTTGTGCCCTTTAGCCAAGTTTTAAACGAAAAAAAATCGTTAAATCAAATTGGGAATATTCCTGGAAATCGACGACCTAAAAGTGTACGGGCCATCAAAAAGGTTCGCCCAATGTCAATAGGTAAAAGGTAGCCAGGGCATGCACTTTGAAACTGTCTCGAGAAAAAACTGGTTAAGCTCTATTTTGCTTGCGTTTCTTTGACGATAATCTGTGTACTGGACGAGGCCTAACGAAAATAGTGGGATCAAAAAGGGACTGTTTCTTCGATGATTTGAATGAACCGGCGTTCCTATGACGCCAACGATGGGTCTGAGCTAATGAGACCAAGTGGGGGTTTAGAAAAAAAGGACCCGCTTTTTTTTTCTTCTTTTCCTTCTTTACTAAAGAAGCGCAGTTGTGGCGAATCGTTGATGATTGCTGACAGACTTAAATCCGTTTTATTGCCATGATTCTAGGGCAGTTATTGATGTGTCATCTTCTATCTCTGTTGCAGGTCTCCTGGCTGCGGCGCACGACGAACAGCGAGCGACGGTCTAAGGTTTATACCACGGAAAGACTCTTGTGGAGCCACAAGATATTACTAGTGAAGCCGCAGAGTCACCTCGTGATGCCACAGAGCAGCCTTCTCGTGATGCCACAGGGTTTCTAGCGAAGCCACAGGACTTCCTTGTGGAGCCACAGACTTTCTGTGATGTAATGCTTTCAGCAAGAAGACTTCAAGACGATGCCAGCTTAAGCCTAAGTATGTATCGCAGTTTTACTAAATTTTTCGCTTGTTAGGTTGACAGCCATACCCGATGCCCGGTTTCGACTGGTAAATATCTTTCTTCTTTATGTCTTCTTTTTTCTTGTTCTGTCATTGTTTGTCATCAACGGCACCGCCCTCTGCTTGCTGCTTTGGTTCCCCTTATACCATCTTTTTAACTGTACATTCCATACCTTCCAATGAAATGTATTTATTTTCTGCTTATTATTCGATACGCCTTCAAATAAATAGCCTTTCAAGACATATGATAAAAGAAAACTTATTCTTGCAGACGCTTACCCCAGCTATTGTAAATCGTATACAATTTTGACCGCGCTTGCTTGATACATTATTATTACAATCTTTGGATTACATTCGAAGAACTTTAACTGGACGATACTGTACCCTGATTTAGACACTAGACGATGACAAGCGAGAGATTCCCAGCGTTGCATATTCTTTGAGCGGCTCGCTTTGAACGAACTATTATCTGCCATCATGTTATCAATGCCATCATCCGGTGCTAGATGCTTTCTTTGATCTCCATCACATTATTTGTTTTTCGTTTGTTTGTCCTGCTGGGCGCTGCCAAGTTACTGGCTATAAGCCCTTGTTATATCGTCTCTTTATCTGCATATTGGACAACATCCAATCAGTAAATAGATAAGTTTCTGAGCTATTTTACTAAGAGACAATCGAGCGTATAACTCTTTCAGTGTGTGTTGAATTTGATGTAAACCGCTGGATGAATTTAACTTGATGTGCAAACAAAAGCATTGCGGTACGAAATGTGGTTTCGCTACGTTCACTCATGCCCGAACTGTTTTATCCATTTATGAACCGAGAGTTTTGATGCAACTGTCTTTTGATGAAGAAATCCATGATACAGTAAGCGGATGCGTTTGGGTGCACTGCAACATTAGGCCATCTTGATAGTCGCCAATCAATCGATCACAAAATACAATTCAAAAGTTTCATCCTCAGAATACAGACAGTCAATATCTGGCCCTAGAATATTTTTATCTAATCGTTTTTTATTTTTCTTTTATAGTTGTAGAATTTATAGAGAGGCGGTAGCAACCTGCTGCTTACGCTTGGCAGCGGCCATCAAAGCGGCGGCGGCTCTGGAGTTGGTTTCACGTCCAAGCTTTTCCGAGATCCATCGACCAATTTCCACCAATTCATCAAGATTGGCGTTTGTTTCATAGCCCAATCCGTTCAACATGTAAACGACATCTTCGGTGGCAACGTTGCCCTTCGCACCAGGCGCATAGGGACATCCACCTATATATTCATCAATCATCCGTATTTTTTGTGATGATGCCTTGAATATCTAAAAGAACTTACCAAGACCAGCCACCGAACTATCAACCACGCGAATGCCGAATTCGAGAGCTTTTAAGATGTTGGCCAATGCTTGACCATATGTATCGTGACAATGCACCGCCAAAGCTTCGGCTGGCACCACCTTCAACACCTTTTCCAGCATTCTCGCCATGGAACCTGCAGATCCGACACCGATGGTATCACCCAAACTGATTTCGTAGCAACCGGTCTCATAGACACGCTGCGCCAAATCCGCGACTTTGTCGGGATCAACAGCACCTTCATAAGGACATCCGAGAACGCATGAAATATAACTACGATCATCCACCGGCGTTAGGTGAATGGTACATCGTGATTTACGCAGGGCGGGTCCTTTCTTGGCCCCTTTCTTACCCTCTAACTTTCAAGTTGTTGTCCAAGGCGTGTTTGGTAACTTGAGCAAAACGCTCAATTGCCTCCTGGGTCGAACAATTCGTATTCTTGCGGTTGAATGATTCGGTAACGGCGGCAAACATGGCAACTTCTTCGGCACCTGCCTCCAAAGCGCCGTCAACACCACGTACATTTGGTGCCAATACAGGGTAGGACACACCGGGCTTCTTTTTGATGCTAGTTAACACAGTGCGATTATCCCCCATCTACAGCAATATATGAGATCATTGAGTTTCAAGTCCATAATTACAAGTGGAATCTCGGAATGATTTTTACCTGAGGCACCCATTTGGGGCTGACAAAACTGGTGGCTTCGACGACGGGCAAACCGGCATTGGCCAAACGTTCAATAAGTTCAATCTTGACCTCGGAAGGAATGATTTGCTTTTCGTTTTGCAAACCATCACGCGGTCCAACTTCGACAATTTTGACAAAGTTACTGGCAATGGGAGTGCTATAGTATCGCTTTCCCTAATGCAAGACGATTTAATTGCTCTCTTGTTGTTTTTTCCCACGTTACGATCAGCTTCTGAGAAGGATTGTGGCACTTACAGCGAGTGTGGGAATGGCGGAAGTTTGACGGACGATGCGTGCAAGAGAATGGAATCTCATTTTCAGCAATAGATTGAATTGATCGAAAAAGAGAATGTAGCAATACGAAAATGATGAAGGCTTGTTCTGGTTTTAATGATGGTAAACCACTGATTGGTCAATGCGTTCTCACGGTCATGTGGGGGAAACATCACCAAATGCGAACTTTGTAAAGTCCGAATTCCCCAGAATGGGAACCAACACTGTCTTGGGACGTTTGTCAGCAACTAGGCAATCGAACTTTGGTGTTTAATATTACTCCTGCTTACAAGGTTAACCTTTTCAAGAGGCCCTTACGTGAACATTGTCGATACAGCACAGTAAGCCACCGCCGCCATTCCAATCCGTTTGGTGTCGCAGGTACTTGGCTTATCAAAAAGACCGAAAATTTCTACCGCTTTGGATTTGGTGATCTTCCTCTCAGGATACTTGCTTGTGGGGGTTACGATCTGTAATAACTGCGATGCACCATGACGGAAACGTACATACATACTCCGGCAGCCATGTTATCGCGGTGACAAAAGGAGCATATCAGTCAGTAAAAGGTTGATCATGACGGAGAATAGTAGGGCCATTTTGCTTATTCCTCAGAGAACAGTGAAGGTATCTAGAACACTACGAACCGATCCTATCAGCGTGGACAACAACTTTTCTGCGATGGACCACTTCACAATATCTCTGCGACCACCTTTACTCCTACGGATATCACCAATTTTCTCAGTGACATGCGTACACAACATTCTAATGCCGTCTCTACTCTTCAACTTTTCCGGACGGCCATTACGCATCTCCCACTCCGATCCTGGTCGGTCAAATGGTTTGAAAGAAGAGTTTTGCAATTCCCGCTTTTTCCTCTGACAACTAAGCGACACCAGTTCTTGCGAGAGGTCCCTCAACGGTTTCTGAAGCTTTCCGACCAGCCCTCCTTTCTTCTCGGTGTTACCTGCTTCTTTCGACCATCGGATTTACATCGTATCCCTCTAGACACTGTTCCACGTATTTCCTGATTGTCGTTCTCTGTCCTTAGAAGTTGATTGTCCTAAAGATAGCGCCGTGGACGTCGTATCATCAAGTCTTTTCAAGTGGCAGCACACAACAGATCCGCGGTTTAATGTCCGGTTCAGCAACATCGTCCTCCATGCTTCTCTACTCGTCTCTTTTGTGTCAATTCGATTACACCCAACAATCCCTTACAAGTTGCTACTATTCAATGTTTGCTCTCTCGATTACTGCGCAAGTCTACTACTGAACCTAGGGTGAATGTTCGATATATTGCTTCTTCCTTGGCTCTCGCCTTTGGTATTCCTCAAGAAGACGTTGGCACGATGGGTAATTGGCATAATTCCCAGACATTTGAAAATCACTATCGGCGCGAGTACCTTTCTCTGTTTGACTTTACAAGCGCTTTGATTAACCCTGAAGATGTACCTGCTAATTCACACTTTATTCAGTACTCTGGATCAGCAATCATATGACTTATTCTTCTATTCGAGTGTTTCATCAATTTCTAGAAGAATGTATTCGTCACTTGAATTACTCTATTAGGCACGAGAATACAAAAGTTAAGTCATATAATTTCCCTCCCACCCTTCTCCCGTATGTTCTTTTTACGCCTTTCGTTCAAAGGTCACCGAGCTATATTATTTTCGCTGACATAAAAACTGAAGATTATGATAAGAACCGGAGCCAATATAGTGGGATGAGTCTGACTCACAGCATGCGTATCAACGTGTTTATTACCTGCAACGACGTTGATTCTCGCCGCGTGTGGAAGAATTCTTTGTTGTTATGATACAAATCATCACTACAGCATCTGCTGGGGGGAGGGCTTCGCCAGCCTTCCCTCGAAACCATTCCATGTTTTTGCTCGCCATCAATGATAATGCTAGGTGTCGAAATACTTCAAATTATAAGATTGTTTTTGCAGACACTTCGCTTGATGCCGAACCGGGCGAGCATTTCGCACGATGCGTCGCTTTTCACGTCCAAAGTAACATCTGTCATCATGATACTGTCTCTAGCTCCTCAAGCCGATTAACCCACTGCATAATCATGATATTCAGAGACTTGGAACCATTATTAACGGGCAGCAAAATTTTTATCGAAAAACTTGGATTTTGTGTTGAGGAACATATTCTAGGAACTCTGCATCACCTTCGCACATGCCGGAAGATACCCCATATTAACCAATTTACCCGCTATTACCCGCTGGTTATCTCCATATCCCGTTGCTACGCCATTTGCCACAGACCCTATACGTTAATGCTGTATCTATTGCTTTCGTAAACAACATATAGTGACTGAACTCAAGAATGTCTGGTTTTCTTTGATTCTATTAAAAAAATTCGCGTTCTCAATGTGACAGGTTCCTTGGATAAATTATGATGAATGGAGGCTCGATTGAGATAGGCTATTCAGTGCTATTCAAATCAAAAATAGGATCCATCAGAGACAAACTGGGGATTGTTTTGGCTTAACATCTTCTGTGGCGATTAAGGTTAACCTTTACCCATGCTAAACCATTGACCCATTTTACGCTAAAAATCCTCTTCGTGTATGTGTAAGATTGGCGCGGGAAACGCATGAACTAACTCGATGGGAGTGGAACTGGACAACTACCATTGACAAAGAATACATAGATCTACCAGCAGTAGCAATTGGCGTAGCAAGAGAGGTAAAAACAGACTGTATATGTAGAATGCGTTTTGAGCTCCCGCTGATGAGTAATTTGAAGACCCAATTAAGCGGTGCTCGTGCTCTCTGGTTTCGTCACCCCGGTAGGATGCATTTGCCTCGGAACAAAAATACGGCATATCTGAATAGGCGGTAAAGTAAAATGGCATTTTATTGATTCCTATTGTGCGAAATACAGGTGCGGTGGCTTTTAATGATAATGATTCTCCGGTAGGCATCGTCGACGGAGAGTGAGAAGCAATTTAGAAGTGATGCCTCGCGTGAATGACTGATATGCATGATTTGAGTTTTGATTCGAGGGATGACTCGTTGGGATGGATTGAAGCGAATGGGGTGGGCATGGAGTTTCGTAATCGATCAAATGCTTCTTGAGTGGCGGTCAAGGAAAGCGAGGTAGCCGGTTCAGCGACGGCGATGCTGGTAGGGTCCGCATCCGCTTTTTCTCGCTTGATGTCCCGCTCCAATGCATCCAAAAATAGGAGATCATGTGGCACCGAAAACCAATAAAACACTTTTTGCTTTTTCTGCGTGCGGATGCAATTGTTCTTATACAGCATCTCCAAGAATTCCGATTTCGGTTCCTCCAAGCACGCGTCCGTCCCCGGTTTCAAATTACGCAAATCGCTAAAGATTCCCTCTTCAAATTTTTTCATATTGTACACAGGCCGACCAAAAGCGTGAAAGCGGTAATGGAGCGATCGTACAATATCCGTGCCTGTGATATGAAACAGATCATTCCATAAAACGCAGGACACACTTTCACCAGTGGGCAGGATATGCGGCTTGACGGCGACATTAGAATCCCAGTGATTAGTGGCTGTAGCGAAGAAGTGACGTAATTTCTCGATTTCCCACAGACGAAAGTTGATATTGTCGTTACTGGGAGCAGGTAAAGGTGCTGGTGGGTGAGCTGTCGGCTGTTTCATCTTGGGTGGAGCAGTTGAACGACTAGTGGATTTCGATTTATAAATGATCATCATTCTGACAGAGACAGATGCATTCTGTGGAGTATTTCTTTTTTTTTCTAGCCGAGTAAGAGTAAGGGGCATTAAAACATGGCGTGATTTATATAAGCATATGAATAAAGAACGAAAGAAAGAATGAGAAATAAAAACAACAAACAAGTGCGAAATATCCTGTTGAAACAGATATGAAAAACGGAGAAAGTGCAGACTGCAGCATGTGCAAGGGGTGAGCTTGTTTTTATTTTTGACGTCTCAAAATGGGTTCGCTGCTTGTAAAGGTAAAACTCCCCTTGTCTCATTGGCTCGTTAGGGATCTGACTGACTATAATTGTGAGTAGATGCCGAAGTAATATATAATCTCAAAACATGCCGCCTGTTTACCGTATTTGTTCCTTTATCTCGATATCAACAGGGTTGTCGATCATTGCGCTACTGGTTATTTGGCAGAAGCAATGTCAGCCGCAGAAATATGCCAGCTGGTTTACTGTGTAACCAACAAGGCAGCAGCGCTGATCGTGCGTCATTGATTTGCTTCCAGTGGTTTCTTTATGATTAATCCACCTACGATATTTCCATGCTCCAAAAAGGTGGCGCAGAAGAGAACATTTTTCACAGTGACATGCGTATCATGGTTGAAGTCAGCTGTGCTGTTAAGTTTGATCATCCCATCAAGAAAAATGGCGCAGATGATTCGGTTAAAGCAACTGTCTCATTAAACATTACCATGGTTGCGCATGTGACAAAGTCGCAAAAATATTGAGACAGATCAAAACGAATCAAGCCTTCTATTGCCAGTTTTTAAAACTGGGATTTTGCAGTCATGCTTGGCTTAAAGTGCATAGATCGCTCGTGCGACCGCCGGCTCCCTTCCATTCAAAGGTTATGATATAAACAAACCAATCTTCCCTGTGCTGACAAAGTCTCTCCAGCTGTCGAATGTCCATTTTCGATATGATGTTGCCTAAATTCACAATTGTGTTCCGATTTCTCATAGCACGATGTTATTATAGATCATCGTGAATCACATACAGAGTTCTCAGAGAGAGAGAGAGAGAGAGACAGAAATCAGTTGGCATTTCAGATCAATGATTAGTGTCGATGCAGCACGTTGTATCGTAAACAGTTGTGACAAAGAGAGGCAGAAATCAGAGATAAGAAAAAATATATACTATTAAGCATTCCTCAAAGGTGTGGATCTCCCAGTTCATTGGCTAAAATAATATAGCCATTACATGATCCAACGCGTACGATTACGGTGACAGGTTAATTTCCCCAATACCTGACACCTTTCAAGGCGTGGACAATTTGGTTTGTTTTTCCATTTCCCGCCAACCGCGCCACAAAACGTAGGCCTGTCCAATAGTCAAAATAAGGTCAAAGGCGTATTTTGCGTAAAACTATGAAGGAAAAAGCATCAATCACAATACAAGATGAAGCAAACATTCTACCCTATGGAATCAAACTTACCACAAAATGCAGAGGTTCAGATTTGAAGCACTCCAACTGCAGAAGAGCAAAATAAATCAAAATGTTACAACTTTGTGCCCAAAAGCCTTTGAAAATAAAGCGTATCATACCATTGATGGATAACAAGCGCAAGTACAGCGATTGAATGAACTTTTGCGGCCGTCTTCTTTTTCGTAGACGAATGAATAAGCGTTGAACAGGCCCATCTAATTTTTTAAACGCAAATAACATTGATTTACTTTGAGCAGCGTGTCCAACTTGGTCAAATTTGATTTTGAAATTGCTTACAAAGAACACCTGCCGAGACAATTGCAGGTACAAATTTCCGTTAAACGGATGTTTGGACAAGTTCCAGTTCATCAAAATCGGCATCAACACTGTGCTTAGCACTATATTGTACATGACTGGCTTCCTATCGTATTATCAGTAACGGCAATTGATACAAACAACATGAGCTTAACTTACCATATATTATATTCTTCTCCGGTGGAATTCATCAATGGATAAACAGAAAAGACATATGATGCAAAACCCACAGCTGCTAGTGTAACGTTGAACCCGTTCTTCTTCAAAGGAACCCCATTACAAGAACTAAAACTACGGTAGTATTTCATGAAATCCCCCATTTTAAAAGCCGCAAGCCCCTGAAAATATTGTCAGGACAGAGACATTAAATCATTTGCATCATTTTGTGTAGCCTATTGTAAAGTCAAGTTACCATTGCCAACCATAAGTGGACAGTTTTGTTCAGTTGGGGATCCATGATAAAAGCCCAAGCACATGTCAAAAAGAGAGCAACCGGGAAAACAAATAAAAACGTATAGGTAGCATGATGCTCAATAAGGCTCCAAGGGCTATAAATTCATTAGTACCGTGTACAATGAAACCATCAAATGACACACAATATGGAATAAGATATCGTTACCGCTTGGGTGAAGGTTGAGCTTGCCGTTTCTTTTGCATGTATGAAAACCACTGTGCCAAAAACGCTGAGATGATAGCTGCAGTACAAGTACCTCGCCATGATATTATGATTGGCACCCGACTATCCAAGATAATGTCGCAACAAATTATGCCCCAGATTGCCATTAACATAAATTTATGTTGGCTGTGGGTTACATAAGAAATTAACAAAACCATGTCTGATGCTAACGATCTACTCAGCTGAAATAAAACAAGTGAGACCAATACAGACTAATTGAAGAACTGGGGACACTCTATTGCCATTGCCACTCACCATTTTAAATGAGACGTCCGTATCTGCGATGCATAGGTTATTCATAAATACAATCATCAAATACAAGATCCACACGTTTGGTTGCTTTGCAGGGATATTGTCTTGAGTATCAGCTGCAATTTGTTCGGATTTTTCTTGTTTACATTGCTTGGATGCTGGCTCCGCACTAGGTGACGACGTTGGATGCTCAAGCAAGTTAAAGATTCCATACAAACAGGCCGTCAACTGAATATATAAAAACATTACTGTACCTTGGTTTCCAGCGAGACACAACAGTGATGATGCATAATGTGAAGAGATAGCCGTACCACCTACGAACTTGCTTTGGAGAGTGATTTTCGTCATCGTAAAAGCTGTGAAGAAGCGATATAGCAAGGAGAAACATCATAGCTATGGCTAATAGCGAATTGCCTGAAAATGATGTTCCTGCCAGCTCGTTCTTCTCGTCCCGTGAATGAGGAAGTTTGCAGACATCCGAATACGCATCAACAGAGGGTTCTGTCATGATGGAAAAAAAAGAGCTGTAAAGATGAAAGCAGTAAAAGTAAACTGGTCGAAAAATAAAGAGATACGAAACTTATAAGAGAAAGCATATGGTTGTACAGACTTCAGCCACGGCAACTCCGCGTAGCATTGTACTTTATTGCAATGACCAGATCAATCCAAGTTTGTTGCTGATCGGTTTATACATAATAAGATCAATTTTGTCGGCATTTGCAATTGTCCAGTAAAACATGAGGTAGTTGATTATGAACACTTGCACCCCATAGGTTTCCAATTGCAATTAGATAATTCGGAAAATGTTACGCTTGATTTCGCTTCGTTTCACAATGTGGTACTGGCTCCAAAGGCCGCGTTTTATTTAAAAAATGCTAATAATAATCCCCTTTTTCTCTCACATCTTCAAATGCGTGTGGTCTTATTCGATTCATTTTTTTGGGGGGCGGAGGTGAGAAAGGCATATAATATTCATCCGAGGTATTTCTTGACGAGCATCGGACACCACATTTTTCGACTTCACTTCGTCAAGAATAAATAGCTCTTTTGGCGATCCCAAATGGCATATTTAATAGAAACATTCAACTTTCTTTTATATAGGATATTGTTGTTCAAGAGATGCAAACAAAATGTATTAAATGCGTTCCATTCGAAGACTTTTGTCAAGCATGTGCACAGAGTGGCGATTCATGTCTAAAAGAGCGGGAGCACGCTGCGGGGTGCCGGAAAATGACGCAACTGCACATACTTTGTATATGGACTCGAATTAGAAGAATTCATTTGTAGATCTCATAGGACGTATACCAAAAGAAAAGAAAAATAGTTTGGCTGGAAAAGGCACAGCTTGAACTTACCATAATCATTTTCGCCAATTTCTAAATGTAATGAGAAACGCGAGGATCGCTAGTCAACGTATTGAAAAGCAAATAAACGCTGAGGACCCATCCAGAAACTGGACAGTACCAAACCCATAGCAGCAAAGCACATGTGAGTGGATTCCTTCATCATTGCAACCGATAACATGCTACACGAGTCTCACGCATGTTATCATTAGGCCCCAACACAATGAGAAACGCGAGAACCGCTAGTCAACGTATTGAAAAGCAAATAAACGCTGAGGACCCATCCAGAAACTGGACAGTACCAAACCCATAGCTGTACAGCACATGTGAGTGGATTCCTTCATCATTGCGTTGGGGTAACTCGCTCGGATTCGTGTTCTTGCCAGGCACACGTATATAAGAAACAATGAAAGTTAACCATACCGCAGCTAAAAGACAGCAGATATAGACATACCATGATCATTTTCGCCAATTTCTAAATGCAATGAGAAACGCGAGAATTGCTAGTCAACGTATTGAAAAGCAAGTAAACGCTGAGGACCCATCCAGAAACTGGACAGTACCAAACCCATAGCAGCAAGGCACATGTGAGTGGATTCCTTCATCATTGCAACCGATAACATGCTACACGAGTCTCACGCATGTTATCATTAGGCCCCAACACAATGAGAAACGCGAGAACCGCTAGTCAACGTATTGAAAAGCAAATAAACGCTGAGGACCCATCCAGAAACTGGACAGTACCAAACCCATAGCTGTACAGCACATGTGAGTGGATTCCTTCATCATTGCGTTGGGGTAACTCGCTCGGATTCGTGTTCTTGCCAGGCACACGTATATAAGAAACAATGAAAGTTAACCATACCGCAGCTAAAACATAGTAGTTATAGACATACCATGATCATTTTCGCCAATTTCTAAATGCAATGAGAAACGCGAGAATTGCTAGTCAACGTATTGAAAAGCAAATAAACGCTGAGGACCCATCCAGAAACTGGACAGTACCAAACCCATAGCAGCAAGGCACATGTGAGTGGATTCCTTCATCATTGCAACCGATAACATGCTACACGAGTCTCACGCATGTTATCATTAGGCCCCAACACAATGAGAAACGCGAGAACCGCTAGTCAACGTATTGAAAAGCAAATAAACGCTGAGGACCCATCCAGAAACTGGACAGTACCAAACCCATAGCTGTACAGCACATGTGAGTGGATTCCTTCATCATTGCGTTGGGGTAACTCGCTCGGATTCGTGTTCTTGCCAGGCACACGTATATAAGAAACAATGAAAGTTAACCATACCGCAGCTAAAACATAGTAGTTATAGACATACCATGATCATTTTCGCCAATTTCTAAATGCAATGAGAAACGCGAGAATTGCTAGTCAACGTATTGAAAAGCAAATAAACGCTGAGGACCCATCCAGAAACTGGACAGTACCAAACCCATAGCAGCAAGGCACATGTGAGTGGATTCCTTCATCATTGCAACCGATAACATGCTACACGAGTCTCACGCATGTTATCATTAGGCCCCAACACAATGAGAAACGCGAGAACCGCTAGTCAACGTATTGAAAAGCAAATAAACGCTGAGGACCCATCCAGAAACTGGACAGTACCAAACCCATAGCTGTACAGCACATGTGAGTGGATTCCTTCATCATTGCGTTGGGGTAACTCGCTCGGATTCGTGTTCTTGCCAGGCACACGTATATAAGAAACAATGAAAGTTAACCATACCGCAGCTAAAACATAGTAGTTATAGACATACCATGATCATTTTCGCCAATTTCTAAATGCAATGAGAAACGCGAGAATTGCTAGTCAACGTATTGAAAAGCAAATAAACGCTGAGGACCCATCCAGAAACTGGACAGTACCAAACCCATAGCAGCAAAGCACATGTGAGTGGATTCCTTCATCATTGCAACCGATAACATGCTACATGAGTCTCACGCATGTTATCATTAGGCCCCAACACAATGAGAAACGCGAGAACCGCTAGTCAACGTATTGAAAAGCAAATAAACGCTGAGGACCCATCCAGAAACTGGACAGTACCAAACCCATAGCTGTACAGCACATGTGAGTGGATTCCTTCATCATTGCGTTGGGGTAACTCGCTCGGATTCGTGTTCTTGCCAGGCACACGTATATAAGAAACAATGAAAGTTAACCATACCGCAGCTAAAACATAGTAGTTATAGACATACCATGATCATTTTCGCCAATTTCTAAATGCAATGAGAAACGCGAGAATTGCTAGTCAACGTAGTGAAAAGCAAATAAACGCTGAGGACCCATCCAGAAACTGGACAGTACCAAACCCATAGCAGCAAAGCACATGTGAGTGGATTCCTTCATCATTGCAACCGATAACATGCTACATGAGTCTCACGCATGTTATCATTAGGCCCCAACACAATGAGAAACGCGAGAACTGCTAGTCAACGTATTGAAAAGCAAATAAACGCTGAGAACCCATCCAGAAACTGGACAGTACCAAACCCATAGCAGCAAGGCACATGTGAGTGGATTCCTTCATCATTACATTGGTATGATAAAAATTGTCTGTTGCTCCTTTGGAAAAAATAATTAATTTCGCAAGCAAAGGGAAAAAAACCTCCGACTACCGTATTGCGTCATCGTTATTGAAATGCGTCGATGCAGAATCGATTTACTTGTATCACCACAGATAAGATTGTTCTCGATCAAGTCACTTGCTTTACCTCTTGCATCTTTCCCTCCACAATGTCAGATTTAGCTCAAGGTAAGCATACTGCGTGTTGGGGGAAGCGATGAGTCTAATTACAGGTATTTTTTTGTAGCATTAGAAATTTACGTCCAAACTAAAAGGGCAAGAGCAACTATACAAGGCTTCATCAATAACGATGAAAACCACATCGAGGTGTTGATTGTTTGGTTTGAAGCATTTGCCGAATATGACGATGCAGTGATGGCTTTTATTAAAAAGTTCAAGAAAGTGTACAAGGATATCATAAAAAAATCATACAAAAACAAGGCAAAAGTCGATTTGAAGAGAATTTTTCAACTGTCAAAATCTCAAACGAACGCGTTGGTGAATGGAAGCAAAGTCTTGGAAGAAGCTACAAATGCTGCCTCAGAGAAATTAATCTTGAGACTGAAACGAACACCAACGGTATAGTACTAAAAAATAGTTTGTTCAAAAAACGATATCGATAGATGCACTGATATAATGAAAATATATGTTATAGACTGTGCCTGGTACGTCTTTCTCATCCTCATCTACTGGTGCTTCCTCATCTACTGGTGCTTCTTCATCTACTGCTAGCGGTTCATCGATTGAAGATAAATTGAAGTCATATATCAAATTGTCTAAAGATCAATCAAAAAGGCACGGGTTCAACTTGCAAACTCAAGTACACAAAGTATTAGCCAGTCAAAACATAATACTACTCAAGGAGGGACAGGTGTGTCCAGAACTCGCAAAGCATGTCGATACCGCATACCTCCTGAAAAATATCAGAGCGAAAGCAATGGCCAAAGATGTCACAGTCGACAGCACGATGTACTTGTCACTATGCACCTTGTTTCGAGATGTGAACAACACAATCGACCGAACAAAGCTGAAGATCGAAATCAACCGACTATTTGAAGTTGCCTCCAAAGAGGATCGAAATATCATCGAGATATTCGCTAATTTGGTTACCAAACTGCCCAAATTCGAACGACTTTCTCCTGTAGGAGAAATGGAATTGACGGTGAATTTTTTGGACCCAATTCTTTCGCCTATGTTTCATTGCCCAGACAACAACAAGCATCTCATGTGGTTAAATCGTAAAGATGAAAACACAGCGATATTCCGACCAGATGCGACCACTGTTGCGATCCAGCAAAAAGCAGATACTGTTACTTTGGGATACGTAGAAGTGAAACCGCCAGATTTCGAATCCAATCCCGAGTTGGCATTCATGGACTTGGTTCGTTTAGCCACATTTTCTCGCCGTTTGATGTTAAGGAAAAATAATCGTAAGGTGATTGTGGTGCAATGTATTGGTTATCACATGGTGTTCTACTTGGTCTCCGCATTCACAGAAGAAATCACACAAATGGCTGAGATCTTGTCCATCGATGTCCCCAAAGACATTGGGCAGATTGGGTGCCTTCTACCAAAGGTAGACGACTTCAAGCGACTGTTACTGTTGTACGAACATCAAATAGAGACACGGTACAAAATCTCTAGAGCACTTGAGGAAGAAGACGCTGCTCCACCAATGGATGCAATCAACCCCAAACGTCGCAAACAAAAAATCCCCTCGTTCTCTTTGGTGTAAGGTTTCGCGCTCTACCTACTCCCCTCCCCCTCATCTATTTTTTCTCCTGTAGTCCAATATGCATCTATAACCTATGAAACAAAGCATAACCAAGTTATCCATTTCTATATAAAGTCTTTTAAACTGTTTCCATTTAGAATGTTATCGAGCTTTATTGAATAATACAACAGTAAGACTTCTGGATTTAGTAGAAGTAATCTACAGCAAATGCGATTTAGTTTTGTCAAAAGCGCAAATTGGATTCTAACAAAAACCGCGAACTAATCTTAAAAAGCGTCAATTGACACTGGAGACACTGTAAGTGACCAATTGAAGTTAGACTACTTGAAGAACTGGGGATGATCTACTGTTATTGGCACTCACCCTTTTAAATGAGACGTCCGTATTGCGTTACATAGGTCATTCATTAATACAATCATCAAATACAAGATCCATACGTTTGATTGCTTTGCAGAGATGTTGTCTTGAGTTTCCGGTGCAGATAGTTTGGATTCTTTTTTTTTCAGATTGCTCAGACATTAATTGCTCTGATACACGTTGCTTGGAAGTTGGATTCGTACTAGGTGACAATGCCCGAGCAAGACAAATAAACAGGTCCGCCAATTGGATCTTTAGAAATATTACCTTGGTTTCCAGCGAGACACAACAGTGAAAATGCATAATGTGAAAAGATAGCCGTACAACGTAAGAACTTACTTTGGCGAGTAATTTTTGTTATCGTAAAAGCTGTGAAAAAGCGATATAGCGAGGAGAAACACTCATCGCGTTGGCTAATAGCGAATTGCCTGAAAATTATGTTCCTGACAGCTCGTTCCTCTCGTCTCGGATATGAGCAAGTTTGCAGAATCGGAATACGCATCAAAAGGGTCTGTCATTATAAAAAAAAACAGAGCTGACATGATAGCAGTAAAAGCAAACTGATCGAAAAATAAAAGATACGAAACTTATGAAGGTTGCATATGGTTGCAGGGGCTTCAGTAACGGTCTCCGCGTAGCATTGTATTTTATTTCAATGACCAGATCAATTCAAGTTTGTTGCTGGCAGGTTTAAACATAATAAGATTAGTTCGCCGGCATTCCTCTCTGCAATTGTGCATTAAAACACTGGGACAGTTGATTATGGACACTGAGACCCCATAAGTTTCCAATTGCAGTTTATCGGAAACCCTAATGCTCAGGATCTGGCTCGGCAGGAAAAATTCCGTGGATGTCGAAATTTCTTTGACTAAGCCTCTGTGACGGTGAAATGCCAGGTTTGGGCAACAAGCAGTCTGTGTCCCAGTTGGGCGTCGTTTCTGTTCAGTTTCCATCCGTTCACCCACCTCGTCCCAGTAGTTATCATGATTATTCCTGTTCGATGCTTCTCATGCGGCAAAGTCATTGGTAACAAGTGGGATACCTACTTGTCGCTTCTCCAGTCTGATTATTCGGAAGGGTAATGACGCAACCTCAGCAAATTGGATTATCGTATTTTGTTTGCTTATTATATCCTTTATCTTTTAATTGATAGTGAGGCTTTGACGGCTTTGGAACTCAAGCGTTACTGCTGTAGACGTATGGTCCTTACACACGTTGACTTGATTGAGAAATTACTGCACTACAATCGTAAGTGTTGCAAATGCCAAGTGATTTTGTTACATGATTGAAAAGATCCAGATTTCTGATAATTTTGCTTCCCATTTTGCAGCCTTGGAGCGCAGCAGAGGCGATCGTCGTTAAACAGATTCCAATGGGAGAGTACAAGATTTGGTCGATTCCAATGGTTCTCTTTTTTTCTTCTTCTCGAGTCACAATACCGCAACAAGAAATTTCTCGTCTTCATTTACAATCATTTTCTCATTTTTCCCATGTTAAATAAAAAAAAAAGAAATAATTCATTTTCAGAGCAAGTGGGGGATTTTGACAAGTCTTGGATTTCTACTCAAATCGTCAATAAGCAGTTGATGCGAATTGACACTCCGGACATGATATTTGGATACGGTAAGCTGTTTTTGATGGAAGGAAATAGAGATTTGTTTGGATGATCACAACATTACAAACATGCTGTACGAATATCGTCGGCCGTGGTTTTTCCATATTGAAAGAGTGAGGAGGTCTCTGGGTCAGTTGATCCTTCGTCGCGGTGCGAGTATGCAATTGGTGTGGACTTGCATGAAGAAAAAAAGAAATGAGTCCCGGATTTTTCATTTAGTTTGATGAGATGTTTTCCTTTAGCTCGGTTTATGTCAATGATATGCAGTGGGTCCAAGCACGACAAAAAAATGTTGGGGACCGAGAGAGAAGGCCCGGAAAGGAGAGGTGGGATTTATTTTCCGCTGCAAGAGGCGCCTGTGCTTTCATGCAATCGAAAGCAAGAATTAACGAGGAAGAAAGAATCCAAAAAAAAGGGATGATCGTACCGGAGTAGGAGATTGTAGACAGTCATACCGAAAATAGCCAACGGAAAGAGTTGCCGTTGGGTGGTTTGAGTCGATTTGTTTACGTTGAATTTTACCCACTTGCATGTTAGATGGGGTGTTGGGTCACAAGGGGTTATGTTAAATTTGACCCTGAAGATCGTCGAGCCTATCAAACCGTGGTGATAACTATCAACTGATGCCGGAACTCCATCAAAGCGCACACCGTGCAGGGTCTGTCATATTGCTTGACAAAAAATGAATAAAAAGGTGCTATTCCCGGCAAACCATCCAATATCAGTGAAAAAAAAAAAGAAAACTTATTCAACTCATTTTTTCGAAAACCATGGCTTATACCACTAAAGTTATCTGGGGTTTTATGTTGGAGAATACCTACTTTATGGAGTTCGATGTATGTAATCATCGCATCATCGAGCAAGCTTATCATCAACGGCGTATGCGTCAAACAAGCCATTATATTACCATCCGAGATTCTCATTTGCCAGCGCCCGCACGGATCTACTTTGGCGTGGCTCAAGTCCACTTGCGGATGCCAGGAACACGCTACTATGTCAAGCGAAGGGTGGTCCAACGACCAATCCCCAAACGGACCATGGCCATCGCACCCACCGTCCCGGCGTTTTCACCATCCACTTTGACCTCTTCAAAAACATACACTGCTCCAGCTCCTACTACTACTGCTGCTGCTACTCCTCCCTGCTATCCTCCATGTTACGAACTATCCCAGCCTACATGTGAACCTGTATTCTCGGTTCGACCTTTCTCGTCACCTTTATCAGCGTCCTCATCCTCGTCTTCCTCCACATCTTCCTCGGCGTCCACAATGTCTTCTGCTTCTTCCGTATCAAATGCTTCGATCTCTGAATATACTGTCCCTACTTATTCTCCATACTACGTATGTCCGCCGTCATTATCATCTCTTGGGCGTTATCAGACTACCGTGCCCTTCGACATGACATTGGATCCTACCCTTGCAGCCATTCTTTACTGTGACAACGACGGCGCTCCTCTGCAGCCGCCGGCACAACCCAATATGTACCCTTTCCAGCGCCGATTTCATCAACATGTTCCCTCTTCACAATGTGCAGCAACGAGTTTGGCCCAAAATAGATGCTGGAATCCATCCATGACCGAGATAACATACCAGCCATGAACTTGGAATTCCCAGATTTTATTTTTGTCAATAACATAGTATAATTCTTTAGTCCATCATTTTATAATAAAAACTAGGATTTTCACAGTGAAATTGATTAAGCAGACAACGTTCATCAAGTCCGTCATACAGCGGCTAAAGTTTACAAAGAAGGGCGAATTGACATCCCCACATGCACCCCAGTTTAATTGTGGAGTGCAGGGGACGTCACTTGCATTTGAGTTGACTGATACGCAATTAAAAAAAAAATGGGTTGGCCTTGTAAAGATCTCATCATCATAGTAGGAATAATAGAAATTTCTATGCATCGACGACAGCCAACATTTCATCAGCGAATACCATTTCTTTAATCTTGATCGAACAATGGCTTGATTAGCAGATGTACCATGTTGTGTACTTGGCCGTTTAAAGTAACAAATATCATAAAACCCAAAAATAAATCGAATTCGGGATCGAATTCAGGACCAATGCGTGTCAAATCTGGGGGAGGGGAGAGGAAATAGAAAAAAGAGGTTATCTAACACTGTCGGTCTAAATTTATAAATGACTCTCATATGAACGCGTGGTCCATCTTTCATTATCACTGATAATGAGAGCGGCTTCCAGAACATCCCAGATGTTCTTGGCATACACAAACTCAATATCTTCCTTGACCCGATCTGGTACATCCGCTTCCACATCCTTTCGGTTACGATATGGCATGATGATCTTGCGGATACCTGCTCGATGAGCCGAGATCACTTTTTCTTTGATGCCACCCACCGGTAGAACTTGTCCACGAAGCGACACTTCGCCTGTCATGGCAGTGGTGGTCGGCACATAATATCCAGAGAACAGTGACACCAATGAACATACCAGGGTCACGCCTGAAAAATTACCACATCAGTTTTTTCACGCGTTTTCCTTAATTAAACACAACCCCTCTTAACATCTATTGATTTATCCTTACCTGCACTAGGTCCGTCTTTGGGGACTGCACCACCAGGTACATGGATGTGAACATCATAATGCTCGACGATGTTGACCTGCTGTGTTGCAGCGATTTTAAGTTCGTGGGCATGAGCTTTGACCCAAGAGAGAGCAATTTGAGCCGACTCCTTGATAACCTCTCCCAGTGAACCTGGAGAAAAAAAATTAAAGATGAGTCCACTCGAGAATATGGTCCCTCGGCTTTCTCTCATATATATCAAGCAGTACCTGTCAGTTGCAAATCGCCTTTGCCAGGCATTTTCGTGGATTCGACAAAAAGAATGCCACCATTGCCACTACCCGAATATGCAAGACCAGTCACCACACCAGGCACTGAATCGCGTTCAGCGACCTCCTTTTCGAAAATGGCAATCTAAAATTGGGAGCCCCCCATTGTTATCATACCGTGATAAAATCAGATGCGCAGCCTAGTTTCGTGATTTATATTTACCCCAAGGATAGACTCGAGGTCATCCAGTTTGACTTGAGCAATATACTCGTCCTCCTTGCCTTGGTCACGCAGGTCAGCCAATTCCACACATTTAGCACGAACCACAGCTGCAATGGTTCGTTCAAAACTTCGAACGCCACTTTCACGAGTGTAATTTTCGGCCATTTTCAATAAGACGTGGTCCTCCATGGTCACTTGCCCTTCCTCGAGACCATGCGCTCTTACTTGCTTCGGCAACAAGTGCGATCTGGCAATATGGAGTTTCTCCTCAAAGGTATACCCATTCAAATGAATCAATTCCATACGGTCGAGTAAAGGTTCAGGAATGGTATCGAGAGAATTGGCCGTCGCAATGAAAAGGACATTCGACAGATCAAACGGAACGTTGAGGTAGTGATCCGAAAACGTATTGTTCTGTTCAGGATCCAGTACTTCCAGTAAAGCAGCCGCTGTAAAGGTGACCCCGTTGGTTTTTGTTCAATATGCAATGTCCCTTTTCCGTTTTTGCTTCCGTCTTGCATCCCAACTCACCTGGGTCACCGTAATGCGTTGAATGAACCAGCTTATCAATTTCATCTGTAACAAATCATGAATATTCTCTTTCCATTCTGCTTTCGGACAGCCGATCCTCATTGGGACTTACCGAGTAAAAACAGCGGATTGTTCACACCACATTTGCGCAGGCCCTGAATAATCAAGCCAGGCATAGCACCTACATAGGTACGGCGATGACCACTGAAATGTCAAATTTCATTGGTGAGTTTTTGATTTGTTATCCTGGGGGGGTCTGTGGTTGCAAAAAAGACCGTGCCATACGTGGTATGATCCACTTACCGCATATCTGCTTCATCACGCACGCCGCCAAGGGAGACACGATGAAATTCGCGCGACAAGGCCGCAGCTATAGATCGTCCTAGAGATGTTTTGCCAACACCAGGCTAACATCACCAAGCCATGTTAAAAAAATCTCGATGCCAAGCTAGAGGAAACGTGGCGAAAAAGAAAAAAGAAGAAAATCCCCTTACTGGGCCGACAAAGCAAATAATGGGGGCTTTGAGATCGCCTTTGATCTTGATCACCGAAAGATACTCGATAATTCTCTTTTTCACATGATCCAGACTAGTAATTCAATTGAAAGCGTTAACGCTACATGCTGTTCATCCAAAAAGTGGCCTCCCCTCCCCATTGCCATTCAGTTACCCGAAATGATCTTCTTCCAGTTGTTGTTTGGCTCGTGGAATGTCAAGCACTTCTTCGGATTTCTTACTCCAAGGTAAATCGGCCATCAGTTCAAGATAATTGCGAAGCACGGACCATTCACTGGAAGAAGGTTGCAGTTTCTTGATTCGTTTCAGTTCACGTTGAGCAACGGTGGCTGCTTCCTTGGGAAGATCGGCTTCTTCCAATCGCCGACCCAATTGCCCAATATCGTCTTCATCTTTGCCGCCCGAATTGCCATCTGATTCGCCCAGCTCTTGCTTGATGGCTTCCAGCTTTATCCAATCATTGTTCAGAATTTGTCATCACAAATTCCCCCCTTTGTTAAATTTTCCTCTTACCTGTTGTCGGAGATAGAATTCGCGCTGTTTCTTGCTCAATTTCCCTTCAATGCTGGAGTGAATCTGTTCAGAAATTTTAAGAACCTAACCAAAAAGAAACGTATGATTTAGCGCTATTGATAAGCAGAGAAGAAGTAAAGAAAAAGCATCCGTGCATTGAATTAAAAAAAAAGAGTTTTCCATCTTACATGCAGTTGTCGAGCCATCCACTCGGAAGCTTTTGCCAAACGTTCTTTGACGTCCATCGTCGATAGCATAAAGAGTTTCTCATCAAAAGAGGTTTCAATGACCGACATCATCAAATCGGCTAAAACAGCGGGTGACAGAGTATCGACGAGTTTGGATAATTGCTGAATCAAGGTATCAGGCAGCTGCAAGTCTCGCATTTTGGTCGTGAATTCTCGTACGAGTGCTTTGAATGCAATGATTTCATCTTTGGCTTGTTCAAGCGCTTCTTTCCCTTCAGCGGGAGGATAGCTGACCTTGGCAATCAAACCTGCCGTATCTTCAATGTACTTTTCCACATGGAACCGAGCCACACCTTCAATAAATACAGAGAACACACCGAGCCCCGACCGCTGGATTCGAACAATACGGGCAGCACAACCATGGGTATAAAGACGATCTTTTTCCTCGTCCTTGACAAAACCTTGCTGTTCTTTCATATCGTCGGGCAACTCGGTCATGGTGGACGGTTGCAGCGTGGCGTTTTTATCCTCTGGGGAAGCAGATAAAGGAATGCAAGCGAGATAAGTAGTTTTCCGCTGGTCTGACATGCGACGATGCTTCCGAGTTAAAGCAATGGCATCCCTTCCACGCATGGTGAGTTTCATGACGACCGACGGTAGAAGCACCTTGTTATACAACGGTATAACAAGCATAGTATCAGGTAAAGTAGCCATAATTTAGTAGAAACGATTTCGTTGAAAAGCGACCAAGCAAGCACAGAAAGAAAGAGGTAAGAAAACGAAAAACGGCGTCCACTGGGAAGCATGTGAAATGAACAAACTGCTATTTAATTCAATCTCAGCTCGACCATGCATTCGAGGCCTCTCCCCACAAAAAAAAAAATTATTGGTTGCCGCTGCGGCAACCTCAAATGCCTTCAACAATCGTTATACACAGCATTCGAAAGAAGAAACTTGCAAGTAAATATATGTGTTTGTCAAATGATAATAGATCGTCAAAGACCGTGATACTACATATCAAGAGGCACATTATATTTTTAATAAGAAAAGATGGATTGATTTATCTGTATTATCAGTGGCGGATCACGCAATTCTTGGACCAGCTGTATTCAATAAATATAAAAGCTATGCTAGATACTGTAGAAACGAGTACTTGTACTATATCGTTCTGTGAGCGTTAACTTGGCACCTGGAATACATCATCATTGACGAATAATGTCAACGGAGAAGAGGGTAGGGCAGTTCAACGCTCTTCGTTCTTCGTCCATATCAAACTTTCTGGTGTTAATCTTCTTGTCGAGACTCTCAATGACAGACATCACGGCAGGGGCTTCAATAAGAGGGCACTCGGCTTTTGGCAAGTGGATTTGCAATTGCATAGTAGGATACTGTTCATCTTCTTCCAACAAGTCAGGAGAACAGTTGTCGTCGGTATCATCATTCGGTTCATTGGCCCATGACGAAGGACCCGTCAGAGTTGTAAATCGAAGACCGCTCTTGATTAAACCCACACCCGGCCGGATCGGCGAAACAGCAAATACCAGTTCCATCAATCGACCGAGATATTTGCACACGGCAATCCCCTTTCGGCCCACCATGCCTTGAATGGTGTAAAACACAGGATCAGGCACCGTACCGCCTTGACGGTAAGCAAGTAGCAGAGCAATCACGGCGCGTTCGTAGTGACTCAAGCCAGGAATATTGGCTAACGGACCGCCAGGTAGCGGCATATGGAAAGCAACAAAGGCACGCGTTTCCTTGGGATAGTGGGAAGTAAGGTTGGACAGATGGATGACGGCAGGCAGTAAACGGTGCAGCTGAAGAGGATGGCGCGTGTCCAGATAAGGATCAGGCAAAGCATCGACGAGGATGCGGTAGATGGCCTCGTATTCATCGTGTGATAATGCGAAAGGCGACAGCGATGCGTATGCCTTGACGCCCTCCAACAGCGGATCCTTGGCTTGCTCCTCGGCCGACAACAGTTGGAAGCAGAATCCTTGACGTACGCCGCCTTCACTGAAAAAGACACGACGGATCTTGAGCACTTTCATGATAGCCGAGACGAGGAAACAGCTGGCGGGAATCATGCTTGCACGGCGTTTCGAGATACGGAATACACGCAATTGGCGCATCATGTCCTCAGGATCCTTGTCTCGATAGAACTCTGCCAGTTTGTAGAGTTTTTTGCCTTGGATACTGTAACCATTGATGATAGGAATCGGGTATGTCAATTTGTGGTTCATCTGCTTTGGTGGCAGCAGGTCGTCTTGCCCTTTCAAGGCCATTGACAGATATCCTAGTGCACGAAAACCACCACCACTCATATACAGATCATAGCCGTCTTCATACAAGAGATGACTGGGTGGTTGAGTCCGTACGGCAGCATCGCTTATTTGTTCCACAATTTCATCGTACAGAGCTTGGCGTTCCTCGGATGTTCGGCAGAGGGCGAGTTTTCTTTTTAATGCCGCTGCCCCATATGGTAAGGAGACAGGTTCCTTGGCTACACGAATATTTCCCGCTTGGGCTGCATTCTCGCCTTCGCCTTCCGTCACCGTTGTCACATAACTGAGTTCCACGGATCCACCACCCAGATCCATGGTCAATCCATTCACTTTGTAAAAGGAGCCTTTATATGCCACCGATCAGCATTCCGTTTTCATTCTTTTTGAATCTTGCTTGCTTACCAACAATGCCAGAGGCTGAAATCAGTGCTTCTTCTTCCTTTGTCAGTAGAGAGACCGTCCACCCTGTTGCATCGTATATGCGTTGAAGAAATTCGGCTGAATTGGCCGCTACTCGAGTCGCTTCGGTGGCAATAACACGCACATTGGCGAGATTTACGCCGGAATCTTGACACAAAGATCTGAACCGTAAAAAGCTGGAAATAACTTGGTCCATGGTATCCGAGGGCACGATACGTTCGTCACCTTGACTGTCTAGCAAAGAGATGGGGGCTCGTTCTTCAAAGGCGACGGGCAAATGACGGGCCAAGGCACTTACAATACCGAAGCGAATGCCATTGGATCCCATGTCAACGATGCCAAAGGGCGCTTCCGTAGTCGCGGTCACCATGGTCAATAAGGTTGTGTGTTGCGAAGTTTGGAGAGAAAGAACAAGAAGGGAAAAAATGTAAGCGAGACGGTTTCAGACAACTCGGTCGGTTCAACGCTGAGGGTTTATCGGGCAGCGATATTTTTTTTTTCCGGAGTCTTTTCATCCTTATCTTTTTGTATATTTATACTTCTTTGACTCAGCCTCCTGTCATTTCCTCCTGCTACTTTAGCAATTTCATCAAGAATATACAATTAAAGTATGAACCATTCAGCTTGCTCCTCGTTCACTATCGGCACTACTCGCTTGCCCTGCATGGATGTTTGAAATGAAGGCGTGTTTCAGGTCAGCGTCCTGTCGCTCACTCTGTCTTACAAATCATCGTCTTAATCGGATATCGGCATTTCAAAAAATCCAGGCCAGTGCATGGTCATGTTTTGCGATGCCCATTGGGCTATTTAAGTTGGACAAAGAGAACTCTCTCATATACCATAAGCGAAGACTTTGCCAAATAATCTCACACTCTTGACAACAGGGATCATACGATAGTTTGTATCATTTGACATCTTGTTTTATTGTCTAGGAGATGGAGCAATAACATGTTTAATTGGATCGACCACCCACAAAAAAAAAATTCATTTGCTACATTTTTGGATACGATGTCTTTCATCTATTAAAGTTGCATCCAACCCTGATTTTACCCAACAGCGCTACGGAAACGAAAAGTGAAATGCGACAAGAGCAACCACTGCCATTAAACTATAACAGTCGTCATTGTAACCACATTACCCTTTACATTAAAGAGACAGCAGTGACATTTTATGCACCCGTGCATGTCACTGGATCCCAAACACAAGAAAAAGAGAAAATAGACCTTTTCTGCTATCACTGCATCATCTATATTTTTTGAGCGTGGGGAAATACAACCTTTATTAACAATGAGCCCTTCGTCTACTTGTAGAATTCAAAGTTGCTGTCCTCCTTCTTCACATTCGCCTTGTAACCCTTCTCGAGATCTTTGCTTAAAATGACGTATCGGTTCTTGCGCACTGCATGCATACCCGCTTCCTGACAAATGGCAGCAATCTCAGCACCCGAAAGTTTGTCCGGTCGAGATACAACTAAGAAAATAATGCAAGACACATCAGTATCACGATATTCGCCAGCGCACAATCTTTCACACCCAAATCCATTCAACTTACAGTCTTCCAGATCCACTTCTTCCGACAAATTCATCTTTGATGTGATGGTAGAAAAGATCAATCGTTTCTGACGACGATCCGGTGTAGGGAATTCAATCTTACGATCGAGACGACCAGGACGCAATAAAGCAGGATCCAATGTATCTGCTCTGTTGGTTGCCATGATAACCTACAGAAAACGACAGTCAGTTCAACATGCATCTTCTTTCCTTCCCCCTCACCCTGCCTCTGTGTGATGACCAAAAAAGAGACAGAAATGGATCACTGCAATCCGTTTGCTTACCTTTACATTGGATGTCTGATCAAAACCGTCCATTTGATTCAATAATTCCAGTAGAATACGTTGCACTTCTCTGTCCGCACCGGTTTGGGCATCAAAACGTTTGGTAGCAATGGCATCAATTTCGTCGATAAAGATAATGGCGGGCGAGTTTTCTCGTGCGAGTCTGAACACGTCACGGACCATGCGAGGGCCTTCACCGAGATATTTTTGTACAAATTCGGAACCGACGACACGGATGAAGCTGGCCGTGGTATGATGTGCAACGGCTTTGACGAGCATAGTTTTACCGGTACCGGGAGGACCGTACAATAATACACCGCGAGGAGGATCAATACCGATTTGGCGATAAAGATCAAAGTGTGTCAAAGGTAATTCGACGGCTTCACGAATTTCCTGCTTTTGAATATCGAGACCACCGACATCTTGGTATGCAACTTCAGGTCGTTCATCGGCACCCAACAAGGCAATGCTGCTGTCGGCCTCCGGAGGTAAAACGTCGACCAGGGCGTTGGAGTGACGATGTAAAGCCACGGAAGCACTGGGCTTCAGTAACTCACGATCAATGGTACTTAATATGCGAACAACGTAGTTGGAACCGGTTGTAGAGCCGACAATGCCCGTATGCTGGTCAATAGGTTCGAGGAACTGGCCAATCACCAAAGGCACCGACTTGATACGCTTCACTTCTTCTTGCGCTCGTACCAGCTCCCGCTTCAAATTCTTTTGTTCATCCTTAATGTATTCTTCCTGCAACTGTAAAAACTCTAAATTTCGTTGAAGCTTTTTCAATTTGACGTAAAGATCTTCTTCTGATAATTCTTCCAGTAAGCTGGACTTTGCAGCGATCGTCACAGGATCCTTGAGCTATAAAGAAAAAACCAATACAGAGAAACAGAAAAGCCAGTCATCAGTATCGTAGTTAAATTGGATGCTCGCTTTCAAAAAGTACCTCCTGCTTCAATTGAACGCCAATTTCTTCCATAATGTATAAGACAAATAAAAAAGGGTGTAGAAAGTCGTTGAAATGAATTTGGGACTACGCGTCCTTTGCGTCGAAATTCACAAAATCGACCTTGCGCAACGTCATCACTCATCTAACGATTCAGACCCCGCCACCATCCGTCATATTCACTTTTGATTCTGCCTTTCTGTTACACGCAATGCAGCATACACGAGTTAGGGATAAGATGAATAGCAACGACACAACAACAAGAAAGCTTCCATTTGGGCATGTAACACCTATAGTTCTTTAGTCGACATCTTATTACTCATAACCACGCAGTTTTGGGTTGCCTGAATAACGAGGTGGAACAAGATACCCAAGACAACCTGGCACTACATCTATCTCTACAGGGAGATTTGTATACTCAATGTTGTGGCCACTGGCATTGTTGAGAATAGGCGATTTTTAATTCACTGCTCGGGCCCCTCCTTTGAGGGCTGTGGGTTGGTGCATTGAGTTGTCGCTGAGTCTCGACATGCACCTGACAGATTTTTTTTTCTGAGTCTTTTGAAAGTTTAATCTTTATGCCGCTGCCACCTTGGCCTTGGTGTTTAGTTATCAGATTGTTTTATTCAGCGTCTCAAACACCACACATTTTCGCATCGATAAATTTCTTGAACACGGGTGGATTCAAGCAAACATTCGTGCGATTTCATTCCCAGTTTGGAGCCAATCGGATTTGCCGGAGTGCCAACTCCAAACGACACAAAAAGTCGACCTTGTCTGCTTTGTTTTTTTGCAGAAAACGAATCCAAAATAAACCATGAGCGACTTCGACGACATTCCCGACTTGGTCCCAGCCAGCGCACCAGAGTAAACTATTCTCTACCTAATATGGCACGCATAAGCGAACTGGCTTGACTGATTTGCTTTCTTGCACTAGATTGACTGAACCCGCGTCAGCCGCCCAGCCTTCACAAGAGCATGAGAAAGATCAGCGCAAGATTCCTGTCACCATCGTCACAGGTACGTAACGATCTAAGTGCCAGAAATCTGTTTCGTCTCATGCTGTCTCTGTTTGACAGGTTTCCTGGGCAGCGGCAAGACGACATTGTTGAACTATATCATGACGGAACAGCACGACAAAAAGATTGCCATTATTTTGAACGAATTCGGTGAAAGTAAGTAGAAAATAAGGTAGTGCTTTTATTAATACTGTGTATTGACAAAGTGACTGGTTAGGCAGCGACATTGAAAAGTCATTATCTGTCAATAAAGACGGGGACCTCTTTGAAGAATGGTTGGAACTCCGTAATGGTTGCCTTTGTTGCTCAGTCAAGTACGTTCGCTGTTGGCTAAAAAATGTTGGTTTCAATCGTAGACACGAGCACTTATGCGTCATCTTAGGGATAATGGTGTACTGGCGATCGAGAAATTAATGGAGAAAAAGGGAAAATTCGACTATATCCTGCTGGAAACCAGGTAAAACCGTCTTTCCGCATCTTAAAAAAGGGGCCTACAGCTGAACTAAAAGAATACAGTGGTTTAGCCGATCCTGGTCCAATTGCCTCCATGTTCTGGTTAGACGATGGTCTTGGCAGCGATATTTATCTGGACGGAATTGTTACCCTGGTCGATGCAAAGCATATCCGCGAGGTAGGTGGTTATACTCCTTATTGTAGGGTAACCATGGACTCACATTATGGTACTGATATTACCTTAGTATTTGAGAGAGAAGAAGGAAGATGTATATATCAATGAAGCTCTCAAGTAAGCTGTTTTGCTTTTGGTGCATTATCGAAAATTTGGCGATCATTTCCACCCTAACATAATGAATAACAGACAAATCGCCATTGCCGATCGTATCGTGATCAATAAGAAGGATTTGCTTTCGGAGGAAGAGATTGAGCGTGTCGAACAAGATATTCGAGCTGTCAATCCTGTAGCCGACACTTTACGCACGGAAAAATCACAGTAGCGTATCATCCTCGCATCACAAACTGGGGTACGGATGTCACTAAGCTAATCATTTTCTTCCATCTATAGCGTACCATTGAGCTTCGTACTCGATATTCACGCCTATGATACACACAATGTTGATGGTTTGGCTGCTCAGACAGAAAAACTGAACCAACACAGCCAGACGCACACACATAAACTCGGTCATGTACGTGATTTTCCTTTTTTTTTCTGCTCTTGAAATGTTTAGACTTTTTTAATAATGCCATGAAAAATAGGATGTTCAAACGGTGTGCATCCAATTTCCGCAGCAGTTGGATACTCTCCAAGGTTTGGAAACGTGGATTCAAATGCTATTGTGGGAAAAGACCGTCCCCACTTTAGAAGGAGAGCCTCCTCTTACAGATACGCCCGTGGTCGTACTCCGTCTCAAGGGAATCATTGGTCTTCCCAAAGATAAATTATCTGCCAATGATCGCGACAATGCTCGTAAACGTATGGTGATTCAAGGCGTTCAAGAACTGTATGATATCCAGGAAGGATTTGTTCAAGAAGGCTCCGATGAAGATTGTCACAAAAATAAGCTTGTTTTAATCGGCAAGAATCTCGATACAGAGGCCTTGATCCAGTCCTTCTCTGCATGGATGCATATGGACCGCTCCCTCTTCAGCATCGCGTAACACCGACATTGACTCAAGAATAATCTTATTGTTTTATTGTATACAGAAACCCCATGTTGAGCAATAGATCAATTAACCTTTTTTTTTTGCTGTAACTTTTTGTCTTGGACCGAATATCTTCTGTTCATATACGTAAAAAATCACACATTTGTTTTCTCATCAGCGTACGCTGGGATAAAAATAAGATTTAAAAATGGCTTGGATAAAAAAAAAAATTACAAGAAGCCTTGGTGGCTGGCAATTTGTTCTCAAGCGATGGTCTCTTACCAAAAGTAGATGATACACTTCTTGTATGTGTACTGAAAAGTTTGATCAGGCGCCATGATTCTGCCACAGTTGTGGGTAACCAAGGTTCAGTTGGGTTTCACTTCGCTGAGCTTTTGGGAAACGGATTGTCCGGACCACGGTCCAACCGGAGGCCATTTCGCAGTCACGACCCGCCGAGAGGTGGCCTACGCATTTCACAGGAATCTTGCTTTTTGGGGTGTCTGCGTTGACTCTTCATTTTTTCAACGCTTTGTAAACGGACCATGTCGGGTACCAATGCATATATGGTTGCCAATCTTCTGGAGAAGGTAGGGTTTTTTAGCCATTTAGCCACCGTGAACATGGCCGTGACGTTCTAACGAACCATGCAACTTTATGCATAGATGAGCAACGAAGACAGAGACTTTCGTTATATGGCTGTGAATGACTTGATCAACGAGCTGCAAAAGGACACATTTAGCTTGGAACCCATGATTGAAGGCAAAGTGGTTCGAGCCGTATTGGCCCTAATGGATGATAAGAATAGCGAAGTGCAAAACTTGGCTGTCAAATGGTAAGCATAAAATAAATTGAATGAAACGGCTTTCGTCAGCTCCTCGCTCCAGACTTGCTCAACGCTGCTTGGCCTATAGTCTAGGACCACTTGTCAAACAAATCAAGGAAGAACAAACGCTCGATATTATTGACCGCCTAAGTGATTTTGCTTCTCAACCTAAAAACGAAGAACTACGCGGTATTGCCAGCATTGGTACGTTGAAACTCAATTTATCTAGCCATGCATAATACTGCGTTTGCAATGACTAACAGGTCATTATCAGGTTTAAAATCCGTCATATTGGAAGTGAGCCCTCATTCAGGCTATGCCGTGTGCCAAAAGTTTGTTCCCAAACTCTTGCACATGTTACAGCTGGTACTTATTTACTATTTTTTGCATAAAATGCCCCAAAGTGCGCTGAATTGACAAAAAAAAAATGGTAGGCGGATGCTTCCTACGAAATGCAAATCGATACACTTGACATTCTGGCGGAAATCTTGTCCCGATTCGGGTCTCAGATGACGGCCGATCAGCAAGCACGCGTTCAATCCACGCTTCTGCCGTTGCTTGACCATAATCGCGCGGCTATCCGAAAGCGGGCTACTACCGCGCTGGGCTACCTGGTCGTTCATACAAACGATGAGCTGTTCTCGGATCTCTTTGCTTATATCTTGAAGAAACTCCAGACTACACGTGTTTCGACCGAAAAGTTACGAACATTTGTTCAATGCACCGGTGTTCTCAGGTAAAGAAATCGGTGTTCCTGGGACCTGTTGCCATGGGACAAAACAGTGGTAACTGAAACGCAACTTTTTTTTACTAGCCGTTTCAGTGCTCCCCGTCTGGGCAAGCATCTTTTGGAACTCATGCCGATCATTGTCAAAGAAACAGCGGGTGAAGACGATGAATTGCGCGAAATCTGCCTGCAGTCGCTCGAATCTTTTGTGATTCGCTGTCCTACTGAAATCGGACCCTTTATCGGCGAAATCATCTCTCTTGGCCTGCAATATCTTAAATACGATCCCAACTATGCTTTAGATGAGGACGAAGAGGGTGATGATGCAGATGCAGATGCTGATAACGTATGTGCCTATTTCTTTTTTCTACATATTGCAATTGAGCGAGACAGTTCATAGCTAACTCGATGTTTAGGACGAGGATAAAGCCATGGATGAAGATAGCGAGGATGAGGACGACGACGAGGAATACGAAAACGTCCTGTAAGTGTTTTTGTTAGCGAATTAGATGTGAAGGAGATCAGCCATAGTAACTCGATTTTTGCAAAGTGACTACTCTGATGATGATGAAGACATGTCATGGAAAGCTCGACGTGCTTCCGCCAAATTGTTGGGGACAATTATCGAAACGCGAATTGATTTATTACCAAAGCTGTATCAGACCGTTGCGCCGGCGCTTATTCAAAGGTTTAAAGAACATGAAGAGTCTGTGCAAGTGGATGTTTTGCATACCTTTATCGTCTTGCTTAAGCAGACGAGCTTTTATGCTGGCGATGATACCGTGAATCTGGCCATGACGGATGACCACGGTTTTGAAGTCGATGTTTCCGGATGCGGAGAAGAAATGGCCATCAAATTTCCAAAACGTCAGACACCGCAACCCGACAACGCTGACATGGAAACAAGCGATAGGTAACCAAAAAAAAAAAAGATACATCCATTATAGCTACTTTTTTTTTGTGTGTCCCACATATCCGCTCACCACGTGAACTTGAACTTAGTCCCAAATATCTTTTACGTACACTGGTGCCCAAACTGAGCCGTGCGCTTGCCAAGCAATTGCGGGCCAAATCCACACAGACACGTCAAACCGGATTCCGTCTTTTGCGAGAAGTGGTATACGTTCTGCATGGGGGTTTGCAGGACCAAATTGAGCAATTTATTCCTGCCATTGAGACGTCTCTCTCCACGTCTTCGGCTGATCAGCATCACCTTGCTTTATCGTCGAATCTCAAGATTGAAATCCTCGCCTTCCTTCGCCTATTCCTCCGTAATCACAGTCCCAAGTCCTTGCATCCATATCTCAATCGCTTATGCCCGGCAGTCATTCAAACGATTTCCGACAAATTCTACAAGATCACCTCGGAATCGTTCCTGGTGTGTATTGAACTTATCAAAGTGATTCGACCCATTGTGTATGACAGCAAAGCAGGCCAATACGACATTGAGCCAATGAACATGGATTACATGCCTTACATCTCTGCCATTTACGATGCGACGATCAATGTGTTGAATACAAGCGATGCAGATCAGGAAGTCAAAGAACGTTCCGTCATGTGCTTAGCGGCCTTGCTGGCGCAAACAGGCGACGTGTTGGAAGCGAAGCAGCATGAAGCATGGAACATGTTGTTGGAACGATTGAGAAACGAAGTCACCCGAATCATCAGCGTACGAAGCTTGGCAATTGTATGCCAGAGTCCCGTGGCAGCTGGTAAAGAATTGGAACGATGCGTGTTGTCTGCCGTCGACGATATTGCTCTTTTGCTTCGAAAGAGCAATCGAGCCTTGCGTATCACCAGCTTGGAATGTCTGACTATTCTCATCAAGAGGTATTTCACTACACCCTCATTTTTCTCAATATGTCTATTTTCGCTTACATTTTATTTTTTTTATTTACAAAAAAAGATTTGGAGAACATATTCCGATGCAAAGCTATGATATTCTCCTGCAAGAGCTGAAACCATTAATATCGGATGTGGATCTGCATTTGCTCCCGTTGGCGCTCACCACCATCAAAGCGGTGATTACGGTGCAACCCGGAACGATTCAGCAAATCAAGGCGTCGATTTTGCCTTCGCTATTCCAGCTTATTCAATCGCCGTTGCTTCAAGGATCCGCTTTGGAAAGCCTTCTCAGTTTATTGGCCTCGTTAGCCAAGGCCAGTCCCAATGACTATGACTTGCTTATCAAAGGACTTGTGGATCCATTATTAAACGTACAAACGACGGGTGTTTCTGCCGGCGGCGTAGCGGCTGTAGCGAACAAGCAAGCCGCCTCCGCAGTTGCGCAATGCGTGGCTGTGTTGGCCGTGAATAACAGTGAAACCAACCGTGATCAAACCATTCAGCACTTCCAGTCATATATTGAGGTAAATATTGAATTCACGTCTCTGCAAAACACCAAGCAACTGACATTTTTTTTTTCATAGTCACCTGCTGTCAATGATTCCATAAAATATCTCAGTCTTTTGACACTCGGTGAGATAGGACGACGGGTGTAAGTAGATGGTGGGAAGGAAAGGATGGCCAAGGAAGACTGACTGACTCGCTCTCTATCTGTTGCGAATCTTAGCCATTTGAAACAAGATTTCCATGAACAAATCTTGAGCTTGTTCTCTGCGCAATCGGAAGAAGTGAAATTTGCAGCTGCGTTCGCTCTTGGTAAGCAAATACAAAATGACAAGGGTAAACCATTTGAACGGGATAATTGACGTGGAATATAGGCAATGTGGCTGTGGGTAATATTGGCAAGTATCTTCCACTCATTGTTGGTCAAATCCGAGAACAACCGAAGCGTCGCTATTTATTATTGCATGCTCTGAAAGAGGCAAGTGGATGTCTAGGTGCGATTAAACACTAAATCTAACACACTATGCCACCACAGATCATTGTGAATTATCATGAAGAAGAAGAAGCGGCCTTGGGTAGTGCGTCGGATGAAATTTGGAATCTGTTGCTCGAAGGCAGTGAATCCGATCAGGAAGAAGGCACACGTACCGTGGTTGCCGAATGTTTGGGTAAATTGGCATTGACCAATCCAAAGAAATTCCTTCCACAACTGGAGGTAAAAAAAAAAAAAAAAAAAAAAAAAAAAAAAAAAAAAAAAACCTAGATTACAAAGTAGTGAACAAGTCACTAACGGATATATTTGGGGGGGGGTATAGGAACGTTTATCTTCTCCTACTGCGCATTCGCGAGCTACAGTGGCTACTGCCGTGAAATATGCCGTGGTTGATCCGTCTCAGGAACATGACGATCTGCTGAGACCGATCATCGCCCGGTTCTTAAACTTGCTTCAGGATCCGGACTTGGTAAGCTTTGAAATGGGAAAATAAATGATATGCGCAGAAACGAAGGGCCACATTACAGAAAGGTCTGGGTTCTGACCTGCTTTCTATAGAATGTACGTCGACTGACCTTGCTCACCATCAATTCGGCTATCCATCGCAAACCCTACCTTGTGAGAAACGTCCTTCCTCAGCTGATTCCTTTGCTGTATGACGAGACCGTCATCAAGGTACGCTCCAATCAAAATTTCCATATTTCCTTTGATCCATCATTTAACCAAAAGGCCTCCAAAAAAAATTAGGAGGAGCTTATTCATACGGTGGAAATGGGACCATTTAAACACAAAGTCGATGACGGTTTGGAAGTGAGAAAGGTAGGTTCAATTTGAAACATGGCATAGAAAAGCCTGTCCGAGCCAACGCATTTTTGTTCTGTAGGCGGCTTATGAGTGCATGTATGCGCTTTTGAGCACTTGCTTGGAAAAGATTGACGTGTATGAGTTTTTGAATCGTGTGCGGGCGGGTTTGGACGATCAGCACGATATCAAGATGCTGACCAATCTTACGTTGATCCGCCTGAGCAAAATGGCCCCTACGGCGGTCTCGCAGAGTAAGTTATTTATGAAATAATGGGTTTTGGGATGGTCACAAGCTAATGGCTGACTTTTTTTTTGGTTGGGGGGTTCAAACAGAATTGGATGATCTCGTCATTCCAATGAAGTCGACGCTCGATTTCAAGATGCGAAGCAATGCTGTGAAGCAAGAAGTGGAGAAGAATCAAGAACTGGTACGAGCCACACTTCGATGCATGGTGGCTCTGTCTGCGCTTACTGATACTGGTAGGAAAAGAAAAAACGCAGAAATGGTTTCCTAAAGTGGCAAATCAACATTGATCACCTTTTCTTTTCTTTTTTTTTTTTTTTTTACAGGAGCTGCACCGACGTTTGACAGCTTTTTAAGAGAAGTGAAAATGGGACCATTGGCGGAGGAATATAAGCTCACATTGGTGGAAGTGGAGAACCGGGAAAACCGAGCAGCTGACTATATGGATCTCTCCTAGTCCATAATCCAACCTTGATCGCATCATCATCAATAAAAGCTCTATCCAAAATAAAAATAAGAACAAGATAAGATCCATATGCTTTTTTTTTTACTCTTTTTGAGACAAAATCGATTTGTTCATCACAAACATTTTGGGAACCTTTTCTCATTTCTTTTTGAGTGAGCAAGCTCTTCAGAAAAAAAAACCTTCCTTTAATTTTATTAATTTCATGGTTAGTATATGAGAGTTCTGAGTAATGACACGATCTCCTTTTGATAGGTATTGTGTTTCCCTAAATTGTTGTATTGCGATGGTCTTTCTCCTAAAAAAAATTGTGATTGTTATTTTTATGATGGCCCTAAAAAAAAGGATCCAAGAAGAATGGCCAAAACTCGATGGTGTAACCTACTGCTTGTGATATGCCTCTTGCCACATGGACTGGCCAATATGTTCACCACTGCTGGATCGTCTATTATGCAAGGTAAACAACAAGAACGAAAAAAAAGTAATAATGCCGTCACAACGATTCTGACTATTTAAGGGAAAAAAAGACATTGTATGGTTGCAATCGAACTCTTCGTCCTTTGGTCGGGTTGATAAAGAATTTCCCACTATTACATATTCAAAGAATATTCGACCGGCTGTTAATTTGACCCAACCCAGTCGTAATGGTTTACGGGGGATTCTTTACGATCGCGACTTGTCCTGCACTCTTCATCCACCCGAAGCGTTGGGTCAGTCGTATCCAGGATTGTCAAAAATTGCACTGATAAAGCGAGGTCAATGTACATTTGCCAGTAAAATATTATTTGCTCAGCAACAAGGAGCCATTGCAGCCGTGGTCTACGATAATAACGATGCCAGTCATGCCAAAGCGGAAGAAACAATGGCAAGTATCATTGAATTCCTCTTTTGAAGCACTCCACCGTAAATCTAGCGTAGGTTCGCGGATGATGTGCATGAAAAGGAATGACAAACATGAAAAGAGGGAGTGCGTATGAACTAATCGGTATGACTTTTTTGGCCCAGCTTATTCCAGTTGGATCAGGAATTGTAATTCCTGCGTACTTTGTGGATTATGAAACAGGTACGGCGTTATATGAGCAATTGAAGATGGCAGCCAACATGACACGCATGGATCCCAACAACGTGAAACGGTCTCTGGCTGTGCGAATCTTGATGTTGCCAGGTGATACAGGGAGCCCGAATTCCTGGCAACTGACTTTAATGATCGTCATTGCTTTACTTGCAGTGAGTTTCTTCGCTTCAGGTATGTCTTTTTTTTTTTTTGTGTTGGGGGACGGGGGCGGGGTCGGGGTGGGAGGAGGGAGGGGGGCAAAGCGATCTTTTTTGCTTTTTTTAGAACCTGAAAACCTAAAATTATTACAAATCAAAAAAAAAAAAAAAAAAATGCTACAGTTGGAATGCATTGGCATCTTTGGCGCAAGCGAAGAAGGCAACGGTTGGCGGCGATCTCGAATTCTATCGATGCAACTCTTACCATGTCGTCGACGTCGTTGATTCGAATGGCCAATCGAACGTTGCTGGATGACGCCAAACTGCAAACACTGCCTATGAGGACGATCAATACCAGTGCCACCAAAACAGGCTGTACCACCGTTCCGATGATCAGCGAAATCATGGCCGACACGTGCGCCATCTGTCTCGATACATATGAAGATGGCGATATGGTTCGACAGTTGCCGTGCCAACATGAATACCACTGTGCCTGTATCGGTGAGTGCACGGATCGGATTGAATCAAATTGGGCTTGCATTGTCGGTAGCTTATTGTGAACTTAGATCCTTGGCTTACCAAGAAATCGGCATTGTGTCCACTGTGCAAATACAACTGCCTCCAAGAAGGAATCGAGATGAATCACAATGAACCGTCGACTCTAACCGTTGAATCTCGATGGAGAAGGTTCATTTTTTGGCACCCAACATCGTGATGATCCAAATATTTAGACTTTTTTTTTTCAAAAGGGGAAAACGGGAAACAGAAGAGAGTCAAAAAAAAAAAGAAAATAGGAGTTGAACGATGTGCAAAGGATAGGAAAAAAATAGGAGTTGGCCTACATAAAGCAAATCGACAAGAAAATGGATATTGTGTTTTTATTTTATTTTGGGCCTTCATCTGGTTTATGATGATGATTAAAAAACGCAGACTTTCGCGTGTCAGTCTTAATGGTGGAGTGGTCGATACAGATACCCTTCTTTCCACTCGAACCCCGAAATCTATTATCAAATCACGCCGTGCATCACTGGTAGATTTTAACGATCCAAGACCGTCTTCACGTAGAAGCAGCTTAGCAACGACCACGATCGCAGCCGCCTTGTCACCGACCCTGCTTTCCGATCCTGTGACTCCTTTAAATCAATGCGATAGCAATACTGAGTCCATCGATGACGCTCACACGCTGTATAAGCTAAAGTCTAGTCGTTCCTACCGTAAACTCGATAAATTTTTCGGCGAGCCGCCACTTCAGCTGGATGTCAGCGTCGGAGATATCAGGAAACACGGTCTACGAGCCATGCTGCAATCCAAGGTGCCCCTTTGCTATTTCTTGTATCATTTGCTCGAGGAGTACAGCTGTGAAAACCTTGCAAGTAAAAACCCATTTTCATATGGATGGATGATGAGGCTAAGAAAAAATGGGACTCTGTCAAAGCATGAAGGAATAGGGATGTGATAATTCAAGACAGGCAAAATTTGATGAAACAACAGAACAGAGTGTACAAGACAGAAAGAGAGAGAGAGAGAGATAGAAGCGTAAGGAAGAGGTTTTTCGAAGGCTAATGACGATGAATAGTTTTTTTATATCGAACTGCAACAGTATGAAAATTTCGAATATGTATCGGTGCTGCAGCAATTGGCCACCGCTCAACATATCTACAATACCTATCTAACGCGAAATAGCCACTTTGAAGTGAATCTCGATGATAACGTACGAAGTGACATTGTTCAAGCACTCAGTGAACGACGAGTCCAAGGCTGTTTCGATACAGCGAAACGAGCCGTATACCTCTTGCTGGAGAACAGTTTTATGCAGTTCATCCACACCAACACATGGCAGCACATGGCCGAAAATTGTGGTAAATTTCTATAAGACCAAATATTTCCATTTTTCGCCTTCACATGGCTAAAAAAAAAAATCCAAAAATAACGTATCTTCTATATGTCTTGGCCACCCTTTTTTTTTCTTTAGGAGAGTCAAAGACACACTATCATCGGGACACGCGACATGCGGCTGTTCAGCAACTAATCATGTACCTTGAACGACAACATGCAATGATTTATACAAGTCCACATACCGATTCGCCAGTGTTTATGAGTGTTAGTCAACCGAAACGGCGTCACGAGTTGATCAAATCCATGATCCATGAATTCTGTCGTACGTTGATTGGCGTGGAGTTTAGCTATTACCGTTCGTCGTCGTCTTTACACGCGCCCATAGCTTCAGCGTCGCCTCACTCGTCTCCGAAACAGCGCCATCTGGTCATGCTGGACTTTTTTAGCCGAAAAAATCTCTAAAGCTGCTTCTATGCCTTTTTTAGATAGCTTTCATGGGGTGTAACTTTAACTTTTTGAAATGCGGACACGAATAAAATCCTAAAAAAAATAAATCAAAACGCATGCTTCCTTTTTTCGATGTTACTTGATTCACCTTGGCACGACTCCACTTTGCCCACCACACCCAGAACCCTGGACGATGACCACTCCATCCACTTTGACACCTCTTATACTCTTCTCCCTGAAAAGATCATCATGCAACGGTAACACCTCCCCCACCTGACCCTACCAAAAGTGAAACACCAGTGACGAAAAAAGACAAACAGCTGATGCCAACTTTCCCTCAATGTAGGACATCGTACCATGATTATATGGCGACTTCAAGATTAGATGACACTCAGCTCCTGATGCCTCCGCGCATATCAATCTCTGGCATCTCGCGTTCGTCAGAGCTTCCAAAGACCAAAGACGTTCGCCCGCCAACCCTCCAAAGTTACCAGAGTCATCGATCGTTTGCGATTCCTCTCATTGACTTTGACCCTTTTCCTCGTCACGGTACCATCAAACAAGGCCGTCTTTTGTGCTCCAAATCCATGGAATGGTTCAGTCACGGGGACGTGCTCAATATACGACGGCATAAAACTCGCTTACGTTGGCGTGAATTCAAAGTGGTCTTGCGACCTGATCGTCTCCTGCTTTATATGCTGTCGGTGAGCTTTATTTTTTTGGCGGACGTTACAATATCATTGGTCAAGTTTAGCTCTTTTTTTGGCTGACGCTAAAAGTTGTAGGCCGTGTTGCCGCATAAACAGCGACTGGCACACACAATTTTCTTTGTCGACGTTCAGTTGAGTCTCGTCAATACCCTCGATTACATCTGGCGGCTTCAGTACCGTAATCGCGCTAAAGGCACCACCGCCTATCTTTTCGAAGCAGCCAATATTGCCGAATCTCAAGCATGGTACATGACGTTATACCGCTTATTGCCCTCCCAATCAGTGAAATCCATTCCCCCCTCCATTGATCTGCATATACCCGATTTGGAAATGACGATTCGGATCCCACTTCACCTTGCCCCCGATCAGACGATCTTTGCCGACGACGTGAAGGAAAGTGTCTTGTCGCTTTTAGAAGATCAAGGCCACCATCTTGACCATATGCGTCTTTGTTGGAGACGCGATAACAGTATTGAATGGCTGGACCACGAACCAGGCTATCTTGGTCAATACCTCATTGGTCCCCAGCTTATTGAAAAGGTACGTTGGTATAACCCAAGAACCTCCATAACATATTGACAGAAATGGGTTATAGACTCATGTATTGGAGCTTCGATCGCCAACGGACGATTCATCGACTTCGCCAGAGGTAAGAATGCATTTTCTCTCCCCCGGCGCGCGGCAGACAAGAAGTTAACAAGAGATGTGATAGATGGCTTCTACTATGGAAGGCTTTGTCTTTCGATGGACGGATGATCAAGGTCGCACGTTGAAACATCGTCAACACGTCTATGTTCTTATGGAAGCTCACTACATGTTCCTGATTGACGCTTCGAAAGCCATTCTCCCCTCTGAACAAATCCCTAGTGTCTCCAATAAATCATTCAATTGGCTCACGTCAGCATCGACCCTTTTACGCATCGACCGCCACTGGCGACGCAAAGCATTTGCCTCCACGCCAGCCTTTGAAGATCAAAAGTCACTGAGTAAGGAAGAATTGGAAAAGGATGTACAACGCAGAATGAAGCAGATAGCATTGGCGTACGGCGTGATAGATCTCAGCGTCATGAAGGATGTACGGTTCGGAACGGACAGTGATCTAGACGCCCAGGGAAACAAGTGTTTTCAGATTGATGTCGAGAAGCGCCTGCTTCAATTTGAAGCTCCCTCGGCGCAGGCCATGTTTTCATGGGTGATGAAGATCCGACGCATGCATCAACACAGCAAACGAATGCAACGACAAACTTTTATGATGACCAATTATCTGTCCGAGACGGATCAGAAAAAAAGTATTTTGGTAACACACATCTTTTTCATATCCCTAGTATGGTATCGTATCGTATCACTGATCGGCGGCTTGATGATTTTGTTTTTAGTATTCTGGGATGCTGTATATAAAGCGTCATCATTACGGCACCTTCAAACAATGGCTGTGCATATTGACACGGGATAAACAATTACTGTTGTTTCGAAGACATCAACGACGGAGATGGACCCAAGAAGCGATCTATTTGGGTGCGTACAGCAAGCAACAGAGGTTACTGCTCGCTGATGCATACACATTCCATGCGGCCGAAGAAGAACACACCAATGACATTGAATGTCCGCCCCGCGTATTCCACGATTTATCGACGGGAAGGGAAACCAATGACAGTTGCGTGTTTGTGATTTGGCAAGGTGCCAAGCGTCGATATGTGGTTCAATGGCGAGAATATCTGAATCTGCTAAAACTCGGCCATCATCTCGGCCGACGAGGCCACATCTGGATTTGTCTAGCCCGCACTCGTGAAGAACGAAATGCATGGATTTGGGCAATCCATTGCTCCCAAGACATACGTTAATCTCTCTCTCTCCCTGTCTCTCTGTTCTTTTTTTCTCTACACCACCATCCTTTCATTTGTATACCTTGCTATTTACCGTATGCTCTTTTTTTTTTCCATCTTTGCCCTCAATCAACCAATCAATCAGTTAGTCAATCAGTCCTGTTCATATATCATGATGCATTCAATTTCAATTTAACTTTACGATCCACACTTCATATCTTGCTTTGCTATCATTCATTTCTCAAAATGTGACAAATAAACTGCTTAATTTCAAATCCGCATTAACAACATCCAGTAAACAGTTTGAAATGATTGAATGATATGCAGTAATATGATTTCATGCTGATTGAATGAAGAATGATGCCGTGATAAAGCTTGAGGTGTGAATGATGAATAGGCAATTTATCTGACATGGAACACATAAATGACGCAGATGGCGATATTGTTCGGTCAGTGCGGAGTGAGTGGATATGCAAACCCACGCTCGCATCGAACTTTTTTTTTCTTCCTATCATAGGCTTCAAACTTGACATCACCCAAAAAGCCCAGGACAATTAAACGACTTGGCATATCATGTTCGGCCTACTGCGATAATTAATCTGGTATCTATCTGAGAAAGGTCTGTAGGTCTGCAAGACACAGTATTGAACATTCTATTCTTTAACAATTTGCTACAAAACACGATGCCCAATTGGGAGTGAAGCTTTGGGTAAAAATCATATGTCATATTCATGATTGCAAATAAAATAAAAAGACCCGTTATTACTGGATGAGAAAAAATGGTGGGAGTCAGTATCATTTATATTTCAATACAAAAGCAATTAACTTGTGATGAGGAAAAAAAGTGAATACATATTGCGGGGCACTTTATTACATGGAGAGGTAGAAAAAAAATTCTGATGATGAGATGGGATGAAAAAAAGAGAAAAAAATGTTATTTACAGTAATAGACACGTGGATAATAATGAGGTTGGGCAAAATGCATCCGTCGAGCGGCTGATTTCGGAGGCTGCATAAGTAAGAGAGAGCCAAGGGGAACATCTTCATCCTCATCTCCGTAACAGTCGACGTTTTTTGCCCTTACATCATTGGGCACCACTGCACGGATATTGACCCCAGGTCGAGAACAAGGTGGGTTCTGATTGGCTTGACGTTGAAGCATCAACCCCGGAGATATTAGAAGAGCGCGTTGGTTTAGTCGCATTTTGGCAGGATGGCGTCGACGATCATCTTCCTCCAATTTGTCAATGAGCCGCTGGATATGCACCGTTCGCGCCAATGGCACCATATTCTGAGCCAATTTGTGCCGAGTCGCACGATATAGACGAGTTTTCATTTCAATCATGCGTTCTTCCGCGTCGTATGGATTGACGGCATCATCGAGAACAATCGCTTTCCGTCGATTATTGGGCGAAATTAATTGTAACACCTGCGACCATCGAGCAAAACTGTCTGCAAATACTCTGAATGCCAGGTCTTCCGATGCCATGGAAAGAGTGAAAAAAAAAAAAAGAATCGAGCAACAGAAAAATGCTTTGAAAAAAAAAGAACAAAAAAGAATGAAGGATATGATAACCGAATGGGATGTGTTCTTGTCAGTGGCACATTTTTATACAACTGTTGTCTAGATTCCAGAACACAAAAAGTTCAACTTCTTGAGTGGAGTTGATCAGGGGCAAGGGTCTGGACAACACCCAATTATTCGAAATTGTTACCATAAATGGTAATCCACCTCTCGCCGACTTGTCGTATCTGTTTTTGTCCCCACCCACAGTTTACTAAACTCGAGTTTGGCGCAGATGCCACTTGGGTTACAACAAGAAGAACTCAACACCCGATCTTGAACGACCACAACTAATAATAAACTCCATGTTTTCTCTTACCATGGAATATACCAACGGCACTTCCGCCGTAAAAAGACCGATCGGTCCAATGTGGAAATTAAAAGTTACACAATGATGGTAATAATGAGATTCCGTCTGATTTTACGGTGATGTGATCCGTCGGTCGCTAAAGCTGGACATCGTTTCCCTCGGATACCGATATAATAATGATGATGATGATGAATGATGCACACACTGTTCTCTCTGAGTTAAAATACGCAGAGCAGCAGCTGCATAGCACGCTAACAACATGTAGATTCCCACCTTGTAATTTGTCTTGGCATTTGCTTGAGTCTCCCTTATGTATACGTACTAGCAACCTCTTTTTCTCAGGCATCTCAGACATCGACATTTTTCCTTGACGCGGATTGTCCATTTAGTTGTTCGAGACTTTTGAGCCATTTGTGCTTGGTTTTTTCTTTTTTAGTGTTATTATCATGACATGTATTGTGTTTGTATTTGTTAGAATTATCGTTTTCAAGTCTGTGAAATATGGTGGATGTAATGACTCATTGATAATGGTTGTGTCGATCATGTGCTGCAACCGTGGATCATGATTATATTCCACGCGATCCAGTTTAGGGCCTGATTTATTTTCATCATGCCGTATTCTTTTCTTTTGCCATTTTGAAAACAACGCGATCGGTAGTGCAGATGCTGTTTGTGTATATCAAAAAAGCGTCACGCTCCTCGTTCCAGATCATGGCATTGCGACGCAGTGAGATTTGGGTATTTCCTGCAATACAGACATTTTCCCTCACTCCTTCATTGAATAGGCAGACCCAAAAATAAGCAGACAAGACATCATTGACATGTGCTTTTGTTTAACGCATAAAATTTTTGCCCATTGCAAGGTTGATGGTCACGCTATTCCGATCGACGTGCAGATCAAGGTTCATCTGCACTCCATTGCCGCATATCAATATATGTGGATACCCATCAGTAAACGTAAAGCTTGATCATAGTTTTCTCCACTGGTTTTTATAAGCAACGGATACTTTTGGCGGACCCGGTTGTTTGCAAAAGACTAGACCGAGCTCTGTCTCGATATGTAGCTTTGCCCCCTCACCCCTGGATCGAAAATTGAAAGAGTAATAAAGAAAGATTAACGAGGCTATCCAACGATCGTTTTGAGTCACAACTATACAGACACAACACGTTCCAAAAGATCGACGCTTGCTTTTTCCTTTTTCGCCTATGACCGCATGTCATAGAATCGGTAGGCTGCACAGTTGAGAGGAGCAAAATAGAAAAAGAAAGAATGTATTGACATGTCGCATTGTTGATATAGATTCTATGTGCAAATTGAATTATCGACTCACATTCGGTACGGTGAATATAGTGAGATGAAGATCATGTATCTTCAAAATGATATGATATGATACGTTAAATATATATATATATGTGTATATGATAGACATGTAGCTATGTTCAACCCGATCTCAGAATTTCTGACATGGCTTCCAGCACCTACAAATGCACAGAGTAGATGAGTATATAAGAGACAAAATATTCTGTTGGAAAAAAGAATGAATTACCATTTTGATGTGAGCTCTGATTTTATCAGCTTCACTTGCTTGTTCACTTGCCAAACTATTTCAGTGCCGCGATTAAAAAAAAAAAAGATGAACAGCCGTACAAGAAATGCGATTGAATTACCTTTCCAGTCGCTTTTCCTTCTTTTCGATAAAAGCCAAAGCTTCATCCAATGTAAATTGCACATGAAATCCAAAGCCCACATTGACGTAAATATAGGTGGTATCAGGACTAGATAAACAGAAAGATCAACAATCAGTCTCCAAAAATTAGATAGCGAGGCGGTCGCGCCACGGGTTACGGGAACTTACACGTGGGCTTGTACATAGAATTGAGACCCCAGATCGACCATGGTCTTCAATTCTTTAAGATTATGAGTTTGCATCATTTCAATTTGCGTCTTTAACTTTTGGCTAGTGATCAAAGAAGAAGAGACATGAGCTGTTAGCACCGATGATACGTCCAAGAAGGATGTGAATGGCAAAAGGAAAAAACGTACTAATCGGACAATTTAGACAAAGTGTTGTCGCGCGCATCGAGCACCGTCTTTAAGTTAGGCTTTAATGTTAAGCTGATAAAGTCGTCATACTTCTTCAAAGCAGCTTGTAACTCGGCGGCGGCTCTCTTCCCTTTGGATGGCATGAATAAAAATGTGTAAAATGATTAAGGAAACCCATCGTAAAATTTTTCGAATGCAGCTGTCATCTTACCCAGCAACCGACCGATCACTGAAAAAAAAAATCCACCTCTTGCTTTTTGCTCTCAATACATGGTCATGGGAAGAATCACACCACATTCAGCTAATGTAGAGCCACCCGTGAGCTTATATAGCACTTCAATAGACGTAAATGATTGACGGTGGTTTTCTTGATCTTTGACAAATGAAGGTCAATGCATTGCCAATCCAACAACACAGTACTGGCGCTTATATGCTGTATGCTTTTTCAAAGCAGTATTGTCGATTTCTACGCTTGTACAGTTACCCTGTGCGTGTAGTTTAAAGTTACTTATAGTCTTATAGGATCACTTTTTAGGCTACTTAAAATGAGTGTGGGATACTTAAAAAAAAAAAAAATATAGTATCTCAGGTTTGTGGTTGGTGGCCCTTGGTGCGATTCACTTGTCAAGCCGTTAAACCAATTATGGCTGCTCGTGCAGCTTTTTACTCCTTTGCATGCTTTATGCGCCTTTTCATCCATACAGGATGAGTTTCTTATTTTTGGCAGTCATTTTTTTCATTGACCGTATCGGATTCGCAGAAAACAGTGGAGAAAAATCAAAAGCCAAGCCAATAATGTCGAATAAGTAGGAAGATGAATGACACACACACATCATACACACACACACACAGCGGGTTCATCTGAAAGCAATAATGAAGTTAGAGCCGTGTAACGTCCCTCAGTATGGTTTGTGCACACCATCGGAGCGTTCGTTGCTGTAGGTTTTTCAATCCTGACTTTTTTCCTGCACACGTTTTTAAAGTTTTATTTAGCCATTTCTTTCTCTTTCATTACTCTTTTTATCTTTTTACAACACCTTTATTATTTTCATGCCAGCATGCCAGCCACAGATTTGCTTCCAGACCATCGTGCTTACGGTTCAAACGAGTATTTGAACAACGACACCGCTACGTATCACTCTTCGGTCGCTTCTCGATCACACAGTTCGTCGTCCTGCACGGACGATTTCGATGATGCACAGTCAACGGCAAGTGGGCTAACTGCTGATACGGCGGCAACGGAAGAAGACCCTCACAACTTCAAAGTGATCGAACCAAATTCATCTCAGACAACCACTGCACCGGGAAAGCCAATCAAGCGCCGAAGTAGAGCCTGTACCATTACGCAAAAAAATTGCCCCTCAGATACATACGATAAGGAAGAGAAATCGGAGGCAAAGGAGTCAGTGCTTCATCCTTCAGGGGAGGCACCCACCGGCAAGTCCGTGACGACATGTTGGCAAATCGATAACGATGATGATACGACAAATGAGCTTCCTCCAAACGTCCTTGTCGATGATATTCATGATCAAATCCATGAGTTGCAAACTTCGTGCCATGCCGTGACTGATTCCGACTCCGACACTGATGCAGAGTTTACCCGACGTCGGCATGAGAGTCATCGATCGACCATGTCTTCGGCCCAATCGTTTACATCCACAGCGTCCAACTACGATTTATTGTTAGCTCGACTGTGTCAACCCGAACCTGTGATGACCACGGAAAACCAAGTCGACGAGATACGGACTTCCTTTGAAAGGGCGTACAACGAAGCGGTACGGACAGGCGGGGAGGATGAGATCGATTGGGGTAAGTGCCATCCACTTGGCATCATGCGATTAAAGTGATAGAGGGCTAAGAAGTATATACAACGTGGGGATCTGTGTTGAACAGAATTTTGGTCCAAAGTGATTTCAGATTTCAATACGGTGGCGAAAACGCAGCCGAAAGCGCTTTCACGTCAAATCCAACGAGGCATTCCACCTTCCCTGCGAGGCATGATTTGGCAGCTGTTTGCCGAATCCAAATATCCTAAATTGGAAGATCAGTACATACAATTACTGAAACAGGAATCGGTCTATGAAAAGGCCATTTTGCGGGATCTACCGAGAACATTTGCCGATCACGAGTATTTCCAGAGCCAGGATGGTCAAGATGCATTATTTAACGTCATTAAAGCCTACTCCCTCTACGATCCGCAAGTCGGTTACAGTCAGGGTCTTACCCACATCGTCGGTCCGCTGCTACTCAATGTAGGTTGAATTATCGTATAAGGAGAGGGATGGGGTGTCTAACTCGCACTGTATTCGTATGACGCCCAGATGCCAGAGGAGGAAGCATTTTGCGTCTTGGTACAGATGATGAATCGATACAATTTGAGGCGTCAGTTCGCACCCAAGAATGATTTGCTGTCGCAGCGATTGTATCAATACGAAGGACTCCTAGAAGACCGGTTACCACACATCAAACGCCACTTTGAGATTTACGGCATACGTAGCAGCATGTACGCGATGCAATGGTTCACTACCTTGTTCGCCTACAAATTTCCTTTACCATTTGTGTTTCGAATTTACGATGTCATTTTTGCTGAAGGGATCGATACCTTGCACCGGTTTGCGATTGCGCTCATTGAAAGAAATCAGGCCACCATTCTGAGCCTGGAATTCGATGAATTGATCCAATTTCTGAGACACGATCTTTTAAAGGTGTACAAGGTAGGCCCGCTCTCTGTCCAATCACGTATGAACCACCGTTGAAAATATACTGACCAGACTAGACCGATCCCAATCTGTTTGTGCATGATGCCTTTCAAATCATTCTTGCTCCAAAACGGCTAGAGAAACTGGCCAAAGAGTATACCACCGAAGCATCTCGAGCCAACACGGAAATGCAAGCCGTGGATGTACTAAGAAAACAGAACAAGGCCTTGTCAGAAGCTGTGCGTCAACTGGAATGCCAACTTGGTCAGCTTCGACGACAGCATGATGAAGTGACCGATGAACTCATTTCGTCAAAGATGGAAACTGCTCGAGTGCAAGACGAGAATGATGCGTTGCGGCAACAGTCTAATGATTTCAAAAAGGCGCTTGACACCTTACCGACGGAGATGCAGATACGCATGAAGGAAGAAATGGAGATTTTATGGACTAAAAATGCGGCGCTCGTAGAACGAAATTCGGCCCTGGAGGATCAACTGGCGTATATGGAAAATATGATTATTGATATGAAAATCAAGTACGCCGAAAGTGAAAATGAACGATACACGCTTCGTCAACGTTTGGTCGACCTTAAAAAGCTGATACAATAGACCCTTTATATTCGAAACCCAATACTATACGCATTTGCCCTGACAATGTGTTTTTCTCCTCTGGCCCGTCCACTATAGATGTGGCAACAATAAAATATCAGAAAATACAATAAAGCATGACAAAAACTACAGACCTCATCAACATGCAAGCATCATCGAAGGCACAAAATGGCTCAATGGACCAACACGTGACGTGTTTCTATTGCCGACAATTGCTTCGGTTGATGAGCCAAAAAAAAAAAAAAAAAAAAAAAAAAAGGATTGGCCCAAGGCTTTTGATGAGCAGTTGTTCCTGGCGATGGAGGAGATCAATGACTTGTTGCAAGAAACAGGTCTCTCTAGTGTAAAGGGCGTCGGATTTACGATTGTGTCCATTGCGGGCATTACGGGGAATCCACCCGCTTGTGCCTTGGACAATACCCGATCCCCCACCACCATCTCCGTCACCCTCGCTAATAACATTGTAGGGAAGCCCGTTTTTGTGAATGCAAGCGAGGTAAGGACAATTGGCGTTTTGGTGGATGAGCAGTGACCGTGCTGACTCGTTCTATTTGGGTGTAGCCCAAGACTGAACACGTCGTAGAGGTAACCTTACGCCTGCACTCATATACACACTTTCGGAAAGCTTGTCATTAACAACAAAGGAACCGTTCCATATGAAAGCTCGTAGACAATATCCAGCTTTACGTAGACAAAGAGAACCGAACCATTTATCTTTTTCTCGACGCAGCTCAATCGACCTCTGCATTAGCCGAAGCTGCCAAGAATCGTTCCTCTGACGAGAAAACGGCACAAGTAGGTCGTCCTTTTTCTTATATTTTTTTTTTATCAACGTAACTATAACGCGGCTATACATAACAAGAATCGTGTTCTAGCCTTCCTTTTCATCCCATGTATTGAGCTCTGAATGTTCGTATCTACGCGGCTTGCTGTTTTTATGTTTGATCTCCCATCTTGTGATTGTATGTAAAAATGAACCGATGATTTGCATGAATTTTTTTTTTCCAGTGCGGCCGTTGCTTCCACTCGTTACTAACACACATTCTTGCTTTTATGATTCTGTGCTTCCTTATGCTTTTTCCATGGCTAGCCCATCCTTCCGTCGAGTCTGTTTTCCTCTGAGTTCTTGTCTAATCTTGTGACGCTCAGTCAGACGAAGCAAGCTCTTTACACCCATCTGGCGCAATTTCAAGCAGCGTGCTGGCGCCACTGGGATATTGGTGTGCCGTATTCTTTGTTTGAAAAGAGGGAAACAGAAGGCCGTCGAGGGCGCGATCGCATCAATCAAACTTTGCCAGGTTGGTGGGGACCGGCCAAAGGAGTGCCTTTGATGGCAGCTGTTATTGCCGATGTACGTCGTTTTTACCACCATTTTCACTGTGAAAACAATGACTAATGGTTTGTATTCTGTCTTGTGGCATTTAGGTTCCCGTGATAACGGAAGGGCAAAGTAAACTCACGGTCCCGGTGGCCGTCAAACGGTTGCAGGAAAGCTTGCAAGGAAGGATCAAATATCTGTTCCGCGCCGTGCATCTGATCCCCCTTTCCAATGATGCGCCATCGGCTGCCAATGAGATTCGGTAATTGATTACTTTATGTTATTGTGAGGGTGTATGTGACTTATATTGTTTGTGTATTTTTTGCAGTTCACTATTCACACTTCCATCCAGTACTCAGTCCTTTTTGCATGTGGTTCCCAGAGCTGCTGTGCCTTTGGACAACGGCAGTGCAGGTGCAAACCATCTTTTCACCTTTGACGAGCCTGTTTCCCTTGAAGATTGGTTGAATGGATCAGGCGATGCAAAAGATAGCAAGCAGGAGCCGCCAAAGGGCACATCTTCGGAAGGGTACGATACTGTCTTGTTGCGCAATTTTGTCGCCCATTGGATGAAAGCTTCGCGTTCCAAGAGTTCTCTGTCAAACTCTCGTAAAAGCGACATTCGACCTTTGGCTACTATTCTTCCCAACGGTCTTCAATTTATCTCTGCAGCGGTCACCTTGCGCCACCTTATCCTTCAGCCTATGGGCCACATGGAAACTTTCCGGAAATTCATCACGAGCCAGGTTCCAGGAACCAAAGGCATGATTCAGCAGATTGAAGTGACAATGCGCAAAAAGATTCGTGATACCGTGGAAATCGAGAGAGCGTTTTCAAAAAGGTAAGTGAGCCATTGTAAAAGAAATCATTCTTAACGAAAAGAGAGGGCTCATCCAATCCAATCCGCTCGAAAATATGGGGCAATCTTTGTAGCCATTCGCTTGAGATTATGGCCAAAGCTGTCGAAGCGTACTTGCACGATCTTCCGTCTTATTATACCCAACAATACCATCTCTGGAAGGTGAGAAGACTGAATGGAGCTCGTCTCACTGTGCAGCAGTGTCACTGAATATTTCACTCAATTAGCGAAATAGCGTGGTTCGATTATACCGATCGCTTGCGCGGGGTCCTTGTGCCGAGGACTTTGCGGCACGTTTGATGGAAGAATGTGATGCAACGTGGAAACAAGGTCGCCAAGGTTGCGAAGTCGTCAGTTTCACCGGCAAAGTATGCCGACTAAAGGTAATTGCTGAAATCCCCATCGTACAATCTATATGTATCTTACACAGCGAGCGCGTCTAGTTGGGACATGGAGATCGAGGCTTGGAAATAGAGCGAGAAACAACGGAGGATGCCAAGGCCGAGAGTCGTTCCTTGATGGATAAGAGCGCGCATAGTAGTGGCTGCAGCTTCTTTCACGCGTGTAATTGCGGAAAAACTCAAAAATTACGCGAAGATCCTTTCCAGCTGTCGGTTAGTAAAGCTGGACGATAGATTTGCAAAATGTTCCAATTTGTCTCATGTATTTTGGTAATTCAGGAAGCCAACTTGGAGTTTTATCAAAAGTTTGGATGTTGCATGATCCCCGGACGTGTGGCGATTGATATTCAACGGTCCACGTTTGGCGCGAATCAGACGCTCGCAAAGAATACGGTCGACATTCCTTTGGATGATACCGTGTTACTTTACTTGGGCCCGGCTTCCATCTACCGTAACAGCTTTGGATTGGATAAATATGAAGGCTTCACTCACAACACAAACTACTTGTTGCCGTGGAATCTTACTGGGCTCGTGGCTCAGCATGCCAAAGCGGCTCCTGCGACCGGACCGAAACCCAAGGAAACCACTTCGAAACTGGCCAATTCGCATGAATGGCCTTCCCTTGGTGCGACAGTCGAAGGTAAACATCCCATTTTATCACCATCCTCCATCATCGGCGCGACATGATAGATGAGCGTATACCTAATCAAATAATTCATTGTATAGTCCCATCCGCGCCCGCGGCCAAACCCATCTCTCCCCATCTGGCATCGCTGTCTGCATTTCCATCGCTCAAAGCCGCTACCAGTGGACAAGACATGCCGACGGCTTCAACGAGTGTGAACCTCGACGTGGTGTCATCGCGGTCCAGCGACGAACCAAAGAGAGATACACGTCGACGCCGTGATGGACGCCGTAACAAGGACCGCGAACATCGTTTGGAACATCTTGTCCGAGCCTTCCTCGGTGCCGAGTACGAATGCCCTCTTGGTCACCGTTTCTTGAGCTGTGGCGATGGGCGCATCTGTAAGATTGGACACAAAGGACATCCCAAGGTATGTCGCCAGATCCATAGAGATTACGCATAAAAATGATGGTGCAGACTCACGATTCGGATTGATATTTTAGGAACATGGCAATGATTTTATTCATCAGGATCTTCCGCTGTATGTGTTGTGCCCCTGCAACTTTGTCAATCCGCAACAAAAGTCGGCTCCCGATGTCACGGCCCAGCTACAGCGCTTGTACATTGTCACGCCTGATGCTCCCGTAGCCATCACAATGCATCCATCTATCAAGGTACTTTTCGGTTTTTTTGGATAAAATAATGGGTAGCCGGAGCTGAAACGAGGTTTCTATTTCTAGATCCAGGTACCGGACACAGACAGGGTGGTTCAATTGGATTTAGGGATTCATGACACATTGACCTTGCCATCCAATGGTCTGTATGTGCTTCGACTGCCGTATATTTACCGCGATACCGATGGGTCCCCTATCCCGATGGAACCAAACACTGAATTGCGACTGAAGAGTGGTGTATTTGAAAAAGGATGCTTCAAAGCTCAGTATAGAGTGGATCGCTAGGACAACAACAAAAAAAAGAGGCAATGAAATGGAACCATGCCCCGCTATTCCCTACCTCATCCTTGGAGCCAAGTTATCGATATTCTTCCCTTTTTACCACGCTCTGACGATGTTCATCTGTTTCTTTGTATCCTTTCCTATCTCTATTTGCGCTATTCGAGTCCCTTGTCAATCACTGCTCAACAAGCAGGCCAAAATGGACTCGTACAACCCCCCCCCGGGGGGAAATCTTATTTTCCTTCAGCGTCAACACTCTCATCACTTTTCAGGGATCAGTCTCTGTCAATTGTGCGCGGCTATCTACAGATAAACACGAGAAAGATGGAGTCTATAAAAACAAGGTGAAATTCTTCATTCTACAAATAAACCAATGAAAACAGTTGCAACAATCCCAAGGAAAGACATGTACAAAAATTTACGAATAAAAAAGAAAAATGATAGTTCTAAAAGAAAAATGGTATGGACGTCTATTTCAAGATAACAGTGCGTTCGGGATCTATCCATGATGATTCCGTTATCATTTTTTCATCCTGAAGACCCACACGCAAGCCATCAAAAGCAGGCATGATGCGTAGTTGCTCGTCCTTTTCTAATGATTTCAATCCCTCTTCCAATTGATAATGGTCGGTTCGATGAGCGAAACCCACTAGGTATGTTTTGGCCGGTTTGAACTCTCTTGCCGTTTTCAGTGAATCCTCCAGTCCGAAATGCGATGGATGCGTGGCTCCAACTAAATTGGATGAAGAAGATTAGCACAAGATATCGGTGGCGGTCCAAACCTATGAGTGGTTCTTACCACGGAGACAATCGATGATGAGGATATCGGTTTTTCCTTTCATGCGTGCTTTGGTGTCGTTGGGGATAAAGTTCGTATCGGAGATGTAACTGACGCCGCCAAAGTTAAATCCGTAGCAAAAGTAGGGCTTAGAAGTCGTGAAATAGATGCCATGATGAACTAGAACATTGATGCTTGTCAATGAAAAACAAACAAGAACTCTCTCTACCTCTCATTCTCTTTTGATATTCACCTGGCAATGGCATAAACTCTAGACCGTTGATACTAAACGGTGCATCCTCTTTAAAGATATGATATTTAAAAGTGGCCACATCGCCCCCGCCTATGAAAAAGAGGCATCAGCGGGACATCCATGTCTCTTGTGAGGGACCATGCATTACCTGTTGCATTTTTCGCGTCGACGAGAAAGGGAAAAGTCGTTTCGACGGTGTCCATGGTTTCAGGAGCCAAGTAAATGTCGATCCGGTTTTGGATGGCCCCGTTCAACGTCCACTGCCGAAGATCATCCAAACCGTAACATGCGTCGGCGTGACCGTGCGTCAGAATAACAGCATCCAATTCGCGTATGCCATAACGAGGAAACAACTGGATCGCGCTCTCTATTGATTTTTATCAGCCTGAAACCAATCAACCGCATGTCCACACTGTTAATCCTCACCATAAAACGTCTTGCCGCAGTCAATGAGAATATTCCTGAATTAAAGCGTTTCCATATTAAAACTTGGTCATTGTCATCACAACCACATTATAAACCCATACCGAATGCGTGCACTAGACGACTCACCCGGAGCTCGGAAGCGTACGATGAGCGACGTATTCTTGCGCATGTTCTTTCGTCCTTGATCGGTGACGGCGGAAAGACACACACCACACGACTGGGCAGGATCAGTCAGGCAACTTACATTGGGCACGCCACCCGATGTCCCGGTTCCCAAAAATATCACTTCCACCAAACTGGCCATAACGCTCGAGTAGTGAACAACGAATTCCAAAACACAAGTCAATGACTCTGCAATGACCTCTTTTTGTCGGGTTGAATGACCGGTCGGTCGACCGTCGGCGATGAAAAAAAAAAGGCCAGATGGATCATGGAGTTCAAAGTCAGCGCATGCATCACTTTCAAAATTGGGTTTATTTCATCAAAAGCAGCGGGGACTATCCTCTCGTACTATCAGATAACAATCGTGTTCTTTCGTCCGGTTCATCATTCGATTCAGCCACATCGGGTGTAGCTAGATCGCGGATGCCGAGTCGCTTATTTCTGAAGTGCCATACAATGCATAACACCAACAATGTTCCTTGCAATATCCCTGTTACCATGTACGTGATCCAAGCCGTCCAATTGGTACCCGGTCGCACCATGATTGAATACACAAACAACGCTGTGCCTGCAAAAGAGTGGTCAGCGTTTCCAAGATATTAAGACGATTCCCCGAGTGAAAAAAAGCAAATATTACCTGGCGTTTGCAGCATCATCATAGGGATACTTAATGCACCGACTGCCTATTGATATTGACGCATCATTATTGGGTACGATCATGGAGAGGAAGATCGTTTGTTTTAGCTTTTGCTTACCTTTCGTTTCCATGTTTTCCATATCTGCGGGAAATACTGCAGCGCAGCCAATACCATGCTAAAGATGCCCAAAAAGGCCGCCCAGTAATTGGTTTGCCAGTGATCGGGGCCACCCACAAAAACCAGCAATAGCACCGTAATAAAAAATGAGATGGCCAAGTGACCCAAGCACAAAGCCGCTACGACCAAGGAGACTTTCCATTCCACGGAAATTGGGGCGTGCATCTGGGCCGGCAGATCCAGATGCAACGACAGTGGCTCATGCGGACGCCGTTTACGGTTTTCCGGGAAATACAATAGGAAGAGAAGAAAGCTGTGATAACCCTCCGTCGCTTTCAGTGAGAATTCACGTGCCTCTGTTTCCATGGTCACTTACACAAGACTGAACATGGCCCACTGGAGCGCAATCTGAAATACACCCATCAATCCTTCCAAACAAGCCCCTGTACTCTGAACAATAATGCACAATAGACTGATATTCAGCTGAGGAGACAAAAAAAAACAAATATCCGAAGCGCTTCTCACTTACCAACGAACGACAGCAGACAATGGCATTCCACTGAAGCAGTACGATGTTGAACAAGCTCGAGGTGGAGGAGACAACACCTAAAAGCAGGAACCACGCACTAAAGCCTTCGCTTGTTTTGTTGGCAATAATGCGGTAATGCTGTGCACATTTCATTCATTTGTGTCAGACCATTTCGTTGTCCACAAAATTACCCACTTTTTGGAGCTTTTTACCTGGGGTAAATAAGAAATGACGAGGCCGATGCATAGAAAAATGCTTATATACAGTGTGGTACTGTCATGATGAGGTTCGCATTGTTCCACAACCCTAATGGATTCGGCCAAGGTCGAAGTTATCGTGTCAAAGGGGCCATGAGTGGTCATTCAAAAGCAATAAAAGAAGTAAACAGCAAGTCGGTCAGCAGACAGAGAGCTAAAGAAAACTAAACTCCGCCGCAGGAAATTGTCCAACCTTCCCATTTAGGCACATGACATGATGTCTTTATTGATTGCCCTGGTTTTAGTCAACAACGCTAGCTGCTGATCATAAACGAGGTTTTTATAAAAACTACAGTTCAAAAGGTTCCAAAGGGAAAGTTCTGTGGATCATCTTCGTGCACAGCTTCGGAGGTAGGAACGTAGCATAGAGCGGCATAATCGCAGTGCAGTTTGGGCTCGACCACCTGATAGAACATTTCAAAAGGGCACAAAACCGAGTGAGATTCAGGGAGAATAACTGGCTGCTCGGATACTAGGATGCGAACAAAAAATGTACCATCCTTCTCGAGCAGTTAAACTCTACACTGCTGGCAAAATTACCGATCTGGGCCATGCGAAACTTGCGCTCTTGAATGCGCTGAATGGGCGTGTGAGCTGCAAGTTTTTCAGGATCTTTGAAGAGGCCTAGAAAAGTTTCCAGACCAACGACTGTGTGTGAATGGCCAAATTTGGTCGTGATTCGAGGGTATCCCGGTTCTCGCTTGACGGCTCGGCGCATATCCGCAACCAACTGTCGCATCAATGGGCATGGAAGCTTTTCATTGAGCGGGGCATAGCCGTAAGACATGAAATAGTAATGTATCAAGTCGTCATGGGTATTCAAAAGCAAGAATATCGTCTGGGTTCAAAAGTGTACAGAAACCGTTCACGTTCTGCTGCACTGTAATGTCGGTCGCACATGCTTGATAGATGGAGGCTACGTCCTTCATGGCAGTATTCTTGTTTAAAAGATCCGTAAGCCGATTGGCAATAGGCTGGATTTGTTCCTTCTCCCACACCCGGACCTCATGGGAATGACGAGATTTAAAAAACATTTATGTTATCCATCGATCGCAGTGATTATGGTTCATCAAGTTGTCTTCTTTGGCAGGGTATGTAAGCAAAGAAGCTGTCCTCACCCTTGTCGCCCCCGTGTCCCTCGTCCTTCCAGTAAACCAAGGTTAAAAACATTTCCAGATGGCGATGTTCGTTCGTACAAGGAAGAATAGCTCGAGTAATACATCGTATCGCCGGATATCATATCATCTACCAGACGCGTTTGGTGCTCTGCTAATCTCACTCCGTTCTGATACAGTTCTTCTTGACCACCGGTGGTCAGCATATTCCCCGACCCAGCAGTTGTGAACTGTTATACGTCTTGAGCCAGGTTAAATCTGGATGCGCAGCTTTGGTTCTTAAGCGTCCAGTCAATTCATTGGTTGTTTTGACTGCATCGTCGCTCCAAAAAGGCGTACCGTGGCGAATGACAAGCTGCGTCTGGACCATCCGGTAGCCTAGGCTGGAGTCATCGAGACAACAGGGCTTTGAGGGTGCACGGTAGGCGCCTTGCTGCCCAAATGGTCTGAAATTCATGACAGGTCATGGACAAAGCTGTGGACAATGGAAACGGGGAAGCAGCAACAAAGCACGAAAAACAAGGCCCGCATGGTATGAAAGCTGAATGGGAAAAATGGGACCGCTGTATTATGTAGTTCATTCAATAACGGCTACAACCACATAAAAAGCAAATGCCGACTGACTCAACATGCTTTTGCAATGTATGCCGATCACAGCATCTGCGGCAGCAATATTTATTCTCAGAGAACAAACATTATGAGCTAAACTTGTCAATCAAGGCAGCAGCTGTTTGCTCTTGAGCAGTTGGCCAAACCTTTGCAGATCATGTTGCAGCAGGGTGTTTTCCTCCAAAGCAGGAAAGTGGCCTCCCTATTTTACCGTGGTTAGACACATATCTGTGTCTGTGTGTGAGTCCTGCTTACCGAAATCATTTCAGAGTACTGATGCAAATTGGTGGATGTTTCTAGCCAATCCCGTGGAAGCTATAATAACCGAATATCTTAGCCGCGCGGTCGCGTGCATACAAATGAATGAGATTAAGCATCCTCTTACCCTGGAAATATCATGGGCAAAGGCGCACACGGCGACTGGGACTTTGACCCGTGGAAACACGACCTTGAAGATTTCCTTTTGATGAAGACACTCGTAGTAGATACGAATCGACGACGAGATGGTGTTGGTCATCCAGTACAAGGTCACTAGCACATCATTAATCATGTCTCTTCCAAAATCAAGTCAAAGTACCGTGATTTTATTTGCCTACCTTGTGTCAAGAATTCGTGGGGTGTAATGGTTTCCGGCAAGGCTTCTGTATCTTGTTTTTCAGGTAAGTGATAGGTCCACTCGTGGTATTTCTCCAGCAGCCATGCTGCAATAAAGAAAAAAATCGTTATGATCCGGTGATTAAAAGTCTCTTTAATGGTAGTGCTTTTACCTAACAAACCGATGGGGCTGTCAGTCAGTCCGAAAGCGAGGGTATAGGGACGTGTGCCTTGAATAGCGCGATAGCCGCAGTCGTAATTCCATTCTGCATTGGCAAAAGTCGCTCCACCCAGTTTGGTTTTTCCTTGTCCGTAGACACGATCAAATCCCAGCACTAAGCTACCAAAGAACTTTGCAATTTTGAAGGGGTAGAATATCAAGTTGCGTGGCGTCGGTAGTGGAGGTAGAGAAAACGGAAGATTGGTATGGAAAGCGCGACAGTGATCGGAATACCGTGTGGCAATCCATTTGCCAATGATCGCTCCCCAATCCCCGCCGTGTAACACTGGCAATGATAAGGTTTTCATAAAGTTATCAAAGTGAGAATGAAGCCTTTTTTTTTGACATTGTAAAAAGAAGCAAGGTTGTTTACCATAGCGTGTATATCCGAGTTTGATCATGAGCTGATTTACAATGTAGGCCATTTTAGCTACACCGTAGCCTGGCTTTTTCGGTGCTTCTGAGAATCCAAAGCCTGGGAGACTGGGAACGACAACGTGGAATGCCTGCAGCCGAGAGAATGAGGATTTACGAGTTTCATCCCATGTTGTCTCTGTATCCTAACAACAGAGATGCATCATACCTGGTTACCATCATCACCATCCCTTAAAGGGGCAATGATTTTGTGAAATTCATAAAAAGAGGACGGCCAGCCATGAAGTAACAGAATAGGGATCGCGTCGGGTTGCGGGGATGGTTCATGTACAAAATGAATTTTTAAACCGTCAATCTGGGTACGATAGTGATGCCATTGATTCATTTCTTTTCTTGCTTCTTCAAAATCATAATTGAGCCATTCTTTGATCATATTTTGTACAGCCCACGTAGGCGCGCCGTAAGACCAGCCGACATCTTGTTCCAACTCGTTTGGAAATATAGCCGCGTCAAGTTTGCTATGCAAGGCCTGCTGCTGTTCAGGCGTAAAACTGGGAACTGTAAAAGGTTTAAATTCTGGGTCCATAGTGTCAAAATCGTGGATGTGGGGTTTTTTCCCGATTACGCTTTATACTCTGGGCACTTTACGAATACGGTAAATTTAGTATGACTGCATGTGAAAACGGACCTTTTTTTTTGTCCTACAGAAGGACCGTCTATTTATAAAAGCGCAACATTTTACTTGGGAATTCTGTTTGCTTGCTTACTGCGGAACAAGCACAGAATCCATGGAAAAATGGTTTACAGAAAACCAAGGAAACGCGATGGCATGGCCCGAGAATTCTGGGACTTATTTTTATTCTACGAATGTTGAGAAGCGGAATGCGTGCACTTGTCAGAAATCAAAAAGTCTGCAGTTGTCCGACTTTAGCGATCGTCACTGTGACCAACACGGCACTCTGCTGTATTTTATACTGTATGTATGTTTGTTTTTAGTGAATATCACGCAAAGAGAGAGTGAGAGACACAGCTGCCAAGTCACAGAGTGAAATGACTCGGCGAAAAAGCAAACAAGCATGGTTTGGAGAGAGCGGATCCACACCGTCATGACATTATTGAATGGCCCAATGTTGGACAAGGCAAAGTTGCATAGAAAGATGCAGTTTGACCAGCTATGCTCCACATTGGAAGCAAGCGTTATAAAACATGTCGATGGACCATTTAACTGTGCCAATCTGAGTTGATGATGTTATATATCAATGGTATGATGTATTTCTTGTGCAGAACCATTGATCACGATGGCTGATCAAATTTTTTCAAGGGAAAATCACGAGATAATTGGTAACGCGATCACTTTAGCACAATCTCACTTGCTTCCTACAAACCCACTATTTTAAAAAGAATCAAGCCCATTAAATTCACCCATGCCAGCAGAGTCTGCGACCAAGTCATCCTGATTTCCTTTATTGCCGATGAAGTGAACATTCATTCATATTATAAAAGGTTGATTGTTCATTTGTCGTTGTTTGGAAAATGAGGTTCATGCGAAAATCCCGCCAAAGAATCCGGCAAGTGACAAGGGAGGTCGTCCGTTCTGTGTGACCAACAAAAAAACGGAAATTGAGAAAAATAGAAAAAAAACAAGCCATTTTTTGGGGAGCACTTTTTTTTAAACTTCTTTCTTTTCATCTAACTGAAACATCCAACATGCCTTCTCCTGTAAGTATGACATGCAACGACATTGTTGCCAGTGACACGGCCAAGGCTAACGTGTTCCTATTAGGCCTTTGAAAAAGCTGCTGCTGAAGCCCAGCAACTTCCCAAGAAGCCCTCCGATGACGATCTTTTGCAGTTGTACGGTTTGTACAAGCAGGCCACCATTGGTGACTGCAACACCAGTAAGTGTCATGACCAAATGCACTCATCTAATTGGCACCTGAATACTGAGAGCTACTCGGAACACTAGACAAGCCCACTTTTGACATCAAGGGTCGTTACAAGTGGACTGCCTGGGATAACCTCAAGGGTAAGTTTGGCATTGTGGCATTGGTATAATATTATACGTCCAACGGTATTCACGATGATATTGCTACAGGTATGAACCAGGCTGAAGCTGAAACTCAGTACATTGCCAAGGTTGAAGAACTCAAGAAGCAGTAAATTACCATATTTTTTGTACAGTCTGTAAAGTGTGTAATAGGGCATTTGGCGCCAATACATAAAAAAAATGGCCAACAGCAGAAAAAACGCAAATTGCCAAGCAACGCGGCTTTCGCCATATGTACCATCCGAATTTTTTTTTGTCGGGATGGGAGGATGGGGGGGAGAGTTATATTCATCAATATTTTTTTGGTTCAAAAGACACATTATACAGGGTCATGGTCGGACGGGCAGCAGAAAGGAAGCGCTTAGTCATCAGAAACCGTAGGACACTTAAGGGGCCTTGACATAAGCTTGGTAGCAGCAGGCTCGCTCTTCAATAACCAAAACGACTTTACCAATGTCCAATCCTATATGAACGTCTTGTAAAGGCCTATTATAGCATCATGGCAACTTGCCTGATGTGAAACGCTCATAATATTAGGATAAGACGCGCTGATGGAGGATATATCTGCCTAGGAAATTGGCCACAATGGCTGTATAGGCACCATTTTGCTTTCCAATGTACCTCCCACCTTAAGAAAAGACAATGATAACATGGACAGTGCAAATCCTCTCTTGTGCATTTCCTTTTTTTTCACAGGTGCAGTTCACATCACACACTTTGTTACGCATCCGATCGGTCTGAGCCTTTTCTAAGCGTGTACCCGACGCAAGTCATTTCCCTTTGTCTGCTTGCAGGCTCTGTAATAAACCCAACTGCTATAAAATAACGGATATCGAAAGTAAAGAACCACCTATGCCCATCCGTGGTAGTATAAAATGGCGAGTTTATATAACTGCTTGCTGTGATTGAAAACTGGGCTTATTCGTGCACGGTCAAATTAGTAGCATTTGACCTTTTTTTTTCCCTTTTTCTCATTTTCACGCTTCTTCATGTCACATACAACTCATTCCAACGATGATTCTACAGACCTTGCGGATGATATACGGTCGCTCTCATTGAGTGACACCGCATCTCCGTCGGATCCTCGGACATCGGCTGAATCCCGACAAAGTCAGGACGATCTCGACCACTTTTTCGACGAATCCACGGCCTCGTCAAGGTATATTGACCGCGTATAAGACTACTCGATTCTATTGCTTATTTGTTGCAGTATTACACAGTCTGAAGCTGAACGAGTCGCGGCCGAAAGCCAAACCGCCCCGTCTGAATTCCAACACATCTTTGACCAGTTTAGTCATGCCGGAGACGATACATCTGCTGCAGCAGGTATTGACGGAAACAGCAGTGAGAAAGCTGTGTCCCATTAAATCCATCTGTAGCGGAATCCGATCGAGCGTCCGTCGTTTCAGGAAACAGTTCCTCAAGGAAACTGTCGATTGCCGAAATGCAAAAATCCATCAATCAAACCAAATCCCAACACTTTACACCAGACATGGCCCGATTCGATTTTCACCAATTTTTGGAACAAATGAAGCAACCCAGTGCCGCTCCGATTAAACGATATACCAAAGAGTAGGCCAGCCAATAGCCAAAACAACAAACGTCAGAAACACAGAGAATGGAATCGTACTAATTTATTTTATGCAGATTTGTGCAAGCATTTGATCGCCGAGCGTGGACGGTGGATGAACAAATCAAGCTTGTTCAAGATTATTTGGAGGTGAGCCGACTTGCTTTTCCCGAGTTTCTTGACTTGAAGGGCCCCAGCTAATCAATGGCGATGTCAGTTTGTGCAAGATAAAATGAAAACGTGTGAAGTGTTCAAAGAAATGTCGGAACAGGAGTTTGAAAATGCGAAAGAAGGCATGGAAAAACTAGTCATGAACCGTCTCTATCCAAAGTAAGGTGATGATGATGAGATTTTGAAAATCGACAAATACTTAGCACGTGTCTGTCCGTTTAGGATCTTTTCGCCTTCAACCACAGATGATAAAGAGCGGGATGCAGCGTTACAACACAAGATAGGCACGCTTCGATGGATCAAAGAAAAGCATCTTGACATTCCCAAAACGTCTCATAACAAGTCATTTATTAATTTTGCCGTCTCTGGTATGAACGTGAATCAACGATGTCTTCCCGTACAAAACATAAGCACCCTCATGTTTTTTATTTTCTTTATCGTCAGAACTATTGAAAATCAACAGGTACAAATCGCCTCGAGATAAACTCATCTGTTTCCTGAATTCATGCAAAGTCATTTACGGTAACTCGGAGGGATTGTGCAAACATCTTTTTTTCTCTATGCGGTGGTGCTAAATCCGGTATTGGTCATGTCAATAACAGGTTTGATTCGATGCATTGATGTGGATGCTGGTGCGGATCTATTCTTTCCCTTGTTGGTCCATGTCATTATACGAGCCAATCCCCCTCAACTGGTTTCCAACATGGAGTAAATTTTTCCTTACAACCGGAATATAGCCAACGTATAAAAAAAAAGCTGATCCCTCCCTTTTTCTAGATACATATTCCGATTTCGAAACCCGGAGCATCTTCAGTCGGAAGCTGGCTATTATCTAACCAACCTTGTAAGCCCTTCTTTCTCTATCCGTTGGTTCTGTTCTATTACCGTCAACGTTGGAGCTCACATGATTGAGTAGATGGGCGCGATATCGTTCATTGAAACTTTGGATGATACATCGCTGACAATCACAAAAGAAGAATATGATAGGTAAAGATTATATTGCGGGCAGGTTGGCATGATGCATAAAACTCACGCCCATCAATAGGAATGTCCAAGAGGCGATAGAAGAGATGAAACAAGAAGCGAACGAGGCAGACAAGGAAACTGCAGAGGAACCGGATCGTGGTAAAAGACACCGACTCGGTCGACTCTTTTTCGGGCGGAATGAACCTCCGCCAGAGAGCGAGATGGAAAAACGTTTCCAAGACCATCGGACCCAACACTATGAGAAACAAAAAACAGGTACCACTGACCTTCCCGTCACTACCCCACCGAGCGAACCATCAACGACACCAAATACACCCACTCAAGCAAGTGAGAAGGAGAAGGCAAAACAAGAGCATTTCGACCGCATGTTGAAAACCACTGTGGCCATGTTTCCCAACATTGAACCTGGTGTCTGCTACATGATTCTTCAAGCCAATGAAGGCCGCATTACCGAAACCATTGATACGTAAGTTTTTGTGCTCTCCATTTTTTTGCAAGCTCACGTGGAATTGAATATGATGATGGCTAGTTTATTGGAAATGTCAGAGCCGTAAACGCGCTTTTTGATACCGGATATCTTTGCCCTTTTTCCGTATTATAATCACCCGAAAGTGCGCAACATTTATATCGCCGCTTAAAATAACCCAAGTCCCTGACGCAAAGCTCGCCTCAAAATCCCATGCATTAATTTGTCGCTTTTAAACTGTTTTTAGTCACGTCAGTTTTCATCATTGTTCTTTCTGATTTTCCAACCACTTATTCCCTTGCTCCACTTTTTTTTTCTTTTATATAATCAAAACATGGAATCCATCTGTACTGATGCCCAGAAGGAGGCTTTGCAACAACTGGAATGTCTATTTAATCTGGATAGTGACCAACTTCGAAAGTTTGCCGACCACCTTGTGGAAGAGCTCGATGATGGGTTAAGGAAAAAGGATGAAGATTCGGCTATTGCTATGCTCCCTTCGTGGATTACCCGTCATCCCACTGGCCAAGAGAAAGGTCAATATGTTGGACTTGAACTGAGCGGTAAGTGGTGGTTTTCATGACTTGGTGTAGTTTGAACATTCAGTCCACTGACGCTTTATTTTATTTTTTCGGGAACATTAGGCTCGTATGTCCATTTGTATCTTGTTGAGCTACTGGGTCAAGGCCGTACATCAACCCGTCAGCAAAAATACCTTGTGGCCGATCGCTTGAAGAAAGGTTCCATCCACCCATTGATTGAATTTATTGCTGGTACCATTGGCAAGTTTCTGGACTTTATTGATATGAAGGAGAACGCGGGCGGCATCCCCATTGGATTGGCGATTTCCTTCCCTCTTCATCAAACGTCCCTTCAGAATGCAGTTGTCCTGAAATGGACCAAGGACTTTGATATCACCGACGCCAATGACAAAGATATCGTGGCCCTCTTACAAACAGAATTGCAGAAACGCTACATTCCTATTACGATCAAAGCCGTACTCAACGGCACCGGTACGTACGCAGGTCAATTACTTGGAAAAAAATGTCTAAATAACGTTCTTGTCATGTAGCTGCCAGTTTGTTGGCTCACAGTTATCGTAGCTTGGATACACTGTTATCTTGCACGGTGAGCACGGGTACCAATGCAGGTAGGTTGAGCTATTTCATCGGTCGAGGAACGAGGGACGAGGGACGATTGTTTTATTGCTGCGATGCTAATGGATGCTATCAATTTAGCCTATTGGGAAAAGGCAAGCGCTGTGAAAAAGTGCAATTTTGAAGATGGACAAGAAGTGATCATCAATACTGAATGGGGAACCTTTGGCCGTCATCATGAGCACTGCTTGCCTCGTACATTTTATGATAATCGTGTGGATCGCGAATCAACCAATGCTGGTGTGCATCACTTTGAAAAGATGGTGTCTGGTCTTTACCTGGGTGAAATTGTGCGACAAATCTTGGTGGATTTGGTGGATCGTCGTATTCTGTTTGCTGGACGGTGTTCGTCGGAACTGAATCAGCCGCAATCATTGCCTGTTTCTTATATGAATGCCATGGAACAAGACGAGTCGGAAGACCTGACCAATGTTGAACATATCATGGAATCGATCATGAACATCCCAAAGACGAGTCGTCACGATCGTCACATTGTAAAAAGAGTGTGTCAATTGGTCTCTCAACGAGCCGCTCGTTTGGTGGCGGCCGGCATGAGTGCCATTATCAAGAAAAGCGGGGCTTTGGAAACCGGTCTTACGGTGAGTGTGGAAGGCACCATCTATGAACACTATCCCAGTTTCCCGAATCGTGTCAACGAAGCTTTGCGTGAATTATATGACAAGAAGTTTGAAAACATCAACATTGGCGTAAGTGGATAGTTACTTTTTTGACGCATTTCCATCGTCATTTGTGTAACGAAATTTCATGGTCTATAGGTTACCCCCGATGGCAATGGTGTCGGAGCTGCTTTGGCCGCCATGATCGGCAGCTGTGAATCAGCGAGAAACTGAAAAAAAACAGTGATTGCCAGATGCAAACTCAAGACTCATAGCCTCTTGTAAATGCTGGTTTGCCTATCAGCATCACTCTCACTATGTATATAGCGATTTTTTTACACCTTAAGAAATGAAATCCGCAGTTCATGCGCAAACTTCATTATCAGTCTTTCTCTTTCAAGAAGTTTTTAACGCCTCAAATTCGTTGAAATGCAAGTATAGAAAAAAAAAGGGTAATAAAACCACCCTGGACGAAAATAAGGCTGATCGCGAAATGGCGACGCGCAAGGTGTTGCGTCTCTGTGTTATATAATTTTAGGCGACTTGCACAGCTCTCACGCCACATGCTGTACCTATCGCAGAGCTGGCTGGTCGTCAGACAAGAAGCTTCATTGGCTGGAGCAGCGTGTTCCCATATCAGCTGAATGAACTGAAATCCTGCAAAGATGGCATTCCTATTGTCATTTGATCACATTGCGGCTTTCGGCTGCTCTTCCCTTTTTCCTGTTGAATTCAGTTCAGCCACTGAAAAATAATTACTCACTTAAAGCCCCAAATAGCGAATTAGAGATCTCAAAATTTAAACAAAAGATGATTCAACCGAACGAAACTCACTCCAGATCCTCCCCAGTACAAGGAATCATTTTCCGGCCAGCAAGAATTCCCTGATCTATCGCTCTGATAACCAATATCTATTCCATTCTTTCTTTTGTAAAGGATGAAGTTCCAATCCTAAAGCCAACACCAATACAGCTGAAGAAGCTTCGATCATGCTTTTGGTATATAGGGATCGGCTGGGCGATGAGCAGTGCGTAGCACCTGAGCAGTAACGTGTCTCCATCGACCTGGCGGTAAACAGGCAAATTTCGGAAGAAGCATTGATCTCTTTCCTATAAGCCATGTATATCGAGTTCTGTGTGAACGAGTGGCAGGGAAGTTGCTCAGGCAATTTGCCCATGGAACAACAGCCTAAGAAATCTGGAGGGTAAAACAAGTGCATATTGCAAAGCTTGAGCAAATTACTCGCAAGGAGCCTGCATTCTTAGAATGGACTGGTAAGGCATAGTAGGATTGATCGGGTATTTATGAGCGATGCAAGTACCAACATGCAAGTTTGATAAGTTTCACGGCTACATGCTTTGAAGAAAGATAAGGTATAATCGTAGCCTCCTGTGTTGGGCCAATTATTGATGCCTTCCCACTGCCAGAACTAGACTCATCTTTTAACTGACACTAGCAAGCCTGCTGTACATATAAAGTACTGTACTTCGCTGCTTGATCGTCAAGTATAACATAAGTACGAGTGTCTGATAGTTGCCATTATCAAGTGTATGCGGCTACATAGGAACGTGTCAAAGTGATGCAGAAAAGAAGCAAGAAAGTTTGACAATGTGAGTGGTCGAATTGTCTATCTCCGCGCCGATCCGAAGTCCATCTCCGGTTACTTTTTTATCTGATTTTCCAGAAATTCGTTGACAAGTGTTAAATTTTTCAAAAAAAGGTCTGCAGTGAAATAAAAAAGTGGTTTCCCAGTATCGATATTATTCGACGACTGGTGTAAGCATAGGATAGGTGCACAATGCAAAGGCCAGATATGTTGAACATGGTTCAAGAGAGACATGACCGATCAATCAATCAAAATATGATTTTACAAGGCCTGGAGGCATTCAACTAGAATTACATTATCTCCGCGGTATATCCTGGTCTCTCTTCCACAATAAAAAACGCCTCATTTTAAAAGAACGGCGAATCAACGCGCGCGAGATAGCCCCCAATCTGCTGTCAATGGGTCCCCGTCCTCCCGACCCAAAAAGTCGGGGTTGCCGAAGATCTTTAAAAAATGAACACGATTTGTTATTGTATTAAGAGATCTGCTTGTTTTTCTCATAGTCGATGAATTTTTAAGTGAGTCCCTTGGAAACCGTAATTAGAACAAGCCGTCATTGGAGGAAGATCAGCGAATAATTGCATTCAATGTAATCAGAAAAAGAGACGGCTCGCAAAAACGTCAGTGAAAAGGACACTGACTGACAGAAAATAAAATACCAGTCAATAAAAAAAAAACGTGAAACGGAGTTACGCCGGAAAGAACACGCGAGGGAACCGGATCAAACTAACCAACCAAATAAAAAAAAAAAAAAAAAAAAAAAGGAAAAAGTCAGTTTCATGTAGCTGAGAAAAGTGAAAAAAAGTGGGCCACCTTCAGTTTTTGCAAACATCAATGACGCATTTAGCCACCAATCAGAGAGTCGCCATTTTTCGAAACAATCCAATTTGCGTTCTCTCAAGAAACTATCCAATCGACGAACAAAGAGCAACAACAGCTTTTTTTTCTCATGAAATACATACCCAGCTTGCAAAGTTGACATCTCATTGACCTTTTACACTGCGCATTTGATTTCACTATACAGAAAACTTAAGTGCCATGGTGACTCATTTTTTTAAGGTTTATAAATAGATCGCCATCAAACTAGCCGATGATCGGCAACATGAACTTTTTTTTGGTCGCTTTGTATGTGAATCCGTCTGAGCGAGTTAACAAATAAAGAATTTTTTGGACGAAAAACGTTAGCGGCGCCTAGACTGAAAATGGGCAACCCCGATGAAACGAAGTCTATCCAAATTAAGAAACTCAGATTTCAGCGAGAGAGAGGTTTTGGGAGGTGATCAAAAAATTGGGTTTCTGATTTTTTAATCCTGAAATGGCGAAAGGGTATATACAAAAAAAGGAGGGGCAAGTAAAATATAAATGCTATAGTACAAGATTTTTGAATAGATAATATAATAGTAGGGAATAATGCAGGAGAATAATGTAAAGATTCCGGAACAGATTAATGATAGTAGGACTTGTGTTGCTTCTTGTTAGAGATTGTATGCAGGAACCGCTTGAGTTTTCCTGCCAATCGTTGGGATGACGACTCTTGATCAGAAGAAGAGGAAGACATCGAATCTTCGCGAGCCACCGCGGAAGCTTCCAAGGAAGTTACAGAATGGTTTCCTGACCCTTGAATAAGCGAGGGAGGTTTTGAGAATGAATCATAGGAATCACTGCGAATGGAGTTAAAGTCGTAATGGCGAGGGGACGAGACTGGGGAGTTCCCAGGCGATGATACACAGGATTTTGTAGGTGAAAGCGGCAGTGGTGGTAACAATTGCGAGGAATCAATATCGAATCGTTCGGTAAATCGCGAAGTATAGATAGATGACATGATAAACTGGAAAATAAAGTAATCGAACAACGATAAGACAGAAGAAGGAAAAAAAAAAGCAGAAAATACGATCAATGGATTGCCATTATATACGAGGACTCCCAACAGCGCCCATGCTAAATCTGCGCGACCATTTAGATCTGGGTAATGAGACGTGCCCAATCCGGAAGCAATGTTAAGGATTCCGAAAGTCAAAATTCCGCAACTGTCCCACTGCACCCACATCCCAACAAGAAGTGCCCTTCTCGACCACCAGAGGTCTAGACCTGTAGAATACCGCTTTTCAAACTCCACTTGTCTTTTTTTAATTCTTATTTTTTTTTCTTGTATCGGCCTTGTTCCAACTCCGTGATGGTTTTTTGTTTGCCACATGTTTCCTAATCAAAACCATTTTATTTTTCCCTTTGTTCTGCACCCTCTCATTGAGTCACCTCGCAAAACAAAGACCTTGGAAAAACGGCAGTAACTAGATGAAGTCTTTTTCTTGTATTGTCATGGTGAGCGGGTTGGAGTGCCTTAAATCGAGGTACCCGGTTTGCTTGATATAATCCGTTTACAAGAGCCGTGGCTCGTAGTACATTTATCGCATATCATTGCTTTCAAATTTTCAACGTGACAAGTTGATCTTTTATCAGAGATTTTGGAACATTTTTTACGTTGTATTTTTTTTACAAGCTTGTCTTATCATTTACATGTTAGCCCGGAGTTTTCTTCCATTGCTCACCATATCCTGTCACTTATACATAACCAATTGCTTATCCCAACACATTTACCAAGGTTGGTCTGAAAACAAAAAAAAATCTATCATTATTTACACATGGGTGGAATTGAATGAAAATACAAAAACATTTTCTATTCTCGCATGATCATGGTTAGAAAGGTCGCTGGCGAACGCAAAATGCATGTGTGTGAGAGTGTTTTCCTCCGGACTTTTTTTTTTTTTTTTTTTTTTTTGGTCGCCGTATTTAGAAGCATTGGGAAACACAGCAGTCTGCGCGAAACACTTACTTTTCTGACTGTGGAAAGTTTGTACTCTCCCAACATTTCCGCGACATGGTTGAGCCTCCGTCATTGGTTATCTAATGTGTGCCTGCGCATAATAGTCTTACTGTCGTGTATCCGCATTTGCATTACTCAGCACAACTCGCTGAATGATGGATGTACCGGGAAAGGTATCCATGTGAACGTAGCGGACTTTCTGGCTGCCATAAAAACCTAATCGCACTGGCAACTCTTTCTTTTTTGGTTTTCTGCAGGAACACGTATAACCAAATAAGCAATTAGACTTTGTAGTAGTCTATTGTTGGAAAAAAGGTCCCTCAAACAAGTCATGGCAAGTTTAACTCGATGGAAACAAGTGTTTCTTCGTTGTCTCAACCCTTTTTCATACCTCTGGCGGAGTTATCTCCCAGGCATTTTTTATATGGAAACCTCCAAAGGTCGGAGTGTACAAATTAAGAAAACTACCTTGCCTATCACGTTATACATTATCGTGGCGTAACAAGGCAGAGACTACGGTAGTTTTCCTTTCATCAGTTGGATCAAGCGACCAATGCAGGTTGACACTTTTAAAAATTAAAGCGCGTATATACTTAAAACAATAGCTGGACAGCTGTTGGACAGTCGGGCAATAGCTGAACAGAGCAACAGCACAAAGGCGCTACTAACAATGGCTCACTATAGGCGTCAATGATCCTGCCTGACGCCAAAGATGTGCCCACTCAGGACGTTACTCATGCTCATTCTTATGTCTTGGTACAACTCCTACTGAATCAAGAAAAGAACAGCAGATTTCTTGGCTGATAAAAACTTCAAAGGGAATGTGGAGCCTATGTGGAGCCTATCTGGAGATGAGTCGGACTTTAAATGTATTGACAGAAAAGGAGAATAGGGAACCAGAAAGCTTCCGTTCAGACTTAACTCAACCACTGTTCCATTCATGACGAACACAGACTATTTATACTTTACCGATGAAGGTAGTAGCGGTAATTGGAGTTCCAAGACAGACGGGTAGAATTTGTTATGAGGGAAAAATGCTTCAAGTGTCGAAATAGGTCGTCAGTACGAGGGATTTGGAAGACTTTGTAGAGACAATCGAAATGTTTGGACCAACTTGAACGTAAACAGATCTGTTCTTCAGGAGTATGCTGGAGGTCACCAGTTTCGTTTTGTTTTGTTTCGTTGCCTCAGTTACATTCTTATTTACTATGACGAAGACGTTATCTATATAATTAAAATCTTTGAAAAATTAGCGATTTTGTAAATTACATGATCTACACCAAGTTATCAGGACCTGTTAAACGTTTTTTTTTATCTTTCAACCATGCCTCGCTGCCCACTTTCACGATAATAGGCAAAACAATCAGCAGCAATTGCCGTTTGCGCCAGTTGTGGTTAAACAGAGCATCGTCGCCGTTCACATAAAATGTGAGTGGAGCTCTTTTTTGAAGAAAGGTGATTGACGATACGACGATCTGGTGTTTTGTAGCATCATTTAATTTGGGTTATCTGTCAGTTATACTGTATATGCCCTTTCATTCTCTTCAGTAATCGAATGATACATGGAGCAGATATGCTTCGATCTGTGTAGCTCATCATTCATGCATCAGTGAGGTGACTATTGTTTCATCCATGGAAAATCACATATTTTTGTCCGAATTTTTTCTTCTTCTTTAGTTTTGCATCTCATCGGGAAACGCTGACGCGTCCTCCCCAGGTTCCTCTCATATGGATTGCTGCCCGTGGTATCGCCTTCGATATTTCTTCCCGACCATTTTATTTTGTAGTTGTAGTATGTATTTTGTATTTTAGTGAATAGTCTTCTTGTAGTCTTTTCCTCCTTTTTTTTCCCCAGGGTTTTTAGGGGGTTTTTACAGACGCACCTATTGTATTTACTTTTTTTTTTTATATTTGTATCCTTTCTTTATTTCGGTCGGGAAGCCCTCGGTATCTGCTGCATCAAACATCAAAGGTAAAATATCTCAACGAAATTTGAATCAACCAAAGAGCTTACTAACTCATTTTTTTTTAAATACCCAACATTCCCACACATCTTTGTAGATCTATCATAACCTTGGGCGGGACAGAACGGAGGGGGTCAATAAGTGCTGCTTTGTTCATTAAAAGTGTTTCATGGTATGCCAGAGTATTGACATTAATATACCAAAGTTCCATCAAGAGTCTCGCCCAGGTTATGCCGTATTGCCTTAGGCTTTTGTCTGACGAATGTCGCTCAATGTAAGAGTGCGGCATCCAGTAGCAGGTGGCATCCATTGCACAGCGGGTGTACGGCTTGTTATCTTGAAAGAATTGTTCCATCTGTGAAAGAAAATGACAGACGCTTTACTTTGACTGGATTGCTAGATATTTATTGAGCGTTGAACACTGATCGTACTCGAAGATCATCTCGAACCTCTATTTCACCATTTTGCTAAGAGTCCATCCGTTTCAATATTTCATCCTGAGCTTTCAACAGATTTAATAAGACCGCCATCAGATCCAGGACCTTGAGCCATTTGTTTCGACCGCGTTCTTCGTAGGAATTTCGACCGTTCATAATCCTTGGCAGATGTATCCACCTTGCACACCATCCAATTGCGTTTTGGACAGATGATGGAAATTCGGACAGATTGAATGCCGTAAACTCGAATTTACACATGGTCACGAAGCTGGCATCGAGGTGGCTTCGGATGTCGCTTTTGAGCATCATTATGGAGCTGTGAATTTGTTTTAGCGTATTGTCTAATGTGTGATGGATATTTTCTCTAAATTCGCCGCTTGATGCCTCCATAACCAATCTTTCGTTTTCCTGGCGATCAACACCAATTCCATCAGCATATCTGGCTGAGCCACATGTCCATCCGTCGATGTCGGTATTCGAGAAGCTCCGTATATTCAGGGCATTCATAATCCAGAGCCACTTTGGAAGCCCTTGAATCGGCACTTTCAAGGCAACCACTAGCATGAGGGATGTCGCTTGATACGACTTCAGTATTTTAAGGTGCCCTCGTATCGTCGCATGAGACATCAACCTCGAAAGGATTCCCAGAGAACGTCGAAAAAATTCGCATCGTTTGCTTGCATTAACGCCGTGTTGCGATTTAAAGCGGCCTTCCTTCTTGCTTGAATGATAGGCAGAGTTTCGTTCCGATCCTTATTTCATAAAAGATTGAACAAACACGAACATGGTTACGAAGTCCCGAAATTTAAAGCAATTAGAAAATATGACGCGCGTCAAATGATGACTTGCGCTGACGACATTTAATTTTTTGGCCAACCATGGAAAACCGCGAAGATGTAGTTTTAAATGAACATTTTCAAAGCTACGTTATTTCATAAAAAATAGTCACCCCGAGATGAATGGAAAATATCAAGAGACTGATCGTCAGAGCAAAGAAAAAGGCGTACAACATAAAATAACCTTTTTACAGTATATGGTTCAGTAATCATCAATCCATTTCAAGTATAGAATCTGTCAGTCGTCTGTGCAATTCTAAACAAGTATCCACAGTAGCTTAATTTTAGAATCTGTTTACCTTACGCAAGAGTACGCGACAACATTTTGGTCCAATCAGAAACCTTTTCTGACCATATTATCGCCACAAGCTTCTCGTCGCTGGCCAAGACACGTCAGCAAATCAAAAATAGCATTGTATATTCGACAAATGTCACCAGATCATGACATACTGCGAAAAATAGGCATTTCACCCAAGACCCTATGTGCACGCCTCTTTGGCGCTCCCACTTGTCGAATTACGACATGAAAAATTCACAACGAAAATATTCTGGAAACTCAAAGCCAGCCATTCCTTGATTACAGATTTATCGATGACTACAAAAACTCCAATACTCATTGCTAACAAGCCGTACACCCGCTGTGCAATGGATGCCACCTGCTACTGGACGTCGCCCCCTTACATTGAGCGACATTCGTCAGACAAAAGCCTAACGCAATACGACATAACCTGGGCGAGACTCTTGATGGAACTTTGGTATATTAATGTCAATACTCTGGCATACCGTACAGTCATGATTTCCAAACATGTGTGCAGCAGCACTTATTGACTCCCTCAGTCCCGTCCCGCCCAAGGTTATGATAGATCTAGAATGATGTGTGGGAATGTTGGGTATTTAAAAAAATGAGTTAGTAAGCTCTTTGATTGATTCAAATTTTCGTCAAGATATTTTTATCTTTGTTATTTGAGTTTGCAATAGCCATTGATCGCTTGACATGACTTGGATTATATGACATTGAAAAAATTTGAATTAGTATACGTTCATTACATCATAGCAAAGGAAAAGAAATTGGACTTGCCTTTGAACCAAATGGTATACCGGAAAAAAGAAAGATGGTACGGACCGCCAGGTAAGCTTCTTCATCGATGCGGACAATAGAATTGCTTCCAGGGACAGTTAAGCAATGGATCGGTGGTGTCAGCTTGAGCAGGTAAAAAATATTGACGTGGCCAGAAGTGACGGTAATTTCGAGTTGGATTCCAGATATCGAGAGTCCCCCGAATGAAAAGAAAGAAAAACAAATAAAGTACATGATGATAAAAAAAAACAATGGTCGCGTCAGTAAAAACCTCATAAAACCCTGTGGGAAAAAAAGAGGAAAAGACTGCAAAAAGAATATGTACATGAAATATAAAATACAAAACACAAACTATAAACTAAAAATACAATAATCGGGAAGACAGCTCGAATACCATATGATGAGAAGCAATCCAAAGGAGAGGAACATGAAGAGGACACGTAAGCGTTTTTCTGATTAAAAAGAGAGCCACACCACCAACGATGGCCTTTGACGTCATCCGGTTTCGCCAGATGGATGGATGGATGGTGAGAGAAAGTCAACTTGTAGTATCCAGAACTTGTCAGGCGAAAAGAAAACGAAGAAACCCGGAAGCTAAAAGAAGGATGGAAAAAAAAGAGAGGCAAGTCTGTTTTGCCGGAGCAAAATCGATGGTAGACCACTCGACGCTTACCTTTTTGAGGATGGTAGTCGATTTAAATACACGGGATAAGAATGGTCTGGATGATGGATGCGGATGGAATCTTGATACAATGATAGTGAGGGTTTATCAAGCAAACAGAAAGAGAGAGAAAAAATCAAAAGAAGAAAGAAGACAAAAATATATGATTCTCCATGGATGAAACAATAGTCACCCCACTGATGCATGAATTCATAGATCGAAGCACGTCTGCTTATGTATTATTCGATTCATTGAAAATTGAAAGAGAATGAAAGGACATATATAGTATAACTGACAAAAAAAACAACAGATTGAATGATGCTACAGAAGAACGCCAGTCGTATCATCAACCACTTTTCTTCAAAAAGAGCTCTACTCACATTTTTATTCGAAAAACGACGATACTCTGTTTGACCACAACTGGTGCAAACGGCATCTTGCTGCTGATTGTTTCGCCTATTATCGTGAAAGTGGGCAGCGAGGCATGGTTGAAAGATGAAAAAAAGGTTTAACAGGTCTTGATAACTTAGTGTAGATCATGTGATTTACAAAATCGCTAATTTCCCAAAAATTTTAATTATGTAGACTAGTAGCGCCTGTTGATCTTAAAGATCACAAAGTTATGCTCTTTCGGTCTGTAATTTGTTGTTAATCTGAGGCTAGTGGGAATAGTAGCTGATTAAAGATGCGTTTGGAATGGGATGCTCCATTTGCAATATTCAGAACTCCGCACTCGAATTTGTGTATCCAAAGGTCTCGCTTGATGGTACTCTAATCTTTTGTCAATAAGCGTTAGCGCGCATAACTCCCAAACATTTTAATAAGGTTGAGATATTTTTTACCCTCATTATTACTACTAGTTTCATTATGAAATTGAGCCTTTTGGTAATAAGAAAGATTCCAGACCCGTGGCGACATTGGTTACCCTCCGGCAATGAAAATAAAAATTAGCCCAGCAGTGAGCTGAACACGATAGATCTATCGAAGTGTAGTGCGTAGATAGATGGGCAACTGCAGATGTACAAGTTGTAGTCGTGTACACGACAATACGTTTTGATAGTCAGACTTTTGACAGATTTCCCCTTTCCTGTTGATGCTGGTTTGTTTCAATCTGTTATGTGATTGGTTGAAAATAAATGCGTTTTTTTTTTTTTTTTTCAGATCCGCCTTGGCTGTCAAACGCTGGGGCTGGCCTCCAAAATTCTTCTTTTTTTTTTTTTTGCACGTCTCCTACTTGTTTTCTGTTCAGGCATGCAGACTCTCGCCAAGATTTTCGTCATCTCCGGCCCTTCAGGCACCGGCAAATCTACGCTTTTGAAGCGACTGTTTGCCGATTACCCTGAAAACTTTGGCTTCACCGTTTCTCGTAAGTGTTCTACTTCCCTTCGTTATCAGCATCAGGTTGAAGGATTATCGTTTTAACGTTATCTCATTCTTTGACGATGGGCAGACACTACTCGCTCCATGCGTCCCGGTGAAGTTAATGGCAAGGATTATTATTTCGTGGAAAAGGATGTCATGATTAAAGAAGTGGCTGAGGGCAAGTTTGTCGAAAGTGCCACTTTTGCTGGCAATATGTATGGTAATTATGACAGTAGCATAAAAAAAAAGAGACAATAGGTAAACTGATTTTATCTCTGTCTATAATAAGGTACTTCGATCATGGCTATTGAGCATGTGCTGGAAACTGGAAAGACGGTGATTCTCGATATTGATATGCAAGGTGTCAAGGCTATGAAGCAAACCGCATTCAAACCTCGCTACATCTTCATCAAGCCTCCGTCCTTGGAAGTCTTGGAACAACGTTTGCGCGGTCGTGGTACCGAAACTGAGGAAAAGGTTCAAGCGCGTCTCAGCGCTTGCAAACAGGAACTCGAATATGCCGCGACTCCTGGCGCTTATGATCACATCATCGTTAATGATTCACTGGAAGAAGCTTACAAGAAGCTGAAGGAGGCCATCTTTGTGCAACCCTAAGTCAACTGTCTCTCTTTATTCTATCCTCTCTTCTGTTTTGATAATAGTTAATTAGACTTTGCAATAAATCATGTACCTAGATCATCCGCGGGCTACTTTAAAGTAGTCGATCGGCGTCCTATATAGAATCGGCAAAGGAACCAAAGATGCAGTATGGAGAGCACTTTTGGTAACACAAAAGATAAGGGCAATAAATATTGATAAAATGCTTTTTACGCACGATGTGAGTAATTGTCTAGGAAACGCGTGGAATCGAAGACATAACAGAGGCACTAGAGAACTTTAATGCGTTTGGGGAAGAATCACTGTTTCGTTTAAAGTAGCGCTTCTTCGCCCCCCAAAAATTAGTATACACCAAATCTATTCAGCGAGTAAAGACGCTTGCGAGTAAAGAAACAGTGGACTTTCTCAAAGTAATATAGCCAAATGGCGAGGATAATCTGCAATACAACATAATAGCTTAAGAAACCAACCAAAAATGATAACGCACTGGTTTCTCTGACGATCGTTGCAATGGGCCCGATCTAGGTGTTCACGTGACTTTTTGAGAATTTCTTTCTGCAGGGCGGGGGGCCAAGAAATTTCAGATGCAAGCACGATTTTTTTCAAAGAGTGCCTTTGCAGGGATTGCCCACTGGACAAGCAAAAAGAAAAAAACACAAAATGCCCAAAGGTGAGCGGCTGTTCTCTCTCTTTTGATTGAACAGTAATTCCTAATGGATATTAGTGGTGAGACACTCAGTAACTCCCAAACGTAAAGGACGACCGAAAAAGAAAACTCGAGCTGGCAGCCGCGACGTCGAAAACGTAGAACTGGACGATGTAGAATACTTTGAGGAAGACAGTGACCGTTCGTTTGATGAAGACGATCCATATACGAACGATGACGATGCTTTTACCGGTCGTAAAAGAGGCCGCCCAAAGGGTCACTCCCATAAAGACGACAAAGTCAAAAAGATGCCACTCATGTCAGAAGTGGAAAGCGATCATGACGAATATGGAGACCAGAAAATCGATCATTGTGGCAATCTGTTGGAGGGTAAAAAACACTGTAGTATGAATGTACAGCTTTTGGTCCTTTTGCTAACAGTGCGTACCGCGTAGGACGACAATACCGTGTTCCGACCTTTACGTTGCCGGACCGAGATGGCATGCGATTCATGTTTTCCAAAGACCCTGCCGCATTATTGGGTTTTCGTGACAGTTTCGTGTTTCTAAAAAAGAATCCCAAGTTGGTCAAGGTGTATGTAACCGACAGTGACAAAGGATTCCTGGTGGAGAATGGATTATTACGATCTACGTTTCGTACCCGTGAAGTATCGGTGGTGACAGCTCGTTCCGTCTTTAAACAGTTTGGTCATCGTGTTGTGAAAAAAGGACGACGTGGTCGCGATGATTACTATTACACGGGTGAAGTAACAGAAGATGACGCGCTCGATGCGCAAGATCCATCCGAAGACGAGTCCAAGGAACAACACGAGAAGACGACGTGGTCGCCTTTTATCATTAGCGGAAGAAACAATATCACCAGTCGACGGACGACAAGACTCGCGGATCCGGTCACTGATATGAATTTCATGTACCACGTCGCGCTGAATCTACGCGATTTTAATGCGCATCTCAATGATTACCGGCGGGACAATTCAACCTTTTATGATATCCACACCAACGTTTATCAAATACCCGCCTCCAAACAGCCACTTAAAACTCTCTATGTCCCGGACGATAAAAAGAAAAAGCCACCCGTTTCCAAAGCAGAAGACAAACCATCCGCCTCTCTAGAGACAGCTCAACAAGCCACGACAGCCGTCTCGGCTCCAAATGATCAAGACACCGTTAATCATCCATCGGACAAAGGAATCGCCGCGTCCAACTCGATGTATGTGAAGGAAAAGCCGCCGGATTTTTCCTCGGGGATCCGCATGCAAATCTAACTGTCATTGATGATAGACCGCCCAAGCCAATGACTGCTACAACGGATGCTACGGTTGCAACCACAGGGTTTGTTCCTGGTAATGCACCTGCTGGATCCACCACTGCTGGCATGGCGATGCCCCCCACCAACGATGTAAGGAAAATGATGGCGGACAACCCAGCAGCAGCACAACAAATGTACTATCAAATGGCCATGGGCGGCGGACGCCCGACAGGATACATGCCTTCACCAATGGCGCAGCAGTTTCCACAAAACCAAGCCGGTTCCAAATCATATCCATACATACCACCTCAACAATAAAAAACAAAACAAAAAAGCTCAATTTCATAACGATACGAGATCATGTCCCTGCGCGCAAATTGAGTTATCAAAAAACGGAGTTGGAACCTTTTTGGATTGGCACCGTTCACGTGTATTGCTTTGTGTACCCACACTCAACTCATCAAGATGCGAGTTTTCGAAGCAGCATTCTAAAAAAGTGGGGTGATGTGTCATAGGTGTATGTTTATGTGAGTGAATTAAAAAAAAAAAGAGAAGATGGTTTCAGGCTGCAGCTGTCAATAAGCGAAAGGAGAAAAATAGAGTTTGTGAATTTGATGGAATCCAGATAAGGCAGTCGCTGATAGTTGTACGATTGACCAATGGATAGAAAGCAATTATTGGTTTTTATTTTTTATTTTTTCAATTCCGGTTCATTCACGCTATAGTTTTTCTGAGTGAGTGGAAAAAAAAAAGCTTGGAGTCAGTTGTTTTAGATCATGACGGAACCATCGGTACGGCACAAGGCTTCTCACCCGGCCATGTCAGTACGGTCATCGTCAGACACACGACTTGGATCCAATGGTTGGCTGAATCACAGTCATCGCAACGACAGTTCCACGAGTACGCTTACGATGAGTCAAACATACAGCGAAGACAGGCAGGTGTCTTTTAGCTAGTAACAAAGAAAGTGGCAGTTTGAACGCTAGGACTAAATAGACACAGTGGCCCTGAACGTCCCGAATCCCCTACGCTTCCGCCAGATACCCATCCCGGAGACGCTATTGGTCACTCGGTGTCGACCCCTACCTCGCCCCTTCGAGGATCTTATCACAGTAACATTATCAATGAAGTTCAATCTTCAGTGTCTTCGGGTAAAGATTCATTCTATCGTACCTCGACTCAATTTTTTCCGTTTGTAATTAACAAGAATGTAGCCTCCTTTGCCAGCGGACAACGATCGATGAATTATGATCGAAGCCCTCGTACGAACGCGCCAATGCCGTCCCCGTCCACGTCCCGGTTTCAAGGGTCATCGAGCTTCCGCTCCCAGCCGTCGGGCCACAGTTCGACCGGGAGATCGAAGCGGTCACCGGCCATGACCGATCAAATGGCAGCAGCCATCGAACTCGGTACTTCCAATATCAACATTGCTCCTGCCCCAGCTGCCGGCATGTACTGGTCTCGCGCAGTGACCTACGGACGTACCCCTTCGCGACCCATGCGAGCTCACACGGCAAATCTCGTTGGCGAAATGCTCTACGTGTTCGGTGGGTGTGACGTGAAAACCTGCTTTAATACTTTATATATTCTCGATATGGGTAAAAATCTTCGAAAAAAAAAATGCTGGCAGATGGATAAAAGCAGGACACTAAAGTGCCGAGATTCCTCAACAGATACTTTGACGTGGTCCAAACCACGTACCTCTGGTGAGATCCCTCCTCCTTGTCGTGCCCATTCTTGTACCGTCGTCCAACGGGATTTGGGATCCGGTCGAAGATCTTACTCATTGTACGTTTTTGGAGGTGGCGATGGTCCTAATTATTTCAATGATTTGTATATCCTCAACACAGGTAAAAAAAAAAAAAAATGAACCAGCTTACACAAAATTTATAGTTTTTAATACTCATCAATGCATGGTTAGAAACGCTGACATGGAGCAAGCCTCCTGTGGAAGGTTTGCCACCATCACCTCGTCGAGCCCACACAACCTGTCTGTGGAACGATAAAATCATTGTAGTGGGCGGAGGGGATGGTGCGCGCGCATTGGCGGATGTCCATATGCTCGATCTCTCGGATCCGAAAAAGCTGCGTTGGAGCGAACTCCATCCCTCAGGCACACCACCGATTGCACGAGGTTATCACACCAGTAACTTGGTCAAGAATAAACTCGTGGTGTACGGTGGCAGTGACGGTCATGAATGCTTTAGCGATGTCCATATTCTTGATTTGGGTAAAGTAGTATTAATCCTTTACAAAAGCGTTTCGCTCACTCCAAAACTGTGGCCTTTTGATTAGCGACGGAGCGTTGGACGCAAGTTGATCTTGATCGGGTCGTCCCTCGTTTGGCCCACACCGCTACCCAAGTAGGATCATATGTATTTGCCATTGGCGGGCACGATGGAAGTCGATATTCCAACGATGTATTATTACTTAACCTCGGTAAGTCGGGATTAATCAATAGCGTACCATCTATTCGGATAACTGACTGCGCTCCACCAGTGACCATGAGTTGGGAATCACGTAAAGTATACGGTAATGCTCCTAATCCTCGAGGCTACCATACCACGGTACTGCATGATTCTCGCCTGTATGTTCTGGGAGGATACGACGGCAAAAATATCTTTGATGACTTGTATATCCTCGAGCTAAGCGCATGCGCCTATCTCCCACAGATCACCAACTTTGACATAGACGTATAAATTTTATATAACTCTTTTTTGATTTCTTTTGTTCTTTCTCTTTCGTTTGCTAATACAACTGTTATATCCCTTTTTTCATCCATTTGGCTGTTTAAATGTTTGTACTCCATATTCGATGACATGTGGAGTAGAATTTACTGACATGGCTTTTTCAGACGGGGCCAAAAAGAAAAAAAGAAGGCGAAAGTGTGCAAGAAGACATTGTGTATTTGTTTTTGTATAGGAATTGATGCAGCGAAATGAATCAGTGGGCTTGTTTATGAATACTATTGGCTGAAAAAAACGAAGATATTCAGCGCTAGGACCGATCTGGGTATGACATTAAAGTTATACTTGCTTTAGCTTTTTGTTAGCGTGGTCTCCTTCAGCTGCAGCGGCTCGTGCTTTTGCCGATTTTTCATCAAGAGTGTTTGAATTGATATATTCTTCCTCGTCCTCGTTCTCTTCTTCTTCTTCATCCTCTTCTACAGTAGTTGGATCCAGGGTTTCATTGTTGGTGGCCATGAGCTGCGTAAGGTATTGATTAATGTCGCGTTGGATAGACGTAATGGCTCCGGTCAAAGGGTCCACCGGTGATCCCGTGGTCGCAGCAATGGATGATTCGAATGTCTTTGTATCGCCTTGCGGTGAGGTATACGTCGCTTTGATAAGTGTCATTGTTGGGCAAAAAACAGCTGGTGAACGCAAAAGCTGCTGCCAAGCTCCCACATTCGCTCTATGGAAAGATTTGACAGTCACTGCCGTCGCTCACTAACTGGCTGCCCTTCAACATGGCAGTGCATACAGTAGTCGTTCTCCGAAGCCGAACTCTTTTATCAAATGTAATTTCCCATAAAGTACCAAACCATCACAGTGTCCTTTGACAAGGCACTTTATTACTGTTGCGTGCGATACCAAAGACAAGACAGAAAAAAGAGGTTCACATAGTGAGGGAGTGAGGGAGTGAGCGAAACATGGTTTGTGTCATGATTGACTTTGAGGAATTTCTATTTTGGGGGACCGGCGTACGAAAAAAAAATAGAAACATTAAAGTAGCCAGCTTTTTCGAACTTGTTGGTTTTTTTCCCCTTCTTCTCCACACTTCATCTCGTCCTTTTCTGGTGAGTCATCTCGCTTGGTCGCGTGCACCAAATACTTCTTTATACTTAACGAGTTATGTTAGTCACCATGTCACGCTTTGTTCGCTCTTCCAAATATCGTCACGTTTACGGTACTTGTGCCAAGCGAGACTTTTGCTACGATAATTTGCGTGTCAGCGCCAACGCTTGGGATACCAATTTGGTCAAAGTGAATCCGGTGAGTGTTTCTTGGTAACAATGAAAAGAGCGAAAAATAAGAGACGAATAAACTCATGCAAAAAATTGGATGGTGGTAGCTGTTTTTGTCAGTGAATTGGCAAGCTTCGGGTGGTGGTGCTTTCGCAGTAGTACCCCTATCCAATGTCGGTAAGTGACTTGATGTTGGTGGATCGGCTTTTTCTCCTGAACTGGGTAAAAAGGTAAACTTCCGGAAAACTATCCTCTGTACAGAGGTCATACCGCGCCGGTGCTCGATACCGATTTCAATCCTTTCAACGATTACGTGGTGGCTTCCGGTTCTGAGGATACCAAGATCATGATCTGGACGATCCCGGAAACGTACGATGAAGATCTTGAATTTGTTGCACCCGTGTCCAAGTTGTCAGGTCATGGAAGGTAAAAACACACGAGCCATCAGGCATGTCCCGTTGCCTGTACTCCTTTTTTTTTTGTTCTTCATTTATTACCATTTTTAGCTTTTTACTAACATGGAAGTGTTTTCTTGGGGTATTTTTTTTTTTTTTTTTTTTTTTTTTTTACTTGGGTTAATGCAGAAAAGTCGGGCAAGTTCTCTTTCACCCTGTGGCAGAAAATGTGCTTGCCTCATCCAGTGCGGATTTGACCATTAAGCTTTGGGATATCGAAAAGGGCCAAGAAAAGCAGGAAATTACAGGTCATACCGAGATTATTCAATCCTTGGCATGGAACTACAATGGTTCTTTATTGGCTACGACTTGTCGCGACAAGCGTCTACGCATTTTCGATGTCCGAAGCAACAAGATCGTACAAGAAGGTCCAGGTCATCAAGGTATCAAGGGCTCACGTGTCGTCTGGCTTGGCGATACCGATCGTCTGGCCACCACCGGTTTCTCCAAAATGAGCGATCGTCAACTGTACCTCTGGGATGCCAACGATCTTGCCAAACCTTTGAAAACTGAATTCATCGACACCTCTTCCGGTATATTGATGCCGTTCTACGATGCCGATACCAAGATGCTTTACATTTCTGGCAAGGGGTAAGTGGTGAAAAAGAAATTTTTCAATGATCTCTGAAGACGTATATCTTATACCCTATCGGTAGTGACGGCAACATCCGTTACTACGAGTATGAAAACGACGCCTTCTTTTTCTTGTCGGAGTATAAATCGGGCGAGAGTCAGCGTGGTAAGTAGATGAACGGCGGGCATTTTTGTTGGATGGGCATAGTTTGACGGTCTTTCTTTCCACAAAAAGGTATGGGTTTCTTGCCCAAGCGTTCGGTGAATGTGAGCGAATGCGAAGTGGCTCGCGCTTACAAGGTTGGCAATACATTGATCGAACCCATCTCCTTTACCGTACCTCGAAGGGTAAGCGCGTCAAACACACAAAAAAAAAAAACCAAGTTTTTAACGTCGATTTTAACCTGTGATGAAATATCATGATAGTCCGATGCTTTCCAATCCGATATTTATCCTCCAGCCATTGGCGATGAGCCTGCTCTTACTGCTGACGAGTGGTTTGAGGGTAAGGATGCCAATCCCAAGACCATTGATCTCGAGGCAGGCTTTACGGTGAAGGAGAAGAAAGAATTTGCTCCTTCAGCTCCTGTGGAAGAATCCAAGACCCCGGAAACGGCTTCTCCTAAGAATGAAAAGGATGTAAGTTTACCTTTATCTTGTCCGTCAAGGTGGCTGTTGTTGAGTGCTCGATGGTAACCTATTCATCCCATCTGTTTTTAGTATCAAAATGCGTACCATGAACTTCGAAAAGAGAATGAGGATTTGAAGGGCACTCTGTCGCAGAGAGATGTAAAGATCCGAGTGCTTGAACTTGAGATTGAAAAGTTGCAACAGCAAATTGCTGAAGCCAAGCTGACAAAGGAGGATCCCAAACCCAACGGATCAGCAGAAGAAGCTACCAAGGCGGAATCTGAAGAAAAAGAAAGCAACGATGACGAATGAACGAAAGCATAGCGCCAAGGTTGGAAAACCGATAACAACGAGATTTTTTGGTCCTGCAGGTAGTTAGCAAGGGAGTTTTGAAATCTTCCCTTAGATCGACTATTATTGGTTTTGTCGTATTTATGTGTATTTGTCTTTTTTTTTTATTTTCTTTTTTCCCTATTTTTTTTTTTTTTTGGTGGCAATAAATCAGATAAAAAAAGATACATGGCGAATGAGTCGATGAGTGCATGCTTGAAATTTGCAAAACGAAAAAAGCTTGAGCAAAAATGATGGAAGCCAGTCCAGCAGACTGATGTTCTATGTATCTCTACAGCACACGAAAGCGAGTGAGCTGTGAACCAATCTTAAACCAGTAGATGGAATTAGTAATCTAGAATAATTTGAATGTGAGTGATGAACCGGGAAGCCGTCCGTTTTTCAATGAGAAGCTTACCCGCGGCCCAGCCGTTTTCTTTCAAAAAGTCTTCGATGGCTTCCCTTAGTGACAGATTAGGAATAAGTTGGTCTTCTTTGCAAGGTCTTCGCGTAATGGGATCAAAATGACCGTTTCTTGCAAAATGATCCAGTAAGGATTGTCGTTCATAGGTGATACCGTCTGTAGGGAAGTTCGGGATTTAGAAATCGGAACATGGTATTCACTACGCGCAACCAAGATTTTTTTTTTTTTTTTTTACCTGGTGTGAACACCGGATCATGCATGATATTAAATGAAATTTTGTCAAGGTATGCATCGGGAATCTCTCTTCGCTGTGGCCACCTCATTAGTACAGTTCTGCATGCCTACACTAAAATACCTATCACATACCATCAGGTTCTCTTTGGAGTGTTCAAACACGGTTTGGATTTTGGAAAGACGTTCATCCTATTCAAAAAAGATGGTCCGCGGTCAGACGAGGAGAGGCGCAAACATATTAGACGTTGGTGGCAGCAGCATACCCGATAGTACTTTAGTTCGTCTTTCTTTTCCTCATCATCCTCGGCTACATTTTTGAGTTCTCGATCGTGTTCCGCTATCACCAAGCCTTTCACATATCTCAACAATTCCGACTCTTTTTCTAAGCGGACAGCTTCGGCATCGTCCCATTTCTAACCCGGGTTGAGAGATGAAGTTAAAAAAAAATGAGGTGGTTGGCTTATCTTACCTTTTTGCGAGCCAATAACAGCGCTTGTAAGATGTCATTGATGTACTTTACTTTTTGCTCCCTTGCCTTTTCGTAAGCTTCAACAAAAACCCTCCAATTTTTAGACCATGTGCGCGTATTGAATGTCCACTTTAGCTTACCGATGTTTAATTTATTGAGGGCTTAAGAGGGATTAGTCAATATACACAGGAACGTTTTATACTTTTTGAACAAACCTACCTTCGGTATATTGCTTTTTCTCCGTCAGTGCCTGACCGAGCTACCATTGATTCCATATATAAAAAAAGATGAACAAAGGCAACCATGTCATGATACCAAAAAAATGTCGGCCTACCAAATAATAAGCTTTCACTGCAGATCGAATAAAAAAAAATCAGAGTCCCTTTGAAGACTGCAACAATACCGAGTTTGGTATGGAATTACCTGTAGAGTCATCCAAACTAATGGCTTTACGGGCATCGCTAATGACATTATCCAATTGGCCCAACTAAACGAAAAAAGTTGAGTTCAAGAAGCGCTTGGAAAACGAAGGACAAGATAAGTCATAGCTTACCTTGGAGTAACAAAGTGCACGGTTGGTGTAGTAGACACGTTCTTCGGAATCTTTGATCTTTTTTTTTAGGCCAAATATTTTAGCAAGACTCGATACTGGTTCAGTGGGCAATGCTTACAATGGCGGTAGAATACTCTTTAATAGCGTCCTCGTAACGATGTTCAGCAAATAGCTTATTTCCTATTTATTTGGTGACCGAGTTCAAAAGGCTATTCATATACCCTAATGTACGTGTCAAAAAAGGACAATTTTACCTAACAATTTATGCTGTTCGGCTTCAGGTTTAGGCATTTTGGAGTTGTATGATAAAGTAAGGTCACTGTCCTGCTGCCCTTTTTTTTCTTTTTTTTTTTGACTGTGACGCCGTGTCCGCCCTCCCTGCCCAATAAGCAAGCCGTATCACCGAGAAGCATCATATTATTCATCATCATTGATTTTTTTTTTCCATTGTATTCCAAGAACAATCTTGACATGGTCTTTCTTTCTTACATAGCTCTTTGTTTTCATCACCATCGAGTCATTATCCTTGTGGTCTATTCAAGACTGTATACAAGCAACCATCCAGCGGTGTACTTGGAATATTTAGACAATGGGTCAAATGACTCACTTTATATTTACAGCTTATCAAGGTCACCTATTATGGTTAGCTGCGTTTTTTTATCGGCTTGACCGCAAAGGATAAGGCTGCCATTTTTTTTACTTCATTCTTTGCAGTGATAATAATGCGATGGTTACGATCGTCATTGGCTATGGTTTATTTATTTTCGACCCAAGATGGTTTCAAAATAGCTCTCCATTGGGGGCACACAAGTGACAAGAAACAAGAGTTTCCAACGGCTTCCAGCTCTCGAACACTCGCATGTTCATGAGCAAAAAAGAGAGAAAAAGGTTATCAGAAGTGTGGGATGGTTGGAAGGAAATTTCTGCAGAGAACAAAAACGGAATACGGTAAAAAATTGGATAAAAAAAAGACTTCTACCAGTTTCCATATTTGGAAGGTCCATGTTCAAATTGAGAAATGGAGTGATGCCATGATGAGACAACCCTCCCCCCCTTCTTTCTGTGAGCATATAAAATAGAACTAAACCCCATATTTTTTTTCTGTATATTTTTTTTCACCCACAGCTCATCCATCTTTCACCCAACTTTAAACGGTGGTTGTTTCATATCATCTGTTTTTTCTTTCTTTCTGCCCAACTTTATCCGTTTGAAGGGGATCAGTTTTCGTCAATGTCTTTTACCATATTTCCACGTCATCGTCGATACGGTCCTTCCACTTGGTCCAACAGTAGCAGTGGCACGTCATCCCCGTCCGATGGCGAAGATCTTTCCCCCATCCATGACGAAGATCTGCCCATCAATATCACACCGTCCGATACACCCGTCGAAAGTGCGTCTTCTCCCGTCACCGACGAAAGCGACGGTGTTCCCGCCGTTCATCATTCGCCGCAGAAAAAACCGTCCGTGTCACCTCACGTCAAGGAAGGCGTGGCCAAGACATTGCAGAAAGAAATTGAACTGCTTCCCAAGCGATTGCTGAAATCGTCTTTGAGATGCACGCAATCCGCGCCCTCCACCCCGACCCATGCAAAATCGGTTAAATTTGATCCCGTGGCTTTGGAGCGCATTTTATTTTTTCAGAAGACGCAGATGCCTTCGGAGCTAAAGTCGGATGCCTCGGCTCCCATGTTTCGTTTGCAATATGTGAACTGGCCACCTCGCGAAACCACCGATTACTATGCGAAGAACGTCGTGGTGGACAAGAATTTCAAGGTTCAAAATGACAATGCCATCAAAGGCACCGTTCACGTGCGAAATTTGGCCTACGAAAAACATGTCGCGGTTCGGTACACGCTCGATTGTTGGCAGAGTTATCACGACACGAAAGCCGACTACGAAGGTCCTGCGGGCGGTACTTTCAAAGGATTCGACACGTTTGTGTTCAAGCTGGACCTTGATACATCCAAGCTGGCCGATCGAGGCCACGTAAGAGGCACCGTTGATTTCGCGGTGCGATACACGATCCACGGCCAAGATCATTGGGAAAACAATGACGGAGGCGATTACGAAATTAAAATTCTCGCCAATGCTGTCAACCAATCTGACGGCTGGGAAAAAGCATCGAAAAAGGAAATATTCAGTGAAGAATTGCCAGACACAGAACCCGTACGTAAACAGCCCCTTCTCGCAAACCGCTATGATTTCGGGCAATCATTATCCAAAGCCAAGAGAACGACCTCCCCTTCCTTTTATTACCAGCGTGCGATACCATCCTCCACAGCGGCCACCGACATCCCCTCCTCCCCGCGAACAACACCTTCCACCACCACAACAGTATCACAGACCGAAACACCCAACGCAGCATCCACCGTTCCAGCCACCTCTACATCCACATCATTTCCATCTTCATTTCCGTCGTCATCTTCTGCTCCTGCTCCTGCTCCTGCTCCTGCTACAAAAGCCGAGGTGGTCAATGCGATTGTCAATCGTTCGATACCGATTTCTTCCCCTTCTGCATTCACGTCTGCGCCTGCCAGCCCCACGTTCTCGTCCTTTGGATTATCCAGTTCCCCTCTCGATGTCAACTCACCTTCCTACATGGACCTTGTCAACAAGTACTGTTTCTTTGGAGCCGGTCACACAGGGTCGCCCATGCCTATCAATGGTTAAGAATGCCTTCCAATTCAATCTCCAAAGGCCGCATTACAATTGTAGATAGATAAAACTAGCCAAACAAAACAAAGAAATTAACTTGATTTGTAAACCTTGATCTCTCTTTTTTATATTTCTCTTTGCATTAAAAAACCTTCAGTGACTTTTTAAAAGCCATGCTCTGAAGTGTAAAGCTTTGATTGAAAATCTTCTTCCTCTTTCCAGGTTGGTGCTACAACGAATACACATTTTAGGCCCAATTTGATGCGATCAACATCAATGCCAAGTTCAATGATGCGGTGTTTTCAGGCACCGCCGGATTTCACGGTGCCTTCCGTGTTAGAAATAAAGCAGAATTAATAACAAAAGAAAAAAGGAATAAAGCAGTTTCCCACACATAATGACATGCATCACCACTAAATCAATGCAAAGTGTTGCATTGAAATGGCAAGCCGGATCTTTCGGTGGTCGGCCACTGAAAAAAAAATGTTGTGACTCATGAAAGTCACTCATAATGAGTACGATTCCCCGATCTCTAAATAGGGAAATTAAAAAAATTAGAGGTGGCAACCCTTATTTGTTTCTGTTTTTTTTTTTATCGTATCTCGAGTTCTTTTATTTTATTTTTTTGCATCATGACCGGCCTTTATATGTTAGATTATGGTGCCGGCAATGTTCGCAGTTTGGTCAATGCCGTCAACCGCTTGGGCTATGACATTCAGTTTGTCAAGGAACCCGCCGACATTCTTAAAGCTGAAGTACGTTGTATTAGCCAGATCAGATCGACTGAAACAGGAATGCTCTGATCTGATCCTTTTTTACTTAATCGTTGTCACATAATAGAAACTGATCTTTCCCGGTGTGGGTGCCTTTGGTCATGCCATGGAAGCATTGAACATCAAGGGGTATGCTGAGCCACTCAAGCAATACATTGCTTCAGGCCGTCCTTTTATGGGCATTTGTGTTGGCATGCAAACCTTGTTTGAAGGTTCCGACGAAAGTCCAATTCCCGGTCTCGGTGTGATTCCCGGCATCACCAAACGATTCAATCAGGACATCAAAGCCGTTCCTCACATGGGTTGGAATGCTGCCCAACTCGCCAAATACCAGATGGAAGAGGACGGTCAAAGCGTTTACTACAACATCGATGATGATTCCGTCTACTATTTCGTTCATTCTTTTGCCGCCCCTTACGACGAAAAGAACAAAGAATGGGTCTTGTCAACCACCCAGTACGGCGATGAAATTTTCATTAGTTCCGTGCAAAAGGGCAACGTCTTTGCTACGCAGTTCCACCCCGAAAAGAGTGGTTACGCCGGCTTGCGTGTGCTCAAATCCTTCTTGGATGGCACCGGCATTGTCGATGACAGCAAGATCCAATTGAAGAATCCTCGCGAATACTCGCAAGACCGATTCACCAAACGTATCATTGCTTGCTTGGATGTGCGTACCAACGACAATGGTGATTTAGTCGTCACCAAGGGCGACCAGTACGATGTGCGTGAAAAGACGGCCGAGGGCAACGATGTACGCAACCTTGGCAAACCCGTCGACCTTGCACGCCGATACTTTGAAGAGGGAGCGGACGAAGTTACGTTTTTGAACATTACCAGTTTCCGCAACTGTCCTTTAGGTGATTTGCCCATGTTGGAGGTTTTGAAACGTACCTCGGAAACCGTGTTTGTTCCCTTGACGATTGGTGGCGGTATTCGTGATGTGGTGGATCCCGATGGCACCGTTCATCCTGCTTTCGAAGTCGCCGGCGAATACTTCCGATCCGGAGCTGACAAGGTCTCCATCGGCAGTGACGCCGTCTATGCCACCGAAAAATACCTCGCCAACGGTGGCCAAAAGGATGGCACTTCCGCCATTGAAACTATTGCCAAGGCTTACGGTGCACAAGCCGTGGTGATTTCCGTCGATCCTCGTCGTGTGTATGTCAAGGATCCCAAAGATACCACGCATCACACCCTCAAGATCAGCCAACCGGGTCCCAACGGCGAAGAGTACTGCTGGTACCAATGTACCGTCAAAGGCGGTCGCGAAGGACGAGATATCGATGTTCATCAGTTGGTCACTTCATGCCAGGCTTTGGGGGCCGGAGAAATCTTGCTCAACTGTATGGACCGCGACGGCACCAACTCCGGTTATGAACTCGAATTATTAAACTCGGTCAAGAGCGTCGTCAGCATTCCTGTGATTGCTTCCAGCGGTGCAGGCAACGTGGGCCATTTTGAACAAGTCTTTGAAGAAACCAAGGTCGAAGCCGCCTTAGCTGCTGGTATTTTCCATCGACGAGAAGTGCCAATCCAAGATGTCAAAGATCATTTAAACAAGGTTGGAGTAGCCGTTAGACCCATTGATGATAAACTGTAAATTCCATACATTGTCCCCAGTCATTTTTTTTTACTTTTCATCTCACATATTCATCAGATAAAAATATAAAGTATACACCAGCGTATATATTCACATCTTGTTTGAATAAAAAACAATTAATGTTTCCAGCATCGCTGATCTTGCTTGGCGGGGATACAAAACAGGAAAAATAGCGGCAACACCCGCGAAATGGTAATTTTAAAACTCCGTCATTTTGAAATCTCGAAATCAACTTATTCGCGTACAAGAAGAACAAAAAAATGAATTTTTTATATATAAAAAACAAAAAAGATGGAAGGTACTTGTGAACAATTTTTCTATAAAATAAAGAGATCGATAATTTTTAATTTTATGATAGAGAATGATGTCAAATCTTTAAACGTTGATTATGAAAAAGAAAATAATAAAATCAATATTAGTTTTTGTAAAGACGGTCAGAAATTTGAAGATCAATATGTACTTCCAAAACGAAGAAATAAAAGAATAAAAGATCGATCAAATAATATACCTACACCTACAACGACAGACAATGAATATAGTGATAATGAAATAAACAATGTAAATGATAACAATATAAAGAACAATTTAAATATAAAACGATGATACTAAAAATTCTATTGATCCTGGCAATGATAACGGACAAAATAATGAACAAAATGAAAATTTTAAAAGTAAAAGAAACTTAACACAGGCTAATACACCTGATTTAAATAAAAAAAAATATAAAGTTGATATATGTACTGCTACTATGGATAAAGATATAATTGATCACCTTAGAGGTTGGGAAAAGTATGAGAATGATGATGATGATGATGATGATGATGATGATGATAGCAATAATGAATATGAAAAAGATGGATTTTGTTTGAAATTACTATATAATTTATTAGTGTATGAAAAGAAACTTTTTACAGAAAACATCATAGCTAAACTTCAAAAAGTAGAAATTATATTTGATAGAATAAAAGCTATTTTTATTGATTTCGGGTTTTCGTTTGATATAAATTATGATGTACAGTGACAGTTTTTAACATCTCAAATAAATGATCATCATATCTTTTTCTAAAAGCTAATTCTAAAAAGTACAAGGCATACAATTCAGAGTTTTTTCTGATATTAGGTATATATTTCCTTAAATGCATCCAAAATCCTTCGATCGTATTTGTGTGTATTGTAGGGTTTTCTGCATCAACAAAATATTTTGAATGATCGACTGAGTGGTGGTGGTATCCCATCGTTTTTAAGTTGGTATAAGACTTCATTTGTCGGTTATAATAGTTGTTTCTGGGTGAACGTATTGTTGAATTATTAGTAACAGCGTTTTTGCTTGTCGATCAGGAACAGGTATAAGGAAAATTAGATTTGATTTCCTTTGGTGACCACCGAGTATCCATATATGTTTCTTGTATCTTTTATGGCTTGCAGTACTGATCTTTGTTCTTCCCATACAGCATTCATCAATCTCGACAATTTCGTCTTTTCCACCGATTTTGTTTCTAGATATCTGTGTTGTCTAATATCCATAGTCTTAACGTGTTTTTAATCTTCGTATATAATCTTGTAACTGTAACTTCATCGATCCCCATTTGTTTTGATACTTTTGTAGGAGATGGATCTAAGAGAAGATAAAATCAGATTTATGACATAATATGTATAATGGAATGTACAAACCGATTATCCATTGTCGTAAAAGCTCCACAATTTGAATAGGCCTTAAATTTGATTTTTCAAATAATGTCTCAGAATAGATCCCTTTCCTGACATTATCTGTATAACAGAAGTATCTGTGTCGTTCATAATATTTTCCAATGGATAATTGTTTTTACAAATGGGGCACATAAACTGCTTGATAATATAATGATTTTGTAGATAAATAATAGCTTGTTCATCGTTATATAATGTTCTATAGAGTGCCTCATTTGATTTGACATTTTTTGAAAGAAACAGGATGAAAAAGAGTTACCGAAATTGCCTGTTTGTAAAGATGCGGAGTTTAAACTATATTTTTGCGTAACTTACCAATACACGGTTCTTGCCAAAATAGCCACTCTGCCTGTGCCCCCCAGATTGACTTGCGTTTTTTGTCTTTCCTCATGGCAAAGATGGCAAAGGCGGAAAAAGCGACAAAGACTGCGACAAAGACGACAAAGACAAAGACTAAAAATAAAGAAAAAGGCGCTTCGGATGATAAAAGCAATGCACTTGTCCGATTCCCGAAACTGATGCCCAAATCGTCGTTGCAGGTCACCGAATTGGAGCCGCATCAAATTTATCTCATTCACGATTTTTTCACCGGCAAAGAATGCGAACAGCTTATCAGCTATTTTGATATTCATCTGCCTTTGCAGCAAGTGCCTACCATTCCAAAGCCGGGCGAAGCATTTCGAAGTAACGATCGTCAGTCGTTTGTCAATGAAGAGTTGGCACAACAGCTTTGGAAGGCGGGACTTCAACAAGCATGTGAACACCCGGGTATCACGACGGTGTCGTTGCCACGACGTCCGGCCGGGCTCAATTCCAATTTGAGGATATATCGATATCGCCCACAGCAGCGGTTTGAATGTCATTATGATGACAGCGTGCAAGATAAAACGACGGGCTTATGGACGGATTGGACCCTGCTGATCTATCTCAATGGCGATATGAAAGGAGGTGAAACCGTCTTTTACAAATCCGTGACCAAAAAGCGTAAAAGTGATCCCATCATCGTACGACCGGAGCGTGGACTCGCTCTACTGCATCGCCACGGACAGCATTGTTTATTACACGAAGCATTGGAGGTCACTCAGGGAGCTAAATGGGTGCTTCGAAGTGATGTGCTCATTGGCTGAATCGGATCTGCATGCTTATCGATTCTCTTGCAGAAAAGCATGATGTGACATGTAGAATAAAACTATTTGGATCAAAAAAAGTATTTCGCTTGCTGCTGCAGCTCATCACGCTACTATTCCCGTCGCATGACACGTCTGACAGATCGGTTTGAAGCAGGCAGCGAACACTGAACAAGATAGACCGAAATCAAGAATGGTGTCAGGTTTAGAAAAATACCATTTGTTGTACGGGCCGAATTCATGAAATTGGTCAAACGGTAAAAATAAATGATACAGAATGTGTTACCAGCAGGAAAAAATGAGTTGATCAAAAGAAAACAGCGAAGAGTGGGCGAGTTTCTTGCTGAAACACAAAGTGCCACTATGCCAATTGTATCGGAACGTGGCGCTAGTAATTAAAGCAAATATAGAAAAAGGTCGATGTTCCAGGAATAGAAGTGGCGCTTGCTTTGTTTGTAGCCATTGTAGCCTTGCATTTTACCTCGTTTTGTACAAGGTGTAAGCAACTCTACTAATTTGTGGACATTACCGCATCATGACGGTAAAATAAGCTTCCACTGCGGATTGTGCCTGTGTAACAATTGCTGGAAGCATGGATCAGCAAAATGGCACGATAATCAATGGTTGCGGCCTCACGCTCCAAGAAAAAAGTGACTCATCGTGATAAAAGTGACCTTCATGGCTAGATATCATTTTTTTTTCACATCACTAGATACTCTATGGAACTGTATAATAATATGGTGGTTGAAAATTCTCCAAATAGAACGCAAAGGTGGCGTTCCACCCAAGGGGTACAATCGACTTGTATACTGTTTCATAAGTTTGTCACCTCCCAAACAGCATATTGCACCAACTTGGACCCTTTTTTTTGGTAGCTTGAGCCGCACTGACTATTCACGGCGCGCCTGGCGACATGTCTCAATGCCAGTTCAAAAGAATGCCTCTTTTTTTTTTGAAAACAATGAAAAGCCCGCCAAAAAGCGGCTGTGGCGGCAACAGAATAGTACAATCATTAACAATGATGCATACCGAAATCCAGAATTTATACGTGGCAACACTGTTTGCCACAAAAAAAAGTAAAAGGTCTCTCAATACCGTCTTACACCATGAAGCGTTTATCCACTTGGCCCCTGTGCCACTGGAAACCCGACTTTCTTTATCTTCTGTATTTCCATGCATCGCGTGCAACCACATTGTACCCATTCTTTTTGTTGTGCGTTATTTTTCTCGGTTTTACGGTTGGTCTGTTCGCAATGTGCTTTAAATCGATCAATGTGAACGGGTCAGCGATTGGAAGAGTACTGAGCCAATATAAGATGTGTATTCTCATGACGATGATAAAGAAGGCTGTACGTAGAGCGTCTACTGGCTTGAACTGGTGTCTCACTATTATAGAATGGGCGCTGCAATGCTTTTAATATGGATCAAGACTTGCGTACGATAAAATGGATGCTAATGCGGGCCATGGTAGATATCGGCCAATATTTCCAGTCTCTTTCTCCCTCTTTTGGTAAAGAATGAGCACAGCTGCTTGCAGTATTACGATTTATGAGCCAAAATTCAGTTTCTTTTGATATTATTGCAACGTGGCGCATGCTGATAAGGATATCGAAAAGTTTGCTGGGAGGAGACGGCGATTAACGTAAACGACTGTTATTGGATGAAGAACCAAGGTTTGAGCAAGCTTGAGCCCAAGCGCACCCTGACAGAGTTGAAACCACTTGCAGTGAACATTGGAAATACGCTTGCGCGCTTCCGTCCATCTTTTTTTCATCCAACATTCTCACGAATGACGGAGCGTAGATGGGGCAAGGCATAATGACATAATGGTTCACGTTATGGAAGCTAACCGAAATTTTTCAATGGCCAAGTGAGTTCTCTAAAGAACCTGGTTGCAAAAAATGGTGTCCAAGAAGGTTGGTGTTTACCGTGGATAAACCCTCTAACAAAAGCTATGGGCCGCTGAAGATGAGAAAAACCGCATGCGCTACAAGACATGATCTGCAAATCATCATGCTCTTATTTTTTTGTTAGAGGTTGCCTCGTCCGGTTACCATGGTAAAGCGGCCGAGCCTTTTTTTTTTTTCCTTTCAAACTCTATTCGAGAATTGTGTTACTTTTCGACGATTTATGGACAATGTTATGATTGCTTAACCTGTTTTTTTATCGCTCGAGGTATCACCAAACTGTGTCATTTGTAATTGAAAATGCACAAGTAAACTTTAACGTAGCAATAATAGAAAGATTTCATTTGTTACTATGCTGAAACGCAAGGGTATGTAGCCACACGATCATCTGCTCGCATGGTGCAACAATGAACCTAACCGATCTCACTCGCCGCTCCAAAAAAAAAAAAGCGAAAATCTGTTCAAGCTTTTCCAGACTTGGCCGTTACTGGAACAAGTGTAAAAATAAAAATAAAAAAAAAGACTAGCATCGATTATGCGAGGAAAAAAAATGGAATTCCAGATATGACGCGAAGCAGGCGACACTAAGCACGGGTAGGATGGATTGAACATTGGGCAAAAAAAAAAAAGCATCAAGGCCACGGTTGAAACTCCTTGAGTGCAGGTAATTGAACAGCTGACAAAAGTTACAGACAGGGAGAAAGGTATCATCACGAGTATTATCGCGCATAGCTTAGGGGAAACTTTTTTTTTTCTCGTGGAATGGGTTACCCCTCGTCCTTTATCATGAAAAAAAAAAAAAAAAAAGGCTGAAGGGCGCCCGGGTCTGGTCACCGTCGTAGTCAAGGCTACATCATCTGAACCTTTTTTTTGTCACCTCCATCAACAAAAAAAAACATTTATAAATAACCAGGCTTGCATTTCAACCTTCCCATCCGTCTCTTTTTTTTTATTCAATCGAGTTATTTTCCTTTAATTGTTTATTACTCTTTTTTTATTTGGTTGCAAGCATTCATATACCCCGCAAATTCATCCCGATACACGTGCATCAAAATTGCCATGGATTTAGTGACGCAACAATTTATGGACTATTTCAGCGAATACGCATTTCAACTTTCGTGTCCTTCATCCAACGCGGATGGCAACGATAATACGGCTACCGGTCCATCTCGCATGGCCACCAATTTGTCGTCATTTTCCATTATTCAGGAAACACCGAAACGGAATAGCCGAGGTGTCACCATCACAAACAAGTGCAAGTCGCACAAACCTTCGATCCCACCCAAATCGACGGAAATCAAATTCAAAATCGAATCCATCGGGACTCAGCCCGAAGAAGATGATGATCCTGCTCAGTGTCCTGCACGGACAAGACCTTGTTGGCCACGACAAATCATTACATGGTGGAAACCCTCGCATCCCCAGGAAAAGCCACCTTACTCTTACGCCACCTTGATTGCACACGCCATTTTAACCAGTCGAGATGGTCGACTCACCCTCAGCGGCATTTACCGATGGATTTCGGAAAACTACCCGTTTTACACTCTCGGGCTTCGGGGTTGGCAGGTAAAAAAAGAGATACCGACAAACCGGTAGATGGGGTAAAAAAAAAAAAAAAAAAGTTAATTTTTTTCGACTCATGCTTGGAGAATCTAGAATTCGGTTCGTCATAACTTATCGCTCAAGAAATGTTTTACCAAAATCGAACGACGACCTACACAGGCCAATCCCGGCAAAGGTTGCTATTGGACTTTGGTCCCGGGATCCGAGCAGGAGTTCATCGACAATTTAACCAAAGCAGGCGGCCACAGCCGAAAACATCATGACATTGGTCTCACCGCCGACCTTTCCATCAACCATCGACAAGGCTCTTGTTACTATGCCAACGACATCCTTCCTCCTTCCAATCATTCCTTTACATCTTCCTCCTCTTCCTCCTCATTTTATTCGCAAACAAAATTACCTCATACCAACATGCTCATTACACGACCTGAAGATTTTGAAAAGAAAAAACATCGTTCTTCAAGCAACGATCACAAGACCCGCAGCGCTTGCCACTCTACGGAAAAGGCCCCCACTGCCACCGCCGCCAAGGTCCCCCGTGTGAGAGGGTCATCCATGTACACAACATTCCGCATGTCCAATACCACCCTCGAAATGATGGATGCGCGTCAAGATACCAACAAGTCCGAAAGCTACCCGAAGCGACGGCGCATCAAACGAAGAAAGCACCGACGCCACGTGGAACCGGGTTCGTACTGCGAGTCCGATTACGATTCCGGTGTCGATGTAGGCAACGAACACCTTTCAGGCCATTACCAAAAGCGTCACAAGAAAACAGAGCCGGCAGAAAAGGAAATCCATTGCGATGCTGGGACTGATAATGCGGTCGTCAAATCCGCAGCCGAGTTTAGCTGGAAAGATCTCATTGATATCGATCTCGCCGAGATGCCTGACCTCAGCTCCGGTTACGATTTGCCACTGGACCATGTACTCCCCATGCCCGCTACTCATCCGTACCCCGAGTTACCCGACTATTTGGATCCAACCAAGACTGCCCAGCTTTTCGACGAACCGTGTATGTCTGTGTGGCCAATGTCCGGAGACACCTGGCAATGGAATCCGAATCACATGCCTCCTTCCTATCCCACTCTACTGACAGCGTCCTTTGACCCGGAGCAAACCGCGGAAACCAATGGCTTGGAGCATGACACTTGCTCAGGCGACAAGGTCGAAGAATGTCTACGAGAGCTTTTGAATTTCCAGCAACAGCAACAACAACCACTTTCGCAAGACCAGACATCCTCGGCTTCCAAATTCCCAGAACCCATTACGATCAATTTGAATGAAGATGTTATGGCGCGGTATCTGCATTTTGAGGAGGATACAGACGATGAGCCCGGGAATTTTGATGACAGCGGTCAAATCGCCCTGGACAACATGCCCTCGTTGTCATATCAGAATTTCAATCTATTCCCATCCCACAATGACATATTTATATAGTATAAATAAATGTATTTCAACATATTGTACAATAACCTATCATCATCATTTAATATATCTCCATAGCCATGGTATTCGCACTGTGCTGTATTTTCAAAAAGAGCCTTGGTGGTTTTGATCATCATTTACCTTGTTTTGGACAAGTTTCCTTTTCCGACCATGAATGAAAACATTCCATATTTGGCAGGGGCCCCACTTGACATTTTATTCTTTTACCCCACGCGCCGCACTTGATGAAACATTCATCGCATCATGCAATTCTAAGGCTATTGAGCCAGTTTGTAATATATCAGGGCATGGAACAGCCATACGCTTAAAATATTAAAGTGAAAAGTACCTTTTTACACTTTCTGCCCCACTGTCATTTCCCTTTTTGTGTTTGGATTGTTTGATTTGATACTGTCATGCGACAAAATGTCTACTGTTATTGTGATGTGAACGATTTCCATTGCGACCATCTGGGAGGCAAACTGTCAAGATGGGATAATTGCAACTGCCAAAATTTATCATCTGATTCATTTTGACAGTTCAGATGATCAGCCCATAATGACGCTTCCGATCCAAGCCGAAAAGTACAATTTGGAACGCGCGTTTAAAATATCTATTTTATTGCACCACTGTTATTGTTGGACAAGCATGAGTGCACACAAATGTCAAATGTGTTTACTGTATCCATTTTTAATTGGGACAAATTACCTGAATAAGAGTCTTAAACACTCATCTTACGCAATTGCGCCATATTAATCACATCACCATTAGAATAAAACACTGCCATCTCAAGGATACCATAGCAGAGCCTTCACTTATCATATACATCTCTAGTTCCCAACCTTGTCGTGTCTCGATCCTTGGAATTGCAAGAAAAAAAATCTGCTGCAGTGCTGTAGTTCGTCAAACTGTCAGCTTACTATGCTGCAATGTAGTCCTTTTGATGATAATTTCTTGTTTGTAATTTCCAACATTACGTAAAATAGATGGTCAAGTATTTTGCGCTATGGACAGCGTTTAAACCCAAAAAGGTCTCAATTTACAGTAGATAAAGATATAGAAATATTTTCCACATTGCATCGAACAATCACTTGATTTGAAAGTAGAAGGAATAGTAAAAGAATTTTTCTAATAGCCTAATAAATACCAGACACAGCCAAGTGATTAAAGGGGCAATAAGAACCTCTGACGCGCGCCTACCCGAACAGATAGGCATACACGATATCCTCATGAGCAGGCAGAACAAGATAGAGATGGCGCCATTGAACTATGGTTCTGTTTCTCACTCACCCATCCAGCATTCAAAGCCTTTATTGGCCTTGTAAACATGTTGCATATTTGAATGATATCCATAGTTCATGACCGATAAACTTTAAAGAGGTGATAATATACCAGGTTCATTTACGCTTGAATTGACCAAACGCAGGATGACGCTGCCCACAAATTTTTTGAAAGAGCGCCGATGCTCGGAACAAATGTTTTGGAGCTTTTTCGGCGCTTTTGCACCTAAGATCTTGGACGGCATTCTTACCATGCAGGATAATACAACATCAGAGGATGAAGTGTTGACGCTTATCATTGGGTAAGAATCTACGAAAAAAAGAAAAACGGCTCGAGATTATATTGAGTGGCTTACACGTCTTCCCCCCAAAAAGTCAACTAGTGGCGTACGGATATGCTTCCGTGGCTCAAACCGTAGCAGACGCGACTGGCGCGACTACCGATATGATGCCCAGCACCAAACTCGCCGATTTGATTCAAACAGCAAAGGAACGAAGTACGTCCGTTCTTCATTTCAGTTGTCGATTCTTGTCTGTGCTCATATCACGTTATTTTACAACTGTTTTCCTGTCGTTGCAGTGGATGTAGATGAATCCGACGATGTCGATTACCAGGATAAAGATTACGATCCCAGTGAGGATTCATTGGAACCGGAATCAGCAGGATTTACAGGCTTGGATGGCAAATCAGCAAACTGTAAATATGACATTCCATGTTAGTTTTCAGTCGACCTTACTTACGAGGTTGTTTTTAACGGGGATAGACAATAAGCCTGTGCCCGAATACGTTCAGTTATATTACACGCAGCACAAAGGACCGTGTCAGACCGCCATTTTCAGTACTGATGGACGTTTTGCCGCTACAGGATCCCACGATTCGTCTCTCAAGTTGCTCGATGTCAGCAAAATGAAGAACCGTACAGGGGAAGCCAGTGATAAACCGGTGATTCGTACGCTGTATGATCACACAGCGCCGGTCAACGATTTGAGTTTCCATCCCAACGGTCTTGTTTTGGCCAGCTGTTCTGATGATCAGAGTATCAAGTTGTTTGATCTGTCCAAAACCGGCGTCAAAAGAGCCTTTCGCTACTTGCAAGACGCTCAACCCGTCAATTCCATTAGTTTCCATCCTTCAGGCGACTTTTTGCTCGCAGGTAAATCTTTCCCTCGTCCAATGGACTGTTTGATGGCGATATTTAATAGCGTGGAAAAAAAAAAAAACCAATCTAGGTACGCATGATGCCGCAGTACGGATCTATGATGTAAAGACGTTGCAATGTTTCACAAACTCCACGGCGGATATTCACCGTGGTCCTATCACTCAAATCCGATACTCGCATACCGGCAAACTATTTGCGACTTCTTCAGCCGATGGCAGTGTCCGTATCTGGGACAGCGTGTCGAGTCAGTGTATCAAGCAGCTCGAAGGCGCGCACGGTGGTGCCGCCGTGTCGAGTGTTCGTATTACCAAAAATGAAAAGTTCCTTCTCACCGCCGGCCTGGATTCCTCTCTTCGATTGTGGGATATTTCCAGCGGAAAGCTCATCATGCAATATACCGGTCATGAACAACGAGTTGAAATGCTTCAAGTAAGAGGAACATCGGCCCTTGGAATGAGGATGGTCACTGATAAAAAAAAAAAAAAAACTTCCATTGTTGTAGCCTGCATTGACTTACAACGAAGCGTATGTTTTAATGGGAGACGAAGCATCTATGGATGTGTTTTGTTGGAACACACAATCGGGTGAACTTGTCAAGAAAATACCGGGTAAGCCATTCTTTTTTAAAGGCATACTCTTAAGTTTACGTGCGTGAAAAAAACTCATGCAAAAAATCTTTGACAGGTCACAACAACGTTGTACGATGTGTGGCCGCTTCTCCTGTGGATAACGGTATCTTGACATGCAGGTAACATACGACATGCGCCTGATCGAAATGGTTGTATTTTGCTGACTCTGTATATTCTGCTTCCACTTAGTGATGATTATCGTGCACGGTATTTCGATGTCAGTAAAATGGCCTTTTAATTCGACACATCCTTTTAGAGCATTTTATCTTTTTCTTTCTTCGTGTTCATTCCTGTTTCCTCACATTTTTATTTCAACCAATATAACATCCAATACTTGTACAATCAATGACGTGGTAGTCCCGGCGTTATTTTCACCCAATGTTTACAGCTCTCCTCTGAAAATTGACCGAGTCACCGCCGTAGATCTTTCAAGAACGGTGGTTGCAGCCAGCTCCTTAAAGTAGCAAGTGACCACACAAACCTCCACGCGTCGTGTTTGCATGGCTGTCCCACTCATTTGCGACTCTGTTTATTCAATCTTCTTCATCGACCGTCCTCGGAACATGGATTGAGAATGGTTATCAGAAACTGTCACGATGCAGTTTTACGAGCAAGGACTGCAAGCAAAAAGGACAGCCAAAGGATGTAAAATATAATGTTGCAACTATGCATTTCCTAGGATGGTTTGCATTAGCTTAGTGTGCTTGGAATTGTTTTCTTTTGAAACGCAGATGTCCTTTTTGGCAAGATAATGCATGGTGTTGCTGCCGGAAATGGGGCAGTGAGTGAGACGTTGAAAGCATTGGTAACATCAATAATAAAAGGTTAGGGTGGCGAAATGTCTCCTTATTGTCTCCTGAGCAAACAGTAATGAAGCGATATTTCTATTATAAACTGTGGTCGGTCATTACATGCACCATTTTCAGTCGTTCCATGGATGTATTTTGCGTACGTTGCTGTTGTATCCAACTTGCCAGACATTCTAACGAATGCACCCTTTTGTAGGAGAAAGAACCCGGTTGAAACAAAAGGGATGCGTATAATTAATGAAATTTCAGGGCGTGACAACGACAACTGATCTACAGTGTGTAACACCACTTTGCATGGTTACAAGGTGGAAACGGACTTGCCATTATTGGGGCCTCCGAACTTTTTCCGGTCATCTATTTATACGCACACACCATGCCCACCGTGACATGAGAAATATAATCCAGTAGCTGCATTGCATTCTCTCTCTCTCTCTCTCTCTCTCTCTCTCTCTCTCTCTCTCTGCACGATTCATTCCATTCATTGAAGCACTCGTGATTGACGCCATTACCCGCTTGCGATACATTTGATTACGCTCCGCCAATCCCAAACCATCGCGTCTGTTTACAGAGACCCGTCGGTACTGGTTCAGTAAGCTGTGTTGGATAAAAAGGCAATACTAAGAGTGTTCCTTAGATCTCGGGGGGTTTGGCAAGCAACACATCATGAGTTCGAAAGCCACGTTAGGTTCGTGTTGCTTTGAATCGCTGACAAGTCCGTCCGATCATGAATGGTCATCTCCTTCATTGAGTCGTTTCTTGTATATTACGAATATCCGTTCCACGGATGTTCACGCTCGGCAGAAAAATTTACCACATCACTTTGCTTACAATAAGCGGGATGATATGCACTGTCTCTCTCGGACAAAGTTATTATTCAAGCGGTCGAAACCATCCGAGGTCTCCATTGGCCCTTTGTCCGCAAGCGCCACTTTTTTTGATTGTGAGTTCCGCTCAAAATGACTGTCGATTCTCTGATGATAGTCTAATCATTATTCATTTAGCAATCAGGTATCCTGTATATCCCGTCGATAAACCCGTTCAAATTAGCTTTCAGGTGAGTGTGCTGCACAATATTTTCCATGTTGCAATGCGTATCACTCTACTAACTAATGTGTTTTCAGGGGCATTGGGTGCTGTGAAAGAAAAAAAAAACCTCATTTTATGGGGACCTTTCGATTGAACATGAATTAGATGCTGTTCGCTAGCTGGTTGTAGTAGTATTATTTGTATTATCGGTTCTATTTACCGAAAATACTAAGGCTGCCGGCTCTTACTTTTTATCTCCATTACCAACTGACTTTGCATCATCTTTTCTTTCCCGTGTGAAAATATGGCCTTGTGGAGAATAGTTTATATCCAGTGTTGAAACCACGGTTTCCACCATAGTTTTGGTTGCAAGTGCCAAGTTTTTTTCGAGGCATCTCTTTTTTCACATGCTTTTAGCCTGTATTTTCCTCAATTTCAACGCAAGACCGAGATAGCGCCAGTCATTTGATCGTGGTGTGTGCAACGTAACGCATTCTGTCACTCTCGTTCATTTAGGGTCATAAAATGATCAAGCTGTCAAAAGTAAAATGAATACAACAGATGGCAGTTATCTACAAATCATCTATTGAGAGCGTTTGGTCCAATGTCACTGGTTGTATGATATTTTCGAAGGCTTAAAAATGGAGCTGCCAGTCATGCTTTATGTCAGGCACGCAGTCCTTGTTTGCTTGGGCCGCTGGCGTCGGATTCAAGCTCCGGCTATGGGTTGCTTGCATGACCCATTTCCCACACTTGCCGACAAGATTTAACTGCTTCCGATTTTCTTTCACTTTTCTCTTCTTCTTCTTCTTCTTCTCATTTCTTCTTTACAACTCAATAATGGTGACAGGTTCAAGACTCTCGGGTAAAGTGGCTATTGTTACTGGTGCTGCAAGGTAAAAAAGAGACTTGTCCCTTGTCGATACAACCGAGGACAAACTCTTCTCACACTGCTTTTTTTTTCTAGCGGTATCGGTTTTGAAACTGCCGTGTTATTTGCAAAGGAAGGAGCCAAAGTTGTGTGTGCCGATTTAAATGTGGATGGCGCTACAAAGACGGTTGAGAGAATCAATCAGCTCTTTGGAAGCAACCCTGCCATTGCTGTCAAAGTGGATGTTTCCAAGGAAGATCAGGTCCAATCGTTGGTGGAAAAGGCGGTAGAAACGTTTGGTAGGTGGCCAGCGTGTTGCGTTTTTTGTGTTCAATTCGTGCAGTGCCGTTTTCTGATGTATTATGCTTAGGCAAACTGGATATCATGTTTAATAATGCTGGCATTATGCATCCGATGGATGATAACGCGTTAAATACCGAAGAACGCATCTGGTAAGTTAGATGGCAAAGGGTTGGAGTTCACGCTTGTCATTTTAATTTGCAAGAACGATAGGGACCTGACAATGGATATCAATGTAAAGGGTGTGTGGTACGGATGCAAACATGCCATTATTGCCATGCGCAAGAGCGGAGGAGGATCGATCATCAACACTGCCAGTTTTGTTGCCTTGATGGGAGCCGCTACCCCCCAGTTGGCCTGTAATTATGTTATTGTGCTCCATACCAAAACAATGGATTTCTCACGGTTGTCTTTTTTTTTTTTTTCTTTTGTCTAGACACCGCTTCCAAGGGAGCCGTTCTTGCCATGACGTAAGCTTCAGCACGTGTGGAGAAATGGAGTTTGTTTCTTATATGCCATCTTTTTTGTAGACGCGAATTAGCCATGGTTCACGCTCGTGAGAATATTCGATTCAACTCGTTATGCCCGGGACCCATCCGTACGCCTTTGCTGATGGACTTTTTAAATACCGAGGAAAAGAAGCAACGACGCTTGGTGCATGTTCCTCAGGGAAGATTTGGTAAGCGTCAAAAGAATGACAATAGAAAAGAAAAAAAGGTGCAGAACACTGACTTTTTCACAACTACCTGATGTTAAGGCGAAGCAATTGAACAAGCGTACGGTGCCCTTTTCCTGGCCTCGGACGAAAGTTCGTTTGTGACGGGAGTCGATTTCCGTGTCGATGGCGGTTTAGCATCTGCCTATGTGGTAAGTTACAAAGTATATTCAACGTTAGTTACAATTTACCATACTCACATGGATCCTCTCTCTGTGTGTCAAAAGACTCCTGAAGGAGTACCCACAGGCCCTATACCTCAAAACTTTGCAGAACTATAAAAAAAAAACTCGATTGATCGCGCTACCGTGATATCCCCCTTTTTTTTGACGTTGAATAAAACAGGTGCAATGAACAAAAAGAGCTCATACAAACCAATGGCAAGCACCTAGATTGCTTGAGGGTTGCTAAAAAGTGGCTGTATGTGATTTATTTTGCGCCATAATGGCACTCTTTTTCCCCAGCGGGATTTTGCTTAAAATTTGTGGGCCGCAGACATGAAAAATAAAAAAAAAAAAGGCCGAGATCAAACAGATCGTTGATTGCACTTTGCAAGTTTTCCGTTAGGTATCGTCGCATTTGAATAATGACGGATCCCGAGATTGAAATGCCACGCTTGCTTAGGCAGGATGTTCTCAACTGTTCGTTTGAAAACTGGTACCATGTTTTCCACGACTACACTTTCAAGTCCAAGTTCACGCGCTTACCCGAAGCGTTTTTGGAATACCTTGATGCTGATGGCATTTTCCTTCCCGATGAAGGGTATGTTCATCATGATCATCGTTCACAGTCGCCACTGGATCACACAAGTTAACCATGTCTTTACAGCCAACCCCAAGCTGCAACCATTGAAGAGATCGATTCCGATAATGAATCTACCACATTCTCCGATGAAGAACCCACCGAGGTAGAAATCCCGAATCCAGCACCAATAATTACCCACAAGCCTGACTAACTTGTTGTTGTTGCAGAAACCGGAATTTCCAGAGATTGAAAGCATGATTCGCCAAGCGGTTGAAGAATTCGACGGTGGGGTGTTTCCAAAGTTGAACTGGAGCTCGCCTCGAGTAAGTAACAAGACAAGAAAATTTGGAGTCCAATACAATTGACGGATCGTTTTTACCAGGATGCGGCATGGATCACGCCAACGCAGTCCTTGATGTGTACGACCCCTTTTGATGTATATTTATTGCTCAAATCTTCCGATTTTATCAACCACGATCTGCATCATGCTTTTGATGACTGTGACGATAAGGACAACACTGCAGACTCGACGCCTTTTCATCTGGTCCTGCGCAAGTGGTACGACTTGCAGCCCTCAATGGAGTTTCGCTGCTTTATCAAGGCCAACGAATTGATTGGTAAAACCTCGCATAAAACTGTACTCTCCAAAAATGCTGACAAGAAAAGACTAGGTATTTGCCAGCGCGATCCCAATTTTTATCAGTTCTTGGTGGGCATCAAAGACGAACTGGAGGACAAAATTCACGATTTTTATGAAGACCATGTAAAGGATAAATTCGGCAGCGACAATTGTAAGTGACTCATTTGAATCTTTGTTTGTTGCAGTGCGTCTTACCACTTTATATATAGTTGTGTTGGATGTGTATATACCGCGTGATCGAAGAAAAGTGTGGATCGTTGATTTTAATCCATTCTCTCCGACCACAGACAGTCTATTATATACCTGGGAAGAGTTGGCGAAATGTAAGGATGTTTAACCATTTGGCTTTCTTGTGCTTGCCTATTAATCAGTGGACGCACCGTGATCTAGTCGATGTTCAAACGGACGAACCCGAGTTCCGAATCTATGAATCACAAGCCGAAGCCGATGCTTTCTCTCGCAACGCGCCAAAGTTTGCTGCCAACATGCTTCCCAAGGACGTCATTGATTTGTCAGATGGCCGTTCTATAGCCGAATTTGCCGAAGAACTGCAACGAGCCATGGCCTCCTCGGCCCTCGGTTCATCGGACGACGAACAAGACGAATCATCGTAACTACTACTATTACAAGTCATTTTTCTCTTAATCATTTGCACGATTTTTTTCACTTCATTCATCATTAAAGTCTCGGCATCCTCCCTGGGTTAAAAAACAACACCAAAAAAAAGAGAAATTGGGTGATGGTGGCGGGCGGTTGGTGACCTGATGCTGTTATAAATACTGGGACCCTGTCACTGCTCAGCAACCTTGTTCTCACGGTTTAACGTTTCTTTTTTTCACACCGTATCGCAGGGGGGGGGAAGGATTATAATATAAGGCAGAGATTGTGCCGTCAAGGTATACTCAAGAACATGAATCGAACGCATCCCGTGTTTATCCAACGAATGCATAATTGTTGGCACCATCCACGTTATTTTAATCCTATTCCGAGGGTGGAAGATGGAAGAGAAATGAAGCTTTAAAGATAATTGTATTGGATCAGTTCAAAGCATAGAAACGACTGTCAAAGTGAGAAAGTGGAGTGGTCCTTGTAAAGTGATTGTTTTCGTCGTTCAACCATACAACTCTGATATATTATGATAGCATATGCGCGGCGACGGCGCAATCAATCATTCATTCGGCCTTTAACCAGGGTTGTGGGTGGCGTCGAAACATGGGCCAAGGAGGTAAAACAACCTAAGTGATGTGTGGTTAGTAGCAGACACGCTCTTATGCATCGTTGTTGCTCATCTTACAGCGACAGTGACAACCACGCCCATCGCGAATATCGCCAACATGAGAAGCATGGATTGAGCACTAAATCCAACGACAAAGCTCGCAATCTATGCGGTCGATGGGTCACTTAGTTTTATATCTTTCGTGAACCGGTTTCATTCCATAAGTTACCGAGAAAACTGTCAGCAACACCTGTGCTATTTGATCAGCAAGCTTCTGACCCTCGAAATCCTACACCCCAGGGCGGATTAAAAAAAAGTGAGCTACAGCACAACAGATGCAACGCTTACAATGGTGCATTCAAGTAGTTCTGCCAATGCCATGACTTTTTAATTGCCTCTCCAGTTGAAAGATGCCAGAGGAAAGGGGGAGAAAACCCACCCAGAGCATAGGTCGGTTGCTGAAATAACGCGTTTTACTCGATTGTGATTGGCTCCTGTCTTCTTTGTCTCTTCCTTTTTTTTTTCTTGCAACTTTGCGCTTTCAGACGTTCAAAAAGACTCGATTCTCGAGAGATCGACTGTGCACCTTTGGACGCCATGAAGGATACCACCAATGTTCAAAGAGCCCATAATATGATCCAAGCGCTGCCATCCATGTCCAAGACGATTGTCGACGACACGCTTTACGAAAAAGTGTTCTCGTTTCTCGCTTCTTTCCTCCGCCAAGATCCTGATCATGTTGCGCTGATGGACGAGTGGAATATCCTCGATATTATATACAAGGTAAGCACGTTCTATACGATCGCCAAACAAAAGGCAATTTACAGGGGAATTCCAAAAGACGTGTGTTCAGTCGGATCAAGATTACAGAATCATTGCGCTGTGCTTTCGATTATTGGGTTCGTTTGCTGCGGTGTGCAAAAAGGATGAGTTGCAATCGAAGCTTTTCAACGACTATCGGCCTCTACTTGACAATGTCACCTTGGGTTTACGTACCTATGATGCCGCCCTGCGTTGTGCTTCACTCGAAGCTTACAGAGGATTTGCCGCGTCTCTCAAAGGAACGGAATGGTACGACGCACAAAAGAAGGGTCCATGTAATAAAGCGACGCGATCCTAATCGTTTATAGGATTCTGGAGAATGATCATGCCAAGAATCTGATATCGATTGCTTTAATGGATCAGAGCACATTTGTAGGGTTTTGATGATGAGGATCGTATATGCTTTTTTTACAATGATTGACTTGGACTTTTTTGACAGGTTGTATCAGAAAGCTGCAAATTTTTCCTCGCGCTGATCGAAAAGAAGGAATGTATTCAGGAACTGGGTCAAGACCATGCACATAAATTGAATCAGCTGTGTGATACGGTGGATCCTTCGAATCAAATCAAAAGCTTGCTGCATGCAGGCACTGAGCAAGATCTGTTACTGTCGGCTTTGGAGTTTTGCTGGACAATGACCAACTCCAAAACGACGGCTACTTTTGAATATCTGCAAAAATCGGTCTTGGTAAGAGAAGAATCTACATTCCCAAATTTTATTGCGTTGCCTTTTTTTCTTGCCTGACCATGAGCGCGCAGTTGATCAATATGGTGAGCCTCTTGGATGATGCACGACGTATCGTACGAGCCAAAGTCCTGGATATCTTGTCGATTGTCTTTGAAGCTTCCAGCGCACCGTTGGCGTTATTAAGCGCAGATCACCTTTCAACAGATTCGGCAACAGGTTCAGACGAACTGGGTCCAGGTATATCATTTGGTCTTCATCGCGTGATGAGAATGCCGCCTCACAGACGCAAAGCTTTTGATTTTATAGTTACGCTCGCTATCCGCAAGATACAGGCATCGGTGAATGTGGATTCGGTAGTGACAGGCACAAGCTTACTTGAACGGTCGTTGGTCTTGTTGAAGCGACACCCAGACACGGACAAAATCATTCAAGTCCGCTCGGTTTTGGTACACATGCTCCATGCAATACTTTACGAAAACAATCTCGATGGTCAATTTTCTCAGGTGAATAATCGATCCAAGCTGCTTGACGAACTTTTGGGGCTTATCAACAGTTGTAGTTGGCATCCTTGACACAGACTAGCCGTCGTCCAGAGTTTGCAAAGAGAGCTATCGCGCGAGCTACGCTACGTGCCCTGGATTCCCACAAAAACTTGTTCCCACTATCATCAGAGGTACTTGCATTACTATTCTTCCTTTTCTTCCACTCAGCCTCCTTTAACTTTTTTTTTTACGTAGAATGAAGCCGATCTCATTGGATGCCTATTAGACTTGTTGAATGATCCGCAACAGACCTACATAAGCGAACAGCAGATTCTAAAATACATTCTGAACCTTCTTTTGGCATCAGCAAAAGAAATGCTGGACCGTAACCCATACAATCCAAGCCAAGACAATATCAAAGATGTGAGTGATTTGCCCGCAAAAAGCTGTGTACACCTGACTTTTTTTACTTCTTGACTGACTCCACTTTTTTTCTTAGATAGCCGGCTCTATCATTCGTGTGATCAGTCTGGCTGATTTGGACTGCAATAATGTCACGCATTGTTTGAACGCATTCACGTCACTGATAGCCGACGCTAACAGTGAAATAGTGGATGAAGTAAGATGGCTTAAAAATCGTCGGCAATGAAAAAGTTCAAAATGTTCTAAATCGATGGTTGTACATAGAGCACCTGTCATTCTTTTATTACTGCTGTCAATTTGAAGGTTCTAGATATGTCATGGGATGTTCGTGATGCTGCGGTCGAATATATCGGTAGTCTTTTTGGCGAGGTAAAAACCGCAGACTTGCGAATTTGATACACCAGCTTACTTATTCTTTTTCTCTAGTCATCTTCCGATCATTTGAAATCTTTTGCTATCCGACATGATTTGCCACACAAAATATTTCAGCGAATCAATGATGGCGAATCTTATGTCCGAGCATCCGCTCTTCACGCGTTCCAGGTTAGATCAAAGATCCTTGATGATTGATTAAAGTGTGTCTCAATGGTTGTTTTGAAGGTCATGTTGAAAAGCACGGAAGGATGGGGCTACATTCAGCAACACCCGGAATGTCGCGATATATCGGCCAAGTTACCTAGCCTATTGCATGATTCCGAGGCATTTGTACGACGTGCTAGCTTGGATGCCATCACTGCACTCGTTGCCAATCGATCCTGCCAAGGCCTCGAGCTGGAGTCTGGACCGACAAAAAGCAATGAATCTTTAAAGTAAGTGTATGCGCTGCACTGTGTAAGGAACGAGATAACTCACTGATGTCCAGCGCACACACCATTGCCAAACTCATGGATGACCCTGACTCGGAAGTCACCATAAGAGCCTTGTTCTTATTGCAACAACTGTGGGAATGGCACAGACATGTGCAAGCGCAAAAGAAACGACAGAAGTCGATGGATCCCAAGGATCATGCAGATTATGAGTCCCTCCCCTTTTTCTATACGGTCAAAGGAGATGATTGGCTGATCGAAGCTGTAAGTGTGGTGCATTAGAGAAAGCTGAGAGTAGCAATACATATTATATAGGATGCTGACTCCTTATATCTTCTTTTTTTCTTGCCACTCCGTGTCACCCTTCGTGAACTGTGCAGTCGACGGATACGCAACGTCTGGTACGTGCGGCCGCGCTTCAGGTGATTCAGGATATCTTGGAAAACACACCGACAATGTCATCTCAAAATGTCAAACGAACAATAATGGAAGACGATGACGATAGAGACACTCAGTTCTTGGCAAGATTAGCCGCCATCGACCTTGACAAACTCAAGCAAACCGTGGATCCCGAGCACATTTATCAGGAAGCGTTTGACATTAATGCGCATATGATGACCAAGTCCATGGAACCTCTTAATCCAGAAGATGACGTGAATATGCTCGACTGCTACTAAGAGAGAAACTTTTTCTTTTTCCGAACGACGCTGGATATGTTTTTGGATGCCAGAGGACGGTAGATAAAACAAAGAAAAAGTATATATGTACATTGTAAGCCATTGTAGATACTGTATACTAGCTTGATCAGTAATTAAAAATATGGATCAGTTGTTTTGTATATTTTGCTATTTCATACGATTCCTTGGCCAAATCGCGTTTGGCGGCCGGATGCGCCACTTCAGTAGCGTCCGTGAAAGCGGTGTCGCGGATGTGGCAGAGTGTGCCTTGACATAATCGAAGATTGTCCAGAATCTCGTTGCCTTGCTGTTTGTAGGGGGCGCCTGCTTGGTGATCAAATGTGCTCTTGGAGACCTCAATGATACTGGATACGATATTCACAATCGAGGTAATAATGGCATTGACTTCATTGCTCTGGTCAGGATGACGAAGTACCGACAATAGCCTCTGAATCTTGCTGACAATTTGATCCGTCTCGCTTTTCAGATATTCCTACGAAACACAAAGAGTGATAAGTATATATGAAAAAAGAAGAGACCGACATATTTTTACCGAAATTTCCTCAGGACTTAGTGCGTCGTTTGATTCGATGGAAGTGGTGGCGGTATCATTAGTGGCTGTCGCGGGGAAAATGCCCAAAAGTTTGGTGAATCCCACCATTGTGACAGTTAGACGACCCACGGCGGTATCCACTGAACTGATCGGTGGGGGGACCACGTCACCAGCGTGGACCTTGGCAGCGTGAGATTTGGCGGTCTGAATAACGTGGGTTAAAGCATCGGAAAACTGGGGCTTCAAGATGTTTAATTCGGCAAGCATATGAGCTGAAAGCCTGCTTTGTCCTTCATATGCTTCCACATCGGCCGAGATCTTTTTGCAAGCGATCACTAGTGGATTGAGTGATGCCAAAAGTTGAGATGCATCATTGGATCTAAAGTGGCTGATATTTAGCCTACCTGACCCCGGGGGCCAATTCTATGCGCGAGTAATGTACCTTGCTAATAATGATACTTGGTCAGCTGCCTGCTGATAGCTGACAAGATGGGCATGATTAATTGCGCCATCGGCTGTCGGTTGCAAAAAATGCGGCTGGCCCGCCACTGTACTGACAGATGCAGTATATATCATGGAAGAAGCTGTCACAACGATTTTGTAAGCTCATTGAATCATCACAATACGCTGTTGCTGCGGCTGCGGCTGTTACCTTTAAAATTTCGCAGTTCGTGTTGCATATTTTCACATTTGGTTTGACACTCTTTGAGCTAATAAACGAAATACACGCACATATCAGAGATCCTCAAGTCGTTTATATTCTATTTTACAGAAGCACGTCATTTACCTCGTATCGCAGTTTTTCCATTTCTGATTCTGCTTGATCTTTTTTCTGTCGAAGATCCTCGTTTTCCGACGATAGATCTTTCAGTTGCGCCAGTAAATGTTTGGTTTCTTCCTTCACATCACGTACCGCCTAACCACGAGTGAGTCTAACATTCGATGGCTGCTTATTGGTGTGACTTACTTGTTGTTGCGCCTGATGATCCAAAGATAACTTTTCAAACTGCTTTTCCAAACGCGCGTATTGATCTTGCAATGCGGTGTATCGCTGTTCTCCTTCGTTGTCCATCTGAATTAATTGATAGAATCAATTATCGACTATCATGGATGGAAGTTCTTGCATTGTCGGCACAAAAATGGTCACACTTTACCTTGTTCGTAGATAACGTTGAGGGCGATCCCTGGATATAAAATATAAGCACTTATGCTGTGACGGTATCTTGATGTTGCAAGTTTTCTTTTTTCTTACCCTTGATCCAGCTTCGAGTTCCTGAATCCGTTTTGACATGGCGGCAATACGATATTCATAGTTGGAGCGCATCTGATCCATTTCTGTAAACGCAAATTCGGTTCGTGGCTATGAATGTAAATGAAAAAAAAAAAAAAAAAAAGTTCAGATTATTTAGTTGGTTGAGGTAGGCCTCTTTTATACGATCGTACCACGCCATCGGCTTTGGGGGTGCTGACCATATTTCCTAAATCGGCCATTAGGCTGTCGAGTGATTGTAGGTTGTTGTTATTGTTGGGAATATCCAAAGAAGGTTTTGGGGAGGACGCGGTTTGATCTACGGAAGGCCTTGATTCTGAAGCGGTGTATCTATCCATCGATCGTTTTTCCCCGCTCGATTCATCTTCGGAAAGCTCGATTGATTCTACGCTGATCATCCCCATTACCGGAACAATATTTGTTGAATGCGATGGCTGCGGTCGCGATTCATGGCGTTGATCCTTGTTATCATTGAAACCTAAAGGCATGCTCGGCACAGGTTCCTTTCAAGTCGAATGATTAAAACGAGGTTCATCACCAGTATTTCCCACCTCTTTTCTTTTTGATGCTTACTTGTGGCTCATTAAATTGAGGATATCGTCGGGATAACTCATAAAAGACATCGCTGGCGAGATCTTTGAATCGAGAAGTAGGCAAGGTGGCAAGTTTTTGTCGCGCTTGATTACGACGTGGATGAAATTCGTCCCTGACAGGCAAAAAAGGTACTAGCAGATAAAAAACATAAGTCTCCCTTCACCCGCATAGATGCCTGTATTCTCATCAAAGCGTACCTTGCTTCCCATTGGATTGACGTCGCACCAGTTCATCATATACATCCATTGCCAGTTCCTGAAATTGAGAGTTATTGAGCCTTGACAATTTTTGTCGAGCCGAATCGCGCTGAGGAGGTACGCCTTCGGCTGCCTCTAAAAAATAATGATAACGGAAGGGTGTCAGTGGGTGGGCAGTCAACGAGGTCAAGTGGGGAATTTTTTTTACCCTTGGTCAAGGTTTCTGTCAGGTAGTCTTTAAGTTCCAGGTAATAGGTGCGTGCGGCGGATTCATAGTGAGCACTACTGTGAGCTCGACTGGACGATGATGCGAGAGAAGGGGACCGAGAATAAGGCGCGGTGGATCGCGATGAGGTTGAAATAGGTTTGGACCCTCGGGGATCCCACATATCGGGCGATCGTGGTGATTGTGGAGGCGATCTCACGTATTGCATGGAAAAACAATGACTTTATGACTCGGTAAAAGTGACAGTGGTTCAAGAATGCAAAAAGGAAAATCTGGAGTGCAAAAAGTGAGAGCGATGCCAACCACACTCCAACAAATACAATAGCGACTCAATTTCCATCTGTGCAACCATGTCACGAATTGGGGTCGTCGTGGTTGCCTATCTTTAATTGACGCACAGCAACAATGAATTTTATTGGCCTGATGTGGGAAAAACTGTAGCATTTATTCATACCGTGTTTCCAACAAACAATGTCGCAGCCAATCAAAAAACAATCTCCTCCGCCTGTGTGCGTCCTCACCCTTTAACAAGTGTCCATGACTTTTGCAAAATTTGGGCCTTAACTGGGACATGAAGCATCTCTCAAGCGGCGATCGAATGTCACGAACGAGCCCACAGGCATCTTTTTCCCAACTGCCCAAGCTTTTTATATACGTAGGCAATATTTAATGCAGCATTGGTTCACCAAAATTCAGCAAACGGGATGACCGTGCTTCGTATGGTGTGGGACAAGCTTATGAAGTTTCAAAAGATCGAGTCCGGAAACATGCTTGGTCCGAGCGAAAAAGGGGCGCCTTGAAGAAAAAAAAGGCAAAAAGTGACCAGAAAAGAACCGTAAAAATGACTTGGATGCCATCTTTCCTGCAACCGATTCCATCAATAAAGACCGAATAAGACAAGAGTCTCCTCCCAATTAACTACAAGTGGATCGATCACCACAAATATTTTAACTGATCCTATAAACAAGAAGACGAGTCCTTTTTCTACATGGTATGTAAACTGGCTCGAAATTAGGACAGTTGCCTATAATATCTTGTATACCATGTGAAGAGATCAGACGACATCAAATTAATTTTCATCGTGCAACCTGTGCAAGATGCACAGTATAGAAAGATGAAGGGTTCCTCGATGATGCAAATGGACAAAATGCTACGCAATTGGTTACACAGAACACTTGAAACTCACAATCATATGAGAGAGGGACATAACAACAAAACGTTCAGGCATAAGGACGTAGTGCGATGTCACATTTCCAAATCGGGAACATCATCATAACGGAGATGTAATCCTGTCAATGTAACCGGTCCCTTCAAAGACAGCAAGCTTTTCTTTGATTTCTCTCTCACTCGAAAAGCGCGCCTCAAGACAAATCTCAGCGACTCACGCATCGCGTATAGGCACAGGTTACTGGACCGCGAAAAGCATCGTCAGGAGACGAATGAGATGACACTGATTAAGGTTACAGGGTGATTTAAGGTTTTTTAGCGCGATGTCTAACTACAGTATTTCCAAAGTAGCCTCGAATCAGAATGTAACGTTGCATAAAACGGATGGACTGCAACGCGCTTTCTTTTAAAAAGGAGAGGATAGGCACAGTGTTTTATTTTGCTTACGCGTCGCAATAAAGAGACGCCAACAAGAAGTAATATCAGCAATATAGAGTAGTCAGTCACTTATGAGGGGATCATGGGGTTTTAGGTAGTGATGAGAGGTTTAACGCGTTTGAAGACGAAATTGACGGATGGTGATGATGGAGAAAGGAGCATTATCGAAAATGACCTCCAGCGGGCTGTCCAGATAATCAAAAAGGATGGCGGCAATTGATTGTAGGACTAGGGAGGCTAGCTGGGGAAAAGTAACAAAGAAACCATGCGGACCGCTTGGTGTATATCGGATTTGGTATCCGGAAGAAGCAGAAATTCGAGACATAGTGTAGACCAGACTTGTAGGGTCCACCTACATGTCAACCATCCCTCACCGTCCCTGAAACTATGATTCAGCTCTTGTATGATTGAGGACAACTTGATAGGAATGATGTAGTGGACAAGTGCTCTACAGTCAATCCGTTTCGTGCAACGTTACATTCTGATTCGACGCTCTTGAAAAAATAGCTAGACCTTGCGCTAAAAAAACCTTAATTCTACTTGCAACGATAAAAGTATATTAGTGTTATCTCGTTCGTCTCCTGATGATACTTTTCTCGGTCCAGCATCCTGCATCTACATGCGATGCTTGACTCGCTGAAATGCTTCTTTTTTTTTGAAAGAGACAGAATTCAAGTAAAGCTTGTTGTCTTTGAGAGCCGCTCACAGCGACAGGATTGCATCTCCATTATGATGATGTCTCCGATTTGGAGATATCATGTCGCACCACGTCCTTAGGCCTGAACGTTTTGTTGTGTTCCTCGCTCATATGATTATGTGTTCAAGTCATTCGTGTAACCAATTACGTAGCATTTTTATTGGTCTTACCATCGAGAAATACTTTGCACATTGCACAGATTGCACGATGAATACTAATTATGTCTTCTGTCCCTTCCCCGGCTGTACATATTATATACTATAAACCACGGTCCTAGTTTCAAGCCATCAACAAATCAGGTAGGAAAACAATTAGACAAATTTGACAAGATCGATCCAGTGTTATTTCACCTGGGACGAGGTTCCTTGTCCCGTTTGGTCTTCCTGGATGGCATCGGTCGAGTCGGGAGGCGGAAAGAAGGATGCATGCAAGTAATCCTTCGTTTCTTCTTTGGTGACTTTGGCCTTTTCTTCACGGCACTTTTGCACTCGGCCGAAACATGCTTCGGACTCGACTTTTCTTCCAAGGGCTGCATAACATGCCGCTAGTGCGTTCCACATACGTTCATCGTGCGGCCTTTTTGTTTGAAAAAATGAAGTTGTACAAGAGTGAGTCAAGTCAATATTCCAATAACTGGAGTATTCAAATGATAAGTACCTCAGATGAGCCGCTTTTTGAAAGTAATAAGCGGCGTAATACGGTAATTTTAAAACTTCATAAGCTTGTCCCAAGCCGTACCATGCACGGTAATCTCGTTCGCTGATTTCTGTGAATCCATTCCTGTCGTCAGCACTCCTTGTGTATATAAACAGGTCGGAACAAAAAGAAATGTACCTGTGGCTCGTTCGTAGCATTCGATCGCCGCTTTGGGATTCTTTAGTTCAATGTAATCGTGTCCCAGTAAGGTCCAAGCCAAATGATAATTTCGGTTGAGCTTCAACGCACGCTTAAAGTACGGGACGGATTTTGAGTATTCACACTTCATAGTGTAGTAATTGGCTAAAAAAAAGAAAGGAGGTGGACGGTTTAGATGCCCAAAAACATTCAGGTTCATGGATAAATCAATCTTGTTACCTATAATGCAACATGTTTCGGGACGATATTTATCAATTTGTTCGGCTTTTCGGGCCAATACGCTCAGCTTCTGCCTTGCGTTAATAATGTAAAGAATGTTGGAAAACACATCCATATCTTCCAAGCGGTATGGATTCAATCGTCGGATGGCGTCAAATTCAATTTCTGACTCATTGTATACTGTGCGTGCACGTTCAATGCGTTTTAGCTTATTGTTCCGCTGGTACTCTGTTCCAATCACTTACGCATTGCACTGTTAAGATAGGCCGCCCATTGGGATTTGAGATAGGCGCTTTTGGAGAAGTACCGGATGAGCGGGTCCATTAAACCTTTATAAACTGTCTTTGGCTCAAGAAGGTCCGAGGCCAGCCGCGCTAGACAGATGTTTTTCACGAGGCTGTGTGGCAGCTCTTGCTGTAGAACGTTTTGCAGATCGTGAAACTAGAACGTTTTTCCAGAATTTTTACTAGTCACCAAACAAAGCGCGCGATATGTCCGTGTTATGTGAGATGTTTTACCATTTTTCGGTCTTTCACCAAAGCGGACAGTTCCATCCAAGCCGACCAGTTGTATTCATATATTTTGATGGATCGCAGTAGAGCGGTAGCGGCAGCAAGAGGTTTGTCCCTCCTTCGTAACACGATACCGTATCTGTTTATACAAGCCACGGTTGAGTCGGATACATTCGACCTTTTTTTTTATCCATCACAAGTCATTACAGGTATAGGCAAAAGGCATCCAACTGATTATCTTCATAATCAGGTCGAAGATCTTCATAAATGATGTCTAATTCCATGTTCTGAGCCCCCTTCTTTTCCGTGATGCCTATAAAAGAAAAAAAAAAGAGAAAACAGGGTGAATTAGACAACAGGCAATAAGAATTTCACTCAGTGTGTGTAGTTTACCGAGGATTTCTTGGCCTTTTTCTTCTTTTCGTTTTTCACCTGCCTATCTCGAGGATGAGCCAATGAGCACAAAAAAAAAAAAAAAAAAAAAAGTCCAGGTCAAAATCTTGGCGCACATACCATGTATCGAGCGTAGAGTCTGAGGAATCGCAACTTTGGGGCCTTTTGGTGCTGTAATACAAAGTTGACGTGATCGAATTCGCGGGCTTGAAAGAGAGCTTTAGCGTATAGGTATTTATTGTATTCCATTTCGCTGAGAGGCGGTAAACTCGCTTCGTAGTCGGTGGCATGCAGAGAGACAATGCTGGCATTTCGTGGATCTTGGGTAAAGTTGGCTTGGTCTTGTAAAAGTTCAGCATTGATGCCATCCAACAATTCCGCAGCCCTATTTTTGCGTGTGTCGTGGTTAGAAAGATCCAAGAGTCACCAACCCGCTTTGAAGAGGCAAAAAAAAGGACTACCATTTGGTGGCATTGAGAAGACAGCGGTCAGAACATACAATGACGGCTTGTTGAAGGTTGCGCTTAAACTGTTGGATGGTGTCCAAATCGATGGGCATGATGAGTTAGAAAGAAGTATGCAAAACGTAAAAAAACTCCACTTTCCGAATTAGATCACGACTGCTGGTTTGGCGTGTTGTCGCGTGCAAAAGCTTTTCTTTTTTTTAATTTCAGCTTAGTTTTGGGCCACTTCTCCCACTTCTTTTATCACTCTTTACTGCACCCATTCACTTCAACTATTCAACCTCTGTTGATATAAAAAGTGCGCGCGCATGCACGTCCGTGATGGACCTGACTTGTATGCTCATGACCATTACCTTTCAACAGGGCGGACCTTCCATCTATTCTGAGGCTAATCGCTTTTATTCAAGCAACCTGATACTTGTATGTAGTCCGAGAGGTTCTTTCAAAAGCGCGGTGCGAGTATCGTAACCAGGATTAGTAGGATACAGGGTCTTTTATATTGCATTTGATTTAGTGAATGAGAAAAAATAAAAGATACAGATGTTGAGATTAAATGAGTACAAGATTCTATTTGTGTAGGGGGATATATCATTGGGTTCCTTCTTTATGTTCATCCTCGCGGATTTGTTCTTCGCCGTTCTGAACTGCACGTTCCATTTTACTCTTCCAGTTGGGATCTTTTTTGTCAATCACCGTCTGTTTTAACTCGTCTTGTGAATCTTCGATAATCACTTTATGAGCTTCTTGCCACACTTCCAGTCGAGGATGAGAGGGCTTGTGGAATTCTTCTTCGATCTCCTCCGCATGGTCAGGATGTTTATCCGCCTCCTGTTCAGCTTCCTTTTCCGAATGCGGGGCTCCCGCAGTCTGAGGCGCTTCCTCAGGTTCCTTGTCGGACGGCGGCGCTTCGGTGGTTGGGGAAGAAAACAAGCCTCGTAACTGCTTGGCTTTATCTTCATCGCCACCGGAGCTAGATGTGGCCGTTGTATCTTTGCTTCGGCGGAAGAATTGTCGTAATCCGCCCATACTGCTTCCTTGTGCATTTGATTCATCGTCATCCTGATGATCTTCGCGATCCCGGTTACGGTTTCTCCAGCTTCTCAAGCTCGAGACGCTCGCTTCATTTCGTTCGATATTGGCCTGAGATGATGTATTGCGAGGCTTGACCGGTTCAAGGAATCGGATACTCTGAGATTCCAGCATCGGGGCACTGCCGGATCGTGGGACTTCCAAATGACGCATCTCGGTGGTGGCATCATCGCCTTCACCAGGCAAATAATCTTCTTCCGACAGATCGCCATCCGATTGGTCGTCATCATGCATATCCACATACGCCGCATCCGGTGAATGGTTCAACGTGGTGCCGTTACTGCCCTCTTGCTTTCGATCATACTGAATGGTATTCATGAGTGTATTACGCTGAAGCTGGCTCATGGCTTCAGGATCCGCGCTGTGGCGACTACGACGATCATCGTCTCCACGACCGCGCAAACTGATGTTTTGACCAAACTGGATTTTGGGAAGTCGCAACACCTGGCTACTGCCACCGGTGCTGGTAATCGACAATGTACGCGTACGAATACGTTTGCCGAGTTTGAATAGGGGAATGGTGGTGCCATGGACAAGGACGGATGACAGAACGATGAATAGCACAATGGGGTTGATCAAATGCACAGCCACAGGTTCGGGCTGTCCGTGATACACTTCTTGCAATTCCTCCTTGGCGATTTTGGACAAGAACACGGCACCCACGCCCATGGGACCGAACCAGCCACTGAAAGCAGCATCGCGGTATGTCTTCATGGCCGGCATGACCGGTTTCAGGGCCAATACGATAGGCAACCGTCGGAAAAGCAAAATAAGAACGGCAAGTACCACCAGTCGCCAAGGTGTCAACCCAAGAGCAGCATTACCAAAATCCGACCAAGGCTACATGGAAAAAAAAATGCTTGTAAGCCAAAAAAAAAAAACAAGGAACAGTGGCACGGCGGTGGTACGGAGGTGATACAAAATCAAAGAATTAAAACAAGACAGAATTGAACTTACAATGATGGCTCCAATATAAACAAAGACGGCAAGATTAAGCATCATATCAATGACTTCCTGAAAATGAGCTTCTTCGGTTTCTTGTCTGAACCAGTCATCCCACGAAAAAGCATTGCCTGCGGCGAAACAAGCCAACACATCGTCACTTCCAGAAAATCCCGTCATACTCATCAAAAACAGCTAAGCAAGATTCCGTTAGCTCATCAAGGTCACCGGGTGCTACACAACCTCCTCAATTTTTTTCCTGACTTACTGCCAATGCAATAGCAAAACAAAGAAATGATGGCTTATCGATCAGATGACTAATACAAGTAAGGTTAAAAAAAACTGTTCCTCTCCACAACACACTCCAAACAACCCGAAGAAAAGAAAAGAGAATACATACTGTCGTTCGGACCATTGCAAGATTTTTCGGGCTACCCAACCAACGACGACACCGATAACGCAGGAAAGAAGAATTTGGAAAAGACACGTCTCGTAGACCCATTTTCCTACTGCCTTGCCTACGCTGTCTTCACCCAGTAAGAAAATTGCCAAAAATAGGAACGGAAATCCCATGCCATCATTTGCTCCACTATAGTCCGGGGGATTATTTTTTAGCTTCCAATATTTTTTTTTTGGCTGTTTCATCAGCCCCACCATCATGCAAAACCTTACCTCTCTGCGGACAAGGCGTTCCGAATGTGAGCAGGCACGTGCTTTTCTGCAAATCGACCTTTGACCACCGAATTCGCAAGAATCTAAAAAGCAATTCAACCAATCCAATTTAATAAATGGCGATCATGCATGTTTCAGAAAGAAAAAAAAAAAGGTGTACGTACAGGATCCGTTGGGCATACACATGCAGCGATGACCAATGATTCGAGCTGTATCGGATATTGCCAATTCGATCAGTTCAATATCTATTTTTTCTTGTCTTCACGTCCAACTACACAATCCCACTTATCGATAATTATATTCCTTACATAATTGATCGGAGGGACCATTGCCCAGATAAATAAACCACTGACGAGCCACATAAATATCATGATGGGTAACAGGAACATAAACATAGTCAACCATTCCTTTTTAAGGTAATGCCTACATGGAGAAAAAAAAATTCAGTCAATCCTTGTTTGTTACCAAAATTCCAACGTTTCGAATCAGGAAAAAAATTAGCTCACTTTGGAAGTTCGATGCCCACTGCCATCACCTAATTCCACCAGAGGAAAAAACCAAGCCCAAAGACAAAATTATTTAGTGCTTGTCACACATAAAAGGGAGTAAAAAAAGGACGAAACCTCAATACCTGAATGGCAATGATACAACGAGTGAGTTGTTTCGTGATCTCGTCTTGATCGGCCCAGCTGTAAGGATTGAAGCCATTGGAAACAAGTGGACCGGCAATAATGCCTACAATGAGGGCAACAACTGGAAGAAGAAAAGGGTGTCACCCATGGTCAGTTTGGGAAAGAAAAAGACAAAGGCGGAACGTGGGCCGAAAAGAAAAAAGACTTACAGGCTTCAGACAGAAAGCATTTTTCTTTAATAAACATCGAGACATAACCAAAAAAGACAATAAAGCCGCTAAGGATAGCAATGGCAATTGTAAAAGGAGAGAATTCTCCTGGTATAAGTTCAACGGCCATGGAAGGAAGAAGAAAAAGCTCAGCAGTTTAGTTCATAAAACAACAAAGTAATAAAGAAAAAGAGAAAAATGACTCGATTAGGTCGAAAAACCTTTGATCTTTTTCATTCGAGAATCGGAGCCCAATTTCTGCCATCATTTTTTTCTTACGTCGATTGCCTAATTGGGCGACTCCGCCTTACCTGCTGAAAAGCTTTTCAACACAGTCCGAAATTTCTCAACATTCTTTGAATGAAATCGCTTAATCGGAAAACCCTAAAGTTTCCATTTGTGGTGAAATTCTCTTTTCACTTGCAATGTTTCTATTTCGCTTATCAAGGAAAAATAAAATAAAAAATGATGATCGTTACCGTAACCTGGGAATCGATCAAATTACCAAAAAAAGCAGTATTGTAGGGTTTGACTTTGGGTCGCTCATCGAAAATCTGATGGCTGCAGTAAAAAAAAAAAAAAAAAGTCAGCTACGACAGACACATCATCAATCCATCAACAAAATCAGTGCATTATTACCATTGTTACAGTGAATCATGAAATGAATGGTAAAATAGTCGATGATTTGATCCAAAGTAAAATACTGTGCTTTTGTCCCAGCAGTGAAAAGAAAAAAAAAAGCCAGCTTTTCCAACAACAAGGGATCACATGATGTGTAGTGTGACTGGTTTCTGCCTTCTGTCGTTCCTTTTTGGCCACTCTGGTACAGTGAGAAAGGATTGCCCATTTCCACGCATTCTTGATGTCCAACGGTTCCGAACAACAAGCCAAAGATCTCATTGCTCAGGCTCAAAAAAAGCTGAAAAGCTGGTCACTCTTTGGCCCATCCAATAAATACGAAGATGCTGCGGAAATCTATGAAAAGGCCGGCAACATGTATAAACTAGCCCAACAATGTAAGCCCGAGCCAACCCCCATTCCGACCATTGCTTTTCGCATTCGCTGATGCTTTTTTTTTAGGGTCACTGGCTGGCGATGCATTTACCGAAGCGGCCAAACTATACAAGAAAGGCAACAGTGCCAAGTTTGATGGTTCGAGAGCATATGAAAATGCAGCAAAGTGTTATAAGCGAAATCAGCCCGCAGGTAACGGACATAGAACTCCGGGGCAGTCTTTTTCTTTTTTATTCTACTTAACGCGAAAACACAAAAATAGATGCTGTATTTGCTTTGAAGGAAGCGATTTTGTTGGATCAAGAAGGAGGCAACTTTCGAGCCGCAGCGAGACATTATCAGGAGGCGGCCGAATTATGCGAAAACGATCTCAACGACAGCAAAGAAGCCTATGAGTCTTATCAAAAAGCAGCCGAGCTATTTCTTGCCGACGATTCCCCGGCGTAAGTATTCATCGCACTTCGTTGTGGATCATCAATGTTCACATGGGCCCTGCACCACATAGACTGGCCAACAAGTGTCTCCTCAAAGTTGCTCAGATTGCCGCGGAGATGGATATGTACGATGTGGCCATTGACAAATTTGAACAAGTGGCGGCTGCCTCGGTCGACGACGCTCTACTCAAATGGTCCCTGAAAGAATACTTTTTGAAAGCCGGTTTATGTCATTTATGTACTGGTGTAAGTAACATAACCTGTGTGTGGAGACATTTGGAATGAGGCGGATATTGATTTTTGAGCGTTGTTAGGATATCATACGAACGAAACAGGCCGTCAACGGTTATTGCGCCATGGATATGTCATTTGAAACCACTCGAGAATATAACCTTTTAAAGGTAAAAGAGAGCCGCCTTCTAGGTCAGTTACGTAATTGACTCAATGACATTACATAGAATATCATTAATTGCGTTGATAATGGCGAAGTGGAACAGTTTACGCAGTGTGTGTATGAATACGATAAACTTACCCGGTTAGACAGCTGGAAGACGGCTCTTCTCTTGAAAATCAAGAAATCTATCGAAATGGAGGACCTGCGCTAATCATACCCAATCCTCGTCGTACCTCCTATACACCGCCTCCCTGTCGACATTTTCTTTTTTTTTTGTGTACACAAAAATGTTATTTCATGCATTATTTATGGATTAAACGATTTCAGCGCCCCTTGTCTCCACTGCTGGTTTCAAATTACGACGCCGCGGGAAGTTGGCAACGTTTCAAGATAAAAAAAAAAAAAAAAGTAGAGATCGGCGACAATAAAATCATAGAAATGAGAGAACATTGTGTGATCCAGGATCGCCGTACAAATCATCGTTGGGCTAATTTTACGTTAGTCGCACTTTATGCATGGAGTATGACCAGCTAATTCCATCACGGAGAATTTGACGAGGACCGTCCTTGATTTTCAACCGAAAAATACCACAGCTCACATCCAAAAAATCAGTGATGATGGCTGAGGAAAGTCTCCAACTCGGAAGAACGAATATTCATTACTTTTACCTTTTACGAAAAGACTTACTCAAAAACTATAACAGACTTGGACTCTTGGTCCACTATTCTCTTTGCCGCTTGGCCTTCTTTTAATTTCTGATGGATCTGTTTCACCAGGATCATGTTTCTATTTCATAGTCCGCAAGAAAAAAAATCGCTGCGACGATCACTAAATCATCCGCGGCAGGTCAGATATTGAAACTATGCCTGCTCCACTATTGATCAACCTTTCGGCTGTGAGCGTCCTTCGGGGTCGCATATTTGGGAGTAAAAGAGTAACTGCCGTTTTGTCAGCTGCATTCAACCGCGTATTTAAAAAGGAAGCCTGACCATATAAAACGTACTGTTTTTGCCAAAGATGTTTTTAGCGGCGAAAAAGAGGTGCATTTTCACAAAGATTGCTCTTTGCATTTCATGTATCCCATGAAGGTGTATATTTCGAGCAACCGCCGCCGCCACAGTTTCGGGTTAGGTAAGCCATTAAAGCTTTTCAAGTCGCAAGTTGAACTGTCATAAGTATACAACTAGCTATGCTCCATGTCGTGCTATGCATTTGATTTATTATTTTATCGTTGTCTGTTCCGTTTTCCACCTCTCAAGTATTAATTTTTCTTTCTATTATCATAAAATAAACCTAATGATGGTGCCCTCTCTAATACTATCTTGTCTCTATCTTGTCTTGTTCCGTCTGTTCATGATTTGGTCCTTGTCCTTGTCTTGTAAAGTACCTCAGCACCACCTTCTTGTCCAGTTGTCGCTGACCTTGTGTAGTATGCGCATAAACTTGGTGAGCTTTGAGAATAGTCCTGAAAGAGACTAGACAAAATGGAGACTCAGTCGTTGTTATCTGAAGAAACTTCCCATTTTACTGTAAAGAAAAGTCTTGTAGCACATGTTGCTGTAGTATCATTTGAAACGATCAGTATCTGATAAATGTGAATGATAAATGAGATAGAAAAGATCTGGGCATTTATGCACAAAGCTTGTCCATGCAAGGTGGTGGAGTTACAATGGGACGGGTTTATCCAATAAGATTCCGGAGGCGAGCTGTCAGTCCAGCAAAATTTTGAGTGATGCGGTAGTCGCGTGGTGAAAATGAAGCAAATATCGATTTGTTTTTTTCCCTTTTGGCTTTGCAGTATGGGAATTCACGGATTGACGAAATTGATTTCGGAACATGCTCCGAATGCGATCAAAAGTCATGATATTAAGAGCTATTTTGGACGTAAAGTGGCGATCGATGCTTCCATGAGTATCTACCAGTTTATGATCGCAGTTCGCCAACAGGATGGCCAAATGTTAACCAACGAAGCTGGTGAAACCACAAGGTAGATCGTCCTTTTTGTCTTTTGAGCCTCATATCACTTTCGACAAATAACACCCACCAATAGTCATCTTATGGGCATGTTTTACCGAACCGTACGAATGGTCGACAACGGCATCAAACCTTGCTACGTGTTCGACGGCAAACCGCCTACCTTGAAATCGGGAGAGGTAAGATCGCATTGTGATTGCCGATGCGATGACTATTATTTTTTTTTATTGTGCTTACTGATAATATTCCTATGTAAAGCTGGCCAAAAGAAAAGCGAGAAAAGAAGAAGCCAAATCAAAAATGGAGGAAGCCCATGAAGTTGGTAAGTCGTTATGCTGGCCCTGCCCGGGAAACGGATCAAACAAACCCACTGACTGGACAACCCATACTAGGCACCAACGAGGAAATTGCACGATTCACGAAACGTACGGTTCGAGTCACACAGCAACACAACGATGAGTGCAAGCGTTTATTGAAATCCATGGGTATCCCCTATGTTGAGGTATGTATCAACGCGATTTGGCAGGCTACAAAAAAATCCTAATGCGATTCTATTGTTTCTCTATTTAGGCACCTACCGAAGCCGAAGCGCAGTGCGCAGAATTGGCACGTTGTGGCAAAGTGTACGCGGCCGCTTCTGAAGACATGGATACCCTGACTTTTGCTTCACCAACTTTATTACGTCACTTGACGTTTTCCGAACAGCGCAAGATGCCCATTGATGAAGTTCATCTGGATAAAGCATTAGAAGGGTTGGGACTCAATATGACAGAGGTAAAAACAGCATACGATCAGACGGATTGGGGAAGTGCTGTGCGGCTGACTGATAGTATCTTAGTTTGTCGATCTCTGTATTCTGTTGGGATGTGATTATGTGGAAAGCATCAAAGGCGTGGGTCCAGCGCGCGCTTATTCAATGATCAAGGAACACAAGAGCATTGAAGCGGCTTTGCCTCACCTTCCCGAAAAGTTGCGCGCAAATATTCCTGACGACTGGAAATTTGACGAAGCAAGGGAACTGTTTGTTAAACCTGACGTGTTGCCGGGCGACAATATTGAGGTAAAACAAAGGAAAGACGACCAATCTTTTCTGACGCCCTGAATTTTTGACGGTTTGATTTTTTTTTTGTTTGTGGGGTTAGCTCAAATGGGAAGCACCCGATGTCGAAGCTGTGGTAGACTTTTTAGTCAAGGAAAAAGGATTCAAGTGAGTGTTCTATTAGTTTATCATGACACAGGCGTGTGCTTTTGCTCTGTGACAGTCACGGTAACTGATCGTTTTGTGTTTGCTTATTTAGTGAGGAGCGAATTCGAAAGTCGTGTGAAAAACTGGCAAAGAATGTCAAGCAAGCCACCCAAAGCCGAATGATGGACTTTTTCAAATCTGTTCCAGGCTCAACCAACACAAACGACAAGAAACGAAAGGTATTGTTGATACGAATCTTTTGCTTTGTTTTGAAAATGGATCATAATTCATGACCTATTTCCCTGTACCCAACCTAGCTAACCGAAACAAAAGGTACCGACAGCAAGAAAAGAAAAGCCTCTGGCAAGAAATGAATACAACCCCCCAAGCCCAATGTAATTTTCTATACATAAAATCATCATGACTTCCCAAGCTGTACAAACTTGCAGGTATACATGTCCTTTGTTATTTTATCAGAAGGTGGATGGAAGAAAGGGCGCAAGAGCGCAAGGGCTTAAGGGATCAAAGCCTTTGTAGATCTGGACAAAGGCCTTTACAGCAACACACTAGCTGTAAAAACTTTTTTGGGTTTTTTTTTTCATTTCTCTTTTTTTTATAAAAGGAAGGATAGATGTGGCAAGGATTTAGGTCTTCGTAGCTCATCGATACGAGATCTCCGGACGAAGGTTTTACATACACTGCCTTCAATCTTAAAATTGTGTCTGGGAGCACATTCAGATAAAAGCTAAAGTGCTCAATTCGCAATTTTGTGATAATCGTTAAGACAAAGTTTCATAGAGTGTATATCAAGACGAAATTTATAGCTTTTCCAGTCGGGGTTTCGTTGGTGGAACAAGGACTGGCATTTTCACCCGTCCTTCAGCGAAAAGGAAGAAAAAAAAATTTTCAGTTGCCAGGGGTCCTACGTCCCATATTCCCGAGATCCCTTTCTGAAAAAACAAAACCCCAAGCTGCAAAAGAGGTAAGTTAAGTTTTTCATCATTTCAGTTTTTTCTTTTTTTCTTCTCCTTTTTTTTTTATCTTTGTTGCATCTCGAAAGAGAAGCAGAAGCTGTGATGAATTCTTTGGTAGACAGAATGCATTAGTCACCGCAACCTCTCAATGGGACTTTACAAAAGGGTCTCATTTAAAAATTGAGTCGAGTTGTCGGTATGACGATATTTAGGCGAATTGCTGAGCTGAAAACACCCTCTTTTCTTATTACCGGTTATCCATCTTCTGTTCATAGTGCGCCACCTCACTTTTTTTTTTCTGACACATAGGACATTGTGGACTCGATCATCATTAGCTCCAAGGTAGAATGCCGTGTATTTTTCTCGTCATTTTGGAATGAATAAACGGAAATAATGAAAGATGATGTATAAAAAATTGTATTTGCGATGACGCTCCGTGCCAATGAGAGCCGTGGCCGATTCTTTTTTTTGGACTTTTTTGTCACCGGCAATTGAGGTGTTGCCTTCAATGATGCAGATCATTCTGGTCATTTATGGCGAGAGCAATGATTGTTATTATGGCTTCTATTTCGAGTTTCAGATCTATACAGAGATGAACCAGTGCTGATGGGTTTCGTATCACACCAGTGAAAAAGTCAAGTTTAGTGCCACTTGTATAAATTCTTGCCGTGCTAATCACTGTAACATATTGTCTTTTTTGTTCCAAGCTTCCAGCATATGATAGCCATATGGAATCCCACACAACAGGATGATGCAGTATGCAAAGCATACTATCATTTTCATGTGAGCAAAACAAAACCTCCAGTGCTGATGAATGCGTAAATGTCGATCTGTTACGTAGTTTCCAGCAGCTTAGATGCACATCATCCAGCCTCCATACATTGTATAACCCTTGATCAGCGGTCACAATGAACTTTTTATTAACACGACGTGCCAAAGTACGGTGTGGACCGCTGGCTATTGCTTGGTTTTTTCAAGCGTCTCCTTAACTGAGCGTCTTAGGAAGAACTAAATATCTTGGTTGTGATATTCCACCTATATTGGCATGCAGTTCATGCACCCTGTTTGTTGGTGGCAACGCATGTAGAAAAACTGGTATGATGGTAGTGAGGTTGCATTTTTTGATGTATTTTACGTGTCATCATCATCATCAGGTTGTGATGACCCGGGGGAAGCGGAGTGTTAAACGGTGAAGGGCGCTAAAAAATTTCAGGTCACAAACCGCGTTGTGCTTGAGTTCCACTGAGATAGGCAAGCTTTATGTGGCAGCATCGTGCTTCATGAGAACATTAGAGGATGCTATTATAAGCGAAACACAGCTGTTGATAGACAATATTACTAAGGTATTAGATAACGTGAAACAATCGTCCGTGACAACCGAACCACTCATTGAGAAACGCATCCATAGTTGAATCAATTGGTCACTTCCACCAATGACACAGAGATCATTCACTTGATTGACAAACTGCGACGTGTGGAAAAGAAGATGTCACTTGTCTTCTTGTTTTTCAAAGCATCCATGTATTCGAATAATATCCGCCAACTAGAAGAATCGTATCCCGGAAAAGTCGACGAAACAAGTGGCACCAATCGACCGGTGTTCCGATAGATTCCTTGTCGATGCTCCAATAAGGCAGTTCTCCGATCTCACTAACTTGCTTACTTTGTTCGTCTATCTATCTATCTATCTTTTACTACCCTATATCATTCTCCCCGCTCCCCCCTAGTCCAATGCTATGCCTCACTGATTAAACACACCATTGGTTGTTGAAGCCTTCCTATTTTACTTTCATGTAGTCTGTGAAAGACGTTTGCTGTGGTTGTCTATCTATTGGCAAGGTAGTAGTCATCAAACAGTTCGTTGCACAATAAAAAGAACATGCTAGGTGCCGAATGTAACAAAAATGATCAATACCGTAACCCAGGACGACCTCTGATGCTTAAAATCCAATCACCTGTATGCTCAGTTAACGTTGAATAAAACATTGTTTTGATTTCATAGAAATGATTGCAAATACAGGAACAATCACTGTAAAGGAAGCAGATTGCGAAACATATACATAAAATGATTCAAAGCGGGAACATTTTGGGATACAACTAGATAACAGTGCGAATTTCTACTGTTTTTTGGGGGGTTCTTTTTTTCTTTCACTGCTTATTTGGCAGCTTCTTCCTTGGATTCAGCATCAGTCTTCTCGGCATCCTTCTTGGAATCATCTGCCTTCTTGGGCTCTTCCTCGGCCTTCTTGCCTTCATTGTTCTTGGGGTTCTCGGGGGAGGTAGCCCATTGTTGAGCCTAAGTTGAGACCATTTAACATATGAAGCTCAATCAAAACACATCATCCTTTTCAGTTCTTGTTTACTTACCGCCTTCTTGAAAGCCTATAAGGGTATCATAAGGATTATTGGAAGGGAAGGGAGAAAAAAAATATGGATTAATGACATGTGCGGGATGCAAACAAAAAAAAAATCAAAGCTCGGGTAGCGTGTCACTGAGTTGCCTAATTATTTTTTTCTCGCCCAGCAAAAAATTTTCCAGCAAAAGGACGCGTTGAACCAAAAAAAAATAAGAGGAAAAAAAAAAATAAGAGAAAAAAACTAATCCACTTGCCTCCTTATGTGAAAGACCAGGATTTTCAGACTTGATCTTAGGAAGTTCCTCCTAAAAGTGCAATTTTGCATTTTGTTAATGGATTTGTTTTGCTTTTATCCATCCTTTATCTCCCGTTCTTACCTTAATAAACTTGTTATAAGGGGACATTTTCTTGACTGCGCAGGAAGCGGTATTGTAAGTTATCGAGCATACAGGCTGGAAAGTCTCGTCATAGGCTTACCCTGATTCTTCTTAGTAACCTTATCCTTAGCCATTATGAAAAGTTTTCAAGCAGATATGATATTCCTTGGAAATGAAAAGATTGGGGTGATTTCCAATAATCGAAAAGAGGAAAAAGATTAGTAGAAATAGCTAAAATATGGAATCAGCCTTTTGTAAGCTAAGAGTTTTTCGGTTGCGAAATCACGCAGTGACTGTCATTCATCCCAAGCTGACAGTATATAAAAAAAAAAGTTCACCCCAGAATGCGTCAACCGCCCAATTAACCTTTTTTACCCTACGATGTCGCGAGACCATTTGGCTCAAACAGTAAGTCCATCTTATACAGTTATCGAAGTCCATACTGTTTCCTTTGCCCTTATTTTCTTTTTTTTCCTGTCAAATAGGGACTCTTTCGTTCTCCACAGAGTTTACTCCGAACATTGTGAAAAATGACGACATCTTTTTTCCCAAGTCAATAATATATTCATCTTATTTTTTTCTGCCCACCAAAGGTAACTCTTTGGGTTTCCATCCAACCGCCAGATGGAATAAAGACTAAAGTCAAATAGGCCCAAGCATCCCGCAAGGATGCACTGTCCGAAACTGACTTGCCAAGTCCCACGAACTCTAAAATGGGGTGGTGAAGGTAAAACTTTCTGGCGCCGCCAGCTGTGACTCTCAAACATGAATCGTTTCTCCAGTATCATTGGCGTTAACGTAAAATGAACCCGTCGAAAAAAAGTAACATAGTATCTCTTTGGGTGGGTTTTCGACAATGCCCATTCACCAACGATAGCGTAAAGAGCCTTTGCTTCTTATTGGGGGACCGGACAACTTTACCAAATAAGGAATTTGTGACGTTGCTGTAACCCCCTTTCTCCTTAGTTCAAAGGTTCTTTCGAAAGAGGGATGACTCGATCAAAACAAGGAATGACTACGACTCACGCGAGTCATTGCATCTTATTCGTCTTGATATTATTTCTTATCGTGTATGAAGCAAAACAGAAAATGTATAGGTACCTTTTTTTTTCGGTCAGCATCAGTCGGGTTGAGGCACGAAAATAATATTGGGATCGGAGAATATGACCATAGATGACGTCTCGGTTATCAATCAGGACGAATCATCTATAAGAGATTAGAAGCTATGACCATATGGGAAGGTCCTATAAAAAGGCACAACTGATATGAAAGGTCTCCATTGGTGAATTGAAACAAATACTTGTTGAACTTTTGGTTCCCAAAAGTCTGGGCTTATCATCCTTTTTCAAAAAAAAAAAAAAAATGCAATTCGCTGGCTTGAATCTCCGATAGGAAAAAAACAATCGTCTACGAAGAGACATTGTTCAGACCTTTTTACGAGTAATTTGTAATCGTTGGTGTATAGTGTGTCATTTGTTGTCCCATTGGACCTACCGAGAGGGAAATGATTATCCACCGTGTATCATCAAATAAGTACCATATGAACACCAAAAAATCTGAGATAGCATTACAGGAAATAAAGTTTGAAAATAGGGTTGCCTGATTGGTGTTGATCACAGCGCCATAATTTTTATTGCGTTACAATGCTGAGGCTGATCGTTCTGTTCCAAAACAAAGGAAGAGCAACGAACGATAACATGCCATTTCAACACTGGCAAGCTATCAAGGAGTCTCTACAAACCCTTTGGCAAAAAATAATGCGCCTTTGGCATTCATCAGAGCACCCGATTCTAGAATGATCTGGAATGTGAATCCTCGCGAACTTATGGTTCCTAGATCCCCTATCCTTAACCACATTGACTGTTTATCTATCACCTCGGTCTCCATTGCCGAGCAAGTAAACAATTTGCTCATCACCGATTAAATGAAGCTCCATTTTTCAGAAAGACCGAAATCCTACCCTGCGCGGTAACGCAACTCGTTCAATGCCCATTTCTCTTGGCTGATACACTGGCTCAATGAGGAACCCAAGTTATCAGCATTCGTACTTTTTCTATTCAGTTAGTACAAGAGTGGAAAAAGAGGTTGTGCCTTGATATTATTGTGAACAATCATACTCAATAAACCGGATCTATAATGGCTTGAATAGTGTCAATTTATCATTCAATTGTATGCTGCAGGTTATCGGTTATCCCATTAGAGCTTTTACTGCTTTTCATTACAAGATAACAAGATTTATTATGGGGAAAAACACCTCAATTTTTGCTCATTTCTGAGGACTCCTCATAAAGAAAAAAATGCATCATGGATATTTAGCCGCGAATGTAAATCCGTGTACTACTACAGATAGTGAACATGAACTATTCCAGTAAAGTAGGAAAGATGATCAGTTTCGGTGTTTAATAATACGCTGCATCTTGGCTCGCTGTTATCCTTCTTTTGCACCAGCTTTACAAGGCCCATAACTCTTATTTATATTATTTCATTTCATTTAAACTGATGGGTATCCCATATGAAGGATGATATGGGTATTCCTTTTCAAATCTGGGGTGTGCGGGGAACGGTTCTCAGGTTTCTTCCTTGGAAGACTCATTTCATTCCATAAAAGGCAATTGGAGTCACAGGAAACCGGAAGAACGTGATTTTCGGGAATTTGCATGTCTGGGATTTTTGGAAGGTTTCCACAATTGGTTGCTGCTTTTTTGGCTCTCGACTTTTTCGACTTCAATGTCACAGGAAGACCCAGACGTCGACTTGCGGAATCTTACATATACCGATAATATCAACGCCAATCTTATATGCTGCATATGTCAATCGCCGTTTATTGACCCAGTCATTTCTCCTTGCGGGTAAAATTGCTTTGACGAATAAACTTAGCTCATCGAATTGAAGAAACTCAACATACTGTTCAACCGTAGGCATACTTTTTGCAGGACATGTATATGCAAGGCGCTTGAAACATCGGACATTTGCCCCATTGATCGATCGGCTTTATCGTTATCTGAGCTGCAACCTGCAGTGAAGATCGTTTGTAACATGGTGAACGAATTGAGTGTTTATTGTCCGCGGGCGGAACAAGGTTGTGAATACACTGGACAACGTCAGTTAATTCAAGGTCATTTGAAACACGATTGTCTTTACACATTGGCAGCTTGTCAACAAGAAGAATGCAAGGAGCTGGTTCTCAAAAAGGATATCCATCGTCATGCCGAAACTTGTAAATATCGAAGGGCACAATGCAACATGTGCAAAAAGCATATGCGGGCATTTGAATTAGAGGTAAAATCATTCGAGATTTTTTTTTTTTTTTTTTTTTTTTGGTGAGCATACGTGGATTGGTTGACTCAAACATTAACGGACGACGGTCTACTTAGGATCATCATAAACTTTGTCCCGCAGAAACCATCCAGTGTCCTCACTGTAACTCTTCACGGTCGAGATCGCAACATGCAGCGCATTTAACGGTGTGTCCTCAACACCCTGTTTCTTGTCCCCATGCAGAATTTGGATGTCAGTGGACCGGCGAACGACAACAACTTGAAACAACTCATATTGAACACTGTGCTTACGAAGGGATTAAGCACTATCTGTACAAGCAAAAAGAACGAGAACAGACGTTGCGTGACGAATTGCGGTTGGTGCGATCGGAAAACGATGTATTGAAACGGCGTCAAGGAGAACTGCATCAACACATCGAATCACTTACGGATCAATTGTCGTTACTGCTACCTCAAGATCCCGGCTTGCCAGAAGAAGCGCGACCGAATTTGCAACATTCTGTCTTGAGCGAAACACGCCGACTAAAAAACGAAGTCGACGAACTGTCCGCGAATATGCAGTCCCTCGAATTGAAGCAGAATGTGGCCCTGATGGAAGAGACGTTTCGATTGCAAGAAGAAATGCAAGCACTAAGGGCGATATGCCATGGTATGCGTATGCAAATGCATTTTGTCATGATGGAACGAAGAGGAAGCAACACGGCCTCTTCCAGTACTTCTGCACCTGTGGTGAGCAATTCGACATCCTCTGTCACCGATACCAACGCATCCATTTCGGCCCTAAGTCGAATGCGCTCTTGGCTTGGTAACGTTTCTCCTGATACTGAACCACAATGAGTGTCATCAAACTAACCTCCATCATAGATACGTCCGGCATCCGACAGGAAACCAAACTGTAGAGTCACTACTTCTTTTTTTTTTTTCCCAATTCAATCCGATTTTTTATACCATCTTCCGATCCACCTTGATGTCCCATTCTTTTCTCTTTGTTCTTACTCCTCTTTCCCTCATCTTCCTCAATTACTTTAATTCTACTATATGCATATAAAGTATATAAAATGCAGAGATTATTCATGATGTGCAGATGTGTTTTATTTTTTTATTTTCAAGTTGGGCGTGTGATTGCATTTAGAAATGACGATGACGGGAGGGGGAGACTAATTTATTCCTCATCTTCCTCGTCGTTGCCACCGGCAGCAGCAGCGGCTCTCTTTCTCTTAACACGACCGGCACGACCGCCACCATAGGGAGAGGTCAAAGCAAAATCGATGTGCTTCTGGGATTCCAAACGGACAATGAAAGAGGGAACGTTGACAATCTGCTTACCAACGCGGATGTGACGTTGACGGATCAAGACACGGGCGTGATGGATAGACTTGGCCAAACCGAGCTTGAAGACTTGAGTCTGGAGACGGCGCTCCAAGAAGTCCTCAATCTTGAGACCCAAGACGTAATCGAGCTTCATGCGGGTTTCGTCCAAGACACCGATGCGAACAAGACGACGAATCAAGGCATTACCTTCGAAAAGACGACGAGGGTCCTTTTCATCCAAGGTCAAAAGCTCACGAGCAGCACGACGAATCTTGGAAAGAGTCAAACCGACGCGCCAGACTTCCTTCTTGTTCTTGAGACCGTATTCACCAACGAGCTTCAATTCAGCATCGAGGCGGGCGGACTCGAAAGGACGCTTGGGAACCTTGTAGGTCTTGGAGTCTATACAAAACAAAAAAAGGGTCAGTCAACTTGAAGCTTTTTTCCAGGAACCATTGCATGGCAGAAAAAAAAAAGGAAAAAACGCTTACAGTTTCTGGAAGCACCGGTCATGGTCGATTACAAGGAAAAAAGAGGAAGTTCCTTCGATTGTGTACCTGCTTTCCCTTTGTCAGAAAAAAATTTTTACCAAAAAAAATTGGCTTCTTGTTGACATCACCTTTTTTAGCCAATCAAAATCCTTCTTTTCGGTTATTGTATTTTTCTTTTTTTTATTGGCGCTCACTGCCTGATACTGTGAATTCTTTCCTTCTCTCTTCACGCTTGGGATAAATAGAGTACGTTTGCTTTGGAAATCAGGACAAAATCTCGGATTAATCCACAGACATGGTGACATTATATCTATGGCGCCATGGATTGGTCCGAGGTTCTCCATTGTAAAAATAGTCCAGTTTTACTGATCTTTGTATTTGTTTTTAGAAATGCCTCACTCGTTTGGTCGTAAGTGGCTGTTTTACGGAATTGGCATTTGAGTGGTTTTAGTAGGACAGCCTCGGTGACCCATACTTCTTTTTTATAGTTCGTGCTCGTACCCGCCACATGTTCTCGCGCAAGTTCCGCGAGCATGGTGCCATTCCCTTGTCCACCTACTTGAAGACCTACAAGGTCGGTGACATTGTTGACATCAAGGCCAACGCTGCTGTCCAGAAGGGTATGCCCCACAAGTTCTACCACGGGTAAGTTGGAGAAAGGGATTTATTGCATTGTGTATATATTGCCGATGCGATCAGGTCGGGGGTCGGTTGACTGGATCAAAAAATACTTAACTTTGGATCCCAATGCAACAGTCGTACTGGTGTTGTCTACAATGTGACCAAGTCTGCTGTGGGTGTGATTGTCTACAAGCGTGTTGGCAATCGTTACATGGAGAAGCGCGTCAACCTCCGTGTTGAGCACGTCAAGCACTCCAAGTGCCGTCAAGAATTCTTGGACCGTGTCAAGGAAAATGCTCAGAAGAAGAAGGATGCCAAGGCCAAGGGTGTCCAGATCAACCTCAAGCGTATCCCTGTCCAACCCCGTGAAGCTCGTCACGTCTCCACCAAGGCCAATGTTCCTCAGACCATCACCCCCATCCCTTACGAGACTCTTTTGTAAAAGCTGTTATTTTTTTTTGTGAAAAAAAAAATCCAACTCTTTGAGCTTGACCTTCTTACAAACTTTGCAAGCTTTTTTTTCTTATTCCTTTTATAATGGGCTAGCTGAGACCGAGCCATGTATTGAATATTTCAAACGACGCTCATCTGTGGATGGATACTATCTTGTTGAATTCATTGATGTTTTACTTGTTTGTTTTTCCTCTGTGATTTAAGAATAAGATGAAAGATATTGAAACTGATAAAGATAATGATGGAAGACACAGAAAGAAGGGTTTTATTCCGTCTTTTTCCTCTTTCGCAACGTACTCAAACGCTAGTATAAAACTCATGCACTTGATGGTCGATAAGATAACTGTATCATGGGTAGATTCAGCGTAGGGTGCATAAAGTTCCAATAAAAGGAAAAAGAAGTTGTCAACTTTGGTTCGTTATCGCGGTCGCGCCAATAACGATAAAGAGTTTGATTCCAACCTTTTAAATGGTTACTATACAACAAAAGATACGTGGGGTGGGAATGCCCAAATTCATGGCAACATCTGAAATGGGTGGATATTTTATGTTATTCAGCATTTGACAATGGCTGATCTAATCAAATAATGAAGAATTGTTTTTATTGCATTTAAACATGCATTTTAATTTGATTTACACTTTTTCAGTCTTCTGAGCGCGTACAGCATTTCGTCTGAAAACACTGGATTTGATGAATTTACCTTGATTTGCTGTTGACATGTAATGAGTATACGTTTGGGTTATCGCAGCATTTTCTTCTTCAAATTCCCCAAAGCTACTTTTTGGTTAATTACTCTTTCCATTTTCAGCGCAAGCGCAGTGTTCTCGATTCGGTATTTGTATATCTTTTGACGTTTATGTGGATAGGTTGGAGGGGTTCTCCAAATGCTGAGCATGTCTTGGACCTTCAGTATGCGCTCTAACCTATTTGCAACACGACCAGTGTCTCTCGAACACATCAAAGTCTTTAGGTTGCTTAATATGCAGTGCGCAAGTCTTAGGTCGTGCTACAAGTGCGGTACGATGTAGTAGGACAGTGACAGTGTTCATCAAGACCATTCTCTTTGCTTGTGTTGGCAATGGTTCTGACACCTCGTGCTGGTAAAAACTGAAAGGATAGTGTGGTCCACTAGTTTTTATTTTCGGATAGTGCTACATTTGACGGCTTGAGAAGGACACGGGTATTAATTTTTTTTGAAACTGCGCTGATTCATGTAAAAATGTTCAATGGACCTGATTTTTATTCAAAGCACGACGTTATGGCATGTGCAGCGTTCTGTTATTGGGCGTGAAAGGATCTGGTGAAAAATAAAAAGGGTTTTTTTTGGGATACGGGAAAAAAAACCTTATCAAAAAAAAAAAAAAAAAAAAGCTCCTGCAACGCACGAAAAAAAATAAATATGGCTGGGCGTTGAGTGTAGGTCAGGAGAAGGATTGGGAGAGGAACTCCCCCTTCCCCCTGTGCACCCTATTCGGAATACAAGCGCGTGTTGTCGCTCCAAATCGATCCGCCAAATTTATTTCAGGCTCACTATTTCGTGCTCAGTCCTCCTTTTCTCAGTTCCTTTTCAGTCGCTCGTGAGTTGGCTACATCCTTTGTATCTCTTTTCTTTTTCTTCACTTTAGTTTCCCTTATCTTTATATTCCAGGTAGGATTGGTGGGAATAGAAAAAACCCACTCGCAATCGAAAAAAAACTTATTCAACCAACCTTCTCTCCGTTTTCCGCAGTCTACTGTTTGTCTTTTGGATCACTTGCCCTAATCGCCGTTCATCATGAGAGAAATCATTCACGTTCAAGCCGGTAAGTTCATCTTTTAAGAGATGGGGGAAAAGAGTTGGTCGGGTTGCTCGGGAAACTGAACGTCTTGATATTGATCCTTGCTTTTTCCAGGTCAATGTGGTAACCAAGTAAATACATGGAAAAAAAGAAGACGATGTTTTTCGTGCTGATTTTCTCGGTCATACTAAAGTGATGGCGTTTTTCTTTATTTAGATTGGTCAGAAATTCTGGGAGACAATCTCGCAAGAGCATGGCCTTGATCCGAACGGCGCATATGCTGGAGACAATGATTTGCAGCTTGAACGTATCAATGTGTACTACAACGAGGGTTCAACAGGACAATATGTGCCAAGGTAACCATTTCTTTTTTTCCTGTATTTTTTTTTGGGGACCTTTTTCCCGGGGATGATCCCTTTGTATCCCCTTTCTTCTTTTTCTTTTTTTATTCTCCAACTCCTAACGAGTTACTTGTCAACTCACCCATGCCTTTGTGAAATAGAGCTGTTCTGGTAGATTTGGAACCCGCAACAATGGATGCTCTTCGTAGCAGCCCTTACGGCAAGCTTTATCGTCCCGATAACTTCATTTTCGGACAATCCGGTGCGGGTAACTCATGGGCCAAAGGTTATTACACTGAAGGTGCCGAATTAGTTGAATCGGTGTTGGACGTGGTTCGTAAGGAAGCCGAACACACCGATTGTCTTCAAGGTTTCCAGCTCGCTCACTCATTGGGTGGTGGTACCGGTTCCGGTCTTGGTTCATTGTTGCTTTCCAAAATCCGTGAAGAGTACCCCGATCGCATGTTGTGTACCTACTCTGTTGTGCCATCGCCCAAAGTGTCGGACACCGTGGTCGAACCTTACAATGCTGTGTTGTCGGTTCATCAGCTTGTTGAGAATTGTGATGCCACCTTCTGTATCGATAACGAAGCTCTGTATGACATTTGTTTCCGCACACTCAAGTTGAGCAACCCTGATTATGGCGAGTTGAATCAGTTGGTGTCTGCTGTCATGTCGGGTGTTTCCACCAGTTTGCGTTTCCCCGGTCAGCTCAACTCTGATTTGCGCAAACTTTTCGTGAACATGGTGCCTTTCCCGCGTCTTCACTTCTTCATGGTTGGTTTCGCTCCTCTTACTGCTTTGAACTCGCAACAGTACCGTAACTTGAGCGTTACCGAGTTGACGGCTCAAATGTTCGATGCACGCAACATGATGGCCGCTTCCGATCCTCGTCACGGTCGTTACCTTACCGTGGCCACCATTTTCCGCGGTCGCTTGTCTACCAAAGAAGTTGAGAACCAGATGCTCGCCGTACAACAAAAGAACTCGTCTTACTTTGTGGAATGGATTCCCAATGGTGTCAAGACCTCGTTGTGTGACATTCCTCCTGTGGGTCTCAAGATGTCCGGTACTTTCATTGGTAACAGCACGGCTATCCAGGAATTGTTCAAGCGTGTCAATGATCAGTTCACGGCCATGTTCAGACGCAAGGCTTTCTTGCATTGGTATACTGGTGAGGGTATGGATGAAATGGAATTCACTGAAGCCGAATCCAACATGAACGATCTCGTCTCGGAATACCAACAATACCAAGAAGCTACAGCTGATGATGAGTTATTGGAGGATGAAGAGGAATATGGTGAAGAAGAGGCCGTTCTTGACGAAGAATAGATACCATTGTCTTTTTTCTTTATATTTTCTTTTCTTCTAATCACACTTCCACATATCATCCAAGCACCTTTCCAATTACTTTTAATATGTAGTTTAAAATACAAATGAATGCCCATCGACAAAAGGAAAAAAAAAAGCACGAAAAAAAAGAAAGCGCAAGAGTCCAAAGTTAGTTCACCCTTTGGGGTTTCTCTGCAAAAGAAGATGCCCAATTTTTTTTTTCTCTTTCATCATGTCCACCCTATTATGCTTTTATGATAACAATAAAAAAAACATTCGAGTTTCAAAATAAGTTTGCGCAATCAAAGAGACTACAGGCTATTTTTCTACAATAAAAAGGGCATTGAATGAAGACTAAAGAATACGACACTTCATTTCTGTGCATCGTGTATATCAAGCATCGATCAGGGTAAAATTATGTACCACTTTGATAATGTCGTGTAGCGAGGCCAAAACAAAGTAACGCCATCGGGCTATTTTGGTGTAGTCCACCTTTTGCAAGACTGATGAATGTTCTCTTGAATCAGCTCTTATGATAAATAAGCGACACGTTGATAGAGATGTTTATGCTATTCGGTCAGTATGACGAACAACCTGAGTAAAATCAAATTTCTAGCATCCTGTCGAAGGATCAGCATCAAATAAGCGGGGGCAACTGGGATGATGGGGAATCTTGAATAATAGGATCCTTGTCGCTTCTCTATACCAAATTCTCGCAGAAAAAAGGGTAATGGATGAGTGATGAAGAAGCTGTGGGTGAGGGGCAGCAGAAACCGAGCGGTCTCATGCAAGCTCTTTTGTTTCCAAAAAAATCTCGCACAAGTCACGCTTGTGTTCCGTGGTTGATCACTCTTTTTCTTCCCGAACCCCATTTTGTATATAGCATGAACCGCTCTTCACTTGAATTCCCTGAATCCTTGGAAGACAATCCCTTTGCCGATGTTTTATCACCGCATCGACCGTCTTTTTCGCCATCGGCATCCACTTCTCCCGAAGTAAACCACCAAGACCTGCCGTCGCTCACCGAGCAACAGCAAGACCAACAACAACACCACCACCACCACCACCAGCAGCCAGAACCCGTGGATGAAGCGTTGCAAAACGATACCCAGACACTATCCACCAATGTCAGTGCAACAGAAACGACCAAAGGAGCTTTAGACGCCAACGCGGAAGAAACACTCCACGACACTATGGAGCACATGTCCTTATCACCTCCGCAATCCACTGATCTTCAAGCGTCGAACCAACCAACACTGCTTCCGACAGTGGCGGACACCGCTTCTACGGAAGACTATGATACCCAATCAAGAGACGATAACGAGACTACGGAGGTGCGTATTCTGGCTTAGTCAACTGTTGCGCATTTATTTTCATTTTTGCTAAACTTGTGAACCTAGTCGCAGTCATTCGAGATTCCCAAGAGCGGTGTACGTCCATTTTTTGAAGTCTCAGTAGAGGATCCTCAAAAAGTAGGCGACGCTATCAATGCGCATATTGTATACAAAGTCAAGACAAAGGCAAGTATATACAATAGGCAACCGATCTTCTAGAAATCAAGTCAGTTTTCTAAGCAAAGCACAAATCCACTACAGACCAATTCGCCCGCTTTTCGGTCTTCGGAATTTGTCGTGGCTCGACGTTATCGCGATTTTTTATGGCTTTACAATCAGCTTGTCCTCGGTAATCCTGGAGTCATTGTACCACCCGTGCCTGAAAAACACGCCTTGGGTAAGCCAGAGCAAAATAAGCGATCGGTTACAAGTGATAAGGCCCAGGTATTCATCATTCCCGTGTGGGGGAAAAAAAAGGTCGTTTTCAGGATGAATTTGTAGAATCGCGACGCATTGCTCTCGAACGCTGTCTGTCGAAAATTGTATCTCACCCCATGCTGTATGGCGACCCAGATCTCAAAGTCTTTTTAGAAAGCGAATCTTTTAATATTGAGGTAACTACGCTATTTTCTAACTCGGATAGACTGACGTTACTGAAATGGGAGTGCGGATTAGAAACGTCAAAAACGCGCTGAACCTGAAGCACCCAAAGTCAGCTTTATGCGATCTTTTGGTGAAACACTCACCAATGCGGCCACCAACCCATTTTCGAAATTTGTCGAGGTCGATGATTGGTTTGCTTCCAAAAAGAACCAGCTGGATGCGCTCGAGAATCAACTGAAAGCCTTGCTCAAAAGTGTTGAAGGTCTTGTAAAACAAAGAAAAGGTATAAAGAAAAACAAAGTTTTGAAAAAATACCACCATTCTACAATTCAAAGTTAACACAAAAGGATGATCAGATTTGGGTGGCGCCATGGCTGATTTAGGCGAAAGTATGTTGCCCCTGGCATCGGCAGAACTGGATAAGAACTTGTCAACCCATCTTACTATCCTCGGAGATGTTCAAAAGCAAATGAAAAACTTGCATGAGCAACAGGTACTGATCCATTTTTCTTGCGACGCTGTTGTGTGGGCTGGTCAAGTATGCTAATGTGATCTGGAATTTATCACTAGGCTCAGTGTGACATTTTAACACTGGAACATACGATTGACGAATATATTCGTATTATCATGTCCATCCGGGTAACTTTTCAAAGGTTCACAGAAAGAGAAACTGAGACTAACAATGGCTTTCATTTCATTACAGCTAGCTTTTAATGCACGAATTAAAGCGTATCAGATATGGCAGCAAGCCGATTCCGAGCTGCAAAAGAAGCAGGCATTATTAGAGAAACTCAAGAGCCAACCCAAACCAAAAGCTGAGAAAGTAGCTTCGGCAAATCAAGAGATCATTGACCTAAAGGGCCGAGTAGAAGAATACGAAAAAGAATTTGAAGATATCTCCAAACTGATCAAGAGTGAACTGGAGCACTTCGACAAGGAGAAAGTCGAGGATTTCCGGGACAGTGTGGACCAATTTCTAAGCACCATGGTAGAGCACCAAAAACAGGTACATGTTTGCAGACATTGCTGTGACAGTCAAAGAACCATCCTTACAGGAAAAAATTATTTAGGTCATCGCTGTATGGGAAAGCTATTTCGAACAAACCGAAGGATTGCAACTGGAGAATGACGATGAAGCCAATCTTTATGAAGAAGAAAATGTTTAGGTTCACGCACACTCTCCGTAACTTTAACCCAAGGGATCTACGCATATAATGTTGGATAAATACCTTTGATAGGCAAGGCGGTAATTGCGCCGACCCTTTATAATTCATCGTTCCACAGACTTTTTTAATCGCTCTCAACCACTGATACCGTGTTTTATTTTGGGGGACGACTTTTGCCACATGTTCCTTTCCGTCTGTCACATCTTTTAATGCAATGTTATGAACTACGACAAAAACATGTTCCCATTAGCGTATGAAACAGTTTCTTTCACCGGGAGCAAATAAAAAAAAAAATGATTGGTGGAAAACCTTTCCCAAAAAAATATAAAAAATCGAGGCTACCAGGGGTCGAACCTGGAATCTCCTGATTCGTAGTCAGGCGCCTTATCCATTTGGCCATAGCCCCTCATATTTTTTGAGAATCAGAATGTGTTAGACAAACCCCAAAATGCAGTCACTGTGACGTCATCATCACGTGATTGTGAGCGTTGTTAGGGTGATGTGATTGGTTAGAATCAAAATGTAACATCAACTCCATAGTTTGAATTGCGCTGGCCATGGGGCATTTTCTTTGGATCATCAGTAATCTTTCGAGGTTCGTTAAAAATGGGCAGTAACGTACAACGAAGTGGCTGAATGGAGTCTGTAAATCAAATGGAGGGTACGGTGCTTATTTCTTACTGCTCTAATTTTTTTTTTAAGAATGAGATCGACATTGTTATTTATCTTTTATGCTGTCGCCAAGGATACAGTATTGGTCCTCGGCGATATTCATTCTTGTCATGAATGGAGTTAGGATTGCTCCTCGAGATTCATTTTATAATGTCAGTACTATATCTTTGTTGTTTATTTTCGCATTATTGGAAGTTTTAATCCTATTTCTATTTGTTTCTGGCGTATCACTGCAGATTAAACAGACTGGAATAAGAGTGCCACATGCACGATTACATTTTTATCTTGAGATTGATGGATGCTCTACTCTTTCGATCTGAAATTTTGAAAAAGAGAGAGATTGCATTGTATTTGTTTTATTTTAAACTTCCGCGTGATGCATAGGGAATCTTGATCCTGGCAACCGTGGCCAATCTCGACGGGTGGGATAATGAAATTGCCGCTGCCTTAGCCTTCGGTGTGATTCTTGACGTGCCAACTGTGAATAATACATTTGCCGCCGCCTTTCTTCAAGAATTCCCGTGGAACAAGGGCGTCGGATAGGGTAATCATAGTCATCGTCATATATGTAGGGGTAACCCATCCCCGGTTCAGATTCGAAATCCTCCTCTTCCTCGTATATTTCATCTTCGTCCTCTTCCATCATATCTTGGTATTCGTCAAAGGTATCTTCGTCTTGTGAATGGTCGTTTTCGGCGGCTGGGTATACAAATTGTTCGGGCGGAAAGGTTGAAAAACGAACCTTCTTTTTATCTCCCTGCAAGGGCGATAAAACGGTATATTGAGGCTGTTTTCGGCGAATGCGATGTGAGGTAGATGGAGAAGAGGATGAAGGTGCGTCCGTCGGTATGACCTGCACAGGTTTTCGTTTTACCATGGGTTTGGATGGTTCTAGTTTCGATGGCTTGGTTGACGCCAAGTCATGATGTGGCTGCGGTTGGTCTTGGCGCTGTTGGTTTTTATTGGGTGGCTGCTGCTGCTGCTGCAAAGGACTGGACGTCGATAGGGTGGGTGAGAAGTGACCGGGCATGAAATTCATGGGCGGACCGTATTGTGCAAACATTTGAAGTGGAATACCATAGTACATGTGTGGATTACTTGGTTGCAGAGGCATCATGTTGCCATAGGGTAACGGGGATGATGTTGACGATTGAGGTTGCGGTTGTGAAGGAGACATCAATGACTCTGGCATGGCGTTGGACATGAGGCGGGCTAACCATGCTCCGTGGGTTTTCAGAGGATAGATTCCAGCTGGTAGTGATTGTTCGGGCCAGGAACGACGATCGAGAACCACCAGGTCCACTGTACGATCGCGACGTTCATCACGAACGATCAGTTGCTTGTCTTTGGTGTCGACGCCTGTGACTGAAGGATGAAAAAAAATGACCACCGTTTATTTTATTTTTTCATCTCTGTACATGATGGATAACTGTCTGTCTCGTTATTTTTATTTAACTTACCCAAGATTACCGGAGAATATCCGCTTGGGGTGGTTTCCCTTCGTATCACGATCTCGGGGGTTGGATTATCGCTGGTGCAGACGACGTGCAGAAGAATGGGCTCGTGAGGGCCAAAGTCAGCCGTACTGTTGAACACCTTGGGTTGATCCAGTTTGAATAATAAATAAATAAATAAATGAACAAATATAAAAAAGAAAAAAAAATATCGAGATGGACGAACTGAAAAGAAGCTTTTTTTTTTCTTTTTTGGTTGGCTTTTTGAAAAAGATTGAACACATGTACCAAAATGGGATTGTTTATCCTTGCACTTTGCTGCACAAGGCTGCCTATTTAGGAACATCCGACCTGGATGTTATTGGGGAGCCCTCTTTTTTCTTTTCATAACAGCGCCAACCAAAAGATTACGTGCTGGCCAACATTGGTCAAAGAATAAATAACCTTTCCCATATTTACATTTTGTCTGTAAAAATAGTTCCAATGCACGTTCCACCGACTAAATGCTTGCTTGTGATACACCTATTTTCTCGTCACCTATATGTCACTCTATTCTGCTCGTCCAACCTCAGAAAAAAAATAAACTAACAATATAATGAACTCGACAACTTTTAAAAGGCTTTATGTATTTTGTCGGTTTCACATGGACATCTAAAACCAGCGAGAGGACTAGAGAGATTGAATGAAACTTTTGGATTTTCACGGCAATGAATTCAATGGTATAAACTCACAAAGATGGTCGTCACGGCCTTCAAGTTGGTACGGTTGTTGGACGCGTCGTTGGTATCATTCACGGTATCATGGGTCCAGTCGAGTCAGAAGTTTCTGACACAATGAACCGTACGTATTTCAAAATAAATTGTATTTTACAAGGTGGACATGGTCGCTCCTTTCAAGTTATTAACTATTATACAAATGGAAGAAAAAGGATGGAAAAGGAAATCGTTGTTTTGTTCTAGCGTTCGTTTTTCTGACATGTCGCTAAATTCGGGGCCGCTGTCAAATAGGCGTAGATTGGTAGCAGTTTTTGGCTGAATTATGGTTTTGGGTCCCTGAGAGCGGTAGTTTTGGTTGGCCTGGTGATCTGTGCTACCAAAAGGTAAATATCGAAATTCGAAAGAAAAAACAAAGGTGGTCCAGAATGAATGAAACTGAAAACTTACAAGAGATGATTTAGCTGATTTTGGATAGGAGGAAAGACGCGGACGGATGGATGGATCAATATCTGTCGAACTCGAACTGCTGTCACTGGGTCGATATTTGAAGCGACGATTGCCCAGGGTGGCGGTCGTGGTATCGGGTTTTTTGATGACATGTTGCCGTGTCTGGTGCAATGATTTATCAGGTATGGTGGTTCGTGACGGAGGTATTGGCTTTCTCGGACGTCGTCGAGGCATGACGCCTACATCTTTAGGTTCGCTAGGTTGCCGCAGTGGTGATTGACTGGTACTTGAAGAAGGCCTTTCGTGTAGTGGAGTTATACGAGGACTGATGGCTGACGCTTCGTAGGATTTGGATGTTTTTGGATAGTTTTCATCCGACCGTGATGAGTGTGAGGAGGCTACACTGCGGTTACTCTACAACAATCATGATAAGCGTCGCCAATACAATTGAGCTTGTGCCAAGGGATTTTTGGATGAAAAGTATTTTACCATGTATCTGCTGGTAACGTTATTGGTGGACCAAGGATTCTCGGTACCAATCTTTTCGATATACGGTTCTCCATAGACCAAAAAATGAGATCCATGGGTGACGTAATGCTCCTGAAGAGCGCCTTTCAATTCCCTTTCCACCTATCAATTGAGAAACAATGCAATTCATTTTTCTGAAAATAGCACACGGGGTCTTCCCTCTTATACCTTGGGCAATTCGCGAGAGACTCGTTTGCGGAACTTTTCTTCTCTCAGTAGGCGACCCGGGTCTCTGTGGCTTTTGGTAAGTAACCGAGACGGATCGTTAGTGGTTGCCTAGAAACCATATTCAATCGATAAGCATGGGAAGCGATAAAAAGTCAAGAAAATATTCCTGTTTACTTTGAAAGCACGAATTTCCTCTATCAATTTCATATGGCGATCAACCCGCTCGAGCATGTATTTACGATCTTCCACCAGCAATTGCAATTTGGATATTTGGCTTTCATGCTCTTCAAGTAATTCATCGGAATATTCATCTAACGAGCACGAGTGATTGAGCACAAAAGGACAAAGTGGGGCGCGACATTGGTTTGGTTTACCTGTAAATGCTGCTCCAAATTCTCGACGTTCGTCATCCGAAAAATATAAAATACTCCATAGTCTCGCGATTTCCTTGCGAGCTCCTGCAATGAAATCACCAATTCGTTTCTCTTTTAATTCGATCATGCGTTCTAATTCGCTCTCATACTAAGTCATAGGTTGAGCGACATTCACGTGCCTTTTTCCATGTCTGGCTAGCTTTTTCATACCTCTTGAAGGTCGTTAGAAGTAAGTCCGTGATGTTGAGCCATAAATTGCTCTTGCTGTTGTTGGTCAATGCTCAAACGTTGCCAAAGAGGTATGAGCTTCAGGGAAATTTCGTTTTTACGGAATTCACGTTGTTGTTTGATTTCATCAAGCTATCAATATAAATAAATGAGTACACCGACTGCAAGTTTGAAATGATTTCCTATACAAAAAGAACCCGTTACCTGCAGTATACGTTGTCTCACATATCGCATGCCGTCATCACTGACAATCTGCAGATACAAATCGTTTTTGTTGTCGGTCGTTTCCGTGAAAGCCAGTTGGTGCAAGATGCGGTCTTCTTCGTTTTGCGGTTCTACATCAAGCAGTGTCCATAGCTGCACCACTTCTTGGATCTTTGATTGTATGTAACGCACACGATGATGCTGTACTCAAAAAGTGCATGAGCATATCGTTTTTGACGGTGAGTGGATCGACTTACAAATTCTTCGTCACATCGTTTGACTTGGGCTTCCAAGGCCGTCAGTTTCGGTAGCGACACATCAATATCTTTCTCTTCTTTTAGCAATTCCGAATCAATAAAACCTCCCAAAGGGATTGCGTAGTTTCGCAGTTTGTCGTGCAGTGCTTAATTTAAACAAGGCAAAGATGAGCCATTGGGCGTTAAATCAAGCAAAGGTGCAATTGTCATAATATAGGATAGCTTACTTTTCACTTTGTTCAGTTTTTCATCGTATCCCTGGTATCCAAAATCCAAGTCAAGCCGTCAATAACTGTTCTCTCTCATATAATACGCATATTCTATACTCGCACCTTTTTCAGTTCCACTTCCTGTGCTTTCAAATCGGCCAACTGGTCGTTTAACGACTTGTGATCAGTAACAGGTGGGCTAGGGTGGGGCACAAAATCACCCATGAGTCGCTTCAGTTTGGCCATTTGATGGAGGGCTTGGTCCCTTTGTTGGCGTAATGTGTCCCGTTGGGTGGTGAGATCGTGTACGTGTTGGTTGGTGAGCTGGGAAATCGCTTGAAACAGCGCGACCTTGTCGTCGTTGATTTGATTGTAAGGTGTGCCGATCTCTCGATGAAGACGAGTCAACGTGTCCAACGCCTGGTTCAATTCGGAAACCAGAGTTTCTGTTGACATTCTGGTGTGGTTTGAAAAATGGCGCAATGTATTGAACGATTGAAAAAGGAAAAAAAAGGAGGAAGCAGCAAGAACAAGAAAAAAAAAGGGCCTGTGGACTTCTTTTTTGATTTCCAAAACTGGCAATCAAATTGGGTTATGTCCTGTGAAAGCTCACTATCTCTTGCTTCACAATGAATATCTTGCCTTCTTTCACTTGATTATCCATTATGCTGCTGAGAATCGGTGCAAGAGAGAAAAAAATAAAAATAAAATAAAAATAAAAGACGTTTCCACACAGTTTTACGCGCTTTCCACAAAATGTTGTACGAACAATGGTTTTTTTTTTTGGTTTTTTTTGGTTTGTTTCTAAATGGTCAATCAAATCTTACATACAAGTGGTTGTGTGAGTGATCTATACATGTTTACAGTGCTTGCGGTTCCACAAGGGCCGATGGATGCAGCTGTTGGCCAAACCGTTTCCTTCGAAGCCACTGTGTAATTGATTTGGAAGGACTTTTAAGTTTAAGCCAAGCATGACCGGATTTGGTCGTCGCGTAATTGCCATGATGCTTGTCGCCAAGTTGACGAATCTCGACTGGAATTTTAAGCTGGGAAAGATAAAACTCATCGTCCGAGTAGCGTCTTGGTAATTCAATGGTTGTCAATGGTCGTATAGATACAGCAGGCGGCATAGGGCAGGATAATGTGAGTTGAGAGGCCGAAGCACCTTTCAGTCGATGCTTTTCTAAGCTTGTCATCGATCGACCATCCTCTTTATCGTATTCCAACAATGTAGCACTCACATATTCCCACTTTGCTTTTTTGGATTTCCCCGGTAACGTCTCGCCAGACAGGGATGGATCACCCTCCATGTCTCCGCCTGGCTCTCCTTCCTCCACTTCGGCTGCTACTTCTTCTTCTTCGTTTTCCACTTGTCGCAGAGTGGTCACGATGGTCGTTTCTGTATATGACTTTCGACGCCGCTGCATAGCGTCGCGAATCGGATGCCTCACTGGATTGGGATCCTCCAGCAGCATAAAAATGTATCGCGTACGTCTCGATTTACCCATGGTTTGTGCGGTTCCCAACTGAGCCAGGAATTCACGCTCATACATTTGAGACTGATACAGACGTGTGATCTCTTTCATCAATACGGTATTATTCGCCCGCTGCAATCCTCCAAGAATCTGATAAACAACAAGACACCGTCGCAAATCTTCCAGTTGCAAGCTCTTGAGTTTGTACAGTGTCGCCATATACATTCGACTGCGCTCGTCCAATTGTTGCAGTTTCCGAGACCGCAGGGTGGCTCCCGCCAAAAGTGTCGATGGCAGTGGATCCTCCAATGCCGGTGAAATATGAAAGTAATTTGCGAGATTGATCTCGTTGACATGCGGCATATCCATGCTTTCTTGAAACGAAGTGGCGCGTTTTCGTTCTCGGTGAGGTCGTGATGGTCGGTTGGAAATCATTTTCGGTTTATGAAACAGCCGACCGAGAAACGATGGAGCGCTGGGCTGAGATGATTGTCTGTCATTGGTAGAATGCGATAGTTTTCGACTCGGAAGAGGTGCGTTGGCCCACATACCCAATCGAAACAATAGTCAATAATGAAGAGTAAGGATGATGATAAAGACCAAAAAAAAAAGATTTCCATGATTGTTACAATGTTTGATCCGTTTAATCAAATAAAAAAAATTATGCGAGGATGTGTCAAGGGACAAACAAATGCGAATCTTTTTTTTTTTTTCTATCCCCTCTTTGTGTGGTTGACAGTGTTAACAATGCAAAATAAAAAATAATAATGATGACTGTATGATTTTTCATGACAAGAATTTCCATTTGATGGAACAACGGCCAATGTCCAGATCGCCACATACTTTTTGGAAAACTATCGATTGTTAAAAAACCGATGAGTTGGAGGGAAAGAAGGTGAATCTTTGGTGTAACTTACCTGTCGGAGACATGTCCAAATTACCTAGCAAATCCACCGTCATTGATCCATTCATGTGAAACATGAGCATTTGACTTACCTGAGGGACATGTTGGACACGTATCCTCCACTCTCGCAGTGGCTGATCCGTGTATACCTCTAATAAACACTTGTTTTCCGCATCGTGGATTGGTATTCGGATTCGCACCTTGAGGGAAAAGAAAAAGAAAAGGCACGTCATTATTCATTCCGTTTCACTCATTCCTGTCTTTGAGCATAGTTTTACCATTATGCATTTGGGGTTGATTGACAGCGACAATCATTTCGTCGTCGGTATCTTTTTTCCCGCAAGATCCAAAGCCGACGCCATAGTATGTACCAAATCCGGAAAATAAGGATCCTCTGACCGCATCGACCACATCCGTCACTCCTTGTCCAACTCGACTCTTGCGTCGCCGCGAATGTGATGCAGATAATACCACGGAGAACAGACAATACAATTGCAGAATGAATAAATATAAATAGATGGGTGACATGATAGACAAAATGCAGCAGGGACGCAGTCCAACAAGCACTTTTTAAAGAGATACGATAAAAACGGAAATAAAAAAAGAGATGAAAAGAAAAAGCTGCACAACTTGACATCCACCCCTTTAAAGCTGTGAGTGCTCACTGACATGGAGATAACCAATATTACACGCATGCACCTAATTTTGTCGGTGGTACTTCTTACATGGAAGATCCGTTGATCTTGATAATCGAAAGGAGATCGGTGCATTCCGTCATTAAGTGTTCTAATCTGCCCGTGGCATCTATGATCTATCCCCTATTTCATTTCCTTTTTTGTCCATTGCGTCAGTTAATCCATCCAATTCATGGCACCGGGTTTCTAGAACCCTTCTTTTGGTATACACTTGCAAGTAACATTGGCCGTGGTCAAAACGGGTCTTGTTTGCGAGAAGTCTGCTACGCTGTGCTGTGCTGAGAAAACGCATAGTGGCATGAACAACGAAACAATTCAACACTCGTTTACACAGACCACCGTGCATTTATGCACGTAAATTAAGCAAATCATATTCGGCATTCCTTGATACATCATCGAACTTCCAGAAGTCGGTCACGGTAATTTACGCGCTTTTGACAAATCAATCGGGGAACCATTCTGTCATTTGGCAAAATCTGCAACTTGCAGCCACAAAAATAAATTGTCATTTGGTCAAAACATTGATGTGCAATTTATGTTTGCATATACCATTGTAGATCGTGTTCAAGTGAAATGGAAGAAATAGAATCCACTTGAAAGTCTAAATTATAATTCTTTTGTTTGCTTTTTATAAAATAAAACTATGTATTGAGAGAGTATGATGGAAGTCCATGCTTTTTGAAAGTGATTGTAACCTCCTTGGTAGATCTTATTCCTGTTATTAGCATTTAGCCCACCCGTTCCGTAGCAATAATACAATCCCGTAATCTGATTCCGCCTTTGTCTTATAAAGGTTGTTGTTCTCGACAAGACAAAGACGAAATATGGAATGTTTGTTACTTGAAACCGCGTTGAAATGGCAAATGGCGAAAAAATAAAAAATAAAAAATAAAAACGAGGCCACGGTCCGTTTTGAACTTTTCTTCTGCGGGCCCGGATTAATAAGAAAACAGGAATTGTGGACACTTATTGTTTACGCATATCAAGAGGTTGGCAGTGCAGTAATTTGGTACTCACATGCATACATGTGAGATCTATACCTGTCATTGTTCTTCCACCGTTCAATCGCTCTTGTTCCAGCATAACGTTTGCGCGTATATATGGACAATCAATAAAAGGAAATGAATACCGGAAAAATTCTTTAAATATTAAATGCTATACAAACGAAAAATCTAAATTACGTTGCAAAGACGGATTGCAGCGCATTGAATCCGATTCAGTAATTCTAGCTTGACAAATGACAGCTAAATCGCCTATTCCTTCAAAGACAATGCGAGTCAAGCTAGACTAGGTAAGTAGTATTAAAAGCTCGCATGTCACTCTTTTTAAGAGAGAATGGAACTGAACAATTCTAAAATAAATCGATCATCTTATGTGACTCCGAAATCGAGCCAACCATTTATCACATTAGCGGAATGCTTTGCTAAAGCCAATGTTTCATTCCCTTTTTTGATAAAGGATCGACCTTAGTACTGCATGCATTATCTTTCAAGCTACTGCATAAGTGCAAAAGATAAACAAGCTGGTCAATGTTTATCCTCACAGAAAGGTTATAATTATGTTTGAGAGCAAAACTTTGTCTTTAAGTGAAGACTACAAGTAAAGGCTTTCCTTTGAGAGGAACGTTGGGGGTGAATCGCATTTGGTTGATGCGGCGAGCACTTCCAAGTCACAAGTACATGCGCCTCTTATGAAAGTTAGGGAGGCACTAGAAAGTTATTTATTCATAACAGTTGACCAAAGCTTTTTATTTTATACATGTAGTGGAGAACGTTGGTTCTTTTTTTTTGACTTTCTTTTTCTGATTCTTGTTCAAGTAGATGGATGGTATCGTCTATCGTAAAACAAAAATTGGATATATGTGTATATGCGGTTCTACAGTTGTTTCCATGCGGTCACCAGAATTTGGACTTTGTCTTGTTCGCGTACAGCGACTCGAACATGGCTGTCACAAGCGTAGCCGGGTTTGCCACTGCGGACAGGTACACCGGCGTCACGAGCTAAATCCACCGCTCGGGCAGCTTGCTCTGGACTTTCCATCTTGACCCACACCCAGCTGAGAAACTTTTCACCCTCGTATTCCCACTGATGGTTAAGCGATTGAAGTTGTTCAATGACGTAAGCACGCAAAGCCGTGGTTGTCTCCCATGTACGTTGCAAGTACTCTTCATCGCGAACCACTTGTTCCATGAATTTCAGAGCAGGACCATTGACACTCCAGGGCACTTGAATCTTTTTCAAGTCCTGGCAGTGCTGTTCGGTAGGGCACACCACGGATCCCGTGCGAATACCGGGGCAGGACCAGAGTTTGGTCCATGAATGCATGATGTGAACAGAGACCTGCTGTTCCTCATACATCTCACGCAAAAAGTCGTGTTGACTAATCAATGAATCGTCGCGGAATTCCGCTGAAAGCCAAGGTTGCATGGACTCATCTACCATTGATTCCATATGTCAAAACCGCTTGCCCCGCGCATCTTTCTGGGATAACCCGACTTACCAATAATAACACTGCCTCCTGCAACCACATTTTCGCGGATCCAGTTCTTTAAAAGTTCGACAGAGGCATAGTCTCCGGTAGGGTTGCAAGGGTTGACAATACACACCAGATCAGCTCGTTCAGTACTAGTGGATTTCAAAACTTGGAATCCATTGGTCACTGCGCTTCGTTCATATTCTTTATACTGTGTTGTGCCAATATTTTTGTAAGTCATTGATTATCCCACCTTCATCCCGTTATATAAAAATGACCAAAATTACCTGAGCGGCCCATCTAGGCTTCCATGTGGGTTGCTGAACACCGCGCTTGTAAGCGTTCTGAAGTGCTTTACGGACGACAAGATCGATCAATTCCGAAGCACCATTGCCCAGCAATAAACGAGTGCGATGAGTTTCATAACCGGTGGGCCACAAAAACTGAGCTAAAGCCGTTTTGGCCGGTTCCTGATCAGCTGCGGGGTAATGGAGGATATCATCCAACTGCTCGTGCAAAAGATAAATTTAGTAGCCAAGACAACTGGACCCTCTGCGTTTTTTGGGGTCAATAAAAAAAAAACTTACTGCATCGTGAGCTGCCTGCAAAGCCTTCTTGGGGGTGCCGAGATAATTGGTGGTAACGCTGAAATCTTCAACGAAATTGTTCAAGTAGCGATGCTCTTGACCACCGTGAAAAGTTTGGGTGGTTGTGTCCCAGACATTAGCTGCAGTTGTAGCTACCATGATGTATGTCGTATAGCAAGAAGTAAATAAGTAAAATAAACCGGCGCTTGGAGGTCGAAACTAATTGGCATGTGCGCTTTGCAGAGGGACTCTCTTTTTTTAAAGTTTTTTTGGGGGGACAGAAATATCCGGGAGGGGTTTGGAAACACTTTGTGGGGACAAAAAAAAAAAAAAAAAAACCACAGGAATCCTTTTGTCTGCACCTCTGTATTGCAGGCCGGTGCATGCAAACAATATGCCCATGAAGCGAACTTTCTAGCGACAAATAGGTTGCATTTCGAGACAAAAAAAAAAAAGATATATAGAGTGTAAGTACTTTTGGTCGTTTATTGTCAATAAATTGGATCGCTTTTTTTGTTTTCCAGTCTCTGTCCGGGATTTTACAAATAGGTTCCTAAAAATATTGAACACAAGATGAGACGCGTCGTGTAACCTGCCACAATCAACGATCTCGGTTCCTTCTAAAGACCCTTGTTATAGTACAAGGTACGGATCGGGTGGCCATCTTTATCATTTAAATTTTGGAATTCCTTTTCCATGGCAGCCGTCTCCATGGCTCCCTGCTGAGGAAACAGTGCAATCGCAGCCGGCAAGGCTGTCATCAACGACAGAGCAATCAGACCTATCACACACAAGGATCATCAGTCATTGGCAATCAAGAAAATCTCATTTTTCTTTGCACGCATATGCATGCTTTTGCATCAATGTTACCAAAGTTGAGCGGCACCACTAGTTTGGGACGGGCTTGCACAAATGCCGTCTTTTGTAGACGATCGAGGAGGAAGGGAGGTACAATGAGGACAGGTGCGTTGGTAAGGATACGTGAGATGGCCACTTGCGAGACAGCGGTCAGACCGGCAGTCTTGGATTTACCGACCATCTCTCCATCAGCGGTATATACGTTGATACCATCTCTGTCAGTGATTTTTTTTTTTTGGGTAAGTTGTACTGATTGGAAGGACAAATGACATCATGACTGTGAAAAAAAGCGCTAGCACTTTAAAGGATGGACCTTACCTCACTTCTTTTCCTCGCATCAAGAAGATGTTGACGGTACCTGCTGCGGCGACGGCGGTGAAAGGGACCAGCTTCATCATCAATCTTTTCATAGAAGCCGACACGTTCAAACGTGGCACGCCCTGCGTTAATCCGACAGCCAAAGCACAAGAGGTGGTGACAGCAGATACATAGGCCACTGGATAGACAAAGTCCGTCAGTGAAAAGAGTCTGAAAGTTCTGATGCAATTGAATGTTACCTCCTGTTTCCTTTAAGCTCATCGGAGTTGTTTTGTTGGCATTCGCTGAATTGAAAGCCACATTCACGCTTTGATTTGCCCATTGCCAAAATAGGATGGTTTTAATCTACAGAACGGTAATATTTGTTCAATCACTGATCCCCGGTTCTTATTCGAGCGGACTTACTGAAGGGTTCGGCATCAGCATGCCCGCCACAAGCACCATATTCGTAGGTACAAAGCACGCCATACGGAAAGGTAGAAAAATAGGCTCTCCCGTATCAGGATGAATAGTGGAGTCGACAGCTGATGACAAGAAAAATTGTGTTACTGACCAATGATTTTCCATGACAACAATTATACTTTCATCTCGAGACAAACCTAATTTGGCTTTCCACAATTCTTCAACATTATCTGTATGATGCGTTTTCTTGTACTGAGTCAACATATCTTTGGCCCGTTCAAGCTGGTTGCGTGTGACAAACAGATTGCTACCCAAAGCCTCCGCCATTAGTTTTACTTGATGGCAATAAACGGCATTCGACATGTTTTTATCCTACCGAGGATTGGTAATGTCGATGAAATGGCGAACTCGACCCCAGTACGTTGACTGGGGATATCTTGGTTGGGCTATGGTTGCCTGCGTTATGGAGTGCGTCCAAAAAAAGTTTATACATCTACTTGTCAACTTACAGATATCAATCGCCGGTGTTTCCATTATCGACTGCAAAGAAGAGGAAGAAGAAGAAGACGAACAACCAGCGACAGGGAATAGCGTGATTTCAATATTTCACGGTCCACCCATCCACTCGTAATGACATCAAATCAGCTCAGGCACTTTGTCACCGATCGATTGATTTTATAAATGTGCATCAATTCAGGATTGGCCCGTTGTTTTTAATTTCATCAATTTTTGCCGCATGTTCGAGACGATGTCCTTTTAATATATCGAGAATCTCAAAATGAGAGTAACGATTTACTTAGTTCCTGGATCCTTCTGCAGCAGGCTGTTCCGAGCGAATGACACCGCCACATAAAAAGGAGAATCGCCTCGACAAATTGTCAACATGAGTTTTTTCGCGATGTTGTTGGTTTGGACTTTTTATTACATTTCAATATTGCCGGGTAAAAAAAAAAGAAGGTATGGTATATCAGAAACCGTGAGACAAAATGCGGAGCTTTGTTTTTCGCCTTGCTCCATTAGAATTAACCCATTATACGATTCTCTAGGGCGGTACTTTTTTCTTTCCTTGATCCTAGTTCAGCATTTCCATGCCTTCATTGACTCCAAAAAGGTCGTCGCCAATATCGAGATTATGCCAGGAATGAATGGTATTCGCGTCAAAGGCATCCGTGTTGGTGGGCAATTTCAGCAGTAAGGATTCGCCGGCATAAAATGTCTCATCCTTGAATCCTTCTTTTAATGCCGACGCCATGGAATTCTCGGAGATTGCGTTATACAGATCGACGGGATAGTTGTCAGGATCCATGGTCGCGCCCGTGTTGCCTTGACCTTGAGCGATTTGCCATGACGATGGAGCGCCGTTGAACAGCATGGTGGAGGTGTTGTCTTGAACATGGCGTTGTTGCTGTGGACCATTCATGAGCGAAAGCTGCGAGGCAATTTGCGATATCTCGAAAACAGGTGATTGACCTGTCGTGGTGGACGCAGAAGCCACATGTTCCATCGACAGTAGGGTGGGTGAAATTGACGAACTTAGAGCAGTCGACATGGACGGTGTCGCTGATAATAGGGAATCCGCATTACTGGAGGCGTGACTAATCACTTCGTGGGATTCGCTGTTGTAAGTGGCCAAGCCATTGTTCGGTGTCATTGTTGGCGTTGATAAATCCCACATGGATTGATAAGCGTCTTTGTCTTCGGGCTTGGCCGTCTTAGTCAAGCTTGGGCGTTTTGTGGCGCTCTGCAGCGGACTATTCGATCCCAACACCGAGTAAGGGCTGCGAGGCGAGACGAGTGATTCGTTGATTTCCTTGTCTGTGGTATCTTTCATACGTTGCACCCGCTTGGACTGAGCGGTTTGCTTCTTCTTGGTAGGTTTTTTCGTCTTTTTCGACTGTTTGGTGTCTGTATTGCGACGTTTGATGCCTTGAGGTGATCTCGCCATGGGGATAGGCGAATCATAATCTGTTTGATTATCGGTATATTCTTTGCCAAAAGCTTGGACTCCAGAAGACGGGTCGGTAGGCGCGCCCTTAAGCGGTTGCGTGTGATTTCTGGTCACAGGCAAAGGCGTGGTTTCCTTTTCTTCGGTGTATGACAGGGATGTTTCTGCTGGCCCCGGGCGGTTGGCTTGGCTTCGCGACTTTTTCGTGTTCTTTCGTTTGGGCACCGGGATATTGGGGGACGTTTCGGATAAATTACGTTCCATGGCAGTTGGTGTCTTTTGACCCTGTTGGATCATTGTGGTATCCAACTTTTCCACGCTGTTGCTTTGCGGCCCAGCTTCAGCGGTGGTGTTTTGGGGCTGAACTTCTGGCATCAGCGGCATTTGGTACAGCCCTGATGAATGATTATTGTGCGCTGTGACATGCGAAGCCGAAGGGGGATCTGGCGAAGACGACAAGTTCATTTGCTGCATTCCTGAAGAAGATGAAAGCTGCAACTGGGAGGTCACGTATTCTTGCGAAGGAGCCATCGTTGAGGCCGCCATCGGCATGGCCATAGTGTAACTGGTCCTGTTCTGGGTAGAATTTATCGCCATGAAAGGCTGTTGCTGCGATGCCTGGAGTCTCTGTTGATGTTGCTGAAGCGCCATGGCTCTGCTGTGATTGATCCAGTTACAAAATCCATTGAATTGGTTTTGCAAGCGTACGACCGTGTTAAAAGTCATGATGAATTGATTTTGAGACAACAGGAGCAATTGGTCCTCGTACAGGTACATGAGCAAAATCATTTTTCGTGTGGCTTCCATGTTCCATGAAATCATCATAAATAGTGGAAGAGAAGCCTCCACCGTCTTGTACAGCGGCTTCATAAGCATCATGCGTTCATGAATCACTGCTTTCTCTTCCTCCGACAACGTGCCTATAAGAGACGGGCGCACTGCGTCGAGGATAAAACTTAACACCAATACTCACTGAGCGGGATTCTAATAAATTTACCTCTTGTTTTCTGTATGTTGTTTTTCAATTCGTACAACAGCTGAAGAGCATAGTTTCCCGCCTGTGAAGACATTAACTGTTGCTGTTGCTGTTGCTGCTGCTGTGGTGCCATGATTTCAATCGATCTCTCCGGTTCCGGTCCAGTGGCTTCGGAGGGTGGACCACGGTATGCCACAACATGTTGCGAATAAGGAAGGTGCGATGATGGAGGTTGATAAGCGGCTATTTGCCCGTTTTGACGAATCAGTTGCTGCATCTGCTGTACTTTTAATCGGTAATTGTACATTTGCATTTGCTGAGGATTACCAATAAACGGAGACGTGGGGTTGGAAGCATTGGCGGACGCCAATTCTTGGTTCATCGCGGCCGAAGCAGATTGATTAGCTACAAAGTGATATCCCGACGGAGACATGCGTGCCATGGAATAGTGGGAAGACGTAGCCAAAGGCGGATGCTGCGAGACTTGCGATAGCATCCCAGACTCGGTTTGATATTTCAGCTGATCTTGCACATGAGGTACAGTCGCAGTCTGTGATTGATGCGGCACCGAGGATACTTTGAATGCGGTAGAGGACAAGGCAGGGTTCACATTCATTGGGTTGGTGTTTGCAAGCATCTGAAAGGAATTGTAAGGTTGCCCTGGATGGGTCGCTGGTGGCTGTTGGAGTGTCGTGGATGTGTTTGTGGTGGCAATGCATCCAGGAATTGAATAGGATGCTGGTTGGGTGGACGCTATTGGAGGAACAGGGACTGAGTTTGATTGTTGGGCTGTGTTTTCCTGCGCCAGTGTGGATGGGACTGGATTAAGCCCCGTTTCTCCCATGATATACGTCTGACCGATTTGTGAAAACATCGGACCAGTGGGCGGTGGTTGCATTAATGCACCGTTATCCACTGACATTGAGTTGGCTAAACCGGTCCCAGTTGTGGTTGTATTCCCGTTACTCATCGTCACTCCCTGGGTCTGTAATTGTATCCGATACTTGATCTGATTCAATTTCCGTGTATAAGCGAGCATGTACTGCTCCTAATCAAGAAAAAAAAAAACAAATCATCCATGTTAATTGCATGTAAGTCCAAAGGTACTAGCAACATTTGCCACTAAAAACTATTCAATGCCCGTTATACCTGGTTAGGACTCTGCTGGAACAGATTGGCTTCAAAATTGCTTGCCGCAGCTAATACTTCTTGCTCGGAGGCATTGGATGACATCAGCTTCAAAGCTTGGCTTCTGTAAAAGAGCGAACCATGGAATCATTACATATATAAAAAAAAAATAGAATCAATAAGTTGTATCCCGAGTTATTGATGACTTTTTTTGAAAAATAAAATTGGGCAAATTTTATAAAGTATGAAACATTCTAAAACAAAATTAAAAGAGCCAAAAAAAAAAAGAAGAAAAGACAGAGTATAAGAGAAAGAGAGAGAGAGTGATACTAACAGTTGGCTTACAAAACGAGCTCTGTCCCCCAGAGTTACTTCTTCGCGCCATTCCCCGTTGGGAGTTTTGATCGGGATGGAGGAATCTAGCAACGACTGATCATTGGTCGAATGGAAGAGCTGCTGATCCATAAAAGTCAAAGTAGCCGTAGCTTGTTAATTTACGTCGTCTTGGATAACAAAAGAGAATATAAAAGAAAAAAAAAACGAAAAAAATAAACAAGAGTATGTGTAAGCCGTGAAGGGGTTGCTTGTATTGAATATAAAAATAAAAAAATAAAATAAAAACGCTAAAATCGAACCAATAAGCCGATTCGAGGAAAGAAAAGAGCTTGGAGCGACACTGATTTTATTCTATACACTGAAAGAGGAAATATTTCTTCCTTTCACAACTAAGGGTAAAAAGAAAAAAAAAAAGAGAAAGCAAGAGAAAAAAATAAAATAAAAAGAAACCAAGGTGCTCAAAAGGGGTCAAGGGAAAAAAAGAGAAGCGAGAAAAAAAAATGGGAAAATTTGATACAGAATAGGAATGCTCCTCTCAATAATAAGCAAGGTCACGTGGGGAGAAGGGCCAAGACATCAAATCAGGGCAGCAGGCTGACCAGCAGCCGTGGAGGAAGATCGATGACCGGCGGTTCGTCGTCGATGTCGTGACAGTGTAATAAACTGCGGCATGGATCGGCTATCGATATCTGAGCTCACATTGGCCGAGGCTTGCAGATGTTCTATCCATAAGTTCTGATCTGTTGCGTTGGTCGTTCGGACAAGGAACCGAGGTCCGTCAGGCACCTGAAGACGAATCACATGACGGTATTTCTTGTAGTCGGAAGGCACGGTTATTTGCATATTTTCCATGGAAAAAGACCATAACGGTTTATGACCATCCGATTGTGGTGCCTTTTTGTAAATTTGAATCATGGTTCCCCACAATTTTAAATAGACTTGTCTATATGGGACGAAAGTACCAAAAAGAAGGAGGAAAAAAAAAATGAGATGCTGACATGACAAAGACCGTAAAGATGCAAAGAGCATGACAGCTGACTTACGTCCATGATCGATGCCCCGATAAAACGCCCGGTCGTTTTAATTCTCGCTTTAATTTAACAAAGCCCATTTTGTAAACTGTGCATTCGTAAGGCGGCAATTTTTCTTGTCCTTCTTCTTCCCGTGGTTCCACTTTCCATGACGTCCAGTGGGCTGGTAACTTGTCATTCCAGGGATGGATTGGATCGTCATATGCCGGCGGCGGTGGGCTCAGTGCTTCTTCGCCATTGCCATCTTCAGGGGAAATACAGTCCGACCCAGCCTCGTCTCGGACACTGTCACCTTGTGTTGATGCCGATGCTGCAGACAACATGGAGGCCAAAGATAATAATGATGGTTGTTGAAACTTGGTCAAGCATGCCTGACTCTTTACTTTCGTAGGACCCCATTGCCATCCGTCTAAATCTAGGAACATCAATTTATTAGCTTCAAAACAACCAAAGGAAATATATTTGATCGTGGATATCTTACGAAGAAATCTTGAAGTTGGGAAATGTACAGAGTTATTTTGATAAAGTGACATGCTTTTTATAGTGGTGTTGTCTCGGTATATAAAGTACAATATGAAACACAAAAAAAGAAATAGATTGGTATATAGATACAAAATGCGAATAAAGAATGATGGGACTGAGAGATGTCAATAAACGACTGATAAAGAAGAAGAAAAAAAAAGGGAATAGCGAAAAAAATGAAGAACGGGTCAAAAGACTGGACCGTTTGGTTCCATTTATTCAATATCGAGACCTTTTTTTTTAGGATTATTGACAGTGATCTAAATTGGGAAAATACAGGAATAAAAATATCTTTTCGCTAAAGAAATACGCCATGCGCATGAACTTGGCCGAAGCTCAGCATAAAAAAAGGCTGATGTTGCTTGTATACCACATAGCCGACCGTGCCCTAAGATTGGTTTTTCTTTTACTGTGTTATGGTTCTATGTTTTATTTCGCACTTAGTAACAAAGAAAAAGAGTAAATGAGGTGCCATCACCTTTGTTGGCTGGGCACCTTGACCGTGGATGATCCGTCGGACACGTGTAACACACAATAGTTAATGATGTTAAGGAGAATCAGCCATGTGAAGCATGGATACTTGGATACTGCCTTGTTACGGCATCCTGACCTTGGACTCATGTCAAAATGATCAGTGCGCGCCACGGCCATTATTTGCGCGCGCGTTGGATTTTGCATCTTTCTCATTTCAAAAGAAAAAAAAAGTCCCATCGTCACAACGAAAACACTAAAGTAAGTCCAGGCTCCATCATCTCCCCGGAGATCCCATTTTTTTATTTTTGAAGACGGTCGCACAAACCATCCCTGTGAAACTGTGTATGTTATGAGCATCCGAATAACTACCGTTTACAAAAGTTTATAAACAATAAAGATTCAATCATGTGCAAGAAATGAAGATGAACAGTTTGTATCATAGTTTCCAGTTTGTTATGCTGGAAATAAAACGGGGTTGTTGTCATGCACAACTCATCTTGCCAAAATTCAGGCTACAATTTTTTTTATTACACACTCCGCGCGCGCAGAGAAATAAAAAGCCCTATTCAGTCTTTTTTTACCTTTTACTTTTCAAAAGGTCTGCACGAGACAGGAATATCTGTGTATGAGATTTGCCATCATCCGAATCTGGCCTGAAAATACTTCCAACTCAACCATATTTTCTGGCCTCCTTTTTAAATTCGAATTTTTAAAAACTTTATCCAGATTTTTTCAATTAAACTTGTATTATGACGGTGAACAAAAGGATTAACTTGGGAGAGAGAGTGTGTGAGAGAGAGGGAAAGGAATTGATTGTAAAGGGAGTGTAAAAGAGATTTGTAAAAGAATGAGGGAGCAAAACGGGAAATATTATTTCTATACGAAAGACGGAGCTGTATAAACCGATTTGCTGATCACTAGGACTCCCAGGAACAGATCACATTCACGCTGTATTTCATCGACACGGACAACGTATAAACAATCGGGAATGTCTTGCGTCTTGTACAGTGGTAAAAGGTAAAAGTCCTTGATTTTGGTCTTGTTATGCCCAACCACACCGTACCGTTTTCGAGATTCAAAGTAATGCAGCAATGATTGCGCTTGCTGATGATTGGCTTGGGCTACATCCGCGGAGGTTGAAGGTTGACGAGGTTCGGGTTCAATGACAAGCAATACAATTTCTCGGCTGGTGGAATATTGCGTTTGTGTCACATAATCAGTCACACGATCTCTCGGAATCCGGCCCTCAATCCACATGGTCGGTGATAAAACATCCATCCATTCCGCCTCGCTTAAGGTGCGACCACCAATTTGACGCGCAGACCCTTCGAATTCAGCCACCTGAGGCATATTGACCCGTCCTCGCCAAATGACAGGTGGTTTCGGCTCCTCCGATTTTTTGCGCTCTGGCTCATACACTTCTTCGCCATGCTCATTCACCGTACGTCGGGTGGTGATGACTCCTTCGTCATCACTGCCAATCTCCAACTGAATATCTTCGTCGCCCAGTAACTGCTCCACGTCCAGCGTCACCTTGCGTTTCTTGTTCCGGTCGTTATTGGCCGTATCCGACGTGCCGTCAGCGTGAACACCGATACGGGCAAGGATATTATCCAGTGGATCCGTTTTCGCCGTGGTTGGCGTGCTGGGAGTGGCACTCATGCTCGATTTGCGGCTGTTCGTTGCATCATCACTCTTGGTGATATCATTGTAGTCTCGTTTTCGATCGTGAATATCTACAGATAATGGCGATGGTGGTGGCGGCGGCTGTTGCTCTTCTGAGAAATTGGTCTCCTTGTTTGGAATCATGATAATGTCGCCTTTATGCGTCTTTTTGATGATGGGCATATTCTGTAATTTCAGGACCGAATCTTTGATACTTTTCTTGCGCAGGGTTTCTGACATGGATTTCAGTTCAGGGTTCGCCATATCTTCCGACGACATTCGCGCCAATTCTTCAGGAACCAGATCGCCCGTCACTACGCGCATCTGAAATATTTCATTGGCCTTATCCTTCAGGTTGTACAACAGCGACCGAAACTTGCTCTTGTATCGCTCACCGCACAGTATGCGTCCCGGTTTTCCAGGTACGGCATCGGCGAGCTTGGTATACATGGCTTCTTCAATGGATTTCGCTAGTTCTTCCGCCAATGCCGTTGCCTTGAGGACATTATCAGGGGAACTTTTCGCATGATCATCATTGGCTGGTTCTGGAGTCGGCTCGGTCGACTCTGATGATTCAAATAAAGTAGGATCTTTCTCCAACGCATTTTCGATGATGGATTTCAACGTGTTGGACATATTCCTTATTACATTTTTACGAATAGGATTCTCTTCTACGGTAGAAGGTGGCGTATCTGCTTGTTTGGTCGGTGAACTGGCTCGGCTCGTTTCCGCACTACTACTTTGACTGGCGCTGTCGTTGCTGTTGCTACCGCTGCTGCTGCTGTTGATCGACTTTTTCTCTCGGGGTTGCGGGCTGGCTTTTGGACTCTGCTTGGGACTCGATTTCGGACTCGATTTCGCTTTGGCCGCTGCAGGTGAAGGAGAAGAAGCGTTGATGGTTGATGGTTTAACGGATGCTTGTTGACGCGTCGCTTTGCTTGCACATACATCGCTGCAGTAGGAGTCTGCGCGAGTTGGATTATTGCAGCTGGGCAGCAAACATGTAGCTTGACTGGTGTGATTTTTACTTTGTCGCGTGGAATAGACCTACAGATAAAATTTCCGTTAATCGTCATGAATCAAGCAATGTACAGTTTTTTTGGAAGCTTACCTTTTGCGTCGGACTCTCCTGTATTGTCACTTTTGGCGATGATTCAATGGATGGCTCTTCAACTAGAAACAGGGAGAAATAGAAAAAGAAAAAAGAAAAAAGAAACGGTAAGATATATGATATCATATGGATGGTTTTTTATCGAATGAGAGTGCATTTTCCGTGCGCAAAAAAACGTTGCCCCAATTGACCGAGACGATGATACAAGATCGCAATTGTATGTACATTGCAGGCATAAATTACAGGAATAAAAAAAGTGGACAGGAGAGAAAAAAAAATACGATCATGTGCACAGCAGTATGAAAACAATGAAAAAAGAAGAAAAAACGATATCATCTTGGGTCGAAGAACATCGTCTATGCTTAATTGAACATTGCCGAAATAGGCTTCTTTTGATTTCCAATTAAGAAACTCGTTTATCCAACCAAGCTGTTTAATAAAGCCATGCCAAACATAAAAAACCAAGAAGACTTCTTCCAGGTAGAAGAAGAAAAAGAATGACTTGTTTCCAGTATCGTCCCGCTCCTTTTCCACAGTTTCGAGAATAAAAACAATGAAAAACAGCTTACCTTTCTTTTTCTCACATTCACTGCACACCCAATCAATATCTTCGGCTTCTTCCGGATCAAGCTTAACGCAACTACAATGAAACCTAGTCATACAAAAAATGAGATATCACATGATAACCAGTAAATTGGATACATGAGCTTTGCTTACCATTCTTCACATTGTTCGCATTGTACCATAGGATCACCGTTGTAAGGCTGACGACAGATACAGTACAGTTTTTTACCTCGCGACCGTTTTTTTGATTCCGGTCCAGCGTTGGATGGCTTTGTCGTCGACTTGGGTTCGTTCCCTGATTTTGTCACGTTACGTTTCATGGAACGAGTGACTATGCCTTCTGTAGACTCTTCTTGCGGCGGTTGACTCAATTCAGCCGGAGAAATCGTCCCGCCCGTACTACTGTTGGCTGTACCTGATTCATTGCCTCCATTCAAAGGGGACATTTCCGACGATGTTTCCGACGATGTTGGTTTCCCATCCACCATCATTTGATTATCGGGCGACAGCAGTAAGTGAGGCGAAATGTGGTGCGAGAAATCGACGTCAGAAACACCGCTCATGCCGCAGACAAGATTATTCTGGTTGGTGGCTCCCAAGATGTTGGCCCAATGAGGATCTTGCAGTGAAAATATATAATCACCCATATTGGTGGGTAGATTGTTATCAATAACGTCGTTATTCAGGGTTACACTGGCCGGCCACTGTGGCGAGACTGTGGGAACCGTCGTGGATTCAGAAGCCGCTTCAGCATCGCCGGCGGCCGTCATGTGAGAGGATTCTTGCTGATCGCGCAAATCTAGATAATCCTCAAAATTATGTATGTCCATTGGGGATATCGTTCAAATGTATGTACAGGGGGAAAAAACGCAAGAAAAGAGGAAAGAGAAAACCAAAAGAGAAAAAAAAAGCTGCCAGAATCGCTTTTGTTGACAATAGAAACAGTCACACTGATGAGCCAAAATTCCAGCCATTCGATTTGTTCTCTTTTTGTTCTTTTTTTTTTTGGTTCCTTATCTTTTGCTGAATCGCCTAAATCATGAGTGGTGAGTCACTGATATGAAAATGGTGTGGAGAAAAGGAGATTGCGCTAACGGGTCACTTTTTTCTTGACATTAGCAACCACGTTGGAAGCTATTAAATATACTCCTGGAAAGCTCGACATTTTGAATCAACTTCTTTTACCCCATGAGACTGTGTTTGAACCGGTATTCTCGGTGCAAGACGGTCATGCCGCTATCAAGACCATGAAAACAAGAGGCGCTCCGGCTATTGCTATTGTCGCCGCTTTGTCTTTAGCGGTGGATGTTACTGCCCGTCATGCCAAGTCGGAATTCGCTACGGTGGAGTCCGTTTCCAACTTTTTGCTCGCTTCGTTGGAGTACCTGAAATCGTCCCGACCTACGGCCGTCAATCTGTTCGATGCCGCTGCCAAACTTCGAATCGTCGTAGAAACTTCAGTCAAAGAAGCATCATCTGCTTCTACTGTGGTCGATGCTTACGTTGCTGCCGCTGAACAAATGCTCGTCGACGATTTGCAGGACAACAAGAACATTGGCAAGCATGGAGCCGATTTTATCGTCAAAAATGTCAAGAACCCCGAAGCGATCTCGGTCATGACTCACTGCAACACTGGGTAAGGTGGACACTGAAAAAACAAAAAATTGAGATCTTTTGAGAGAATAGATAAACTCATCTTTTGATCATCTGTTTTTCAGTACATTGGCCACTGCTGGCTGGGGTACCGCTCTCGGTATCATCCGTGATTTGCATCTCACTGGTCATTTGAAGCACGCTTATTGTACCGAAACCCGACCTTACAATCAGGGATCACGCTTGACAGCTTACGAACTCGTGTACGAAAATATACCCGCCACTCTCATCTGCGATTCGATGGCTTCAGCTTTATTGAACCGAAACCCCGAGGTGCAGGCCATCATTGTGGGTGCAGATCGAGTTGCAGCCAATGGTGACACGGCCAATAAGATTGGTACTTACCAGCTCGCCATCACTGCCAAATATCACGGCATTCTTTTCATCGTGGCGGCACCTTCCACCTCCATCGATTTATCTACCGCCACTGGCAAAGATATCGTGATCGAAGAACGTCCGGCTGCTGAACTTGTCACTACCACCGGTGTCATGTCTGTTGACGGACAGTTGAAACCTGCCACTGTTCAAACCGCGGCCCAGAATATCGGCGTGTGGAATCCTAGCTTTGACGTGACTCCCAGCCATTTGATCTCAGCCATTGTCACCGAAAAGGGTGTGGTTGTCAAGCAAGATACAGCCGATCAATTCGATATGGCCAGCTTCCTCCAACAATAGATCCTCTGTTTTTACTTTCTTCACCCCTTTTGTATTTTGAAAATAGAATGTCGCCTAGATTGACTCGTTGTTGCTTTCATTGTTGCTCCATACTTTGACGTTGTAGATAATATATACATATAAAAAAGGGAAGTTTGGCGCGAAACATGATTCACAGAGACAAAGTTGCAAGTTTTTGCATATCCAGAATGTGAAAGCAGGATCCACTATTTTTCTTTCTTTCTTTTTATTTTGGTAGGGTTTCTTTTTAACGGAGACGACGAGCTTCACGTTCGGATTCCAAAAGGCAGAGAATGTCGTTTTCGCGAACGGGACCCTTGACGTTACGGATAATGCTACGGTTGCTGTCGTCCATGAATTCGACGCGAACTTGGGTCACACCACCACGGGAACCGGTACGTCCGAGCACCTTGATAACTCTAGCAAGCTTAACGGGGGTCTTTTGGCTATCCTGTGAAAAATGTTCAAGGTTAACATCATGACCCCCCTCCATTGTTCCCCATGCCGGCCATTTCCCTTCTGCCAGCGTTTTTCCCATTTATCCATCCCCCTTTATTTTTCATCATTTCTGGATCATCCACGACCCATCCATCCATCCATCTATCATCCCACTTTCTTTTGTTCTTCATCCGTTATCAATGCATACCATATTATGTAATTGATCGATGGATGATTGGAAAGGAGGGTTGATGGATGATACGGCGGGCTTTGAGCTTTCACTGCAGAGAACCAGTCTGAATCAGGAACCAGTCGGAATCTTAAATTAAACTCTGCAGCATTGATTCCCATTGTTTTTCAATGAAAACTTTCCTTTATACAGTTTATAGGCTTTGATTAAAAATGATCAATACTTTTATCAACATCCACTAAATCTTCTAAAATCCTCGCCACCGTAGTACCAATCTGCTTCGTCATCTCCTGCTGTTGGTTAATGGCAAGGCCCGCAAATTCAAAGATAAGATTGCCGTCCAGTACTGCCTTTGTTCGATTGGATGACATGCGTTGTTTTGGCCCTTTGATTAATCTAGAAAATATACCATCAGTGAATCAGCCACTATCGAGGACGGATTCTTTTTTTTTGTCTTACCTAAATGCACGAGGATTTAACCCTGCTACATGTTGGAGACCGTTCACCAGCTGACCGTATAACGTGTTTAATCGCTTGAATGTCTTTTCACTGATAGGAGAAACCACCGATATTCTACCATCAAAGGAACCTGTAGAAGCTGTTAATCGAAACTTTGCACTCTTTGAAATAAAGCGTCAAATGTACCACATAAACAGAAATTTCTTCGACTGTATTCATATCCTTTTTCGGTTTGCATAATCTGTGGTAATCGCAGCATAGATTTCACTTGGGCTCCCACATGGAAATCACCACGTCGCATGAGCTTTTGTCCCGCAAATGATTGAAGGTCTATCATCATTATTTTCATAAGTATCAAGACGCATTCCGTATTCAACTTTTATCCACTTACTGAAGGGAGCATATTGATAAATATCCAGATTATCCTCGGTATCACCAACCAACAGGTACAGTGATTTATCATCAATCAGATAATTGACACTGGCTACCTCAAAGGATTGGTAATCTTTGCCAAGCAAGGTTAATTTCGCCGGCTCAAGCTACAGCAATGAATGTGAGCAAGAAAAAAAAAAAAGGGGGGGGGATCAGCCATATCAATCATCTATCACAACGCCGGCTTACCTGGAATCCGAGGAACCAGATGGATTTCTGTGCATCGCCTAGCAGAATAAAATTTTTGATGGAGCACATGCTCGTAACGTAGATTTGTACATCAATAAACGCCACGCCAACTAAGCTTTCATTGTCCTCAAAACTCCATATGATCACCTGCAAACATAAAGGACTGTGTCAGTCACTGCTTTGTTTGGTGCTACATATCACCCTTTCATTGCGTTGTCCACACGAACCTTGGATCCAATACATGTGACAAGATGGGCACTCACAACACACATGGCTGTTACAGCTCCTTTTACATCCTCGGTATGCAAGTGCTTGAAACGATGATTGGTTTGTGGATTATTGGGCTCCGGAACAACTTCAATGATCTCAAAAATGTAAATCTAAAACCAGGAAAAAAAAAACAATGTCAACGTTTGCCTGCCTTCATTATTTCAAGTGTACACAAAATACAAAAAAACGTACGGAGCCGCGCATCGCCGTGTCTTCTCCTCGAAGGTAACCGGTGCCAACGACCATGAAATCTTTCCTTCCCGTACTGGTTTGTTTGGATTCCAACGACGCGCATTGAAGGGAAAACCCTTGCTCGTATTGTTCAAAATCAACGCGGTCCACGACTTCCCATGTCACAGGTGATACCATGAGCAACGAGAACCGTTCTACGGTCGGAAGAAATTCGCCTGGCTCGCGTTCTTCCTCCTTTCCATCAATAGGAGCGCCATCGTCGTTGCGTAGTCGCACCTCTTCCGGACTTGATACCAAGACCGCATACACACGCATCGCAGGATGATATTGGATCTTATGTACCGTTTGTTCCAGCGGCACTTTTCTCACTATCCAATCCATGTCGTAAACCACATCTTTGCTCGGAATTGTGCACAATCGTAGCGTCAACTACCAAAAGACGAAAACTCTGTCAGCCATCGCCCCGCCTTTAGCATATAATACGTAAGATATATATAGTTACCTCAGAATCGACAAGAATAAAGCCGTTCTCGCAATTGACATTGTGGAATTGGGTAAATCCAGTAACGTCACCATCTACCTTGACGGGATGGACGCGAACGAAGCTTTTGCAAGAATTCATTAACAATGCAGGCTGCGGTCCCGCCACAAAGACACCTGCATAGCCAGATACGTTGGAGAAAGGAACTAATAATTTCTCTCGCCGCTGCTTTGCCGGCTTTGATTTGGGTTTCTCTGTATTGAACAATTCCTCCTCCAGTACTTCCAATTCTTTGTTGGGCGCACTGACCGGCCGTGCGACATAGTCGTGATGAATACGGCAAAACCGTGTAGCCAAACGATCAGGGTCTCCACCTTCCGATGCTCCTCCTTCTTCTTCTGCGCCCGCTGCGAATTCAAACGCCTTATATATCGCAATATTATTGGTAGCTGTCCGTGCCTAATCATCTCATGTCAGCGTCTGTGAATATCGTTCTTGGATGAGGATGAGGAAAAACTACTTACCACCAAATGAGGTTGCTTATTTTCTTTACCAATATTTACAAGTACAATCTCTTTAATGAAACTTGGACCGGCTTCGCCCGACGTTGGCAAAATCGATCCAGTGGAGTCCCGCGTCACGCCATCGGTAATCAATTCCGGTAATAAATCGAAGCGAGGAAAAGCAAAGCACTCCTTGAAATCGGGAAGACTGTAGAGCTTTTTTTTACATCAAGTCAGATCGTCGCTTGATAATCATTCCGTTGATAATACATACTTTCAGAGTACCATCGACTGTATATAACATGCACCAATAACTGATGCGAGCCACTTCGTTTAATTCTCCCTGCATGCTAACGTTGACTTCATCGACGTTCTCCGACGCGATGTTTGGCACCATTGAGATCGTTTCACTTGCACCGTATAACATGGCTTCATCATCATCAAAATCTTCCTGCATGGAAGTCTCCATGGTCGGTGTTTCGTTCCGCGTAGGGGTGGGTGCTGCGTCTACAGGGTCTGTGCCCTGGTCACCGTAAAGATCCATGTCGACTTCATCGAATGTTGAGCCCATTTCTTTTGGAGATGAAGAATATGGCTTTTTGTTCGCTGCCGTGGAAGCCATATCCTCTGCCTTGCGTTTCTTTTCACTGGATAACGCGGACGATTTTCGCTTTGTTTCCGATACATATTTGAATATACCGGAGGCATCGGTGAAGATACTGGCCGTTGAAATCGCGGTGTCCTAATAAAAAGGTGGATAAGTGTGAATTTTCAGAGAGGAGGACACCAAAGACAAGCTTACAGTGATGCTTTTGGGTATTTGTGTACTGATGAGATCCTTTGTTGTCGAGTCACCTCTCAAGGCCACGAGAGTTTGGTTTTCTAGCGTGAGAAGGATGTACGGATCGCAAATACTAGCATCGACGACCCTTGAACCTTTGATAGGAACCGTTTGGATCGAACGACCATCTGAGCCAAAAGAAACAAAAGAAAGTGTTAATTAATTAACCCTGATATGGATGTCAGCAATAGAAGCACGTACCAGGTGTCAACAGCATGACGCCCTTTGGATAAACTTGGACAATACTTGTGTGATCAAAAAACGTATTAACACAAATCGTTGGCCCTGAAGTATAAAAATCACTGTTCACTAGCTCCTGAAGCTCATCACCAGCAGCCAGTACCTAAAGATCGGGAGGTGAGCATCAAAAAAAGACAGACCCAGTAGAATAACGGAGACATCACTTACCAGTGTTCTCTTTGATTTACTGATGAACAAAATCTTATCAAACATTTTATGAAACTCGCTGTGTGATTCCACCGTCGCCCAATGACCGTCTTGCTCTTCCCAGGATGCAGCAGATGTAGTTTTTGAGCCTTGATAACCGCCCACTTTGACACCTTCAAAATACTGCTCCTTTCGACACTTGATGGACCAGATCGCTTGACAGTCGGATTGATCAAAGGAGAAAATGGTTTTGGGATGGATGTGACGCTAAACCACAATGATAAAGCTTATTGTTGAGGATGGATGGCCGGCAAGATAGCACAAAAGGTTCTACAGACGACTTACCTGAAACACACAAAGAGCGCCATTTTTACCGTGCCCAGAACATGTCACTAATTCAAGGTCAGGAAGATAAACTTCTTTATCCTTTGCAGTGCTATCGGTCTGTTGAAAAAGGGTTCGTCAATAGGGTCGGCGTGGAGTGCATTTGATTTTTCCGGCTAGGGATACTCACTTCGGTATTTTCCATTTCGCCCATCGACATATCCACAATAGGACCCGTATTCAAAAGTGTATCACAAACACGGAATGTGTAATCTATGATTCCATGATGTAGATTGGATGCATATCAACGATTGTGAGTCTCTTGCAGGGGAGAAGTGGGGTGAAAAAGATATGTACCTGATCGAATCTTTTCGTTCTTATTATTGCGACGCCATTTGACAAGCAACGAGTCTCCCACACGACTGCCGAGAAAGAAATACTCGCCATCTTTCATATTTTTGGCGCAGGATGGTATCATTGCGAGAGGGTTATTCGCTGCACCATTGTCGATGGCTGAAGAATGTGAATGTTGTATGCGGGTGATATCGATGCCGACCACTTTATTGCCATCCAGTTCCATTTGAGCCACCACCCAGTCACCGTTTTGAAGGAATAACAAGCAGCTGCTTCCACCGAGGAAAAGAGCACGAGCACCATCCAAAACCATGCCGAGCTGGGTTACTGCTGAATCGAATTTCATTCCGGGAAAACTGGTCGTTTGTCGAGCATAATCGTTGACCGCCACACCCACACCGGGCGAACCTTGGGAGACGTGAAGCAAAGAGTTGGCAGCGATAATCAATAGACCATCCACAGGTTTTGGCATAGGCAACAGTTTGAGACAGTCGTACGGTAAATGATCAAGCGAATAGATCACCGGATACACTTTGGTTGTTAAATCGATGGAAATCACCACCAAAGACACTGTATCCTTTGCATGAGACAATCGACTGTAAAAGAAGAAGAAAAAAAAAAAGTAAACATCGTACGATCGATCTTCACACCGTGATACATTGACTTACTCTGTCCATGTTTGTTCTGGCTGAAATAGAATGGCCAATGTAGGTTCATAGTAACCGGACAAAAATGTCATGTCTATAATGTTTTTGATGCGAGGGTCGATAGTTTCCAGATGAAGAACAAAACTCGGTGAATACGGCCATTTTCTGTGGCAATGGAAACTGACATTAATAACATGGTATGGATGGATCGTGTCTAATTTCTCGCTCTTACTGTGGCTGATCGGGTCCTTCTTTATCCGCAGTAGTCGCTATCGCCGCATCCTCCATGTTATCGTACTGTCGAAAAGGCAAAATTGCTAGCTTATTGTCGTAAAAGTTGAGAATCGAACAACGTTGCTGTGGATCGATGTGAATAGTTGGAGGGTAGGGATTGGAAAGGAATTCTTTCTGAAAGTCGCAAAAAGAAAGGATAAACAGTTAGTCAACGATTCGCATGCATGTTAAAGAAAAAAATTAACAGGGTTCACCTTGAGTTCGTCTCTTTCATAGTAATGAATCGATACAGTGACAATGGAGTGGGTAGCGGGTGACCATTCCAATAGTGACATCTATAGATACATATATGCTTCGTTACTGTGGTGCTCGATGAGTACGAGGTTGATGGTAAGGATCCTACTTTGGCGTCATTGAAACCGAGCAACAAACTATCGCAGGATTCTTTTCCTCGTGGTGACGATGTTCGTATAACCCCCATGGTGGCAACGACACCGTTGAGTTTATATTCTGCTACCAATTCCAGACGTGCCGATGTCATATCCATGGTGTTCTTTTTCAATGGCTTGAGTTTCAAGTAACCCATGGTCTAGATGCCAAACGGCAACATGTGAGTAACAGATTATCTCGACGATGGATGAGATCATCGCAAGTACCTGTTCTTCGTCCTTGTCGAATTTCTCGTGTTCAGTAGTTCCGGCATCGCTTTCTTCATTATCGGGTTCTTCTTGGACGGGATCGTCTGGGATATATTCGACAAACTCGTAGATCTGGAGCAACGATGCTTTGGCGACGATAAGATTGTTCGCGTCAGGGGAAGTGAAGCGTCCGCGTTCTACATGCTCGACCGTTTGAGGCGGGAATAGCTCCTTGTAAATAGCATAGACCGACATTCCCCACCAAGAGAATCAAGTAAAAAGAGAGAATTATTATGGTGTTGGCGAGAACGAAGGGCTGACTCGCTGCTGAGAAAAACGGGCTTGTCAAGTGGGAATTCAACAAATTCGAGGCTGGGTGACTTTCTTATTTCTGACAAAATTTTGAACACAGCCATCACCAACCCAACCTCACCATCCCATATTCCAAATGCTTTTTGATCCTCTGCCGTACAACCTGGATTACAATAGACAGAATATAAAACGCAAATAAATAAAAGGTGACTTTCACCGAGGATTATCGTAATATCACAGTCTTTTGGCCATTATGTAATATACTGCCCTTTAGACGATCCATTTTTGCCGGGTTGATAGGCAGTAATGAAAAGAAAACCAGAAAATTTAATGCCTCTGAGTGGATATACCATACCTGATAAGTATTTGAACCGTCTCTTTCAGCATTGGGAGGTTTTGGCTTACTTTCACAAACCTCTGGATCGCAACCCAGTATATGGGCTGATCCAGTGGATTCCCATATCCAACAGCGACAAATCAATGGAATAGGTATAGACCGCCAATTTACGAAGTTCAAACTAGTCAATTAAGCCTGCTATAGGTTATTGACTATAACAATGCTGTTGTCAATCTTGCTTTCCTTTGTTATTCGGTGCTGGCATGCTGGCTGCATCATGCATTCACTATGGGCGTGATGCTGAGTTTGAATTTCTGTTCCCCATTCGACCGCTTTGCTTTGCCACTGGCAAGTAGAGCGAACCTGCTTTGTCCCCACAGTGCACGTACCAATAACATATAGAAATGAGTTCTCAACATTTTATTCCACCAGTGGTAAATACCAAGAAAGGCAGCTGTTTAAACAATGAACAATATAACCAACCTTTCTGGTAGAATTTTGGCATGATCGAGGAAGATCTGTATCGGTCTGGGCAGCCCAATGAGCTTAACTTCCCCTTCCTTGAAAAGCTGGGTCTAAAGACCATTGCCTGGCTTGCTCCCGAAGAGCCTAATCAACGATTGTAAGTAGTAATGTTCAGTGTCAGTTGATTTCTTCCTCCTTTACTCATGGATGGTACAGTTTGGATTTCATTGATGACCAGGAAATTCAGTTACATCACTTGGGGGTGGTGTCATCGGTGAATGCTTGGGATCCGATTACAGAAGAAGCGGTTTTAGAGGCATTAGAGTTGATTCTTAATCCAAGCAACTATCCCATGATGATCATGTGCAACTTGGGCCGACATCGAACTGGTAAATAAGAGCTATGGCCAATGTCGTACTTGAGAGCTTTCTGATGACGCATATACCAGGTACTATTGTTGGATGTCTTCGTAAACTGCAACGATGGAACTTGACCTCGATTTTTGAAGAATACCGACGCTATGCTGGACCCAAAGTACGGCTTTTGAATGAACAGTTTATTGAACTGTTTGATACCGATTTAGTACGCGTACCTGGCAATAAACCAAGGTGGCTATAAATGTGATGGCTTTTTTTTGTGTCTTGCAAACCAGTAGATCATGCGACGTGTTAAGCTTGTTATTATTCTTATTATCGGACCATGTGAGGGATACCTCAGCATATGCATTGGTTTTATAGAAAAACTTCCCTGTTTTGAATGAAACAGTATCAGCAGTTCCATCGTAGCGAAAAAAGAGCAGTTGCTACAAATATTGCTCTCACATTCGTGGATCCTCTTGAGTCGCCTAACCCTCAAGATCATCGTATCATGTATCGAACCCAATCATAAAGTCATTGAACTCCCCACATGATGAGGCAAAATACTTGTGGATGGGCCATCAAACACAATGAATTCTTGATCCACAAAACACTTTATAGACTATCAACACCGAAAATCCTTGTTCAAAACAGTTGGCAGATCCTGTCAGTACGTGTCAACAATGGGTAAAGATGGTGTCGGTGAACCATCGAAAGTCACTCACTACTTGGCCAAATTTGGAATATTTTAAAATACTCTTCTGTACACGATGCTTTATATATACACAGACGAGGTGCAGGAAGACATATACTTACTGTTTTATATTTTCGTAGGGATTGCAAAAAGGAGCTACAGCTTTTTACTGCTGGCATTGAAAAGAGAAAAAAATAACACTTCACAAGGTGGAACAAAAAGCGGTGGTTTTTCAAAGACCGGGCAATCGAAGCAGAAATTGGGTGGATGGGAAATTTTTATATTTTTTTTTTCTTTTCTTGTTATCTCTGTCAGGCGAAACTCACTGCTTTTTTTGTGTCTTTCCTCACTGGGAAGCTGATTTTGCTTGTCTTTTTCATCACTCTGCCAACTTATGCAACTATCTTTTAACTCTTTAAACGTCGCCACTCTGCTTCCCAAAGTTACTTGTCACGGCGGCAGTGTCTCCTTTGTCATTGCTTTCTGCCTCGCTCAATATCCCGCTGATACTTCGGAAGGAGGATAAAGTCCACTTTTTTGCTTGTCTCGCTTATTCTCATCTGATACTTTTCATACCACTCTTCACAACAACAACGGAATTTTCCCGACAATTGACGCACGTTTATTCGAATTCCCTCAAATCTCTCATCTTGTTCATTTCGCCCTTGCAGTTCCCTTTTTTTCTTTTCCAAAACTCTTTTTCTTTTCACATTACTTGCAAAGTCGTTTTCTTTTTTTGATCATGGTCAGCTCTTACACTCGCTCCGATTCTCCTTTGGGACGAATGATCTCTTTGATTGAAGTCCCTCGTTCTCCTCTACGCTTTGTCATTTTGGATTGTCCAACCGAGTCCACTCTTTCCTATTACCTGGATGCTTTCAAACAGTTCAACGTGACTCACGTTGTTCGCTGTTGCCAACAAACTTACAGTGCAGCTCGTCTGACTGAACAGGGCATCCAAGTTCATGATATGCCCTTCAAGGATGGTGGCGTGGTAAGTCTTGGGAAATGTATTAACTGTCGGCTCCATGTCCTTTTGCTAAAAAATTGTTTTTCCTCTCCCTTTTTTTGACTCAAGCCGCCACCTGCGGTTGTACGAGAATGGCTTTGTCTTGTTGATGCCCAGGAACGAATTGGAAGAACCGATTTCACTTGCCCAGCACCCACCATTGCTGTCCATTGTGTGGCCGGTCTCGGTCGTGCTCCTGTTTTGGTTGCCATCGCTCTCATTGAGCTCGGTATGCAGCCACTGGATGCGATCGAATTCATCAGGAGAAAACGCAGGGGAGCATTCAACAAACCACAAATCGCCTTCTTGGTAATAAGAGGATCCAAAAAAAGAAAAAAAAGAGCAGTACTACATTGGGAAATCATGCTGACTTGGTTTGTTTTATTTGCATGGTTTTTTAGGACTTATACAAGCGCACTATGAAAACCAAAACTTCATCCACCATTTCTTTCAAAACGTCTCTCGGTAAAATGTTTCGATTCGGTGCAAACAATACTTCTCACAATGGCAACAACAACGCCAATAATACCTCCAAAAAGCAAGAACTAGTGATCCATTGAATCCATGGCCGCCAGTCTTATCGCATTTGTAGATCAGCTGGACGAATCTTTGCCGAAAATAGATATCAACACCACATTATTAAAAATACCGCAATTTCATTGGGTCAAACTCGTGCTCTTTTTTTTTGATTTGCTGCTGTGAACGGAAAACCTTGTCTTTTTTTTTTTTTTGGTTCTCAGGAACATGACTGCATCATGCTGTCACTGTAGCGTCGCAAATGTTTATCGTTTGATCATCCCCCCATGGTCGCTGCGCTTTCCAATCCATGATATCATCATTTAACATTACAAACAACGACCCTTTATCGATCGACTCTTTTGGATATGCCCTCCGGATACTTGGAATCTGTTGCATCGCTTCCCGACTTCTGTTTCGTAATTGGAGAATCCACTTTCTTTATATATACAAGCCGTACACCCGCTGTGCAATGGATGCCGCCTGCCACTGGAGATCGCCCCCTTACATTGGGCGACTTTCGTCAGACAAAGCCTAACGCATACACGGCATAACCTGGGCGAGAATTCTTGACGGACTTTGGTATATTAATGACAACCTTATGGCAATACCATGCAACGTCAGTTGTTCCTGAACACGCGCAGGCTATGATCGATCTAGAAAGATGTGTGGGTATGTGGGTATTTAAAAAAAGTGAGTTAGTAAGCTCTTTGATTGATCAAACTTCGTTAAGATATTTTACTTTTGTTATTTGAGTTTTCGATAGTAATTGATCGCTTGACATGACTTGGATTATATGACATTGAAAATTTTTTTTAAATTAGTATACGTTCATTACATCATAGCAAAGGAAAAGAAATTGGACTTGCCTTTGAACCAAATGGTGAACCGGAAAAAAAAAAGTTGAATACGGATCACAGGTAAGCTTCTTCTTCGATGCGGACAATAGAATTGCTTCCAGGGACAGTTAAGCGATGGATCGGTGGTGTCAGCTTGAGCAGGCAAAAAATATTGACGTGGCCAGAAGTGACGGTAAATTTCGAGTTGGATTTGGATTCCAGATATCGAGAGTCCCCGAATAAAAAGAAAGAAAAACAAATAAAGTACATGGTGATAAAAAACAATGGTCGCGTCAGTAAAAAAAAAAAACCTCCTAAAAAAAGAGGAAAAGACTGCGAAAAGAATATGTACATGAGATATAAAATACAAAATACAATAATCGGGAAGACATCTCGAATACCATATCATGAGAAGCTGAAGAGGACACGAAGCGTTTTTCTGATGTAAAAGATAGTCACACCACCGACGATGGCCATCCGATTTCGCCAGATGGATGGATGGATGACGAGAGAAAGTCAACTTGTAGTATCCAGAATTTGTTAGGCGAAAAGAAAACGGAGAAAAACCGGAAGCTGGAAGAAGGATGGAAAAAAAAAAGAGAGGAAAGTCTGTTTTGCCGGAGCAAAATCGATGGTAGACCACTCCACGCCTACATTTTTGAGGATGGTAGTCGATTTAACCAAGTTAGATACACGGGATACGAATGGTCTGGATGATAGATGTGGATGAGATCTTGATACAATGATAGTGAGGGTTTATCAAGCAAACAGAAAGAGAGAGAGAAAATCAAAAGAAGATAAAATTGAAGACAAAAAATATGTGATTTCCTATGGATGAAACAATAGTCACCCTAATGATGCATGAATTCATAGATCGAAGCACGTCTGCTTATGTATTTCGATATACAGTATTAACTGACAAAAAAAACAAATTGAATGATTCTACAGAAGAACGCCAGTCGTATCATCAACCACCTTTCTTCAAAAAGAGCTCTACTCACATTTTTATTTGAAAGACGACGATGCTCTGTTTGACCACGACTGGCACAAACGGCATTGCTGCTGATTGTTTCGCCTATTATCGTGAAAGTGGGGCAGCGAGGCATGGCTGAAAGATAAAAAAAAAAAGGTTTAACAGGTCCTGATAACTTGTAGATCATGTGATTTACAAATCGCTAATTTCCCAAAGATTTAGTTTAAACAAGTCGCTAGTAGCGCGTGTTAATCTTAAAGATTACAAAGTTCTGCTCTATCGGTGTGTAGTTTGATGTTGCTCTAAGGGAAGCGAGAATAGTAGCTGATTCAAGATGGTTTGGAATGGGATGCTGCATTTCCAATATTCAAACTCCGTGGTCGAATTTGTGTTTCCCAAGTTCTCGCTTAATGGTGTTCTCTCAACTCTAATCTTTTGTCAATAAGCTTTCTTTCAGGTTTTATGCGACCATTGATTTTTCGACGAGATTTTAGTCGATGTTCGCATAAATCTTTGCGCATTCAATGGGAAACGGAGTAACACAGTCTCTTTTCCTTTTTCCCAGAGGTGCTGATCCCCCTGACCGCACCGCCACATAATGATCATTTTCTTCTCCGCGACAGAGGAACAGCAATTTTGTATGCAAAGTAGTAGCGAATATAGCCAGAAATCTTATAATATTAAATGGAAGGGCAAAATAGATATCATAAGAGAAAACAATCATGACTTGGAAAAACATAGCATAAGGATGAAAGCAAAGGAACATAAGGAAAAAAAGCATACAGTAAGACATAAAGGAACACAAATACATAATGAGGAAACAAAATAGGACATAGCATATTGATGCATCTTGAAGAGCAAGTTGCCATTCGTTGTCATCTGAGAGCAGTCCGAGTCGCCGTGCTGCAGCCTGAAAGTCGGCATGATGACGCCGTTAATTGTGCGAAGATCTTGGAAACTTTGCGCATCTGGGATGATATACCACATCATTCTTTAAAACGATTTTTGGGATTGCCTTGGCGACACAGCGTAAATCCGGCCGATCGTACCACCAAAGCGTCGCTGACGTCTTCTCCATGTCCGTGTTCTTTGGTATACGTGATGACGAAATTGAATTCACTCAAGAATAAGGACCAACGTGCTTGCCGGCGGTATACGTATTGCGGGGGGAAATCAGGGTAAAGGTAGGCTCGGGCTTGAGGGTCCGTTCTGTTTTTTGGCAAACTGTCAAAATTGTGTCATGAGCACGTTCTGCCACTATTTGAGGGTTCTCATCTTCGGAAATTGCACCATTTGCTCATTTTCCAAATGGATGGCCAAGGTTGAGTGTTGGGATATTCAGAGTGCATAGGAAATGAAAGTAACCGATGAACGCTTTCTGCAGCCAGAGAACAGGTTTTTTTTACATAGTTGGCCCAATCAATGTAATATTTTTGCTTTTTTAGTCAATCAGAGACCGTGCACATGATTTAACGTGGATAACTCCCAAGTTTTAATATACAGTATCAACAATTACAACAGGTGAAACGATTATTTGACATAATTGCTACTGCATTGCAAGACTTGAAAACGCCGTCATAAATCATTGAATCTTATGCGCTGCTATCAGTGAGTGACCGTATACAGGCATAGAGTAAATCATGAATGCCTCGGAAACCGAGTTCAGCGAGATGATCCAAATATTCCAGCCGGAATCCTTTGAATGGGATGGCTATGCCTCCATTCTACAAAACATTTCCCACCATGATTAGACAGTGATGCAAAACATGTAAAAACCAAGGCTGCTTTACCTCGCCCAGTTCTTTCAACATTTGAGAATCGATCGGGCTATTGTGGCGTACCGTCGAACCATGATCATTTTCCAGCGTCTAATGCCATATCAGAATAGTGTGCGATATCATCATTTCACCATCAATGATACTTACCGCTAAGAACCGGTTGGCAAATCCCGCCAGAGCTGCTGACCGACAGAGGGATAATATCTGATCAAACGATATGTTGTTCTTTTCTGCAATTTCTTGGTACCCCACTATTAATTCTCTGCAAGAGCCTTGTCAATATATACAAACGTCGGTTAGTTGTATCGGCAAAGTGATATCTTACTCGGTCAATGAGAATGCTCGGTTCTCTTCTGATGAACGACTGAGAAATTGCGTTCGCCACAAAGCATTACACATGTCGGTCACATAAGAGTTGAAATGTTGGAGATATTCTTGTGTATGCCGTGACACCCAGTCCCCTTCCTTTTGCTCATTTTCCTCAAAAGCCTGCTTGTACTGGAAAATGATACCACACATTCGAGAGACTGGCATGGCCAGCGGAGAGAAAAACGTGCGATAAACGAGCGGTGCTGCTGGTATAATGATTTCAGGTATGTCGTGATGAATTGATATGGAAGACACCTATCGATCGGATGGAATCAAATCAATTAAAACAATTTCACGCAATATACACACGTGCATCCTTTATACCAATTCGAAATATGAAAGCGCCGCATGCTGTATCAAAGGATGATCTTGTTCCAAGCTAAAACCAATGACACAAATTCGATCCACATGCTGTATAAATTCTTGCATCGTTCGGAAATAGTCAATGTTGAAAGACAATCCCTGGAATAGCCATGCGCTAGAGAGAGATTAATTGCAAGCGCTCGAAAAAAAAAAAAAAAAAAAAAAAAAAAAAAAAAACCAGATCAGACCAGCTCAGTGCAAACATTTACCTTTCATCCATGTCTGAATAAGGATCAAGGTTTCGTCGTTTTTTCGCGTGCTCATTCCAGTCGAGTAATGCCCAGTTTTTCAGCCATTCAGTATAGCAGAGAATAAGGCGAGCCTAATACAATACACTAAATAGATTCGATCGGTATCATGCAACCAGTTATAAATACCTTCCAGGAAACATTGGAGACGCAGAAAAGGCGGTATAAAGGCTGCAAAAAGTATTGGTACATATCTTTGGTAGTCATTAATACCATAGCATATTTTATAATGTTGCAGCACGTATACTATTACCTTCATACGTCTCTGGCTTCACAAAAGTGAGGAGCTCGAATATTTCTTGCTCAAACTCTACGCCATTCCAAGTTTTGATATAATCCTTCAAAAACGTTTCCAGGACCGGTATATGCGACTAGAAGCCAGGATCAATTTTTCATCTGATAAAGTTGCGTACTACATTGCTTACTTTAAGGAAGCGTGCCATTCGTATCGATTTCAATAAAAGCTCCTTCAGTGCTTTGTTTGAAACTTCGCTGTGGTCATTATACTTTATCAACTGCATCAGATTTTCACCCAACCACAGGTTGATTCGGGTAACAGTCGTAGCTAACAGAAACAAAGGGCCATGAGATTCCTGTCCAGCAGCAAGGTACGAGTCGCGAAGATAAATGGAGTGCAAACCCGCTTCCTTACCTGCTGGATGACACACAAGAACATGTTGTAAAGTATGGTTATCCAACACGGACGCCACTTGATCCGGTAATTTCATACGATCCATTTTCTTTGCTAATTCTGTCGAATTATTGATCTCTTTAATCGTGAACGCGCTCTAAAAACAAAATGACTGGATTTAGGAATGCCAAACAGAGCGACAACATGTTCAAGGGAAAAAAAATTACCAAATCCGACAGAGAAGTTGCTACATCCGGCACCTGTACAGGGGTTGAATCCTTTTTCCGACGTTTAACCTGCAATGTAATATGAGTACCTAGCAGGAGGCCAAAAAAAACCATCCAACCAAAACTCTTACGCGGAGAGTCTCCAAAGGAGGTTTATGCAAGTCGAGATTGCCTATCGTCTCGTCGTTGTGCCATAGATGATGGATTTTCTGCAATGTTTCCTGTGCGGTTTTGTTCGGATGCTAATACCTTATGTTAGCAGCCATGTCCATTTGCGGTTCAGTGATGACTTACTTCGAATATTCCCTTCCGGGTGCTCTTCAATTCTGGAATGCCAAGTTCCGGATCGTAGGTCTTATATACGTATAACAGACCATCCACCCATTTTTCACGACCAACTTTTTCGGAAAGTTGGATGAGTTGCCTCGCTCGGTAGGCTTTGACGTGCGCGCGTTTGGTTAAAAAGTATAAAAGATGACATAGCTGCGGCCTACAAATAAAAATAGTCATTTTTCCTGATCCCGGTTAAAGTCTCGTCAAGAGATGCCACGCCTACCTGAATGTCTCTATATTCAGGTAATGGAATAGAACAGAATACAGATTGCTGATGTTTTCGGTGGATTCAAACAAGTCAAATATTGAGATCACCCAAGAAAGTAATTGTGACTATCATCATCATCGGACGCAGTTACAAACACTGTTCTTTTCCATACATCAATGATCAAGCCTACCATCAGTTTGGGCGAATATTCTCGACATGACAGATATCCAAAGATTCGGATCGCGTATTTTTCGGGCACCTTGGTTCTTGGAAGACACAGTTTGAGAAGCAGGATGGCATAATTATCGGCTAAAGCAAAAACAATCAGTGTTCCTATTCATGTGAACGAAAAAAAAAAGAAAAAAAAAAGTTGTTGAACATACGAAGCTTATGGCATAGCACCAAATTCATCAAAAGCGCAAGCTGATCCTGAGAAACACCATATTTGGTAATGACTGGTTGCAGCCTTGCGTATGTTTTGTCAAATGTTCTTCTTAATCTCCATTTAACAAGAGCTGGCAGAAACCATGTTATGAGCTACACACATTCGAAACACGATTCAAATCGAACGTACTGGCATTGTAATTGGCAAATAGACCTAGAAGGTAATTATCGACTCGTGCAATGTTGAGCTGATTTATCTCGGATATAAGGTTCTGATCAGCATCGTCGTCAAATGGTGGAATATCTGGAGATAATAAGCGATCAGGCGTCGCATGGCGAGAAGCCACGCTATCTTCTCCTATTGAGTGAATCGACAGTTAAATGGCGCTCATAATTCGTACTTTTCTAGGGGTACAAAACCTTGGTCACTCAAACTAGCGCTCATGTCGTTCGGAATCGATCAGTGAAAGAATAGAACAGAAAATGGCGCCAAACGCGAACTTTTTCTTTTCTTTCCTGCTCTCCAATTTTTATTGGAACCCCGCGCAATTTAAACGAATGTTGCAGGACGGCCGCGAAAGAAATAAGCTCGTTTTCCCTCAGTACCAACAACAACCATCCTTTATCTTGGCTTGACCTGCTCCAAATGGAAATGGTGCAATTCAACTACTGTGGGGCATAACATGGTTTGAATTCATAAAAGGGTGGACCAAATCGCGTTGCTCTTCAGTTGGCTGCCTTCCATCATTTAACAGCTCTGTTTTTATATGACCTGTTCGATCAAAGATTTGGTCCCAACTTGAAGAAACCTACATAATACACGATAATAAATTGGTGGCCTACTTTACCAATAACCATCAACATGTACGATAATTCACGTTCAGTCTACACCTTGGGAAAAAAAATATTCGGATAACATTCGAATGTTTGGAATCGTAAACAATCATATACTTTCCCAATATTTTCAAATATGGTCTAACTCCGATCGTTTTGATTCGCTATAAAATATTGTCAAGGTCAGCTCTGAATTTTTGTGACTGGCATGGCCATTTCTTGCATCGTTTGTGCTGGGATATTCAAATTTGTAAGAAATCAAATACTTTTGCAATATATGTTGAATATTTTCTTCTAAGGTCCGTATATACAAGAAGACAAAGCCAAAAGCGTGAATGTGACAAAATTAAAATAGGACCTACACCCAGATCAACTTCCAGCCAATATTAGGAAGAAGTCTCATCCCATTGCAAGTGATCTGAGCAAACCTTTTCGCCGAAAAAAAAAATGACGTCAAATATGATGACGTCATTGCCATTTTCTGATATGTGTTTGACCAATTTTTTTTCCAGCGGAGCTCCTGTGGCGCAATTGGCTAGCGCGTCTGACTGTTAATCAGGAGGTTGGTGGTTCAAGCCCACCCGGGAGCGTAGTTTTTTGCGTCTGCATGATGCAGCATTTTTTTTAACTTATTTTTGGCCTGCCTTCCTTTTTTTCTATGTCGTACTTCACTCGGATCTGTTATACAGTCAAGATCACCAAAGTGGTTTGCCAAGAAATATAGGTCTAAAAAGGACTGACTTTTATTATTCTGTTTTGTTCTGTCTTTTATATCTTTTCTCTAGTTTACTGATTATTAACAAGCCGTACACCCGCTGTGCAATGGATGCCACCTGCTACTGGATGTCGCACTCTTCCCTTGCGACATTCGTCAGACAAAAAGCCTAACGCAATACGGCATAACCTGGGCGAGACTCTTGATGGAACTTTGGTATATTAATGTCAATACTCTGGCATACCATGAAACACTTTTAATGAACAAAGCAGCACTCATTGACCCCCTCCGTTCTGTCCCGCCCAAGGTTATGATAGATCTACAAAGATGTGTGGGAATGTTGGGTATTTAAAAAAAATGAGTTAGTAAGCTCTTTGGTTGATTCAAATTTCGTTGAGATATTTTACCTTTGATGTTTGATGCAGCAGATACCGAGGGCTTCCCGACCGAAATAAAGAAAGGATACAAATATAAAAAAAAAAAAGTAAATACAATAGGTGCGTCTGTAAAAACCCCCTAAAAACCCTGTGGGAAAAAAAAGGAGGAAAAGACTGCAAGAAGACTATTCACTAAAATACAAAATACATACTACAACTACAAAATAAAATGGTCGGGAAGAAATATCGAAGGCGATACCACGGGCAGCAATCCATATGAGAGGAACCTGGGGAGGACGCGTCAGCGTTTCCCGATGAAAAAGAGAGTCACACCACCGATGCCTTTGACGACAAAAACCGGTTTGGCCACATTTGAGCGCGAACAAAGTAGAAAGATTTGGAGGGATGGATGACTTGCCAAGCGAAAAGAAAACCGGAGAGAAAACCAAAAGCTAAAGAAGGGGTAGAGAAAAAAGAACGTGAGTTTTTTCTTGTCGAAAAACGAATAGTCACATCACACAAAAGGTACCTTTTTGATAATACTCGACTTGACCGGTTACAGATAGACGCCGGATACACCATAGTCTGGATGATGGATGATGGATGTGGATGCGGGTGAGGATGCAATGATAGTGAGGGCTTTTCAGGTAAACGGAAAGAGGGAGAAAACCAAAGGAAAAAGAAAAAATTGAAGACAAAATGAATGAGTTCCCATGGATGAAACAATAGTCACTCTGCCAATGCAAGAATGATGATCAGGTCAACCACATGGGCCAAAAAGTGGAACATTTGCGGTTGGTTTACCTTTAAATCAAACATTGTGCCGAAAGAAAATATGTATACGGACCACACGTAAGCTTCTTCTTCGATGCGGAAAAGAAAATTGCTTGCAGAAACAGTTAAGCGGCGGAATATTTTTGGGGCGGTGGTGTCAGCTTGAGCAGGGCCAAGATATTGATGTGGTCAGAAGTGCCGGTAATTTCGAGCTGGAGGCCAGATATCGATAGTTTTCCCGAGTAAAAATAAAAGAAAATAAAACTTGCGTCAGTAAAAATCTCACAAAAAACCCTGTGGCGAAAAAAAGAGGGAAGACTGCGAAAAGAATACTTACATGAAAGACGATATCAAGAGTAGGAATCCAAATGAGGGCAACATGAGGAGGACGCGTCAGCGTTTCCCGATGAGAAAGAGAGCCACACGACCGAAGATGTCCTTTGACGACAAAACCCGGATTGGCCACAATCTGGTGCCCGAACAAAGTAGAAAGGTTTTGGAGGGATGGATGGCTTGAATGGCTTGCCAGGCAAAAGAAAACCGGAGAGAAAACCAAAAGCTAAAGAAAGAATAGAGAAAAAGAACAGGTAAATTTTTTCTTGTCGAAAAACGGATAGTCGTATCACACAAAAGGTACCTTTTTTCATAATAATCGAATCGACCGGATCAGATACACGCCATAGTCTGGATGATGGATGATGGATGCAATGATAGTGAGGGATTTCCAGGCAAACAGAAGAGATGCAAAACTAAAGAAGAAGAAAAAATTCGGACAAAAATATGTGATTTTCCATGGATGAAACAATAGTCACCTCACTGATGCATGAATGATGAGCTACACAGATCGAAGCATATCTGCTCCATGTATCATTCGATTACTGAAGAGAATGAAAGGGCATATACAGTATAACTGACAAATAAAAACAAATTAAATGATGCTACAGAAGAACGCCAGTCGTATCATCAACCACTTTTCTTCAAAAAGAGCTTACTCACATTTTTATTCGAAAGACGACGATACTCTGTTTAACCACAACTGGCGCAAACGGCATCTTGCTGCTGATTGTTTCGCCTATTATCGTGAAAGTGGGCAGCAAGATGCCGTTTGCGCCAGTTGTGGTTAAACAGAGTATCGTCGTCTTTCGAATAAAAATGTGAGTAAGCTCTTTTTGAAGAAAAGTGGTTGATGATACGACTGGCGTTCTTCTGTAGCATCATTTAATTTGTTTTTATTTGTCAGTTATACTGTATATGCCCTTTCATTCTCTTCAGTAATCGAATGATACATGGAGCAGACGTGCTTCGATCTATGAATTCATGCATCAGAAGGGTGACTATTGTTTCATCCATGGGAAATCATATATTTTGGTCTTCTCTCTCTTTCTGTTTACCTGGAAAACTCTAGGTATCATTGTATCAAGATCCCATCCGCATCCATCATCCAGACCATTCTTATCCCGTGTATCTAACTTGGTTAAATCGACTACCATCCTCAAAAAGGTAAGCGTCGAGTGGTCTACCATCGATTTTGCTCCGGCAAAATAGACTTACTTCTCTTATTTTCCATCTCTTCTTTTACCTTCCGGATTTCTCCATTTTCTTTTCGCCTGACAAGTTTTGGATACTACAACTTGACTTTCTCTCGCCATCCATCCATCCATCTGGCGAAACCGGATGCCATCGTCGGTGGTGTGACAATCTTTTTCATCGGAAAACGCTTACGCGTCCTCTTCATGTTCCTCTTCTTTGGATTGCTTCTCATGATATCGTATTCGAGGTGTCTTCCCAATTATTGTATTTTCTATTTTATATTTCATGTACATATTCTTTTCGCAGTCTTTCCTCTTTTTTTCCCACAGGGTTTTTTATGAGGTTTTTACTGACGCGACCATTGTTTTTTTTTATCATCATGTACTTTATTTGTTTTTCTTTCTTTTCATTCGGGGGACTCTCGATATCTGGAATCCAACTCGAAGTTACCGTCACTTCTGGCCACGTCAATATTTTTTGCCTGCTCAAGCTGACACCACCGATCCATCGCTTAACTGTCCCTGGAAGCAATTTTATTTTCCGCATCGAAGAAGAAGCTTACCTGGCGGTCCGTATCATCTTTTTTTTTGTCCGGTTCACCATTTGGTTCAAAGGCAAGTCCAATTTCTTTTCCTTTGCTATGATGTATAATGAACGTATACTAATTCAAAAAATTTTCAATGTCATATAATCCAAGTCATGTCAAGCAATCAATGGCTATTGCAAACTCAAATAACAAAGGTAAAATATCTTGACGAAAATTTGAATCAATCAAAGAGCTTACTAACTCATTTTTTTAAATACCCAACATACCCACACATCTTTCTAGATCTATCATAGCCTGGGCGGGATGGAACTGAGGGGGGAACCAGTGCTGCCCTGCGCGTGTTCAGAAACAAATCACGTTGCAACGTATGCCATAAGGTTGTCATTAATATACCGAAGTTCCGTCAAGAGTTCTCGCCCAGGTTATGCCGTGTATGCGTTAGGCTTTTTGTCTGACGAAAGTCGCTCAATGTAAGAGGGCGACCTCCGGTGGCAGGCGGCATCCATTGCACAGCGGGTGTACGGCTTGTTAGGTATCTCTTAACGGCAAAGCGGAGCCGCACCATCGTTTCTTATTCCTCCCGGTTCTTTTTTTCCTTTTCTCAATCACAGATAAGTTCCGACATCGTTTGCGCCAACGTTTGGTTCCACCGCTCGCATGCCCCATTGGTTAGCAACGGGCATATAATAAGATGATTTGGTAATTAAAGCGATAGTTACCTCAGGCACATAAATCTTCCAAGAGTCTATGCGCTATTGGCTCCAAACTGTACGGCCTTGGGAGCATTTACTCTTACTGCCATAGGGAGACAGGTGTATAACCAAACGACACGCTTTATGATATACCGGACAATCGAACATGAATGAAACGGGTGGGGAGGGGTTAAAACCCATCTGTGTAGGCTGCAATGATTCTCTGAAGGTAAAAGCGCCGGGTAGACCGTTTTTCGGTCCTTAATGAATGCAGCTAAACCTCATGCTATTTGGATGGAGTTGCTCATTCAAGTTGAGCTCAACTGAAAACAACGTGAAGCAAATGAAATGGGCTCAGATAGTAATGATTACCAAGAGAGATTGCAAACAGATTCAATCATTATCCGAAAGGTCAATCACACGATATTTATCTAAGATAAAAAAGGGGAATCGATGACAAAGTGTGGTTGGCAAATATCCGTCACGTCACACGGTTATCATATTCGTCAAGCATAACAAACAAAAGCGTCATGTATGGAGATATTATTGCGCTGAGAATCTTCCGATGTTTTCTGTATGTTGAGGGTATCGCTAGATTTGACAGTCGCACGGCGAAGCTCTTTATTTGCATTGTATCACGGGCATGATTATTGATACTTTCTGTCATTTGGATTATACAGAAATTCGAATTTGAAAGGTTCTCCAGATGGGTCGTACGCATGGATTGTTGGGTTGTAGTAGTTGCCCGCAAATACAATCGAGCCACCGGCTGGTACATTGATTTCAAAGAACTCGCCATCGGCTTGAGGAAACTTTTGCCTCATCTAATAATTGGCAATGTATTGATTTCAAAAATTGGCCTGGGATTTGTTTCTTATCGATTACTTACAGCGAAAACTACAAGGGCATCTCTATCACGGTTCACTTGACAATCCGACACAGTGTAGGGACAGCAAGCCTTCTCATTTCGATGTAGCCGTTCCCGCTTAAATCGCCTGAGAAAGTATGAATGTCAAATATAGTACGATGTAGCCGTCATTCATTTCAACTCACCGCTCGAAGGTACTACCAGCGCCTTTAATTTGGCGGATCCAAATATACGTGTCATCCGTATGGTTATTGTAGATGCAATATCCCGCCACATACGGCAATACCGCAATCAAAAACAGAAGAGGCATGCATATGGTACATTGTCTCATTGCAAGATCGTTTCACAGATAAAAATAATGAGAACGAGATAATAGCGAGGCAATAGCAATGCTGCGACAAGAAGCTATGGAGTAAGCTTTATAAGTTACGGTTACCCAGTGCATTGAGTGCATTTGCTTTTGTTCGCTAAAAGAGGCAAATCATTATGAAGAATAATGAAATTTGCTTCAATGCATGGCAAATGATATTTATTTTATGGTACAGTGCGTCGATAAAAAAAAAAAAGGGAACTTATTCGTTTCCCAAATTTTTCAGTTTCTTCACCCTTGACAATCCGTTTCCCAGTGACTAAAAAAGAGCGAAAAAAAGGTATATATCAAACCTACAAATAAAGATGCATTTTGGAATAATTATACTTACTGAAGGTGCCTTTTTCTTCTTTCTTTCTATGATTTCGACTGTTTCACTAGCACTGTTGTCATCCGACGACAGCGACGGAGACGTGGTTCCCATTCTGCAAATATGAAAATTCTGTTGTTGTGCATTACTTCCGTGTAACTTACCTTCTATTTGCTACACGACTGGATTGTCTCCCAGACAATCCAAGGCATTTTTCCAAATGCGGGGCATATCTTGAGGAGGCAATCGATTTGTGACAATGAACACACTCATAGAACGGAAGATTATTTACACTATAGCTGTTGCCAAAGATATCGGTGCCTGATTGCGTCGCTATAAAGGATAGTTTGAGAATAAAGAGCATAACATGGATATACATATAATCAATCTACCATAAGAGCGACATCTAATGCGTATGCGGTTAGCTGCAGTGTCCAATCATGATTTTTTCCTTTTTTTTTTTTTTTTGGCCAGGAGAATACGAACTTTGTTTGACAGATCTGACATACGGCATTGGCAGATTTGATATCTCGATGGACTTCGAAAAGGACGTCGTATATACATTCGTCAATCAGATCCCCCAGTAACGAAAAGGCCTATGTTGTTGCATCAATGATTGTCGCAACTTTTTGAAAACAATTTTTTTTCGTCCTCGAGGCTCACCATGACAGCTTTCGTGTTACTCTCTGTATTGGCGATACGGGACATATTCTTATGTAATGCTGTATGGGTATTTTGTAGTTCACTTAAGGTCTTATTGCGTTCTGTCACCAATCGCTTATAGAACCTGAGTAACCAAGAATTGTCAGTGATGGCGACATGGTACACTTGCTGATCATCGAAGCACAAACGTACAGATTACCAGCATCACGCTGATTAGCACTATTGGCAGCCTTTCCTTGTACAGCGGTCGAGCTGTTGGCTGAGGTTGGGTTATCTTTTTGTTCTTGCATATGTATAGATAATTCAGAGAGATCGGTCGCTTTCAATCAGCAGACAAGGAAGGGAACAACGAAGCAGCGAATAACGGAGTTTGCATATGAGATTCCGTAGGGCTTGACCAGTGCACGTGATTCTTCTGATAAGCAGAAGAAGCATAAAGTGCAAGCATATCATGAAATAATGATCCAGTCTCATTCCAATACTCTCCATTCACCGGAAATAAAAAAAAAATACGTAGCCACAGGTGGTACTAAAACCAACAGCTGCTGTAATAAGTAGAGAGTATGCTTAGGCCTAAGCACCTTTGCAAAAACAGTAACGAAACGTAAAAAAAAAGTGGATAGTTAGCTCTAACCTTCACTGCACGCCTGGTCAGCTGCAGTTTATGTGAACCTAACCTCCAGAAAGCCATACTCGCATTATCATCAAAGGAAAGGACCAAAGATCGACTGTAATGCGAGCAGTCACCAGCGTGGATCAAAAAAATTTGGGAAGGCAAGGCTACAGAAATTCCAGCTTTTCTTCAATAACTGTCATGGCTACAGCAATTGCAGCAGAACCATTATGCATGTTCATTGTTGTCCGTAAAGACTTGGCCAAGGTAAATACTCGAGATTTACGTTTTGAAATTCGTGCTAAGTACCTTTACAGAGCTTGCAATGGCCCACTGGAAGGTAAATGGCGCGTTGTCCGTTTTGTCCCGTTTGTCTTTTTGTTGACTAAAGTAAAACCAAAGTGTCATAACACAAGCTTGTCACGCAGCTACGGCCATATTGCAGCAGACGAAGGATGATGACAACACAAAAGAGTATCTGAAAGATATTCATAACATGAGAAAAGTGGTCCTTGAAGTGAGTATTCTAATAGTCTCTCTGCATTTTCCACTGATCACATTACTGATAAAACTGTAGACCAAAAATGCTGCTTCGCTTGAAAAGCTTGCTGATGCTCTAGTAGAGCATGAAATTCCTCTTTTCAGATGGACCGAGCAGCCCGAGAATATTGTGACCGCATTCGCAACTGCACCTCTACGTGAGAGATCAACGGAAGTGAAAGCGATATTCAAGAAATACAGTTCATTATACCGTTAAACTTTTGAACATAATGTTCAACCATACAAAAATATATTTTATTCGGGGGCGATAGCGAAGTTTTCTGTCTATATTGTCTGTAGAGCAGATGGAATATACGCTGATTCGAAGAACACAGGGTTTGTCATTACGTATCATATTATTTGATTGTGACGACCGACACATGGAACCTTGAATCATTTTTTATTCACTTCAACCTGTTTCGAAATCAGAGAGTCCGCGCTAGGAACTTCTAATTTTTCAACACCCAGATTGTCCAGCCTGATATGGAGCGGGTGATGGGTGTCTTTGTGCGATGGGAGACGAAATCGTGTAGTCGACGCCATGATAAAAGCGCAATCAGGTCTTTACAGGCCGAATTCTTTGAACGGCCAAGTAGGGTTGGCACTTTCTAGGCTGGAGGCTAATAAGAGAGAATGCTTACACTATCTGGGACCACAACAGTCATGTTAAGATAATGCTGATAGAAACTGCATAATATAGCTTCAAGCAAACAACTTATGCTGAGGGGTCGATCCGTTCATCAATGCTACAGCAGCCATTACAATAAAAAGACACTAAGACGTGCTCGTGGGAGGCTTGGTCAGTTGGGATGTCTCTATATAGATTGAGGTCCAAGAGCCCAGCAAAAATTTGATTTTTGTTTTCTCAAATATCTTATAACATTAGCTATTAAATAAGACCAGCGCTTGAAGAACATAGCTAATGCTGATTTCAGCTTCGCAGAACCTAGAAAAAACTGAACCGTTGTACCTTTCATCGTCTACCAAGCTGTGAGGGCTTTTGAGTTGCGTTTAGTCTCCTTCAGCATTTTGGACAACGTCCAGCCAATCACAATGATACCCAAATCACGTGATTCTTGTGACTGTATAAAACATGCAAATTTTTTTATCAGCGGAGCTCCTGTGGCGCAATTGGCTAGCGCGTCTGACTGTTAATCAGGAGGTTGGTGGTTCAAGCCCACCCGGGAGCGTTGCTTTTGACGCTTGCATGTCAAACGTCGTTTTTTTTTGTGTCGTTTTCGGGGTTTGCTGAATCTATTGTCGTACTTCACTCGGATCTGATATACCGGCAAGATCACCAGAGTGGGAAACAAGAGGATTAGGGATAGGAAAGGTAACGCTTTATTTTTGTCAATTATAAGAGATATTTATGTCAGTTACGCCGGTTCTTCTTTTGCGCCGATTAGATTTGCTATACCAAAGTTTAGCAAATACGGAAGACAGCGCATTGGCTCGTCCGCAGATCGATGTCTGGAGGAACCTTCGAGAAGGTATGAAGGACCAATGGATGAACGAGGCATACCAAAGGTATTGCCTGGAAAACGGAAGAAATATAGACCGAATCCGTTTAGCATTAAAGTGGTCCGCAATACTTCTTGATTGGTTATGTTTCGGAATAATAGAAAACCGTGCAGGAAGTTGACGAGAACCTTCCTGAAGATTGTAGACATAAAAATGATCTTGATAGAAAATATAAATATGACCATGTTATGGTAGAAATAAAGAATGAACAAAAACTACAGATTTAAACTGAACTCTAAAGGAGTACTCAAATCTGACAACTGGTAGCGGCTGAAAAGAAACCCGACCTGAGCCCAATTACTATTACGACGAAACCGGAACTATGGACGCACAAATGAAGACTCTCACCGAAGCTTTGGCTTACCTTCTGGAACGCGAGAAGAAGAAGGAAGAAAACGCCGGAAAGCAGACCCAAGGTGCAGAAGTCAAGGTTCCTCTGCCTGCGAAGTTCCGAGGTGCCAAGGACCCCGTCGTTGTGGAAAACTGGATCGATGATGTCGACCAATACTTCACCTTTACAAAAATGCCGGAGGAACAGCGGTTCAACTTTGCTGTTATGCTCCTCGAAGACAAGGCGAAGATGTGGTGGCGACGTCACAAGCAGACTAGTGGTGACGATACGATCGATAACTGGGAAGATTTATGCGATGCCATTCGGCACTACTTTGTCCCAACTGGTGTGTACCGACAAGTCCGTGGAAAGTTGCACAACCTACGACAAACTGGTTCCGTGCAACGTTATGCCGAAGAGTTCCAGGACTTGAGAGCGATCGCTGGTGATGTCTCGGAAGCGGAAGCTTTGGACCGCTTCACTCGTGGTTTACGTATTCCGATCCAGGAATATGTGTACACTTATAGACCGGAGACTCTGGATCGTGCCATCGAGTTGGCTATGGACTACGAAGATGCTCGCCGTGGTAATTTCCGTCCCGTATTCCGTCCCCAGCAAGCTCAACGTCGGTTCAATGGACCCGAACCGATGGATCTGGACTTGCATGAATTGGATCGTCCCAGGAGACAACGACGTCCCAACGGCAAGAAGCACGTCAAGACCCCGAAGTGCTATGCCTGTGACCAGGAAGGTCACCTCGTGAAGGATTGCCCAGTGGTTAAAGCGGCCAAAGCTGCTTTAAAAGTCAACGCGCAATAGGTCAAGAGGGGGCCGTATTGCGCAAAGAAGATGTAACCACCCCTCTACCGGAACTAGGTCCTGGAAGCAAGGATCAGGGTGCTGGGAAGAAGCAGGGCGGTGGTGTCAAGAAATCGAAAGCTTCTTCCCCTTTCAAGTGGTACCAGGACAAGGAAACTCGCGACCGTTGGCAAAAGGAACGCGACCATTTGGAAGAATTACAGCATTTGGCCAACGAAGGACGTGGTGCAATTGGTTTGCCGACATATAAAGGTTATATCGCCGGAGAATCTATGCAAGTTATTATCGACTCGGGAGCCTCAGCGAACTATGTATCCAAACGTCTGGCAAAAGGTTTGCCGCAACGCAAGTTGAAATGCGCTCTGCCAGTTAAGTCTGCTGGTAACAAGACGATCATGGTGGATACGGTGGTCAAGGTGCCTTTCTCCTTTGGACAAGTCGAGAAAGAAGATCACATCGAGGCATTGGTGATTCCCAGTCGATTCGATCTCATTTTGGGCATGGATTGGCTTGAAACGGTTAACCCGTCCGTAGACTGGAAGACGAAAACATGGCGGATCCAGACGGCAAAGGGCGAGATGGTGCTCTCCCCTAACGAACGAACGGACGATGACGAACTGAATTTTGTGTGTTGCCCGAGGCAAGTGGTCAAGTCGATCAAGCAGCGAGAAGAAGTAGCCCTGTTGTTGGTCAACAGCGAGAACGACATCAAGGTGATGTCCGATTTATCGAAGAAAGCTGCTAAGTGGATCGAGGGATACGAAGACCTATTCTCAGACGAGTTACCTGGTTTGCCTCCAGAACGCGACGTACAGCATGTGATCAACGTCGGCGACGCAACACCCGTATCGAAAAACCCCTTCAAGATGAGTCCGCGTGAACTAGATGAACTTCAGCGACAGATCAAGGCGTTATTGGACAAAGGCTTGATCGAACCCAGCAAGTCACCGTGGGGTGCTCCAGTATTGTTCGTACGAAAGAAGGATGGTAGCATGCGTATGTGTGTTGACTATCGAGCTTTGAACAAACTGACGGTTCGAAACACTTCTCCATTGCCACGAATTGACGAATGTTTGGATCGCTTGGCTGGCGCACGTATTTTCTCTTCTTTGGATCTCAAAAGCGGATATCATCAAGTACGATTACGTGACGAGGATCGACCGAAAACTGCGTTTAACACTCGATATGGACAGTATCAGTTCAAGGTGTTACCTTTTGGTTTGACGAACGCTCCACCAACGTTTCAAGCAATGATGAATCGAATTCTCGGAGAATATATCGATCGATTCGTGTTGGTTTATCTCGACGATATTCTGGTGTACAGCCGTAACGAGGAAGAACACAAGAAGCACTTGCACATGGTGTTGGAAAAATTGCGTGAACACAAGCTGTTTCTGAACCCGGACAAATGCGAATTTGGTGTCGACGAATTGGTGTTCGTTGGATTTCGAGTGACTAAGAACGGTATCCTGCCGGATAACAAGAAGATTGCGAAGCTGCAAACTTGGCCCACTCCCACCAATGTCCAGGAGGTGCGACAGTTCCTTGGATTGGCAAGTTATTACCGCCGATTTATCAAGGATTACGCCCACATCGCCGCACCATTGACCGACCTCACGCAAGGTGCTGGACCGAAACGCCGAAAGATCGTTTGGCCGCCGAAATGTCAAGCTGCTTTCGAAGAATTGAAGACACGGTTAGCCTCTGCTCCTGTGTTGGTTGCTCCTCGACTCGATCGTCCGTACAAGGTGTATACAGACGCTTCAGATTTCGCTTGTGGTGCTGTACTGGTTCAAGATGACGACGATGGTTTGGAACATCCGATCGCCTATGAGAGCAAGAAGTTTAGCAAGACTGAGCAAAATTATCCTGCTCAAGAAAGGGAATTATTTGCTATCCTTCATGCTTTGCGCACGTGGCGATGTTTTTTGGACGGTACCAAGTATGTGGTATACACGGATCATTTGCCACTTCGGTACCTACGTTCGCAGAAAACTCCGACCCCTAGGCTGGTACGCTGGATTAACGAGCTGGAACTGTACGACCCCGATATTCAGTATCGACCAGGCAAACAACAAGTAGTACCGGATGCACTCTCTCGGATCGTTCAAGACCCTGACGATGACCATGATGAGAAGCCCGTAGTGCCCGAATACTTATACTTAATGGACACGGTGATGCCTGTGGTGCATGATACAGATTGGCCTCTTTATTACATGTACGCCGAAGAAGCCATTCCTGAGTCCGTACGAGAACAGCTGAAGGAAAATCGCGATACGTTTATGATCAAGGACGACGTAATCTACCACCGAAACGATGAACACTGGACCCGATTTGTTCCTTACATTGAACGTGCCGACCTGCTTGCTCGTTATCACCATTCCGTTGGACATGCCGGATTATCAACCATGTTACACGTATTACAACCCCGTGTATGGTGGCCCCAGATGAAGAAGGAAATCGAAGAATGGTTACAGCAGTGTCAAGAGTGTCAACTAGCCGGTAAACCTCAAAGATCTGTTCGCAAAGCGCCGATGCATCCTCTTAACGTCCCGGAACCGTTTGGACGATGGCATCTGGATTTCATTGGTCAATTACCTACGACTCGTCAAGGCAATCGTTGGATCATTGTTGCCGTGGATTATTTGACGAATTGGCCAATTGCTCGAGCT